CCCCCCCTTTTCATCGCCTCACAGATTGCCCGCGCCCAGCAAATCAAGGAGCACTACATCCAGCACGAGATGCGCCGTGCAAAGGAGCAGAGAGAAAAGGGCGAGCTGCGTGCTACGGGTGGGATCATGAATCTAGGGCTGATCAGCGGAGGTGGAGAGGAGAATGGGTCTGGGGATAAGGGAGGAGAGGACAAGAAGCAGCCGCCGGCTTCAGCGGGAGATGATAAGAAGGGCGGGTCAGATGGGAAGGAGGGGAAGGAAGGCAAGTAATGTGGGTAATGTGGATATGCTGATTGGCCGTCTGCCCAGCCCTTGGCTGTGAGAGTCAATCTACGAGATTATATGACAGTCGCCGAGCGAGACTGGGGCCGCTTCAATCGTCCTCTTCTGTGCCCGGCAGGTAGAACTGGAGGTGGACGATGTCAGCTCTCTGTGTCCTCTTCTCTCACTGATCTTCGCCCACCTAGCCTCACTCACCGTAACAACTCCGCTTGTGTTCTTCGGGTCGCCTACGTACACGTAGAAGATGACACAGAGCGGCTGGCATATGCAGACGATGCATCGCGACTCGAGGATGTGAGAGCTGAGGAACTTGAGGAGCGATTTGGCATCGACCTTGACTCGAAAGTGTTTGGTCTTGTCTGCCTCCAGGTCGGACGTCGAAGCTGAGGCTGCGCTTGTCTGTTGAGACTCTGAGTACGAGTACCCGGGATGCTTGTCAGCATGAAGTCGATGTCTTCTACTGACTGCTCGTCAGACTCACCATTGTGGATTCTCGGATGCCCGCACTTCGCCCACTTGCTCTCTATTCTGACCTCTGGCTCTTCGACGGACATCAAGAACTCCTCGGACCGATTGGCACTGACATAGATGTGCCTAGTCACATTCCTCATCTTCTCGACGACACTGCGCACCTTGAACATCTTGGGCATGTAGATGTGCACCTGAGGATCTGGAACCATAGGATCCCTCATCTTGTTGGCCTCGGACGCTCGGATGATGCGCACGCCTATGTCTTGTACCACCTCGAGTCGCCCACCGGTGTGACTGGCATTGGCAATCGCCATGCTGAGCAGTGGCTCGCCCTCGCGCTTGCTCAGCCTTATAGCGACGCTCATAGCATGATCACAGCTACGCAGCGACTGGGCGAATAGGTCTGAATTGATCTCGAAGTCGATCTGATTGTTGAACTTGCTCTCCACGACGGGGTCCTTGAGGAAAGCCTCGTTTGTGAACTGAGACCAGACTTGCACGCCGCCATCGCTACCGTCTGCGGTGCAGATGAAGCGGATCTCGACTGGGTTGACACGGACGTAGCAGCGTGGCGAGACCTTGGCGATTGTTTGGATGACCCTTTGCAAGGTATTGACGTCGACTAGCTCAGCGTGGAAGCGCATGTCGTCGTGGATTGAGGGCCTGCAAGCAGGGGCAGACTATGTCGACAGCGCCGTGAGCTCGCTTGTTCGCCCGAACGTCCTCCCTGAGAGGGTCGATGGTCCTCTTGACTTTCTTTGCTGATCTTGAGTTGAGTGGTGGTCGTCTGGTGAGGAAGGCTGAGCAGGACGAGACGGAAACGGGCCTTGATTCGCTTTCCGTCTGAGCTCAAGCCACCTTCAATCGTCGCCCGAGGCGGAACTGGACGTGTCGGGCGAGTGGAGAGAGGAGAGGCCCCCGTCGACTTTGGGTCCGTCTCGCCTGAATCTGTTGCCTCTCTCGTCTGTCCTCATCACCAACGCAATGACTAACGATACCCAGTCAGCACCGCATACCATATCTGTGTCGCTAGAAGGAGCAAAGAGCGCAGCGCTCAGCTTCGACGGTACCCTCTTCTGGCTCACTCGATCCAATGTCACCGACAGCAAGGATACACGAGGTGAGCACTCTCTCCAGAATATCAAGTCTGAGCAAGGCTGAACGTGGCTGAACACCCGTTTTCGCACTCGCAGACCCATCAAAAGCCTTCACATGCATCCCACTCGACCTTATCCTCGACTGCAGCTTCGTAGAAGACTCCGACGGCGGTTCTCTGTACGTTCGTCTACTCGCCCCTCCCTCGCAACAAGCTTCGCCCCTTTTCCCCTTCGCAAAGGTCAAGTCACGAGCAAGCGCAGTAGTCGATACCGAGCACACTCTGCCCAAAGTCGCCGATCGCTCTTCTCTGTCAGCCAAAGAGCGCTCAGAACGTCTGCTTGCCCATCTTGAAGGCGCGTGTCAGAAGTTGCGTCTCCTCAAGATCGAGGCCAGGGTCGCCTCAGGGGAGAAGGCACGAGACTGGGTAGCCGAGCTTCTGGCGAAGGCGTACTGCGGACTCAAGCCCTATCGCCGTCTCAAGGTGCTGGTCAATCCCGTCGGCGGACCGGGCAAGGCTCGCCAGCTGTTCCAGCAGAGGGTGCGCCCGATACTCGAGGCTGCCGGGTGCAAGCTCGATGTCCAGGTTACGGAGAGGGTGCAGCACGGCTTGCAGATCGCAAAGGAGCTCAAGATTGAGGACTATGATGCTATTCTGCTCGTATCGGGTGATGGATTGGCACACGAGATCCTAAACGGCTTCGCTCAGCGACCTGACGCAGCCAAGGCGCTCAAGCTTCCCATGGTGCCCATCCCTGCCGGGTCAGGCAATGGGCTCTGCGTCAATCTCCTCGGTCCGGAGCAGGGTTTTAACCTTGCATTGGCATCACTTAACGCCATCAAGGGTCAGCCGATGCCGCTTGACATCTGCACCGTCACGCAACCGAAGGGCAAGGCGAGGGCGAGGTCGTCGAGGTATGGTGGTGGCACGGCAGAAGCAGTAGCAGCACCATCAAGCAGTCAAGATGACCCCGTTGCTCTCTCTGGCGCACCGGAGCTGCCCTACGACCAATACTACTCCTTCCTCAGCCAGGGCATTGGCCTCATGGCAGACGTCGACTTGGGCACCGAGCATCTGCGCGCTCTCGGCGACACGCGATTCGTTTTGGGTTACCTATCGGGCGTCATCTCAAATACGGAGTGCCCAGTCGATATCGATGTCAAGCTGGGAGAGAGAGGAACGAAGAACAAAAAGGTGATGCGGGAGAAGGTGAAGACTTTCAATGAGACGGGACAGTGGGAGGATGAAGATGGCAGCGGAACTCACGAGAACGGAGAGGTTTCAGCCAGCACGCTGCGACACGGTGCTGTCACCGAAGCCTTATACGTGGGCGAAGCGCAGTCATCGCCCCCACTACTCAGCGGCGTCGATCCATCATGGCCGCACACTATCCTCTCCCCGACGCAGCCACCGTCACAGGATCCTCCATCAGGCAGCTGGTGTCGCCTCCCACACAGCATCTCCACGCTATACGCAGGCAAAATTCCCTTTGTAGCGCGCGACCTCATGCAATTTCCCTATGCTCTCCCTGGGGATGGGACCGTCGACATCGCACTGCAACTTCACGAAGGGGGGAGAGCTGGCAAGCTTCGAGCTATCAATGGTGCTGAGACTGGCTCTGTCGTGTACGACAGGGCCGTGCTGTACTTGAAGGTTGAGGCGTACCGTGTCACCCCCAGACTGGCGCAGGGAGACGCAAGACTGAAGAAGGGCGGACTAGTGAGCATCGACGGGGAGCATCGACCCTATGCTCCCTTCCAAGTTGAGGTGGCAGGACTGCAGGCAAGGACATTGAGTCTCTTTGGGCGCTTCAATGTGAGGGAGGTGCCGCAGCCGGCGGCCCCGACTCAATGACTGTGGTGGCACGGAGGTCGAGGAAGGGGTGAAGAAGAGAGCAAGGCCAAGCTGGCTCAAACGCAGCTGCCCGTCTTCCACAACCACCCAGCCTTGACGACGGCCTTCGTGTCGATTCTACTCATACCCATGTTTGCCTATTGGGCGCACGTCTACTGCTTCGCTGTTTTCTGTTAATCTGTATCATTCTACTCTTCGTCCCTATCATTGATCGATCGAGTCAGTTTACACAGTGTCCTGTCTCTATTCGTAGGCCAAATCTGGGTTTCACTCACCGCCTGCACGGGCCCCCGCCTTTCTCTCGGCCGTCGCCTCCACAGACCGCCGGCTCACATTCATGTCACGTCAACTCGCTCCGCTCGAGAAGTGGACAGCTTTTGCTCCTTTCTTCCCGACGTTGCCTCTTCTCCCCCGCTTCGCCTCTGGCCCTCCTTCCTAAGATCACCACGACCTCCGCACTCAGCTACCTCTACGAAGTATGTCCCTCGCCAACGCCCCTCCCAACCCTTACCCATCCATCGTCTGCTTCGGTGATAGCCAGACGCAGTATGCCTACTCGAAGCAGGGCTTCGTAGGGCAGCTGGCCAATGCGTATCAGCGGAGGGCGGATGTTGTCAACAGGGGGTTCAGCGGCTACACGACCAGAGATGGTGAGTCTTGTTTACCTCGCCGTCGCCGATGCCATGGAACATTCACAATGAGCTCACGGATCTTCTCACTGCGCCGCCAGCCGTCCACCTCCTCAAGTACGTCTTCTCCCCCACAGCAGGAGTAGGCCAGCCAATCCTCGCCGCGACCGTTTGGCTAGGCTGTAACGACTCGATCAATCCAGGAGAGAAGCAGTATGTGAGTCGACTCCTCCTTGCCCCTGTCCTATCCCCCCCTCCCCCCTTCGCCTTCATCGGACCTGACCACTGGCTCGCCCCCTCTAGGTCTCGGAGAAGGACTACTCTCTCAACCTCATCCAAATCATCAAGACGATTCAAGCCTCTTCGCCCTATCAACCCCCCTTCATCATCGTCCTCGGCCCCACACCCGTAATTGAACTGCCCGGCGCAGCGCACAAGAACGATCGCAAGCTCCTGTACACCGATCTAGCACAACAGGTAGTCGAGCAGGCCAACGAGCACACCGATGCCTCACCCGCCGAAGGAGGCAAGGCTGTACCTCGCGTAGACTTCCTGGACACCTATGCTCTCTTCCATAGCGCGGCTAAGCAGCATCAGGGCGGCATGGAGGCATTATTGGACGAGGATGGGCTGCACATCAAGCCGGACGGGTATGAGGTTCTCTTCCAGGCTATCATTGAGCGATTCAAGAACCAGCCGGGTCTCAAGCCGGAGGAGATGCCTATGGTGTTCAAGGATTGGAAGGAGTTGAGTGCCGATGAGAACAAAGTTGGTGAGGAGTTGAAGCCTAGGGGGCCTGGCGTGAGGCAATGAGGGCGACAGAGCAGGTCGTGGGGCAGGCTTGGTCATGCGTGTATTGGATGGAAACGAGGGGAGCGGCTGTGATACATATAGATTAGAGGGCGAGTGCGCTGAACGGCCAGAGATGATCACGCAGCTGGCCTACTGGCCGGGCAAGCTCGACGCTCCTGTCTCCATATTTGCCGCGCCAGGCTTCACGCCTTCGCTGACGAGAAAGTCGTCCAGGTCCATCGCGTCTTGCACTTCTCGCTCACGGGTAGGCTGCTGCTGGTGCGCAGGAACCTGGCGAACGTCGAGCTCCATCTTGCTCCCTGTCACCTCTTCTCGAGCCGCTCCGACTTTTGCTTCCTGATCTCCGCTCGTCGTCGCCTCTGTCTTCGCGACGGCCTCATCTGCATCATTGCTCACCACACCCTCTCTTACAAGCACAAACTCAAAGTCTTCCTGCTGAAATGCGCGCTGCGACAACTTCTCGCCGAAGGCTCCGCGTACTCGATTCGAAGTGCGTCGTGGCGCAAGGGGCGTTTTGATTGGTGAGGAGGAGGTGGAGGTGGGTGTTGATGATGATCCGGGGGGATCGACGGGCAAGGTGGATGCCGATGTGGTGCTTGGCTTGCTTTGCTCGGCTGAGCCCGGTGATCCATTAGCTGGACCAGCCGTTCCGCCTACATCCGGCTCCCGAGCAGACTTGCTTTCAGATGCCGCTGTAGCCGCTGATGCCGCAATCGTTGGCTGTCCTACTGCCTCATGGCTACCACTCCCACCGCTCTCATCGGGCGTCGCTGCTACGGTCGCCCCCGTCGAACTTTCGCCCGACGAGGGCTGGCCAAACCCCGCCGGCGCGCCAGTGCCGTTGCTGCTACCACCTGCCGCACCTTCGTCCCCACCCGGAGCAGCGGCGGCGGGACTCGAGCTCGGCCCACCTCGCGCAGCAGCCATAGCCGCAGCCATCATCTTTTGAGCCTGCTCGAGCGAGAGTGCGCCTGGGGCCGTGAAGCGTGGCGCGATCGGCTCGTTTGCTGCTGCGGCCGTTGCTTGAGCGTCTTCATCGCCTTCGGCCCCACTGCTACTGCCACTGCTCCCCTCTCCCTTGTTTCGCTGCCCAATCAAGAGCCTCACACGCTTAGGACGGCGCTCCGCCGCTTCTAGCTCGGCGAGGCTTGGTCCTGTGCGATTCATGGCTCGAGCTTCGAGGACCTCTGGGTCTGTTTCCTGCGCCTCCTCTGACTCTTCATCACCTTCCGTCTCAGGGCTAGCAGCAGACTTGATCTTCGCTTTCGCCTTGCCCTTACTCGAATTCCTCTTTTTGGGAGGCAAAAGCCCAGCGGCCCTGGCCTGTCGCTCGGCCTCCTTTTGCGCCTTCTTGACCAACTCGGACGGGCGAGGTTTACGTGCTGGCTTGTAGCCACCTTCCGGGTCGTTGGGATCGATGACGGCGCTGCGAGGTGCAAAACGACCTCCCGAGGTGCGGGCGTGGATGTTGCGGTGCTCCTTTTCTGCTCGGATGATGACCTCAGACTCGGAAGAATCGGGCGAGGCAGCGTTGGAGACGGCGCGAGGCTTGCGTGGTGGGGGTGTAGCGGCGGTACCGCTGGAGGACAGCCGCGTCTTGTGGGAAACAGAGGGGGAGCCAGCTTTGTTTGCCTTGTTGCGGGCGGTAGAGCCCGACGAGGCTGTGCCGCTGCTTGACCCTGGAGCGGGACTTTCGGCCACAGGTACAGCGAGGCTGAGCACAGCGTCGTAGCGGGCCAATGTCTCCTTTGTCTCGGCGATGAGCTCCTTGCGGAGCTGCTCGATCTTGTTGAGGTTGTTCGCTGCTTCAACGCTCATGTTCTGCTTGCCTAGCCCTATGGCAGCCTCAGCTCCTCGGAATGAATTGCCGGCTGTACTAGACGCTGGCAATTGACTCTCTCTAGCTGCGATGATGGGCATGAGCATTCGTGGGTCGGCGCTGCGCGAGGACAGGGGCGTAAATTAGCGGCATATACGCTGGTATCGACGGTATGGGAGGCATGACTCACGTCTTGAGCTGTTCGATACGGTCTCGCAGACGTTGCCTGTCCTTGATCAAGCGCTCTTTCTCCATCCTACGTTGCTTCTTCTCGAGGTTGTCTGGTCGACGATGCCGACGTTCGTATGCTGCATCCGATGTGTCCTCCTGCGAACAGGCAATGGTGCAGAGATCAGCAAATCGCCTTGACCTGACTGTATCGTACTTTCACGCTCACACTCACCTCTGAACGCAATGCTCCACCCCTCGTCTTTCCCATCTGACTAGCATCATCCCTTAGCTTGAAGTCGGGCGTCTCGATGAGAGCCTTTTCACGGCACGCCATGACCATCTTGGGGTCCTGGAAGAAGCTGAGGCTGTCCAGTCCTTCCTCGTCCAGCGGAGCGTCGAAGGCTTGGACTGCATCTTGATTCCTCGACGAAATGACGATGATTGTCGAGTCTGGCAGGCTGCGATGAAGGGCTGCGAGGGGGGAGGACAGTCAGCGCTGCGCCGTCTTGGTGAACAAAAGTAGACGTCGTACTCACGAGTGCTTTCACGCCCGCTGGTGCCATTGACCTCGTCCAGTCCGTCACCTCCCAGTAGCGCCGATACCCTTCTCAATCGAGCGGGCAGCACTCTTTTTCCTCGTGCCTCCTTCCTACTGTCTCCCGCCGCGCTGATACTGCTGTTTAGGGCGAGAGGTGAGGATGATGAAGAGGCGATTGGAGCATCGATGGGCTGCGCTGGTGCGGATGGCGGAGGCTGCACTGATTCGACCACTGGCGGTGATGTGCGAGTCATCGATGGCTTGCCATACATGCGATCGGCTGGTATCTCGCCAGATGATCCCTGTCCGACATTGGCTGATGCGGATGGCGCTGGACTGGACCATGGCATCACCGCGGCCAAGTCCGCCGAGTCCGAATGATCGATGGCGGCCGTGGCGGCTGGAGCAGCACCACTTGACTGCTCCTGATCAAGATCCATGTGCTGATGCTGCGACGGCGATTCGTGCTCGCACCAATGTCGACTTCGATGCAGCGAGTGGTCACGTCGATGCTACTGTGATGTTGGCCGTGACCTTCTCGACGGGTCGTCGTTCTGACGTCGCGAAAGCGGCGGCGGCGGCGGCGAGGCAAAGCACCTGGCCAAGCCACGCGGGAGGAGCAAGCTGCTTCCGTTCGTCGCGCCACGTGGATTGAGTCTGCATCTCACACCGTGACGGCCGCTCAGTCAAGTCAAGAGCATCAAGCAAGGTCAGGAATCGAGGATGAGCAGCTCTGTCGTTGAGAGATAAGGCTATGAGCAGACCCCGACGCCGCGTGAGCTTGCGATATCGGGGGCTTCGAGGCCGCTGAATGACCCCTCCTTCAGTGCGTGACCCAGCTTTTCTCAGCGCTCGCACATATGCTTGCCCACATCTGCACCTTCGATGGCCAGTGCGAAGCCTGTTCATGTGATTACCACGAGACTTGCTCACGGCCGATTGCCGGCAGGATCGCCATCGCAACTCGTCACTCCAGGTCTATTCCGCGGTCCACGACAAGACCTGGTCAAGATCGTTTCAAGGCCGTCCGAGGGTACAGTACGTGCCTCGCTTCGAGTAGCGTGAGATCGCCTCCAGCCTCGACCTCACCTCACCGCTTCGGCCGCCCGACGCACCAACGAAAGCTGTCATCGCTTCCCTGAGATTGGTCGAGGGAGTTAATCACTGACTGTATGCCATGTCGGGGCCCAGCGCAAGGGGATGGACGAGGGTTCTGCTCGCTACAGGAAGGTCCCGACAGTTGCGATTAATCAACGGGACGGTCACGATGACAAGAACGAGAATGAGCAAGCCGATGTGTTCATCCCAGGCTGATCATGCGGGCTGGCCGATAGACGACATCATTAGCAAAGTGTAGGGGGCTTCTAGACCGCCCGGTGTGAGGAGAAAGAAGCCCCTTCGCCTGGACGCCTGGATGGACGACTAGAGTCGAAGCGTATGCTAAATCTTGACCCCGATGGTGGGAAACAGGCGACGTTCGGTCGTGTCGTGAGATACAGCTCAGATACCCAGGCCACACTTTCCCCGCTCTCAGAGCTCAGTGCACAGGGTCGTTGTGTGGTCATGACTGAAGAGAAGACGGGGACAGCGGCGATGGGAAAAAGAACCCGGCGTTCATCAGAGGCCTTGCTAGACCCATTGACCGCAACCTTGTGTCTCAAGGTTCATTCACGCGTGGAGAGACTGAGCCGGCATTTGTGTGCGTGTTGTTGTGCCTCTCCCATCATGGTTTAGCCTATGTGCCTTTGCCCCTCCTCGTCATCTGAACCTCAACTTTCTTCATCATCCTTACCATCTCCGCCCTGTCGCTACTCAAACACCTTCCCCATCTCCTGATCCTCTTTCTCACACAAGCGCCTCTCGCGAGGTGAGTTTATGAAGCTAGTGCCGGCACCCGCGCTCCCGCTTGCACTTCGTCGCTTTCTTCGGCCTCGGCCATTCGACGAGGCGGTCGGAGCATTGCATCTGCTCCTCCCACACCTCCCTCCTTTATCGGGGCACGCCGAGGTCAGTAGCGCAGCAGCCCGCAGCGCAATCGTGGGTCTGAACAGGGGTGCGGTGATCGATGAGATCGACACCATCTCGCTGCAACAGTCCCCCCTTGTGATCACGCTGGCTGGCTGCGACTATTGCTCTCTGGCTCGTCCTACGTCCCCTTGCTGCCACGACGTCGTAGTAACGATCCGCGGCCTTTGTGGTGGGCAGGAAGGCCCTTTTGACAGTGAGGCAAGGGCGGAACGTACAGATACGCGCGTACGTAACTCAAGCTCCGTGGCAGGCGAAATCAAACGTCGAGCCTGTCTGTGCCGCTAGAGTGGGTTGCGTACAGCTGAGGGTTGCGAGGGGGGGCTTTAGCGGCGGTGTGCGTTACGCCTCTTGCTGCTTCCTCTCGTGGATTGCTCCGCTTCTCGATGCTCCAAGTAGGGGGGCGAGCATCGTCGCATGGTCGCGTCGTCGCGTCGTCGTCATAGTCGTTCGCCGCCACTGCTGCATTTTGTCGCCGCCGCAATCGCTCCTCTCCTCGTCCCTGTGTGTCATCCATGGCTGCTGGCCTTGGATCAGTGAGCAAGGGCCAGGATTGGCAGCCTCTCAATCGGTGGCGAGATTAAGGGAGGGGGCGCGCGCGGCAAGGGGTTGGCGTTGGTCGAGAGGCGGGCGGAAGCCACTTGCTGCCCAGCAGGCATCAGACGAGACGACGCGACGCCCTCGTCCGTCGGCCTTTTTCGCAGCCTAGCCCAACCCAACACCTCCTTGCCTCGCGCCTTTTGCCCCCTTTCCCTCGCGGGCTACCTCCTCTCGCACAACCCCGCCTCGTCAAGAGAGGTGTTGATGTCGGCGTCGGCGTCAACCTTGTGTGTGACGACGATGACGAGAGACGAGGGCAGACGAGCGAGGGGATGGAGCGAGCGAAGTTGCGGCCAATCGCAGCAAGGGGTCTTCAAAGGGGAGAGAGACAGGCGCAGCATTGCAGCACCACAGCATCACAGCTTCATCATGGCACCTCTCGCCCGCCGCGTCCAGTCGACCAAAGGGTGTTGGAGTCGGCAATCGGCGGTTCAATAGGCTCCTTTCATCCCATCCCATCCCACCCCTCGCACGCCTCGCTCAAGGTCTGATTTGAGTTAGGCAGGTATCAATCGACGCAGCATCACAGTCGTCGTGTGCCCACAGGTTGCTGTTGTCGTCAACGACACGACCCCGAACACACGGACCGACGGATCGTCCCAGTCGAGGCGAGCGAAAGGGGGCGAGGCCGAGAGGCAAATCAGGCCTACCTCGCCGAGAGAAGGAGGAGGCGCTTGCTTTCGTTCATCACTAGGACGCTCAAGCCTGCGCCGCCCAACTCTCTTCCCTCGTCTCCTCTTCATTACCCTCCTTTCTCCTTTCCTTTCCATCATCACCATCTCCTCGTCCCTCCTTATCCCTCTGACTCCTCTCCCCTCTCTCTTCTCTGTCTGAGCCCCTTTTCGCTCTCGTCTCGGCCACGCTCATTATAAACCAACGCCAACAGCTCAGCAGCTCACGCAACGACGCTCCTCCTCCCACGACGCAGCAACGCATCACGCTCCGGGATCTCTCTGCACTTCATCATTATCACCATCAGTGGCAGCTCTTGAGCTTCACCCATCGAAATTGGCATGGCATCGACGACGCTCGCATTCTCACCAGACTCTTTGCAGCGCACCGACAGTAAAAGCAGTCACAGCAGCAGCAGCGCCAACAGCGACGGCAGCAGCATCCAGACTTCGCCCTCATACTCAGACTCCATCCTCTCGTCCAACTCGCACCTCTGCACGCCAGTCAGCGCAGCAGGACCCGGATTGCCTCTCCACGCAGTTCCCGCCGCCAACGCAGTCTTTCACTCAATGGAGGCCCTCAACAACCTCGCAAAGCAGCATCAACAGCAACAGCAGCACCAGATGACCAGCCAGCAGCAGCAGCAGCAGCAGCAGCAGGACCCGGGTTCTCTGGCATCAGCACTCGACTTCATGAATCAGCAGAAGCGCAGCGGTCATGGCAGGACGGACTCGACTTCATCGAGGAGGCACAGTGTCCAGGCTCTCATGCCTACGGCTGGCTCGTCTTCTCGCGACCTTGACCTCGCCTTCTTCTCGCAAGCCTTCCTTGACTCACAGAGCAGCGGCACCAACAGCGCAACGAACTCATCCATCCTCTCCACGGGCACCAGTTCCGGCAACACCGCCACGGATGACTTTGACTTTATGACCTCTTTCACGAACCAAGACCCTTCCGAGTTCCTCATGTCGCCACCTAGGCTCACTGTCAGCATGTCGGGAGACGGGCAGTCCGATCAGGCCGCCCACGCTGCTGCAGTCACCACTGCCAAGCGTCACCGTCTTGCCCCTACTGACGGCAGCGATCCCTCGGAGCGCCTTTGCAAGAGCGTGGGTCACAGCCCGCTCATCGCTGACACCGCGACGCTGGCCTTTGAGACACCGCAGCGACCGGTCCACCAGGTTCAGCCTTTCCTTGGCGGCCACCGTCTCTCCAATGCCTCGACGACGATGCAGACCCCGTCGACCGGCGGCTCATCATCATGCGCCTCAACCCTCTCCCTGGCTAGCGAGCGATCACGTCGCTCCTCCATGGACATCCACGCCGGATCCCCCGGCATGAACCGTCTGACCGCCAACAATATGATGCGGAGCCTTTCGCACGGCGACTACCCGACGCCGCCAAAGTCTGCCTCACCCACCATCACGGGCTTTGCTAAGTCATCACCGATCCTCAACAAGAACGGCGAAGTCTGGCCCGATGACGTTGAGGTCGCCTTCTGGGAGGCTCTGCGTCTGATTCCCAAGCTCGGCAGGCGCAAAGTCCTCGTCAACGGCAAGCCATGCGGACGCAACGAGCTCATCGCCGACTACATCGAGCGCAAGACCGGCAAGATGCGCACGCGCAAGCAGGTCTCGAGCCATATCCAGGTGCTCAAAAACATCAAGAAGGACGACCCGGAGTTCCAGCACCTCATTGCTGAGCCCGTCACAGAGGAGGACTTCTACATGCCCGCTGGCGGAATGATGTACGCTCAGACCTTGGCCGGCTACGGCTACGGTGGACTTGGTGGGCCCAACCCTCTCCTGACGGACAGCCCCCAGTCTGGCCTCCTGTCGCCTTACTCCCCTTACCCGCAACAGCAGCAACTGGGCCCTTCGCCCATCTCGACGCCCCTCACTGCCCAATTCGACCGCCTGAACACCACCAGCACGACACCTTGCCCCATCGTGCCGGCGACCTTTTCCATGTGGGCTCACTGCTCCGACTCGGACGACGTGCACCTCTACACAACGCTCGAGCACGGTGAGATGGCCCTGCCTACAGTACCCCTCGACATTCCCCGCCTGGGTCCGTACCGCTTCCCGCGCATGAACGAGATGTTCCAGCGCCTGCCCTGCCAGTTCCTGCATGTGCAGGTACCCATGTCAATCCCGCGTCAAGACGTCATGCTCCCCAAGTTCGATCGCTTCTCTACACAGCTGTCCCTCACCAGCAACACCGAGTCGCAGCTCACCTCGGTCACCACCGTCTACTCCCACGGTAAGCGCGTACTTTCCCTCGTCGAGCCCCTGGATGCCCCCCGACGCATCTCGCCTCCGGGCCGCAATGGCTCAGACCAGATGCCCGGCTCCCCCATGCCTGGCAAGCACCGCTTTGTCCACCAAGCGCCGTTTGCCACGGACTTCTGGGCAGACTTCCTTAGCCGCAATCACCCAGTGCACGTCTACCGGGGCCGCAATGCTCGTCAGTCCTTCTGCAAGGAGCCCTCTGAGCGTGCCGCGTTGGGAATGGCCGTATCTGGTGTGACCATCATCCAGGAGCTCGTCGACGCCGGGTCTGCCCCGCAAGAGGACGGTGCTCGCCTCCTTCCCGAGCACGCCGCCGCTCGCGTCAGCCCCGGTAGCACCATCGGTGACGTTGTGCTGGTCATCGCCTGGGAGCTCGAGTGCGTCGAGGCTCTCGGTGGCAAGCCTGGCCGCCCCATCGTTTCCCTCGTCTCCGAGCCGGCACAGCGCATTGCCCCTACGCCGCAGCAGCAGTTTGCCAACTACTCGATGGCCGCACCTCCTCAGCATCAGCAAGTACAACGCCAGCAGCAACATCAGGGCTTCCTTCAGGCTCCCGCCTCCGCCCCTCTCCCAACCTCGGCCCTGCCCTCTACGTCGAGCCATTCAGGCCCCACCCTGTTGAGGAAGCGCGGCCTCTCACAGACGAAGCCCAACCTCATGCTCAACATTCCGCCCACAACCAACCCCATGCGTACCATCAGCGCCAGCCCGAACGCGGCTGTGAGCCCGAACGCCTTCGCCTGGGGCGCTATGCAGCGTCAGGCTATGCACTCGCCCCTCACGCCGGCGCATGCCCTCGTTGGCACCCCACTGGCGCCTCCTGCGCCCTTGTCTGACGATGAGGCGCGAGCTCAGGGCGAGCGACTCAGTCGCGCTTGGGCTAACTCGGCCGCGCAAGGGCTCCACGAGTTCGCTTCGCCCATGGCACCTAGCTTCCCTTCACCGCTCCCAGCGGACATGATGTCTACCATGAGCAACTTCGGGCTTGAGCAGAGCGGCAACGGTGGCACTGGTGGCGGGTTGGGTGGCTCTTTGGGCCTCACCTTCGACCCGGACAACAGTGTTGCCTCGGGCGGCTTGGCTCCCAACGCCATGGCCAACGACTCTTTCGGGAGCTCAATGTCGGGCGGCGAGGACGACGCCGAGACGAAGGCCTTCATTGACAACCTGCTTCAGGGGATCGGCGCAACCGTACCCCGCGACGAGGCTGCGGCGCACTAGAGTAGAGTCAGAGTAGAAAGATCCCGGACAGACGCAGTTCCAGAGACTCATCATTGTATTACTAGCATTCAAGCAGACCCATCGCACCGTGCTCCCTACCTTCGATTCATCACACCTACCCTTGTTCAAATTCTGGCGCCTGGTCGCCCGTCTCTTGTTTCTTCATTTTGCTTCTCCCTCGCTCTTACGCTCTTTGTTTCGTATAACTTCTCGATCTCGCCTCGATCCAATCTATGATCATTTAGCATCCATCCCCGCCCTTTGATCGTGCTTGCAGCAATGGAATTGGGCTGAGCTGGTATTCAGTACAGTAGAACTCTCCCCGTCATGCTTCCTCTTCCTCATCGTCGCCTCTCTTTTGCTCTACCGGAAAGAAGAGTGGCCCCTCATCCTCCTTGTCTTCCTCCCTTTCTCTGCCCTCGCCTTCGTCCTCCTCATCCTCAGGCCCCGCCCCCGCTCTTCCACGATACTCAGCCGGATCTCTTCTTCTCCTTCCGCCACGCTTGCGCTGTGCCGTAGCGTCCGGGTATGGCGGCGTGAGGATGCCGTGGAGCGAGTAGAAGAGGGACTCTGCCTGGTTCGTGGAGGACTCTAGGGTGGTCGAGAGCAGTGAAAGACCTGCTGAGGTCGTCGTCGGTGCGAGGCTCGATGTGGGAGTGGCTGCGTCTAGCACTTCGATGATTTCCTCTTGATCATCGTCCACTGAGAGCCAGAAGGCTTCCATGAGCGGTAGGATCGCTTCAGCCCCGGCTGGTGATCCTGACACTCCGCCGCCCACGTGTCCTGCACCCTCGCTCCGCTCCTTCTTCCACTCGACCTCACTTTCGCTCGCCAACCCTAGAACAGCCTGCTTAGCCGCGTCGAACAGCCTGCTGGCTTGGCCTTGCGACTCAGCAGGCAGGCCCGCAGCAGTGATCTGCACGACGTACTGTCCCTTCGGGCAGCAGAAAGTGCCTTCGCCTAGAACGAGAGCCGTGACAGTGACTGGGCTCGTGTCATCCTTGCTGTCGCCGAGGGCCAGGGAATGAGGAGGGAAGACGATGAGGGCCGTTTCGATTGGCGGTTCTGGCTTTTGTGGTTCATCAGCATCGTTTGAACTCGTCTCTGTTGCGGCGGATGAGGGCATCTGTACGCCTCGATCCAGAATGAGCAGACCCTGCAGCGTTGACGTAGAAGTCGTCGCCTCCGCAGCGGTTCTGCTGGGCCCTGCGTGGAGCCCGAGTCTCGTGAGATCTCTTTTAGTGCCCACCACCTTCCCACATCTGAATGTCTCATCAACTCCTTGCACTCTGACATCGTAGACGTCCTGACCATCCTTCCTCTCACACTTCTCTACTCTCCTCCCCAACACGAACGTCGCACCACCGACGGCAGCCGCTCGTGCATAGCCCTGGACCAGCTCCCCTGCTCCACCATACTGAGCTACGAGGTACGCAGCGTTTCCATACTTGCCCGTAGAGCGTAGGTGCGTCTGCAACCTCTTCAACGCGGGGAGACATGGCTCTGAGCGGGCGTCAGGAGAGTGGCAGAGACCGTAGGCTATTGCCGTGGAGAGGGAGGGAGACAGACGTTGCTGAGCTTCGAGGAAGGAGTGGAGATTGGGCGACGCAAGAGCTGCAGCGAGAGTCGGGTCGTCTCCACTCTCTTCGCCTGTGTATCTGTCGTCAAGGGACGCTGTCGCGCACCACTGAAGCAACTTCATGAGTTTGCGCTTGTCCAAGAGGGACAGGACCGTCGCCGGCGTTTTGAAGACGTCTTCTTTGCTCGAGGGCACCGGACGCAACCGAGAAGACTGTGACGACGATGCCTCAGCGCTGTAGCCATCGTAGACAGCCGTCCGTTGGAGCAGCCTGAAGGTCGCATAGTTTGCCACCTTGGATCTAACAAGAGCGTCCAACGCGGGGCCATGAGCAGCGAGGAGGGCAGGCGTGAGGGAAAGACTGTAATGCCTATCCAGCGCTGCAAGCTGAGATGGGATCTCCTTTGCCTGACCTTGAGCATCAAAGGCAGGAAATGTCATTCGTGCTTGACTCGAGCTGGGCAGCCCGGCCAAGTAGTCCTCGAGCTGCTTGAGCGTCAGAGAGGCATTGGGGCCACCATAGTAGTCGTTGGCGTCCACCTGAAGGACGCGGGTATTCCGCGTTTGGCAGAGGGAGGCCGACAGGATGGAAAGGGCCAGGGAAGTCCCGAGGATGAGGTGGGTGTAGGCGTTCTCGTCGCCCTCTTGCGCCATCATCGAGGAAGAGTGTTGAATAGTGAGGTGGGGAGGAGATAAAAAGCAAAGAGAAAGAAAGCCAAGCCGCGCTCGGACCCTCTTGATTTTGCTGCAAAAGTCGAGGCCGGAACCAGCAATCGAATCGAGAGATCCAACACTTTGCCTCCTTGCCATCTTGCCCTCCCTCATCCATCTCCCAATCGCCATGGAGACGCACACCTTTCCCTTCCTGTCCTCATCAGGCGGCGACACATTACATCTCTCCCTTCTCCACAATGTGCGCAACGTCTCCACAATCCTTTCCTCTCTCCGCTCAGGAAAGCCGGACCCATCCTTCCCATCTTCGATCACCGCTGAGGACCTCTCTTCGTACGCCTTTCTCGATGCGAGCCTGGTAGTTTCACGCAAGCAGGTCGTCAATGCAGCCGTGCAGGCTATCATGGCCAGGGAAAGGGGAGAGATGAAGACGAGGGCCTGGAGCACCGAGGTTATGTGGGTGCTGTGGCCAGGGGGCAATGTGAGTGCGCCAATCGCGAGGTAGAGAAAGGCTTCTCATGAAGTCGCTCATCGACCATTGCCCTCTTAAACATCCAGATCTCCGACTCGCTCAAAAACGTCGGTCTCAGCGCTACTTCATCCTCGCTCGTCGTTGTCCGACTCTGCTCATCTAGCTCCTCGGAGCATTCTCGCGAGAGAGTCTTGGAACAGCTCACCACCCTGGTAGAGGGGGATCTCGACCCGAAAGGACTCGATGCGCTTGGCATTAGCGACAGTAGCCATAGCGATGCAGTGACCGACTGGGAAAAGGTCAAGAGGATACACAGACTCGTGCCACCTCCTGCGCCTGCTGATGGCGCCGCAGAGGAGGGCGAGATGGAGTGGATTCGCAGAGTAGTGGAGAGCACGACGGGCATCAAGGCCGTCGCTGGCTGATTGGAGGGAACCTCCACTGATCGAGCGTCGCACAGATCACTGCGTCACCATGTCCATGTACTTGTACGAAAGATGATAGATTGAATAGACCGCAGCTAGTAGTACACGAGGGCGTGATCCCCTCCCGTTTCCCCACTTGACTCCTTGCTGCCCTTCCCACGTCTACTGCGCCCTTGCAAAGGTGATCTTGATCCCCTGCTCATCTGTCTCCCTAATCTTCCTCCCGTTCAATCCCTCTCTCGCCCGAGCAGCCAACCCCTCATTCGCATACTCCACAAATGCGACGTTGCGCCCTGGGATCATCCTCACGTCCTGCAACCCCTCATAAGCAGCAAAGAGGGGTTCCAGCACCTCCCTCGTAGGCGGATCCTCGCTGGGTAGATTCTGAATAAAGAGGATAGGGTTGGGAGGGAGATACTCGTCCGGTAGTTGTGCTGCCTTCTTCGGGACAGGCTCTCCATTCGCACTAACCCCGCCGTCGGGGGCTTTGCGCTTTGATCCTGCATTGGCTGCATTGGTTGCTGCATCTGCGGCTTTGCGCTCTTCCTTGCGTCTTTGGCGCTCAGACTTGTGGGATTGAAAGTCAGGACAGGAGGAGTCGCCTGAATGCTGGTGCAAGACGACCGAGTCTGAGCGGGTTTTGGCGAAGGACAGTTGCTGGCAGGAGAGAAGGAGGATGAGAAATTCAAGGCGAGGGTGCCAGGGCGTCAGAAATCTCCACAGCGACAGGCAATTCCACGGGTGCTCGGCGCTGCTCACCATTGCCTTTCCATAGAGTGGGAACCCATTGACCTCTTTCACAGCCTTCTTGGCCACCTCTACATCATCGAATGCCACGAAAGCCTGGCCCCGCATGCGAAGATTGCCATGCGCCGTTATCCCCAAGACGTGCCCATAGACGGAGAAGAGGGAATTCAGGGACGTCTTGAGGATGTCCAACTTGACCTTCTCATTGAGGTTCTTGATGTACACCGTCGAGGTGGCCGAAGGGTCATCCCCAGACGGCGGTGGGGCTGGTGAAGCAGATGTTGAGGCTTGAGCTGGCTGAGCTGTGGCTGGCACTGCTGCCGCTGCCGTCTCTACATCCGCCATGATCGTCGTCGTCGCTAGATTATTGGCTTTGAGGACAAGAAGATGGGGAGTTCATCAGCGGACCAGATCAACGCGGAGAGAGAGAGGGAGCGGCGCTGCATCGCCAACCACGTGGCTCACTCCGTCCGTCGACTTGCTCGCTCTCCGCCCTGGCTGCATCACCAGCTCGAGGCAACCAACACTCACGTCCCTCGACTTTTGTCCTTTCGCTCCTCAACACCACAGCATGCCATCTGATGTCCGCCTCACTCACTCGCATCGACTTCCTGGGCCATCACACTCCATCAATCTCTACAATGGCACTCATCTCCCCTCTCAGCCCTTCACGGTAAACGCCTCCTCCGGTCCATCAACACAGCGCATCTCTCAGGTTGCGCTAGAGGAAGCAGAAGGCGTTGCCTCAGGTAGCAGCCACGTCTCTTCCTATGCTCCATCTTCCGGTCGCTTTCCATCTACGTATGCTGATCAAGGAGTGCTGGCTAGGCATAAGCGTGAGACACTCGAGAGGGCTGTCGAGGCAAGAGGTGGGGCAGGGGTGACTGGCAAGAGGGGGCACGCCTGGGGACGCGATGGTGACGAAGATGCGTGGGGTTGGGATCATGAAGGTGAGCAGGCGAGCCTGCGACCACAGACAATCTACATTTCAGACTGACACCCGCATCACGCAGACATCTACATCCGGCCCTCGCTCCTCCCGACCCACTCTTCCGCTTATGGAGGAGCAGACGATCCACTCCCCTCAGAGCAGCACATCTCCTACCCGCTCGGCAGACCGATAGAGCCACGACCTCCGAACACGCATCCGCGTGCCTTACTACCTCATCACGTCCAGGTCAGTCGCGTCTTTCTTGCTGAGGCGGCTGCGTGGAACAGCGGGATAGGGCAGGGAGCGGAGGCTGGAGCAGGAGCGGCAAGCGGCGGAGGAGGGCAACCGAGCGCGCCTGCTCATAGTGGGCAGGTAGGGACGACAGATCAAGCTACAGGAGGAGGGGGACGGGACGAAGCCCTCTGGAAGCCTCTAACCGGATTGCCGGCGTACCTCGCCAGCCTGAAGCCGGCAGCAGTAGCCGCCTCCACAACTCAAGGGGCCTCTGCAGGCGGGAGCAGCAGGGCAATTCAAGCGCATGCATGTGGTTCGTGGCCCTTTGTCAATTTTGGTCCAGGGACATCCCTTGTGAGGAGGAGGGATGAGGACGATTGGGATGATGCCAACTCAGGACCAGGCACAGCGGCTGCCGCTGCGAGAGAAGTGTGGCTGGAGCACGACTTTGAGCGATTGCTGCCGCTGGGGAGGGAGGGGGACCCGCTTGAATATCTTGCGACGAGCGCCTCGAGGCAAGCAGCGGCGCCAATCTCGAGCAACACCGCCGCCGCTGGTGCTACAGACGAGGCTTCCACCTACCTGGATCGCATCGACACGGAAATGACTCAACGCCTCCTCACTGCGCAGAAGGGAAGTGCCGGGCAGGAGGTGCACAAGGAGGAGTCGGAAGCGTCTGCACAGCTGAAGAAGCTCTTTGCGAGCGGGTCGAGCCCAGCTCTGCCTGCGATCACGCGCTCACAAGGGCGTCACGCTCAAGATGGCCGCCAGAAGCAGCAGAGCCGGCCGCTGCCCAGCCTTTTGCTCGACCGATTTGGCGGGGACGCGGAGGAGTTGAGGGCATTGCTTGTTGCTTCGAGCGGCGGAGGAGCGACGCCGAGGGACCAGGCGGGATCGTCATCTACCTTGCCGGGCGACAGGGGTATTGAGAGTGAGTGGGTTAGGCGGGCGAGGAAGGCGAGAGAGGCGACAATGGCCTCGACAGCGACGGTGACAACATAAGCAGGACAAGGGATATATACCAATTGCGAATACCAGCATGATTAGCAACACCAAACATCGAAGCTCTCCGCCGCTACGGGAAGAAGAAGCGCCAAAATGGCTTGACGATGATAATCGTCACTAGAAGGGCACAGAGCAGGATGAGGAAAAGGATGCACTGTCCTCTCCCCGTCCGCCTCTGCGTCCTCGTAGCGACCTTGAGCTCCTCATCCGCTCTTTCCATGTCTCTTGCCATGCTCTCGATGTTGTAGTCGATGCGATCCACAAGTGAGCCCTGATCCAGAACGAGCCCTTGTAGGTCCTGGAAGAGCTGGGAGAGCTCGACGATGGAGGAGGCGAGGCGTGTGATTTCATTGTGACGCTGGTTGATGTCATCGTCCCCTAGGTTTTGTTGGCGATCACCCTCGATGAGCAGGAGGTCCTGTTGTTGCTGCTGGCCTGGCTGCGAGGAGAGGTGCTGTTGGCCAAGCTCCATGTCCTCTCTCGCGGCCAGCTCTTCTCCCCCATCCTGTCCGACTACACTTCCCGCCTTTCCCTGCCTTGGTCCCAGCCCCAGCTCACCGATGACCTCCCTATGCCTCACATCCTGACCCCTCAGACGTTGCATATAGTTGGTCTGCTTCTTCCTGAACTGCCCACTAGCAGACTGCACCCGCTGGGCCAAGGCAGTCTGCACATTCTTCGCCAAGATCGCCTCTTCCTTTGTCATTCCTCCTGCACCTCCACGCAGCTGCATCTTCCTTTGTAGATCCTGCGCTAGCCCAGCAATCATCTTCGTACACTTGGAGAACTCTCGAGTAATCTCGCCTTGTAGGCGGGCAATCTCCCTCTCCTCGGCGGTGCGGTCAACAAAGCCGGGGAGTAGGTGCTTCGCTTGTAGGCGATCGAGGGTAGATATTTGGCTGGGCAGGGAGGAGGAGAGGATAGAGTCTATTTGGTCGGATACATCGACCCACCGTGGTGGGAGAGTGGCATGCGAAGAGGAGGAAGAAGGCCCATCCATATCCAAGGAGAGGTGGTCGCGTTGCCGATGCCCGTCTACTGAAGGGCGGGTAGGGTCGAGGAGGCCAGATGCTTCGCCCTGCTCTGCATCTTCGTAGTCGTCTCGATAGCCTTGCGAGCTGTTGCTCGGTTGCATGTCATCTTCATCATCGAAGTCAAAGTAGACCCCACCATTGTCTGCTTTGGCTTTTCCCTTTCCCTTCCCCTTGCTCGACGCGCCCAGTGGATCGCCCGCTGCTGGTGAGCCATCAGTCAGTCTAGGTATGTCAGAGGTGGGGCGCCGTACTCTGCGAGAAGCACCCGAACGAGGCACAGAGTCGCGGTAGGAGAGGAAGAGGAGGGTGCGCGACCGTGTGACGCCTAGTACGAAGTCGGCTTCGACTGAGGACGTGGACGAGCTCGCAGCATGATGGCTGTTGGTGTTATCCGGATGCAGCCGGCCAGAGACGGGCGGTGTGGATGAGCGAGACCAGAAGGACGACTGTCCTGTTGGTGTTGCGCTGCGGGATATCATGGAGATGAGAAGATGACGAAGCCAGAAGGGAGACGTGAGTGCGCAGGAGAGAGGCAGAGTTGACTGCAACTTGCGTCTTGCGCCTTGGTGCGCTTGTGATCCGTGCATTCAGACAAACGGAATCACGCCGACTCGCGCCCTGATCGTCTTCCTTTGCAACCAACACGTCCAAGACCCGCATGATGCTCGCTCGCTCACCACGGTGCTAGCTTGTAATCGGTTCTGAGCTTGTGCATACCCTTACCATCGGCCAAGCATGTCGTCGTCCTCTTCAGGCCCGAGAGGCCCTTCATCGGCGGTCCAAGTCACCTACACGTCAACCTCTTCCTTCCTCGACACACCTCTCTGCTCGCACATCCTCTCGTCCATCACATCACAACTGCCTCTGCGCAATGTACACCACCGCCCATCAGCACCGACCAATGCTGCAGTCAAGACTATTCAGACACTGCCCGTCCGACTAGTCCCGTTGGCCGATGAGCAGCTCAAGGCCAAGCACAAGCCCGAGACGAGACATCTTGTTCAAGCCAACCTCCTGGAGAGGCCCTTTGTGCACGTATTCCTCGTGGCTACAGCGGACAGTGATGCGTACCGATCGCACATTCGTAACGAGATTCGTACCTGGATGAATGAGCTCAAAGAGACGCCGACTCTTAATGCGGTACCCAAGAGCAGCGGCACACAGCCTGCTTTGCCGTCAGGAGCCCAAGATGACGAGAACGCTACGGCTGCAAGTAGCAGCAAAGACAAAGAAGAAGAAACTTCGCCTGAATACCTCATCGTCTATGTCACACCGCCAGCGGGCGCAAGCGGAGCGACGGGTTCCTCGGGAGCCGGCTACTTTGATCGGTCGCCCTCGTCGTCTTCCAACGCACTACCGGCTGGCACAGGCTCTCCTTCGACTCCGGCCAAGGATGATGCCACGACCAGCGCATCCTCCGCCAAGACGGGCATGGGGCGCTTTCTGTCATCATCGACCAGTTCATCAAGCAAGGATCCGACGGGAGGCGTCCTCGACAAGCTCAAGACGGACTTTGGAGGAGGAAAGAAGTCGGAGAGGTGAGCCGCAATGCTACGGCCATCTTTACAGAGGGCAAGCTGACTCCTCCTCCTCCTCCTCCTCGTCATCGTCACACAGGATCGTTCACATTTCTCGCCTCCCCGCCTCGTCCAACTCTCACCTCACTCAATTCGCAGACCCAACAATCTTCGCCGACCTCCTTACAGCCTTGCGCCAATCGGTCACGACGACATTCGATCTTTCCATCAAGGCCCAACGCGAGGAAGCGGTCAAGCTCAAGTCCCTCCGCAGCGTACGCGGCTGGAACCCTGTCAGCGTCTTCGGCAAAATCGAGTGTCTGGCAAACACGTACGAGTCCATCGGCCTGCACGACGAGGCGCTGCGCTGTTTCGAGGAGCTCGACGATCTCTACGAGGACTGCCTTAGGGAAGGAGAGCTTACCTGGTTCCCGTCCATCACCCCGACGTCCCTCAGCGAAGGTGAAGACTCTACCTCCGTCCTCTCACCGACGGGCAAGCCCTACAGAGAGATGATTCTGCACAGCTCTGCCAGTCTTTGGGAGCTCAAGAAGTATCTCCTGGCTCGCCGACTCATGCTACTCAGCAAGATGGGGCGCGGCCTTGCTGTCATGCGCGAGGCAATGGCTTGGCTAGCTGAGATGCGCAGCATGGTTGCCGGGCAAGATCTGCCCCCACACTGCTTGGCTGCTTTCGCCATCTCCGTCTGCCTGGATATCGTGCATCACTGCCAGCACCTCTTTCTCTCCCCCTCGGGCGTGCTGACGCATAGCTTGCCGGCTGCTACGTTCGATGATACGATCAAGGCACGGACGACGGAGCTGGATAGGCTTCCGGCCAGTTTCCACTCGCTCAGCGGAGATGTCCTTGCTGTGGCTTTGGATCAGGTGCAGAAAATGGGCGTCGGCTTTCAATATCTGCCTGCGGCTGAGCCTTTCATCACCGCTCAGGACGAGGTGGTGAAGACGCGCGAGACTACCGGCGTGACACGGCCTGAGCTTCTCAAAGCGGTCGAAGACGAGGAGAGCTTCGATACCTTCTACACAGCTCTAGCCGAACGCGCGCTCGATGCATTCGCCCGCGGGGGTCGTAACAAGGGCAGACGCCGTCTCCAGATCTCCCTCGCTACCCTGGATCTTCACCGCAATCGCGTCGAAAAGGCGCACAGCTCCTTCAGCACTCTTCTCGAAAGCTTCTCAGAGCGTACAACGGCCACTTGGCCCAGCATTGAGCGCCTCCTCCTGCGTCGCCAGCTGGAGTGCCATGCGAAGCTTGGCAAGCCAAAGAATCGCGCCTGGGTGGCAAGCGTTGTGCAGCTGTTGCGCTGTATGCCTTCTTACGGCAGGGACGGGATCATGGCAGCAGGACAGGATCGCGGCCACGAGGAGGATGAATGGGCAGATGAAGCTACGCTCTTCAGCAAGCTCCGCTCAGCCTCAATGGACTTCGAGAAGGAGGTGCCCGTCTCCGGCTTCTCCAAGCTAAGCCTGATTGCACCAGCATCGTCACGCGCAACACTCTTGGATGAGGAGGACGGGGTTCAACTGCCCATCACGATCTTCTCATCACTCCTCACTGACCTGCAAGTGGACGACGCCCGCTTTTGCCTCGCAGGTGGAGGACAGAAGTATCAGAGGGAACAGTACTGGCTTACCAGTGGAGGTATCACGCTCAAGCCCGGCCGCAACGAGGTAATTCTGCGGAGCAGCTCCAGTGCCCCTGGCAATTTTGTGCTCGATGTCAGTCAGATTAGGCTGGGCCGCATCGTCTTCCAGTACGTGGCACCCAAATCTGCCCCACCACCTAGTAGCAGCAGCAGTATGGCCGCTGCTACTGCCTTGACGCCCACGCTCGTGAAGATCCCGCACGATGGCGAGGCCCTTGATGCGGTGTTGGAGCAGCCGAGCGTGATTGCACTGGATCAGCCTCGTAATGCCCACTTGGTCGTGCGCAGTGGCAGAAATAAGGTGACGAAGGCTACCCTGCGCGTGAAGCACATTGCTGATGCGAGACCGCTCATGGGCTTTGCAGCGGGTGAGGCCGACAGCGGATCTGCAGCTCGCGTCGAGCCAACAGAAGATGAGCTTGGCCTGGAGCTGAGCAACGTCGAGCCGTGGACGGAGACGACAATCGTCTTCCCGCTGGACGAAGCCCCTCCGGCAGACGGGTCCGCTATGCCTCTCCTCATCGACATCGAGTACCACACTCCGTCCAGCAAGGCCTCTAACTCAGCAGCGACAACCAAACGTCTCTTCCGCAAAAGAGCCGACCTGCATACCGCCCTCCCGCTGGGCGTAAATGTTCAAGACTTCTTCCGGCTGGACTGCTTGATGTGCAAGTTCTCAATCAGTACAGGAGGAGGGTCCACGCTGAAGGTCAAGAGGGCGGATCTTGTGCAGCAGAGCCAACATGACGGTGCAGAGGTGGGAGCTGAGGAGAGCGAATACTCAATTGCTGGTCCGCCGCAGCTTGCGGAGGTGAAGAGAAGGGGAGCAAGCGTGGTCGTCACGCCCAGACAGCCTGTAGCGTATGTCTTCAAGATCTCGCGACGACCGGCGAAAAAGACATCGAAGGGTCACGTGACCTCGAGCGGCGCACCATCAACGTCTCTTCGCCTCTCGATCGTGTATCGTACCCTACACGAAGATGCCAAGGTGCAAGTCGTCCGAATACTGGACAAGCGGCTGGCATCGGAGTCGTCTATCTCACGAGGCACCTCGACCCTATTGTCTCGCTCTCTGGCCGACTTCGTAGATGAGCAGCTGGACACGGCGGCTTACGCGGCTACAGGGTCGATTCGCTTCTACTCCCCCGACGGTGGCACCCATACTCGGGAGTCTGTCCTTGCGCACTGGCGCACAAGCGTTCTCTCCCGACAATGGGCCCTCTCGCCCACCTCAACTGAGGGCAAGATGACTCTTGACGTTCTGCGGGATGTGCTCACCTCTGCGGCACGATGTGGTCCTTTGCCCACCAGTGAGGCTCCAGAGGCGGCGTGGCGCACCCTCGAAATCCCGGTCGAAGTCCCGCAGATGGACATCGTCAACTCTGTGCGTGTCCTTCCTGCCACTCCTACGCCGGTTGTGGTGGGCCACCCACTTCCCGTCGATGTACACATCACGAGTACGCTGCATTGGGGATCGAGGCGTGGCGCTAGCGGCGCTGCACCTGTTGATGACGCTGCCTCTTCTTCTTCGCTCGCGCTTCCAGGCGGTAGCAGACGACGCTCCTCCACGCCTTCGTCTCCCGTCACCGCCGGCGGGGGCGAAGCGGACACGGATGCGGGGTCCGTATTCGAGGACGCGGTCTCTGCTGCTGATGGCGGTGGGTCGGACAAGACTGAGAAGGAGGACAAGCATCCTGCCTCTCGAGACACTACCGACTCGAAGGCAGCCGTGGCCGGTGCAGAGGACAAGGCCAATCAGCAGCGCATGCACTACGAGATCCAAGCAGACTTCGACTCCTGGATCGTCTCTGGTCCTCGAAGGGGAGTCTTCCACCTCTCCCTCTCACCGCCTAACCCAAACACCACAAAGAAGACCATCGCATATACTTCCCTCATCCCACTCCGGTCGGGATCCCTTTCCCTCCCCTCGGTAGCCGTTTGGCCCCTCCGAGCAGCACCTCTTGACATGCCGCCGAGCTTGGCACATGGCGGTGGGCGACGCGATGACGGGAGAGACGAGGGTCAAGGAGCTCTGCCTACTTGCGAGACTTATGTCGAGAACGTGGCGGAGAGAGTTCGAATTGTCGACGCTGAGCCGAGCGAGGGCGAAGGGGATGAGGTGGAATGGGATGCAGGGAGTCAGGTTGAGCAGACTGGAGAAAGCTTCATGGCAAAGAGGGAGAGGCGGAGGGTCAGCAGGCGTGAGACGTTCTGTATTGATGCGACCGCATTGACGGCGGCGTGAGGCGATCGAATTCAGCGGTGCGCTGGATATGCAATGGACACCCGCTTCTTCATCGTCATTGCTCGCGTAAAGAACTCGAGTTTCTGAATGTGCCGATGTCATTCAAAGAAGAGGCCACTGCTCGATTGACGGGTTACAGAGGTATCGTCTCCGCCAGATCAATGACCGCCTCCACGCCTCTTGGCGCTCTTTTTGACGACCTGCTGGAACCCGCCGCCTCCGCCACCAGCACTGCCAACCACAGCACCACTGCTCGCAGCTGGCTTCGCGGCCACTGGCTTGCTAGCAACTGTCGTCCCATTGACAATCGCCGAAGGTGCCGAGGCCGTGGCCGCGGCCGCCGCGCCCCTATTCCTCCTGCTGCTGCCTTCTTGCACCCCGGCGTCCATCTTCCTCTTCGCAACAAAGTCATTGGCCAACCTCCTCCCGTCCAAGGTAGACGAGTTGGCATAGATGCTCTCCGCGATGATCTCCACCACGTCCGGCGTCGGGTCGAGAGGGAAGCTGAGCAACATCTCGATGAAGTCGTCAACTTTCACGTTCGAGGTGAGAGCGCGCAGTTGGTCTTTGCAATACTTGAGAAACTCAGGGGAGGGGCTGTTGGGATCGCGGGCAGTCGAGGTAGGAGCAGAAGCTACAGCAGCCCCGCCACCTGGGGTGATAGAGGTCGTCGCAGGAAGGGAGGTCACCTTGCCCGCAGAGGGAGTCGTGATCGCTGCAGGGCGAGCGCGAGCTGCAATTGAGGAGGCGGGCGCGGCGCCGCTGGCAACAGATTTGACCCCGCCATTGACTGCCGTACTCCATGGAGAGCCGCTGCTCGAGGCCGTACGAGGCTGCGCAGCCGGCCGAGGAACGGCAGACGAAGCCTTCGGGCTGACCTTGGCAGCCGCCGTGGCTGCGGTCGGCGTGGGAGTAGAAGCCTTGCCTCCTGCACCCACGACGCTCCAACCGGGAGCGGGTGCAGCAGCCGGAAGAGGCGCAGCGCTGGTACCGGCACTGCTATTCTGCCTGGAGAGGGACTCTGCAAAGGCCTTGGAAGCCGCTGCGGCCTGCTTGCGCTGCAGTGCTAGAGCTTGCTTGCGCTCCTCCTCTTGAATCTCCATGAGTGTCTTCTTTGCACCCGCCTTGCCAGCGCTGGGCGTCGCGATCGTCCATACACCTCCGGCGAGCTGAGCTGCTGTAGCGGGCGAAGCGGGACCGCCGTCGGCACCGGAGACATTAATGTTAGACTGCGCAGGCTTGTTGACTGACGAAGGGATGCTGGCCAGGCCCCACGACATTGTGGTGGGAGGGGCGGCGTCGGTGTTGCTGTTGGAGCGGGCGGCTGCTCGACGCTGCTGGGCCGCGGATCGCTCGACGGCGCGCTTAGCTTCGGCTTGCTTTGCCTCAGCCTCCTGAATCTCGCGAAGGCTCATGGCCGCATTGGTAGGGGCGCTGCCTTCTTCATTGTTGGTTTGCGCCCAAGGAGCAGCCTTGGAAGCAGTGGACGACGCAGGGCTGTTGTTGCCGAGGAGGCTGCTAAGGGGCGTCTGGACAGAAGTCGACTCTGCAGCCGTACCCTTGCGGAACTGATCTGCGCCTACGACCTTGACATTGCCTCCTGCCGCTGAGGGGGCAGAAACGTTGCCGGGCTTGCCAGGGATGGAGATAGCCGCTTTGCCTCGCACCCCCTTCTTGTCGCTCGCGACTCGTCCGCTGGCAGTAGTGGCGGCCTCTGCAGCATCGCGGGTCGACCCAAAGTCGGGCTCGGAGGCGAACTCCACGGCAGAAGGGGATTGAGGCCACTCGTGCTCCGGCGCAGGGTCTTCCGCAGGAGGCGGCGTGGCTGGGCGAGAGGGCTCCTCTTCGACCTGAGCGGGTTCGTCTCGCACCTCCTGGACTTCCTCCACAGGCGCATCCTCAACAGCAGCTGGGTTCGAGCTCTCGTACTGAGCTGCGGCTTGATCGAGCGCATGTTGCTGCTCAGCGGGAGCTGGAGCGGGGGAGCGAGCGCGCACAGGCGTTCCAATGGCGCCAACATTGGCCTCTGGCTGGTAGACTTGCTGCTGGTGTTGCTTCTGATCAGGTGCTTCGCCCCAAGGTGCAGAAGTCGGCGTGTTGTCATTGACCATGCCGGTGGGAAACGCCGACGTGGACCATGGAGAGGACTGCTGGTGAGAGGAAGAATTCACCTGGTCCACAGCCTGCTGAGACTGCTGCCAGAGCTGAGGCTGGCGGTTCCAGCCATCCAGCGCAGCGTAATGGCCGTCGAAGGGTCCCATCTGAGGGTGCTGCTGTTGCTGTTGCTGCTGATGATGATGTTCAAATTCGCGCTGCCTCATAGCATTGATGTAGTCCTCTTGCTGCCGCAGTCGTGCGTCGAGACCCACGTGCTCGCCTGCCCCGGGGGTGCCCATGCCAGGCTGAGAGAGGAACGGCGACTGAGGAAGACCGCCAAAGGCGCCGAAGGGAGAGCCAAATGCTTGAGAAGGAGCAAAGCCGGCCCTACCGAGCGAATTGTCGAGCCAACCTGGACCAGGGACAGCACCTGCTTTTCCGTTCCAGCCGAGGTCTGCGCCGGGCATCTGACCGCCGTTCAGGTTGAACATCGAGTCTTGAGGGCCATTGCTGGGAGCAAGAGGTGGCTCATCGGCTGGTCGACGCATTGAGGGAGGCGGTGCAAGGAAAAAGCGCGGATTGTTGCCAGCAGCAGCGAAGTAGATGGCGAGAGGGTGGAAGTCGGCCTCTTCTTGAGGTCGGATGAGCAAGTCTTGAGCGAAGTATTCTTGCTCATACCAGCTTTGCATCGTAGGCGCTGGGAAGGGGCCTTGGACCTGCCCGCTTGGGTCACGATACAGCCATTGCTGAGCATCGGCCGACCAAGGAGAAGCGGCGGGCGCGCCGCTGCCATTCATGTCCAACCCGGCGAAGTTTTGTTCAAGTGTTTGCGTGGGCTGTGCGTCGTGGTGATCGTTGACAGTCTCGCCACTCGGATCAGCATGACTGTCGTCGTCCGGAGCTTGGTTCTCGGGTGGCGTTGCTCGAGTTGCTGACCCAGATCTCCACGTGTCCGCGTTGGATCCTCCAGTGCGTTCGCGCTGCGGGAAGTGAAAGCAGGATCTGGCAGTCAGCAAAGAGCAGGTGACTGCACGTGGACTGCGACTCGCGCTCACCTTGCGGTCGTAGCCAGCAAACTTGGCAAAGCCAGCTGCATTCTCAACTGCTCCTGTCCCGGGATTTTCGCTCGGACCGCGCTCTCTGCGCCTGCCGCCCGTCCAGGCCTTGTCGCTGCCCGTATCCTGCTGCGGTATGGACATGTTGTCGAGCGACGGCTTTGACCTTCCCATTCGAGCAGCAGAAGCGAATGCCTCGCTGCCTCCAGATGAAAGCTGGGATCCACCGCTGCGCTTGTCCCACAAAGGGGGTTCGCCGTCCTGCTGCTCGCCATGAGCGGTGTTGGTGGCGGAGGGATGCTTGAGAAGTCGCGAAGAGCCCTCGCTCTCCTTCCTCCTGCGCTGCTGCTCTGGAGGCGCGACGCCTGATAAAACTCCTCCTTGAATGCCGCTAAACCTCTCCCGCTGCACGCCTGTACCGCCGAGTGAGCCGCCGCTGCTTGCCCTCTGAAACAGACCTGGCCTCTCACGATCACTGGAAGCCGTGGTGCCACGAGCATTGAGGCCTCGTGGCTCCGAGGGGAGCGTTGGCGAAAGGGGCTCAGTCGAGCCCAATCGCTTGAGTCCATCGCGCTCGCCAGATGCCTACGAACGAAGGATAGGCGAAGGAAAGAGAGGAGGGAATGAGGGTCAGCGAAATGTTCACTCTCGCGTGGGACTCCTCAGATTAGACTGACCTTCTTGCGAGACTGAGACCCGTGAGCGGTGTCACTGCCATTGGCCGCGACTGCCGACGGGGAGGCCGCGTCGGCAGACATTGGCTGACCCTCGGTGCTGGGACTGAGGCTTCCCTTTGAGCTGTACAAGCTCAATGACTGATCGCGAGCGTAGCGTAGCGCAGCGTCGCGGTCAAGCGCTGCTGAGCCTCCCCCGGGGACTGCGGCCGAGAAGGAATGGCTAGGCGAATGGCCGGAATTGGACGAAGCCCCTCGGTCCATGCCTCCTGCCGCTGCCGCTGCAAAGGAGAACGTGCCAGGTGAAGGTGCTGTAGTCGGAGTGAGCACAGGAGTAGGCCCTCCAGGACTCATGGTACCCAGACTGGGATGCCTCTTTGCCTGAGGGGCAGAGGCGTTGCTAGCCGGCTGGTGTTGGTTCTGATGCTGAGTTGCAGCGCTGTTGCCCTGCTGCTGCTTTGTGTGAGCGGGCTTGCGCATCCACTCTGGGCCGAATTGAAGGGATGATGAGGTCATGATGTCGGTCGAAATCGGTGATGAAGGTTTGCGAGTGGAGTCTGTATGCTGGAGCTGAGCGATTAGTCGTTGGTTGCTGAGGGGGTTGGTGGTGTTGGTGTTGGTGGTGGCGGCGTCGAGGAAGGCTGAAATCGTTTGTTGTCAATGATGATTCTGATGATGATGGAGACGGCGGCGACGGCGATGTAGATCGAGCGGCGACGACGATGGTGATGATTGGAGAGAGAGAGAGCAGCAAAGCCCTCTTGACCGCCTCTTGCTTGGATTCTCGTCCTTGTCCTTCGAACGAGTCGCAGGCGAGCCGCGCGCGAGTCCGACTGGAGCAAGAAAATCGACTGGCTCACCCGCGACTCCACCCAAGACGTCCGTCCAGTCTACATAGCTCACGCGACGGGCAGCACAGCAAGGCAGCGAGCAGTCGAAGACGCATTCAACGAAGGCTCCAGACGAGCACTGACAGGCTGCGAAGAAGGATGACACGCACGACGTGTTGATCAAGCGCCACAGCGATGAACATTGGTAGCTTGCGGGGGCAGCCGTGGTGCCAGTTGAAGGAGAGCGGCCACGAGAGTCTCATCGGACCGGGACGCTGTGCTGTGCTTCTTGACGCCGTCGGACTGAGAGTCGAGGCGACGCGACTGCGCCTCAACTTTCCCACCACGCTGACCATCGACCCTCATCAGTACCGCAATGGCGGCTACTTCGACGGCGTCAACAGCCATGGCGACGGCCGGTAGCTCACTTTCGGCGTCTTCGTCGAATCTTGTCCCATTTGAGAAGCTACCACCGCCCTTCACCGAGGCATCCAGCTCAGCATCATCCTCGTCGTCTCTCCTCACGCAACCTACATCGGTTAGCAAGCTCACAACAACGGATCGCCTCCTCCTCGCTCAGATCGTCAACCACCTTGCTGAGACGCCACCGAACTGGCCGAATGTTTCTCAGATGATGACCAACCACCCGCTCATCAAGACGCCAGCACGAGTCAAGGCGGCCGCGGATGCAGGCTTCACGCTCGGACGCCTCTTTGGCAGTCGCGAGTGCGAGAGGTCATGGGTCCAATTGATGAGGCAGTACAAGCTGGTCGTCGACGACGAGGATGGACAGAACGATGGAGCAGACGGTTCGAATGCAGCCAGTTCCTCAGCCTCAGCTTCGGCGGCCATGAAGCAGCGCCCTAAGGAGGCAAAGGGTGCCGTCCCTCGTACCGACCGCAAGAGTCAGCTCGCTCTTGCTCAGATACTCTACGCAGAGAGAATGGAAGAGCTCAAGGAAGGTCTCAAGAAGAAGGAGGAACAGTTCTTGCAGGTCATCAAGAATATCGACGACTATAAGAGTGGCAAGATGGATGCAGAGCTGCAGAAGGAGATCGATAGCGGTAAGGCGACGTTGAGGGCGCCGAGCAAGACGAAGGAGGGTCCCAAGGAAACAGTCGCCTCTGCACCTACGGGAAATGGTGAAGAGACAAAAGAGAAGGCCAAAGACGAGTCGCTCGAAGAGAAGGAAGATGCTGCTGCGGCGAGCGGCGAAACCAACGAAGAGGCATCGACGTCCAAGGCCGCCGAAGCGCCACCCATTTCACCGACGGCAACGCGTACGACGCGAGGACCAGCAGCGGCGAGCTCTTCCAGGCCAACAAGAGGTCGAAGCGCGGCCGCTCACGCCGAAGCCAACGCCGACGACAGCATGGACGTCGATGGCGTCGAGGAGGTGCTGGGCAAGGGCCAAAGGAAGGGACAGGTCGAGGAGCAGCGCAACTCCGAGGCCGCCGAGAAGGACGATAATGCCGAGCAAGCAGACAGTGGGGACAAAGCTGCAGCTGAGGATGACGAGGCAGTCGAAGCCGGCAAAGCGAGTGTTGACAAGGAATCTCAGCCTGCCGCATCGCGCGCCTCAACTCCAGCACCAGCCAGCAAAGAAGCCAAAGCCTCTCCACGAGCCAGCCCGCGTTCCAGCCCCGCCACTGGGCGAAGGAGCAAGCGCAAGAGGGAGGAGTCTCCGGCGAAAGAGGGCAGGGAAACCACGCCGCAGACTGGTGAGCCAGCGGAAGCAGAGCGACCGGCCACGACGAAGAGGACCCGCTCATCGACTATCACTTCAGCGTCGCGCGGCGAAGGCGACGAGCAACCGCCAACGCCTACAGCCGCCACGCCTGCAGCCAGTAAGAGGGCTGCCGCTGCCGCAGCTTCTTCTCCTGCTGCCTCCGGTAGTGGCTCGAAATCGACCCCTGTACCGCGTCGCGGCGGCCGCAGGGGAGCAGCAAAAGAGGAGGAGGAGGTAGGTGCAGAGGATGAGGCTATCAAGGACAAGGACGCAGCTCCCACATCACCAGCCCTGTCCGCCTCCTCATCTTCCCGACCAAAGGCGGCGCCCCGTCGCAGCACTCGAGGAGGGACACGAGCCAGCTCAGCCTACTCACGCGAGGCATCCACCCTGGATGAAGACGGCGACGTTCCCGCTCAAGAGCAGGAAGAAGAAGAAGAAGAGGAGACTCCTGCCCGTCCCTCCTCCTCCCGTCGAGCGAGCACGGTCGCTCAGCCGCCGGTCAAAGGAGGTCGTCGTGGCTCCACGACCGCTATACCCGGCTCTAAACCAGTAGATCCGGCAAAGAGACGTCTTCTGAACTCCATCTTTACGCAAGTCTCCTCGCACCCACACGCGTCACTCTTTGAAAAGGAGCCCACGGACCGTGAGGCTCCCGACTATCGTTCCCTTATCCGCCAGCCCACATCCCTCCGTGCGATCAAGATGGCCATCCGCGATGGTGAGGTCAGGACTGTGGTGGGTCTGAGAGCGAGACTGGAAAAGTTGTTCGCAAATGCGAGCATGTACAATCCCAAGGGGAGCGATGTTGCTAAGATGGCGACTAGTATGCGGAAAGATGTCGAGCAGATGTTGAGGGAGTGGGATGAGGATGTAGATTTGAGGGATGGGCTTGGTGGCTCGGGGGGTCGCGCGGGTGAGGAGGAGGAGAAGGATGATGAAGAGGGGGATCACGATGAGCAGGAGGAAGACAAGCCTGCCTCGAAGGGATCGGAGAAGGGCAGCAAGCCAAACGCTACCACTAGGAGGAGGAGTGCCATGGGAGCCAGTGGCGGTGCTGGAGCGAGCCGCTCCTCTCGCTCGAGGGGATAAAGCAGTTTGCCTGGCCCAGGCGCAAGATGGCTGGCACGGCGTCAATCATACCTTCATAACTAGGAACCGCAGTGTGAGGGCATCGCAGTGAAGAGTGAATGGTATTGTACAGGGAAATGCAGGCACCCGGAAGAACGAATGATGAAAGGGGTAAAGTAAAGACACAGCAGAGGCGAGGACCGTCATCGCTCTACATCACGTCGTCGTCGTCGTCGGTTTGGTCTCCGTCGACTGATTTCTTGAATGATTCGAGAACAAGCTGCTGACCACACCACCGCTATCATCCTTCGCCCTGGTCGCGCTACTATTGCTCGAGGGCGAGGAAGTGCCATCGTTGCCATGATGCAGCAGATGACTGAGCGAGCTCGACGAGGAGTGAGCAACGCGTGCCTTGGGCTTCGTCAGAGGGAGCTCGCTGTCCTCTGCCTTGGATACGAGTGCATGGTAGCTCCGTCGCTTGGGGTCGGCCTGACGCTCCCGTAGGTGCTTGGCTACCTTTGCTTCTGGGCGGACGACCACAACTGGCGGGATAAGTACGATACGCTGGTCAGCTCGAAGCCCTGCGTATCAAACCTGTTGAATCCTCAGCAACTCACCAGGCACCGGCGACCTAAGGAGAATATCTCTGCTCGACCCTCCGATCATGGCCCCGCCCATCAGCTTCTGCAGCGCATTATGCGTCCTCCCCCTCGTCCCGATGGTCAAGCTGTCCGGCCTGTACATGTGTATCAATCGCACAATGGTGCTTGTGACCCTTCCCGCCAGAAATTCGACAACAATACTGATCTTCCTATCCCTAACCTCCTCATTGAGCGTCAAAATGGCCGACATGAGTTCCCTCGCTGCATCGCGCGCTTGCTCCTGATCGATCTCATCCGGATCCCCTTCAAGTACAGTGACGGTGACAATCTCGTCGTTGTCCTCTAGGAGGGACTCCATGAGCCACTCGAGGGCGCGTTCGCTGTACGAGTTGCGGTCCACAGCACACATGAATGTGCGTGTGTTGCGGGTTCGCTGGTATCCGTGAGATTTGACTTGAAGGGTGAAGCCAAATGTGCCTGAAGCCGTCTCGTCTGCGTCTATCATTGAGTCGAAACCCTGCGTGAAGATTCGAGTGAGCATCGCGAGACCGAGGGTCGATGTCGTGTGCCGAGTACTCACCACTCTGCGTTCATAGCCTGGCTTGATATCTGCGCTCAAGCCTCCGGAGCTTGAGGTGCGACTCTTGGACAATGCTGGCCCTGTGCCGGGATTACCACCGTAGTTGGGCTGGCTTTTATGCTTGAGGATACCATGAGGATGAGCAGAGTCATCTAGTGCCGCTGGTGAAGGAGCAGGTGAAGGCGTTGCCCCCTGGCTCCCTAGAATGCTCAACGAATCATCGCTGACCCTTCGCAGCGAGGAAGGTCTCGACGCAGGGTGAATGGAGCGGAATGGGTCGCTATGGTGACCCTGTCCATCTACACCATCTGAGCTGCTGTTGGCAACGGGCACATGCTCGGGATGATTGCCCGAGCTGAAGTGTATGCTGCTCGTATCTGGCGTACCGGGGCGTGAGGACGAGGGAGGGAAGAGGGCAGAGGACTTGAGGATTGAGGGGAGCGGGTGCTTGTGCTCTGTAGGTGAAGATGTCGAAGCATTGTCGCTTGCTGGTGCTGATGTTGTTGTGGTTGTTCGTTCTTCTTCCATGCTTGCGCGATGGACAAATGAAAGCAAGGTTGAAGGAGTCAAGATTGAGAAGCGGAGAAGCGTGAGCGTGTGCGGGGTCGCCAGACAGGGCCGCACTCGTGAGAAAGCCGCCGAGGCCCGCCCTGACGCTCAGGCCAGAAGCACGGCGGCTCAAAAGTGAACCCCACGGCCTCGCGTCCGAGTCATTCACTTCTTCCTGTCACACATATCTCGCAATGGCCTCAACATCAACGTCCTCATCGGCGGAGAACATCGCTCGCAGAGCAAAGACGGCCTTCCAAGAGGCACAGAAGCGACTTCCTGGGGGAAAAGAGGCCGATGCTGCACGAGCTAGGGCACTCGAGAAGATCCGGGCGGCCCTTGAGGAGGCAAAGGATGAGATCAAGCAGGCAAACGAGAAGGACATGGAGGTGAGAGCCAGGATCACTGACTATATGCTGCCCAAATCGAGTGCTGATCAGCTCTGCTTCACCCCACCCTCAAGGCCGCAAACGTCCTCGTCCAACAAGGCAAGCTATCCACCTCCCTCGTCTCCCGTCTCGACCTCTTCTCCAAGCCAGGCAAGTGGGCTTCCATGCTTCAAGGTGTCAGCGAAGTAGCCGCTCTCCCCACACCACTCGATGTCTGCACCTATGCCAAGCGCCTGGCCGACTCTGATGCTAGCAGGGGCGCGCTGGACCTGTACCGCGTCACCTGCCCCATCGGCGTGTTGCTTTGCATCTTTGAGGCTAGGCCAGAGGTCATCATCAATATTGCTAGCTTGGCAATCAAGTCTGGCAACGCGGCGATCTTGAAGGGAGGTAAAGAGAGCAAAATGACTGCAGCGGTCATGAGTAGGGTCGTTGCGCAGGCGCTTGCGCAGACCGAGCTCCCTGCCGACGTTATCCAGACAGTGGAGACTAGGGAGGATGTCGCGGATCTGCTGCATCAGGATCGGTGAGTGCGGGCCACATAGGGCCAGCTTGAGTATTGACCGGAGGCTAATTGTCGTCCTATATTCTGTCACCGCTCAGCTACATCGACCTCGTGATCCCACGAGGCAGTAACGAGCTGGTGCGAAGCATTCAGCGCGAAGCCCGAATGCCCGTGATGGGCCACGCCGATGGGCTGTGTCTCATCTACGTGCACGAAGACGCAGACACTACCGCAGCCGTGGGAAGCATCGTCGACGCGAAAATCGACTATACTGCCGCATGCAATGCAGTGGAGACGCTCTTGCTCAACGAGAAGCTGGTTGAGGGAAAGGGCAAGGATGCTCAGCTTTGGCCAAAATTGGCCGAGGCGCTGCTGAGGAAGAAGGTGACGTTGCATTGCGATCAGAAGAGCAAGGCGGCACTCGAGGCGGCAGGGCTGGACCGCGAGCTGGCGTCGAGCATCGTGGACGTCAAGGAGGAGGACTATGACACCGAGTTCCTTGACCTGGACCTCGCAGTCAAGGTAGTCCCTGGCATCGATGAGGCCATTGACCACATCAACGCGCATGGTGAGTACCATCCATGTCATGAGGAAAGGGCCACGCTGACATGTCTTGCGCCTCTCCTCGCCAGGCTCAAACCATACCGACGCCATCTTCACTACCTCCTCCTCAGCCTCGGACCGCTTCACTCGCTCCCTCAGCAGCGCAAACGTCTTCGTCAACTGCTCGACGCGCTTCGCCGATGGTTTCAGGTATGGCTTCGGCACGGAGGTGGGCATCTCCACTGGTCGCATACACGCGAGAGGCCCCGTGGGCTTGGAGGGGCTGGTGACGTACAAGTACCTGGCAAAGGCGGGCAAAGAAGGCGGGGTACAGGCGGCAGGGGCTTTCAATGGGGATGGGGCGAGGGAGTGGAGTCACAGGGAATTGGAGAAGGGCTACCCTATCTTCTGAGGGGAGGGCGAGGAGCGATGAAGAAGTGTGGACGACATAGACGAATTGGATTGCTGTCCATTCGAGTTGAAAGAAGCAGAGTATGCTGATGATGCTGAATGAACATTCACAACGACCCAGGGCACTCACTTGCCGCCCATACCGTATCCACCCTGCTGCTGTTGCTGCTGCTGGTAATGCGAAGGCAAGATAGGCGAAGGCCCGCCTCGACGACGGAACGCAGCAGCGTCGTGCATACCCGTGGGGCTCTCTGTCCTCGCCGGCGTGTTCGCCCCGCCAGTCATAGCCCCGAATCCACCAGGCGTGACCATCCCGCTCACCTCACCACCGATAGGCTGATCCGTCTGCTTGCTGTCCATGAGCTTGTACTCTGGTGGGCCGCTCCCCTCAACCCCATCCCCGTAGGTCCCCGACGACTTATTGCTAGGCTTCTCCGGCGCAGGCGGCGGCTCAACGGCAGCCCACCTCTGCACTTCAGGCGCGGCATTCGGGTCTCCACTAGGTCCAAAGATGTCAAGCTCAGCCATGAACCCTCGAAGGGCGCAGACCCACCTGTTCCTCCTCCTAGCCTTCAGCCCGGCATCTTGCCAATTACTCTTGTACCTGATTCCGGTCGAGACTTGTAGCTTGCTCTGATCTCCCAGTGAGCTGATAGAGATGTTGAGCCCAGGACGGAAGTCCCGCCCTTCCGTCTCTAGCCAGTGAACCATCCGCGTGCGCAAGGCCTCGAGTTGGGTGAAGGTGGTGCTGTACGCCAGGTCGAGCTTGAACGGCTCCTCGATCGGGCCAGAGCGACGATGGTTCGTGATAGGCTTTTGGGAGAGTTGAGCGTTGGACACCTGCACGAACTTGCCCTCCGAGGAGCGAAAGACCGTAGATAGCAAGCCGAGCTCCACGACCTCGAAGTGACCATCAGCGCCCGCCTCGCCCATGCCGGGGATATCTACTCGATCTCCAGTGTCGTATGGATGCTTGCCAATTAAAAAGATGACGGCAGAGAAGGACTCTGCTGCGGAGGCGGAGAAGAGCCAGGAGAGACCGAGTACCACGGAGCCAAGGGAGGTGACGAGCGTCGAGAACTTGGTGCTCAGCATGGCCGCGATGATTACCGCTGCTATGAGGATGTAGACGCTCATGAACAAGTTATCCAGACTGCTGACCGCAGAGTCTACGTCGTGCATCGAATTGACCAGGCCCATTCTGTCTCTCATGATCTCGAGACAGCTGGCCTCGAGCTCCTCACGCGTCAAGCTGCCATTCGAATCCTTGTCAAAAATGCTGAACGCTGCCTGCGCTGTGCTGCCGTCTGGGAAGATGTGACGGAGAGCGTTGAGTGTGATGACGAGGGCGCCCTTCGGATCTTCCTGATCGCGCTCAGAGAAGGAGTAGAAGATACGGCGTGCCAGCTTACGCGTCTCTTTTGCCGACTCGAGGGCGGAAAGGACGATGTAGCGCGGATTGTTAAGGGAGAGGACTGACTTCTGCTCCTTGAGCTCCATGGCCACATTGCCCAATACAGTGCCAGTGTTCTGTGTAGCATTTCTGAACCGCCTCCCCACGCCTGCGGTGCCCTTCAATCGAGAGGCCGACGCGAAGGGAATGAGGGACAGGCGGGGCGTCTTGGACTTCTTGCCGCCTTCTGCCTCGAGCACCGTGTCCCTTCGTGAAAGCGATGCTGACGAGTTCTGAAAGAGAGTGGACAGTACAGCCACTTGGAACTTCGAGGCGGCGAGGCGATCGGAATACGTCGCTTGGTGGAAAGAATATGCGACGCTTTGAATGGCCATCTTCTCAACCAAAAGCAGTGCTGTGCAGAGGACGAGACCGAACCAAAAGCGCGAGATTGTCACGAAGAGTTCCGACGTCGATGCGGTGCCGTTGGAATTGGACGCCGAAGTGTTCGTACTACCCGTCGCCGTCGTAGTGCCGTTGGATGCCAGTGGATTGACCTCCGTAGACCCGACCGTGTACTTGGTGGGCGACTGGTAGTGGTCCCAGATGATGGTGAGCCAGAGTACCCAAACAGCGACCGTCGAAAGGAAGAGCGCAACGTAGACTTCGCAAGCAATGAAATAGTCGAGGAGCTTGCGAACTCCTAATTCGGTGGCTACGGCTACGGAGCCTAGCATCTTTTGAAGCAGGCGCGGCCCCAGTCCGGAGAAGGCACGACAGATCCACCAAGACATCCATGCTCCACTGAGGAACACACTCCACCAGAAGATGCCTGTGTCGAAGACCTTTGGGTTGGCAAAGTTGTTCGCGGGCCTTGCGTTGTACGAGACCAAGGCAATGATACCCGGGACCCAAAGCACGGCGAGTACGGGAACGATGAAGATGAACCATGATAGAATACGAGAGCCATGCATCACTGAGCGTAGCCAGGAGAGAGGACCCTTGACTTGTCGTTCTGAGCCCACACCCGACGCCTGACCAGAGCCTCCGTCCTTGCTTGGATCGTAAATGTAGCCAGCCTCTTTCATGAGCTTGCCCCAGTCGTGGGAGTTGCGGCGAGAGCGTGGCGGTTGGGCTGCTGTAGCTTGACGATGATGCTGGTTGCGCGAGGGAGCTGGTGGGTAGGCATCGCGACTGCGACTTCGGCCTCGACGCTCAGCTCCAGCTGGCGAGGGGGAGCCGGATCGAGACTCGGGACGAAAGGCGCCTGGCCCGCCGTAGGGCGCCATCGGTCGCCCTCTTGCCTGCGGTGGTTGCTGTTGCGATTCGTAGCTTCCAGATCCCTGATGGGGCGAGTGACGTGGACCGAATGGCCCTGAGGTGTAGAGATGGTCCGCCTCGTGGGAGTAGGGCTCCTTCGTGTAAGGGTCGTTGTAGGCCGCTGCTGCAGAGGTAGCGTGCGTCTTGTCCCAATCTCGACGTGGGGCAGTCTCGACTGGTGGCGTGTCAAGGGGAATGTTGTTGCCGTGCAGCGTACCCTGATCCCACGAGTTGATACTCGCGCCACGGCGGAGGTCCATGTTGGTGTTGCTTTTGCTGTTGCTGTTGGTGTTAGAGATCGGGGGCTGAGGATGAGAGGTATACTGGGTCGGAGGGTGAGGAGGTGCCATCGGCTCCGTCAAGCAGGCGGCAGAGCTATTGCGACGGCGTGTATGCTAGGTGAAGTGTGTATGTGGTAGGGAGGGAGGAAATGAGGGCAGCGTGACAACGCAGCATGATGACTTCGATTCATGAATTCCTCGGAGATCCAGCGTCCTCGGTTGATTGAACTTTGTGGGCCCCTCCCTCGGGCTCGCTGCGAGCTGCATCTCAATCGCGCGTTGACGTCGGTTGCAGGAGACCGTCCGAGGTTGGACTCGACGAGTCCAATTTCAGCCCCTGTGGAGGGTCCCTGACCAAGGGAAGCCAGCAAGCAGCAGGGCGTGATGGGATAGCGATGGGAGGCATTCAACGTGGCAACGAAGTGCTGAGCACAGACCATCGAGCTTCCTGATCATCAATCTGACCGCGCTAAAAAGTATCTTCCCTTGCCGCTCGTGACCGGATGAATTGAATTAGAGAGACTTGCACATTCGCATCGCTCCTCACTCCTGCCCACCGATACCCCTCATCAGGTCCTCGCCGACTCCGACCTGACCCTGACCGAAGAAAGCCTTCTGCGAGCCACATACAGCGTTGGAGCAGCCCGGGCAGCGGATTTGCATCTGGCGAGAGGTACGACCTTGGTTCCAGGCAAAGACTTGGCCCGTCGTGGCTGTCTGTGCGACTTCGCCCTGTGGGAGGAGTGAGTGCGAGCAAAAGAAGGGAGGGAGGGCGGGAAAGGAGCAAGGAGGTCAGAAGATGCTACATGGAGTACCGCGAGTGCTCCTTACTCACCGTCTTGTCGTGAACACCACCACCGTATACCGAGTCCAGGTGGGCGGCGGCAATGTCAGCCAGAGCTTTGATGAAGAGTGGGTGGTCGTTGAGAGACTCGGCCCTCTTAAGCTTCATGCCGTGCTCCTCTGCCTCCTCTGCCAGCTCCAGATCCAACTCATACAATGTCTCAATGTGGTCTTGCGTGAAGGCGATGGGCACGACGACGGCGTCCTTGTACCCTTGCTTCGCCCAACCCTTGACCGTATCGCTCGTCTGCGGACCCAGCCACGCCGAGGGTCCAACCTGACTCTGCCATGTGACCCTGTACGGGTTTGACCAACCCAGTCTGCCCATGACCGCGTTCACCGTAGCCGCGACTTCAGCCGGATACGGGTCGCCTCGGCCAGAGACGATCTGCATAGGGAGAGAGTGAGCCGAGAACATGATGGGGACAGTAGGTCGGATAGATGGGTCATACGTGTTGAGGACATCCTTGACTCGCTGAGTGAACGCCTCAACCAAGCCCTCATGCGTCGGCCAACGATCAATGACACTCCACTCGATGTTGCCCTCTGGTGCACCACGCTCCTGTCTTCGCATGATCTCGCGGTAGAGCTCGTTGAGGTTGCTTCCCGTCGTGCTGCACGAGTACTGGGGGTATTGAGTAAAGGCGACGGCTCGCTGCACACCATCCCTTGCCATCTCGTCGAGCGCTTCCTCAGTCAGCGGGCGAGCATATCGAAAGGCGACATACGGCTTGTGAGGAGCTGTCTCTGGGTGGATCTCGTCGAGGAGCTTGCACATCTCCTCTCCCTGCAGCCGGGACCATCGCAGGATGGGAGACCCGCCTCCGATCTTGCGGTATTGCTCTACAATCTTGGGCGTGCGACGAGCGGCAATGAGAGGTGCGAGACGCTTTTGCCAGGGAAGTTGGATGAGATCGCGGTCGTGGAAGAGGCGCGAGAGGAAGTCGCCTACTTCTGGTAGCGTGGCTGGGCCGCCCATGTTCATCAGGAGGACGCCCGTGGGACCCTTTGAAGAAGACGGAGAAGAGGTGGCATGGGTGGCAAGAGAGCGTGTCGGGGCGTTTAATGGTGAAGAAGCGGTGGCTGAGCGTGATGACGACGACGACGACGACGAGGTCGTGGCTGCGGGTGCGAGAGTGGGTGCTGCCTTGGATGACAAACTTCTTCTTGTCGCCGCTGACAGCGCTGAGCGTGTGAGTGATGACGATGATGCCGCGAGAGCCGCTCGTGGTGACGAACGAGCGAGAAGGGTCATGATGAGATGGGCGTGAGGTAGCAAGTGGGTGGAGTGGAAAGCAATTCGAGATGAGGAACAAGATGCGGAAGGCTCTTTGGACTCGAGGCGGCTTTCCGCCGGCCTTCTGACAAATCCCCGCCGAGACGCACGACCATCAACGCGCTCGTCCTGGCGTAGAGCGATGAAGCCTCGCAATGATGTCTGACGATGTTCGAAGCGGTGACTGATATATTGCAATTGAGTCGTCTCCTGCTACCTCGAACTTGCCTACTCTTCCCTTCGCTGGTCATCGATGTTCACCATCTCCTCAGACGACGTGTTTCTTCCCGTCATGGTGCATTGGATGGTCTGCCCCGCCTTGGCTGCCTTGAGGTGGCAGCGACGAAGGCGGCTCATTTGGGAACTGTGAGGATAGTGGGGACATCCTTGAGATCAGCTCGACGCTGCGCAGGCGCCGCGCTGGGCGTCAACCATGAGCTCCACTTACCGCTCCTTCGCCCCTCCTGCTCTTCCATACGGCGCCTGTAAGCCAGAGGCCCCAGATCTAGTTGCGAATGGATAATCAGGCGGATGAGCGGGCATTCTTTTTCTTCGTCGCCTGGCTGTTTACTCACCCCAAGGCCAGCGAGGCCAGTGACGGTGGCTCTTTGGGCGATATCGGCCAGTGGAGGCATACTGGTCGTCAAAAGCTGGACGTGCGAAGGGAAGAGCGAGTAACGCAGGGTGGTGAGCACACCTCAAAAGCGACTTGGCCTGTGTTAGTCCTCAACCGGCTCACAGTGGGACGATGATGCTCAATTTGATGTCGCAGAAGCTTAGGTAGCCGTCTGAGATGGATGAATGCCCTTGACTTTTTGGACTCGCCTCCATCGGCTCCACCCCGCTTTGCCTCGTCGTCTCCGCCCTCTCCGGTCGGACCGACAGTTGGAAAGTCTGGCTCACTACTTGTCGACCAGCACCTACTCACACGACCCAGCCTCGACCCACCAACCAAGCAAAGCCAGCCAGCCAGCCATGCCACCTATGCCAGCTCAGCACTTCAACCCTGGTGGGCAATCAGGGCAGGTGCAGGTCGTACCGCAGGCCCCATCCGTTTGGCAGAAGCGTGAGTAGCCTTCGAGCTCATTCGCCGCCAGTCGCCTCACTCGACAAGTCCTGACCCTTACTCGCCTTCCTCTCTGCGCTGCCAGTCTCAATGGGCGCAATGATGGGCACAGGTGTCGGTCTTTCCATTGGCTTCATCGGTGGCATGGTACAGATCATGAGGGCTGGACCCGGACCTAGAGGGACACTTGCCACCTTGAGCCAGTACATGGCCACCAGTGGAGCGACATTTGCGTGAGTCTACGGACCTTAGCTGCCGAGCAGTCCAGCTTATCAGTCGACTGATGACTTCTTCTTGCTGCTCGCCCGCGCAAACAGCTTTTTCCTGTCCATCGGCTCGGTCATCCGTACAGAGGATGGCAACCCGGCTAACGAGGCGGCATGGAGGCAGACGTTGGCAAACAGGGGGAGGATCGTGACGGCCGCGAGACCGGCATTCGCAGCATCGTCGTAATGGAGGATAGGGCATGATGTGACGTGGAATTGAAAACTATTGTACAACTGACATGAGGGAGCGCGTGGGGTGAAGCAGGAGGAATGTACAGCAGAGGGCAAGATAGACAGCGGGATAGCTCACAGCCACGCAGGCTTGTGGGCTGAGTCTATGCGTACTTGCGAGAGGTCGAAGGCTTCGATGTACTGGTGACGAGCACGGAGCGGGATCGTCAAGGAGGATCTCATCGAGTCAGCAATCAGCCGCCGCTCACCTCTTCGTCGACGGCCTTTGTTCCCGCGAATCTGGCGAACTCCTCGAAGGTGGACGTGTAGCTCCCTGTTAGGATGGCAAAGAAATAAGCAACGCTTCTCGCGGCTCGTCGAGATAGGTTGTGGCATACGCACAGCCCTGTAATCTACGCAGGATGCCAATGATGCAGCCCACTCGGTACTTGCCCTTGTTGCAATGAACCCTGTTGAATGGGGAAGGCGTGTCAAATGCGTGTGCTCTCTCTATTGAGCAGAGCAATGCGCTCACAGTATTGGATGATTCCTCTTATCTAACAAGCACTCCAGCGCCCTAGCAACCTCCTCGTCCTCCATGATCGCAAAAGGCTCCTTGTTGACCGAAATGGGACAGTGAAGCACCTTAATCCCCTCCTGCTCACAGAATGCACTCATCCCCGGCCGATAGTCCTCGTTGGCTACATAGAGGACCGTTTTGAGCTCAAGGCGTCGCAAGAATTCGTAATTGCGCTCATTCGGGTGACCCGACCGGGAGATACCGACTGAGACGTTTGCAAAGTTGAGAGGGGGAACAAGGATGTGCGGTGGTTGGCGGGTGGGAGAGTGAGACGATGAGGAAGATGAGGCATTGGCGCCCTCCTGTTTTGTTGGGCCGATACGGCCTATCAGTGCCTGCCGAAGGAAGGGCGGAAGGTCTTCTGCCATCATCGCGGCGAGGAGCAGGCGGCGAGACGGCAGCAGAAGTGATGATGAGGTGGAATCGTCTGCGGACGGAGACGAGGCGGAAGGGCAGGTGGAGTTGGATGCGTGTCCTCCTCGACCTCAGCGCGTTCAATTTCACTTCTTGTCCCGGCCACACCAAGAGCATCAAGACACAGGCAAGATCGATTCAATACGCTCGGCGCTGATGCCCTATGCGGTACCATTGACTACCGATGACCGCAAGGTGCTGAGGCCCATAGAGCGCAATCCGTGGAACAGGCTGCATAGCATCGATGAGGATGCTCGCTGGGTGCAACAAGTCGTCACCGAGGTGCTTCGACCACGCCTGCCCGTCGTAGCCAATCTGCGCTGCGGTGCGTGGTACGTCCCGTCTCCTCCTGATGGGGCAAGGAGGCCTTTCTGCTACTTCAAGTCGACTGATGGCCACGCAGGCGAATGGTCCTTCAGCCTCAAGAGGCCCAACCTGGAGATGCTGCATTTGATTCAGGCTCAAGGTGGAGCAGTCATCGTCGACTCAACAAGGAGAGGCAAGTCAATGCCTGATGCGCTGAGCAAAACGATTCCTATATGGTGCGCAGTCATGAATGAGGCGTCGACAAGGAGGCACGGCCAGCCGTCCAAGCTGGCAGACGAGGCGCCGCTTCCCTGGCCGTGCCGCAGCTTCAACCGTGGCAGCACGGGGCTGTTGACGCCTGCTCATCAGGTTCCGCCTAGCGAACATGCTCAGATGGAGGAGCGCTTCGAGGGATGGATTGCAAGCCTGCTCGCTTCCGACCTGCCCATTCTCAAACTCGACCGGCCGCTCGTGCCGTACTTCCTAACTCGCAGAGAAGAGGACCATAGCCGCAGCGACAGAGCGGAGCTGCCTTCTACCGGTCTCCCTGTCATCCTCATCTCGGCCTCACGCAGGGTGGAGGCACCCACGCCCAGCGACGATGGATCCTACTACTATACGCAAGGTAGCGGAGACGATGAAGAGGCATGGTCGCGCGGTCTGACACCAGACCTCTTCTGGCAGGAGCGTGAGATGCTCCTGCGGTGCCGCAGAGAGGAGCTAGCAGGAATGATTGCGGAGATCGTGCGTGGACGAACGGAGCGATGTAGTAAGCAGAGGGCCAGCGACGTTCAAATCAAAGGGACGAAGATCACCCTTGGGATCAGAGACGAACGGCATGCCTTCAACGCAGAAGAGCGTGGGCGGTATGCGCTGCTGATTCACTGCAATGGCAGCTTTGAGGAAGAGGAGCCGCCTTCAGTAGTCGTGAACTTCAAGATACCACCCGGCAAAGCTGGTCTCAGCGCTCTCCGCAGCGGACTCAGTCAAGTCGTCGACACCGGCCGCGCGCCAACTAATGGGGACATCCTGATCATCGATACGACATTCAGCGATGCGTTGCTAGCCTTTGCGGTCGCTCTTCTGGCCAGCCTCTACACAAGCGGGCGTCAAAGAGTCGCAGACGTCGCCGCACATTGCCTCACGCTGAGCAAGGATGACGTGCGGCGGAGGCTACAATGGGTCCAGCACGATCTGCCTGGCGCCAATCCGAGCAGGGCAGCAATGCAGCGCGTAGACGAAGTGGTCCTCCGCAGGCCAGGTGGATCAGTAGGGACAGGCAGTGTGCAGGCAGATGGCGTCCAGGTGGATCATACATGATATTAGAATGCAGCATTGTTACATCTCCATCGAGTGAACGCTCCCCTCCTTAGTTCTTGCCCTCCTTCTTGGCAAGGATGGCCTGGTCCTCAGCCTCGAGAGCCTCATCGATCTTGGCTCCCTTGGAAGGCTCGTTGCCGTGCTGCAATGTGGGACCGTCGTCAGCAAGGCGCACACGCGAAATCTACACTTTCTCCTGGATTGCGCCGCACTCACCCTCTCAGCGGCCCAAGTGGGGGGCTCGTTGTTGGCACGCTCGGCCTGCTCCTGGCGCTTGTCCTGCTTGGAGGCCTGGTCGAGCTTGTTGGCAATGGACTTCTCGTCCTTGGCGTCGAGGTTCTGGTGCGAGTTCTCGACTCCCTTCTCGTGCGAAGGACGAGTGTCCTCGGGGTCAGCACCACCGCCAGTGCGCTGGTCGGCGGATGACCTGGATGAAGACGAAGTGGAAGGTGAGAGATGGTGAGCATGGCAGGCAAAAGGCTGGCTGGTGTCGTGGTTTGCAGCCAACTTACAGGTGCATCAGAGTGGAGGACTTGTCAGACATGGTTGCGATTGGTATTGAAGTTGTTGTTGGGTCGATTGAGAAAAGGAGGAATGGAAGATCGAAGTCTTCTTTTAGTTGGATGTGGTCGCGCGAGGATCTCGCCCTCTCTGCGGGTCCAGCTCCACCCAAGCGCCCTCCGCCGCGGGTCCGCTGGCTGAACAGTCGACCCGATGCCTCAGTTGCTGCTCTCTGATGTCATTCGCAAAGACGGGGAGGGACAGGGTCCTCTTCCGAAGCGCGTCGAAGCGGGAGCTTGAGGAGCACGATGGCAAGGCATAGCAAAGATGGCAAAGCGCAAAGCAGCGAAAGGGAAAACAACAATGGTACGGATGAGCGTACCTTCACGCGAAACAGCACGTCGTACGCCTACCCTGCCATCGTCAACGCGATTCGCATTAGAGAGTCTATTTGCATTTCCAGGCATCATGTTGCAAGCCCGCTACTCCTCTCGCCCAACCATGGCCACCAGACACTCGCTCAGCAACATAGGCAGCGTCCTGAGATCCTGACAGTTGAAGGCCTTGCCGGGCATGTCCTTGGCCATGCTCGCAGCCTCCTGCTCACCACCAATGAAGATAATCGCCGCCTTGACGTTGTCGATCTTGTTCTTCGTCATTGCCCTCTCCAGCTTCTTGGCTGTGATACCATATCGCCCCAGGTTGGCGTCGCTCAGCGCAATGACAATGTAGTCGTCCATTTCGGCGTCAGGCTCTGCCTTGGGAAGAGAGGTGACTGCTGCTTCGATGCCTTCCACCGTGTTGTCACCGCTCATGGTGAACTGCGTGCTGCTCGTCATGTCGCGCAACACCTTCCAGCGCTTGCCAGCGTTCTCTGGCGGATTGGCGGCGTCAACGAGTGGTAGGGCAGCCGTCTCACCATTGTGGGCAACAATGTCGTAGAGAATCTTGGAGCGCTCCACGCGCGCCATAGCCTCCATGATCATCAGCACGCTCTTGATCTCGCGCTCCAGTCGACCGTCGTAGGACATCGAGTACATGCTTGCCGAGCAGTCTACCACCAGGCGGATGCGCTTCGGCTTGACCTGGGCCGCTCCCGGCTCAGGCGGTGCCTCCTCGCGACGCTTGAAAACAGCACGCTCACCGGAGAGGGCGTTTGTGAGACGACGCTCGTCCAGCTCCCCCTCTTGCTGCCTTGTGAGCCAATTGCGCTCCTTGCGGTTGGCCTGCAGGTCATTGAGCACTGTCGCAAGGTGATTGATAGGCGCCTCGAGCTCAGCGCGGTAGGCCTCATACGTAGCCGCTTCGTGTCGACTCAGGCCCTCCTCAGCCAGCTTGCGGGCCAATGCTTCTTGCGCCATCCTCCTTGCCTGCTCCTTGATCTCGGGAGGCACGTCACGCTTCAGCTCGTCACTGACCTGCTTCACTTCGTGACCTGAACGCAAACGCTCGTAGCCTCCACGGCCACCAAGACCAGCCGTATCGCGTCCACCGGTGCCGCCTCGCCAGGTGTTGCCGCCAAAGTGTTCCTTGTTGTCAGGGTCCACCTTGCCGTCCTTGGGTCCGTTCAAATCGGTATCCCTGCCAGCCTTCTTCGGGTCAAAAGCCACCTTGCCCTTCGCCTCTGCGGCCTTCTGTAGCTCTTCCTCCTTCTTCTCCCTCACTTCTGCAATGCTCAGCCCCTTTACATCGAGCCCACGTCGCTTCAGCGCCTCAGCGACGGTCTCCATCGCTTGCGGGCGATGCAAGTCGAAGCTGAGAGTGTTGAGCAGCACATCCACGAGGGGTTCGTCGGGGTACTTGTCCATGTGGCGGACGATGTGAAGGAGCTCTCTCAGCGAATATGGGTAGTTGATTAGGCCGGCGTCGAATTGCGCACGCAGATCGTGAAAGGCGAGGTCGAGGCGCTTGATCAGATCTTCGCTGACAGAGGGAGCAGCCTGGTTGAGGAGGCGCACCTCAGAATTGAGGTCTGGATTGCCCACGGCGAAAGTGGAAAAGCCCTCACCGAGCGTTGTCAGGAACTCGTTGCCCATGAAGGGGGCGCCCGGCCGGTTGGCCAGCAGGACACAGCGGAAGTTTGGATGTACGATGATGTCGTTGGCCGATCCCTGCGAGCCAGGCGGACGCACTTGACGTCCATCGGGCAGCGTCAATTGACCACGCTCTGACAGACTACGGAAGACAGCCGTAACTGCCGACGAGACCTTGTCTGCTTCATCGACGATGCAGATTCGGCCGAGCTTGATCGCTCGTACCAGTGGTGAGTCGAGATAGACGAGCTGACCGTGCTCAAGATTGACGATCTGCAAAATCGAGTTGACTGTCGAGTCGCGGGAAAGCTGAATGTATTCGCGCGGGCGGTGCAGCAATTCGCACAAGCGGTCAATGACCTTGTTCTTGCCGGTTCCTTGATTGCCCAAGAGAAGCAGATGCTCGTGCAGATCGAGGTCAATGGCCAGATCACGCAGTAAGAGCGACTGAGTCGGGTTGTTGTAGAAGTTGCCCGTCGATGGGATCAAGGTGTGAGCCCCTTCTGCGTCCTGCGTGACATCGAAGAGCGGCAGGCGCGTGGTGCCTTCTGGCTTGCCTAGCGCATTGAGATCCTCGAAGACAAGTTCATTGGCCTCGGCGCGAGGGTCAGCGAGGAATTCGGGTGGACGATACGTGAAAGCTCCCTCTGCTCCTCGAGTGAATAGTCCACACTCTGCCAGCGTATTTCGGACCAAGTCCCGGTTGGTACGGGGCAGGAAGTCGACGAGCAGCGCCCGCTCGATGCTCGTGCGGAGATCCGTCTCGGGGTACTTTGCGATCCTCTGAGCGATGCGAATGAGGGACCTCGTGCCTAGCCTGCGTCCTTTGTTCAGGCCTAGCGCAGGATCCGAGCTCAGCTCGCGATAGCGTCGCGTGAAGGTGAAGAGTTTCTCGAGGCGTCCCGGCGGGCACTGTGAGCGTTTGAGTACAATCTCCTGCTCTTCGGCCTCGGACATGGGCGAAGGAGACACGAAGCTGAAGAGGGTGGAAACTTCTTCATTCAGCCAGTCGGCCTTGGACGATGAAGAGGTGGCAATCAGGCGGAATGAGGGGTGAATGGGGGTAATGTGTCCCAGACCAATCGGTTGAGGAGCAGTCGATGAGGGGTCTGCTAGTGCTGCTCGACCACCCTCCCACAGCTCCAGTGTGCGGTCCTGCAGGAGGCTAGCCAAGGACGACATCGTGGGACCCAAGACATCGATACCAGCCAGGTGTACGAGCTTGGCTTCCATTGCACCTTTGAGGAGTGGGCTTGGCTCAAAAGTTGTGTCGCCATCCTTGGTAGTGACGCGACGCATGACGAGCTCGTTGCCGCCAATGTCCTTCCAGAGCCAAATCGACTCGACTGGGTATCCAAGCAAAGCGCCAAAGATACTGATGGCAGTGGACGTCGATGACGAGGACTGCGGGACAGTAGTGGCATCCGAGGCAAAGGCAGAGGGCAATAGTGCGAAGTCGCGGCCAGTGGCATGCAGCTGACACATCGCTGTGAGAGTGGCTCGCAAGCGTGCGGTGACGAAGACGCTCTGCTCGTTGAGATCGTAGACTTCGCCCACCTCTGGCAGCTGACGGAAGGTAAGAGGGCCGCAAGGTACCTCGACTTCCACAGTTCGGCCTGCGCGCGTCGCGTGCTCAAACGACATGGTGGCTCGCGTCTCACTGAGTCGATTTACTTCCTTGAGATGGTAGCCAAGCAAGCCGGTCCCGGTCTGCGAAGAGCTGCTCGTTGAGCCGGTGCCCGCGCCGATGCCGTGGTCAAGGCCGAGCTTCTCAAGCAAGTCGTCGGCGATCTTCTTGCGAGACTTCTCTATCGTGTAGAGGTTTGGCCAAGCTGCTCCCAGTAGGTCGCGCGTCTCTTTCGCGATGAGGCCAGCTGGCTTAGGCGGGGGAAAGCGAGAGAGCATCTCGAGCTCACGGGCTTCGACCTTGGACCGAGTCATGTCAGAGACCTGGAGAGCGCCGTCCTGCGGTGGCGGGTACTTCTCCTCCGGCGGTCCTTCGAAGGCGGTGGAGGTCGGTGGTGGAACGAGTGCGTCGACAGGTGGGAAGAGCTCAACGATATCCTCGAGCAGAGGCAGCATCGTCTGCGGCATTGTGGGAAGGCGCTCCGTTTCTGGCAGAATGTCGCCTCCGGCAGCGAAGCGATCGTGGTACTTGACCAAGGACGTAAATTCATTCATGCGCTGTGCAAGAGCTATTGAAAGCTCGCGAGGGACGCCATCGGCCTCAGCGGGTGAGGGCTGGACTTTGTACTGCGGCAAGCCATTCGTGGGCACCAGGCTCTCTACCCAGCGACTTTGAAAGCGTGACCTGAACGGCGGGTCGAGTGAAAGGCCCTTGTAAGGTGGAGTCGGCAAACCAAGAGCAATGACCTTGAAATTGGGGTGGACTGGGATGAAGCGTGAGGTGGGCTGTACACCCGTGGCATGCGTGACGCCAGCCTGCTGCTCCTGCTCAGCCTTCCTCAGCCCTGCCAACCGATTGGCTGGGACGAGCTGTGTGCCATCTGCAAGATTGGCTTCGCGGTTCTCGAGAACGTTGTTGAGCAGCGGCAGCACATTGCGCTCTGCCCTCTGTACGCCGTCGATGATGAGGATGGAGCCGTTCTTCATGGCTCGCACTACCGGTCCGTCTACGTAGTCGAGGGTGCCTCCGGCTCTCAGTGACCGTTGTTGAAGGAGTTCTGACTCGCCGACATCGCGATGCATCGAGACATACTCGAATGGCACCTGAAGGAGTGCTGAGAAGGTAAGAGCCAAATGACGTGCATAGGGTCCAGGGGGCGAGAGGAGGAAGATGTCCTGGCCTAGCTGCCACTTCTTGCCCATCCATGTCAAGTCGGAGAGGACGTTGGGGTCGTCAAGGTTGAGCAGAAGACGCTGTGCCGGTAGTCTGAGCGGGTCGTGAGGCTGAAAGACGGGCAGCTGAACATCTGCTCCCAGCTTTAGATGGCCGAGGAGCTCCGGCGGGTCATTGGACGAGGGGCGGGTCGAGAAGGGAGACGAAGGGAGGAGCTGGCGGCCGATGGCGGCGATTCGAGAGAGAGGGCCGCCTGTAGTACTGCCGCTACCACCGTTGGCACCGTTTCCGTCGTTGCCCATAACGGCAGGTCGACGGGCTAGGTGGCTGAGTTGACGAAGGTGAGCGATTGAAGGGCTGGTTGGGCGTGTGAAGCTGCGGTGCAAAGCCCTCCTGCCCGCTATCAAAAGCATGCGTTGATGAAGAAGATATTAGAGAGAATGAATCTACCAAGGTGTGACCATCAAACGACGTCTATCGGGAGCGAGAGCAGTGGTATCGATGAGAAGGATTAGTGAGAAAGCTGGGAATCTGCTCATCGAGCTCCGGCTATTCACGTCCTCCTAAGCCAGTCTCCCCCGCCTCGCCTTTCCCCGATTTGAATCTGCCGGCCAGCCGGACACGGACCTGTCTCAACCAAGCGGGCATGCGGAACTGACGGAGGTTCCGCCAGGCCAAGGCGAGAAAGCCACACAGCCAAGCAAGAAAGCCGTTGAGAGATTTGGACCCTGCCTGCCCTGGCCCTGAGAAGGCGGCGTAAGCTCGGCCTGCATTACCATTTGAGCTAGGCAACTGGCTTAGCCTCAAATTGGCAGTTTGCCACTTCTTATCGTCCTCCTCTTCACTCCAATAGCAACGACACTCGACCTCCTGTACCATCAAGCACCCCAACGGGCCGTCACATTCGGGCCACCAGCATAGCATCAAGGCTTTCGCCGCTTGCTCCACCGCCACGATGAGCTCAAGACGCGTGGGCACGTTCTTCCTTGCCACGCTCTGCCTGCTCCTCTTGTCACAGCCCGCAGCAGCCGCAACAACGCTTCAACCAGATTCGATCCTTCAATATGTGCCCTCACTACCGGGGAACGCCATCGTCACCGCCTTCTACGGCTTCTTTTCGCTCGTCCTCTTCATCTACGTCTTCCGGACGCGCAGCTGGTGGGCCCTCTGCGAACCAATTGGGGCCTTCTTTAGCTTCCTCGGGTACCTACTCAGGATAGTAATGAGGAGCAATCAGAGCAGTCAGACGATCTACATCGTCCTCTACCTCTTCGTCGTCCTCTCCCCAGCATGCTATCTGGCCTTCAACTATATCATTTACGGTCGTTTGTTGGTTGCCCTCACTGGCATCGACCGTCACGACGATAGTGTCAAGAAGTCAAAGGTCAAGAGCCCTTACTCTCCTCTACCGCCGAGGCTCTACACCGCCATCTTCGTCATCAGCGACGTCGTAACCTTCCTCATCCAGGCTGCAGGCGGAGGTATGCAGACGTCCAACGGCCCCATCGTCATTACGGGCAATCACGTCTTCTTGGCCGGCGTCGTCCTGCAGATGGCCTCGTACGTCTTCTTTTCGTTCCTGATGCTCTTCGCACACTTCCGTCTCGCTCGAGATGACCCAGCGCACTTCTCCCCGCTCAAAGCGACGACGAAAATGCGCCAATCACCGGGACTAGTCCTGCTCTACCTCCTCTACGTGAGCAGCATCGCAATTATTGTGCGTCTCATCTATCGCACGGTCGAGATGGCTCAGGGCTATGGCGGTCAGCTCTACTCGAACGAGATCTACACATTCTTGCTCGATGCTATGCCGCTGCTCATCTCCATCGGGGTATGGGCGGCAGTCTGGCCTGGCACGCTACTGGAGCGCGTCCAGCCTACGGAGGCTGCTCTGAGAGGTCGAAGTGGCGCGGAGCACAATGCGGAGTCTTTGACCACGACGGCTGATGCTGGCACGCATGAGAAAGCGTAGTCTACTTCAGAGAGAAGATGAGTAAGGGCCAGGCCCCGCTCTTCCAGGATAGGCCCGCTCGAAGGAGATCAGACTGGAATCGCATGCGCTCCACTTCATAGACCAATGGACACTGTCAATAGTATTCTTGTTTACTTCAATTTCTAGAAAAAGCACCATGAGTTGTCACCCGTCGCTGCTCTACATCATGGAGAGGGAATAGGATGAGCAAGGTAGTAGGTATAGATAGCTCATTGAGCTTCGAGATTGACGAGAAAGGCACTAGCCTCAGTACCACCAGGCCTTGTGGTCATCGGAGAAGAGCTGGGCAGCGACCTTGATTCGGTGAAGGTGCTTCTCATTAACTGCAAAGGGCCGGACGAAGCCTGTCAGCTAGGCTTCTTACCGAACGCAAGCATGCGCAAGTATTGCACTCACCTTCCTGCTTCGCCTCAGGCGAGTCGAGCGACATCAAGCCATTGAGCACGGTCCTCACAACGGGCTTTCCCGGCTTGGCAGCGTTCTCTTTCCCATCAAAGCGCTCTCGCAGCCACCTAACCGTGCCAGGGTACGACGTGAAGCAATTGAGAGCATGTCCCGGCGTTTGGTCCTTGATGAGCTCGATGGTCGCATTCCCCTTCGCCCAGGCATCAGTGACCATCTGCATCTGCTCAGGAGGGATCGCCTCGTCAACGAGCGAGCCGGTGAGGTAGAGGGGCACTTGCGGCGCGTGATGCTGTGCTGCTAGCAAGAGGTTATTCTTTGCGAGCTTCGACTGTACGATGGGGTCTGAGAGCGGATCGTTCACATTGAAGTATCCGTCCGGCGGGCCAGTGAGGACGTCTTTGCCAAAGGAGGCGAGCATGTAGTCTGCCCAGCACTTTTGGAGGGCAATGTCATAGAGGCTGTGACCCTTCTTGGTGAGCAGCGAGTTGACCTTTCGAGCGAAGTCGGGATAGGCGTTGCTCTGCGCGCGGGCGTGCGTAGAGGAGTACTACGGGTCAGCTTGGAGTCGTGCCGGGGCTCTCCACGCTTCTCGCAGTACTCACGAGCCCGGCGACGATGCCCACGATCAGGCCAGCTGCAAAGTTATGGTTGAGGCGATGCGCGCACGCTTCGAGGTCAGCAGGGAGCCCGCCACCAGCATAGCCCACAACGTGGTTGTCAAGCTCCGGGGCGTACTTGTGCTGGAGCTGCGCAGCCCAGAATGTAGCTTGAGCCCCTGCCGAGTATCCCCAGAGGCCAAACCTGAGGCCTTGATCGAGGCTCTTGAGCCCGATCGTATCACGCAGCTTGATCATTGCCTTCATCGAGTCGAGGACGAGGCGACCAGATCCGAGCCCGTCACCAAAGGCGTCAAATTGTCCGCCGAGATCCGGGATGCTGACGACCCATCCCTCGTCAAAGAAGGGTGGTAGGAATGTGCTCTCGCTCAGGCTAGCGAAGCGGTCCTCGGTGCCCTTGCGCAGCGAGTAAGAAGTGCGGCAGATGGAGTTAGCGCCGTCCGTTTTTGGTTGCATTGAAAGAACCTTGTCGAAGGTAGCCTTGGGAGGGACCATGACGGTCGCTATTCCTATCTGAGTTCTCCCGCCAGTCGCGTAGAGGTTGCTGCCATCGAGTCCCACGTCGTCCGTGGTGACAAAGGCGATCTGATAGGCTTTGAGGTGCTCAGCGTCGAGTCCAGGGAAGGAGGTGATCTCGATGGGCCTCCAGCGCAGCACGTCACCCGGCTTGTGGTTCTGCAGGGCAGCTGGTTTGCTGTTGATGCCATAGAAAGGGTCTTTGTCAGGATGAGGCCAGGTAGAGGCAACGAGGCCCATGCCGGCGAGGAGGCGGTGGAACCAGCCCATGTTGGGATTGTCGCGGGGCGGGTCTGAAGGGACTTTGACCTGCTCGTAGCCGTCTTTGTAGTTGCGATCGTTCTTGGTGATACGGCGTAGACCAAAACAGCCCAGGGCACGATCGGCGAGTCGAAGTCGACGACCTGGACACATGGCGGCAGCGGCGGCGGTGATGACGAGGATAGCGGAGCGGCTGTGCTACTGTCCTTGCTACAGAGAGAGTGTGTCGGCGCGATAGTGAGGGCGGCGTACAATCCGGAGGGAGCAGGTAAGGAAGCAAAGTGCTCATGCCTCATCGCCCACCCACCCAGAATCGGCCCGCGAACCGTCATTTTCATGAACCGTGCTTGCTCCTCTTGCTGTGACCTCTCTCGTTCCCTGAAGCCGTCCTCTGTGCCATATCGATCATCACGGCGTCAAATGAAAAGGGGGTTCAGCGGAAGCGCGGCAGGAAGCGCGAGTCGAAGCGGGCCGAGCTCGCGTTCATCTCGCCGTGACGAAGGCAGCGGCGGCGGCGGCGACCAAGAAGCGGCTTCGCAGCCAACCAACACTTCCCCTCCGTGCCATCCTCATCATCCAGATAGTCATCAAAGACACAACACCGCTGAGTCACGCGGTACGACGGACTCATCGAGGTGGCAGACATCGTCCAAGGCAGGCCTCGATAAGATGTCAGCGGCTCAAGGCCCTGAAGCGGCCTCACAGCCGCCTGCGCCTGCGCCTGCGCCTTCGCCGCCTACCCACGAGCAATACCGCCAGCTCTACACCTCTCGCCAATTCACGCTGCAGCTTGAGCTTGTCAACTCACTCGCATCTCCAGCCTACCTGTACCACCTCACCCTCACTCCGCCGGGTCCCGGCCAAGTCGCGCCGCTCTCGCAGCCGACCTTTGTGCGCTATCTAGCCCACATCCACTCGATCTGGTCGAAGCCAGAGTATGCCAAGTTCGTGCAATACCCCAATGGACTGTACTTTTGCAGACTTCTCGTCGAGAGTCCGGAGTTTAGGCAGGCCGTAGGCAGTCAGGAGTGGGAGAATGAAACTAGCGAGAGATTGATTGAGCATTGGGCTAGTTGGAGGAGGGAGGGCGGCGCCGACGAGGCTGCCTGAGGGCTGCGAGCACACTGTCATGCGGCTGGCAGCGTCTCTCGAGGGGACCCAGCCAAACACTTTCCCCACCATCGTGAGCATCATCTGTCTTTTCACCTGGTCTCATCACGTCATCTGTATTCATAGCATCACCAGAATATTGCAAGCAACCATCTCACTATCTGCATAGTCGAGCCGCGGGTCCCCTTTTCTCCACCTCGAAGCTTTTGCATACATGTCCCTTCGTCTGTCCGTCGCAGCCGGTTCTCCGCTCCCTCGTGACCGATCCTGCTCCTTCCAATCCTCAAATTGACGCAACGCAACATGAGCCAACGTGTAGTAAACGCCGTCTTCAGAGCATCTGCAAGCACCTCAAGCTGGTCGTCCCCAACGCGAACAGCGCTGGCTCGCGCCACCATCTGTCCTCTACCCTCTGCCTCACCGTCGCCCAGCCTCGTCCGCTTCAAGTCCAAGAAGAACAAGGCGTCCTTAGCATCTAACGTCGACGAGCCGCGCGCAGGCAATGACGATGTCCCCGTCATCAAGACGAAGGGCAAAGGCAAGTCAGACTTCTCCTCTGGCGCGCCTCGAGGCGCGAAGTCCAAGCGTGGAGGCAAGGAGCAGGCTCAGGTCGAGGACAGCGGCAACTTCCGTCACTCCACGAAGAATGACGAGCTGCCAGGCGAGGTTTTCCGACTCGATGCGACGGAGAAGGAGATCAAGCAGACGGTGGACCAGTGCAAGTCTAGTGTGAACCAGATGGTTGGCATGCAAGGGAGGGCGGACCCTTCGCTGCTTGACCGGGCGAGAGTGCGATATGGGGATGATGGGGAGGAGTACCCGCTGAGGGACTTTGCCAGCGTAGGGACCAAGGATGGAGCCTTGATAGTCACGCTGTATGATTCGAGCATGCTGAAGCATGTGGAGAGGGCGATTTACTTGGCTGAGTTGGGCTTGACGCCGCAGCAGGTGGGGTCGGGAGATGAGGCCGTTCTCAGGATCCCCGTGCCCAGGTGAGTGACTGCAAGGCACACGACTACCGTGAAATATCGCTGACCCTTCGCAACACCCTCATCCTCGCCATCAGACCCACGTCAGAAACTCGTGCCAAACTCCTCCAAGACGTGAATCGCATCTGCGAGAACTGCCGCGTATCCGTCCGTTCGATCCGCCATCAAGCGCAGAAGCAGATAAAGGGAGACGTCAAGAGCGGGACGATCGGCGAGGATGAAGGCTTTAGGAAGCTAAAGGCTGTGGACGAGACTGCCATGAAGTCGACGAGGGAGGTGGACGATCTCCAGGCGGGGCTCAAGAAGAAGATTGAGAAGGAGGACGCGTAGGGCGAGAGGGTGGTAACACTTCATATGATAATCTAGCGAAGAATGCGTTGGTATTGTTTGAGAGAGTGTGTGATGTTACAGATGTTCGGGATCGGTAGCGGGGGCAAAAAGAGCGGTGGCATCTGGCCATCTAGTACTTATGCCTAGTCGAATAATCCTTGGGGCTGACGACGAGACCTCTGCCCTTTGATGCCCCACGATATACCACCTCGATGAGGTCGATCATCTCCTGCTTGTCCTCTACAGCCCAATTGACCTTGTTGTTGTTTCCTGTGCCCAGGTCGATCATGATGTGCTTGTTGCGGTAGAAGAACATGACCGTGCAGGGGTCGTAGAGCTCGTACATCTGAGAGCGAGGAGCGAGGAGCGAGGTGACGAGATCAGCATCGTGGCAATCGGAGGAAAAGCTTGTTAGCACTCTCGGTGCGCTCACCTTGTTGAAATCTGGGACCTCGGTGATATCGCAGAGGTAGACGACGGCGAAGTTGCGCACCTTCTCAGCGATGCCGTAGAGCGTCTCATCCATCCTCATGCAAGTTGGGTCATAGTCGTGCCCAAAGCGGATGACAACGACACGATCCTCTTCGGCGAGGATAGCTTGGTCGACATGCCAGCCTGAGGGAAGGTGGGGAAGAAGATAGGACATGCTGAGTGCGAGGAGTGGTGAGAAGGATGGACGGAAGGAGCGGCAGTGGCTGCCTGAGGTTGATGAGGCGGAGAGAGGCGGACCGCGCGAGTGAGTGAGCGAGTGCAAGGGCGAGGAGAAAGTTGCAAGGCGGCCGCGGCCACGACTTCGCTTCATCTTCTTCCCTCACCAATAATTCCTCACACAAGCATGGCAGCGCCGATACGCTCCTTTTCCGCCTCACACTGGCTTCGCTCATCAGCGGCATCATCATCACGCACTTTTGTCGCCACAGCTCGCGCTGCGTCTTCGCATGAGCGCACAGAGTCGCCCGCCCGTCAGCACAGAAAGGGATTGTCGGGCGGCGTTGAGCATGACCCTCAGACCGAGCAGCCTCGCAATGCTTCCAGCCAATTCAAAGCTGAGGCGGCAGCTAGCAAGCAGCAGAGCATCGAGGACTATGCATCTGGATTTGCAGGGCCAGGAGCGCAGATGGGTGGCCTCGCAAAGGCGCAAGCCGTCGGAGGTACAGGCGAGGCAACAACGCAGCAGGCAAAAGACTCGGTCCTCTCATCGTTGGAAGCTGGTGCCCTCGCCTCAGGCGCAGCCTCGACATCAGCATCCCCCGTTCCTCCACCACCTTCTACTCCCGGCTTCCCTCTGGGCGGGCTAGGCTACACGCCCACCACCCTTCCTCCCAAGTCGGATGAGCTCCTCGAATCCTTCGTTGGCTACCTTCAACGAGACGGCAAGAAGGCTCAAGCCACATCTCACGTCCTCAAGATGCTCTCACACCTCTCCGCAGCCCTCAATTCGGATCCACTGCCCGCTCTCCGCCATGCAGTAGAGTTGGCTGCGCCCCTCGTCAAGATGCAGTCACACACAGTCGGCGTAAAGACGACCATGGTCCCCGTAGCGCTCAATGCTCGTCAGCAGCGCCGAAAGGGGATCATGGCAATCATCACTGCGTCGGGAAAGAGAAATGATAGGGAGATTGACAGGAGGTTGGCGAGGGAGGTCGTGGCTGTTTTGGAGGGCACGAGCGAGACGTTGAAGAGGAAAGACGAGGTGCATAGAGACGCTGTGAGAAACAGGGCAAACGTGGGAGTCCGCATGTGAGCAAAAGAGTGCAGGGAGAAGCAGTGCGCATGTATGATTCCAAAGGTCATGACGTTATCTTGTTGGCGTAGCAAGGGAATGACAAGACTACCACATGGTCTGCCTCAGTCGGACCCAATTTGACCGACTCCTCCTCTCTACGCGCCTAGTTGCGCTTCCTGAAATCGATGCTGATATCCAAGCAAGTCAACTGCTCCGGCTCGGGCTCCTCACCACCGTCATCCCCACCCTCCTTGTCCTCTGGCGCAGCGAGCGCGACGACGTGGACGTTGAACTTGGCAGGCGGGATCTCGCGGGGAAGCTCGACGGTTTGGGTAATGTCGTACTCTCCAGGCTCGACGGGGCATTGTACCTCTGCCTTGTTATTGCGAGCCTCTTCGCAGATGTCGAACTGACGGTGCAAGAGGCGGATGACGCCAATCTTGACGTTGACGTCGGCGATGGAGCCCTCCTAAACGGGTGGGATGGTGGCGCGTGGCAGTGCGGAGAGAGATGAAAGAGGGAGTCAGTGGATGCTGGATAAGCATCATAAGCGGATCTGTGCTCACCTTGATCGTCCTCTTGACGACTCCCCTCGCCTTGACGGTCATGTTCTTGCCAGGGACAGGCGGGTCAGGCGAGACGTCGATGCTCTTTACCTCCACCACATCATCTGGCTGACCACAAGAGGACCAGACCCAGCCGCCACCAGGGGTAGGAGTCGGGACAGGAGGCCAGAATGGGTTCACATCACCCTTGACCTGGTCAAACGCCGCTTCTGCCTCCGACTCAAGGATGTCAACAAAGTCTGGCTCGCGGTGCGAGTCGGGACGAGTAGCCGCGGGGACGGGAGCCTCGGCGGCGTCGTTGAAGATGAGTTGGCCCTGCTGGGAGGGAGCAGCGAGTGCTGCAGTGGCGAGGCCGCCTGCAAGGAGGACCGATGTGGTAAGGAGCTTCATGCTGTTGGCTGCTGGGAAGAGATGTAGAGGGAGAGTGAGGATGTATGGGGATGGAGTTGAAGCTTGATTGGGTACGCTCGCGACGACGACCGGATGCAGTGTGGCTTGGCCCCTCTCAGTCGGCTCCAGTTCCGCTCGCGTGGTTGGCGGGGGCGATGACGTTGTATGCAGCGCTCCTCACACTCGATGGCATTGCACGCCTTGTGATGACCTGCTGTGATTGAGGGGTTGAAGTCGATCATCTGGCAGAGATCAGTGACCGCGACGCGACTTTGCCTTTTCATGTTCGTCAAGGCATATCAGCTTGCCGCCGCCCGATACCAGCCTATCGGTGCTGAGAGCTGCGATGATTTGGTCGGCCTCCACGCGGACCAAAATCGCATCGCAGCAGATGTGGCTGCGTCGAAAGAGCAGGACCGACGGACCGACGGACCTGGCCGGAAGAAGAACGGGTCCACAAGTCGAGACGCCCTTCGTGTAGAGTAGGCTCCAATCTAATCAGAGCTTGCGTTCTCTCTTTCCACTTCAATAATCTATACCAAGCTTCCTTGTCGCCACCAGGATTACCAGCATGAGCCAACAGTTCGGCACACATCATGAGACGGGGGACCCGAGGAAGAGACAAGCGTGAGTGGCGGCCAGTGAGCATACACAATGTAATCGCGAGTGGTGGCTGATTACGACTTGGCCTTGTTTTCGCTCGCAGGCAATACGATGCTGCGCTGGTGGGAGGCCTAAAGGGAGGAGGAGGCGGTCTGGCTGTCGGCTTGCCTGCTGCCTACATCCTGAATCAAAGATGGGCAGCCTTTCGTGGGCTGACGCTACCTCTCAAGGCCTTCTTTGTCACCATGATCACCATCTCGTCGGGTGTCATCGCGGCGGACAAGGCTGGCATCGCTTTCGAGGTGGGTACAGCGTAGCGATGACGGCAAGAGCTCACAGGCCTCGATTGACCGACGTTGCTCTCTGCCCCGCGCCGCCAGCGAAACGCCTACTCAGATCAGGGAGCTCAGCAGAAGAAGCGCTTCATGTCCAGAGAGGAGCAGCAGTGGGAGCAGCTCTCAATGAGGGACAAGGCGCTTACGTGGACCAAGGAGAATAAGTTCAGCGTCGTAGCAGGCTCGTGAGTGCGAGCGACTTTTGCGTCAGCTTTCTGTCCATGCTGACGCTTCTCACCCACATGCCCACGCCAACGCAGATGGGTTGCTTCAATGTGCGGCTCATTTGCCTACATTCAGACGCAGCCCCTCTCATTTGCACAGAAGCTCGTCCAAGCTCGTGTCTACGCACAAGGCCTCACCCTAGCCTCACTGCTGGGAATGGCAGCTATCACTTCGATCCCGTCAGCGGGGGACAAGCTTATCGAGGAGCAGAGCCACGCTGGCGAGCACAGCTGGAGAGATATGATTGGCGAGTCAGCGAATGATGATAGCAAGCAGAGATCAGGACCGCAGGGCAAGTCGCAAGGGAAGGAGGGTCAGCAGCAGTCGAAGAAGGGGAAGAAGGAGACAGAAGAGCACAAGTAAGAAGGTGGTGCCACCACATTGATTGTCACCACTCTGTTGCTTTTCAGGACGATTGCTTTTCCCTTCGTATCGTAGACTTGTACCACCTTTTCTCCACCTCACATCAGCAATGTCACGGCTTCGCATTCACTTCTTCTCGTGCGCCAAGTCGTCGTCGGCCGCCCGTCCGTACGGCAGCCCACTCACTCGATCGTGTCTGTGTGTCTATGTGATGAGCTCGCTCGCGTGCACACTGGCGAGATGCTCCGCCTCGCATTGGAGGGTACAGAGCGGGGTTGGCGGCGTCGTCGACTGCGCCTCACTCGCCTGATGCCTCCTAGCTGTGCCCTGCTTCAACGTACGCCCTCTTCCCCGCAGGCCTAGCCACTCTCGCTCTCGCCTTTCAGCGCTCTCGCTCTCGTCTGCGAGCTGCCGCTGCCTGCGTCAGTCGAATGGGAGTCCGACTTTACTCGACTCGACTGCATTGGCAGACCCAGGCTGCCGTCGTCGCTGCCGTCGCTGCCTTCGTTAGTAGCGGCGAAGGGCCTCATCCTCTTTTCCTTTACCATCATCCCCTTTGACACTTCTATCTTGTCGCTATTGGTACCGAGTCCACTGCTGCACAACAAGTTTTCATCTAGCCGCGTGTCCTTCATCTTCAGCGCGGCATCGTCACTCAGCAACGCACTCGAATTCCGTTTCGCAGCACACGAGCAGGCAGGCATTCCTCACCGCCACTCGTCCTTCGCCCACTCTAGGCTGCTGCCATCCATCCACCCTTCTACCCCGTAGCCAAGGAATTGCAAGGCACATTCTCCTCTCCCATCTCAGCGCCCTGTCGTCGTTGCCACCATGCTTTCTCGCCTCTCTCTCGCCTTCATCCTCCTTTGTGCAGCCGCCTCGGCGCAGGTGACGCCCACCTCCTCAATCGACCCCCTCTCTGGCACCACCTTTTCCACGCCCGTGTTCACGCCTGCAACCACCTTCACCCCCGTCACGACTTTCAACTCAGCAGGCTCGCGCACCCCGACGTCAATCGATGGCCCCGGACCATCGGTCTCGTCGAACAGCTACACGTTTAGCTACGAGAATCCTCTTCAGACTGTTTCGGGTACCGACTTGAGCAGAGTCTACAGCTCCTTGGCAGCGCACTCTACACCGACTGCGGCCACCAGCCCTCTGGGGCCGGATCCAACCTATTTGCAGGTGGGTACGAAGAGATAGGGATTGGGAGAGGCGGCCGTGCAGGGAGACGGGGTTGTCTTGCGAGGGCGGAGAGCGACGCAGTTCGATACGTCCCAATGCCGCACTCATGGAGCTGTGACCCTGACACACTTCCCTTCGTTCCACAGATCGTCAATGGGAACGCAGCGCCCGGCTCATTCAGCGGCATCCCTTCGCTCTTGGCACTCGCCGGAAGTTTCGGTGTTGGCCTCGCTCTTGTAGCCATGGTATGAGGGGTGGTCCGCTACAACTCATCCACCCACGGGCACGTATCGTCCCACGGGGCGTCGATTCCCGATCCGCCCATCGGACTGCGGCCGGATACTACCCACTGTCTCTACTTCTTTGGCACCGCCGGCAACGCTGCTGCTACTACGTGCTGCGCGCGCTTCCCTTCCTTGACCCCCCTCTAATCGTACGCACGTTTGCGCACTCCTGTGATCCTTGTAACGTTTCCTCTTGTTGTGGTCTCCTCGTTGTCTCTTTGTCCTCTTTCACCTCTGGAAAATATTGTATGGACTCTTCATCGCATCTGGCCGCGCTGCTTGCGAATTAGACGTGACGCTGAAGAACTTCACGCGTTTGCCGTGGCGAGGCCCAGGATCACAGCGGGTTACATCATCGATTAGCCATGAAGCGTCAGATATCGGACAAGAACGAACGGCGGGTGCTGCGGGTGCGCTGAGTACTGAGTGATGCAGTGGCCCTCTCTTGCCTTAGAGCTGGTGCGTGACAAGGAGGTAAGAAGACGATGGTCAGCTCGAAACATCGACTCATTCCACTGGCTGCAGATGAGCGGCGTCGTACCCACGACGAAGCGCATGAAGGCGAGAAGGAGAGCGCCAGCACCCGTGGCGACACCGACGAGGTATTGGCTAGATAGCGCGGGGGAGAGCGTGGAGGAGGGTGAGTCGCCCGCAGCAGCCTGCTCTCTAGCCGTCCTTCTGGTCCACTCACAGCACGTTGAACTTCGCACTCTGAATGCTCGTCCTTAGCCCAGCAATCTCACTCTCAATCCTCGTGTCGACCTCCTTGATCTTCAGCGCATGCACACTACTCTCATCCCTTATCCTTCCCTTCTCCAAGTTTAGATCCAATCGAACGCCAGCAGTAGTACGGGTAATCTCCTCGCGAAGGCGTTGCTTGAGCTTCTCGACGTCGGCCATGAGACGCTCGTTCTCGGCTTTCATCATCGCAAAGTCATTGCGTTCAAGCAGCTGAATTTCGCTTTTGAGACGGGCGAAGTCGACCTGTGGGAGCGGGGCAAGGGCGAGGTTGAAGTCAGTCACTCGTACCACGCGGCGCCCTACAGCATCTTCGACCGGTCGCCTCACCTTCTGCGCATATCTCCACTTCTCCCCTTCTTCCCTGCCCACACACCCCTTCTCGAGCTGCCGCAGGCTCTCAGAGATGACATCGTCCAATGCAGCGACGAGGGAGTCCGCTTGCGCTCGTGGCATGCCGGACGATTCGAGGCGGGTGACAAGGGCGTGCGTGTCGAAATGATGGGCGGGCTCTGAGCGGCATGAGGTTGTCGAGAAGGCTGCTGCTTGACGCAGAATGAGAGACGACGGCGCTGAAGGTGTTGGGCGACGAGGAGCGAGGGATGGAGGAGGTGGGGAGACCGGTGTGGGGCATCGTGAATGGAGCGTACAGCGTGATGTCGAAGCAAGAGGTGATGCTGATGTCGATGCTGGCATACGTGCAGCCCTCAGAGACGACATGGCGCCTTGCGTGCTGCTGCTAGCTCTCATGATGGCAAAATGTGTGGTTGAGGAAGGGAGGAAGGGTTCGTAGACGAGACGAGACGAGACGATAAATGCACACGAGTCGACAAGTCGACGGACAGGGCAGCCGGACGGGTCAAGACGCCAACCAACACCGGCCGAAGCTCATCCTCACGCGCAGCACAACCGACAACGAATGACGAGAATAGATTCATTTCTATGATGATAGAACGGAGACGATGATGCGAGTTGTGGGTATCTCGACGTACGATCTCAACGATCAGTCCACCTCGACGAGGCTGAGCAAGCGCAGATGAAGGGAAGATAAGTCAGCGTACATCCTTTTCCCTCGAGTGCTTGTTGCTCGATCCTCGCATCCTGCAACTCACTGGTAGGAAGGCGCATCGAGCTTCTCCTCTCCCTTGAGGAAGGGAATGGCCACGACGAAAATGTACTCGACCGTCTTGCCGCCGACCTTCTTGACCAGCTCGCCAGCCGCGCCTGCGGATCCGCCAGTAGCGATGAGGTCGTCAACGACGATAATGTTGGCCGGGCCGCCGTGCGAAGACTCGATAGTGCGAGAGGGCATCTCGAAGATGTCCTAGCGGATGAGGCGGAATCATGATCAGCATGGAATCACTATCGTCCTTGGGGCGGGCGGGGGGCGAGCTGCCCTCTGCGGCCTTGGATTCTGCACTCACCTTACCGTACTCCTTGACGTACTCAGCCTGCACATTCTCTCCAGGAAGCTTGCCCCTCTTTCTCACAGGCAAGAAGGCAGCACCCAGTCTCTGAGCAAGCTGCGGTCCAAAGAGGAACCCACGAGCGTCCAGCCCAACAACGGCGTCGATCTTGACGCGCTTCCTCTCCTCATCCGTCTTGGCTGCAGCGCGGAGCTTGGGCAAAGTGACGGAGAAGATGTGGTGGAGCATGTGAGTAATGAGAGACTCAAAGGCGATAGGGTCACGGAGGACGGGGAGAATATCGCAGAAATTGACGCCCTTCTGGGGGAAGTCGGGGTGGAACTCTGTGTGCGAGAAGGGAGAGGTGAGCTGCTTGCTGCTGCTTCTACTGGCGTTGCCTCAACCGCACGCACCAAAGAGGGACTTGAGATGCTCGACGTCGGACATGTTGGCTGATCTGACGATGTCGGTGATGGTAACGAAAGCAAGTCGTTGCTATCAGCTAGCAGCCCTCGACCCTTCTTCCTACCCACACCAACCCAGGCACGCACATTCGCTCCAATTTTGGCTCAACTGGCGGGCCGCTTTCCGAACCGCGGCTCCACTGCCAAATCTTCGCACTGTCGGCGACGGCTTGAAGCTTTGCTTTTGCGTCCTTACCACGTCCATTCATTCAACAAGGGCCATGCCGAAGTCGAGGATCGGCGAGGCTAGCACGTCGGGTGAGCAGTCGATATATGTGGCCTCGTAAAGATCGCATCGCTGACACTGCTGCTGCTGTTCAGCCAACACGCTCGACTCGAAGCCTGCTCCCAAGGCTCGCAGCGATGGCAAGGGAGGCCAGAAGCCTCGCAAGGGCAAGGCGCCCTACCCTGTCAAGAAGCCAGCTGCGGAAGGCGAAGTAGGCGCCAGCAAGATCAAAGCGGCCCTACGTCAGACCCGTCGATTGCTAGCAAAAGTGAGCAGGCAGCACACAACAACAGATCATATGGGATGGTTCTGACCGTCTTTCTTCTCCCTGCTAGCCCAACCTCGCACAGGACGTCCGTCAAGAAGCCCAACGGCGTCTCCTCTCCCTGCAGTCTGACCTGGCAAAACGAGAATCAAGCCAAAAGGAGCGCAAGAATGCCGATCGATACCACAAGGTTCGCTTCTTTGAGCGACAGAAGCTCGTACGCCAGATCAAGAAGATCAAGAAGGATCGAAAGGGCAAGGGCGCCGATGACGACGATGAAGAGCTAAAGGAAAAGAGAGTGCTCCTCAACTATGTGCTGGTGAGTAGTCTTGCCAAGAGCCGTCAACCGCTGCACCTTCCGCCGCGCCCCTCGTCGAGAGAGGCAAAAAGGGATGAATCAACCATCGTTATCAGGAATCTCGTTAGTCTTACCCACCATGGGGATAAAACGTAACCATTCATTCTTCATTATCTGAGCACATCGCCTCGACGACGATGAGGAGGGCGTGGGGCGGGCGTGTGCAGCCGGTGGCACAGCACGGGTTGCAACGAGTCATTGACACCTCGTACTTGCTCCCTCATCTCGCTCAGAACTTTCCCCCATCCCTCAAGTACGTCGCCCTCTTTCCCTCCTCGGGCGAGTCACCCCTCATCAAGCCTGCCCAGCCTGCAGAAGAGACGGATGTGTCGCGCCGAGCTAAGCAGGCGTACGAGCGGGCGATGGATGTGCGGAAGAAGATCATCGCGGCCATGGAGCGTGGCGAGTTGAGCACGGAGCCGGAGGTCGAGCTGGACCGTAGGGCTGGAGACGAGGCGCCGGCTAAGAGAGCGCGCTTGGATCTGGACAGTGACAGAAAGAAGAGCCAGAGTGGGCGTCAGGCGACCAAGAAAGCGAACAAGGCTGAAGAAGAAGAGGAGAAGAGCGACGCAGGAGGAGGAATCGACGGCGACGACTTCTTCGCGAGCGACAGCGATGGCGAGTGACGAGCGAATAGCGTCTCTGCATTCAGCACTATGTATTTGTATCTTGGCCAACACTACCATGCGATCATCATCTACATCAATCTTGCGCTATCTGTATCCTTGCTTTGACCTCGCTGTGCTCACCTTTAGCTTGGCCTCCCGTCGTCGGTATTGCCGGCAATCGGCAGAAGGAGCGCCTCGATGCGAGACGGGAACACGGAGCCCCGCCCGCCCGATGGGATGGACAATGTCCCGTCAGTCCCTTGTTGCACTTCTTCCCTCCTCATCCCATCATCATCCAGGGCATCCAAATATGTCTCTATCTGCTGGAAGGACGCTTCGAGTCAGGCCGGAAAATCTGCTCCGCATAGATGTGAGTGCGCCTAGTAAGTGAGTGAAGCGAAGAAGGTAGCGATTGGTGTTGACTCGTATTCGCCTCGCAGCCCTCTTCTTCTTCTTCAGCAACCACTCGTCCTGCTCTTCTTCAACGTCATGCCCTCAATGCTCCGCTTGCCAGGACTCTTTCGACCTCGGCAGATGCTCCTCGTCGGCCACGATCTGGTCTCGCAACTGCCCTCGTCATCGGCATCGTAGGCGCCGGCGCCTATATCGCCGGGTCCATCTATCCTCCCACGATAGTCACAATGGTTCACCCCCGCGAGGCTCCCGCAGCTCCCGGCTCAGACACAGAGGAAGGTCGTGCACATACAGCCAACATAGAAGAGCAGCTCATGGCCCTGTCCCAGGTCCAAGCCCTCATGGCCTCGAATAGTCCGATAGAGGTGGAAACCCGCTCTCCTCCTAATGGTACCTCAAGTTCAGCAGATGGCTCGAATCCCAGTACACAAGTTCCGTCCCTTGAGACCACACCCACGCACCACCCGCACTTCATTGCCTCGCGACCTTACAGGAATTACCCTCCCTCCAAGCTCCTCCACTCACTCACAGCCGGCACCCTCCGCGGACCTGGGCGCTTTGCTGTTGCTCCCCTAGTGCTAGCCAAGACAACCACGGGCGCACAAGCATTGGGCGGTAATGAAGGGGACTGTCATGTCTTTGTTCACTTGGGTCGCTCGCTCTGCGGGCACGATGGGATTGTTCATGGGGGGCTACTGGCCACTCTCTGCGACGAGGCGTTGGCACGTACGGCCTTCGTCAGCCTGCCCGCGCACGTAGGCGTCACAGCTAGGCTAGAGGTGGACTATAAAGCTCCCACGATGGCGGACCAATTTGTGGTGCTCAAGACCGAGCTCGTCGAAGCGGAAGGCAGGAAAGCAGTCGTCAAGGGAACACTGATGGATATGGGAGGCAAGACGCTCGTGAAGGCGAGGGCAATCTTTGTTCAGCCCAAGTTTGCGCATCTGCTGGATACGAGCTTGGTCAAGAGCGCGATGGATGCGGATGTTGGGGCTGAGAAAGCCAAGAGAGCGTAGGAAGGTGTCGTCGGACGAAGGCAAATGGGGTTGGAGCAGCCGCCGCCTCGCTAGACTATCGTAATAGACTGCACGTAATATGCTTGGTGACTCTGCTCTCGCGCTGAGCTTGAGCCTCGATCGTATCATGCTGCCCCTTCTGAGCGAGCGCTTGGCTCCTGTGTGTGTCAAGGCGATTGTATGCTATTGAGGCCGACGGGTACTCTCGTCTCTACAGATTCCAAGCCTTTGGCCTAATGCAGAGATGAAACATCTACTGCTTGCTGCAATGCGGGGAAAGCGAGGAAGAGGCGGGTGCCAGTGGGGATGGTCAGCCACGATCCCGGAATGACTGCTGCGAGTGGCCATTGCGACTCACTACCTCTGCCAAGCAGCAGCGACGAAGGGGAGCGAGAAGCCCGAGATGAGGAAAGTGGTGATGCCGACCGCGAGACGGGCCTTGTACTTGGGTCCAGATTTGAACGGGACGGCCTGAGGACGAGAGATCAGAAGCGATGGAAAGGTCAGCTTCCCTGCCCATCATCGATGTCATCGTCGCTGACGAATTGCGACGACGGCATTGCAGAAAGGAGTGGACGCGATACGCACAGTATCAATGGTGTTCTCAAAGTGGACCATGCGGACACCGCGGGGCACCGAGGTGCGCGCAGCCTGGCGCGAAGCGTTTGCGAGGATGGCGGAGACCATTGTAGTTATGGAGGAGGTGTTGAGGGAGGACGAGGTGAGATGCAGACGTCGATAGTCTCGACTCGAAGCTCCAGTCAACGAGCCGTTCCTCCCGTCGTGGCCGTCGCCCTCGGCCAGGCTCGATGGACGACTTGGTTCCGTTCCGCTCCTTTTCCGCGTCTCGGTCCCCTGCTCAACCAGCCGGCTTGGGCGTGAGCCGGTGTAAGAGGGAGAGAAAGGTAACTCCACCCGATTGCCGATTGTGGGGTATCAGTGGGGAACGAGTTTCTTTCATCACATCCAACTGGTATTCAACAAGAAGATGGCGGGCCAAGATGAGCAGTCGAAAGGCAAGAAGATCGGTCAGGAGTATGGCGAGGTCAGACAGGCCGTCGATTTGGACAAGCTGAATGCGTATTTGAAAGGTGAGAGCACGCCGGTCAAGCTACATTTGCAATGAGGAACGAGACGGGGCATCGTCTGACCAGCTCCTGCCCCTCTCTCAGAGAGTGTTCCCGCCATCAAAGCCCCAGTAGAGGTCAAACAATTCTCCTTTGGCCAGTCCAATCCAACCTATATCCTTACCGACTCCAATCGCTCACGGTACGTCCTCCGCAAGAAGCCTCCCGGAGACCTCCTCTCCCCGACAGCCCACGCCGTAGAGCGCGAGTACCGTATTCTCGACTGCTTGAACAAGTTCAATCGCACACTTGACGCATCGCAGTATGGTGGCGACCACAAGAAGCATCCAGACGCTGTGCCCGTGCCGCAGGTCTACTGCTTGTGCGAGGACAAGAGCGTCGTGGGCACCAACTTCTACATCATGGAATTCGTCGAGGGACGAATCTTCACAGACGTGCGAATGCTGGACATTCCAAAGGAGCAGCGCTTGAAGTGTTGGGACTCGGCCCTCAGCACTTTGGCAGCAATGCATCGTATCCGGCCAAACGAGATCGGGTTGGAGGGATACGGCAAGCCTGCGGACTTCTATCCTAGGCAGCTGAAAGCGCTGGGAACCATCTCGCACTTGCAGGCAAAGACCAAGGACAAGGAGACGGGCAAGGAGGTCGGAGAAGTCCCAGGATTCCACGATCTGGTGGGATTCTTCAAGGCGAATCTGCCCAAGGACGAGAACACGATTTGTCATGGGGATTATAAGATTGACAACCTGGTGAGCAGCGCGACGTCACGTCTCCTCATCGCAGGCTGACACCACCTCCTTTGCGCCGACTCGCACACAGATCTTCCACCCGACCGAGCCGCGCATCATTGGCGTCCTCGACTGGGAGCTCTCCACGCTCGGCCATCCCCTCTCCGACCTAGCCAACCTGATGCAGCCCTTCAGCCTGGACTGCCCGCACCCAGACCGGATCAACGACCCCGCCGAGCTGCAGCGCTCCCTGGAGCGAGGCGAGATGTATATGCTCCTCGGCGGTCTCTCACCCCAGCAATCCCCTGCACCACAAAAGGAGGATTTGCTCAAGGCGTACGTCCGCTACGCTAAGCGGGACCAGTACCCTATCCCAAATTGGGCTACGTGCGAGGCATGGGCCTGGTTCAGGAATGCGGTCATTAGTCAAGGCATCGCGGCGAGGGTCGCACAGAAGCAAGCGTCGAGCGCGCAGGCCAAGATGTATGCTACCAAGTTTCCTGCGGCTAGTGAGGCGGTCAAGTCGATCATTAGGAGGAGTGGAGCTAAGCTGCCTGGCGATGGAGGGGAAAAGGCGAAGCTGTAGCTTCGGAGGCGCATGGGAGTGGTATGTATGCTTGTTTCCTATTGCATCGCTGTAATGAGATGGAGTGACGATGCGGTCCTGCGTGCGATGCAAATGCTGTCCAGATCGGTGGCTGCAGCCTCCTTGCCTCTCTACAATTGATGCGCTCTCAGCGGGCACGCCACGGCGTCCTTGTCTGCGAAGGTAGCCTCGTGCACCTGCCCCCTGAAGAGGTAGCGCACCCGCAGCACCTTGCGCTCCCCCATCGCTGCATCGTAGAAGCCGAGCAAGTTGCTCTTGGACCTACCGCCAGGGATGACCAGCCCAGAGCGCGAGACGAGGGCTTGCAGGGGGATGCGGACGTCGCAGTAGAGAGGTTGGGCAGAACTCGACGGGGACGACGCTGGGCCGCCAACGTCGTCGTCGTCGGCCTCCTCGTCGGCTTCACCCTCTGCTTCTGCGTTCCTCGCCTCGCCTAGCCAAGCGCGCCTATCAAGCTCTTCAGCGTCCACGGCGCCTTCGAGGATCGCCTCGCTGACGGGCAAGGCGTCCGCCCGTCCATACCAAGCCTCAATAACGATCAATCCCCCTTTTGCCCTCTCCGAGCTCGCCCTCTTTCTCGCCTGGCTCCGCAGTGCCTCCACTCCCTCCTTCGCCGCTCTTCTTCTCTGCCGGATCAGGTCCCAATTGTCGCGCCTCAGCTCAGCCAGCCTGCCACGCACCTTGCGCTTCCTCTTCGGGGCGAGGTACAAGCTTTCCGCGGCGAAGAGGCCCATGAGGGGTAGAGCCGTGGCTGCGATAACGAGATCGGCTCGAGGCGCCGGTGCGAGCAGGATGGGAAGCGCGACTTTCTGTCCCAAGCGGTTGAAGCTAACCCTCATCGTCACTCCACCGGGCAAGCCCGCCGTCACCCCCACACCCACGTCCGTCCCCTCTGTGACGCGCTTGTCGCCATGCAAATGTACGCTGGCGCCGCTGCCTGAGCCGACGCTCAGCCCCATGCGCAGTCTTGCTCCGCCGAGCCACTTGATTGGGGCAAGACCGCGTTCCAGATTGACGTTGGTGTCGCTCAGCCCGATTGTAGTGCTGACTGTCCAGCCTTTGCCGGAATTGTGCTGCGACGTCAACCCGACGAGGACGCTCGGTGGGTCCATTCGTAACAGGCCTGCTTCGGCGGCTGCGCGACCCCACGGACCCAGAGTGTAGGTGCCTGAGCGGACGGTCGTGAAGCCAGTAAGAGGTGACTCGTTGGAGAGACGCTGACCGTAGGTCACATTGAAGCTTGGCGGAAGCATCGTCGTGGACCCGCCGACTGTCCAATTGAAGAAGCTGAATTCATTGATTTGGTATTGACCCTTCAGCTGGACGATGCGCGGCTTCATCAGGGTAAACATCAGGTCCGTCTGCAAGCGTGGCGACCATTGATGCTTGACTGTGCCGAGGAAGTTGCCGCCGCCAGAGCCATTGCGGCTCAGCATCTGGCCGGAGAAGTTGACTGTCGTCCGCTCTGCGAGGGGCACATCGAAGCCGTGCTTGCCCATGAGGGAGCGCACCTGGACGAGACTAGCACGGTCTGCGAGGGTAAGCGCAGGAGGTTGCGGTGGCGGCGGCGGCGGCCCAGGAGGAGGGCCCACACCGGCTGCCGTGTCCGCAGCGGTCGGAGCAGTTGAGGGTGCTGGCGCAGGGCGTGGTGCCGGCCGTCTTCTGATCGCGTGCGCAGGTGCGAAGAAGCCTGTCGCATCGATCTGGGCCGTGAACTCCCCTCTTGACCTCACTAGATCCGCCGCTTCTTTCTCCTTCTTCATCTCCTTCTGCCTCTCAAACTCTCTCCTCAGCTCCTCCGGCGACCTTCCTCTCGTGCTGACAGTCCACGTCGAATTCAAGCCTTCCTCCCCAAAATGATCGTAGACTGTTCTCTTTTCCCGGTCGGAGAGAACCTCATACGCTCGCTGAATATCGCGAAATCGCGACTGAGCTGCAGCTTTGGAGCGAGGCTCGAGATGCTTGTCCGGGTGCAGGGCTACTGCGAGCGAGCGATACGCTTCACGAATCTGGTCCGGGGTAGCCTCACGGTCCACGTTGAGCAGGGCGTAGTAGCGGTCTGTCTCGTGCTCGAGAATCTCGTGGTCTGACTCGGCCGCGTTGGACGGCGATTCCTCGTCCTCATCGTCTTCGTCGTTCGTATTGGCATGCCCGTTGTGGTTCCCTCTGCTGCTGGGAGGGTGGGAACGAGGAGGGGAGGCGGCTCGAGGGGGGGCTGCGCGTGATGAGGTCGAGGCAGAAGCTGATGCTGATGACGAACCCTGCGCCGACTCGCCGTACGGATCGTCAATGGCCGCGTCCATGGCTTGAGAAGGAGGAAAGAGCAGGAGGACGAGGCGGTGGTGATGAAGCAAAAAGTGAAATGAAGTCTGAGCTTTTCTGCCCTGAATCGGTCTTCCGCTGACGAGAGTTGCGCACGGAGCGCCGTCCGTCCGCCTCGGCCTGGGTCAAGGGATCAAGCCGAGACCATCGTTGCCATCGCTCCTCATCCTCCGCGCCCACCACCTTGCCTCGTCACCTTCTCGATACACTTGCTGCACGGCCTTCGCCCGCCCTCTGCCAGAACAGACGGAGCTTTACACTGCGGCTCACGCCTCCCACCGGGTCTTCAACCTCTCTACGGAGCAGCACTAATATCTACCGGACAACGGCCCCTGAATCATGTCGCTGCGTCCTATGGTTGGCCCCGGCCTTGGTGAGCAGCGCAGGTGTCGCGAAAATCGATTCTATACATTATGCTGACCGTGGTCACTGCCTGTGTGCTCCTCTCCAACGCATCAGCCGGCTGCTGCACCATTCTCTCCATCTTCGGCGTCCTCTCCCTCTTCGTGATTGGCTATGGTGAGCTCACCCTGTCCTTTCCCCCAAACACGCCATGTGACATGGTCTTGCTCATCACACGGCTCTTTATTTGTCTCCTCCTTACCTCCCTTCGCACAGGCTTTGCAAACCACTGGGAAGCCTTCATGGGCTCGACGGAGGATCCGGAGGACGGAATGGCCGTTGCTACCACATGCTATGTAGCTGCCCTGATCTACGCTGCGTTCATCCTCTTCTGCGGCTGTCAATTGGGAGCGCACAAGAGGTACAGTAGGATACAGCTATGAGCTGCGATTGTGGAGTCTTTGTGGATACGACGACGAGTACTGCATTTCAATGGCATATGCATATACGACACGCATACGCCTTGCGGGATGGGACACGAACTGATCAGGCGGAGGAGGATCATTGCACAAGAGACATGATGCATTGCTGCGCTAGAGCAAGAGAAGAGGAAAGTCGCTTCTCCCTGATTCTCGATCGACTTCCCCTTCTCTCTATGTTGGGTCATCGCAGGCGATGCAGACGCTGCCCAAGCATTCTGCGGGAACGCGGCCTTCCATCGCCGCCTGGTGAGTGTATGCTGATGTTGATGATGCTGCTGGATGATGTCACCCAATTAGTGTTTGTGATGATGTCCCTCCTTGGGATGCGGATGAATGTACCCCTGCACCGTCTCATAAACCAGGAAGCTCACTCCAATACTCGGGGCCACCTTTAGCAGATTGGGCCACAAACCCCTGTAGAGCCCAGTGAACCCGTCAGCACGAATGATGTTCCTGATCGCATCGATGGCGCTCTTGTCCGAGTAGCCTAGCTTGGAGTTCTTCATCCCCGCCACTTGCATACGCCGACGAAGAACGTCGAGCGGGTAGGTGAGCGTTTGGCTGATGGACCCAGCGAGGGCGCCGCAGGAGAGCTTCGAGATGGTAGAGATGTCGCCTTCGGAATCGAGGAAGTGCTTGCGAAGGGCTTCGTATGCTGCGAAGTTGATGGCCACATACGGGGCAACTCCCGCTGCTGTCGGGACGCAACCTCTGTACAGCCCTCTGATGCCGCCTTCCTCCCTGTACACCTTGGCCGTCATGGCCCCGATCCCAGGCACTCTCTTCTGCCTCTCCGCAATCACCTGCCGCATCTCCGCCCTCGACAACTTCGCAGATGGCTTCGTCGTCTCCTCTTTCGCATCAGCATACAGTGACGCCGACGCAATTGAGATCCTTGCCCTTACCAGATCGAGTGGGAAGGTCCCAACGCAAGAGAAGGTCCCGCCAATCGCACCTGCGAGGAGCCGCTGCGGTGTACCGAGCTCCCCTTCAGGGCTCTTAAGCTTCTCCTTTGCGATCTCGTAGGTGCAGAATTGGATTGCCGAGTAGGGGACGATGCGCAGGCAGTTGATGCCATTTCCGCGCATGAAGCCTGCAAAGCCTTCCTCCTGCCACATCTTGATCAGACCAGATACCACACCGCCGTACGCCCCCTTGCCGCCTTTGGAGCTCGCGCTTGCTGCTGACCGTGGTTGGACTTGCATGATGACTGGCGGAGGAGTGGAAGTCAGTGAGCTATTTCAGGGCTGCTTCGACCGCAGCAGTTGCTCGACTCACTCTTCAGCCTCTCAAGCGGAGAAACGACGGTACGACTAGCAGCTCCAGCAGCACCGCCTGCTATGAAGTAGGAGACGAGGTAGGCGGAGCTGACTGCCGATTCCTCTGGCTCGTCGTCGTCGTCCTTTTCCGCTACAGCCTGGAGCGAGGAGCCAATACCCTCCCTTCCATCAGCCTCGACTTGACCCGCCTGGATATCAATCGCCTTCGCCCTAGCTCCTGAACTGTTCGTCGCCTCGAGGACGGACAGGATGCGAGGCCAACTTCTCCGGCTGGCAGGGCCAGGCGATGGTGATGAGGCTGGATGGCAAGCCTCTTCATCATCATCGAGGGTCTTGTTGGAGCCCGAAGCGGCTTCACTCCTACCGCGATGAGTGGGACGCAGAGGAATCATGCTGTAATGCGAGGCTTTTCGAGGCGTCGAGTGTTAAGGTTGCCGAATCCAGAAAAAAGCAGTGGAGGACCCAGGGGCTATGAGGAGCGAATGGGCATAGGCAGATCGCCGAAGTCGATTGGCAGGGCCGCAGAAATGGGTGTGACGCCGGTTGCGCGAGGTGGTGTTGAGTATATAGAATAGACAAGATAGAAGATAAGGAGAGAGGGGCCCCAAAGGAGTAGCAAGACCGCTGAACCGGCTATTGCTGCGAAGTGAGTCGAAGCGGCTTCACGCTCACGCTCTCACCTCTCTGTCCGATCCAGGGTCGGGCTCGGTCGGAGCGACCATGGGGAGCGGAAAGTGGGGTCGGCGTTTACGTAAGCAAAGGGCGCGGATTGAGCCAACGCCAACGACTTCTCATCGCATCATCATCTTCCCGCCGCTCGACCAACGCAGCGTTCGACCGTCACTAGCAATGCCGCTGAGACCCAACGTCAGGATCCTGTGAGTTCATCGTGCTATCGAATCAGACGCAATCTGCTGTCCCTAGAGCTGAAATTGCTCACTTTTTCCCCCGCTGCAGCCGGGACATGGCCAAGCGCCAGTCGGTCGCCTCCAACGAGCTGCTGCGTCGCGCCTACAAGTACGTGGCCCGCAACGAGACTCTCCCGGTCAAGGTCAGACATCAGGCACAGCTTCAGCTCAATCAGTTCCCAAATAAGAGCAGACCAGAGATGGTCAAGGAACGCTGTGTCGAGACTGGCAGGGGCAGGGGGATCATCACTGAGTTTGGACTTTGCAGGGTGAGTTCGAACGTCCCACAGCAAGCTGCACTATAATAAACAAGCTTCTGATCCCTCTGCCTCCCTCATTCACAGTATCAATTCCGCCTGAAGGCTCTTCGAGGAGAGATTCCCGGCGTCCAGAAGGGCTCATGGTAGCTGGGTGCTTTTTAGCCAGATCCTCTTCACGCATCTTCACTTGTACACTATATCGCGAATACACTTCTCTCTAGCACGTTACGAAAGGCGAGCGATCAGGCAAGCCTGTGCCACCAGATGACAAACACGAGCAACCTTGACTGGTTGGCTCAACGCGGCTAGCGTCGATGATGCCCAAGCACAGAGTGGCGGACCTATCATCGTCCTCGCCTCGTCTGAGATGGGCCATCGCTCATTGGCGACCAAGATCGCCCTTAGCTCGGCGTAGCGTCACCTCTACGATGTCGATGTGCTCGATCCACCACTGACAGCACAACGCCCACGCTTCGCCTGGCGCCGTCGATCTCTCGATGCCTCGATTCACGAGCCCTTTGCCTGTCGCCCGCTTCTGCGCCTCGTCGGACTCGCGACTTGAATCGACTCGGCAGCTTCGCAGCAGCTTCGCGGCGCAGCCTCGGACCTCTTCCCCGCATCGACCCCTCAGTCTGAGGCCACCGACGTCACTCGCTCACTCGCTCACTCACCCATTCGCCGCCTTGACGACGATCCACGACCCTCGAGCTGCTATCGAGACTGTCTTGCCAAGCCGAGGTTCGGTAGCTCACTACGTCCCACGCTATTGCTTTGCGATCACCCTCCGCTCGTCCCCTCCCTCACGCAGCTAGATAGCTAGCAATCGAGTACAGGGTGATTGACTAGCTCCGTCTCCTCAGTCTCCTCCCTTCACCCTTCCCATTCCATCCAATCCTCGACACCCTCAACACCATCCCTCAACATGCCTCCTGCTCGTAGTAGCAGCGGCGTCTCCTCGCACGGAGGCCATGAAGCTGTCAAGGTCCAGAAAGAGGACATAGTCTTTGCTGGCTGGGTCCTTAAGAAGAAGAGGAAGAAGATGCAGGGTGAGAGCGTGCTGCAATGCAATGCCACCACGACAGTACCTCGCATCATTACTGACCCTTCTTGTCCTCCCCTACGCACGCCAGGCTATGCCAAGCGATGGCTGATCCTCACCAAGCAGGGCATGCTAACCTACTCGCTCCACCCGGACAAGCCTACACGCGATGCCATTGAAATCCCACACGCCTCAGTCACCAGTAGCAAAAGGCACGGCACTCTACACGTTGACAGCGGGGCAAGCGTCTTCCGTGAGTACCATTGAGCGCGCTACGCTACGCTACAATGCTCAGACCGCTGGGCTCACTGTCCTCACTCACCTCCACACTCTCAGATCTCAAGGTCCTGGAGCCTGCCGACTTTGACAAATGGAGGAGCCAATTGAAGGCATTCATTCCTGATGCTTCGCCTGGCTCGGCGCAACGCATCTTTGTCTCGTCGAATAACAGCACCGAGCTCGTGGCTGTCGACCTCTCGCCCGTCTTCAATGCGAGCATCACTGTAGGCAAGCTGATTCAAGAGGTTCAGTCTCGAGTAGGTGACTTCAAGTCATCGTCCACAGCCAGCAAGGGGCTCGTAGACTCAATGGCTGCCATGGTAATGCCGCGCAACGAGAATGGCACAGAGGCCATTGGCGCGCTCTCGACTATCGTCGATCAGCTCGCAGCAGAGCATGCCAACCTCTCGTACGCTCTGCAGAGCAAGATTCCTGTTCAAGGTTCTGGCTCGACGGGCACCATGCGATCTCTGCAGCATCGCGATGGCATGAAGTCCGACCTTCGTCAGTCGCGCATGAGCTTCTCATCCTTCCGCACCACCGAAACGGGAGAGGGCACCTTCTTCGATGCCGACGCGGCCGATGGCTCTTTCAATGATGACGCAGCCAAGGAGGAGCAGTCCTCTGGAGCCGAGGACTTCGACGAAGATGACGACGACGACGAAGATGAAGGCCAGGGCGGCGACGATGGTAAGCCCATCAGTGGTGTCGTCCCCGCCTCACAGTCAGCGGGCAAAAAGTATCGCAAGCAGCTCCCAGCCAAAGTGTCGGGAGACGAGGTTTCTCTCTTCTCCATGCTCAAGAAGAACGTGGGCAAGGATCTCTCGACCATCTCCTTCCCCGTGTCCTTCAACTGCCCCCTTTCGCTTCTGCAAGCCTCCTGCGAGGAGTACGAGTATGCCCCTGCCCTCCTCGAGCGGGCGTCCAAGACGCAAGACTGGGTGGAGCGCCTGTGCCTCGTCTCTGCTTTTGCGGTGAGCAGCTACTCGAGCACGAAGCTGCGTGCCAGTCGAAAGCCCTTCAACCCGCTGCTTGGCGAGACTTATGAGTGCGTACGTGACGACCGCAACCTGCGCTTCATTGCGGAAAAGGTCGTGCACCAGCCTCCCATCGTGGCACACTACGCTGAGGGCAAAGGGTGGCACTGCACTGGTTGGTCGGCTGTCAAGAACAAATTCTGGGGCAAGTCCCTTGAGCTCATCCCCGAGGGACAGGTGCGGCTAGAATTCGATGACGGCGATGCGTTCACGTTTACGAAGCCCTCGTCGTTCATGCGCAACCTGCTTGCCGGCAACAAGTATCTCGAGCACGTCGGCGAGCTGACGGTCACCAACGCCAACAGCGGGCAGCGTGCCGTGATTGAGTTCAAGGAGGGCAACATGTGGGGCGGCTCTGGATCTCGCAACCAGGTAGTCGGCACCGTCTACGACGAGAATGACAAGAAGGTGACCGGCCTCAAGGGCAAGTGGTCGGACAACTTTGCACGTCAGAAAGACGACGAGAACTACCAGCAGCTCTGGGAGGCTGACGAGATGCCTCGTAACGCCGAGGACTACTACGGTTTCACCTACTTTGCCATCTCCCTCAACGAGATTACAGACGACATCAAGAAGATTCTGCCTCCCTCTGACACTCGTCTACGCCCCGACCAGCGGGCATTCGAAGAGGGCAAGGTGGACGAGGCAGAGAAGACGAAGCAGGACTTGGAGGGCAGGCAGAGGGAGCGTCGTAAGCAGATGGAGAGCAAAGGGGATAGCTACGAGCCAAGGTGGTTCCATAAGTCTAAAGGAGAGGATCCCGAGTGGCAATTCGGCGGCAAGGGCGGCAAATACTTTGAGAAGAGGGAGAAGAAGGAGTGGAAGGAGGTGCCCAAGATCTTCGAGTAGCGAGTTGCGGAATCGCCGCCGTATTGTCTTTCTCGCCTGTGACGTTGTTTGCTTCTAGTTGTTCGCAATGGACCGGCCTTTCACTTCTCTGATGACCGGTGGTGATCCTCGATGAGCATGGCCGATGGCTCGCGTGGCTGAGCCGAGTGGCGGCTGGACGGACAGAGATTTTGGAAATGGTGCGGTCACAGTCCGCCTTGTCAGTCGAGCCCACCCTTCGTTTCCATCACCAGCACCCAATCCTCTTCAGATCGCCCATCATGGCCAAGCGCAAGCAGGTCAAGAAGTTCGCGACAGTCAAGCGCATGCTCAATCCCAATGACCAGCGACTGTGAGTAGAGCGCTTCCCAGCAGAGCATTAGCAGCTCCACCCCGCACTTCTCTCTTCGTTGACCCTTTCGCATCCGACCTCCCTCGTCGCCCCACAGCAAAGAGAATCAAGTCAAAGCCGATGCGAAGAAGAAGGCTGCCGAGGAGCAAAAGGTCCGTCATGTAGAGACGGCAGCCTCTTCACTCTTCTTCCAGCACAATACAGCCTTAGGGCCGCCGTACCGCGTGCTGGTGGATACCAACTTCATCAACTTCAGCCTTCAGAACAAGATTGAGCTCGTTCAGGGGATGATGGACTGCTTATATGCGAAGAGTGAGCAGCAAATAAGCTGCTTGGTTTACCATTCGGGACAGTCACTAATCTCATGCTGCCCCTCTCACCACCGATAGGCATCCCTTGCATCACGGACTGTGTCCTGGCCGAGCTGGAAAAGCTGGGTCCCAAGTACCGCATTGCGCTACGAGTGGCTCGCGATCCACGCTTCGAGCGACTTCCGTGCAGTCACAAGGGAACTTATGCAGACGACTGCATTGTTGACAGGGTGTCGACGCACAAGTGCTACATGGTTGCGACCTGCGACAAGGAGTTGAGGAGGAGGGTGAGGAAGGTGCCGGTGAGTACTACGCCGACAAGAGCAGCGACGAAAGATGTCGAAGTCGTGTAGGCTGACTTGGCTGGCTGTCTGTTCTTGCCATCGCAGGGCATCCCATTGATGTACATCTCCAAGCATCGGTACGCTGTGGAGAGGCTTCCGGACCAAGGCATGCCGTCGTAGTCCTCTTATCTCGTTCGTCCGGAGAGGGACGTCACACCATACCACCGCCCTCACCTTCAGCATCACTGGGCCGCTTTTCTCTTACACCTGTACAATACACTCACCCTCGCAACGCTGCTGTCACGACGTCTTCACAGTTGCTCGCCTCTTTCATGACGTCGAGCGAGCATCTACGCAATCAGGTACGCCGACTCGAGCGACAAAGCGATCCGCCGCAGTGCGCCCTTGTCTCAGCCACTTGGGCGCCGTTGCCAACCCACGATCTACGGTCATGAATGCCTTCCTAACTTCCTCATTCTCGCAGCTGACCCATCATCGAGCAGCCTGACCCGTCCAGCTCTCACCCCTGTTTCCCTGCGCTCTGAAAGCTTTCCTTGCCATGGCAGACGATAAGAAAGATGACAGGAAGGAGGACGGAAAGAAAGACGAAGGCAAGAAGGAAGATGGGAAGAAAGGTGGCGATGCTAAAGGCGGAGGCGGCGGAGGAGGAGGAGGAGGAGGTGGTGGCGGCGGCGGCGGTGATGGTGGTAAGAAGCAAGAGGGTGGCAAGGGCCAACAGCAGCAGCAGCAGCAACAAGGCGGGGGAGATGGCAAGAAAGGTGTCGGAGGTGGTGGTGGCGGCCAGCCACAGCAGCAAGCAGCTTCAGCCGCTCCTGTCCAGCCTACCGCCTACCCTTACGGCTATCCTCAACCACCCTACGCCAGCATGCCTTATCTCATCCCCCATCCGCCTCACTCCTACTCACATCAAGGCCCCTCACCAAACACGACTCATCGACCCGAGTCCATCACATTCGCAGGCGCAGGTCTAGTCTGCTCCTTGGTCCTCCTCTTCGTCCAACTGATCCTCGCAATTACCCTCTGCCGGGCTCCCTCGCCTGCCGCACTGGTCTTCACCGTTCTACTGGTGATCGTCTTCCTCAACGCTGTGGGGAGTTTCGGGCGGAATGTCCTTGAAGGCGATTCGGGGAGGGAGACGACCCTCGCATGGATGCTTCGGATCGCACGAGCCGTAATGGTTGCTCTAGAGACATTCATTGCCGCGGAGAAGAGCAGCGCGCCTCCTCCTAAGCCTTGTTCTCCTCCATACCTTATGGCGACGCCCTGCTGGCCTGCACCGCCTCCTCCTGCTCCTGCACCGCCTCCTCCTGCTCCTGCCCCGCAGCCGCAGCCACAACCGCAGCCGCAGAAGGAGCAGCCGAAGAAAGAAGAGCCCAAGAAGCAGCAGGAGCAGCTGAAGAAGGAAGAGAAGAAGGAGGACAAGAAGGAGGATAAGAAGGAGGAAAAGAGGAAGGAAGAGACAGAAATTGATAAGCTGGTCAAGAAGTACTTGGAGATTCTCAAGGTGAGCGTAAGTGAAGCGAAGGAACCAACAACTTCACTGCTCACTGTCCCTCTGCTCTCGATAGAAATCTCCGCCCCCTGCTCCCACACTCCCTCCTGCCCCCGCCGCACCACCTCCAGCACCAGCACCAGCACCAGCTCCCCCTGCTAGCCCTCCCGCACCCAAACCCAAGCCGCAGAAGCCCAAGCCTCCCCCCGATCAGCCTGCCTCGTGTTACCGTGATGGGAAGCGCCGTGTCAAGACTTGGTTCTCGAGGGACGGGGAATGCTGGGGAACTGTGGATTGTGGGTGCGGGTGTAGGAGTGGATGACATGTTGAGTAGACATCATAGCGTAGCCACGACACAATGACGAGCAGTCAGCGCAAGTGCGATACTATGCAACTGAAATCGTATGAAGGGGCACAGATACAGGAAGCGACACGTCACAGAATCCGAAATCGTTCGATCGCTCAATTACCCGCTCCACTCAATCGTCTTGAGGTCCACACCATCCTGCACCAGCTCCCACAAGGGCGACATGTCCCTCAGCTTGGTGACGACCTTGATGACCTTCTCTGCCACGTAATCAACCTCTGCCTCTGTGGTGAAACGACCGAGACCGAAGCGGAGCGATGAGTGGGCCTACGAGTGGGAAGGGGCGGAAGCAATGTCAGCGAATCGATTCCAATGCGGGAGGAAGGGCTCACATCGCAACTCACATTTTCGTCATCCAGCCCAAGCGCCCTCAGCACGTAGGACGGCTCGAGCGACGCAGATGTGCAGGCCGACCCTGAGGAAAGGCAGACGTCCTTAAGCGCCATGAGGAGGGACTCGCCCTCGACGTACTGGAAGGAAAGGTTGACGCAGCCTGGATACCCATCCACGTCACCGTTGACGAGAACGGCGTCAATCTCCGAGAGGACGCGGTCCTTGAGGCGCTTGGCCAAAGAGGAGATGTGCGCGTGGTCGTACTGATGGGTAGAGTGGAGAGAGGTGTCAGCATTGTGCTCTGGAAAGATGTGGCCAGATCCAACTCTTGGCAATCCCGCTGCGCTCCCTCGCTCTCGTCGTCAGAACCCCTGCATACATGGTCACAGCCACAGAGGAGCTATCTACCCCATCTCGACGCAGGCTGTGATGGAGGCGGGAGACAGTGAGGGACTATCGCACCGCAGACCCAGCTGAGCGCAAAGGCCGCTGAGCGCAGTCGATGTGCCGCTCACTGATCCCATCCCCATCGCCCTGCGCCGTTTAGCATTTGCAGTAACTTCCATCACGCGAGCGCCGTCCGAGCCCACGAGCAACCATCTTGCCACGCGTACTCACAGCAAGCTCCCTCTTGGCGATCCTTGCCGCCTCTCCGAATCCAACAATCAGCGGCGGTGCGAGGGTACCCGAACGCAGTCCACGCTCCTGCCCACCACCGTTAATGATAGGCTCAAGCCTGACTCGCGGCCTCCTGCGCACGTAGATGGCGCCCATTCCCTTCGGCCCGTAGATCTTGTGCGAGGACAAGCTCATCAGATCAACGTTCATCTTGTTGACGTCAATCGGGATCTTGCCTGCCGCTTGAGCTCCGTCCGTGTGCAGCAATGGCTTGCCGCTCAGCCCCTTGGACTTTGCCAGCTCTGCTCCCTTTGTCTTGAGGAGCTTGCCGATCTCTGCAATGGGCTGAATGACGCCGATCTCGTTGTTGACCGTCATGATGGAAACGACGGCTGTCTCTGGTCTCAGAGCGTCCTCGAGCTCCTTCATATCGATGAGCCCGTTCTCCTTGACGGGAAGGTAGGTGACCTCGAATCCCTCATCCTGCAACTTCCTGCACGAGTCGAGGACGCACTTGTGCTCCGTCTGCGTCGTGATGATGTGGTTCTTCTTGCTGCCGTAGAAATGCGCACATCCCTTCAGTGCCATGTTGTTTGACTCGGTGGCGCCCGAGGTGAAGATGATCTCCTTGCTGTCTGCGCCGATGAGGTCGGCAATGTGCTCACGGGCGGCCTCTACGGCTGCTTCTGACTCCCAGCCGTAGGCGTGAGTGCGGGAGTGAGGGTTGCCATACTGGTTGGTATAGAAAGGCATCATGGCGTCGAGGACTCGCGGGTCGACGGGCGTCGTGGCCTGGGCGTCGAGGTAGATTGGGCGTTTCGCTGTGCTCGGTCGAGGTGCTGACTCGAGGACATCTGAGACGAGGTCCCTGTGGCCACCACCGACGGACTTGATGTTCCTCTGAGCACTCCCACGACCAGCGCTGACCGTTGACTGAACCTCGACGGGCGTTGCCATCTGGTTTGGCTTGCTCGGGGTGGCATATCCTCGAGTCGCAGCCGGTGGCGATGATGACGGTGCCGTTGCAGCCGCTGCAATTCGCTGTGTCGACTTGGCACCATTGCGCACCAGTGCCTGTCTGACTGATGGTGCGATCATTGTGGCGAAATGTGTGGGGGTTGAAGAACAGGGGTATTGATATCTTGAAGGGAAGGAATTAAAGGTGGCCGAATCGTCTGCTGCTCTCTGGCCTCAGCGATGCGATGATGAATCCACTTTTGGGCGGCGAAAGGCGGCGAGGCGGGCAGTCGTGCGCCGGCGTCGGCGGCTCCAAGCTCGAGCTCGAGGCAATCGATCGCCGCCCTCCGCCTCAACTCAGCGAGCTTGCTGAGTAGGCCAAAGCCACGTGGTTTTGGCCCGCTCTTCCCGCTCTGCTCGACGAAAGATCGCGCGAGCCACCACCAACCAACGCTTGTCGTCGTCCTCATCTTCCTGTTGCCCATACTCAACGATATCACGCCCAGCCATGTCGTCGTCGCTCTTTGGTAGTGGACTACGAGGAGCATCACGACAGCTGAGGGCGTCATCGTACGCAAGCACCAGCGCCCTCAAGCTCGCACCGACTACAAGGCATTGGTCCACCTCATCCCTGTCCGTAGTCCTCAAAGTCGCATCACAAGATGTTCGCTTCGACTTTACTCTGCCCCGCTTCCCCCTTCTATCAGCGCAAGCACAGAATGAGCTGTCGGCGGGAGCAAACGACTCAGTACCATCACTACTGCCGGCAGGCCTGGCAGCTGAAGGCTCGTCGTCATTGAGCGCAGCAGAGGACGAGGAGGACCCGCTGCAGTGGGATGGGATCCTCAATGCTGTGCCCAAGAAGAAGGTCAGCCACTCAAGAAAGAGGATGAGGGCGGCAAACAAGGGGTTGAAGGACAGAATGGGTGAGTCGCGCGGACCTGGGCTCGTGCAGCGCATACATCCTCCAACCTCTCGACTGACAATGCCTTTTCGTGCTTTGCCTGCGCCTGCTCTTACTAGATCTCGTCCACTGCGGAGGATGTGGTCGACCAAAGGCAATTCATCATATCTGCCCGCATTGCTTTGGGGATATCGCAAGGAGGCAAAAGACCGAGCTGAGAGAGAGGGCGGCGGCAGCAGCAGCTTCGACGTCGACGTCGTCGAGTGCGACGGCTTGAGGGAGTTGATGAGCAGGATCAGCATGTCACAATACAAGCATGTTCGAGCATGAAAGTTTCAGGCGATGTGATGAAGTGGATCTTGGACTAGCAGTCAATGTCCTGACAGAGTGGCGGTGTCTGCTCGAGCTGGACGAGCTGGACACCGCGCGCCCAGCTTTCCCCACTGTCGCCGTCATGAATCTCAACGCCTTGCCTTTCCTCGTCCATGTTGTCTCATTCGTAGATCCACAGCATCGTTGACGGTGTGGCTTGAGCTGCGCCATGATGCGGCTAAGACGGCCTTTCGTCTCGAGCGCGACCCATTCGGCGTTGCAAATCGCTCCTCGGCCTCTGCATTCAGCCGCTCATCCACGCGCATCATTGACCGACTCGACTTGCTCTGTCCGTGGGCCGGGCTTGGCTGCCCGCATCGCGCCTCCCCCCTTTAGCCGGCTACTTCTTCCTCGACCGGCCCCGCACACTACTTTCGCTTCTTTCCTTCCCTCTATTTTGAAGTCACTTACTCAGTCACCCATCATGGCAGACAGCGAGACCTCCGCAGCGGAAAAGTTCGAAGAAAAGAAGCAAGCAACCTCAGCGCTCAAGTCCTTCTCCTCTGGCGGCTTCGGCGGTGTATCAGCCGTCCTCGTCGGCCACCCCTTTGACCTCACAAAGACGCGACTTCAGACTGCAGCACCAGGCGTCTACACTGGTGGACTCGATGTGGTCAAGAAGACGCTAGCAAAAGATGGCATCAGGGGCATGTACAGAGGAATGGGCCCTCCCCTCGTTGGTGTGACGCCCATCTTCGCCCTCTCCTTCTGGTCCTACGATACGGGCAAGAAGATCGTCTACGCTGCTACGCCTGACCGCAAGGACCCCAAGCTGAGCTACGGCGAGCTTGCATTTGCCGGCTTTTTTTCTGCTGTCCCCACAACCCTCGTCGCTGGTCCCGCAGAGCGAGTAAAGGTGCTCCTCCAGCTGCAGGGCCAGGGTGGCTCTGGACCGCAATACAGCGGACCGGTCGACGTGGTCAAGCAGCTCTACAAGGAAGGCGGCATCAAGTCCATCTGGCGTGGATCGCTCGCCACTCTCGCTCGTGATGGACCTGGCTCAGCGGCCTACTTTGTTTCGTACGAGTCCATCAAGCGTCTCTTGACCAAGCCGGGCGAGGACCCTCAGCAGCTCAACCTGCTCAATGTTCTCCTGGCCGGTGGTACCGCGGGTATGGCGATGTGGTCGATTGCTATCCCACCTGATGTCATCAAGTCCCGTCTCCAAGGAGCGCCGGCGGGAACGTACAAGGGATTCTTGGACTGCACAAGGCAGATCATTGCAAAGGATGGCATGGCGGGGCTCTTCAGAGGTTTCGCTCCTGCGTGAGTAGCAGCCTGATCTGGCGAATCACGGAGAGACCCAAGGTAGCTGACAACTCATTTCCGTCCCTTCGCGCTTGCAGCATGGCACGAGCCTTCCCTGCCAACGCAGCGACATTCTTGGGCGTCGAGGTCAGCTTGAGCCTGATGAACAAGGCCTTCCCCAACTGGTAGATGCGCGGCGACCAGGAGAGACGAGGAGAGAGAGGCGGATTCATCGCGAGCGGGCGACTGCGCGAATCTGTCTTGTCCAAGGCGCAGTAGCGGTGCCTGTCATCGATCGTACTCTGCGTATCAGCTTCATCGACTTGACTCTAATACATGCTTTTCATGCCTGCCTATTGAGTGTCCACTGCGACCTCATCCATCTTCGCCCCCTCGCTCCACGCGCCGCTTTCACCGCTGTCCGCCCTCCGCCTTCCCCGCACGGACGGACAACGCGGTCACGCCTTTCGCAGCTTGCCATCCTTCCTCCCTCCTTTTCCTCAATTTCACGTCCTTTCTCCTCCTTATCGTCCGCCAAGCATGGTGCTGCTGGACAGCCCCCGTCGCCGCTATTTGTACCTTGGCCTTGCTTTGCGTCTTGTTCTCATCCTCTTCGGCCTCTACCAAGACGCCCACCTTGCCGTCCCTTACACGGACATCGACTACTCCGTCTTCCAAGATGGAGCACGCCACCTTGTACATGGCTGCCCACTCCACGCCGCAGTCCCGCCGCACATGGAACCCATGGAGACGCTCAACGAGTTTCTCGAGCCTCCTCTGGCACCAGTGCATGGGTGTGCGCAGGGCTGGCTAGCATTGGGAGCGCGCTACATCCTGCAGCATGAGGATATTCTTACGGCGAGGTCCAGGGGAAGACAGGCGGCTGAGATCGCGAGAAAGGATCTGGGTGAGGAGGCAACCTTGTCACTTATTGAGCCCAATATTGTCGAGACGACACTGCTACCCGTCTCGCTGGCGATCCTCAAGCCTATACTCAAGCCGCTCGCAGCAATGGGCAATCCGTACGCGAGGCCGACGTACAGGTACACCCCACTGCTCGCTGTGCTGATGGCGCCGGGAGCGTGGATAGGAGGAGCATTTGAAAAGGTGTGGGGCAAGCTGCTCTTCGTTGCTGGAGAGATCTTGGCCGCACTCCTCATGTGGGACCTGGCGCGATTCAGACGGCCAGCAGCAAAGAGGCAGCCGACATCTACTTCCCGTCTGGCTCTCTTGGGCGATGTGACACACGCAGTCGGGATCCTTTGGCTTCTCAATCCTTTTCCTGCGCAGATCGCCACCCGCGGCAGCTGCGAGGCTCTCGTCGTCTCCCTTGTCCTCGCTTTCGCCTCAGCCGCTGTGCGCATTGTAGAGGGCGAAGCAAGCTTCGAGGCTGGCCTGATCACGTCAGAGGATAGGCCAGAACAGGCAAGCAACGATAGCAATGACCCTTCAATCAATACCGCAAAGCCAGCTGAGGGCAAGCCGACCCCGCAGTCAACAGCGCCTCCTCCGCCGGGCCTTGGTCTCCTCCCCACGCTTCCCCTCCCGCTTCTGGCGGCACCAGTCCTTCTAGCCTTAGCAGCACACCTCAAGCTCTACCCGATCATCTATGGTCTTCCCCTCCTCGCCTCTCTCTTGCCCCATTCACGGCGACGGTGGCTCGACGCCCTCGGCTTCTCTGCAAGCGCATCGTACGCCTTCCTCGGATTGAGCGGCTTCGCCTGGCTCGTGTGGGGGCAGCCATACCTTCAGGAGTCTTTGCTGTACCATGTGGGGAGGGTGGATCACAGGCATAACTTCTCGCCGTACTTCTTCCCACTTTACCTTCTGCACACGCCGGCCCAGGACGGGTGGTTGCCTGCGCTGGCTGGTGGTGGAGTTTGGGCGGGAGAAGCAGCTAGCAGGCTGGGCGCGTTCTTGCCTCAGCTGGCTGTTGTGGCTTGGATCGGGGTGAGAGTGGGCAAGAAGGACTTGATTGCAGCCATGGCGGCACAGACGATGGCATTTGTGGTGTGGAACAAGGTCAGCACAAGTCAGGTGGGTAGGACGTAAAGAGCTCTTGACCCCAAGTCGTGCCAGCTGACGCTCCTCTCTCTTCTCGTCACTCAGTACTTTATCTGGTACATCGCATTCCTGCCCATCCTTCTGCCTTCACTACGCTTCTCCTCCCCGCTCGTAGGCTGGGCCAGCCTCCTAGTATGGGTCGCCACGCAGGCGCTCTGGCTTTCGCAAGCGTACCTCCTCGAGTTTGAGGGGCAGGACGTCTTTGTGCGCGTATGGGCGGCAGGACTTGTGTATGTCGTGGGCAATGCGTGGGTGTTGGAACGATGCCTGGATGCGTGGGCACGGGGAAGAAGGGATGCCAGGGAGCAGGAGCAGAGGGACCGAGAGAAGGCGGTGGCAGGCAAGGAGGTTGATCGGGAGAAGGCAGTTACGGCCGCAGAGGCATCGGCTTCGTCGCGGCCGGCGTCTGAATAGCTTTCGTCGCAACAGACTGCATTTATCGTATCTCTGACAATCAGGAACCCTCGCAGACGTATCCGCACTCTTCAACAGTATCCATTGCCTGCTACGCCGCTGCTGATGTAGAAGGGATAGGATGGGCGGGGCTCTTCTTGACAGGTATCGCCTCCTCCAGCTTGTCTGACGCAACAATTCCGAGAACCGAGAAGGCTGAGCGAGAGGAACAAGAAGGTGAAAGCAGGGCTGTAAGTCAGCAAGGAGCCCTCGATGTGCATCTCGACGGTACGAGCGTCCTCGTCGCTGTTCCTCACCTGCTAGCGCGAATCCGCATGTCATCCTTGTTCGAGGCGGAAGAGCTGGACGATTTCGACGAGAGATGAGCAGATCAGTCGACGAGTGGTGTCCTGAAGCTGCATCCTGAGTAGCACTCACACATCCAGCTTTGCCAGAGCGTCTTCTTGTTGCCCCCTCTCACGTTCTGACCTTGTTGCACAGCGCGCTCGGCGACGGACGCCTGGCCCTGCTCTGGCTTGGATGCTCTGGTCGCTTTCTGCGCCGGTGTCTTGGATCCTGATGCTCTTGCCGGATTCCAGGGAGCGTTCGAGAGTGATGAAGTTGACGGGCGCATGCTCGAGGAAGTGTCGCCGTAGTCGTCCAACACTTCTGATGTAGGAGGGCGGATAGAGGAAGAGGACAAGAATCGGAGCCTCGGAGCGCTTCGGTCGACGAGCCGAAACCTGGCCCGTGCAGCCTGCTGAGCGTTGTGTTGAACCAATTGGGCCTTGCCCTCTTGACTCTTGATTGGGCAATCTGCGTCCGCCGTGAGAAGAACTCTCCCAGCCGCTATCGAGCCGCTTGCTCAGCATCGAAAGAGATCAGGCGCTCAGCAACACCTCTTCCCTGCTTGCCATCTTCTCCCTCACGCAGTTCATCATCATGCGCTGGCACCCCGCCGCCATACTCAGCCTCGTTGCTCTGGTTTTCTCTCTCGGAGCAGCCAAGCAGCTTCCCTTCTATACCGAGACGAACAGCAATGACTTCAATGCACTCAACGCTTTCGAAGGCAGAGCTACGCCTACTATTGAGCTGCCCTACGATTCTCGTATGCAGGGCTTCTCAACCGGCGATGCCGCAATCCCGACTGTCGAGCAGCTCATCGCTCGTCAGAATGGCTCATTCCTTCAGCTCACGCACCGCGAGATCCCCGGTACAAGCGTCCGAATCAAGCGTCATGCTCCTCGCCGCGAGAGAGAAGCCTACAAGCAGCTTAAGGAGGGTGAGGTGGACCCTGAAGCCTTTTGTGACGATACCGTGGCCAGCTGGACGGGTTACATAGACACGATAGACGGCAAGTCCCTCTTTTTCTTCTTCTTCGAGTCGCGCTCCAACCCGGAGAAGGACCCAGTCGTATTCTGGACTAATGGCGGGCCTGGAGGTTCATCGGCCCTGGGGCTCTTCATGGAGCTTGGGCCCTGCCGTGTGCCGCTGGAGCACCGAGAGGGGGCACCTATCAATGGAACTGTGCACTTCGAGTACAGCTGGAACAACCGTGCCAACGTCATCTTCGTGGAACAGCCAGCCAGCGAGAAGAAGAATGGCGGTGTCGGCTACTCGTACAGGCGCTTTGGCCCGCCTGTATCCACTACGGATCAGGCTGCCGTCGATGTCTACCACTTCTTGCGCATCTTCTTCAGTGCATTCGACAAGTTCAAGGACAATGACTTCCATTTGGCTGGAGAGAGCTACGGCGGGCACTACATACCCCGCTTCGCCACAGAGGTCATGGACCGTAACCAGCGTGTGACGGACGCTGCTCGTAAGGCTGGCGAGAAGCCGGATGAGTCGAAGCTCATCAACCTCAAGAGCATCGTTCTAGGCAACCCAAGTGAGTGAGCGCTCACCTGAAGCACATCCGCGCACAATATTCACTCACCCTTCTCGCCCGCTCGTCAGTCGTCGACAATCTCGATCAGCGCTTCTCCTTCTATTCCGTCGCTTGTACCAAGCAAGCGGGGTACGGCAGGCCGCGCCTCCCCATCTCGACCTGCAAGCAAGTCTATCAAGACACGCAACGCTGCATGATCAACATCAAGAAATACTGCTACGACTCCTTCAGCGAGACGGACTGCCGCGCGCACCACGAGTACTGCGAAGATCACGTCGGATGGGGCGTGTGGGTTGACCAGTTTCACCTCAACCCTTACGACGCAAGCGACGATTGCAAAGCAGGCTTCGAGCCTGACTTGTGCTACGCCGAGTCGGGGGCGATTGCTCGTTACCTTGACCGCGAGGACGTCCGCTCCCTCCTTGGCGCCAGGTCACGAAATGAGTCGGGCACATATGCCGTCTCGAGCTCCGAGGTTGCGGAGAACTTTCAGGCTTCTTTCGACGCTTTGCGATCCAGCAAGCAGTACGTTGCCGGGCTGCTAGAGCGCGACTTGCGAGTGCTGGTGTATGTGGGGTCGTACGACGTTGTATGCAACTGGATCGGGAATTTGGAGTGGGTGAACAATCTCGAGTATGAGGGGGCGATTGACTTCAAGAAGGGCCTCACGGGGTGGATGGAGGGTGGCAAGGAGGTCGGGCTGACTGCTACGGGAGGCAACCTCAGTGAGCAGCTCGAGTCGCAGTCGCAATTTTGACATGTTGCTGACACCATCTCGTTCCTCTGACCCTCCCGCAGCATACGCTACTGTCACCGGTGCAGGCCACATGGTGCCCTTCAAGAAGCACCACGCAAAGAGTGCCCTCGCTATGATCAACCGCTGGCTCGATGGGCAGTCGCTCTGATCACACACTGGCATCGAAATGCCGTGAAAGGTTTTCTTGTTTATTTATGAGGTGCGAATGCATGAGCGATTTCTCCTACTCATCCTCATCTTCGCTGTCAACGATGGCCTTCTTCTTTCTCTGCGTTGACGTGGCGCCGGCCTCATCCACAGCTCCACCCTCGCCACCCTCTGCTGACGCGCCTGTTGATGACGCTGCCGCTGCCGCATCCTTCTTGGCCTTGGATCTTGCTGCCTCCTGTCTCTCGATCTCCATCTCTGCCTTCTCCATATCGTCGAGCTCATCGTCCACGTCCATGTCGGAGCCACCGCTGCCACCTGCTTTGCGCTTCTCCTTGCCTGCACCGCTTGCACCTTTTCTCTTGCTGACGGCGCCCTCTTCCTCATCATCCTCATCCTCTTCACCTTCCGCATCCTCTTCTCCCTCCTCCTCGTCGTTGACGATGAAACCATCAGCGTCATCATCTCCGTATCCTGCCTCGTCTTCTTCCTCTTCATCGTCTGCACCAAGGGCGAGTGAGGATCCACCGGCTCGTCTGACTCCGCCGAGCCCACCTTTACCGCGAGACGACTTGGACACCTCATCAATCATCGTTCTCCTCCTCCCCTTCAACAGCCCCATCAATTCCGCCTCCTCCTCCGCCTCGATATCGCCTCCTCTCTCCTTCTTCTTCCTCAGTCGCTTCTTCCTCTCTGCCTCCAACAGTCGACGCTCAGCTTCGCGCTTGACCTCCTCTGGCGCGCGTTCGCCCGCAACCAAGTCGGACATGGTGACTTTGCTTGCCCCTTCACGTGCCCTGATGGAGGACAGAGATTGGGAGATGAGCCGGTGAGTGGCGGATTGAAGTGAGGTGGGTTGGACAGAGATGTTGGAGTGGAGCGGAGTGAGTGTCTGGAAGACACCAGACTCTGCGTCGGGGGTAGCGAGGTAGGTGAGGGGTTGCTGGGTGCCGTGCTTGGATCCTCCTCGCCGAGCGTTGCCCTGTGATTGAGACTGGCTCTGCGAGCCTGTGACACCATCTGTTGCGGTCGAGGCGTCCTGCCCTCCGGGTGCAAAACGAGTCTCCATACCAGCAATGTCGAAATGCTCCTTGCCCACCTGCAATGTCCAGCTCCCATCGTTCCACCTGACGAATCTGGCGTTCGACCTGCGCTTGCCGTCCTCCCCGACCTTCCATCTCACGGTATTTTCACACCTGAGCCTCCTCTCCACGTCTCTTAGCCTCTCATCCGCATTCCCTGCCTCTGCCTCTGCCTCATTCTCCTCACGACGCTTCTCCTTGAATGACTCCTCGTCGAACGCCTTTGGTTCAACGCGCAGGAAGAGAGGCAGGCGAGCGAGGTGATGAGGTGTGAAGCGTTGAGCCGTATTGGCGAGGGCGACGGATGCGACTAGCCTGGAGGCAAGGGGGGAGGGGGAACGTCCATCCAGCGCTTGGCCCATGGGTTGGCCGTCCTCTGTGTATTCGAGGGCGAGGCGAGCTGCTTCTGATGCGCCATCATCGTCGCCATCTGCTTCGATGGCCTCATCGTCTTCGAAGGTCGGCAGCGCTGAGCTCTGATTAGCATCTGTGTCGCCGCGTGCAGGTGATTGGGAGCTGTGAGGGCAAGACACAAGTCAGTAATGGCGTTGACTGAGTGCTCATCGCCTGCTGAGCGCAACTCACGCGACTGCCTTTCTTCTCCTTCTGTTGCTGGGTCGAATGTCATCTTCGTCGTCATCTTCATCTTCTTCGTCATCATCATTGGCCGCCTTGCCAGCCGATGACTTGGCTGCTGATACGGGCGCATCATCATCATCGTCGTCTCCAAAGAGATCATCATCGTCTGCATCCTGCGGCGCTTCTCCCGCAGCAGGTGACGCAGCGACCGAAGCCATCTCAGCATCTCCATTACTCCCCTCACGAGCCTCTGGGAGTGGCGAAGCAGCTGCTGCCGCGGCTGGCGAGGCGGACATGCTAATGCGTAGTGGGTGGGTTGTGGATGGTGGTTGAGTCGGGAAGATCAACGGCAGCGCCTCGAGTTGCTGCTCCCGTCGACTGCCTCACTTCGCTCGCGTGGCCACGCAATCATCCCTTCCCCTTCCCGCCCGCTCGCCCGATGGACCCTGGGACTGCTCCTCGAGCGACATCTCGCTCCTTTGCCTCTCCTCACCTCACCACCAGCATATGTAGGCATGGACGACAAGAGTACCACGCAGCAATGGCTTCCAGCCTACGCTGCAACACAGCCTCGCAGAGGCAGGCATACCCTCCTCAAGGCACCATTAGCGACCATCCTCTTCGTCATTACCTTGACGACCCTCTTCTTCCGTCCACCCCTTTCACTATTCTCTCACTCCTCGCGGCGCCGTCCCCAACAGCCCAATGTGATCATCATGATCTCTGACGGGTACGGCCCAGCTAGTCACACCATGGCTCGCACCTTTTATCGCCTCACGCATCAGAATGATTCGGAGCCTATCCCAGAGTTTGGCTGGGGCTTTCCCCTCGATTCCGCCCTCGTCGGCAGCCATCGGTCTCGCTCATCCAGCTCTCTCATCACAGACTCTGCCGCAGGAGCAACGGCCTTCAGCTGTGGAAAGAAGAGCTACAATGGTGGAATTGCGGTAGACTCCGAAGGCAAGTCGTGCCAGACCGTCTTTGAGGCCGCAAAGGCGCAAGGCTACCTGACGGGCGTGGTGGTCACCTCCAGGTTGACCGATGCAACGCCTGCGTGCTTCTATGCGCATGCGGCTTCTCGCTCACAGGAGTCATACATTGCGAGCCAGATGCTCGAAAAGCCGGAAACGGGAGGACAGAGAACCATTGATCTGGCTGTGGGAGGCGGCGGGTGCTTCTTTCTGCCCATGGGAGACCCGCTCTCTTGCCGTAGCGACGACCGTGATCTGGTGACGGAGGCTACGGACGCCGGATGGGAGGTCAGACTGGGAGATACGATGCTACAATCCATCGCTGAGGTTGGTCCGCACGGCGAAGTCATCTCCCGCGGCCAGCCAGCCAAAAATACCTCATCGGAGCGACTCCGTGCTCTCCAAACCCCACGTCTTCCCTTCCTCTCCCTCCTCTCCCCGTCCAACACTCCCTACGTAGTCGACATTCCCGCCGACTCGGAGGGTAAAACCAGCTTCCCTACTCTCGCCGAGCTCTCGGAGCAGGCGCTGCAAGTCCTCTCAAAGGGCAAGATGAGCAGTGACTCCACCTCGCCCCGATGCAGCGTCTGGGATCGCCTTCGCCGCCATCGTCGCTCCAGAAAGTCCCGCCCCTTCATGCTCATGATTGAAGGATCGCAAATCGACCTTTGCCAGCACGAGAACGACGCAGCATGCATGGTACGCGAGGCTGTCGCGTATCAGGAGGCCGCTGCCCTTGTAAAGGAATATGTCGACGAGCTCAACAAGCAGGGCAGGCCTACCTTGCTCATCTCTACGTCCGATCATGAGACTGGAGGGCTCACGCTGGGCAGGCAGCTGACGGAGGACTACCCAGAGTATGCATATTACCCTGAGCGCCTGAGCGGGGTCAAGGCGTCTGCGGGGACATTGTCCGCGAGGCTACTGCACTTCTGGCGGCAGGAGAAGCCGAGCGAGGGGGACCTGAGGGAGCATGTTGCTGCACACATCCTCGGCGGGAAGGGTGGACTAGGATTTGGAGAGGAGAAAAGCGGCGGGCCTGTGACTGACGACGAGGTAGGGCTGGTCGTTTCCTGCTTGCGCGAGCACGGCAGCGCTACTGCACGCCCGCTTGACGACGAGGAGGGTGGCAACGAGCCTCCTCCAATCGACAATGGCGACGACTGCCGCAAGGCTATCGCCGAGGTAGCAAGCAGGCGAGCGCAGGTTGGATGGAGCAGCAGCGGGCACACGGGCGTCGATATCAATCTCTATGCTCATGGCTATGGAGCTGATGGGCTCAGAGGCAACATCGAGAATACCGACGTGAGTGCGCGAAACGTCGGAGGCGAAGGACGAGATTGAGAGCGGTGACTGACAACTACTTCCCTCCTCCACGCGCCGTGCAGATTGGCAAATACCTCTTCTCCCTTCTGGGCAATCGTCGTCGACACAACTTAGAGTACTGAACGCTTATCGCAAGACGAACGGAATCGTCGTGACTCGTGTAGCACAGCCTTCTTGACGAGACATTTATCAGCATTTGCCTCCGTTGCCTCCTGCTTTGAACTGAATTGACCCTCGCAGTGCACTGATTGCGGTTGACATCGCGGAATTTCCATGGACTCGCAACCACGTCGGTGGACTGAGTCTCGGCCACCCGGCGTCTGAGGGGAGCACGGACTGCAGTCTGATGACATCGACTCTGCACCTCGATCACTGGCGGACAGGCCGGCGGGAGTTTTGAAGCTTGAGAGGCGGGCACTCAGCGGTGCGGGCGGGCACTTTGCACGCTCGACTCAAGTCCAAGGGGAGAGGGTCTCATTTCTAATCCGCCGACCACCCCGACACATGTCCCTTTTCCTCCTAACGATCATCTGCCATAGCGACAAGAATATCGTCTGATGTTCAGACAATAACATCACGCCCCCATCTCCCCCCCCCCCCTTCTGCGGTTCGCCACAGCCGCAACACCCCTTTCATCGAGAAACTCCTTCATTTCTCCACATCGCCCGCCATGACTCGAGGCCGCCGCAGGGACACAACCCTCGAGCCTACCCGTCAGCTTCAAACTTCACGGGCTTTCCGTGAGCGCCGTGCTGCGCATATCAAGGCGCTCGAGGAGCAAGTGCGGACTCAGGCCGATGAGATTGCGCAGCTGAGAGCGCAGTTGAATCTGGAAGAGGGGGGCTCATCACTGAAGGATGGAGGTGGCGCTGACGGGCATGACAAGGCGAGCGGCTACACGCAGCAGCAGCAACGCTACAATCATCACGCAAGCTCGTCGCTCAGTAGCAGCTTGAGCGAGGCAGATTTGCCAGAGAAGGACGGAGAGGGGAAGAAGCGCAAGACCATGGAGCGCTACAATGATGATCCGTCAACGAGACCATCGGCATCAACGAGCGAGCTGAGCTCGTCGACGACGCCTTCGTCACCGTTGTCTACCTGTTCTAACTGCGAGTCTGTGAAGCAACAGGCAAATCAGCTGGTGAGTGGAAGCTGTCTACGACTCGGTTAATGCCAGTCAGGCTGATCGCCGCCTTCGTCTACCGCAGATGATGATGCTCACCGACATGGAGCAACGCATGGGGCCATTGCGCGCGGCCGGAGTATCCCTGGGGCAAACGATTCAGCACACACCTCAACAGCAGCCCTACCAGCTCTATCAGCACCAGGAAGCTTCGTCGTCGCCGTCATTGACTGTCACGCCCCGCACGACTCGCACCGGGCCGCCGCGCTACATCAACAACAGTAGCCATGACTCGGTCTCTCAGCCTCGTTCTCTGTACACCGCTCCTCCGGCTGCTACTCCAGCTTTCGCATCTCAGGCGCCGCCACAGCACCACTCCCCGCTTCCTCCGCCGGTGCCGGCGCCCGTGCCCGTAATGGCGACCGGTGGACCGCCTACACCCGCAGATGAGAAGTGCTGCTTAGGAATATTCAAGTGCGATGAAGCTGGGAGGATTATAGTGTAGCATTCTTCTCTTCTGTTTCTCTTTGCGCTGTCGTTGTAATATAGTACCATTAGATCCCGTCTATTCATCCCTCGCTCGCCGCTGCCGGCCATCTCCAACCCGCGATGCAAGGTGGCCTCGCCTCGCCCTGATCCTGGGTGGGCCCGCAGGCCTGCATTCAATGTTGAAGGACCTTCTTCGCCTCCCATCTTCGCAATCACATTCGCTCCATTCGAGAAACAAAGCAGCGAAGCCGTTGCTGCTGCACGTCTGCTGCACACGACGATGCAAACAAGCACGACGAGCATGAACAAACAGACAGTAGCTCTTGAGGAACAGAGGAAGTGGAGCAGTCGGAAGTAAATTGGCTGAGATGTTGAAGCGGCGAGCGTGGTCGCGAGGGTGATGGCGGTTGCGAGTCCAGCTGACGCTGTGGGGTTGACGACGACGTCGTGAGACCTTCGTTGCAACCTCCTGATCCACATCTGACACTTCCTCCTCGCAGACTTCACCGTCGCTGAAACATTTCACACTCTGACGGCATCGTCCGCTCACTTGCCATGAGCACGTCAGCCTCACCTTCTGGGCTCGACGAAGGGGATGCGGCCACGAGCCAATCAGGCACTGCCACGCCGAAGGGTCCGCTGGTAGTCGCGACACCGAAGGCAGGATATGCTCGCTTTCCCCGACCGCGACGCAAAGGCCTGCCGTCATCGACGTCGGCGGCAACTGCTGTGAGCAACCTGGTCAGCCTCTTGCCTCCCAGCCCTATCAAGGACAGGACATTGCGAGCCGTTTCAGGAGGAGGTGACGATAGCTTCATTGCTTCAACTGAGTCGGTCTTGCTTGACAGAGAGTATCAGAGCGACGCCAGCGCGGTCGAGCTGTCCCCTGTTAGTCAGCTGCAGCTCATCAGCTCCCAAGAAGACGCAGGAGAGCGAAACCAACACCAACATCTAGTCAAGCGAGGCAGCGCTCGGATCAGAGCCGGCAACCCAGTCATCGAAGACGAAAATCCCTGGCAAGACATGACGGTACCTGCATCAATGCAGTCAGAGGAGGAAGAGGTCTTGAGCATGCTCGACTCCATGTCCCAATCAGGGCCCTCTGCGTCAAGGAGACGCCCCCTTGCCCACCAGCGAGGCTACTCAGAACCTTCACTTGCCGTTCAGCCTCCCTCGTCCATTCGTCGTCTAGCAGCAGCTTTCGACGAAAGAGAGCGACAAAGCCGACGCTCTCCCCTCCCCGCCTCCGCGTCTCATCCCACCACCCTATACACGCACCACCAACAAAGCACCAGTTCCCACTTCTCCGGCGCCCTGTCCTCGTCAAGCAGTCGCACATCCTCGCCCTTCTCACCAGGCTCGAGACGCTGGGACGTGAGCCCCACATCCCCTTGGCCACCTACACCTCTCGATCGCAGCGCCGATCCTTCCTTCTTCCCAGGGCCGCGCGCTGGATTAGGCTCGACCGACTCCATTGAGTACAGGACAGAGCAAGCGCTTCTTCGCCGGCCAAGGCCGGGACGAATGATGACAGATTACACGATGGCTACGAGTGTTGGATCGAATGACGATGCTGTCCATGGCGAGAAGCCGCCACATCAGGCCGAGGACGCGACGCTACGAACCCTCGACTCGCCCATCAAGGTGACGAGTCCCGGTCAATCTCAGGAAGAGCAGCAGAACGAGCAGCCTGCCGAGCCCTCCAAAGTGTCAAAGGCGTCCAATCTCATCCGCCTCTTCGAGCATGGCCTCGTCCTCGATGAAGGGCGCCAAGAGGCTCTCGCTCCACCCGCAACCTTGTCGTCAAGCCGCGCAGCCTCGTCGTGCTACAGCGCTACGGTCAGGCCGAGGCTGCTACGAGCAACTGACATGCTCGGTGTTGGCTCACTGAACAGCCCATCGCCTGTCGAGGCAGCCTTTGGGTCGACCGAAAAGGCAGGAACAAGCACAGGCGAAGCGAAGAGGCGGCCAACACCGCCGAGCCGTTCCTCAAGCCCGAAGCATCGCTGGGCAAGTCGATCAGCATTAGCTCCTCTCGCAGCAGGCCTCGTACGACCCTGGTCAACTGGCGCAGAGGGGTCAGAGGGTAGCGCTAGTCGCAAAGCGCAGAGTGAAGGCGGCCTGGCAAGCGCGTATGGCTCGCCGCAGAGCTCACGAAAGGGTTCGCTGCCGTTGACCGACCTGGTGCCAAAGATGACAACCACCGTCGAGAGCTTGGAGGCAAAGCTGCGGAGCAAGGAAGTCAGCGCCTCGCCTCACAGCCCTCTCAGCGGCAAGGGTGGGGGAACAGTTGCCTCGCTCCGTCGCTCGACGCAAGAAGGCGACCTTCCCTCCTCACCAGAGACGGCCGTCTCTATGGTCCGCGACCCGCACGCCATGCCTCTTCAGGCGGGCCAGCTCTATTACTACGATGTACACCGTGCAGCACCTTCCGAGCCGGCTTGGGTGGCCGCGCAAGCTGTGCTGTTTGAGGGGGCGCTGGCGCTCAGCTGGTGTCCAGAGGAGGGAGGAAGGGAGAATGTCGTTTTTGAGCTGGACAAGTGTGGACAGGTGCACTCCTTGCCTAGTCTCGAGCGTACCGGCGGTTCGGATGGGGAGGACGATGTGCGGGGTTCAATGCAGGCGAAAGAGCAGGGCTTGCTCAAGCTCAAGCCCTTTCAGCTAGTGTTCGAGGATGGAGTGGAGAGATTTGCCGCCGACAGTATCAGGGAACGCGCACAGTGGGTTGGTCGATCGAGAGACGCCTTGGCAGGCCGAGGTGCTGCATCAGCCCCTGCTACAGTCGAGACTTCGAGATCGCTAACGCCAACGAGGAGCTTTACGGCAGGACAGATATCTTCGGAGGCGGCAGAGCAGTCAACGTCGACGCAGCTTCAACGCATCGGCAAAGCTTGGAGGGACACGGAGGAGACATCAAGCTCTCCAAGGGCTGCATCCGTGGGGGCGACATCTGTAGCTCCCACACTTCCTCCCAAGGATACCCGTGCCCTGACCCCAGTGACCACCAGAAGACCACAACCCGCTGCCGTACGTGTTGCCAGACCGCACGCAAGCGCACCACCCGAAGGCCTGGCCGGCTCGATCCGCCCATCTCTCAGCCTGCTGCCCGCCAGCCCATCGCCACGAAGCATTCGTGACGTGTGCGCAGAAGCACCACATGAGCGCTCCAGTCACCTGAGCAGCCCCCTCCCAGACGATGGTGGAGGTGTCTCGCCACGTCGCTCGCCCCTAGCAAGGAGCGAAGCCGCTTTCGCCTTCTCCGGTGGCGAAGAGGAGGACATCTTCCCTTGGGACTCGGCCAGCCAGCGACCTGCGCGCAGCGACATTGATGGAGGAGATAAGATCGAGCTTCCGGAGGTGCTCTCAGGTCTACAGCGACGCCAACAGCACACGTCTCCGCTGAAGCCGGATCAGCTGCTTGCTGAGTCCCAGCCCTTCCTGCCATCAAGAGTGGGCTCGCCTTCGCGCACGCTGTCTACGGCAGCGCAGAGCTTGCGCGAGCAAAATCTCGGCGATGTTCCTCAGCGACCTGCTTCACCTGCCAAGCTGGGTACAGTGCTAGAGAAGGCTCCTGTTCCGCCAAGTTCGAGCAGTCCCACGACGCCACGCTCCGGCGGAAAGGTCTCGAGCTTGGCTCAAAGGATGAGCATGGCATCAGAGCGTGCCGGAACGCCTATACTCGAAGGAGTTAGAGCACCAATCGCCAGCAGAACCACTTCCTCGCCCGCGCCCTCGCCCTCACCATCGATGCTCAAGCGCTCTCTGCAGCCCCGCACGATTTCATTCGACCCGCCCCCGACGTACCCCGCCCAGTCCCTCGAGCCAAGTCGACGAGGCGAGCATGGCCATTCTGCGCTCTCCGACACGGCGTCGAGCTTTACTGAGCTGGATAAGGTACTCGAGCACTTGTCCCGCGAACAAGAGCAGATACGCGCCACGAACCAGCGGTCTCGCGCCGATGCTGCTCGAAATTCTACTTTGCACAGCCATTTGCAGACACCGGGTGGCATTGCCCCGATGCTCGCTGATCAACGCGACTCTGGGCCTGCTGTAAAGAAAGCTCGACCGCAGCAGCACCTATCCCAGGATTCCTTGCCGACCAAATCTCGCTCCGCAGCAGCCTCAGCACCAGCGAGCGAAGCGCACATCAACGAGATCAAGGAGAGGCTGGATCGTCTGCTGGGGTTGGTCGAGGAAGTGCATCAGCGCAGCACCAGCAGCAAGCAGTCGAGGGAAACAGCGGTGCCCAAGCGAAGGGCCAGCAGCGAATTGGCGCTCTCTGCAATCGGCGCAGATATCAAGCAGCTGCTACGCAAGATGGAAGAGAAGCAAACATCGCCCCAAGCATCTCACTCAAGTAGTGGTGAGCCGATCGGGCCTAGTCCCGAGTACGCTGCATCTCGTGAGCCACAAGCGGCGGCTCGGTCCTCCGCGGGCAAGCCTCTACCCCACAGGCGCGGCGCCCCCTCATCAGTGGCTCAAAGCTACGTCTCAGCAGCTTCGACAGCCAAGCCAGCCACAGCAGCTCAGCGTCCTCAACCCCATTACCCGTACGCTGCGGCCATGCAAAGGAGGCACATTGACTCGCCGCGACGGGACAGTCAAGAGACGGTGGACATGGAAGCGGCCGTACGCCGACAGCGGTCACGCCGACAGCAGGGCGTGGACCGTGAATCGGCCCCACCGCTGAGTCCGGCAGATGCAGCTGCTCATGTTGCTGGCGGCTGGTATACGGCTGGGCCTCTGAGAAGGTCAGCACCTCCCCGCGGAGCAGCACCGCCGCCTTCGGCTTCCGGCAGGCAAGTGTCGCAAGCTGGCTCCGTACTTGCTCACATGCCCATGGCGCAGCCCGTACCAGCAAGTGAGGATGAGGCCAACGACCTGCCCTCGGTGCAATCAGCTGAGGCCGCAGACGCACGACCCGCTGCCCCTTCTGTCGCTCCCTCAGCAAAGTCAGCAGCGTCCGCTCCCGCCGACAATGCGGCCGCAATTAGCAAACTCACGCACCTAGTCGTCGAGTCCCTCCGGGAGCAGTCCGAAGGACGTCGTGCTGAGCGAGAGCAGCAAAGCGATATCGCTCGCTACCTGAACGAGCTCAATAAATGGCTCGAGCAAGACGTCGAGGAGCGCAACAAGGACTTCAAGACGCTGCAGGATGGCGTTCGGACGCTTGCCTCGGATCTGGCGGGAATCAAGGCAGGCGCAAAGTCAACAGATTTGCTGGGGAGGCGAGCAGATGGGGAGATGGAGAGTGTAGAGGAGCTTTCTGGTGCAATGCCTGAGGTGAAGCAGGCTCAACGCTCCGCGCCATCGCCTACACCTGACAGTATCCCTGCGGCACCGGTGCAAACCACGAATGCTGCGACATCTTCCCCAGAGCCTCAACAGGGTGCTTCACGGGAGGCGCCGGCAGTGACCACTTCTGACTCGCGACCTCCGGCAGCCACTCAACGAGATAACACTGCCGCGCCTGCGCCCGCTCCTGCTTCGCCGCAGGCACTGGCACCGTCCCCTGTCCCTGGAACATCGCGCGACGCGCCCTCAGCTCGATCAAGCAGCTCTGCGCCTGGAAAGACTCACCGCTCCCACTCCCTCAAAGCGCGTCTCCTGGAAACCGCTCAAGATGAGATCAAGCGCCACATCAGTGCGCACCACCGCTTTGGCCGACCCACCTCCCCTACTGGTGGCTCGGCGGGCACGCTGAAGGAGAATCACATCAAGGACATCCTCGAAGCTGTGGGCAGCGAGGATCACAAGCGACTACGCAAGGTTGTCAAGGAGGCGGCAATGGCTGGTGCTGGTGCCTTGGCTGTTCGGCTGCTGGAGGAGCATTTCAAAGACAAGGAGCAGGACGAGCCTCCGCAGGAGGCACACGCCGTCGGCGAGGACGGTCAGCAGCAGGTGCCAGTGACTACGACTGCAGATGCTCCTGAACCTGATCGTCCAACGTCGGCGGGTCTAGCGCCACGGCCCACTGGATCGAAACCTGTAATGGAGCAAGCCGCGGCTCCGGCCGCCGACGCCGTGTCACCACCAGCTGAGGCTGTCGCTGATGCTCCTGCCAAGAAAGCACCCGGCCCGGCTCCCACAACTGCGCCTGCTCCTACGGCTGCCGCACCAGCAGAGCCTCCCGCCACCGTAGCCGCCGCCGCGCCAGCACCAACGGACGGCCGCGACCTAACAGAGGGAGCCTTTGCGACTGCCACACGCGCCGAAATGACAGCAGGTATGACCTCCATCCTCTCTACTCTCGGAGAAGTCCTCGCGCACCTCAAGTCAAGTCAAGACGAGTCGGACCGCCTCCGTCGTGAAAGCGAAGAACGTCGCACTGAGCAACAAGAACGCGAGGCTGCCTGGAAGGAGGAGCTCTCCCAGCAGCAGGAACGTCATGCTGCGGCGATCGTAGCGGCGGTCACGGAGCACCTGGCCGCGAGGGAGAAGGAAAGGGTCGAGGCCGACGCGGCAAAGGAGAAAGCTCTCGACCCGAAAACGGCAATTGAGGCGCTGGTTGGGGCGTTGAACGAAGCGCGGCTCGCTGAGGCAGCCCGCCGCCAACAAACAGATGCAAGCATTGCGGAGCTAGCCACCTCTGTCGTGCGCGGCGTTGAGGAGCAGCATGCCCGCCTACTCACGAGCCTGACGGCCCTCAGCAGAGACGTGGTATGCACGAGCGTCGAGAACCACCTGCAACACTTCAAGGGCGCTATGGCGTCTAGCTTTGCCGGGAGTGCGCAGGCTATGGCCAACGCATGGACGCAGCATGCTGAGACGGTGGCCAAGACACCCCGAGCCACGTTGATGGGACCGGCGCCGCCAGCGCCTGCGCAAGCTCCTCCTGCCCCAGCACAAGCACCTGCTCAGGCCCCACCTCAGCCTCCGCCGCCCCGTAGTAATGGCGGGAGCGCACCAAGACCAAGACGAGCGCCGCCTCTTGGACCGTATGGCTTGCCCTCGCGTTGATGGCAAGATGGAGCCTGATAAGCGACTTCGCCTCCTTCGCTGCCATGCTCTTTAGCTACCTGCTTTGCATTGCCCTTCGCCTTGTTTATAGTTTACGTCTTCATCTTCTCTACCTTTCATCGATACCATCCCTCACACTTCAATTCGAGTCATTTGCGTCCCCACGCAGCACGCGTGATGTCGGAGATTTCCATGCAGACGCATGGTGAGGGCGATGATGTTTCTGATTTATCGCATCGCCATCTTGTCTTTTCCTTCCCTAACAAGTACTGCACTTGGGCCGTAGCCCATCTATGGCTCCAGGCTGTGGGGGAAGGCGTTGTTCTCTCGCTGCTCGTCCCACTTGGCGATCTGATAAGCGTAGGGTGATGAGAAGTCGTGGTCAGCGCTTGGGTGTAAAGTTGTGGCGCTCGCCTGCTGGAGAAACAAGCTTACTCACCCACTCATCTACGAGAGGGGAGAGGTGACGTAGGACAGAGTAGCGATTGGTCAGCATACACGGCTCCAATTCAGTAGCATTGCTGTGGTGGCTGCCACTCACTCGGGCAAAGAGAGTGGTAAGCCCTGTAGAACTGCTTGCACGGCGCGAACTCCTCTCCCTTGGCGTTGATGCACTTGAAGTAGTCGACGTAGCTGTGCAGCCGAGCGTAGGAGCGAGCAAGGCAGAGATGAGTATTTTCGATATCAGGGTACGGCGGGAGGACTGGGTAGCGGAGTCTCACTTCTGCCAGCAGTGCTTGGTCTGATTCTGTGGCGCGCAAGGAGGGGAGATGTAAGTAATACGCTTCTTGGAAGGATCGATGAGGGAGGAACTACGAACCTGGTTGGGGAAACGGGCGTCGAAGGACGCGGCTGCCATGGGAGGAAGAGTCAGGGGACAATGGTGAGCTCAGAGGAAAGTCTTGCTTGAGATCTCCGCCGCTGCTCACTTTGGAGCGTGAATGACTTGGTCTCGTCGGACATGATTGGTGACGGTTGTGATGCTCTTGGGGGAGTGTGGGTTGGTAACAAGGAAGCCTCGATCTCGTTGTGGCACGGCTGCTCCCGGCTTTGGTGAGACTGTCTTCGGCCGACTTGCCACGCGAGCACCCCAAGACGAGACGAGGCGATGGATGCTTGATCTGAGCGAGCGGGAGCGGGACGGGAGGAAAGGCGAAGCGGAGCAGTGGAAGCAGGCGACATCGAGACGCGAGACGGAGCCTTCGCAGCATTCAATCTCGATCATCCATCCTCACAAGACCTCGATCTCGTAGCTCAGCACCGCTCACCGGCCCTTACACTTGCAGCCTCGCCGCCAGTCATGGGGAGAAAGGCAGAGGTGCAGAGGCTCCAGCTGGAGAAGCTCATGGGGCCTGAGGGTGAATATGCGCACTCGATGAGCTCCAGCCATGCCATGACGAGCTGCTACTGACCGCCGATCAAACCACCAATCCCTCTACCCTCGTGTCCACAGCCATGGGTCTCACAACAGAGCAGCTCCATTTCTCTGACAGCAAGGTCTGTCGCAACTTCCTCTGCGGCACCTGCCCACACGACCTCTTCAGCAATACCAAGGTCGACCTAGGCCCTTGTCCCAAATCCCATACTGCCCGTCTCAAGGACGAGTACAAGTCCTCCGTGTCCTCGGGCAAGCGATACCCCGAATTTGAAGTAGAGCACGAGGACAATATTCGCCGTTTCATGGCCGACATCGACCGAAAGATCTCGGCGAACAAGAGGAGAATAGAGCAAACGCCAGAGGAGACGGCCAAATTTGCCAACTTGCTCAGAGATATATCTGAGATAGAGACGGCAATGAATGCCGCCATGGCCGAGGTGGAGCGATTGGGCGAGCAAGGAGAGGTGGAAGCTTCACTGCAGGAACTGGCCAAGGCCGAGGCCCTGAAGCAGGAGAAGGGGGAGAGGGAGCACGAGCTGCAGGTGCTTAGCGACAGTGCCGGGGCTAGTGGGCATCAGAAATTGAGGGTGTGCGATGTTTGTGGAGCGTACCTGTCCATCCTCGACTCGGATAGGCGACTGGCGGATCATTTCGGTGGAAGGATGCATTTGGGCTACCTGAGGTTGAGGGAGATCATCGCCGAATTTGAAGAGAGGAGGTTGAAGGGTGAGGATCCGCGGACGCTCATGGCTAGAGGCGTGGGGAGCAGCGGAACGACGAATGGCACAGCACCATCGGCCACCAACGGGCACGCCGCACCTCCTGGAGGGCCACGAGTCAATGGTGGAGGTGCGGCCGCGGCGCCAATGATGCCCGCGAACGGACGGTCCTACGGAGGCATGCCCACCGACTACTACGGTGCGCCTCCGGCAGGCTATGGAGCCAGTGCCAGCAGCAGCTACCAATCACAACATCAGCAGCCTCGTCAAGCTGAGCCGTCGAGCCTGTCATACGGCGACGGCGACCGAGACGCCGAGCGCGACCGACGCGAGCGAGAGAGGAGGGACAGGAGGGAGGGTAGGGACGTAAGGGACAGGGACCAGCCAGCAGCTGGCGCTTCATCATCGAGTGGCGCCGGAGGGTATCGCTCCTCGAGGTACGACGGCGACCCGCGGGCTAGCGCCGCGGCGAGGAGGTCGAGGTCACCGCGAGACCGCGACAGAGACCGCGACCGTGATCGCGACAGGGGTGGTTCGCGTTATTGAGGTTGAGGGTGGAAGGGAGGAGCAAGAACCGGCTGTGCTCATTGTCGCTTCCTCTGCGACGCCATCGCTACCATCTACAGAGCTCGTCTCTTTCTGTACTTTGTACTCGGCACCTACGAATCACTCAAGCGCAATTTCGTGATTATGCGCAGGATGTGGATGACATTCGTGATATACATTGATGGGACAGAAGGACACTGGCGTGAGACTGCAGTCCCAGTCAGCCCATGAGCATACTGACGTCGCTTGGAGGGTACTGCAAGCAGATAAAGGGTCAGGTTTAGCTCGACATTCTCACCTGTCTGGTTGCTGCCTCGCGGCTACTCACCCTCGTCTGAGCAAAAGTCATCAATCTCTTGAGACTCTGGATATACTTCCTCGACACCTCGTCATTAAGCACATGCGCCACATTACTGGCGAAAATCTTCTCTCTTCCACTCCTCTCGTGAATCCCCACCATGGTGACTCCGATAGGCCAGGGTGCATTGCCGATGGACAGTTGCAGGTACGAGTCGTTTGCATGACGATATTCGCGCTTTTGAACGTAGTGAACTATTTCGGCGATGCGCATTAGGACGTCGGGTGGGAGCTCGCGTTTGCGTAGAGATTTGAAGAGGGGCTTGAGGTACTCGGAGGATTGGACCTGGATTGCCGAGGCTGTCTTGCCCGTTGTGGACATCTTGACTTCGACTGCAGAGTGGGAGAAGGCGAGAAGAGCCGCAGTCAGCTGCTGAAAGAATCTCATTCGGGTGACTGCCTCCTCGTACTCACTCGATCGATCTGCCAAGCTCTTTTCCCAATCCTCCAGCAAGCCTTTGAGCGTATAGTAGATGATCGGATACACCTTTGCCATATCCTTACGAATGAGGTCCAAGTCGAGGAGCGAGTCCATGCCGATGCCAGGCCCCGTCCGTCTTGACGCCTTCTTCTCATCCTCTTCAGCCGCACCCTCTGCCTTGCTTCCCTCCCTTGCCCCTTGCTCCTTTCCATCAGCAGCTTTCTGCTTCCCACTGTTAGCCATCTTCTCCTTCTCCATCTGCTCCAATGTCAAGCCACTCTCCGCTCCCGCAAGTGCCCTCATGAAATCGTTCTGACCAAACTTCTCGCCACGCTCCTCGATGAGCTCTAGCGCTCTGAGGCGCAGACGGGTCTCCTTGTCTGTCTCGCCGAACAAGCGAATGGGCTCGCCCTTGGCTCGTAGCCGCCTGGATGCTTCGAAGGGGGAGATATTGAAAGTCTCGCGTTGAGCATCTGCGATTGCTTGGTGGGCTGAGCGGAGTCCGTCCGATGAGGATCCTTCGCCCCGGTCCGGAGTAACTGATTTGGACTGCGAGTGACAGAGTACGGACGAGATGTCAGCATGAATTCCTTGTTGATTGTCGCTCACCGGCCTGCTGACCTTTCTCTGCCTCTCCTCCTCCTTCAATCTGGTAAGTGCTTCCTTCTCCTTTCTCCTCTGTTCTTGCTCCCTTCGCGCCTCCTCCTCGCGCTGCTTCTCAATGTCTCCCCTCCTGACATATTTGCTAGCGGGGCCCGATGACGACGATGACGGAGCATCCGGCGATGCTGCCTTGCGCTTGTTGGCCAGCTCTGCCTTGAGGATGTCCATTGCCGTATATGCTGCGAGTGGAGTGGAAGCAACTTGCTCAGCAGTCCAAAGGCGGACTGACAATCGTCGACGCGGGCCTTTGGTCTCTGTCCGCTCTCTGCGCATCCAATCCAATCCACTCCTTCTTCCTCATCCAATCGTCTCGTCCACCCGAATCATGGACGACTAGTGAGTGGCGTGGCGATCAGTAAAAGCATGGAGGAACAAAATTGACCCTGACCGCACCTCTCACGCTCGCAGCGACGAGTTCGGCAATTACATTGGCCCCGTGAGCGACTCGGACGATGAATCCGAGGACCTTCATCAACCAGCTCCCCTCGAAGGATTCGACGATGACGACGATCAAGGTGCAGATCGCATGTCAGGTATCGAGGACGATGGAGAGGAGGAAGAAGAGCGCATAGACCCCGCGACTGCCCTCATCAGAGTCGACGAAAATCCGCAGAACGCAGTCGTGCTGCACGAGAACAAAAAGTACTATCCGTCAGCAGCTGAGGTCTACGGCGAAGATGTAGAGGCAATGGTACAGGAAGAGGATGCGCAACCCCTCTCACAGCCCATCATTGAGCCGGTCAAGGTGCGCAGGTTTGCCATCGAAGAGAAGGACCTACCTGTCACGCGCTTCGATCGCGACTATATGATGAGCTTGATGGGGTTCCCTGAAATGGTCAGGAATGTCATTGTGGCGGGACATCTGCATTCGGGCAAGACTGGTTTCATGGACATGCTCGTTGAGGAGACGCACAAGGTGGTGAGTAGGGCGTAGAGGCTGCACGTTAAAATCATTGGCTCATGTTTCCTCTCGCGTCTTGATGGCCAGGAAATCGACATCGACCGCAACACCCGCTACACCGACTCGCACCTCCTCGAGCGCAGTCGTGGCATCAGCATCAAGTCAGCTCCACTCTCGCTCGTCCTTCCCACTACTCGCGGCAAGTCATATCTTTGCAATCTCATCGATACCCCTGGTCACGTCAACTTCCAGGATGAGGTGGCGGCAGCCAGCCGCATGGCAGATGGCGTCGTACTCGTGGTAGACGTCGTCGAAGGCATCATGTCTGGCGCTGAAGCAGTGATTCAGCATGCCATCCGCGAAGGCCTCTCCATCGTCCTCGTCCTCAACAAGATCGACCGCCTCATCCTAGAACTGCGCCTGCCCCCCGCCGAGGCCTACTTCAAGATTCGCCACGCAATTGACGAGGTCAACCACGTCATTGCTACGCACGACACCGATTCTGAGCGCAAACTGGGTCCTGAGCGAGGCAATGTCATCTTCGCCTCGACGCAGGGAGGCTGGTCTTTTACGCTGCGTTCCTTCGCCCGCCTCTATTCGGACACCTACGGTGGCATTGACGTAGACGAGTTTGCCAAGCGATTATGGGGCAACATCTACTACAACGAGGAGTCGAGAAACTTCTCGAGAAAGGCAGCCGATCCGCAGAGCAAGCGCAGCTTTGTCACCTTCATCCTTGAGCCGCTCTACAAGCTCTATACTCAGGTGCTCTCGAGCGATACCGACTCGCTCAAGCGTACGCTTGCCAAGCTGGGCATCAACCTCAAGCCTGCCGTCTTCAAGATTGATGTGCGTCCGTTGCTCAAGATCGTCCTCAACCACTTCTTTGGGCCTAGCACGGGGATTATGGACGCCATTGCCCAGCACGTGCCGTCGGCCAAGGATGCAGCGGCTCGCAAAGTCGCGCAGACCTGGACCGGTCCATTGAAGGAGGGGCTTGCTGAGAGCATGATCAAATGCAGCGCCGATGGGCCTTTGGTCATGCACGTCGCCAAGCTGTATCAGACTCTCGATGCGCAGGAGTTCAGAGCCTACGCTCGTGTCATGAGCGGGACAGTGCACGTTGGAGACCGGGTCAAAGTGTTGGGCGAAGGCTTCTCTCAGGAGGACGACGAGGACATGGTCATGGCCACGGTCGAGGGAGTTTGGGTCAGCGAGACTCGCTACTACGTCCCCGCCGAGGGTATTCCAGCAGGCTCCTTTGCCCTGCTCGGCGGCATCGATGCCTCGATCACCAAGACGGCTACCGTCGTGTCACCTTCCATCCCTGATGACCAGCTCTATACCTTCCGCCCATTGAACCACATCACCCAATCAGTCCTCAAGGTCGCAGTCGAGCCGTTGAATCCATCTGAGCTGCCGAAGATGCTCGAGGGGCTCCGCAAGATCAACAAATCCTACCCCTTGGCAGTGACCAAGGTCGAGGAGAGTGGGGAGCACATCATTCTGGGAACGGGAGAGCTCTACCTGGATTGCGTCTTGCATGATCTCCGCCATCTCTTTAGCGAGATCGAGATCAAGGTGTCGGACCCAACGGTCCGATTTGCAGAGACGGTGGTGGAGACTAGTGCCGTCAAGTGCTATGCGCAGACGCCCAACAAGCGAAACAAGATCACCATCATCGCCGAGCCGCTGGAGAAGGGCATTGCAGAGGATATCGAGTCCGGCCGGCTCAACACGCGCCTACCTCCACGCGAGCTTGGGAAGGCTTTCGTGGAGCGCTACGATTGGGACGTTCTGGCTTCGCGTTCCATCTGGGCGTTCGGACCAGACGAGGGGGGACCTAACATCCTCGTCGATGATACATTGCCCTCGGAGGTGGACAAGCAAACACTGTATGCTGTCCGCGAGGCAATTAAGCAGGGCTTCCAGTGGGGAACACGCGAGGGGCCTCTTTGCGACGAGCCGGTGCGAAACGTCAAGGTCCGCATCCTCGATGCTGAGCTGGATCCTGAGCCTATGTACCGCAATGCGGGGCAGATCATTCCAACTGCACGACGATGCCTTTACGCGTCCTTCCTTCTGGCCACGCCGCGACTCATGGAGCCCATCTACGCGGTAGAGGTACAGGCACCGGCAGACTGTGTCTCTGCAGTATACACGGTGCTCGCACGGCGAAGAGGCCACGTAGTACAAGACGTGCCCAAAGCGGGTACCCCCCTCTTTACGGTCAGGGCCTTCGTCCCCGTCATCGACGCCAATGGTTTCGAGACTGATCTTCGAACCGTCACGCAAGGCCAGGCATTCTGCCTCCAGTCCTTCTCACATTGGAGCGTGGTACCGGGCGATCCTACGGACACGACCATCAAGTTGAGGCCGCTGGAGCCCGCCCCACCATTGGGACTGGCGAGGGACTTTGTGCTCAAGACGAGGAGAAGGAAAGGGCTGAGTGATCAGATTGCTGCTTCGAGTTATCTGGATCAGGAGATGGTGGTTGCGCTTGCTGCGAGTGGATTCGAGCTGAGCTAGAATAGTGGAGGTGCGCTGCGGAGCATTCCTTGTACTGTATTCATTAAAAAGCATCATCATTGCCTGTCTTTGCGACGTCGACTTGTTGGTGAGGCTGCTCGTGTGACCAGGGGAGAGAGAGGTCTGCGAGCGGGCCGCTCCGCCTGTCAAAGCCGGAGCTGGGTCTTGTCTTGGCTTGGCTCTCAGATGAGATCCAAAGGCGGGCGGGCGCCAGTCCCGCTTTGAAGGGCCGCCGCTTGCCGCCGTCTCAGAGGGCAGACCAAAGCGGGCGGGCCCTCTTTGCCTGGTCCGCCCGTCGTGACCTCGACGTCGAAGCACTTTGTTTCTATTCCATCCCCGTCTCTAACGAATCTCAATCTTACCACCGTCAAGTCCCTCTGCCTTGCATCACTCCTCTGGCTGACAGAGAGGGAGGCAAGACTCATCGCATAGCAGCGTATCACAGCCTCAATACACGATCGCAGAGGCACTCCGAGTCAAGCCTCACACCCTCAGCATGGAATCGGGCGTTCCGGCCACAATGGCAGCATCGGCGTCCACCGCGACAAGCTTGCCTCTATCGGCGCCTGCTACTGCTTCCTCTTCATCTTCTACATCATCCACACAGCCCCTCACGCTCACCTCACAGGCCGGGTCAGACGATCAGCCCGCCGAGCGTGCCCAGCAACCGCTCTCGGCGCCGAGTACGGGAGGATCAACAGCTGCGACGGGGTCGTCTACCAGGGACGCGAGCTTGGGGCGAGAAGGAGCAGAGGGAACTGGAGAGCTGGGACAAGCAGGGCTACCAGCGGCGGATGCAACCACACCGCCTCCGGACGAGTATCCTAGCTTCTCTGGCGGCTTCGTACCTCCTCCTGAGGGCGAGCGACAACCTCTAACGAACTTCGCATTGCCGGAGGGCAGGTCAAGAGCCGTAGCGCAGCAGAGTGAGACAGCAGCAGTATCTTCCACATCAACGCCACTGCAAGTGAGTTCCGGTATCAGTGCGGGTCCGCGGACACCAGCTCATCGTCCCACTCCGCTCTCGCAGACCTCACAGGCCGCTCAGTCGCAAGTCGACCCAGTGACATCTCAGCTTTCTTCAGCTTCAATGTCAGACGCCCCAGAATCATCATCGACCGCAGCTGAGGCATCAGGCAGTAGCTCCCCACCAAGGGCTCCCGCACCGCCTCCCTCGCAGCCGCAAAGAAGGCGCTCCTCTTCAACGGAGCGCTCAGCGCGCAATCGCGTTTCCTCTGGCTCTTCATCCTCTTCCTCCGCTGCCGCTGGACCGGCGATCGCCACCGTCGCTTCTCTTGCAACCGCTGATGCAGGCCCGTCCGGCTCCTTCACACCTCTGGGCCAAAGCCAAATGGGCAGCAGCAGCGCCGCGAGCATGACGAGCAGCTGGGATGCTAGCCGCCTATCTGTACGCAAGTCCAAAACAGCAGAAGCATGGGACAGTGCATCACGACCAGCTAGTCTCGCCCTCATACCTGTCAAGGTCCGCGACTTTGCCTTCCCGGAGACAGACCCGCGTCACGTAGGCGCGAGGGATGTGAGCCAGCCTGGAGGTGGGCAGGACGGGCGATACCATCTGCAGGAGGAAAGTGGCGAGGTGGAAGAGGAGTATGAGGATGATGAAGCTGATGTGGGGGTTGGGCTAGGCAGATGGCGCCGTCCCGCTGCGGGCGGGGCCAGCGGGGATGACTGGGGTCCATCAGCCGGCTACGACGAGGATGATGACGATGTCGAATTTGAGGGAGATCAGGGGCAGAGAGGGGCTTCTCTCGAGCAAGAACGACAAGGCAGCGGCGGCTTTGTGGCCAGCTCGAGCACAGCATCAGGGGGCGTGCCCATGTCCGTGGACAGCCTGACCCCGGGGACGTATCGAGTTCTCTACGACTTTGAGGCCGAGGAAGAGCATGAGCTTTCCTGCGCTGTAGGAGACCAAGTCGAGGTCGTGGGGTCCATTGAGGGTGGCTGGGCGGTGGGCAGAAAGAGAGAAGAGAGCATCAGCGGAACCGGAAGGGAAGGGCTGGTCCCCGAGGGATATCTTGAGTGGGTGGGCACGAGCGGCTGATCATCGGTTGGGCAGGCATGGCATGTGCCATCATCGACGCGATTTCGATTGGCGAAGGGGCCAAGACGAAGGCTCAAGTTGAGGCTGTTTTGATGTCTTTGGCCAAGGCTTGCAATCTAGCAGTGTACCCGGCGTACCTCTCCTGCTCTCATTGAGAAAGCGTTGCCTTGGCCGCCGCATTGGAGCGAGAAGAGCAGTCCGTGAGCACGACGAGGTCGACGCGTGCCTCGCTCTCATTGTCCTGAGCCCAAGCGCTTGTGTAGCCTTGGCAACGTCGTCGTACATAGCTGCCGCTTCTGCCGACCTCCTTGCCGCTTCTCATGCTCGAGCTCGAACGGTGAGATAGACCTTCCAAACGAGGAGCCCCGGTCGCTCCTCTCTCCTTACTCGTCCTCGACCTTCATCCAATTCCTCCATCAGTTCAATCTTTGTTCCTGTCGATGAGTGGAGACTCTCCGAATGGTGCGTTCAGCGGCAGCCGCTCGCAGCATTCAAGGGCACACATGAGCGATGAACGCCGAATGACGGCTACGCTGCTGCCGCTGCCGCCTGATGCCGCTTCCCTTTCGGCCTCTTCTTTGACTTCAATCGCGCCGGCGGGTTTTGGAGAGCGGGCGAGCGACGCTGCGCCTGAGCCCATCTTTGTCTTGGATATCTGCGCAGCATCGCCAAAGGCATTCGCGCATTTTCGTCATTGAGCCTGCAACCTTCCACGAAGAGGTGCTAGGTCAGCCTTTGCTCGTAGTCTGCTGCCAGAGCGTCACAGATGCAATGCTTTCGCCCTTCACTGAAGCGCGCAACTCGGGTGGGCGGATCGTGGAGGCCCCATGGAGGCCCCACAAGAGTTGGAGCGGCCCGAGCGCCGAGGTAGAGCGAGCGCCGAGAGACCCAGGAACGTCGTCAGGGCATGGTCGCTTGCGGGGAGACTTTTTTGCTCCTCTGACGCAGGGTACGGGCTGGCTCCTGACCAAGTGGCCGGTGGGCGCTTCGCGCGATGAAGCAAGGTCTCACCAAGACATTGAGACGAAAGGTATATAGAAGTCCAGTGGGGACGTTGTCCCCTCATCTCCTGATCCATTCCACCAATCTCCTCCTGTTTCTCGGTACTCAAGATGAGGTCGCACTCCCTGTTGGGCTCAGCGGCTTGCCTGCTTGGAGCAGCTACTACGGCGCTCGCGGCTCCCGCCACTCAAGCACTCAGCCTGCGACAGAATGATAATGACAACGATGGCATCCGACCTAGCTTCAATGTCAAGTCGTGCCCTGGATACAAGGTCGCCGGTGATGTCCAGAACGCCACGTCCGGCTTCACGGTCCCGCTCGCACTCGCCGGAGACGCTTGCAATGCCTTCGGCGTCGACATCAAGAACCTCACACTCGCGGTCGTCTACGAGAAGCCAGAGCAGCTCCACGTCCACATCTACGACACGGCCAAGCAGCAATTCCAGCTCCCAAGCGGCCTTCTCTACGACTACCCCACCGACGACCCTGCTCAGGATGGCCTGTCAAACGCCGAGGCGAGCCACTTTGAGTTCCATCACACCGGCGCCAATGATAGCGAGCCTTGGGCCTTTTGGGTGACTCGCAAGTCAAACAATGACGTGAGTGCTGCGAAGAAGAAGGCAGATCGTCATTGGATCAATCGAAGCTCACCACCACCCCTCATTCGACCGCGCAGATCATCTTCGACACGCGTGCGGCCAGGATTCCCACGTACGACCAGCCGCTCAATGGCACCGAGGACAAGCATAACTCGACGGCTATGCCTGCCCACCCGCTCGTCTTCGAGAACCAATACCTCCAGCTGTCCAGTGCACTGCCTGCTGACGCCAATATCTACGGTTTGGGCGAGTACATCTCTGGAGGATTCCGCCGCAACCCCAACAACACCGTTCAGCCCTTCTTTACCCTGGATGCTGGAGACCCGACCGATTCTAACATGTACGGATACCATCCGGTCTACCTCGAGGTGCGACCGCAAGAGGACAAGAAGGTGGAGTCACACATGGTCTACTTCCAGAGTACCTCAGGCCTCGACGTGATCCTCCGACCCAAAGTCATCCAGTACCGCGCCATCGGTGGTACCCTCGACTTCCGCTTCTTCTCCGGCAGTGAGAGCAGTGGCAGCGACGCCGGCAACTCCACCGAGGCCTCAGGTGACGAGGACGCCGAGATGCAGGCGGACCGACGTATGGTCTTGGACGCGCGCCAGGACAACTCCACCGAGGAGTCCTCGAGCTCCTTGACCAGCTCACCCATGGTCGCCAGCTCCCAGTACGTCTCCTTCATTGGTAAGCCTCTCCTGGCTCCTCTCTGGTCCTACGGATTCCACCTCTGCCGTTGGGGGTACCGCACCGCCAACCAGACTCTCGGCGTGGCCAAGAAGATGAGGGAGCACAACATCCCCCTCGAGACGATTTGGAACGACATCGACGTTCTGGACTCCTTCCGTGACCTCACCATCGCACCTGACCGCTTCTCGCAGAAGGACGTTGACAGGCTCCTGAACTACCTGGACGAGAACAACCAGCACTACATCCCGATCACCGACGCCGCTATCCCTGCCGCGCCCACCAACGAGTCCGACTCGTACCCTCTTGGCACCGCTGGTATCGACCAGGACGTCTTCATCAAGAACGCCAATGGCTCGACGTACATCGGTCAGGTCTGGCCCGGCTATACCTACTTCCCTTCGTGGTTCTCGAACAACACCCAGGACTGGTGGAGCGAGGGCATTGCCAACTTCTCTAAGCTGGTCAACTTCAGCGGTATCTGGCTGGACATGAACGAGCCCTCGAGCTTCTGCGTGGGCTCGTGCGGTACCGGCCAGAACCTGTCTACCTGGTTCGGCCACGAGCCCGTGACGCCCGTCGTTGGCTGGCCCGAAGGATACGACAACTACACATACGGCGACTCGGGAAACATCACCGTCAAGGGCAAGAGCACCTACAGCTCGGATCTGCTGATGCAGCGACGAGCCGACGGCGATGGCCAGGACAGTGGCAAGTCGGCAAAGGTCAACACCAGCGACTACCATTATTCAGTCCCCAAGTGGAATTACCAGAACGACACGCAGCGCTACCTGAGTGTGCCTCCCTACGCGATCCACAATGGCAAGGATGGCATCTACAATTATGACAACAATGTCGACCTTCTCAACAGCAAGACAGTCGCTATGGAGGCTATTGACGGCGATCATGCCTTCTACGACGTCCACAATCTGCACGGCGTCCTCTTCGAGAAGGCAACTTACAACGCTCTGAAGACTCTGCGCCCCAACGAGCGCCCGTTCCTCATCTCCAGATCGACGTACCCCGGCGCAGGGAAGTTCAGCCACCACTGGTTGGGTGACAACTTCAGCTTGTGGGCCTCGATGAGTTCTGCTATGCAAGGACTGCTTCAGTTCCAGCTGTTCGGCATCCCATTGATCGGCCCTGACACCTGCGGCTTCGCACGTAATAGCGGTGAGGAGCTGTGCAATAGGTGGCAGATGATGTCTGCGATGCTCGCGCCCTTCTACCGCAACCACAACATCGAGGAGAGCATTGCCCAGGAGCCTTACGAGTGGGACTCCGTAGCCAACGCCACGCGCATTGCCAACTACAAGCGCCTGCAGATCCTACCTTACATGTACTCCACGATGGCTCGCGCCTCGCAGCAGGGTGTACCGGCCATTCGCGCCCTCTGGCAAGAGTTCACCGAGACCTTTGTCGACACGGGCGACACCTTCGTGCAGGCGCTCTTTGGTCCCTCGCTCCTTGTCACTCCCGTTCTGGAGCCCAACGTTCGGAGCGTCAAGGGCTACTTCCCGGCTGCTGGTGGCAAGTGGCGCAGTATCTTCACCTACGAGGCTCTGGACGTTCCCGAGAACAAGAACGTCTCGATCCCCGCGCCTATCTCGACGATCAATGCCCACATGCGCCCTGGTGCCGTCATGCTGACGTACGCTGAGCCCAAGTACACCACCACGGAGACCGCTGCTGGTCCCTACGGACTCTTGGTCAACCTCAACGACGAGGGCAAGGCAAACGGCGACGCCTACGTTGACGACGGTGTTACTCCTGCTCCCCTTCCCTCGCGCGAGCTCCTCTTCACTGCCAACAACGGCTCGCTGAGCGGCTCAACTCCTTCCGGCAACTACACGATCCCGCAGAAGCTCTCGAGCGTCCTCGTCCTCGGCGTCGAGAAGAAGCCGCAAAACGTGTCATTTGGCGACGCGCAGGCGGAGTTCAAGTTCGACGACAGCAAGCAGATGCTCAATGTCACGGGCTTGCAGGGCGACCTCAATGGCGACTGGAAGTTGACGTGGATGTAGAGAGACGCTCGATAGGCTTGATCCGGACTCAGATCCGGAAGAGGAGGGCGCGAATGTGATCGATAGATAGATGCGCGCCGGCGAAGATGCCGATGCGAGGCGTACCTGCCTCTTAATGAAATTACACCACGTGGTTTATGTCCCTCTGTCCGTGTGCCTGCCTGCGAGCGGGGTCCCGCATTCCTCGCGAGCTTTGTTTGCTTTTTCGACTCCGAGAACAACACAGCGAGACCAGAACAGATTGCTTCCTTCCCTACCTACACTTCAATCTCCTTTGCTATCGCCTCTGCGTCTCTTATTCTAACTCCAGACTGTCTGCCTCTCACTCACGTCGATTTGGTTAGTTGCACTCATTCATCGACACCGGCAGCCACGATCAATCGCGCTCGGACCCTCTCGCTACTTTCAGCGGCTGTCAGCACCCTCATCTTGGCTTTCCATCGACGTCAGCAGACTTAAGCCCATCTTTCCTTCCTCCACTCGCTGCCGACATATTTCTCAACACTTCTTCTACGGTGGCGTCTTCATCCTCTTCAACATCATTGGCGGCTGAGGCGCGTCTCGACAGCTTACAACACCACCTCCAGCCTTCGATGTCCAGTCCAAGCGCAGCCAGCGGAAGCGGTACGAGCAATGGCGATGGCGGTGCCAATGGCAAAATCGAACAGTATGGCCCCGCTGGGCCCTTTGGAGCCGTCTTTCAGATCATCCCTGGAGTGCAGAACTACGACTGGGGTATCGAGGGCAAAAAGGGAAGTCTCGTTGCGGTCTACGGTGAAGCAACGGAGCAGCTTGGCATGAAGATCGAGGATGACAAGCCGTATGCAGAGGTGAGAGCCCAGTAGGAGGCTTCTGAACTTTCTGTTCTCTACTGACTTTGATCTTGTCCTGCGCATACAGCTCTGGATGGGTACTCACCCCACGCTCCCTTCCACCATCGTCCCTCCTCCAAACTGCCCAAGACCGCCTCCATCCGGCACCTTCATCAGCCTTTCGTCCTATCTCAATCGCCATTCATCCCTCCTCGGCGACAAGGTCGTCAAAAAGTACGGCGACGGTCTCACTCGCAATGGTGGCGTGGACGGGCCTGACGGCAAAAAGAAGGATCAAGGCGCCCTTCCATTCCTCTTCAAGATCCTCTCGGCAGGCAAAGCGCTCAGCATCCAAGCCCATCCGGACAAGGATCTCGCGAAGCGCCTCCACGCCGAAAAGCCCAAGTCGTACAAGGACGATAATCACAAGCCCGAAATGGCAATCGCCCTCACTCCCTTCCGCGGTTTCTGCGGCTTCAGGCCTCTGGGCGAGATCGTCCATTTCCTCAGCGTCGTCCCCGAGTTTCACGCCCTCGTCGACCCGTCTGACGCCTTTCTCTCTGAGGTCGAGTACGCTTCCAAACCTACCAGTGGTACCACAGAGCAAGAGACGAAACAATGGCTGCGAAAAATCTTCGAGCCGCTCATGAAAGCAAAAATGACCGACGTCAAGAAACGTACGATGGGAATTGCACAACGCTACGCGTCCGCTCTCGCCTCAGGGTCAGCAAAGGACCTCGAAGTAGACGAGTCTCTCGCCAAGCTCGTCTGCACCCTCAATGAGCAGTTTCCGGGCGATGTTGGTGTCTTCTGCTCCTTCGTCCTCAACGTCGTGCGCATGCAGCCGGGTCAAGCCATGTTCCTCAAAGCGAACGAGCCGCACGCCTACATCGAGGGGAACATCGTCGAATGCATGGCCGCTAGTGACAATGTTGTGCGTGCAGGCCTCACGCCCAAGGAGAGGGATGTGGATGTGCTCGTGGACATGTTGACCTACTCCAGCGGAGGTCCGGACAAGCAGCTTATGAAGCCTAGGCCATGGTTGCCCGCCAAGGGAAGCAAGACGAGAGAAGCGTATGGTGTGGCGGCCGAAGGCAAGGAGGACGACGACGAGGCTATTGCGGCGGTTGAGCTACCCCTGGATGTGGCGAGCCCGTCAGCTGCTAAGCGCGACGAGCCTCTGGCATCGCTACCTTCGCTGCTCTACGACCCGCCCATTGACGAATTCTCCGTTGCGGTCACAAGGCTTCGTCCTGGTCAAGCTGAGAAGCAACGCGCCGTACAGGGTCCCTCGCTCTTGATCCTCACGGCTGGGAAGGGCAAGCTGAGGACGGTTTCTGCAGAGGGTGAGGATCAGCGTGAGTTCGACATGGACAAGCCGGGCAAGGTCTTCTTCGTTGGCGCAGGGCAGGAGGTGGAGATCTCGGCGGACGAGAGCGGCGACGAAGGTGCAGCAGCTGGCAGCTTGAGCGTGTTCCGTGCTTTCGTCGAGGTGGCAGAGTAGGCCCAACATTTCTCACTCGCAAACGATGTAACCTCAATCAGTCAAAGCAAGTGTCCATTCCAAGAGAAGGTCATGTGTTTTTGTATCTGCGCTCGCATCATCCCGTACATGCATGCCGATGTTGCTGGCTGAATGAATGATGAAAAGCCAGAGGGAGAGAGCGTCTGCTATATACGATAGACTGGTGTGGTGGTGGGAGAGACTGCATCGACGAGACGCTTCCTCTTCGCTGTGTACTGAGAGAACAGGACCGTGAGCCAGGGCCGCAAGAGCGAAGAGAGCGTGCGTTTGTAAGGAGCAGGGGGTCGTGTGTGGATGGAAAAAGCGTACTACTACAAAAAGGATGGGGAAGCGTGAGAAGGCTGGCGCGTTGCTGGTCATTGGCCTGACCCCTAGTCGAGCCTGCGCTTGCCCATCAACATCTCGTCGGATGAAACGCTCTCCTCAAGGCTCCTCCTCCTCCCTGAGTAGCCAGCACCCTGAGTTGACGGGTTGGTCCACGACTCTACGGGCCATTGTCCACAAGTGTCCGCACCAGACTGAGCCTCGAGGAACTGCTTGTTCGTTTGATTGGCCGACGGCTTGGGGATGACGCCGCTGTTGATGAGCGTGACGGCAGAGTACATGTCCTGCAGGTTGTCGGGCAGAGCGAGGACTTGAGTCTTCGAGTGCGTCGTCTTGAAAGACCAGAAGACGGAGCCACCCGACCAGGCGTAGCCTGCAGCCTGGAGGTTCGTGTAAGTGCGAGTCCAGTCATCGTCGTAGACACCGTTGATCGAGGACCACTCGGTGATGATCATGGGGACCGGGTAGCCTACACCGCCCTGGACGATCTGGCAAACGTTGTTCTGCATGTACGACCTCGAGGTGTTCTGGGGCGTGAACCAGCCCGGGTAAGGGTGGTCCTCGTAGGCCAAGTAGTTGGGGTCCTTGCCCGTAGCAAAGTCGGCCCAGTACTGCGCGGGCGTACCGCTGCCAGAGTAGAAGCCGTGGTGGAAGATGGCAGGGATACCGGCCTTCTTGCAGGCCTGGTAGGCGTTTTCGTAGAAGTCGCGAGTGATCTGCGCGTTGCTGTTCTTCTGGCTCTGAGAGAAGGAGCCGTCCCAAGGGCGAGGCTCGTTGACAATGCCGATGGAGTTGACGACGGAGCTATAGTTGCTGCCCTGAATGAAGGAGATGGCGGCGTTGATTGCCTGCATCGAAATCTGCTGGTTGGTGTCGCTGAACCAGCCAATCTTCTGCGACGATGACGAGGTGTTGTGACCAGAAGACTGGTCGCCGTTCTGCGAGCCGGGCATGCCGTGCATGTCAATGGAGGCGTACATCTTGCGGTCATGGAGCCAGCCGAACATCTTCTGGAGCTGCTCAGTCTGGCCAGACTGAGCGAGGTAGGGCTCACCCTCGGCGGCGGGAACAAAGGCCCAGTAGCCTACGGGGATACGGATCGTGTTGAAGCCGGCGCTCTGCATGAGGTCGAGGTCAGCCTCGGTGACCCAAGTGTCCCAGTGGTCCTTGAGAGCAGCGAGAGCCTTGTCCCTTCCCAGGTTCTCGATGAAGGTCCATTCATCCCAGGCATCTGCGCCTGCGGTGTTGACCATCCAGTCCTCGTTCATCCATCGCTCGAGCAGCAGCCAGCTGCCGAGCGAGGCGCCGTACATCTTGGTGTCGGTGTCAGTGAGATTCCACTTCGGCAGCGGTGTGATCGTCTTGTCGGAAGATGACGAACCGCCCGAAGACGAGCCCGAACCCGAGTTCTTGCCGCTGCCGCTCGAGCTACCGCTGCTTGAACCGCTGTCGTTGGCCGACGAAGATGATGAGGAGTCGCTGTTCGACTTGGAGCCAAGTCCAGCACCGAGCCCGGCACCGAGAGCAATGGCGAGGAGAACAACGGCGGCGATGATACCGGTGAGGAGCTTGTGCCTAGAGAACCAGTTGCCCTTTGCTGCGCCCGCACCAGCACCCTGCGGCATGAAAGCGAGTCAGCATGAGAGAAGAGACAAGAGCAGCGGCCTCGAGCACACTCACACCAGCGCCAGCGCCCGCCTCCTTGTCCGAGAAGTGGTAGTACTGTCCGTCCTGGTCGTTGAGAGCCTGCTGAGATCCAGGCTGGTCGTAGCTGCCGTAGTGGCCCGAGGCGGGAGTGCCCGGTGTTTGCGGATTGTCGTAGCCAGGCATTTTGGCGAATACGACGAGGAGGGGAGAGGAGAGGGAGGACCCAAGGGAAGATGAGGAGGTTAAGAAAGAGGAAAAAGGTGGGAAAAAGGGGGTAAGATGAGATGAGAGTGGTGGCGAAATGAGATGCGAGGCGAGAGTGAGTGATGCGTGTGTGCTTGTGGTGGTCGGCGGTCCTAGGTTAGTTGGGTCCCGCTCTCGCCGCTTGCTCGCAGCTCGCTGTGGTGATGATGGCAGCTCGTCGCCGTCGGCCTCCTGCTCCTACCTGCTGCCCCTGCTCCTGCAAAGCCAGCCAGGCTTCTTGAGAAATGTTACGGGCGCGGCGGCTGCCTCCCGCTTGATGCCGGGGCATACACGAGGCACAATCAAACCCTCGGGCACTTGAGCAGACGGGCTAGCGGGGTGGCTGGTTGCAAGCTGCGAACCGAGGGAGAGCGGTGGAAATCGTCTCTCGTCCCTCAGAGCCCGCGAGCCTGCAAGCCCGCGCGCCAAGCACGGAGTCTGTTGTTGTTGTAAGTGGCCGCGAGCTCCTCTGCCTGCCTGCGCCCCGAGTCACTCCCGACCGGCCCCCTCTCTGTTCATTCCGTCGTTTCTGTCAATGTCTAGCGCTCAGGGTCAGGTTCGCACTCGACGGAGGTCCGCGGCAGAAAGCAGTTAGGCGCGCGAATATTCAACGACGACCACGCAGCTCGACGTACGACGCTCCTAGCTGGGCTGCCTGCGCTGCTGCACGCATGACAATGAGCGATGCATCGCGTTGTTGGCCCAGCCTTGGCGAACGAACAAGCAACCGCTAGCCTCGTATGCATGTGTCACATCTCTCAGGCCCGGCGGGCGAGGCGGCGAGGCGGGAAGGAAGTCATGCTCATCTCGCACAAAGCTTGCGGCTCAACATGGAAAAGCACGATGCATCTTCTGTGACTTCGTCGTCGTGGTCGCGGGTCATTTGCGGGTCGTCGTCGGTGTGGCTGCGCTAACTTGCTTCGGTGGCTTCCCGTGGCACGTCGATTGCGAGCCGCGGAGATTGAGTGAATGATCGAGGATCAAGCGGGAGAAGGTGGCTCGTGAGCCTCGTGGAAGCAGAGGCAGATCGATCGGGCAGTTATGAGCCGCGAGAGCCGCGGGCACCGTCTTTGAGGATCATGATCAGGCCTACGGCCCGACGCTCCACGGGCCAAGAGCTACAGATCTGCGATTCCATTTTTGGAGCTTCACGATAGTACCTGCGTGAGATGAGATTTCCGCGTCGTGACATCCAGCAGTCTTACCCCGTCCCGTGACGCGACAATCAATCATCATCCCCCCAATCATCACTGACGGGTGCACGTTTCCTCGCAGCCGTCTGCTCCAGCTCATCCTCTGGGTCACCATTGTTACCACCCGCCTCGCTCGCGCCCACCTTCGCCCGCGCAAAGACTCCACTCATGAGCTGTTCCTCCCTCTCCTTCTCATCCAATATCCTCTGCGTTGGCTGTTTAGGCAGCGTGGACTTGCCTGTAGGCTCAGGCGGGGGAGCGGCAGAGAGCGGCTTCATCCCTGCCGGGCAGAGGTCAATCACTGGCCTTGACGCGGGTGGCTCACGGCCTTCTGCCCACTCTGCCGCAGAGAGCAGCGGCTGCTCGACGTCAACGGTGGGAGGAAAGACGTCGTCCTGGAAGAACTCTTTTCGCTTCCTCTCTACACGCCAGCCAACGCGTTGAACTTCATTGTTCTTGCTCAGCCTGTAGCTGACGGCTACCTCTACCTCGCGCACATCAGCGTAGCGCTTCGGGAGGAAGGAAACGCCGATTTGCGGATGCGAGTGCTGAAAGGCGCCAGACAGAAGCTTGAAGACTGGCCCGCCTTGACTTTGAGTAGCGCTAGAGGAGGGCGGCATGACGTGCAGTACGGAGATTGACCTCTCCCCCTTTGACCAGAGGTAGAGAAGAGCAGCGTCTGGGTCATAGTGAGGGAAGAGAATGGCAGGGCTAGTGTCCAGTCCCAACTTGCTTGACTCCTGCAGCTGGAAGTCGTCGCTGAGGCTAAAGAGCTTGACCTGCCGCATGGAGCCGAAAGTGTGCCCTACCGTGGCTACGTGGCTCTCGTCGACCCAGGCAATCTTAAATGGCCTGGGAGAGTCGTGCGCCGCAACTTCGGCGACGGCTGCGGTGTGGGGATTCCAGATGACGAGCTTGCGGTCTGTAGATCGGGCGAAGGCGACGAGCGAGCCGTTGGGAGACCACTCAGCTTCGCCTGCCACGGAAGTGTCCCCTAGCTTTTGGATGATCGACGAGGACGAGAGGTCGATGATGCACAGCCCCTCACTGCCGGCCACGAGCAAGACGTCCGAGGCTGTAGGGTGAAAGGCGACATTACTGCCGCGCCCGAGCTCGTTCGGTAGGGCGACCGTAGCTTCTGCCGTTGTGACGACCCTTTGCTCGTACTCGCTGTCTGGGCCTGGCTCAGCAGGTAACCTCCAAACCTTCACTCCATCGTCAGCCATGGTGACCACTCTCCTTGAGTCGAACGGATCGCTCGTGAAATCGAATACCTTTCCGCCCGTCTCGATCCAGCTGATGTCTTTCGCCTCGGGCATCCTACCGGCGCGGGCCAGCTCGTGGAAGGCTAGGCGACCTCCCGGCCCAGCGAGGGGGTAGAGGAGGTGCGAAGGTGTCGAGAGGAAGGAGCGAGCAGCGGGCGAGATGGAGGCGTCGACTGCGGGGACCGAGGTGAAGGCTGAGAGCAGAGGAGTCGAGCCGGCTAGGGTGGCGCGAGACCAGGCTGTGGTGTGTGGGCGAGGTTTTTGAGCGGTAGCGTAGCGCTGGGGCGGAGGCGCTGAAGATGATCCATCCTTTCCAGAGATTTGCGCCGCAGTGTCCGCGTCCCTCGTCTTAGAAGTCGTTGCAAGAGAGGTGGCCTCCAACGTCGGCGTCAACGAAGTAGGCGCAAGAGGCGAAGCCGGCTCGCGGACCTGCACAGAAGGGTCTACTACGGCTGGAGGGGGCACGGAGCTCGCCTTGGTAGGCTCAAATGGCGAGCCCGAGGGCTGTCTTCCCATCTCCTGTAGCGGCGCTGGCTTGGCCTGCTGCGGAATATGAATCTCCTTAGGCTTGGCCCATTCGCCTCTCTTTGACGGGTCCATACTAACGCGGGTCATCTCACCATCTTTGCCCTGCAACCAGTCTGACGCTGTCAATGCGGGCGAGCCGTCGTACGTGTCAGGGAAGAGGTGAGAGTGGTAGTCGATGAGCTGTCGCTGGGGAATTTCAATTGAGATTGGGACCACCTCGCTGCCACTAGCGCTCGCGACATAGAGACGGTCGATCTCTGCTGACATGACATCGAGGCTGATCGGTTTGGTTGTTGAGAGAGCTGCAAAAGACGTTCGCGGGGGGAGAGGGAAAGCTCCTTGCGGGAACTTGCGGCTGTCGTCGAGCTCAATCCATCGCATTGTCACATCACCCTTTGCGCCCATGTAGACGAGGCGGCGATCCTGATCTACGGCGAGTGCTAGCGGGCTCGATGCAGTGTCCAACGTGATGGTCTGAAGAGGAGATGACAGAGAGTCGATGGCGAAGATGCGCAGCTCCCTCTGCCGTGAAGACGTGAGAGTCGATGCAAGAACGTAGCTGCCAACGTGAGCGACTCGCATGGGCTTTGGCAGACCAAAGGATGGCGGATTGGACGAAGCTACAGCTAATCCATCGCGAGCATTGAGTATCTTGACTGTGCCGTCAGCCAAAGCTGCGACAATCTTGGATCCATCGTTGCTCCACTGTACGTCCCAAACGAACTTGCCGCCAGCCTTTGAGCCCACGTCCACATGCAGGGAGGTCGCAGGTCCATTGCTATCCTTTTCAAGGTCCCAAAGATGGACCTGCGAGCTGAAAGCTGAGGCTGAGAGGACTAGATCTGAAGCGTGTGGATGCCATCGGACGAGACATTGCTGAGTATCTTGATGCTTGCGCTGTGCCACGATCTCATCGTCCTTGAGGATGATGATGGACCCATCCTCGCCACCTATTGCGATGCAGTCGTCCCTGAACGGTGAGACTGCGATGTCACATACATTGCAAGGTAGGGTGATGGTTCTGCTTTTACCAGCGAGTTTTCCTGTATGCTCCTCGCCTTGGTCGAGGACGATGAGAGTCGAAGGTGTGGAGGCCTTGACGTAGATACAGCGAGAGGATGCTGCGATGGTATCCCCACCCACTGCGTCACTCGTCGGGGCGATGGACACTTCTGAATAGCTTTGAGTAGGCTTGGCAGCTAGATTGCGCCATGGCGACAAAGCTGCGAAGCGTGAAGGAGGCATCTTTGGGAGGGAGGCAGGAAGGATGTGCGCAAGACGGGCCCGTCAAGCCAACGTCGGACAGTCGGTGGCCCGTCCGCATCCAACACTCGACTTGGAGACGACTCGCCGAGGCGAGGCGAGGCGAGGCGACGTCAAGCAGGACGCCCCGATTCTCACGTTCATTCGCTGCTCCTTCCCTTCTGGTCTCCTCGCTTCTTCCTCAATACCCATTCGATACCACGGCCAAAGCTGCCATTGCCTCAGACTCAGCGATGTCCCGCCCGGGCATAGAGTCATTTCGATATGCTTCATCACCTGGAACTCCTGGAGCTGGACAACGCAGATCATCACAACCAGGTGGACCGCCTCCTCCTCCTCCTTTAAGTGTCCCACCACAACTCATAGACAATGCAGGCGAAACCTTCCAGACGGTCGCCGACTTCATTCTGGGCCTACCACATCCTCGTCACTGGCCAGGCTTGCTAGCTACCTATTTCCTCCTAGACCCAATACGCGCCCTAGCCGCCAACGTGATTGCCCTCATCACCTCGCCACGAACACATCGCGTCATTCTCCGCCTCTCGATCCTTACAGGCCTCTTCTGGACTGCTGTGATTTTGGCTGTCGTTGCTTACATTGGCTTCTATCGCGCTTGGGTGCCGGAAGTGGGGCGCATCGAAGAGCTCTTCCTGCAATATGGCAATCAGGGCCAGGTACCCTATGCTGAGGTTGACCTCTCCAGGTGGAGAGGTCTGGGCAAGGCTATGGCTGTTGGAGAGGACTGGTTCGCCGAAGAGCAGGAGTACGAGGCGGCTGTTGAGCTACTGGTCCCTATCAGCACGTCGAATCTGGACCTTGGTGAGTGCGACGTCCGGGAGACAGGGATAACTTGCGTTGACCTGCGCCTTCACGCCGTTAGGGAACTTCATGGTGTCCATGGACCTTGTCACCGCGGACAACATTACAGTCTTCCGATCCTCGCGCCCAGCCATTCTTCGCCCAACGACGCCCACATCGCGTTTCCTGTCGCAATTTGCACAGCAATTGTCCAATCGCCCCTCCGTCGCTGGCACACAAATGCTGCCTATCCCATTCACCTCACCGTCCTTGGAGCTAATGACCATCACTCTCTTTGACCGTGTCGTCCTTCACCCTAGTCCGGGGAGTGTCCCCTTTTCCGACCCACAGGGTAGCCCGCTGCAGGCTGGAGGAAGGCCACGTCGCATTACGAAAGCGATTGTGCGAGTTGGGAGACACGACGCAGATCGATACTGGACCTACGGGGGCGGGCATGGAGTCGGCGGGGTAGTTCTGGCGCCTCACACCTCTCAAGGAGCAGGTGCACCAGAGGTGGGCGGCATGGTACTTGCGACGCAGAATGGCGGCGCCTTCAGGAGCCGTGGGGAACTACAGACAGTCAGCGCTGGCCTGCGCTTTGATGCCAAGCTCACTGGGCTGAGGTACATCCTCTATACACATCCGGTGCTCAGCTTCGTCGTCTTCACGTCGCTCTTCCTCGTCTTCGAGCTCGTGTCGGCACTCACACTTTGGACAATCGCTGCCGTCTACACGTCGACACTACCGGGTCTCGAGGTCGACTTGGGCGCAGACACTCAGTTTGTCCCCAGGCCAGGCGGAGGAGGAGGAGGAGGAGGAGGAGGCGGCGGCTCAAGGAGACTGCGCAGACCTAGCTATCCTCCGAGCACTACAACAGCTACAGGCGACGACAGTGTAGGCGACGAAGAAGACACGGAGACGGAGACAGAAGGGCGCAATGGAGACGATTCAGGCGATGCAAGAGCCCGAGCACGGTCCATGGCCTCACTCCTGGCCCGGGACGAAGCGGAGCAACGGGAGGCTCGCCTAGCCGCAGAAGAACAAGCTCGTCGCTCCGGGCGATTGATGACGGGCGACGATGCGGCAGGTGGGAGCCCGGACGATCTCTTGACACCCACGTACGGTCGACGTGTGCTGGGCAGGCTAGACGAGGAAACAGAAGAAGAGACGGATGGCGCGAGTACAGCTACGACCTTATCTCGCGAGGATGCTGCGGAGCAACGCAGAATGCGCCAGGCTACGGTTGCTACTGCCTCTCAGTCCACGGCGAGCAGTCAGGAGACGCTCTCGGGCTCAGAGGGGTCGAGACAAGCGGATGATGAGGGAGATGAGACGGCGGTCATCGGTACAGCGGGACGGCGCGAGGAGGCGGCAGGGGCTCAGCCAGAGGGCTTCAGGCGGCGCAAGGGGTACGAAGATGAAGGCGGTGACGACGGTGGTCGAGGCGGGTCAGCTCCTAGTCTGCTTGGTGGGTCTGCGACTGACCCATCCGTCGCTGGCTCGTCGTCGAGGAGGAGCTTCGGTGCTACGACGGAGGCTTCACGTAGGACCGAGACCACAGCTGCGACGCGGGGTCAGCATGGCGAGGAAGAGAGCGAGACGAGCCCTGAAGAGCAGTCATCGTCGTGATATCGCACGCACTTCACTTTCCAGGAATGATACCATTGAGAACACGGGGCGTGCGAGTGCGTGCGAGATTAGAAGCGGTGTCGGAGGGTCGCGTGACGTGCGGCAGCCACAATTGAGCAGATGACGTCGCTGTGCCTCTGCAGCCGACCGCGCCCGCCCAGTTCGGGGAGTTGGCTCGAGCTCAATTCAGTAGGGTCCAGGCCTGCCAAAGAAACAGCTGCACCTTTTGTCTCTCTTTACCATCACTTCTATCTTCACCAACACTACACTCCTGCCCTCTCGCAACCATCCGCAGAAATGGCCCACTGGCGCGACTCACTTCTCCTCAAGGTAGCCAATGTCCTGAGCTACATCCTCTTCCTCGGCTCGAACGGGTACGGGGCCCTTGGCCCTCAATCGGGCAAGTGGTCAGCGGGTGGAGCCCGCGAGACGTTTATAACCCCTGAGAGCTGGTTTTTCGGAGCGTGGGGCCTCGTTCACTTGCTCCTTCTCGGCTTCATCGTCTATCAATTTCACCCCTCCGGGTACCATCCTGCTGTGGAGGGGGTGGGCTGGCGCTTCTCCCTGCTGGCCGTCCTCAACGCCCTTTACGCTCAGTTGAGCTCAAACGGTAGCGGCAAGGACAAAGACGCTCGTATCTCTGCCATCTTGGCGTTCGTTGTCATGCTTGTGATCGCCGCTACGGTCAGCACTGTATTCCATCAGCTCAAGACGAGCCACAAGGCCAAGAATGGTGAGTTCATCTGCTTGGGCCCTGTAGGTCGCCATGCGACGGAGACTGACTCGACCGAATCCACGCTTCCACCGCACTCGCAGCTCTCGACACCGTCGTCGTGCACCTCCCCTTCAGCATCTGGCACGGCCTCTCGGTCGTCCTCGCTGTCGTTGCAGGCTTCGCCGCCTTTGGCCCTGACGCCCATTCGCACAAGCCTGGCGTCCTCAGCGACATTGCCGTCATCATCGGCCTTGTCTTCCTGGAGGGCACCGCTGCGGGTTACGCCCTGTACGGCGAGGGTGACGTTGCCAGCGGACTTGTCGTTGCTTTGGCGCTCCTTGCCATCTTCCAGCACCAGACTATCGGCACGGCTGACAGGATCATTCACTACGGTGCTCTGATCGCTTTCCTACTCTCGCTTCTCGCTGTTCTGAGGAGCGGTGTTGCTGCTATTCAGGGTCGACGCTCGGCCGCTGCCGAGGAGAGGGCTCCTCTTCTCGGCTGAGCGCGGGCGAGGATGTAACGCAGAAGGCTCAAATGTGTAGATCATCGAAGCATGGGAAGCATGAGGGAGCGAAGGAGGCGAGGAACACATCGGCAGTGTAGGTCGGAGAGACCATTAGCATTCGCACAATGAGTTGACTATTTGGAGCATGGCCAAGTGTGACCCGCGCGAGATTGTTGTCGGCGCAGTTGCTACGCAGCATAGTGACGCGGAGCCAGGCCTTTGCTTTGACCTGGAGGCTTCGATCAGCAACCTGCTGTCTTCTTAGAGCTGATGCTGCCCTGGCCTGACCGCAAAGGACGGCTTGGTCGGTCGTCGTGATATCGTGCGAGTCGGTAACTGCCCCTTTTGTGAGACGTCTCGTTGTCGACGCACGCCCCACTGCCTCGCTGCACGCAGGCGCAACAAGCCCGACTGCGCTGCGAGCCGCCTCGACTGGCTCGCGCCTTGATTGTCTCGAGACGCCGTGCCCTGATTCACTCTCCACCTCTCATTCAACACCGCCGCCCTCGATCGACAGGCCACACGATCAGGCTACGGCGCTCTTTCGCTCGTCTTCACACGCTCCTTCACCCTCGCTGCAACCATCTACTCAGCCAGATCGAGGCGCGTAGCAGCAGAGCATACAGCTTGTGATCTCGATTCTCGGGACGCAAGGATCAGGTTGCTCGATGCCGGCCGACATGGCGGGCAGGAGAGAGCAAGATGTTGGTGGTGGCCCGACGGCAGCAGGCCTTCACGCTAGTGCGGGCGCCACCAACTTGGCAGCTCTAGCCAATCGTAGACCATCACCCTCGTCGCCCGCTGCCTCATACTCTCATCTAGAGACGACGGACGAGAAAGACCCATCATCAATGTATGCAGCTCCCGCCGCCGGCGCCAACCAGCATCATGCTGCATCTTCACCTGGAGTTGACTACGCAACGCCTCCTCTCCCTCGTTCTCACTCTCGCACCGCATCTACTTCATCTGCGTCGCCCCGTCAGTCAAGGAGGAGCAGCGCTGCTCCACTGTCGTCACCTAGCCATTCTCGCAAAGCAAGTCTAGCAGGCCTAGCAGAGCATCCTTCTTCGTCTCGTACCACGCCATTAATCGACGAATCAAATACCTCGCCTTCCAGCGCTGGCTATATCTTTGATTCATCCTTTTTCAACTCGTGGGGAGCGGCCAATAATGCCAATATGCTCGGCGTATCGACACCGACAAGCTCGTCCATAGGCGGCAGTCGGCGAGGAAGTGCCATGCCTTATGTAGGTGGCTACCCACTCAGCAGCCGGCAGGCCTCTACAACGGGCTCGATCCCACTCTCGGGAGTCAGCGCAGCCGCTTTGGGGATGATGAGCATGGCAGGAGGCAACGGCACTAGCTCAGGGAGTAGCAGTCCGAGGAGTGCCGTCTTTCCACACCTTGGCGAAGGGATCTCCGGTGTGGCCGACGAAGGGATAGGAGGTGAAGTGGCAGGGGATGGGCAAATGCAAGCTGCGAGAGCACATCACAAGCCGCGCATGAGCAAGAAGGGTGGCCGTCGTAGCAGGTCAACATCAACACGCAGCGCCTCGTCGGCCCTATCGCCAGAGGTAGGAGGCCTGCCGCTCGTCCCGAAGAGGCGCAGCAGCGCTCGCAATGGCTCGTCACCGGAAGACGTCGTCGCCGAAGAGCTGCTCCCTGCACAGTTACCGCCATCGCCGCCCATCCCATCCGACCAGGCTCAGCCGGCTGACATGCGCCACTCTCAGAGCTCTGATCTGTCAGACTACGGTTCGCAGGCAGACGAGGACGAGGACGAGGGGACGCGCCGAATCAATACCGTCGATATGGGATCGAGCAGCACAGGAGACTACAGTAACGTCCTGCAGCTAGCTGGAGGTCCACCAAAGCTGCAAAGACCGCAAAGAGGTCCGCTGTCCCCAGAATCGGCAATCTCCCGCAGAGATCTGGCAGCATCTCCCTCGTCAGCCTCGGCGTCTGGCTCGACCTCTCACTCTCTCCATTCGAGCAACGCCTCTGGCGCGCCGGCGGCAATGACTCGCTCGCTCAGCCCTCGCAAGCCGCGAGTCGAGCCTGGAATGGAGAGACAGAGGAGCACGCTCTCGCACAGCAGCATACCGATGACGCCCGTAGAATCAGCCGAGTCAGATGAGGCGGCATTGGAGGCAGCCGCTCTCCGCGACGCTGACCGTGAGGATCCCAATCGACCTCGCACGCTCAAGGAGGCGCGTGAATTGGCCAAAGCCAGGGCTCAGGCGCGTCAAGACCCACAGCCAACAGCTCCAGCGCCTGCGCCTGCACAGCTCGCTGCAGTGATGACGCCTTCGAGCAGCAAGCGCTTCGGTCAGGTCTCGCCTAAGTCGTCGGAAGATCCTGCAACGATGCCGAACAGCGCCGAGTCAACCATGGATGAGCTCCAGGCTGCCGTTGGAAGTGCCTTGAGCAATCTCGACTTCAGTCCGACAGCAGGAGAAGAGTCCTTCGATACCACCAGTACAGCCTCGGTACCAGGAGACTACGTGCCGGCCACCCCAGTCGTCAATCGGTCAGAGTCTAGAGCGGATGAAGGAGTTGAGCGGGCAAGCCTGGAGATGGCGTACGATTCGGCGCGAGAATTTGACGAGGAGGATGCGCGCGACCAGGTGGCTCAAACTCCTCGACGACAGCAGGACAGAGAAACGTCCGCGAGTGGGCTGGGCCTCGGCGGCGACGTCACGCCGTCCGCAGCTGGTGAACGGCCGCCTGCTGCGGATCGCTCCACCTCTAGCACGTCCATCGCGATGCTTCGTCAGAAGAGTTCTCGGAGTATCGCTCCCGCATCTCCCACAGAAGAGCAAAAATATGTCAAGGGCGGCCCCCGAGATGTGGCCGAGCGGCCTGGCGCTCTTTCTCTCTCCCAGGCGCTGGCGCTCGATGGGCCACCGACTCCCGTCGTGTCACAAGACGACTGGAAGACGCCGCGGTCGATACCAAAGCGAATGGCCTCGGTTGCGCAGTTCAACGAGCCCGCCGGAGCATCCACACCAACCGCAGCGCCGCCACCCGCAGCTGTACTTGCTCCTCCAACCCGTATCACTGTGCCAGGCAAGACAGTTCCCTTCCCTCCCTCATTCCACGTCTCTGCCATCTCCGTCGACAAGAGGCGAGCACCGCCGTGGGAGCGAGCGAAAGCGTATGCACAGTTCACCAACGAGCTCTGCAGCACGCCGAGCGGCATCTCCCTCTGGATCGAAGCGGCCACTCGTCGACCTATCCCCAACTCCCACTCGGGCGGCAAGGCCTCGCTCATGCCTGGTAGCGGCCTTGGAGGCGGGCCTCGCTACCCAGCTAGCGTGTCTGCAGCAGGCGCACGCTCTGCCACCACCACCGCAGACGGTGGCTTCGCCGTGCATCCTCGGGACGTCTCCAACGCCAGCGTACGATCGGACCAGACCTTCCCTATCCGCGGGGACGGGGGCAAGGCTAGAGACATTACACAGATACCCCTCGACACGTCGCAACCTGACGCATACCCTGGTGCGGTCCCGTCGAGCATTCCCTACCCTAGCTTGGTACATCAGCCAAGTCGGTCCCTCTCTGGCGCGGGCTCTGCTGCGCCTTCGATGAGCATGACGCCCAGTGCCAGCTCTACTGGCAGCCAATCTCAATCCCAGTCTGTGGGACTGAGGGCGCGCAAAATCTCCTCTGGCGCGCTGGACGTGCTCAATTCCTTATCATCAGCGGCATCTCCGGCGGCCAAGGCGGATCGTCCTTCTGGTACCTTCAGTCGGCCAGCTCTTCCGACGTCTTCAAGCTCCTCATCCTCCTCCAATACTCGCCAAGGCGGAGGCGGCTTCCTCGGCTCACTCGGTCGACGCAACTCGAAGCGAAGCGTCCAATCACCCGGCGCCCCGACGGGCATGACTATGACGAGTAGCTCGAGCCAACGCTCCGTAGCCGATGTGGGCAACACCTCTTCGACCTCTCTATCTGGCCCACGAGGGCCGCGAATACCAGGAGCGGCAGGAGCGCTAGGTCGAGCGATAGGCAACGTGTCTAGGCATCACGGTGCGCAGAGCAACACTGCCGCGCAGAGCAGCACGGGAGTGAATGCTGCAGGCTCGATTGACCTTGGCGTGATGGCCCGCAACCCGGAGACGGCCAACCTCGGCTTGGCTATGACGAGGGGTAGTGCATCAACAGACGCGGCTCGAGGACCATCCGACGCTAGCTCTTCGGCTCCCGCTCCTCGACCAGCAGCAGTAATACCGGAGGGAGTGTCGGCAAGCCCGAGTGGTACCCTCTCTGGTCCTCGCGGACCTCGCGCCCCAGGCACGCTGCGCAACTCGCCAAGCGTTCAAAGGCTCAATGCCAGTGCGAGCCCTGTAGAAGGCGGAGGCGCGGGCGCTGGTACAGCGCCGACTTTCATTCCTTCGTACCCGGGAGGCGGAGCTTCTCCGCCTAAGAAACTCTCTCCGCTCCACACGCCTACTACAGGACACGGAGCAGGGTCACAGCGCACTTCTCCCCAACCTGCAGATGCTGGGCCGAGGGTGGGCAAGACCTCACCGCAGCCCTCGGACTATGCAGCGGGCAACGGCAACAGCAGCAGCGGTCGCAGCGGCGCAATGGAGGATCGTCCCGAATTCAAAGAGGCTCTACGCAAGCTGGTTGACGTTCTTCCTGACGCGGACGAGGATGTTCTCTCCGGCTATCTGAGAAGGGCGGCGGGCAACGATCTGAGGGCCATTGGGGATTATTTGGGGGATCAGGCCACGGGAAGCTTGAAGCGACGATGATGTGTCGCCCGGCGCCGCGGGCCGGGAATGCTTTCGTTCTATATCGTCTTGTTTATACCTTGCATCTATGCTCGTCGTCCTGTCCTGTCTTCAGATAATGGACTGGCTTTCTTATTTCATCGTGAAGCAGCTTGAGTTGTGCGCGGACTTGAGCGGCGATATCGAAGGCCGCGGACAAGAGTGCACGGGCGCGGCTCGCTTGACGGGGTCCAACGCCAGCAACCTCGCCCGGGGCGTCGCTTCCCCGCATCAAATGGGTTGCGTTCATCCTTCAACGCCGCAATTGCCTTCGAGACAATCGAGCTACGACTGCCTCAAGCCGGCAAGGTCGCAACGCGAGTGAAATCGAGAAGCAAGATACCGCTGAGTGAGGACAGCTACTCGTCATGACCAAGCTCCTCGTCGCCTCCTCAAGATTGCCCAGCTGCAGCCGCCTGCACGCATGCCGCATCCCATCCACGACGACCCTCACGCCCAGATCGGGCTACAATTGGCAACTCCAACGCTCTTCAATCCCATCTCGCGACATCCGAGGGAGCTCGTTCGTCACGACCTCGCTCTCTCGCCAAAGAATGTCAGCTGAGCAAGCCTTCGGTGATGCGTCTTTTAACGTGGAACGCTACCTCTCCAATAGGCCGCGATACCCGGAGCACCTCTACGAGTGGATCCGCCGGTACGTGGCCCGCAATGCGGCCCTGTCACCACCAGCGGAGCGCACTCTCTTAGATCTGGGATGCGGACCAGGATTCGCAGCTTTTCCGCTCTTGCGAGACTACGCAAGAAAGGAGCTGATCGGCATTGATACAGGCAAAGGGATGGTAGAGACTGCGCCCAAGGCGCTGACTGCTTGGGTCGCACAGAATCGCGGTCAGATGGAAGGCATCAACAGCATAAGGGCGCCGCGCTTTCTTGTCGGGTCTTCAAATGACTTAAGCGGGCTGGTCAAAGATCAAGAGGTGGATGTGGTGATTGCAGCTACGGCGGCGCATTGGTTCTCGTACAAGGAAACGTGGAGCGAACTCACCCGCGTTGTCAAACCCGGAGGAGCAGTCATCTGGTGGACGTACGGGGAGCACTACTTACCGGCTCATCCGGAGCTTCAAGAGGATATCTACGCCTTCATGCAAGGAGGAGAGGGCCAAGATCAGAACCAACAGGGCTCTATTGGCCCTTACTTCCCTCAGCCAGGCCGGACGTATCTCACCAAGCTGCTCCAGCCTGTTCCCTTCCCTCACGAGGTTGCCTCCTTTGAGGCAGGTAAAGGCGCAGCGCTCAGCGGGGAGGACATAGCCCAGTGGAACCTCGAAAGTTCAACGAGACATTTTCATCCGCTCGTAGACGGAGGTCGAGCCGATCTCTCCTGGCTCAAATCGCAGGCGCAAGCGAACGCGGAACCCTTGCAAGACCATCACTCGTCTTGGCAAGAGCAGCTCGAGCGCCTGCAAAGCGGCACTAGCACCCCTTCAGCGAACCGCAATGATCTCTCCTCTCCGCCGCGCCTTGAACAAATATGGACGTGGGAGCAGTACGAAGGCTACATAAGGTCGAGCTCAGCCCTTCATGCGTATCTGAAGGCTCATCCGGAAGAGAAGGAGGGTGATGGGGATATTGTGAGTCGTTTTGTGACGGAGATCAGGGGGAAAGTGCTAGCATTGAGAAGGGAGAAGAGGGAGGCTAGAGAACGTGACATTGACAAAAGCGCGGCGGAGAAGAGAGAGGGGAAGCTGCATCAAGGGTTGAGCGACGACAAGGTCCGAGTAGCGTGGCCATTGGGGATAATGGCCATCGCAAAGAAGGCTTGAGAGCTTCAAGTAATATACCAGTGCGAGCCGTCGACGACACACATCATCTCCGCCCAGCGGGAAGGCGCATGCGAGAGGCGCTACCAGTGACATTCACTTAACGTAGACGCAGCGGTCCGGGCTTCCCCTGCCAGCTTCTTCGAGCCTTGCTAGCCCCAGAGTCGCTCGTCGACGACGGGTCGGCGGCGATGCTCTTGGCAGTGGACGAGCCGGACGAGCTGCAGCTACAGTCGCCCGAAGATGACGATGCTTCCTTGGCAATAACGGCGGAAGATGCTCCACTCGAGGCGTTGCCCTGAGAAGTAGCCTTCGTCACCTTGGTGGTCGACTCCGCCGTAGAGCCAATCTCCTTGATCGAGTTGTCCTGCGACTGCGATGAATTACTGGCGGTCATTGGCTCGTAGCCGTGAGGTCCATGACTCGGGCGAATTGGATGGGGGTGGGGGTGGCCCCGTCCGCCTCCTTCTTGCTCCTTGGCATGGAAAGGAGAGGGGAGCTGCTCTTCACTGTCTTGCTGCTGCTGCTGCGTCTTCTCTTCACCGCAATCGTCTTCTTGTTGCTGCTGCTGCTGCTCGCCTTGCTTGGGAGGGGCAGGGTGAGGATGTTTGGCAGAAGAGGCAGTGTCACCTGTTGTGCCAGAGGTCGCGGTGGAGGACTCTGACTGCTGGATGGTCTCGCCAACGTTGCCCGAAGAGGCGCCGCTTTTGTCGATCTGAGAGCCGCCAGAGGGCGGAGAAGGGGCAGTCGTCTCTTGGGCAGGGCCGGAAGGCGATTTCGGGGCAGACTGGCGAGAAGGCTGAGGGTGAGGGTGGGGATGCTTTCCAGAAGAGCCGGAGACATGCGTTTCCACGGCGGAAGCGATTGAGTCAGTCAGGGAGCTGGACTGATCGCAACCGATGCTCTGCGAGACGGCAGTGTGCTCCACGGGCGTGCCGACCGTTGCCGTGGGAATGACTAAAGACGGGGTAGCAGACGCTGCAATCTGCGATTCACCAGCGCCCGTAACCGTGGGATGAGGGTGAGGGTTAGGGTGCCTTGAGCCATCTGGCGTAGAAGCTGCGGCTGCGGTCGAGGAGTCAGATTCGTTGCTGCCGGTGTCGCTCTTGGGAGTGCTCGAGGAGGAGGAGGCCGTCACCGACGAGGCGGACATCTGAGAAGGCTGAGGGTGGGGATGAGGATGAGGGTGCTGCCTTCGGTAAGGAGGGTGTTCGCGGGCTACCGCACGTAGGCTGCCAGATTGGGCGGCGTTGGCCGAGGTGACGGCGAGCACTGCGGCCACTAGGGCGCACAGGAGTAGGACGTTGAGTGAGCGGGCCATGGTCGCTTGATGAAAATGGACGAGTACAAAGGATTAAAGCAGGGTTCTAAGAGGTGGGTGATGAAGCAGTACAAGGGGTGAGTAATGAAGTAGTAGAGGGTCCGAGAGCTGGAGACGAAGCGTGATGGGAAGAGAGGAGACTTGTTGAGTCGGGGAAGGGACATCTTTTTGTAGCTTTTTAGTAGGCTTCTCGAAACGAGCGGCCGCTGCTCTCGGTCTAGCACCAGCCTCACCGCGATGGCGGCAAATTGGAACATACATCACGCCCCTCCCAGTCGGCTAGCCTTCCGTCAAGCCTGGATGCAAAGCCATCTCACTGTACTGCGAGACAACTGCGCATCCCGAAATCGCGCTTAGTATCAATGAGAAGGCGTCAGAGTCCGGGGGAGGGGCGAGCGCGGGAGCTTTGAAGGTCGTGGCGCCAGACGCACGCGCGCCGGCGGCTCGCTTGATGGCGCCGATCCTCAATGTCCGGTCCGCCCGTGCAGCAGCGACCTGTTTCTACAGGCCGTGATGCCTTGCGGCGACAACTTGTCCCTATTCCTGCTCTTTGGGAACCATACACAAGTCTCATCGAAAGCAATGTCGCCGCCATGGCCGGGCATAGGGTAATCGTTCGCCAAAAGCCTCGGGGGCTGTACCTCCTCATCGCCCCGTCTGACTATCTGGCCCACGTTCGACCTCGCATGCTATGATCAGTATGTCTAAAATTACATTGCAACTGACGCCAGGTATCACAGTGTACGAAGCCGCCGAGCGAGTGATGCTGATCTCGTAGCGTGCCTTTACAGCTGGTCCCTCTTGGTATTCATGTAAGGCCGGAGGATCCACTCAACATCGGCGCTGTCTCCCATCTCTAACGTCCCCTGACGAATCTCGTACGGCCTCATCTCAAATCTCGGCCCGACCTCAGCGAGCGAGACTTCTCGATGCGAAGTCTTGAGGAAGACGTGGTGGCGGAAACTGAGGAAGTCTCGCTCGTTGCGGAAGGTCATAACTCGCTTGCTTTCCTCCTTGGGGGCGGGGAAGAGGTACTTCAAGATGTCGCGGATACGTCCGCCCAGCTTTGACTCAAAGCCCTCAAAGATGAGGTGAGGATACTGCTCGCTGACTGTTGAGCTTGAGTGGGCAGCGACCTCGTGGCGGAGGACGACATTGTGCAACGTGAAGAGGGCGGTAGGGCCGTGAGGGAAGTGACTGACAACCATTGCGTCCGGTACACCGCGGTGCTCGTGGACGACGACAAGGTCGGTGATGTTATTTGCGCGCGCTGCTGCTGCTAGATCGTGGACCTTGTAGCCACCACGATTGATGCGGGTCGAGTTGGGGAAGACGAGCCTCATCTCCTTGGCAAAGGCGGTGAGGCGTGATGAAGGGGAGCGAGAGGTGGTGACAAGTATGCGCGGATCTCTCGCACCGGCCATGGCGTATTCTGAGTCGAAGCTGGTAAGGGGATCTGCCTGGCTAGCATCGAGGTCGATGCCTCTTGCCAGCTTCTCTGACGATTCTACGCCATCTCGTAGCTCTTTCGGAATGGCCTTGCCTTCTGCGAGGAGTTGTCGGACCTTCTGCTTCTTGGCGTATAGCTGAGCCTCTTGGGCCTCAAGACTTTTGCGATACAGGTACTCGCGACGCTCGCGCGATTGGCGGCGGAGCATGCTGGCGAGCAGGAGTGGCGGTGATCGTGGAGATGGGGTTGAATTCGAGAATGGCTTGAGCGGAAAGGCCAGTATTCACTCACCCTCGAGTCCAAAATTCTGTCGCGCTTCCGGTCCGGTCGTGATCGTCAGCACGCGCCTCACTTTCGCGCCACGCGAGCTTCCCGTTGAGCGAGTCTCCACTGTAATCGAGGGTCTCGGGGTACGACGCCCTTGGAGTCAACAATACGGGGAAAGAGAACGAGCGAGCGAAACAACGTCGTGCGGGAGCAAGAGACGACGACGAGCCACAACGTAGCCTGCTCTTCATCTTCCCTTCTTCCACAACAGCCGCTTCATCACGCCTCCGTTATCCTGCCGTTGGGCCTCATCATCGTCATACCGGGCCGCGTCTCATCATCGCCCTTGCCTTTGCTCTGACTCCAAAGCCGACCCGCCTCCGCGCGTGCCTGGCTACTATCGTCATCGCCAGCCAATCCCGCCGCATTGGCGAGCCCAATTCCCTCTTCCTTTCTTCCTTCGCCCAATCATCTCGACTCGCCGCGCGTCCATCGCGATCTTCTGTGATCTGGAGGGCCTGCCCAAGGCCCCCATCGAACGATGCGTGCCGAAGTCCTCTCGTCCAACTTCGACCTCCTCAACTCTGGCTTGACGGCTGGTCGCTCCATCTTCGGCAACCGCAACAACAACGGCACCGGCAGCAGCACTAGCACTAGCAGCATCCCCACTCGCACCAGAGCACCAACGCTACCTCTGCGAACCCGTCGTACTCGCAGCGGCAACCGGAACGTATCGCTCAAGGAGAATAGCAACGCAGAATCATCAGCATCAGCATCAGCATCGAACAAGGCTACGACTTCCACGACAATGCCTTCGCTCCCACGCTTCCTCAAGACGTCGAGGGCAGCCACGAATGGCAGCGCGAGGGGGGCCTCGTCTTCTGGCACCGCCAAGTCGTCATCAGAGCCGACTACCGACTCTCCAACAGGAGGCAAGAAGCGCAAGAGGCGTCCAGCTCCTGCTCCGATTCAGCAGCTGGCCAACACAAATACGCGCTCCAGTAGTGGAGCATCGACTCGCTCCTCCATGCGATACCGAGGAGGCGCGCCCGTCTCCCAAGCTTCCATCGACTCAGCTCCTCTCTCCAGGTCAGACTCGGAATCGAGCGTGGGCTCAGTAGCCTCTCGCAATACCTCGCAGTCAAGCCTCAGCCTCAGGCGCGACCTCGACAACATGTTCATCCAAAGTCAATCGCCCGAAAGCTCGCCCACTAGTCGACGAGCTCGCGTCGGACGTGGTCAAGCGACATCAACCTCCGCGAGCAACCTGCGTCGCCGCTCAAGCAAAGTCCAGCACGAATCAGATGGCGAGGACATGTTCGACGACGAGGAGCCAGCTGAAGTCGAAAGACGCGAACAGCTTCTTTTCGACGCTCCCGTGTCACAGCTGGAACGCCATCGTAAGGCTGTCCTCGCTCGTCTGGCTCTGGAGGCCGGTATCATCGTCGCACCTGCAATGACCAAATCGCTCATCATCGAGGCCATCGTTGAGCACAGGAGCGCAGCAGCATCCTCGTCAGCCCCGTCACTGCGTAGAAAGCCAGTCTCTGTCGCTCGCTCAGACTCAGCAGATTACACAGATGAGAACAGCGATGAGGAGCAAGGGCATGAGGCCGGTGGCGAAGAGACCGAGGCTGAAGTGGGTCCAGTCAAGGGATTGAATGGCCGTACTCGCCGACCGCTGAGGACCAAGAAGGCTCTCGGCGTCGTCAATGCTACGGCCTCGGCAGCGGCGGCAGCCGCAGCCAACAGCCGCCTACTACCAAGGCACAATGGCTCCGATGACCCCAATATTACCGCTGCATCGCCTATGGTCAATCGTCTTCGCAAGCAAAAGTCGATCCACTTTGCTTCCTCACCAGTGCGCCCTCGAGGCCGAGCCAAGAAGGCTGCCGAGCATCACTCGCCCCTCAAGCCTCTCCCGAGACGCAAACTTCATCGTCATCTCACGGCCGTTGAAGCGGAGGCTGGTGGCGATGACGATCACATGGACGAAGACTGGATCGACGACATGCCGCCCGCCAAAGTCGCTCGCCGTCCGACACGCCGCCCGCAGCGCAAGGCAAAAGCCGAGGCTAAGCAGCATCTGACTGAGATGTCCGACGAGGAAATGGACGATGCTTGCGACTCCTCATATCGTCGCGCAAACCTTGGTGAAAGGACCTCATCACCCGTGGCCTCGACATTCGACGACGATGAGACCGAGACAGACGTCGCCGACACTCAGGGCGAAGAGGGCGACGGCGAGGAAGGAGAGTCTGATGATGACGATGACACCGCCACTCAGATCGGCGTCCCTGCTGGTGAACACGAAGACGGCGATGATACGTACATCGACTCCGACTCGACAGACACCCCCGACGGCCATGCCGTTCGCCTCGCCTCGCCATCCAGCCCCGCGAAGATGAGACGCTTACGCAATGGTAAGCTGCGCATTGTTAAGCAGGCAGTGCCCGATGTCCAAGACACCGACGTCGAAGTGGAATCCCAGCTCAGCCTCGCGCCAGCCACTCCGAAGCCAAAGAACAGGACAAAGGCCAATGGCAAGGCGCGAAGAGGCAGCAACACCGCTGGTAGCGGGGCTGATAGCGATCGCACCTCGCGCGGCTCGCATCCTGAGGCTGATCCCAAAGCCAAGGCCAAGCTTGCTACCCCTCAGCTCGAGTCAGAGAACGAAGAAGCCAAGTCAGCCGACCCTGAACACATCGACGAGCTCAACGGCCTCGACCTCGAAAGCCTCAATCTCACCGACAAGGAGATCGCCTCGAAACAGCTCTCCAAGACAAGCAAGATCGGCTCTGGCGGCTTCAAGGACGTCTACGTTGGTATCTGGCGCGTGGGAAAGCGTCGCAACAAAGTTGCCATCGCGGACATCCGCGAGAAGCTGACCGAGATGGACATCAAGGAGCTTGGCCTGCTGCGCGACCTCAAGCACGAGAACATCGTCCGCTTCATCGGCGTGAGCATTCCAGACGACACGGCCCGCACTGGCATACCGTGCATGATCGTCTCTGAGTTGTGTTCCAACGGCGATCTCTGGGACTACATCCGCAACGTCAAGGCTCCGTCCAATCTGGACATTTTCCGCATGCTCCTCGAGACGGCGCGTGGGCTCGAGTATCTGCACATGCACTCCATTGTGCACCGCGACGTCAAGTCGTCCAACGTACTCGTAACCCGCTCACGCTCCTGCAAGATCAACGACTTCGGCCTCGCCCGTGTCAAAAAGTCACAACGTTCCAAGATGCATTCCGTCGTGGGCACTGTCAACTGGCAAGCCGTCGAGCTCTGGTGCGCTGCCCCTCAGTACAATGAGAAGGTCGACGTGTGGAGTGCAGCCATGACCTTTTGGGAGACGCTGCAGTGGCATGAGGAGTACAAGTCGTATCCCTTTGAGGGGATGAACGAGTTCATGATCTACGAGGAGGTTGGGAAGAAGGGGCTGAGGCCGAAGACGGACAGGATCGCCGAGCTGTTTGGCGACGAGATCGTTAGGCTATTGAACAGGATGTGGGACACTGATCCAAGGAAGAGGCCTACGATGGATATGGTCTGTGCGGATTTGGAGCACTTGATTGAGACGAAGAAGTTGGAGGCGGGCATTTGAGTGCGGCGACGAGGAGCAGGAAAGGAGAAGAAGCGATAGCCAGAGCGCTACACGCCAGCACACTCGCACAGGCAAAGATACATCAACGCAGCAACAACATCATTACTACCGCCATCATCACCATCAAATCATTGTACATTCCCCCTCACTACCCAGCGCGTCGAGCTCCCCTCTCACTCGCCTCCACCATCAAGCAGAATCTACACATGCCGCTCACGTAAGGCAGTCCCCCTCTTCACCCCACTCCTTCTGTATTTGTTCATCGTTCACTGTTCACTTCACATCGGATAATTTCGTTACACGTCCGCTAGTCTGATGCGTGTGAAGACAGTCTTGGTTGGGTGAGACGCATCAGACAGTCTTGGTTGGGCGGGCGCCTCATTCGTCATCATCCGAGTCCACTGCGCCCTCTCCCCTAACCTTCGCCCTCTTTGTCGCCCCTGCCTCGCCCTCAGCGCTTGCCCCTTCCCCAGCCTTGCGCTTTGCAGTCGACGCCGTAGCTATGGCGCCCTCTTCGACCTCCTGCTTCTCCTTGCCCGCCGCCCACTCCTTAAGCCGTGCATCAATGGCTTTCACTTCGTCTAAAGTCTCCTTGCCTTTCAGCCTGGCTTCGAGTTCTGAGCCTTGTGAGACGAGGGAGGCGATTTCGTCGGCTTCTTGGAGGAGGGTAGTGGAGGAGAGGGGCCGACGTGTGGAAGGAGTACCACCGCCGTTGCTGTTATCGCCATTCGCTGTCCCTCGGGCCTTTTTCATCTTGCCAACATCAGGGATAGGTGCGTTGGCCCTCTTCGCCTCAGCAGCCGCCGCTGCCTCCTCCTTTGCCTTGACCCATCCCTGCAGCAGGGCACGCAGTAAGGCCCTCTCTCCCTCATCAAGGGCCTCGTTGCCCTCTCTCTTGGTCAGCGACCACCAGGTACCGAATGCCAGCTGTGAGGGCGTATATCGGAACTCACCATCCGTCAGCCTCAACGAATGTGAAGCAGCATTGAGTGGCCCCAGCAGCTTCTTGAGCATCTCCGCCTGCAAGGGCGGGGCACCATCTCTCCCCTCGTCGGGACATTGCAAATCCAGCGCCATCCCCCTTGCTGCCTCGAATGCATGCGTGACCCTGAATCGCCAGCTAAGCACAGTTGCCACCTCGAACTCGTAGTCTCGAATGCTCTGCTCCGTCTCCTTGATCGCAGCTGCCGCCTCCTCGCTACCACTCCCTCCTACTGCGCCAGAGATCCGCATCGCGAAGGCGGCGAGGGAGATGGGCGTGGAATGTGTCTTTGTAGCCAGGTAGAGGCAGATGAGCATCACCACTTTGACGCCCTTGGCAGCTCGGAGCTTGTTGCCACCGCCTGAGCCGCTCCCATCGAGCGGTTCAGCTACGCCTCTTTGTAACCAAAAGCGCTTGAAGTAGGTCATGCTTGTCGCCAGGACTTTTTCTGAGAGGCCGAATGCTTTGGAGAGGAGGGGGAGCCGGAGTAGGTAGTACTGCTGGAGGAGAAGGGCTGATGCTGAGTTGATGCCTGCATCCTCGTCTGCTGCTGTCAGGGCGATGCGCAGCGAGGATGAGGACGACGAGGTTGGGAATAGGTAATGTTGGTACTGCGAAGTGTGGGTGAAGAGGGGTACGGGTCCTTGGTCATCGTCGAGTGTATGCTTGGAGGTCGAGGGCACGGCAGCGGTGGTGCTGCTGGCGACTGTGGCCATGGGGAGGAGATGATGGCCGGCGTGGTAGCAAGAGGTAAGGTTTCAAGATCCTTCTAATCGCGGCTTGTGCCTCGGGCGCACGGTTCATGCGATAGAGGAGGGTCTTGACGACGTCGCCGCGGGCGGCCTGTTCGCCGATATGAGGATGATGAGCAACCGTCAGGCGGCGAGCGCCGTCTTCGTCTGCCCTTGACTGTGTGCTCCTCACACGACAAGCTGTCAATCACAAATCAACGCCAACGAGGCAGTAGTTGTTGACCTTGTACTCCAAGACACACGCATGGTCGTCTCGACGTCGAAGCCACGCGCTCCCGGTCCAACATCTGAGCGAGATGGGCTGCGACCCGCTGTTCCGACGCCTCGTGCCTTCTTCTCCTCTTGCTCCTCCTCCTCCAGCAACAACAACAACAACAGCAGTACTACTCGTCAATCTCCTCCATCGCCGTCTCCTCTCAGCGGCTACGTTTACTCGTCTTCCTCATCAGCCTCGTCTAATCTTCCCTCTGCACATCGATTCATCATGGCTGCCTCGGATATGAAGCGCATCCTCATCCCCGGAGGAGCAGGCTACATCGGAAGTCACGTCGTCCTCTCGGTTCTCCTCACTCGCAGGTACAAGGTCACGGGTGCGTAAGAGTATGCCTGAAGCAGACATCCCATCCTGTCGCTCATCAGTCTATCCCTCCTTCTCACACATACAGTCATCGACAACTACCACAACTCCTTCCCCACGGCCATCGAGCGTGTTGAGAAGATCGCGCGTGACGAGCTTCCTGCCGATGCCACTCAAGAGCAGAAGGACGCATGCAAGATCGACGTCATCAAGGGTGATCTGCGTGATCGCGACACCTTCTCCAAGGCCTTTTCACAGTACAAGGGTCAGAAGGACGAAATCTACGCCGTCATCCTCGTTGCTGCGCTCAAGGCTGTTGGAGAGTCGGGAGAGATTCCCATCGAGTGAGCACAGGCGTCTGATCGTGGCGTCTCATGTCGTCACAAGCTCATACCAAATTCCTTTGCGCGCGCAGCTACTACGACGTTAACATCTGCGGCCTCGTCAACTTGCTCCGAGCAATGAAGGAGGCTCAAGTCTGGCGCCTCATCTACTCGTCCTCGGCAACCGTCTACGGTACACCCAAGACGATTCCTATCCCCGAGACGAGCCCGCTGCAGGCCGAGAGCGTTTACGGTCGCACCAAGCAGATGAGCGAAATCATGATCAAGGACGTCTGTGATGCCCACACCGACTTCAGGGCCATTTCGCTGCGTTACTTCAAGTGAGTTCGACGCAGCGTAGCATACAGCGAGGCCGGTGGAAGTAACCCTATCCCCTTCTCTTTCTCGCCAACAGCCCCGCTGGAGCTCACCCCTCTGGTCTCATCGGCGAGGACCCCGTTGGCAAGCCTGGCAACCTCTTGCCTCTCCTTTCGCAGATGGCTGTGGGCAAGTACCGCGACCCTGGACTTCGCGTCAACGGCAACGACTACCCTACGCCTGACGGCAGTGAGTAGGGCACGCGACGCACGCCATTCATTTGATGGCCAGCGACTGAACCCAACTCTCCGCTCTTATCACCCACGTAGCCTGCGTTCGCGATTACATCCACGTAATGGACCTCGCCGGCGGCCACGTCAACGCACTCGATGCAATCGACTCGGACGCCCGCTTCCAGAATCTCCCCTCTCGTGGCAAGTACCGTGCCTTCAACCTCGGACGTGGACAGGGCATGTCCGTCCTCAACATGATCGAGGCGATGCGCAAGGTCACTGGGTGGGCCTACCCCTACGAGATCATCGGGCGTAGGCCGGGTGACGTGCCTGACTTGACGGCCGACCCGACGCTGGCGGAGAAGGAGCTCGGGTTCAAGGCTAAGCATGGACTGGACGAGATGGCGAGGGATCTGTGGAATTGTGAGTGCCGCGAAGACAATGCAGCAGATGCAGAGGGCCACGAGACTGACTGCTTTTTGCCCTGCCTCCCACTCTGCAGGGCAAAGCAAGAATCCCAAGGGCTACAACCCCTGAAGAGGCATCGCATCGCAATTGGAGGGCGTGACTCACATGGGAAGCGCAGTCACGCGATAAGATGAGTAGTAGATTACAAAGATCACCAATGGAAGAAGTAGGGTAATGTAGTGCGAGGGCATTCTGTTTTTCTCATTCCCCCCTTTGCATGCACGACGCCGCTCCTAGCCGGTATTGCGCCACGGAAGCTTTGTGTCATTGGTAGTAATGAAGGATCTGATCCCCTGAGCTTGTGAGATTGGCAGGTGATCGTCCAATCGACCTAGTACATCGGCATAGCGCACGCTTTCCTAGGAGCAAAGGAGCTGGCAGGCGCGATGCAGAGAAGTCGATAGTCCTCTTTCGTGTTGATGGCAGCCTTGGTATGTAGAGGTGGCCTAGCATATGGCAGACTGATGTTACCTTCGCGCTGGTCGAGAGCCGCTGTGTTGTCTCTTCGCTTTCCGACTCTTGCGTCGCCCTGAGCAGAGATGCTTCCACCGTAGAGTATCTTGTGTTGATCTTTGAGGTAATGAGGCCGACACGTCAGACTGACGAAGAAGTGCAGAGGAAGTAGGCCGATGAACCTTAGGCAGCATGTCTGAATACTCGACAGCTTCGTCCTGCCCTATGAGTCGACGCTCAGCAGCAGGTTATGCGTGGCTAAGCCGCAGCTTGGCAGCTGTATAGCAATCCTGTACCTCACAGCCTAGTCGTCATCCTGGATGTTGTGCCTCTCCTTGAGCGCCTGAAGGTCTGCCTCTCTCCTAGCCAAGTCCCTAGCAGCCTGCCTCGCGGGAATATGGTACAGCACGACCAAATAGCGGTCGTGAAGGTGATATCCATTCAGGTGGTCGAGCGCATTTTTGGCGTCTACGAATTCTCTGTGGAGCGAAGCAAGGGGACAAGGGAAGGTTAGCTCTCCTCTCAACGCAGTAGAGACTGTATGTGGTAGCCGCATTGACACTCACTCGTAGACGACAAAGGCGGTTCCTTTGGTCTTCTTTGCCTGATCATCCCCCAGTCGGATCTGGCGGATGGCGCCGTACTTGCCAAAGAGCTCATAGAGGTCCTCGCCCGTCGTTTGATAGGAGACGTTCTTTACAAACAAGAGCCGAGACTGGTTGCGCGATGAGGATTCGGTAATGCTCATCGCAATTGAGAGGGCGACAGGGATGTGATGGTGAGGAGGTAAGTAGACGGATGGCAAGTGGTTGGAAGATGTTGGGCTCGAGTGAGGCGCTGCCTTCCGTTCCGCCTGAGCTCCAGTCCGCTCTCGGGATTGGAATGAGTAAGCGAAGGGTCGAGCGAGGAGGACGACTTCTTCCGGTCGTCGGCGACGACGAGCGACAGAGGCGGCGTCGAGATTGCGATTGCGATTGCGATTGAGGGTTCATCTCATTCTATTCACTCGACCGAGTTGCTCACCAGCAGCAGGCAAGCATCCTTGTCGCCTTACCTCCCATCAGCAGAGACGGTCACATATAGCTGGCTACCAGCCCGGCTGCCCTTCGATCTTCGTGTCGCTTTCCCTTCATCGCGGCAATGGCGTCTCCGGCTGCGAGAAGAGCAGTCTCGTCCATGGTCGTACGACCATGGGCTAGATCAAGAGCGCCAGCATCAATACCGACAGCAACGGCATTAGGCTCCGCTCGATCGCAGTCAGCATGGGCAGCAGCAGTCAGTGCAGCCCAGTCCATTGTATCACCACCTCCTGCGCCTCCATCATCACCAAGCTCAGGTCCTTCTTCTTCCCCCTCGTCATCATCCAAAGGCAAATCGCCTGCTGGTTCATCGCCCTTTGACGCTATCCCCCTCGTATCCTCGGACTTGGACCACCTGCGTGGCAACATCATGTCCCTCCTCGGGTCGGGCCACCCTTCTCTTGACTCGGTAGCGAAGTACTACTTCCAAGCAGAGGGCAAGCATATCCGTCCTTTGATCGTACTGCTCATGAGCGCGGCAACGAACGGCGTCTCGCCCATCTTTGCTCAGGGACCTCACGCTGGGCGAGAGGAGAGGGATCTGACGGGCGTTGACGATCCATTGAGCCCGAAGAGTGTATTGAACGACTACAATCCGAGCATGCTCAGCGGGGCCGATGGTAATGCCGCCGCTTCTTCTTCTACATCAACATCATCAGCCATCCTCCCAACACAACGACGCCTAGCAGAAATTGCCGAGATGATCCATGTTGCCTCCCTCCTCCACGACGACGTCATCGACGAATCCTCGCTCCGTCGAGGCGCACCCTCCTCCCCTTCAACCTTCGGCAACAAGCTCTCCATTCTAGGCGGCGACTTCCTCCTTGGTCGCGCGTCCGTCTCTCTCGCTCGATTAAGGGATAATGAGGTGGTAGAGCTGCTGGCGACGGTCATCGCAAACTTGGTCGAGGGTGAGGTCATGCAGATGAAAGGAGTAGACGCTAGCGTGCTGGAGGGAAGCGGATTGGCGAGCTTTTGGAGTGGGGAGAAGGAGCAGATTGCTGGTGGCATTGATGGCGCAGGACCTACACCGGCGCATTTCACAAGCTATCTGCAGAAGACATACCTCAAGACTGCAAGTCTTATGGCAAAATCGGCGAGAGCCGCCACCATCCTAGGCGGATGCGGGGAAGGGGCATTGCAGCAATGGTTGGCCCTGCGTTCCCAGTCAGCGTCACCTTCTCGCGAGGAAGATGAGGCCCTAGCTGCCCGATGTGGCGCAGTACGGGACGCGGCGTATGGCTATGGCCGGAACCTTGGCATCGCCTTCCAGCTAGTGGACGACCTTCTCGACTTCCGCTCAACAAGCGCAGCATTCGGCAAGCCTTCCCTCGGCGCAGATCTACGGCTCGGCCTGGCGACCGCACCCGTACTTTACGCCTGGCAAGAATTCTCGGGCAAGGAGCATGGATTGGGAGAGATGGTGGAGCGCAAATTTGAAGGGCCGGGCGATGTTGAGCGGGCATTGGAGCTGGTGCATGAGAGCCGTGGATTGGAGAGGACGGCCGAGCTGGCGAGACATCATGGGGAAATGGCGCTCAAGTGTTTGGAAGTCGTGGAGGAGGGAGAGGCTAAGGCGGCGCTTGTGAGATTGGTGCAGGGGGTTCTGGAGAGGGTGAAATAAGCAGAGACGAGAGCACCAAAGTCGTCGTGCTGGGCCGCCTTATGCATTCATTATACTCAGTAGGCAGCGACGGCCGCACAAGGGACCCTGTAAGTGCAATACGCACATATAGACATCCAATGCTACACACACCGGTTCTGAGCAAAGAAGGGTATCCGAATTGCGTCTCCATCGTCAAAGAGCCTACCACGACACCTCTAGACTCCCTCCATGATCGAGAATGACAAAGTCCCCTCTCGTGTTGGCCTCGCCATCCTTCGGCTCGCCGTGCTCCTCATCATCGATTTCGTCACCCTTGGTCGTCATCGCCTGCAGTCTTGGCTTGTACCTCCAGTCCCAAGCCCTACACGCCCTCCCCAGCCTCTTGACCGTATCCCTCGTCTCATCCTCCGGTGAGAAAGTGGCAAAGTGCATGCCCAGCACGGTCGGGCGCTTTGACTCTCCTCTTGCCTCTTTCCCCCGCACGTCGGGACCTAGTAGTACGTGCGCAACCTCGCAAGCTTCCCATGTGTCCAGGTGATTCGCAGCAGTCAAGCCTCCGTCGACTGTAGGGAGGAAACCGACGGGATCCCAGGAACGCACGTACGAGTACGTCGAGCCGACTGAGATTGGGAGAAGGAGTAGGTCTGCGCTTGAAGAGCTGACGCCGCCGTCGCTGCCGAGGAGGTTCTCTTGTATCTCTCGAAAGGCGGGACATGCTGGGTGGACGGTCGAAGTTGCGGCCGAGGAAGCCGAAGAGGCGCTCTCGCCTGAAGAATCTCCCTCTCCTTCCCCTCCGTGCAGTCTCACTCCCTGACCACTCTGCGTAGCGGGAGGCCTCAACTTGTATCCAGTGTCGCCACCAAAGAAGACTCGGAATGGCTTTTCTTCCGGCTGGCTGGCCGAAGCGTTGCCTCGCCGTGAGAAGAAGAGCGTGTAGGAAGCCCACAGTGACGAGCCCGCGTCAAGCCCATACCGCCCAGAGCCGTGCTGGGCTGGCGTGCAGACTATACGGGCTTCTATGTCGCCCTCTTCCAGCGCCGAGGAGATTGAGAGGTCCTCGTCTTCCTCGTCATCCTTCGTCACACCCCGAGAGCGAATGCTGACCTCCTCCCACCAGTCCAGTTCCGTCACCCTCTCAAGCGCCATCTCATTGCCCACGATCCCTCTGAACCACTCCCTATTTCCCATCGGTACCACAAACCTCAGATGCTCTCTGTTCCCCTTCCATAGTTCTGTGATCGTCTCTGCATCGAGGTGATCGTAGTGATTGTGCGAGATGATCACCATGTCGATTCGCGGGAGATCGGTGACGCGACAAGGCGGTGGGACGAAGCGGATGGGTCCCCAGTACTGGGAGGGAGAGCAGCGATTGGAGAAGATAGGGTCGAAGAGGATGCGCAGGGGTTCGCGATTCGAGGAGGGAGAAGAGCGAGGAACCTCGAGGAGGACGCCTGCATGGCCTAGCCACCAAGCGCGGACGCACTTCTCCGTACTTGGTGGACAGGCAAAATCTGGCCGTGTGACTGAAGGTATGATCACATCTCTGTCCTCGTCCTCGTCGTTCAGTAGACCAGCCTGAGCAGCCGCTGGCGCCAGCAGTCCTTTCGGCTGCCAATGCAGCCCAGACCACCAATCAAGGAGTGAAGGTTTAGTCCATGATGGCCAGGGGTTTGCGAAGCCTCGTCCATTTGGCAGGTGATGTGACCGATCTGGATCTGATATTGAGGTGGTGATGGGCGATATGGTGCAGGGCATCGAGGACATTGCGAACGAGGGGCGGGGCTGGATGTTGTTTGGATTGAATCGAAAGGGGTGAAAGCGAAAGACGGAAGCGCACGAGCCATCGATTTGATTTGGCGACATCAGGTCGCGAGTCGATCGGGTTTGAAGACGACACCGGACGGAGAGAATGCAGCAGGCAGGCGGACAAGTTTCAATGCTTCCTTCCTCATCAACACCCTCAGCATGCCTCCCAAGGCCAGTAGCAGCAATGGGTCTCCTTCGAACAATGCGCACCTCCTGGACATGCTCGCTCAGCAGCAATGTGCACCCATTGCCAGGCACATCGATGCCGGCAATCCTCAAGCTGCCGTCAAGTCGGCCGATGTCCTCCTCTCCAATCACTCGGCCCAGTCATCCCATCCTTACGCACGAGCGCTTCGAGCTCACGCCCTCGTCTCGCTGCACCGTCAGTCAGATGCGTTAGCTGACGTAGAGCACGTCGTATCTCATAGCCCCAAGCAGACTCTTTACGCTGCTCAAATACTCGGCGTCCTCTGCTCGGCGCTGGACCGCATGGGCCAGGGAGCCAGGGCTGCCGATCTACTCGACGAGGCCAATAAGGCTGTGCCCGCTAATGAGGTGTTGGGACAGAAGGCGTTCCAGGCTGCAATGAAGCAGCAGGACTACTTGCGCGCACAACAGATCGCTGCTCGGCTCGCCAAAGCGATACCCACCCCTCCCGCCGCTTCATCCTCACCACCTACCTACAGCTCAGTGCGTAATCGCTACTTCTGGTGGTCCATCCAGTCCTATCTCCTCCTCGCGACCGAGACGCCTCAAGCTCAAGGTGCAAATCTAGCCTTGACTCTGGCCGAGCGAATGATAGAGAAGCATCTCGCGAGCGAAGAGGGCAAGTTCGATGAGAAGAGTGACCAAGATGTGCAGCTCTTCGTCGCCGTTCTACTGGAGCAGGCGGAGCAAAGTAAGAAAGAGGAGAAGAAAAGGCAGGCCCTTGATATCCTCAGTCAAGAGCCTGGACGATCGATCTGCGCTCGTAGCCTGGGGCTGGGCCAGCTGCGGCGCGACTTGCTGAAGCACTGCGGCGAGTGGACAGCGCTCCGCGATGAGACTCGCGCGTTGATGGAGGGAGGTGATGGCAATTGGATGACCATAGAGAAGTGGATAGAAGCAGAGGTGGCTCTTGCCCCATCGGTGCACGATCAAGCCGCCATCAACTTCCTGGCGCCCTTTTTGCAAAAGGAGGGAAAGACAAGAAGAGAGTATCCTCTGGCGGCTATTGCGTTGCTTCACGAGCAGAGGAAGGCGGACAAAGCCAGTCAGCTTGACCTGAGCGGGCCTTTAGCGGACTATGTGGCAGCATTTGGGCGTAAGGCGTGCTGCTTCGAGGACTTGCTGCCCTTCGTTGACGCGCTCAGCTCGCACGAGGCGAAGGACCTACTCAAAGCACTGCCCGAGGCAGTGCCGGAGACGTTCAGTACCGAGGATGAAGTCGTTAGAGCAGTAAATCATACCAAGCTACGACACCGTCTGCGAGGTATCACAGGCAGTCAAGACGGGAGACCAGAGTCGCCGAGCTCGGAGGTCCAGGCCCTGCTTCAGTCCTTCTACGCCTCCATGCCCTGCTCCTCCAAGGTACCGAAGACGGTTCCACGTCCAGGTTCAGACTGGGTGCTCCTTGCAGCTCAAATTGCGCTCGCCTGCTTGCAACCTACAGCCTCAGCGCCACCCCTCGTTCTCCTCAACCTATCCGCCCTGCTCAGTCACGCAACCCAACAAGCATCTCCTGCCTCCTACCCGCTGAAGCTCCTCCTTCTCAGGCTGTACCTCCTCTTGGACTGCCCAGCGCTCGCCAGGGGAGTATGGAAGGACTTGAAGATCCGCTCGGTGCAGAACGAGAGTCTTGCATGGCTCTGGGCTGAAGATGGCGGGCTAATCAACTCGATCGATGTTGATACCGGTAAGGGAGCAGGTGATGAGTGGCGTCGCGAGGCACAAGGGCTATACAACGAGGTCAAGGGGGAGTTGCCCAAACTCATCAGTACGGCAATGCAGCGCGGCAACTATTCGAGTGTGCGAGAGTTCCTGGACTTTGCGAAGAGGGTCGAGGGGTCGGGACATCAGGCTGCGCTGAGGCTGGCGGAGGCGAGGGAGGAGGCGCAACGAGCGGTGGGAAGAGATAGTGGAAGTGGGTGGGAGAAGGCGAACGCTGCATTGCATGAAGTGGCGGGAAGGGTAAAGGAGGATCTCTACGATCAGGCTGACCGAAGTGTGCTGCCTAGCTTTGCAGCGAGCAGCATTCCCAGCTTGGCAACGCTGAGCAGCAAGCAGGGGAGCGGCAGTCAGCAAGGTGCTGACGAGGAACAGGGATCTGCAAAGCGATGTCCGCCAGCGTTCGCTCTGCAGGCTTCTTACCTCTCTGCATGGTACGGCCAGGACCAGGTTGAGGTACCGGATCCTCTTCGCCTCACTCCGCAGCTCAATGCAAGGCTCGACGAAGGCGAGAGGCTCTTCGCAACCTGTATCACAGCGATACAGTCAGGCGTCAAAGACGACCTCGAGGCGAAAGTGCGCACCTTCGCCTCGCATGTCGAGAAGCACGTCATCGGCGACTCCGCTGCGGACACACTGCCTTGGCGTCAGACACACTTCATTACACGGCTCATCGACCTCTACCTCCTCGCGAGAGCTCGCTCGTCTGCGCAACCCGACGTGGGCAACGAGGTCACCTCCCTCCTCACGCCAACTCTACGCTCCCTCTCCACCAGCTTGGCGCAGCAGAAGGGGGCCAACCTGCCGTTCCTTGCACAAGCCGCTGCAGCTCCATCATCTTCCGAAAGTGGGGACAAGAGCATGAATGCTATCATCCACGCAGTATTGCAAGCGCAAAAGGGCGGGCAAGGGGTGAAGGAAAAGGTCGTGAAGGATGTCAAGGAGGAGGTTGCGAAGAGGAGAAGGACGCTTGCGATGAGGATCGAGGGGGTGTTGAAGGGCGCGTGAGGCAAGGGAGATTCTTTGGGACCGCGGTTGACGAGAAGATAGACGAGACATGCATGTTGGATCAGTGGAGAGAGCGCAATATAGAAGGAACTAATGTACAATGGAGTCGAACAGCGAGAGCGAAGAGCGAAGCGTCCGTACGCTCGCTTGAGAGCCGTATTGTGCTTGACGCTAGCCTGCGACCTGGTATACGAAAGTGGCCGCCACATCAAAGCCGTAGGCTACGCCCTCTAGGCCGCAATGGGCATCGTCGCGATAATCGGCTGCGGTGCCCCTGCCTGCTGTGCCATGCTCTGACTTCTCTCCTCCAAGATGGCCTCGTTCAGTTCCACGAGCGGCGCCAACTCCTTGGGATCTACCACGTCAAATTCAGTGATGAACAGGAGGAAATGCCTGTACGACGTGTTGAGGTGCGCTTCTACCCCCAATGCGCAGACGTGGGCGAAGTGATGATTGTAGATGTGCGCATAGACCCTGAAGAGCCTGCGCAGGATCGATTTGACCGTTGCGCCAAAGTTGGCCGTGAACGGGACGCCAACCTTGCTAGGGAAGACTTGATCGTCGTCCAGCAATTGCTGTGTCCATGCCATCAAGCAGTCGACGTATTCGGGCGCACAGAGCTTCGTAGGGCGCTTGTACATCGGATTGCCAGCATCCTGCCAATGGTACTCATATCGCGGGCCGGCGCACATTGTCGGGCAGGCGGAAGGGGTGCAGAACTCGGTGATGGTGCCGTACAGCATGTTTAGGTGGTTGAAGAAGTCGACGGTATTGACTGCGAGCCATTCATTGAGGTCTTCGCCCTGAGGGAGGAGGACGGCTGCACGGAGATTGCCTGAGCCCAAAGTAGCCTCGGCATAGCGTTTGAGCTGGTACTGTTTGGTGCCTTCTGGGATGTTGCGCTTGGGTTTGAAGGTGCGCGTCTTTTGTAGTCCGAAGAAGGAAGACATCTTGCGCGGGTGAGGGACTGTTGATGTGGATGTGTAGAGGGGGAGGAGGAGGAGGAGTAGGAGCCAGTCGTCGTGTGTGTGTTGGTTCGAGGCGGCCGTGTTGATTGGCCTTCGACTCCTATTTCCGAGGCTCGCGCTCGAGGCTGCCAGTCGCACTCGCGTTGACGCTTCCACTTGCCGCGGGTCGACCCGAGTCCAACACCGCCGCCGGCCTTGGCCCGTGCCGCCAAGTGAGCTTCGAGACTTGCTTCTTCGCAGTCAGTCGATCAAAGCCATTGTAGCAAGCAAGCAAGCAAGAGAAGCCTGCGATCAGGATGTCAGAGGCCACATCAACACAATCAGGACATGGACTGGAGCGTGGCGTCTTAGCCCTCGCCGACAAGCCAGGCGCGTTTCGCTACCTGACTCGAGGTCTCACGTCCTCGATCTATGCACTAGACCTGCCATCAGAAGGGAACAAGGGTCTAAAGGTCAAGCTGGCCAGGTATGGCGCATCTTCAAGCTGCATCGTCGTAAAATGTGTCGATCTGGAAGACGAAGCCAGGCCTCACAGTGTCCTCAAGGAGATTCGCCTTCTGCAGTCACTTTGGTCAAGTGATACTAAGGGCGGGGAGGGACGCCGCTTCGTGAGTTCAAAGCGAGACAAGCCTGACAAATGTCAGAAGCTGACATGAATTTCAATATGCAAACTCGTCGACGCACAGATTGTGCCCTTCCTTGACACGAGCGAAGACATTCCCGACGACTTCACGACGATCCAACGCGTCTTTCTCCCCTACTACCCTTCGACCCTCACCGAGTGGTTGGTGCACGATGCGCAGCAGCAGGGCAACAGTGAGAGTAGTGTCGATGCTCGCAATCGCTGCTCATTCGTAGCTCGAGTGGCATATCAGCTCTTCTCCGCCCTCTGCTTCCTCCACTCACAGGGCATCGCTCATCGAGATGTCAAGCCTTCCAATCTTCTACTCACCCACCCGGCTTCCTCCTGCCTGCAGCAATCGGAGAAGGTCGAAGTCAGGCTCTGCGACTTTGGCACCGCTCACTCCGGTGTCGATGAGCAAGGAACGAGCAGCAGACCAAAAACCTGCTCTACCTCCACACACCCTTACACCCCACCGGAGCTTCTCTTCAGCCCGCAGGATGGGTACGACGGAACCAAGGTGGACGTGTGGGAGGCTGGCTGTGTGGTGGCAGAATGTTTTGGACGCTTGAAGGAGACATCAGATCCTGTTGTTGATCGGCCGCGGACGGAGAGGATTGGGGAGAGAGGAAGAGGGGGAGGAGGGAGCATGTGGCCATCTGCTGCGCTGGACTTCTCAGCTCCGTCAGGATCGAATGGTTCTGGTTCTGGTTCAAAAAGAGCCAGCCCGGATGATGGACTCTTGGGCCCGCCGCTGCGAGCGGCACCTGGTACGTCTGCATCTGCAGGAGCAAGTGGCGGCAGGATGATGCTCGGCTCGGCATTTGACGATGGTGAGGGAGAAGATGAGGACGAGAATGACTTCTGGAAGAAGCAGGAGGCGGATCTGTTTAAGCAGGACGGTTGCGACGGCCCAAAGAGGACAGCAGGAGGTGGCCTCTTCGCTGGCTATCTGCCAAAGCCAGCAGTCGGCTCCAACGGTACCAGCGCTGCGCCAGGTCTTCGTCGACCACTGTCTCTCGCCGACGACGATGAGGACGACTCCTTCGGAGCCCTCCCAGCCGACCCTTCGTCCGCCACCGTACAGCGCAGCTTCATCCGCCTGCCCCTCTTCGGCGCGGCGCAAGGCGACCTTGGCCTGGCAGCGGACATGTTCACCTTGCTCGGTCTGCCTGAGCCGGACCAAGCACATCTTTGGCCTGAGGCAGTGAGATTCAGGCCGCCACTGGATCGGATGCCGTTTGTGAGGAAACCTGTGGCAAGCAAGGCAGAATTGGAAGCAAAGTTGAGGGAGAGACTGGTGGATTTGTATGGTCAAGAGGCGGAGGATGAAGCGGCAAAGGCAATCAGTGATGTGCTGCTGGGTTGCTTGAGGCTTTCCGCGGAGGAGAGGTGGGATGCGAGGAAGGCGGCAGACCGATTGGCCGCAGTCGCGGTAAGTCAAGCGAATGAGGGCAAGTGAAAGGGCCTTGCAAGTGCACAGAAAGCATGACAATTAGCATTCAATCATGAAGGTAGTCTTCCGTAGCATTTCACGCCTACTGCCTCCCACCCTGCTCGTCCGCCTTACGCTTCGTCCCCAAAGAGAGCTTGAAGCCGCCTCCGATCCCGTTGGTAGTAGAAGCACCGCCGCCGTTGGCGCTGCTGGAAGGGGCAGCGGGAGCTGCGTCAACTGGCTGGAAGCCGCTTTTCGTTGCGGAAGAGGAGGTCGTCTGCACAGGCGGTGGTACGGGTGAGAAGGAAGAAGAGCCAGAGGTAAGGCCGGCTGCTGATCTGAAGCCTGGGGGAGCGGCAGAGCCAGAAGGCGACTGACTGCCACTCGCTCCAGCGCCATCGCCCTCGATGACGTTGAAACCTGGCGGCCGCAAGGAGCGCATACCAGCTTCGGATGGGGTAGCGCGAAGACTGCTGGTCGCGCCGCCCACTTGTCTAGGCACGACACTCGCCATTCCCTTTGATGACTCTCCTGGCCTGAACCCACTGGGCCCAGCCGCAGACCCCGATGCGCCGCCACTCTGCTGGGCCCGCTTATTCGCCCTCTGTTGCACCAGATTCGGCCCAATAGAGTCGGCAAACTCCTGCGGCGCGTTGCCCCTCGCTCCCACACTGAGTACCATGTGCGCTTGACCCTCCCTCGCCTGTCGGTCCCTGAACGCCTTACTCATATCCTGAGCCTCCCCTGCTGCCATACGTTCCTTCTTCCTCTCCTCCTCGATGCGCTGCTTCGCCTTTTCTTGCTTGGCGCGACCTGGCATCTTACCGTGGAAGGTGTGCGAGAGCAACTTCCACGCCTCGTGGTTGTTGAGAACGCGACCATGCTCATCGTGGTACTTGATGTCGATGTCCGGCTTGTAATCCTTGAATCGCTCCTCAGCCCGCTTGGCCTCTTCAAGCTCGCGCATCTTGTTCTCGTACTCTCGCGTAGCTTGATCCTTCGCACTGCCCTGCAATTTCGACATGTGGCGCTCGTGCTCCCTCAAGGCTTCCTCGGCTTGGCGCTTCGCCTTCCAGGCATCGTAGGAGCGCTGTTCTGCTTCACGGCGACGCTGTTCTGGAGTCATCGATTCGAGGATACCTTGTGAGCGAAGCATGCCGAGCGTGCCGGCCAGACCGTTCGAGACGAGTCGCTCGGCGGCTGTGCCGAGCCCAGGGTCGGGGGAGCCAGAGGTTGCGTCGCGAGGGGTGGGGGAGGTCGCAGAGTGGCCTTCCCCATCGAGGTCTTCGGCGCCTTCCATGAGTTCGTCATCGTCTTCTCCTGGCTCTCTCTTAATAGCAGGCACTGCGGTCGTTGACAGCAGGCTGTCGGCATCGACACCTTGAGCCGGCGCAGGCTCACTAGGCTCACGTTTCACGCTGACTCCTCTCGATCTTGATCGTCGCTGCTCGGGGCTTGCCGGTCTGTTGCCGATATTGCGGATGAACTCCGACGTCTCATCAAAGGTCATGCCAGGCGCATCTGCGGGCGCTGCCTCGCCATGACTGCCCGTTACCGCCATATTGAAGTCCCCGGTTGCATCTACCCCACCTTTTCTTTCTGCAGCCTCCTCAGCAGCCTTCTGTGCAGCAAGGTTCTTGGCAATCTCTTCAGGCGTCATCTTGCTGATGGCTTTCTTGGCTTTCGCCCGCCTGGCTTTCGCGAGGGAAGCGGCCAGCTCGTCGTCGTCTACGAGGTTGTCGCGCTTCTCTGCTTGGCGGCGGGCGTGAACAATGGGCTCCATCTCCACATCGGCCGAAGCGCTCTGCTGCTGAGCGTCTTCCTCGTCGTCATCAAGCTTGATCTTGGATGCGGCGGGACGCTTCTTCTTCTTCCCCTGCGGATGCGGATGACGGAGGGGAGGCAGGGCTGCGGTCAGACAAAGGGGAAGAACTCTAGCGTTTAGCTCTGCTGGGACAGGAGAGCACGCGTGCTCATCACTCACCTTGCTCTTTTTGAAGCCTACATCGCCCGGGGCTAGGTAGTCTGATACTTCCTGGTTCTCTGCAGGGCGGAGAGAGGGGGAGGTGGCCAGGTCAGCTTGGTAATGCAATCCTTTCTCAGTCGCGTACGCTCGAGACTCACTGCTGTAGTCGAGGCTCAGTAGAGAGCGATTTGCCTTTCTCGCCTCTTCCTCAAGCTCCCTCTGTTTCTTCGCCTTCCGCTCAGCATTCGTCTCAGTCGAACCCCCCAGCCTGAAGCCTCCATCCGAGTCTCCGATGATCGCTCGATCTCTCCTCTGCCCCTCGGGAATATCTGCGTCGTACTTGCTGAGCACGCCCTGCTTCTTTCCCAGTGCAGCCGACGTCATCTCGTCCTCATCGTCTATGCCGGTGTACTGCTTTGGGCCCTTCTTACGCAGCTCGTTTCGCCGGTCGAGCTCCTTTTGCTCGAGGGCGGAATCCATGAGCTCATCCTCGTCGCCGTCGAGAATGCGGCTATCTCTCAAAGTGAGGATCCGACCTTCGTCGCCCTCCTGCAGATCGAAGTCATCCATATCGTGGGCGACGCGCAGCCCCGCTAAGTCGGCCTCGCCGTACGTAGCTGCCGCCTCTTGCTCCTCGAGCTCCTTTGCCCTCCTCTCTGCATGCTCCTTTGCCTTCTTTTGAGCCTGTCTGAGCCATTTGACGGTACTCTTCGAGTCGCTAGGCCCTGGCGCCGATGAAGTGGAAGGATCTTCATCTCCCAGTGTGGGGCCACGTAGCTGCCGCCTCAATTGACGCTTGTTCTGCGCCTTTGCTATTCGTTGACGGATTTCTTCATCTTCCTTTGCCTTTGCCTCTTGCTCTCTTCGCTTCTTATAGTTTTCCTCTGCTATCTGGTCTTTATCCTTGGGAGCCTCTTCAGCGCCGCCATCTTTGTCCTTTTTGGCGGATGCTGAGTCGTCAACGAGGGGCTTGAGACCGAGGGAGATACGGACCTTGCTGCGAGCGGCAGGAGTGGGCGGGATGGAGTGGTCAGTAGCTGAATATGAGATTTACATGCTGCCTGATCTGGCACTCACTTTGTCTCCTCGAGCGACAGACTCTCCTTTTGGAACTCTGACATGGTGGCGAGATGAGGAGGATGCGAAGCCAAGAAGAGGCTTGAATTTGGGCGGGCGGATGGATGGGCGGACGGGTGTCGACGCGGACCAGGCGACGCCCTCTTCTCCACTCGGCAAGTCCAAGTCGACCGACTCACCATCCATCCTTCCTCTGAATCTTTCCTTTGCCTCTGCCTCTGCGATGACACTCCTTCGTACGGCCTCATGAGGTCGTCTCGTACACTCTCAACTCCTTGACAAAGTTCTTTCGCTGGACTCACAGCGCTGCTAGCTGCTCTGACACCCGACATCTCGGCAGCAGCCTTACGCACACTCCACCATGTACGCCGGTTATCAAGCAGGCTACTATGACGAGCAACAGCAGTACTTCGAACCAACGGGAGCTTATGCTGGACAAGCACCTGGATACCCGTCAACTTCCATGCCACAGTCTGGTGTGCCGTACGGCTACCCACATCAGGAGTATTACGCAGCTACCTATGGTCCGACCTACGATGCCAACGGCTATGCCTACGATCCAGCCTTGATGCCGGCCGCCGGCGGGCACTATCCTGCTCACTTCCAGATCGGCATGCAGCAGCACGCCTCCGAGCAGCAGCTTCTCCAGCAATACAGAGCTCCCAATGCTATCCCTCCAAGACCGCCCTCCTCAACGCCTTCAGGCTCCAGCGCTCGCCTGAGTATGGCGAGCAGTGGTGCAGCGAGTCGCAGCAATCCCTACCAACAGCAGCATCAACATCATCTTTCCGGTACTTCAACTCCTGGCACATCGGTGGCGAGCGCTCAGCACTTGCCTGCGACACCGGCATCGTCTGGAAGCCCTCAGTCACAACCGCATGCCGGCAGCAGCTCCTTCGGTAGTCTCGGGGGAGTAGGCAGCCTCCCACCTAGGCCTACATTCGACCCAGCAGCACCTCAGAGCGGCAGCAGCAGTCAAGGACCTCTTCCAGGTCATCCGTCTAGTGGGGCTCTGCTCCGTCCTTCACCGATTCCACGGCTTGGTGGGCAGCCGTCACAGTCGCGGCAGCAAGATGTTGGCAGCAGCGGGAGGAGACCGTCGGCCTCTCATGGCAATCAGCTGCTCGAGAAGCTTCCTGCCCTACCTCCACGGCCTGTCGTCCAACATGAGGTGCCACCATCACTCGCCTGGCTTGGAAGCGTGGACGAAGGGCCGTCCACTGGAGGCAGCAAGGAGGCAGAAGAGCTCTCAACTTCCACCCCCGCCCAGCTCGACGCAGATGCTAAGGCCTACATCGCATCTCTCCACGCTGCAGTCCAGGCGTACCAAAGTCGCGAAGAAGCAATGCAGCTCCGGGTGGAAGCTATGGCTTTTCGGCCAAACGAGAGTTGGACTGCGCTACGGATTGAGAAGGGTGATGAAGCTGCGGTACGGCACGAGAAAGAGTCAGAGACTGCGCAGCCAGCAGGTGAAGGGGAAGAGAAATCGATCACGAAGGAGGAGAGTCTACGCCCACCAGCCTCGATTCTTGGCGTCCGCCTGCTTCGCAAAGTTGTTCAGCTTCAGAAGGAGAACGAAGAGCTAGGCGTCTTACTCAGTCGTAAGCTCAACCTGACCGAAGACCACGCCTCCCAAGCCGGCGACGCTGTCAACGGCGTACGCGCAGGCGGCGACGAGAAGAAGCAGCTCCTCTCTGACCTATCCGACGCCCATTCCCTGCTCTCTAGCCTGTCGATCGCGCTCAAAGAAGCAGAGGGAAGAGCAAACAAGGCAGAAGCGGCTCTGCAGGTGGCGGTGCAGAGTAGATCGAGGGGAATCATGGAGGCCTCGCCGGTGCGTGGACAGCAGGGCCCGCAGCAGGGGGCGGCGGCAACAGTTGCGGGAGGAAGGAGGCCTGAGCAGCTTCGCGGTCAGCAGCACCCTCAGCGAGGAGGGAAGGGGAAGCATCAACAGAGGGACGGTACTGGCGCTGGCGGCGGATGAACGATGGGACGATAGACGTGGACCCTGGTCACGATCAGTCATGTGGAAATAGATCTGAGTCACGGACACGACATACACAACGGCGAGAGCCGTGCCAAACGCATCAGAGGTATCTTCCCCTTCATCTTTTGCACGCCACTGCCTTCACACCAATCACACGGTACTTTGAGGGCTGCAAAGCTGAGATCTGCATTGCAAATATATGGTCGCGGCTGAACGAGGGCACGCGATTGAACGACGTGACCCCTTGTGTCGGCGCAACGCTTAGTCGAAGAGACCGAAGCCCATGTCGTCGTCGGACTCCTCCTTCTCCTCCTCCTTCTCCTCGGCAGCAGCAGCCGGGGCGTCGGCAGCGGCAGCGGCAGCGACGGGAGCGGCGGCGGCGAAAGCCTCGGGGTTGGCAAGGTACTCCTTGGCCTGAGCGCGTAAGGTGATGTAGGCAGGTCAGCAGACTGGTCGAGTGAGATAGTGAAGTCGCAGCACATGTCCCTCCTCCTGCATCCGCATCCATCAGCCAAGGCAATGCTGCCAATGGTCGTCAGAGGCCTGTCGGCCTGACTCGGAATTTTCAGTGTGATACAATAATTTGGGAATCCTGTGGACGAGCATTCCCTGAGCGGCCTCTCCGCGGCAAGCCCTCCTCTCTCTCTTCGAATCCGTTGTCTGTAATACTCTCGCGCACGCGAACTCACCTTGGCAGAGCCCTCGAACTCGTAGTCGGTGGCCAGCGAGATGGCAATGAGGTTCTTGTACGAGTTGACAAGGACGTGGTTGACCGAGGCGATGGTAGGGTAGTTGAGAGCGAGCGAGAGGCAAGCCATCTGCTTGATACCCAGAGCAAAGCGCTCGACGAGGGTCTCCTCGGAAACGTCGAGGACGTCCGACTCGAAGGTCTGTCCGTTGTCGTAGATCTGCGTCACGCTCATTCCGTAGGTGAACGGCGAGATGTTGAGCATGTTGAGCAGCGTGGCCTCGGACGAACCGACGCGCGTGCCACCAGAGACGACCTTGACATCGGAGACAATCTCAATGGTACCACGGGCGATCTTGGTGGGGACACCGAGAGCCTGGAAGAAGGACGTCTTGCCGGGCTCCATACCGGTGTTGCCGGCCTTGACGATGACGTCGGCAGGAGCGAAAGCACCGGCACGAGCGGGGGCAGCGACACGGTTGGCCAGGATCTGGTTACGGATGTCCTTGAGGTCACCGGAGGTGAAGACGAAGCCGATGTTTCCCTTGACGAAGGGCATGAGCTTCTCGAATTGGGGCTTCTCCGAGATGATCAGACGAAGGGCACGGCGAACCATGGTGTTCTTGCCCATGAGGACGGTACCCTTGCCACGAAGGGTGTGACGAATCTGGTGCATCTGCTGAGATCCGACATTGTCGACATTGACGATGAAGATGGAGGGGAAGGTGTCGAGGGCCTCGTTGAGACGAACGAACCAAGCCTCCTTAGCAGCGCGAGTGCCTCCCATTTTGGATGAAGAAGAACGTGAAGATGGGGTTTGGTGTTGGTGTAGTGGTAGTGTCTGGTATTTGATACGCCGCCGACGACCTCGTTGCTATTGACGGGTAAGAGGGCTGAAGAGTTTAAGGCGAATCGGTGAGGACAAGAAGGCAAGAAGGAGCAAGCCGTCCGTTGCAGCATCCTTTTCCCCTCGCCCACGCCCAGCCCACCCGTCCGCCCGTCCATGAGCGCCATGCGTCCGCCCGCCCTGTCACTCCCGTTCGCCGTAGCGCGCGACAGAGGCCAAGGCTGTCTAAACTTCCGATCCGAAAGACGGAACAGCGACGCTCGAGAACATCACCAAGACCAAGAGCCGCTCGATGGCTGCATTACTACGCACAGACGCCAACCTCGCTCATTATGTTGCCCACTCGAGCGTAATGGGGCAAGGACGACGCCATCAATATGTCCATGCTGTCTCCAGGAGCTAGTGTGCTCGCTGCCCCAGCCAGGCGCAGAGCTGCCTGCGCCTCAGCATCTTGGACGCCTCGTCCAGCATGGGCAGGTCGTCCCCCTACGACCTCGACCAAACGTGCACTTCATCATGACTCGCAAGCTGACACCAGCGAGCGTGGCAGTCAACAGCCCACTAGCATCAGCAGCAATACACCCTCATCCTCTTCATCTTACACACGACGCCGCCCTGTCTGGCGCGACATTCCAGCATACAATGCCGACCCATCATCCTCATACCCATCACCAGCACCACCGCCTCCGCCTCGTCAACCCCAACCTTCATCATCGACGTCGACGTCGACCTCGACAACCTCAGAGACTTCGAACGCTCATCTTAATCGTGGCAAGACGGGCACGCCCAATTGCAAAAGCGCCGTCTATCTCAAATTCGCATCCCTGCCGGTCGACCAGTTGCGACACTCTCGTGGACTCAAAATCCATAAGGGAGCTCACAGAGCCATCGTTCTTGTCGAAGAGTCGAAAGACGTCATCGATGCCTTTGTCATCGGTCGACTCAAGGAAGAGCGTCTCTCGCCGAGTAGAGCACTTGCAGAGGTGACGGAGCTGCTGCCGGAGGATGTTGGACAGGAGCAGGCGGCGCTCCTGCTGATCAGTAGTCTCACGACGGGCGACAGGGCAACGAGCGAAAATCTGGCATTTGCTAGAGCGCTCTACATGCTCCAGCGAGATGAAGCGCGAGCCAGGCAGACAGCATCAGCGCCTATCAGACACCTCGCTCGCGTCGTTCGTCCATCCTTCGACAAAGTGGGCTCCAGTGTGGCTTACGCTGCCCTGGCAGCTGAGATCGTTCAAGATCGCAGGCTCAAGCCAGCGGAGCGTCGCTCGCTTGTCACAAGAGCAATGCCAGGGCTCTGCCATCTACTGCGTACCCTAAGCCAGACTGGGCATGGACGACACACGAGGGAGATTAGGCGCAATCACCTCTACGAAGTCTGGAGGGAGGCGATCGAAAGCCTACTATTAGAAGGAGTCCTCTCTCCGGCGAGCGGACATGGGGCCGGATCATCCTCGCAAGCTGCTGCGCTCTGCGCTCAAATGCTCATGATGGCCGTTCGTTGGGGCCCCTCATTCTCAGCCGTCAGGCTCGCAGAGTCTCTTCACTCGGTGAATAGCCTGGAACAAGTCATCAAAGGCGCGACGGCTTCCTCATCCCGCGTAGACGTCGATAATCTGTCCTCTCTTCCTGTCACGGAGCAGCTAGTGCACGGGCTCATCTCGCGAGGTGCGGCGCAGCATGCTGGGAGTATCTTCATGATGTTACCACACACGCTTCGCAGCTTTGATGGGTACGTCGCCCTACTGGAGCACCTTGGCGAGTCGGATGCCTCGATACCGCTCGATTCACGCTACAAGCGGGCAATGCCTCCGAGACCTCCCTCCATCACGTTCCAGCGAGTCCTTTGGGAGGATGCATTGGCGCACGTCCGGCAGAGCGATGGGAAGGAACACATCGCCTGGCTCAAGCGCCTCTTTGGCGCTCGCATGGTCAGTCATGCTCGACACGGCAGCGCCAATATGGTTGAGCAGGATCTGGGCCACATGCAAATGGTGGGCTTGCCGGGCAATGGCTCTGAGTTGAGCAGCAAGGCGCAGGTTGCAATTGTGCGGGCGTTTATTCGAGCCGGGAGATGGGATGAGGCCAAAGAGCGCGCCATCCAGATGCTGGCGCAGCGCAGGCAAGATGCGAACCATGAGCTGGCTGTGGCCAGGCAAGGCGCTGCGATGCTCAATACCCTAATCGCTGGCGTCGTGTCCCAAGACATCGAAGCAGCAGGGCTGCCAGCCGAGCACCGCAGCGAGCAGGACGATGACGAGGGCGCAAACGTCCCAGCAGGACGCGGCCTCCTCGATCAAGTCCTCAGCGAGGTTTCACTCCCTATCGGAACCCTCGTGCAAGTGCTACGCTGCCACGACTCCCTCGTCGAAGAGCTCAATGTTGTCCCAGACGCAGTGACTCGCAATATTCTGCTCGGCTTCCTCTTCCGCTGGCGTCTTGCCCCGCTCGGGGACGACATCTCTACGATACGCCAGTTGCTGAAGCGGTGTGGCGTCTTTGGAGGTAAGAAGGGGGGCGGCAAGAAGGGAGGAGCAGAGCGGTTACAGGAGGCTCGCGAGTTCATGGCGCATGGCAAGAGTGTGCTCAGAGCCATCATCAAGACGCTATACGAGCAGGGGCACGTGGAGCACGCGCAGTGGGTTGTGGGGATGCTCAAGGAGGCAGAGCTGGCGGCGCAAACTGAGCTGCGCAAAGGCGGGGCTCATAGCGAGCGCGGTACGCAGGAGAACAAGAGGGCGGCGCCCGCGTAGGCAGGCGGGACGGCCCGTGGAGCGGCCAGGTCTGGCGGCCTGATCTTGCCGCTGCACCTCTGTCATTGTACCATAGTCGATCTCGATCTCGTCAACGATGCCAGATTCATCGTCAGCTCGCCAAGCGGCTGTGCTAGGCCACCGAGCTACACGATCCCAAACTCGCTGCGACTGCCTTCGATCGTCACCTCGATCCGTCTCTAACCCTCTCGAGATCTCGCAGCTTCGACCACTTCATTCATTGTGCTCTCAGCGGAGCAGCAGCGCCTCGGGCCCAGGCGTCAGGCAGCGGGGTCGGGGGGCTAGGCTAGGCTGTCGTGTGCCGGCAATCGCGGTCCAGCCGTCATGCGTCTTCGCGCGGTTTCGACCCGGTTCGAGTCGCGCCAGGCAACTTCATTGATTGACGAGCCTCACCGTCGACGAGGCATGTGCGGGGCAGCGATGCTGTCGATGCAGCGATGGCGCTGAGCGCTGAGCACTGAGCACTGGGTGTGGTTGAGTGTGGGTGGAAGGAGTGTACGAGGGGCGGGAAACAGCTTAAAAGAAGATTTGTTGAGGTGTCACATCCAATTGCCTTGCCTCGCCTATCAGAACACACACTCACACACTCTCACACACACACGCGCACGCGGCACACTCACACGACACCACACCTCGAACGCACACACACACAAGCATGTCCGTCTACTACTTCTCGACCCCCTCGACGTCCTTCGGGCACCGCCAGCCGCGCTCCTTCGAGTCGGAGCCATACTCTACTTGCTTCGGTCAGGCCCTTCAATACCAAGACCCTTACGATGCAATACGACTCGCGGCCGCCCACTCCCACGCCCGCGAAGAGGCTGAAGCTCGACGACGCCGCGCCGTAGCCGTTGCCCGAGCTCGCGCCATCGCACAGCAAGAATGGGAGGAAGCTCGGGCTCAGGAAGAGATGCGAAGACGTCGTCGACATGCTGAACAGCAGCGACGTCTCCAGCTCGAGCGTCAGCAGCAGCGCCACCAGCAGGAGGAGCAGGAGGCTGCTGCCTTCTTCCAGGCCATACAACAGCACATGGTTGAGGCTGCCGAGGCTGCCTATCATCGCCACCAGCAGCAACAACAGCAAGAGCTTCAGCGCCGCAAAGAGGCAGCCGCTCTTCATCAACGTCAAGTGGCAGCCGCTCGTGCTCGAGCGGAGGCACAGCGCACTGCCCAAATCGAAGCTCAGAAGCGCCTTCAAGCCCGACGCGCCGCTGAGCAGGAGCACCGCCAGCGCCAGCACCAGCACCAGCAAGAGCAAGTCGAGCGCATGTTTAAAAACTTCCTCTCGCCCCTTTTCCAGGCTTTCCTAGGCGGCGAGGAAGAGGCCGAGCAGGAAAAGGAGACTCAGCACCAAACAGCTGGCCCTCAAGGCTCGCCTAAGGGCAAGGAGAAGGAGACGCCCACAGCCTGCGAGGCATCCACTGAGGAGAAGCGCCCCAGGACTTCTTCGCCTCCAGCAGCCACCTCGACTGCGACATACAAAGCGACCCTCGAGCACGAGCCCACCGCCGAGCAAGCATCTGCGCCTCAGCTTCCTACCACGGCCGCCGAGCCCGACGCTCACGACGATGCCGCCTCGGTCGCCTCCTCGAGCACTTCCTCCACTAAGCGCGGTCGCTCTCGTTCACCCCGCCGCGCTCGAGTCAGCGATGTCGATGAGGAGGGCAACGAGATCCCTTCACCTGCCGACGCAGAGGACGAAGACGAAGGCTTCGTCCAGCTCGAAACCTCTTCTCAGACTAGCCACTAGCTCTTCGCGCGATCACCCGGAGTACACAATGTTCATAAAGTTCGAGTGTCGATTCAGCTACTCAATATGATTGTCCGTATTCAACTACTTTGAGATGCCTGCTCTCTCTACAGAGCGTGTGTGACCTTGCACCTACACCTCTTGCCCATCCACGATCAGCCTGCACATGCTCGTCCCACCCCTCGCCTCCTCCGCCTTCTGGAAGTTGTACACAGCCTCGAGCGTGTTCTTAGATCCGCCGCATACGACGACGACGATGTTCTTCTTCCCCTCCGATGGAGATGCTACACCGCCCTGCTTGAGGACCCTGGACGCAAAGTAAATGGGGAGCAGCGCAGCCCCGCACGAGATCTCAGCGAGAACACGGTGGTCTCGCGCAAACTGCCAGGATGCAGAGGCTGCCACTGCGTCCTCAGCTACCACGAAGTGCTTCTCGCCAGGGTAGGCGCGAGCACGGTCAAGCGTGGATTGGGAGCAGGTGCGCGCGCCGAGCGATGTGCACTTCGACGTGATAGCATCGAGAGTCACCGTCTTGTTCTCAGCCATGGAGCGCGAAAAGGAGTCGGCACCGAAGCACTGCACTGAGCAAATGGTAGGTGGCGACGCGCCGCGCTCGATCTGTCTCTGCAGACCCATGAGGATACCGTTGAGCAGACCACCACCGCCAACTGCCGTCGAGATGAGGTCGGGTCCAGCAGGGAGGTCGTGCTCTTCGCGCATCTGGTCGTAAGTTTCGTCTACGATCGTCGAGTTGCCCGCAACAACATTCTGGCCCTCAAAGGGATGTATGAGCACGGCATTGGGGTCAGCACGGACAGCAGCGAGCGCCGCCGCATTGGCTTCATCGAAGCTCGCTCCGCCACGGACTACGGTAGCGCCCTCAGCCTCGCATAGCTTAACGACGTGATCCTCCGTCGAGCTCGGGCAGTACAGTGTAGCCTTGACTCCAGCAATGTGTGCGGCGGTGCAGGCAGCCAAACCTGCATTGCCCCCTGAAGAGGAGATGACGTGGAGCTGGTCACCACGCTGTGCTCGTGCGACTTGTACCGAGTGGCCCACGCCGCGGATCTTGAAGCTGCCGCTGGGCTGGAGGGGCTCCATCTTGAGGTACACATTGTGGCCGCAGATGGTCGAAAGCGGTGCGCTGTACAGCAGAGGGGTCTTGATATGGCTCTGCCTCTGGTCGCCCATCGTATTGGCGCTCGTTATTGCTGAGATGGTCATGATTGAAGTCAAGATGAAGATAGGATGATAAGAGGGACGGCACGGCAACAAACTACAGCAGCCCTCGGACATTTTATATCGTCACACCAGAGTTCGACTCATTATCTCTGGGTCTCCTGCGAACGTCCGAGCGGATCTTGTTGACGAACCCCGATCTTATCCCCATCCCCACCGAAGAATCATCGGCCCCTCTTGGCGATCATCGTGTGTAATGCGCTTGTGGGGCTCCATCTTGCCAATGACCCTGCAGAGGCGCATCCGTCACGGGACACGATGGGCTCCAAGAGGTCCACGGTCTGTGGAGCTGCAAGGCTTCGTTGCGATTTGACTCGGCGTTGGCGCCGTTCCCCTGGGTCCCTACCACCTCTTGATTGAAGATCACTCGCGGTCCAAGGCTTGGCCGTGAGGACCTTCCATTTGAGGTTGTTCTTCGCCCTCCTCGGGACCTCCCGTGACGCTAGCTAGGTGTGGCGGCAGCTCCAGAGCAAGAGTCGACGTCATGGTCAGCCACGAGCGCGGCGTCTTGAAATTGCTTCGACGTGAGCTCCTCGACCTGCACGGCAACAAGCGTCCGAGGCGCGGCAGGCGGCGACGTGCCTCGATTTTGTCACCGATCCACACACTTCACCCCTCCTAGACCGCTCAATTAGTTCCCACATCCTCTCAGCTCGAGCATATTTGCTTTCGCTCCTTCATCTCGTTCCCAGCATCTTGCTCGCTAGCATCGTATCATGGCCTCGTCATCACGGCTCATCAGCATCTTGCTTGCGGCCCTCGTCGCAGCTGTCTGCGTCTCAGTTGCTAATGGACAATCGAGCGTCTCTTCCACATCCAGCCCCTTGTCGTCCTCTGCTGGATCGTCTTCCTCTTCTGCATCTTCCTCTTCATCCTCACTCCCAGACACGACACTCGCCCCTCAAACATTCAGCTTTCAAAGGTACGCTTCGGTCGACTGCGTCGCGCTGGTCAAACATGCACTGACACAAGTCATCCCTGCTCTCCCCATTCCTCCTCCTCTACTCTTGTAGCATCGGCCCCGTCGGTCCTGGTAGTGTTGCAACAGTCATCAATGGCACTTCGACGACAGTCGCAATCAACACGTCGTCGTCCGTCAACTCAAGCACCATCAGCTCGTCATCGACTTCCCTGAACCTGTCAACCGTTAGCCTCGGCCTAGTCACCACCAGAGCTTCAGACGCAGATCCCTCTGCGACGAGGATGGGCGGTGGATCCTCAAATGCAGCCATCGCTGCCGCCCGGTTCCTCCGTACCAGCAGCTTCGAAGGTCTGGCAGGCGTGACAGCAGCGTCGCTCCTTCTCGTCCTTGCCGGCGCCGTGCTGCTGTGATTGTCGCTAGCGAGGATTGTCTCCGGATTTGTTAATACTACTCTAGAAGCGCATCATTGCGCTGCACCGCTCGCGGATTGCCAAATGATCCTTTGCTCATACGAGTCGTATCGCCCCCTATGCTGATCATCTTCCATCGCCTGGCTTTGTCCCTCCTCGACGCGGGCGGCTCGTGCATGAGCGGCGTCGCACCCTTTGTGAGCCCGCGCTGCCGCGTCTCCGCTCATTTGTGCCTTCGCGGCCTCCAACTTTGGCTTTCCTTACCACCTTGCACAGCGAGACGGGCTTTGCGGCCTTGTCGCTATTGCTCCTCATGCCTCTCGCATTATCATCTTCTACCACGCAGGCTCCATCGTCCTCAGTAGCGTGAAACCATCTTCTCGCTTGCGTACCTCGGCGAGGTCACGCCACTTTCCCGCAGTATGGACGGGGGCCAGATTGCGATCCCAGATCTCGATGACGAGTACTTCGATCTTCCCAACCCGCCATTTGCCTCAGGAGGCGGAGCAGGAAGTAATGGCGGCGGCGGCGGCGGCGGCGGTGGTGGTGGGGCTGGATCAGGAAGCGAATCTGTTCGGACAGGCTCCTTTGATGATCTTCGAGGTCCATCAAGACCTTGGCTCACTCATGGCCGCTCCGGGTCTGGGACCAGCGCCGACTCCGGAGAGTCTTCATCGATCAACCAGCAGCAGCGTAAAGAGGGAGGTCCAGGTGGCTGGTCGTTCCCCCGCAAGGGCTCATTTGCCAGTCTCAAGGCTGCATTCAAGGGACAAGGAGGAGGTGGTGGTGGGGCTGCAGCCGGCGGGCCCGGTACTCATGCGACTTCTCTGTCGGGCCCTCCTGACAGCGGGCACCCTACTACATCTCATCGACCCTTCGCTCGCACGACGAGCAGCAACAATGCGATCAGCGCCACTCCGACTCGACGCAAAGGAGGCCATCAACGCAATGATAGCGAGCTCTCGTCCGGACCGTCCCGTACACCAGCCGCCCCTCTCCCCTCTGCTCGTAGCCATCATGCCCAGCAGTCTTCCTTCTTCTCAGAATACTCAGCGGGCCATGCGAGCTCGTCAGGGAGCCAACAGCTACACAACATGCCGCCGCTACCTCCCTTCCCTCCGGAGCACTATAACAACCCGATGCCGCCTATTCTCTCCAACGAGGAGAGTGCGTTCCCTTCGTCTTACCCGACAGCGCCGGATGAGACTGCGGCCGGCTACTTTGATGGCTTTGATACTGGCGGACCTTCTCAGGCAATGGCTTGGCAGGGGACAGACGCCATGCTATACGGCGGCCGATCGTCGAATTGGCCGGGAGCAGCGTTAGACGCAGGGCCATCAGGAGTAGCGCAGGCTGCGGATCTACCGACTGGCATCGGCTGCGTCGATCCGCAGAGCCCGTCAGACTATGCACTCAATGTGCTCATGTCACGCTTCCTCTCGCGGACGCAAGTCAAGATCCAGGCGGTGCTTGATCATGGGCTAGAAGCGGAACCTTTGCTGGAGCCATCATTTGGACCAGGAGTCGACGACGAATTTGACACTCTTCTCGGCTCTTTGGCTCACGTGTCCCGCAACAGCCTCAAGATGGTCCTTGAGAGCCTCATCAACTGGCACACGATGCATCTCGATGCAAACGTAGGCGCAGAGACGGTGCGGCGAGCGATGTCAGAAGCTGCACACCTTTATGGAAATACAGCGGCGACGGCCGCAGGCAGCAATGGACCACCAGGAGTGAGAGAAGTCGCCGCTACGTTGATGCGGAGGAAAGCGCTCGCCACCACCTACCTTCTCTCGAGGAGTCTGTCAGAGGTGGCGAAGCAGATGCAGCTAGGCGAAGCGGGCGCTGCTGCAGATGCTGAGGTTAATACGCTCTTTTCGACCATCTTTGAGCTACTGCAGAACTGCAGCCGTAGCCGAGTACCTCGTTCAAGCATGCAGAGCCAGGCTTTTGAGTCAGTGTCAGAGCTGCTGGGTGAGCTTTCTCGCAAGTACTTCATGGGCATCGGCGACCGCTTCGTCTCGATGCTGGAGCATTGCGCCAAGGTGCCGCCGTCGAAGAATGTCGAGCTCGCACAAGAGACTGCGGTGCAGGGTATGCGCCACCTCACCATCACCGTCTTCCCTATGGAGCACTTTGAGGAGGGGGCGGAATTCCTAGAGACCATCTCACGCTTCTTTGTCGGCGCCCATGGGCAACGGGTCAAAACAGCCTATGCTGAGACGTTGACGCACCTCATCCTGCCGGTGGCCAAAGCAGCGTCCGCTGAGGTCAATCATCCGACTTGGGCAAAGGTTATGGAGACGATTGCTCCGAGAGCGGCCACAATGGCAGCCAAGCCTCGATATTGGTCCGTCGCCTTCTCCCTCTACGTCGCCGCGTTGTGTGCGTCGCCGGAAGAGCAGTTCCTCCAAGGTATAGCTGGGAATTGGGGCTGGATCGCTTGCGTAGACGTCGCAGTTAGCAGGTCCAAAGATCGCCCCTCGAGGCCCATCGTCATGAATACCGCGCTCCGACTTATTTGGGTTTACATGTTCCGCTGTCACGAGAGCAGCAACACGACGACGAAGAGACTTGACTCCTTCTACCGACAGTGGTTTCCTGCTGGGCGATCCACTGTGCTCCCTTCTGAATCAGTCCTCGCGCCACACATCCATATGGTCCATCTGGTCCTGTATCGCCACTTTGACTACGGTCGCGACCTTGTACTCGACTTCCTTCGTCACAGCGTCCTCAGCGGCAGCACACTCTCTCTGCAGCCAGAGATCATCACGAGTCAGAGGATGATCATCGCTATTCGAGCCATCCTCTTAACCCTCGAGGCCTATGTCAAGACCGAGTCTCCGCCATTTCCCATCGCCGATACCATGACGACGGCACTGGACGCTGTGGGAGATGAGCTGCCTCCCGATTTTACATTTCCCCGCCCGGACACGGCGGACGCACAAGCAAAGTTCAATGATCTCATCGGCAAGATTGCTCTCATCTGCGACCACCAAGTTGGTACATCGACCGTCTTTGACGAGAGCGTCATCGTCATGCGTACCCATAATGTGGCTCAGAACGGCAGCCTCATCGACCACGAGCGCAACTTGATCCGCAGCCATCCTCGCAGCAAGCTATCCGTTGCCTACGCTCGCGATCAGCAGCCGTACATGGATCTCCTCAGGGCCTGCTTTGACTCATGGCCTCGCTGTCTCAGCTCAAGCATCCCATTTGCAAGCGTCCTATCCTGTCTCTTCAAGGCACACTGGAGCGGCGATCCTCAACTCGGCGAGGCAGCCTCGCAAGCACTGAGGCGTATCGCACGACAGCGTAAAGGAGGTGCAGGAGCCGTCGTCTCTGGCTTTGGTCGCCACATCTTCCGTGCAGAATCGCTATTCTGGGAGACACATCCTCACCAGATCGCTCTCCTCCCCAAGGTCGAGGCGGCGCTACGACTCTGGACGGAGTTCTTGAACATCTGGCTTGGCCAACTCAGGGCGAGCAAGACAGACGAACAGAGCGGCGTGGACGCCAAGATGGAGAGGACGAGCGCGTGGGCCATCACTGACGAGGTGGAAGCCTACGGACTGCTGCTGCTCTGTTCGGGCTACCGTCATCTCAGGCGGCAAGCCATAAGCATTCTGCGCCTTGTTGCCGTCCTCGACGAAGCCTTTCAGACGCCAGGAAGTGGCGGTCGCCCGCCCTCGGCAGCGGAGCCGGCTCGCATTATCCACCTCCTCGACCTGCCCTGCCGTGAATTTTGCAATGTGGACGATCCACAGCTCTCCGCTGAGCAGAGGCAACGAGTGCAGGAGTGGACAAGGTCGAACAGCAATCACCCTTTGAGCGACTTAGCAGAGAGCGATTTCGTCATTGAACATTCGCTCTGGCAGCACGTCCTTCCCGGCCTATTGCGGATGTGTCTTGACCACTTTCCAACGACGGTCGCCGTCTTCCGCTCGCATGTCACGAACAGAGTTCTTAGCATGGACGCAGCCGTCGCAACTGCTGCGGGTCTCGTTCCTCGCGCTGCCACAACGATGGGCGCAGGCGGAGGATCAACTACGAAGACGATGCCGACATCATCATCATTGTCGGGCGGCTTGGCGTCTGCCCCGCAGGGAGGTGGCTCAGCAGCTGATCAGACGTTGATGGCTGAGCACTGGAAGTTCTACATTTTGGCTCTGTGCACCTCCACGACCTCCACGGAAGGCTCAAGAGGCGCTGTCTCACACCGTCGCCAAGGCAGTGACCCCAGTTCTGGCGAGCGAGTCATCGCGGCTCGCGACCTCTTTCAGAAGCTAGTACCCTTCCTCGCTTCGGATCAGGTCAAGTTCAGAGATGCCGTAGTCGTTGCGCTGGGCAACATCAATGTCAACTTGTACCGTACCCTGCTCGAGACACTGCAGGCTGTCAGCTCCCAACTCGTTGAGTCTCGTGTCGCAACGGGCAGGGGCGGCGCTCAGCCCCCTCGCCGTCACGGTCGACTGCGAACTGCGCTTGGTCACGTTGTTCAGTTGACGTCCTCGCACATGACGGAGCAAGCGCTTTCGGAAGAAGCGGTCGTCAGCCTGCTCCTGAACTGGATCAAGGATACCTTCAATCTCCTCAGCGAGCATCGAGACGTGCAGTCCTTTTGGGACCTCCAGCGCCTCAGGCGCTTCTTCTGCGGCGTCGTCGAATCGCTGTACAGCAGGATGTGGCCAAGAGGAGGATGCGATCGCTACTTTCCGTTTGAAACCAGGCACAAGATGTTCGCCCTCTTCGCAGAGTGGTACTCGTACAGTCAGTCAGCCAAGGATGGACCAGGCAAGCTGGCAGCACTGCTGGCCAACGTTGCCGAGCAGCTGCGAGACGACAAGCAGAGGGAGTCAGTTCTTGCATCGTTGCGAGAAGACACGCAGTCGCTGTCCTTCCACGCCAGCGACGCCATGGCGACGCTTTGCCAAGGGCCCATCGCAACACCAGACGTGCCTAGCCCCTACACGTCGCCGTGGCTCATCGAATGGCTCGAGGGTCTCTTCAGGAGCCCAGTACCGACAAACCATGGTATTGCGCGAAGAGCGCTGCGCTCTTTGCTGATCAACAATGGCGCAGATGCAAATCTCCTGGCTGCCGTGATTGACAGCGCCTTTCACGAAGCGGACAATCTCGCCTCGCCGAGATCCATCTTTGCTTGCTTCTGCGACACGGCTGTCGACAGATCGGTACCGCTGCAAGCAAGGATCGAAGTCCCACTGCACCACATCCTGGTCCTCACGCTCACCAAGCTAGGTCACTCAGATGTTGCGATTCGCCGCAAGGCTCTCGCGCTGATCGAATGGGCATCTCGACGGGAAGCACCTTCGCTGTCGCTGCATCACGTCGATGTAGGAGTAAGCAGCCCGTTGCCAGCAACCTATCTACGCGCCCAGAGGGATATTTCGGCCTTTCTCGCCCATCACTTTGGTACGCACAAGGTTGCCTTCGTCTGCGAGGCTACTGCCCGTCTGAGCGACATCGACTCATCGAGAAGATCGACGACGCTCGGTCTCCTGCCGGACTGGCTTAGGGACATTGACCTGCTGCAAGGTGCAGACTCAGCCGGTGGCGGCAACGAGATTACCTACTGCTCGCTCTTGGTCCTCTCCAATCTGCTCTCCCTCACCGTCAAGTATGGAGATGAGCACAACTTCGAGATTCAAGACGCCTGGGCCAGCCTGGCAGAGGGGAGCCAGGTCTTCTTCAACAGCAATGCCATCGTCAAGTTCCTCGTCGAGCAGGGGCTGTGCTACCGTAGCGCGGCCTTTGTCATTCACGCGAAGCGAGTTGTCTCGTGTCTCTCTCAGACCATCATCGGCCCGCCGATGTTTGACGAGCTCTGCGCTTTCATCGAGCCAACGTCGGTCATTCCCGTGCCACGAGATCAGGTCAACGTCCAGCCCAGCGCCCCAGCGCATCGCAGTCTTTTCAGAGCGAATCTCGACATCCTCCTGCCCCTGTCGTCCAAGCAGCAAGTCTTCTCCCCGGGCCAGCTGGCCCTCATATTTATAGGCGAGCTCACCTACGAGCCCTCAGATCAGCTCAACGCCAAGCTGCCGACGCTCCTACACGCCATCTTTGTGCAGATCGACAGCGTCATTCCCTTCGTGCAAGAGCAGGCCGTAGCTACTTTCGAGCAATTGCTGCGCAGCTTAGCCTCGATGAAAGCTGCGGCGATGGGCGGGGAGGCTGTTGCGACGGCAAAAGAACAGGTCGAGCAGCTCTTCAGCAAGGGTGCGGCCAACTTTTGGTCCCACATGGATCTTGAAGTCACTCTGGACGAGTTCAAGACGCCACGCAAGATGCGATACCTACTCAGCGAGACGCTGCGAATCTTGCAGCCACTATCGCCAGGCCTGGGGGAGCAGTGGGCGACCGTGGCTCTCTATTGGGCAACATCAGGCCCAGTGCGGCACATTGCCTGCCGGTCCTTCCAAGCCTTCAGGATCTTGCTGCCACCAGCGACGCCCACGATGCTCGCCGATCTGCTCGGTCGTCTCTCGAACACCATCTCCGATCCCAACATCGATATTCAGTCATTCAGTCTCGAGATTCTCTCTACACTAACGGCGCTCATCAAGTCGACAGACCGTCATCGGCAGGACATCTTCGCCCAGGCATTTTGGGCCGCCGTCGCCTGCCTCAGCACGGCCAATGAGCGCGAGTTTGGCGTTGCTCTTGAGATGCTCGATGGACTCTTGGACAAGGTGGATCTTGGCGACACGGAGACAATCAATCTGCTACGGAGCAAGTGTCCCGAGGGATGGGACGGTGATGTTGGCGGCATCCAGCCACTCGTCCTACGCGGTTTGCGCTCGTCGGCTACATCAGCTGCGTCGTTCAAGGTGCTGATGCGCGTAGCCAAGATCCACAATAGCGACCTCGTTGATGCTTCGCCGGACCGCATTGCCTTCCTACTAGTCAGCGCTCTGCCGTGGTTCCTTCAAGCGTCCGACGCTACGGTCAAGGATCCTGCCGTGTTGGAGCTTGCCGAAGACATTGCCGTGCTGTGCGAAGCCGAGGGGCGCGCCGACATTGCTCGTGTTGCAACCTCGATCGCCAGGTCACGCTTCAGGACGAAAGACGACATGACTCGCCAGGCAGTCAACTCGATTCGTACCCATTATCTCCCGCGTTTAGGTCCGCAGCTAGCTGTCAATCTACTCGGACTCACCCTCAACCAGCACGAGTGGCTGCGCAGCAACACGATGCAAGTGCTCAAAATTTTCTTTCAAGCCATCGATACGCGATCTCCCGCCTTCGCCAGCTTAGGCTCCGAGCTGCTCATGCCCCTCTTGCGGCTTCTCTCCACCCCGCTTGCAGCACAAGCTCTCGAAGTGCTCGACGAGCCCATAACCATCCACGGTGGGCCTACCGCGAATCAGATTCTGCGCATGAGCCTGCAGTGGGGGCGACCCAATAGACGCAGGGAGCAGGGGAGCGATGCCTCCATCTTTGGCACACCGGACGATAGCGGGTGGGCGGTGGCGAACCCGCAAGAGTTGACGTCGAGGACGCGCATCAATATCCAGGCCGTGTTCAAAACGTGCGAGCTGACGCTCGACGTCTCGCCGCTGAGCATCGTAGACTTTGTCAATGAGGACGACTTCTATGCTGCTGGAGGTGATCAGAGCATCGGAGGAGGGAGCGTAGGCGGTGTCACCGTTGGCGGCGTGGACGCAAATGGGGAGCCCTTTGCAGCAGGCGGAGGTGGCGATAACTTGGCAAGCTTGGGAGATATTGTGTCGCAGCTGCATGACCTTTCTGCCTTCTTCACGGATGAAGATGGCGGTGGCGAAACGGGTAGTCCCTCGACACCAGGCGCTAACAACGGAGCCAGACGTCTGGCATCGGGTGCGGGCAGCATGGCCAACGGGTCGCTCTACGCCTTGCAATCCGGTCAGCACCTCGGGCATCATGCTCATGCCGGGGAGGGAAGTAGTAGCAGCATCTCGATACCTGGGGAGGTCTCAGCACATGGCCTTGCCATCAACGGCAACGGCAGCGCACGACCATACGACATCGATGAAGACCCAGACTCGGAGTATGAGGAGGACGAAGAGGATGATGAGGAGCTTGCGGGCACGATGGAGACACTGGCGAGCAGTGGAGGCGCTTGGAGCTCGAACGAGACGCCTCGCGCTGATCCAATGAGCCACCGCAACGGTCATGGCGGCAGTCATGCCCCCAACGGTTCGATGGTAGCAAGCAGTAGGACCAGACAGCGGCCTTTGCTGCCAGGCTCCGTCTCGACCGACGCCTTTCCCATGGATTATTCGACTGACGATACACCCAGTCTTGCTTCATCCTCGACTTGGACGACGGGTGGTGGACTTACAGGAGCGATACGAGGAAGAGGTGTCCCGATGGAAGATGCTGGACAGAGGTCAACTGTGGACGACGAGGCGTCGTACGGAAGCAATGGATCCGGCTACTCTCCTGCAGGGAGAGTGGGAGGGAGCAGTACTCCCGGGGGCAGTAACAAGAGAAGGTCATTCTTCTACAGAAAGGGGTACGCGTGAAGGGTGTACACGAGGGGGGCCAAGAATCATGAAAGGAGAGTGAGCGCTCGCAGTGATGTCTATTTGGGGATGCATGTTGTCATTGTACGTCCGTCATGAAATTGGTGATGCTCGCTCCTTGCATTATGTGCATTATCCTCCCGGACTGCGCTCTCGATGACGAGCGCGTTCTCTGTCCGTGTACCTGTCCCCCTCGCGATACCCATCATCTCGCCGTCTGTCTCGACCATCCTCGTAGCGCGAGGACTCTCCGCCGTGCCTCTCTCTTCCCGCGTCCCGGCCACGCCTCTCGTACGGTCGATGGTCATCGCGCCCTGAAGAGTAGCCACGAGAGTCATCTGTTGCCCGACGGCGGTGATCATAAGGTGGTGGTGATCTTCTCCTTCCTTCGTTGCGTCTACGATCATCATCGTAGCGCCTCCCGGCATCCCCTCGCCTACGGTCGTCATACCGCGATTTCGGATCACGCTCGCGAGAAGGTGGAGGTCGTCGTGTCATCTCGGCGTCATCAAAGACGAGACCTCTGCTGCCATGCATCGACGAGGAAGGCTCATATGAAGTGGGCGGCGGACCTCGCTGACCTCCTCCCCTGCTGCTACTCGGCGGTGACTGTGACCTAGCCTCTGCCCAAGGAGGCAACCTTTTACCAGCGCCTACCCTAGATTGATTCCACCTGCCCGCCAGTTTGCTCACACTCTGACTGAAATCCACCCTGATCCTCGCATTATCGATCAGCACGGCATCCATCTTGAAGTAGGCCTGCTCCGCGCTCTCCTTCTCGTCAAACTCGACGAAAGCGTACTGTAGCGAGTCGCCCGTGCGCTTGTCCTTGACTACTTCGCAAGAGAGGACCTTTCCGAATCGGCTGAAGATGAGCTCGAGGTCTTCGGAGCGAGTGACAGGGTTGAGCTTGCAGACGAAGAGGATGTTCTCTGGCGGGCGTACCTCAGCGAAAGGAAGATCTCCCACCATCTCCAACGTCAAGGCAGCAGCGGATGAGTCGGCTTTTCTGCGGGCTTCTTCCTTTTGCTCGGCCGTTAGTCCACCGTCCTCGCCATCAGCGTCCTCGACATCTTCGCCATCGCCGAGGCGGATGGAGGCAAACTGCTCTGGTGTGGGTGATGGAGTGCGCGAGGGAGGCGAGAGGCCGACTGGGTCATCGAATGGGTCGTCGAGGACGTGGACTCGACGGATCCGGATGTCCTTGAGCGGGCGATGCGAGTCGTCCACGAACGCCGAGTTGATCTTGTCGAGGGCTCCACCTGATTCTTGGCCCTCGACGACGGTGCCAAATGGAGCATGCTTGCCATCGAGGTAGTCGATAGAGTCGGCGAGGGTGATGAAGAATTGGGAGCCGGCTACGAGATCTGAAGACTCGCTATCATCATCATCATCATCATCGTTATCAGCTAAACGCCTGCTACCTGATGGCTGAGAGAGCGCCATGGAGACGGTGCCTTTCTGCCGATGGTTGAGGTGCCGTGATCGCTCTGGCTTGAAGTACGGCGAGGCCAGATAGTCAGGTGATGCTGTTGGCAAGAGGTTCCATATCGAGACTCCGCCTTTGCCCGTAGAGGTCGGGTCCCCAGTCTGTGCGAGGAAGTTCTTTTGGACACTGAAGAAGGCGCAATAGTTGTAGCGATAGAGCTTGCACAGCTTGAGGAAGTTAAGGCACGCCTTGGGCGCCTGATCGACGTCGAGGTCGATGACGATGTCACCTGCGCTCGTCTCGAGGAGCACGCTCATCGCGGCGGCGGCGGATACTCCACTTCTTGGTCTTGATGTCTTTATGGCCTTGCCTGGAGTGGTATTGGTTGGTTGCTTGATTGCCTCCGGAAGAACGAAAAGCGCAGCTCTTGTGCCGCGCCGGGGCCACCGCCAATCAGCCTCCGCCCTGCCGTGGTGTGCTGATCACGCGTGGAGCTCTTGCCTGGACTGGGCTCGCGCTTCTTCCTTCCACACCATATCCATCCACCTTCATCATGGCAAGCTCGCGCGTCTACATTGGCAAGCTGCCCCAGGATGTCCGCAGGAGCGACATCGACGAGCTCTTCAAGGGCTACGGGGTGCGTGACACCACTACTCTGCCGTCTGCATCCCGCGATTGCGTCGCTGACCATTTATCCTCCGCATCCCACTTCCTCTTCCTTGCAACCGCGCAGCGAGTCCTCGATGTCAAGCTCATGGGAGCCTATGGCTTCTGCGAGTTCGAAGACCCGCGTGACGCTGAAGACGTCGTCAAGGTACGTTTGCCTTCATGAGGCTCTACAATTCTCTCTTCCCATCTCTCTGCACTCTTGCCCGCTCTCGTGATCTGGATCGGACCGTCCCCTCCTCAGTCTGCGCTTGTGGATGCTGGTTGCCAATGCAGGGCAAGCCTTAGGCCAGGCTAGGATCTGAGGCCCGGTACCGCTTTCAACGTCGGTCTGCTTGTGGCATCTGCTTCCTCGGCGGTCCTCCGGTGGGCCAGCTCAAGATGGGCATCCATCTGGTTTGTCGAGTCTGGCCCAGCTTCGCTTTTCTCTTCCATTCGTGATGATCCCTGGTGGCAGGAGGATCTCTGGCGCATCTTGGTCTGGCATTCTGTTTATGGTGCAAGACTGGATGCCTTGGACGATTTAGCTATCGATTCCTCTTAAAAGCATATCGGACGGACTCGAAGGATGCGGTTGAAGGTCAGCGGCTCTGCGTGGATCGAAGCTCGTACTTCATCACACGCAGCCGGCTCCACCCCACTGGAGGAAGGCACGAAGGGGATCGCAAGCACTCAATGGTCGCCTTTACTCATCATTCTCATTCGACTGACGCTCACACCATCGGCCGCAACCTCTCTACCTCTTGCCACTGCCCTGTCCTCAGAATTGCGACGGCGCCGACCTCCTCGGCAACAAGTGAGTACGGCACGAATCGGGTCGTCGTACCCACAGCACTCCCTCTGACGAGCCTCTGCCCTCCTTTCCTCGCAGGATTCTCGTTCAGATGGCCAAGGACAACCGCCGCTCTCGCGACCCCTACGGCTACCCTCCCCGTGGAGGCTACCCCGGCTACGGTCCTCCTGGCTACCCTGACCCCTACGGCTATGGCCCTCCTCCTGGCTACGGGCGTCCTGCTCCTCGCATCCGCCGAGGTGAGTGGGCGCGTGCGACGGTCGAAAAGACGCCGAACACTCGAGCTCATCTTCATTCCCTCGCGCGCAACGCAGGCAACCACCGCGTGATTATCTCTAACCTGCCTCCTAACACAAGCTGGCAAGATCTCAAGGACATCGGCCGCGAGTGTGGTCAAATCTCCTTCGCCGACGTCGACCCCACCCGCCCAGACGAAGGTATCCTCGAGTACTCGAACCGCGACGACATGGAGCGCGCTCTTGACAAGATCGAAGGCCTCGAGCTGCGCGGCAGTAAGCTTCGCGCCGACCCCGCCCCCGAAGGCCCCCCTCCCCCGCCCATGTCCGGGCGTGGAGCCATGGGACCTGGAGGACCTCCCCCTCCCCGCGACTACGGCAGCCCCTATGGCGACCCATACGGGCCGCCTCCTCCCCGCGGCGGTCCTGGACCTCGTGGGGGGTACGGAGGTGGGTACGATGACCGCTACGGCCCTCCTCCTCATCACCGAGACGACCGTGACCGCTATGGCCCTCCTCCTCCGCGCGGCGGTGACCCTAGGGACCGAGACTTCTCGCCTCCCCCTCGCCGCAGGAGCGACGATGATGTGCGCAGGCGTGACGACCGTGACCGTAGCCCGCCTCCTCGCCGTGAGCGCGACTAGTGTGGCAGCCAAAAGATCGGTCAGCCAGCCTTGATGAGCATTTATGTATGACTCTGCCCCTCGCGCAGCCTCCCGCGCACTTCTCTGTCCCTATCTATCTGGCCCGGCCCTTGAGCAGAAATCCAACGTCTCACTGCGAGAAGGCTGAATGAGCTGAGAGTGGGCACGTCGTCAAGACAGACGCAGAGAGCTGCGCATCTTGCCCGCGTGCTAGAACCCGTCTGAACAGGTGCAAAGGCAAGGCGACTGCGAGACGATCAACTTTGACTTCCGCAGCTCAAGTCTTGCCATGTTGCGACTGGGACGGGGCGTGCTCACGGCGGCCGGCAAGCCCGCAAGATGATGAAGCAGCAGCGACTGCCAGAGGTGACGAAGAGACAATCTCGACAGCAGACGTCGCGAGGCTCACCCGAAACGAACCTGTACGGCAGCGACGACAAGGATGATCAGATTGAGCACACGTGCACCTGGAAGAGGTCTGTGATGAATGGCGTGACGAGCGCACCGCGGCAAGCATTGCTGAGTTGAGCACCACCTCTTGGCCATTCCAGGCCCCCATTCGGCCAAGCTTCGAGCGTGCGAGAGTCAAGCGGCGGCGTCTCATTGATTCTCCTATCGCCATTCGTGAAGGCAGCAGCAAAATTTGGATCATAGCCAAGAACGACACTAGAGAAAGGCGAAGCACGCGAGGGGAAGATACGACGGGGAGCGCCAAGACGATCGGGTGGAAGCGAGCGTTGTTTACAATGAGGGGTTGCGAGAATAGCAAACTGGATGTTCCAAATAGAGATTCTCGTCGAGATTATGAATGATCGCTTGGAGAACAGCGGGAGGGCACGCGTCCGAGTGATCCTTGCTTGGAGACGTTGGATGCTTGGCATTGGCAGCAGCGGCAGTGTGGTGGGGGCGGGGTATGGAGATGTGGGTGGGACGGGCGAGCGAGCGAGCGATGGCTTCGCATTTCGCCGCACATTCATCGCTACGATGAGCGGACTCGTCGTTCATTCATCCTTGAGCTTGGCGGTCACTCGCGAATGTCTTCCTCACGCCATGAACCGTGACGAGGTCTTTGTGAGGTCAGGTCAAGGCCTGCTACGCCAAGCGCTCACTTGTTTCGGCATTACGAGCTTCACGACTCGCCGCAATGTAATCTCAAACTCGTGGGCAAAGGGCATGGCGACATGTGAGAACTTTGAGTGTCAACGTCGAGTGGTCATCAAAGAAAGGGCCCCGCACACGAAGAGGCGCTTCTCAACGGCAAGCCTTTGGGCTCTGGCTTTGGTGGCTTCGCCCGATAAGAGATGCCGCCGCAGGGCGAAGACGAAGATGCCGCGCTTCGTCGTGCGACCTTTGCTACGTTGTGCGCGTTTGATGTGGGCCCCGGCAGACCGACGTCGACGCTGCGACGCCTCCCATTCATCACTGATCAAAGCTCATGCGGGTCGGAGGGACGGGTTGCATAGGAGGACGTTGCACGAGCACGACGTCAGGCGCGGCACAGGGCTTCTGTCGGCTCGGGAACAGGTACAGGGCGTTGCAGATAGAGAGCGAGCCACAAGCAGCGACGAGCATCAGGGCGAGTACGTCGTGGGATCTGCCGATCTCGCTCATTGCTGCGTGGAATATGCGGCGACGGCGGAGGGATACCATGGTCGAGGCTCGAGGCTCGAGGCGCAGAAGGCGTTTACGCTTGCGGCAGCGCGACGTCAAGTCCGGGACTGCATGCGTGAAGGGCAGGGGGCGAGGCGAGTCGTCGAGTCGAGCTTCTGAGTCCAAGCAGCGCATCCTTGCTGCCGTCGTACCTACGCCCCCGTCTGAAGCAGCTAAAACAAGTTTTGTGTGTGTGTGCGTGTCGGCGAAGACTCGTCGTTGTCGATTTTGTTCGGACATCAGGCAAACAAAAGTCACGACACCCACACGACCAAGCAGTAGTGACAAGCAGATGCCGTAGGTCGGCCCATCGTCTGGGAGTGGCTTTCGTTCCGTGAGGCGCTGCTTCCAGCATGACGACATGAGGATCGTACTTGCCGCTGCCTGCTGCCACCGCTCGCGTCGCCCTGAGATGTCGCGAACCGCGAACGTCTGGACCTGATGACCCTGATCAGCCTCACGACTCGCGAGCTTGAGTGTGGCTGCCTCAAACCTTTAGGCCGGATCCATCTCAGCGCCCCGGTCCTCCGTTCTTCTGCCGAGAAACTTTACCCTCGTCAACGACCGAGGATGAATTAACTGTACCATTTTGCAATGCCGCCGACGATGGTCAGGCCGATGGGCACCGACACGGCGACGTGCGAGAGTCATGGGCGCCGCCATCTGCGAGGCTGCGAGTGACTGCATCGTTCTGATTCAGTGCCTAGAAAGACGCTGGTTTCGTACAGAGGGCAAAGTCGGTCGCGGCATTTTGCTGCCGCGCTGCTTAGTTGCCACGCCGCCGCCGCCACGCCATGGCCCTGGCCCCGTCTCCGCATCCCGTCGTCGCCGTACGCAGCCAGGCAGTCTGAGCCGGGCGAGACGAATGGGCGTCGTCCCCTCGACGAGCATCTACGATGCGGCAGCGCCTCGAGAAGAAGTCTTCTGAGCGCCTCGAGGCAGGCAAGCGACAGTCGGGCGAGCCTGTGGCCTCCAACACAAGGCTAGACTTAGTCGGCACCTTAGCGCAAGAGCTCGAAGCGTCGAGCGTCGAGCGTTGAGCGTTGAGCGTCAAGCGTGGCATTCGTCATCGCAGCAGCAAGCGTATCAATCGAACCCGGGTTGGCTTGCTGGTCTGTTTTGATTGCGAGGTGGGAGATCTGCAGCAGCAGCCAAGCCGCGAAGATCAGCCTCGTTTCGTACACACACTCGTTTCGTTTGGTCGCCTGCCTCGCCGCCTCGGAGCCCTCTGCCCGCCGTTCGTTGCCGTTGTTGCCGCCTGCCGTCGACTGAACACACACCAGCTTTGCGTCCGCGTGTGGGTGTGTAGAGTGTGTGCGTGCGCAAGGTCAATTCCGGCGACTCTTCTTCTACGTTGCCTGCCTGGATGCCTGCCTGCCTGCCTGCCGTCCGCGCCCTGCGCTTTTGGCCCTCGCTACAAAAGGAGACTTAGGGGGCGCCCAGCGAAAAAGCCGAGACAATCCTCGCCTCGACCCGCCCCCCCTCTTCCCCCCGCCGCTCGCCCTCTCAAGGAACCGTCAAGACGACGAAAGCTTCTTGTCTTTCTTTCCCTACCACCCGTCCCCCTACCACCAGCCGACATCACTAACCCCCCTTTTCCTCCTCCCTCCTCTTCATTCCCCCCCACCCCTCTTCCTCTTCTCCATCGCCGTGCGCGCTTCCAAGATAGCGACACCACCAATAACATCGCAGCGCTCCTACAAGTAGAGCAGCTCTGATTGCAAACGCAGCGAGCGTCGTCGACACACACACAATCAACACCTTTGCATCACTTCCCACACGCAGCAAAGATGTCCGACTCATCAGGCACTCAGCCTGAGCTGCAGCACTCCAAGCACGAGGAGGCTGGCGCTGCCAACGACGAGTATGGCACCCTCATCGAGTTCATCCGCGCTCAGAAGCGCAGCACGGGTGACGAGGAGGGCAACGATGGCTCCAAGATTGTCAAGAAGCGCTCCCTCCTCACCCCGTGGAAGACGAGGGAGGTTCGCGTCAACAAGGAAGGCGAGGAGGAGACTGTAGCGGCCAAGGTCCCTGCCAGCTGGTGAGTAGGCATGCTATCAGAGATGTGATTTCCAATCTTTTTGCGGCGGTGGCCGCGGCGTTGGCAGCAGCGACGACGACGACGAGCGTGCGATCAGTTTTCTGTCCATGCTCTTCGTCGTCTCCGTCATCGCCACCGCCACCACGACGCTCTTTGTATCTCGTATCTCGCTGTCCCGTCCCTGGTCATCTTTCGTCGCTCGTCGCTGTCCTGGCCGGCTCGTTGGCTCGATGCTGCAATCTGGCTTGGCTCGCCGGCAGCTGCTGGCTGGGGCGGCGGCGGCGGCGGGGCCGCGGGCTCTGATGCTTGTTTTGGCGGCGACACAGGCCTAGTGCCTCTGCGCCCCTGTGCACCTTCCGCGCGCGACAGAAAAGTGACACAGGGGCGGGGGCAGCGAGCGAGGCAGCAATGCCTGTGCTTGGCAACGTCTACTGTGCAGCACGCTAGCTCGCAGCACGCAGCGTGCGCCAACGCTACCAACCCCTCGTCGTCGATACCACGACTTGCCACGACTCGCTCGCCCACCTTCTCGCTACCACTATGTCGAAGAGCGAGCGAGCGATTCCCCTGCTCCTCTGTGCTCCTCCATCTGCTCTCCTACCACTCTGCACAGCATGCTCACCATGACGTCGCTCCTCTCACGCTCTTCCGCAGGCTCGAGACCGACATGACCCACGGTATCTCGGAGAGCGACGTCGCCAAGCGTCGCCAGCAATTTGGTTACAACGAGCTTGAGTCTCCTCACGAGAACCTCATCATCAAGTTCTTTGGTTTCTTCAAGGGTCCCATTCTCTACACCATGGAGCTCGCCGTCGCCCTCGCTGGTGGTCTTCGTGACTGGATCGACTTCGGTGTCATTATCGCTATTCTGTTGCTCAACGCCTTCGTCGGATGGTACCAGGAGAAGCAAGCCGGAGACATCGTCGCCCAGCTCAAGGCTGGTATCGCCCTTCGTTCCACCATTGTTCGTGACGGCCAAGAGCACGAGGTCGAGGCCCGCGAGCTCGTTCCCGGAGACATCGTCATCGTCGAGGACGGCAAGACGATCCCCTGTGACGGTCGCCTCCTCGCTGACTACGACGACAAGGACATGAGCCAGGCCAACGCTATCCGTGAGAAGATGGAGGCCTCCAAGCACAAGGGTGCTGGCGAGGACGAGGACGATGACGCCGGTGTCGACAAGGGACCTGCCATCATTGCTTGCGACCAGTCTGCCATCACTGGAGAGTCTCTCGCCGTCGACAAGCACATTGGTGACACCGTCTTCTACACCACCGGCTGCAAGCGCGGAAAGGCCTACATCCTCTGCACGGACATTGCCAAGCAGACATTCGTCGGTCGCACCGCTGCTCTCGTCCTCGGCGGCAACGAGAAGGGCCACTTCCAAAAGGTCATGGACTCTATTGGAACTGCGCTCCTCGTTCTCGTCGTCGTCTTCACCCTCATCTTCTGGATCGGCGGCTTCTTCCGCAACACTGGTATCGCCACGCCCAAGGACAACAACTTGCTCGTCTACACCCTGATCTTCCTTATCATTGGTGTCCCCGTCGGTCTCCCCTGTGTCACCACGACGACCATGGCCGTCGGTGCCGCCTACCTCGCCAAGCGTCAGGCCATTGTCCAGAAGCTCACCGCCATTGAGTCCCTCGCCGGTGTCGACATCCTCTGCTCCGACAAGACTGGTACTCTCACCGCCAACAAGCTCTCGATCCACGAGCCCTTTGTCTCCGAGGGCGTTGACGTCAACTTCATGATGGCCGTCGCTGCTCTTGCCTCGTCGCACAACGTCAAGTCGCTCGACCCCATTGACAAGGTCACCATCTCGACGCTCAAGGACTACCCCGGCGCCATCGAGGAGCTCGGTGCTGGCTGGAAGACGCACAAGTTCACCCCCTTCGACCCCGTCTCGAAGCGTATCACTGCCGAGGTCGAGAAGGACGGCAAGCAGTACGTCGCCGCCAAGGGTGCCCCCAATGCCATTCTCAAGCTCTGCAACCCCGACCAGGAGACTGCCGCCACCTACCGCAAGGTCGCTGGTGACTTCGCCTCGCGTGGTTTCCGTTCGCTCGGTGTCGCCATCAACGAGAACGGCCAGTGGAAGCTCCTCGGTCTCCTGCCCATGTTCGACCCTCCTCGCTCTGACACGGCCGCTACCATCGCTGAGGCTCAGACTCTCGGTGTCGGCGTCAAGATGCTTACCGGTGACGCCGTCGCCATCGCCAAGGAGACGTGCAAGATGCTTGCTCTCGGCACCAAGGTCTACGACTCTCAGCGCCTCATTGGCTCCGGCGGCATGGCTGGCTCTGCTATCCACGACTTTGTCGAGGCTGCCGACGGTTTCGCCGAGGTCTTCCCCGAGCACAAGTACCAGGTCGTCGAGATGCTCCAGAACCGTGGCCACTTGACTGCTATGACCGGTGACGGTGTCAACGACGCTCCCTCTCTCAAGAAGGCCGACTGTGGTATCGCCGTCGAGGGTGCCTCGGACGCTGCTCGCTCTGCTGCCGATGTCGTCTTCCTCGACGAGGGTCTCTCTACCATCATCACCTCGATCAAGGTCGCTCGTCAGATCTTCCACCGCATGAAGGCCTACATCCAGTACCGTATCTCGCTCTGTCTCCATCTCGAAGTCTACCTCGTCCTCACGATCCTCATCCTCGACGAGGTCATTCGTGTCGACCTGATCGTCTTCCTCGCCCTCTTTGCCGACGTCGCCACCATTGCCATTGCCTACGACAACGCGCCGCACGCTCGTCAGCCCGTCGAGTGGCAACTGCCCAAGATCTGGATCATCTCGACGATCCTCGGTCTTCTTCTTGCTGCCGGCACCTGGATCATCCGCGGTACCCTCTTCCTCAACAACGGCGGTATCATCCAGAACTTCGGTAACACTCAGGAGATTCTCTACCTTGAGGTCGCCCTCACCGAGAACTGGCTCATCTTTGTCACCCGTCTCGGCGGTGGCGAGTCGGACATCACTCTCCCCTCGTGGCAGCTCGTTGGCGCCGTCCTTGCCGTCGACGCCCTCGCGACTATCTTCTGTCTCTTCGGCTGGCTCTCTGGTGCGCCCAACCGCAACCCCATCACCGCCCCCCACGGCGGCTGGACCGACATCGTCACCGTCGTCCGTGTTTGGGCTTACTCGATCGGTGTCACGGTTGTCATTGCTTTGGTCTACTTCATCTTGAACCGCATCCCTGCCCTCGACAGGCTGGGCCGCCGTCAGAGGTCTGTCAAGAACGAGATGCTCGAGGACTTCATGCAGAGCATCCAACGCCTCACTATCATCCACGAGAAGGCGGAAGAGGGCAAGCCCGACGTCTACTCGATCCAGCAAAGGCTGGAGGTCGAGGACGAGTAAATCAGCGTCTGATCTTACCCATCGCAGCTCTAGCTGGCGAATACCTTCGCCGCCGCTCGATGTGTGGTCGAAGTTGCTTTTCTCGACCCCCCTTCGCCTCACCTTCTTCCCCCCCTACTCTCAATCGCCGTCATTGCCTCATCTTTTCCCGTGTATCTCACTCCGCATTATCGATCCTTTCGAGGACCCCACATTCTTTTACATCTCTTCGTCTTCACTCTGCTCTCCAATACCTCTTCTTTTCTCCACATCACAGGCGCGACGGCGATTCTCCCGAGAGTGCGGCGATGCTCCTTCCTCCCTTTCGCCTCTTCTCTCTATCCTCTCAACTCCTTCTCAGTTAAGATCATCTCGTGCACTCGTAGCTCTCGATCTTTCTCAAGATGAAATAGAAAAAGCTAGTACAAAGTTCCATCGCATTCCCCTCCGAGAGCTGTGATGTGGGTGGGCGCGAGATTGAAGGCGGGCACTTTGGCTCTCCGTGCTAGCGCTGTGTGGCCCGTGCCACGCGCTCCCCCCTCCAAACCGAGCTGCCTCTCGATCTCGACTCGACGGGCGCTCAGCATCGCGCTCTCTCTCTTTGCTCCCACACAGGGCAATTACACCCCACCTCGCCACCGCCGCACCTCGCGATCATCCAAACGCATCTGCCTGTCTCACCCAACACTCCATTCCAACCACGTTCCCTCTTGCTCGCTCCTCCGCACGTCCGTCTGTGCCAGAGCGATGGCTAAGGTCGGTGCGCAGAGTGCACGCACGCCTGGCGATGCTGAGCAGCCCGAGTTGGCCAGTAAGCTTGGGTTTCAGCGCTCTGGAGTTGCTGTGGTCAAACAAAGCAAGGACCCTCCACCCCGATCCACCACTTTCCCCTCTTCTCACCAATTCAAGCTCGTCTGCCTCTGCTAGCAAGCAAGCAACCCACGAGGTACAGCACCACTCTCGAAGCGAAAGTCTCAAGGGGGCATGACAACAATCAGATCGCCCTGTCCCGGACGGCAAGGCGTCTCCTTCCCCTTCAAACCATCCGCCGTCAACCGTACCCTATCCCACGATTGGAGTGCAGGCGGCAAATTATGGTCAAGGTCACGGTCAAGGTCAAGGTCAAGGTCACGCGATGGATGGAGGTCACTCGATCCATCCATCGCAGTTAGCATCGCCGATTTGAGTCCTGTTCTTATCCCATGGAACGGCTTCGGTACAACTATCCAGTAGCGAAGCTCTTCTTATTATCGCTCTTCTGATTGATGCCCTCGCTGCCGCAGCGAAGCCATCATCGGCCATCATACTGAAAGTGCAACAATCCTACCCTTGGACGTGGCAATGCGCCTGCCCACGGTGCCAAGCCTGAAGGCAGGGCTGGTATCGACATTACCTCGCTCAGCCCAAGATGGAGCGTGCCAGTTTCGAGCGATCGCGCTGATCGGAGGCTGGCCAAGATGCTCGCCACGCAGGCTTTCGGCTGGGTCAAGGGAGACGTCGACCCGCGCGACGTGGCCCAAGCGTTTCTTGATGCATGCAGCAGCATCAGCATTCCCGCCATGACGTCTGAGCTCCTCAGCCGGCCGCCACCACCAAAGATCGTCAAACTAGTCCTCCACCTAGCCAACTCATCCACCTCGGATGAGGACCTCCTCTACGCCACGGGGCGAGCCGCTTGGTACCAGCCAGAGTACCCTGCTATCCCCGCCGAGGCAGCTGGTCGTCAATTTCACGGTCTCAGATACGACCTCCGCCGCTACACGCTCTCGGTGACACCGCGTAGCCAGAGAGGCGTAGGACTGGCCCCATGGTCCATGGGCCTGGCAGCAGTACCGGTGAACGCCACGTACGATCCTCCCGCAGTCAACACGCACCCAGGCTACGTGGTCACGATCGTAGACGAGTACGCCAGTCCGCACGACCGCGAAGGAGTCGGACGGGATCCTTGCCACGTCAAGACCCGGGAGCTTGAACAGCAGCTCCTGGATTCATATGCGGCAAGGGCCCTCATCCACAGTCTGCTCACTCACGTCAACGACGGTGGCGCCGCAAGGTCTATGATGAGGAGCAATTCGTTCGACTGCGCGATTCCGACGATCCAGCCATGGCGTACGACAGACAGGACATACGGCTGCTACCGACTGGGGGTCAACGATGCCGGCAGCATCTACAATTCAATCTCATCGTACGATATCACCGAGGCTCGCGATTGGGCGCGACAACTGGAGGAGGTTATCGAGGAGGTGCAAGAGACGAGAGGCAGGAACCATCTGCGCGCCTCGCCCGGTAGGCGAGAGGTTGCAGACAAGTGGATCAGCAGGATCCTGCACCTCGACAGTGATGATGTGGCCCAAGCGCTGCATAAGAGGCGCCAGGAGCTTCAATCGATTCGTGAGGACTCCTCAGGTAAGCGCCGAAGAGTTGGCGTCTCCCATTGAGCACCGTGAGTGAGTGCGCTGTTAGTCTCGTCGTCGAAGGAGACCGACACCCTTACCTCATCACCAGATCGCGATCGCAGAGGGAGAGTGGAAGCACGCCGATTCAAAGATATAGATTTCCGAAGAGAGAAAGCTGAGGGAGACATCGTCAACATTTCCGTCAAGAGTGTGACGGCCAGGTCCCCGAGCACAAAGAAGGGACAAAGAAAGCTTCTTCGAAAGCCCTGTGCCTACCTTCTAAAAGATAAGAAGGATAGCCAAGACTCGATTCAAGCCCTCCTTACATAGACGCAGCCAGCTCAGGGTCACGAACCATCGTGATCAGATGACAGCTAGGGCTGCGAAGAGACCGGGAAACAAAGAGACGCGCTATCACAAGGATAGCTCGATGAAATGATATAGTGGTCGCCTGCCTTCAATTGAGCCGCTAGGGCATCTCGTGTGGCCCTCGTCTGAGCCGCAAAGACGTGTCCGCGAGAGGTGATGGTAGAGTAGTGGTCTGATAATTTTTCTGCCCCTCGATCGACTTCGAGCTTAGACTAAACTCATGAACCTCCTCGCCTGCCTCACGCGTATCGCGAGACGGAGGAGGCGTAGGACGGGAAGCGGTGTCAGTGTTCGACTTCCGTTCCGTTTTTGGTCGGACGGAGAGGCAGCGATGGTGGAAGTGACTTCTGCTCGCGCTGCTGAGATCGGCTCCTCACACCTGGACCTCTACCCCACATCTTCTCGCCATCATGATTGCTTCACCTGCTGGCATGGTCAGGCCTGCGATGCATCTGGCTGCCACTTGCGCTTCTTCGAGGCAGCTCTTGCGAGCATCATGCGTGGCTCGCAGTGTGGCCGCGCCCGCAGCTTCATCTTCCTCCTCTTCGGTCCGCGCTTTGAGGTGAGTCGATGCATCTCTCATGCCATCAATGCCAATATTTCAAGATGACGGACATCGCATGATTCATTGCCTTCGCAGAACCTCGGCGTCTCGATACCAAGAAACATCGAGCGAGGCCTCCCCGTCATCCTCGTCATCCCCCATCGCAGGCCCCTCTCGCGAGCCCGCCCATCAATCCCAAGGGGAACCGTCGCTCCCTCTCCCTCCCACTGAATATCTCCCTCCAACGCACGGTCACCACGTAGCGACCCTGACCTTCACAGCATACACCTCCGACCTAGTCTGCAAACAGAACCTCTCCTTCTTCGTAGACTTTGCCGCCCGCGCCGCCCACGCACTAGGCATCCCCGCCTCTCGCCCCTCTGCAGCGCCCACTCGCACGTCGCTGTGGACGGTCATCAAGGGACCCTTTGCGCACAAGAAGAGCCAGGAGAACTTTATCAGAAAGACGGGGAAGATGTCACTGAAGCTCTACGACGCGAATCGAGATGTGGTGGAGCGATTGTGCTACTTTTTGAGGGTGCATGAGATGGGTGGCGTTGGGATGAGGGTGGATCAGTGGGAAATGAAGGAGTTGGGCGTGGGTAGGAGGGTGTACGAAGAGGCCAAGAGGGCGTATGAGGAGGCGGAGACGGCGAGGCCGAAGAGGGTCGAGGGTGCGGCCAAGGAGGGTAGTGAAGCACAGTCACCAGCAGAGCAGGTGGACGCACCGCCCAAGTCGTCTTGATTTGGTGGGCTCAATCGGATGCGATTCTATCAGAAGAGGAGGACGACTGAGGAGATGGACCCTGGTAGAGGCGTCACGCCGCTAGCTTGCGTCCTGCTGCGAGTCTGTTGCCTGCTGCTGGAAGACCTCGAGAACTCGTTCAAAGAACTGCGCGATGGGAGGGAGAGAGGCTGAACGTCAGCATCTGAGCTAGTACGTTCCCTATCTCCCCGCACTCACGTCATCCTTGACAAAGTGCTCGTACGGGTCTTCGCGCTTCTGCTCCTTGCCCTTGTGGCAATGAACAGCGTGCTTGCGAAAGTAGATCTCGGGGATCTGCGTGTGCGCGACCGAAAGATGTCAGCCGTGTCCTCTCACTCACTCCTCCCAGGCACCCACCTTGACCGTGACCGGCTTGCTACTGTCCAGATCGATCCACTTCTTGCACGAGTGGCAAAGCCCCTGCGGCATCGTCTTCTGTGTCCCACCCACGTCAACTTGCACATCTCTAAATTGCACGGGAGGGTCAAAGGGTCGTCCCGTAGCGAAGGAGACACCGTGGTGCATCTGAACGTGGTAATTGTATGCCGAAACTTTGATGCGATGCCACGTCTGATCATTCTCTTCCTCAAAGCACAAGGGGCAAAGACCGACTTTGTCCTGCCCTCGGCCCCGGGTGAAGCGAGGGGTGTAGAGGTTGAAGGGGTCCAGATTCTCGGGATTCGGGACCATGGGTGCGCTTGCAGTCGTGGTTGTAGTCGAGCCCCGGCGTGGTGTGCGGAGAGTGATTAGGGAGCGAGCGTGTGCAGCAGATGTTGCGCTGCCATTGTGGCTAGAGTAGACTTGCTGTGAGATGTTGGCTGGTAGGTGACAAGGCTGAGAGGTTCCACGTCCAGGGAAGGGCCACGTCCGTCATGCCTGAGCCTCACGTAAGTCCATTCCTCTGCATCCGTACTTACGACTCGGTATTGTTGATAGAAGCCCGGGAACTGAGTCGGGCGGCGCACATCACTGTCTGTGCCGTGATGAGTGGACGTGCTTGCTATGGACGAGCTTGAGCCGATGCTGGCTGCGGCCTGCGTGGGACGCGAGGCTCTGCTCATGCGGTATTGAGCTGTCGACCTCGACGAAGAAGCATTGAGCCGGGACTTCTTGGGAAAAGAAGCAGGCAGACCTTCCTCGCGACGCTTGGCTCGCTCTTGTCGGCTCGACGCAGGCTTGCTGTTGTCGGAGGATGAGACGAGAATATAGTCTGCTTTGACGCTCTGGAAGTTTTGCTTGGCCGCGCCATTCAGTGGGCTCGAAGAAGCTGGGGTATCTTGCTCAGTGCCCGATGTGCCGGCGTGAATCCTCATGCTCCGCCTTGCCGAGGATCTGTCAAACCTAGTGATGCCAGCTCCTTCTCGAGCGGTGCCAGCGATTGCTATCTTCGAGCTCGACGGCTCACACAGAGCCGGGGACGAAGCTCGAGGGCCAGAAATATGCTTTGAGGCGCGATCGTCATGGCTCTGCGCGTCATCGCTGCGACGCGTGTGCCTCGCTACAGAGGCGGCGTCGTAGCCAGTAGGAGGCGGCTGACCATGAGAACGCTTGCGGGCACGATAGCTGGAGGGAGGGCCAGATGGGTGCGACATGTGGCGGGTGGAAGGGCCAGAGGGAAAACCTCGAGGGTTGCCATCGTTGACGCCGGACGAGGAGCGCCCTGCCTCGAGGGTGTACGTAGAGCCAGACGATGCACGATGAGGTGGAGTTCGGAGCTGCAAAGCCTGCCCTTCACCTCGTACGAAGGACGTCGAGCGACTGACAAATCCTCGAGCGTGATCTTCGTGAACGCCGACGCCTGAAGAAGCTTGCGACGAGTTGGACCATGCGTGAGGGAGAAATGAGGGTGTATGCGCCAGCTGATGTAGCGTAAAAGCCGCCGCAGAGGCAGCGCTGTCGCCCGAGGAGACTCGGGCGCGTGGTGCTTCGCGCAGAGTATTTTGAGCTTGCGTTGCTTGAAGGGCTTGAGCAGTGATCACTGAAAGAAGTCCCGAGGATGCTTGGCGTGGGCTCTGCTCACCTTCATCGTCGCCACTGCTGTCTTCAAAGTCAGTCGGCAGCTTGCAATACTGATCGTTGGATGGCGCCCTGGTCGCTGGTGCTGTGAAGCCCGAGTAAGATCCAGTCCTCACGATGCGACGACTGGCCACGCGAGAGTGGGACAACTGAGCATTGCCGTTGGGCAAGGTGAAGCTTATATGCATGCCTGAATGGGCGAGGGAGGCAATACTGCCGCTGCGACTGGCGCAGGGGGAGAGCTGTTGATGAGCAGTAGCAATGCCGCCATCCTTCTGATAGCGAGGAGTGAGTGAGATTGGGGAAGAAGTGGGAGCGAAGCATTTTACTGAGCGCGAGCGCGAGCCTGCCGTTGTGGATGCCTCGAAGTAGCTAGTTGCGGGCGATGAGTTGAGCTGAGGCGACGTCGAGCCCAAGTCGGCGAAGGAAGAGACCCAGGAGTCGGTGTCGACGAGCGAAGAGGAGTGCGACGAGTGAGGCCGCGAGTGGCGAGAGGGAGTCGAGGGCTCCATGGCTACGGCAGGTGGACGGCGATGGCGAGATCAGCGTGCATACATCGTCCCTCGGACTGCTGAATGCGCCTCGCAGACCCCGGTGCGTCAGGTGGCGGTCAGAGTACGAACTTGGAGGAGTGGATAGGTAAGGAAGGAAGGCAAGGAGGGAAGTGAGTGAAGGGGCTCAGCAAAGCGTCATTCAGGCACGCATATAGCCAAGACGGACCGAGCGGACGCGACGCGAGACCGCTCGGTCCGCCGCACACAGTCGTCAGGGCAGAGGCGGTGACCGGACTCGGTGGAAGAAGCGGTGAACATTAGAGGTAGAAGTTTCGTCTTGACACTCCCATCTTTGGCTGCGAGGTAGGAGGTCAAGAGTGTCAGCGTGGCTGGCCGCAGGATCTGTCCTCGCTCACTCGCGCTCACCTTCCATGTGAACTCGCTCGTCGTTTCCTCGACTTGGCCTCGCGCCCGCTTCGACTTCGGCGCCGCTTCGGCGGCCTCAGCTCCAGCCTCCCCGCCGCCACCCATGTCCATGACTGCCCCGCTACCATCTCCATCAAAGTCAACCACGCCATCCCACCCTCCAGCCCCCTTGGGCAAGCTGGGCATCAGCTTGCGAAGTTTTACCGTGAACTGCGGACCAATCTCCTGCAACCTCGCCTTCTCTTCCCCCTTGCGCAGCGCAAACTCGTAGCGATGCCTGCGGAAAAAGATGAAGTCGCGTTGGTTGTGTGCGGTAAGGACTTGGCGACCCTCAAGCTGAGGAATCGAAGGAAAGAGAGACTGAAGCAGAGAGCCGACCGAGTGACCAAGAGCTGTGGTGAAGTTGTTGAGGATGAGCTCCGGGCTATGAGGCGTTGATCGGGCATGACCACCGATCTCCTTGCCCAGTCTAACGCTTGTGAGGCGAAATACGGCCGTAGGTCCCTCCGGCAGTCCGATGAGCGTCCACATTGTCGGCTGCTTATGGTCCTCGCCAATGACGATCATGGCATTGTAGCCCCTCTTTCTTGCCCAACCTGCAATCTTGCCCAGGCTGGCGCCCTTGGCCTTGGCGCGTGGCCTGTACTCCCCGCCGGGAAACATATTGAGCAGCTCCTCGATGAAGTCGCGGGTGCGTTCTGCTGGGTGTGAGCGGGCATTCACTGATGCAAGGTGTGGGGAAGTAGATGAGGAAGGGGCAGAAGTGGTGATGAGGATGGCCGGAGGTGCGGAGGCGTCTTCGAAGGCTCGTTCCTCCTCGGCGGCGAGGGCGGCTTCATCGACCTCTTCTTCGGCATCGTCGCCGTCATCTCCATCTTCATCGTCAGTCTTGTCTTTGGGCTTCGAGCTCCCGGATGCCTGCTGCTGAGCATCGATGACTGCTTGTGAGGGCTTGAGACCAGGATGGGAATTGGGCTCCGAAATGATCGTGGGGTTCTCGAGACGAGTGTTTTCGATGGTACGAGTGCGATTTTCAGCGAGACGAGCCTGCGGATCAAGACTAATCTGTCAGCGCATGCCCACGCAAGCTGACTCTGTCTGCACTCTTGCTTGCTCACCCTCTTCTTCTCCTGACCATCAGCGCCCTTCTCTTCCTTTGCCTGTGCGACTCTCCTCGCGAGCTTATCCTTGCGCTTGCCAGCGCGGTATTTGCGGTACTCTGCCTGTCGCTTGGCCTTGTTGCCGATGTGCTTGAAATTTCCACGTCCCAATGATGACTCTGCTTCGTCCATGGCGGTGCGGTTGCGAAGTAGGCGAATGCTATGGCCGTGAGGATGTCGACAACTTTTGAGACGCGGATGAAATTTGATGTCGCAGCAGCCGGGCGTGGCTGCAGCTCGTCTCGCCGGCGGACTGAGGCTCATGAGGCCGAGGCGGACTGGACCTCGTGGCTCAGATGGCGACGACGCGCGGCTCAGGGCTCCACCCGGGCGACGAGATGAGAGAGAGCATCACTCGTATCGTTCGTTGCTACCACCACTAACAGCTCAGAGACAAAATGGTGAGCGGAAGGGACGGCGACATGCCTCTTGGCAGGGCTATTCAGCTGATCCCTCCTCTATCGCTCGCTCAAATAGGGCCAAGCACCGAGTGGCAACGCTGGCCGCCAACAGGGCGACAAGGACAAGGTGCGCTCATGAATGTGGCTAGCATTCATCATCACTGCGAACGACGACTGACGTCTTCCTCAACCGCCACCCTTCGCAGAAGAAGGACCAGCAGAAGAAGTGGGAGCCTCCTCTCCCCACCCGCGTAGGCAAGAAGAAGTGAGTGAGAGCATCTCAGATCGCACCTTGATCCTAGCTCATCCCTCCTCGCTTCGCTTTGGCCTCGCCGCATTGCAGGAAGAGAGGACCCGCCGCCGCAAGCAAGCTTCCCCCCGTCCATCCCAACTCAAGATGTCGCCTCAAGCTGCTCAAGATGGAGCGCATCAAGGACCACCTGCTTCTCGAGGAGGAGTTTGTGCAGAACCAAGAGAGACTAAAGCCGCAGGAGGACAAGGACGCAGAGGAGAGGACACGAGTCGACGACCTGCGAGGCACGCCCATGACCGTCGGTACCCTGGAAGAGATCATCGATGACGAACACGCCATTGTCAGTAGCTCGACTGGGCCAGAGCATTACGTCCCCATCATGTCCTTCGTGGACAAGGATATGCTCGAGCCGGGATGCCAGGTGCTCCTTCACAACAACTCGAATGCAGTCGTGGGCGTATTGGCGGACGATGCAGACCCGATGGTCAGCGTCATGAAGGTCGACAAGGCGCCAACTGAGTCATACGCAGATGTGGGAGGATTGGACCAGCAGATTCAAGAAATCAAGGTGAGCGCGACCTGCCCCAAGAGAGGCAAGAGAGCGCGCCAGGCTGACCATCGTGTGATCCTCTTCCCCCGCCAGGAATCCGTCGAACTCCCCCTCACTCACCCGGAACTCTACGAGGAAATGGGCATCCGACCTCCCAAGGGCGTCATTCTGTACGGCCCGCCGGGAACAGGCAAGACCCTGCTCGCCAAAGCCGTCGCGAACCAAACGTCGGCCACCTTCCTCCGCATGGTGGGCTCCGAGCTCATCCAAAAGTACCTCGGTGACGGTCCCAAGCTGGTGCGCGAGCTATTCCGCGTTGCCGACGAGAATGCGCCTACAATCATCTTCCTCGACGAGATTGACGCTATTGGATCAAAGCGATACGACAGCTCCTCGTCGGGAGAGAGGGAGATTCAGCGTACGCTCCTCGAGTTGCTCAATCAGATGGACGGCTTCGACACGCGCAACGACGTCAAGGTCATCATGGCGACGAACAAGATTGAGAATCTGGACCCGGCCCTCATTCGACCGGGGCGTATCGACAGGAAGATCGAATTCCCCCTGCCGGATCATAAGATCAAGATGTCCATCTTGCGCATCCATACCTCTCGCATGAATCTGGCGGCCGATGTGGATCTGGAGACGTTGATCTCGGAGAATGATGGGTTGAGCGGAGCAGATATCAAAGCGTTGGCCACTGAGGCAGGGTTGCTCGCACTGAGGGAGAGAAGGATGCAGGTCACCAAGAAGGATCTGGATAGCGCCAAGGAGAGGGTGTTGGCGCGGAACGAGGACCAGGGACCTGCGGGGCTCTACTTGTGAGCGAGAGCAGAGCAGACGAATGCCATTCGATTCGCCCAGCAGGCGATGGTATGATACATAGGCATAGCGTGACGAGCGAGAGCGCCGCGCGCCTCTCAGAACGAGACGACCTTCTTTCGAGGAGCGGCCGCCGCACCCTTGGCAGCGTGCTGGCCCTGTCTAGCAGCACCTCCGGCTTCCTCCCTCTCGACCTCCCACTTCTTTCTCGCAAACGCATGGAAATCATCGTCATCTGCGCCCCCTCCCCTCTGCCCCTCCCACTGTCTCCCCGCGCCCCACATTCCCTGCGTCGCATTACTAGCCTGAGTCGTCTCACTCCTCCTTAGGGGGCAATCCTTTGCCAGATGCTCTACGCTCTGGCACAGCTTACAGCATCCTCCATTCGGGTAGACCCCCTTGCCCGCATTCTGGCTACAGCGAGACGAGAGGTGACCTTTAGAGCCGCAGACGAAGCAGGTGGCGAAGGGGAGGTCGGGTCCTACGGTTGGGGCTGGACGACGACAGCGCGAGAGGATGTGAGAGGTGGAACCACACCGGAAACATAGCCCGACAGTCTCCTTGCCTGTCAAGCCTGCCGTGGACGAGGAGACTTCACCGCCATTTATACCTCCTCCACCGTCCTCCTCCCCCTCCAGAGCAGTCGACGAGCTGTTCAATGCCTGTGGACAATCCTTTGCGGCGTGCCCCATGGCCCTACACGCAAAGCATCGAGTTCCAGCAGCTCTCTCTTGACTTCGTTTCTCTCTCCTCACGTCGGCCTTGGCTGAGCTCTTGAGACGTCGCTCTGCCTCCATCTTCTTCCAGGGATTCGTCTCCTCTGTCACCGAGGGAGGCAGGGGTCGCGAACGCGGTTGCGAACGCGGCGATGAGGATGTGGCATCGCTGCCACCTCGCTTGCCGTTCTCTACCTTGATCTGAGCCTCGACGGTCTTGATCTCGCTGCGCAGCTTGGAACGTTTCTCGTCAGATTTGGCCGTCTTTGCCTTGAGGCGGAGGAGCTTGAGACGCTTTTGCAGGCGGTGAGGGTCTGTTGAGACGCCCTCAGCATCTGTCGCAGTATTATCGTCGCCTGTCGAGGAGGGGGAGACTTTGCGCTTCTTGGCTGCTGAGGATGAGGTCGATGGTTCTTCCTGAGCATCGCTGGTCGTAGCGGCGGATGTGGACGCCTCTGGCGCTGCTGCTCTCTGCGGTTGTACCTCTTCGGCATCGCCCTGGAAGTAATCTGTAGCCTTATGCGGGGCCTTGCGCTTCTCGAGCTTGGTATAGCGTGTCATGATGGCCAATTGCGAGGATAAGAAGAGGATGAAAGGTTGAAGCCGCTCACTCGTGTGCCACTCGACATCGCTCTGTCAGTCCATCGTCGCAGCCACTTTTTCTCTCCGTTTGACGCCCAGTCCGCCCTCGAGTCGAGGCGGAGCGAGCGTCGCCTTCCGCCGCCGCCTCCGCTTCTTCTCAGCCCACCTCACCAACCTCTCGAGCCACGCTCATGGCCTTCTTCGACTTCAATGTCGCATTGGCCTCGCCGCTCTTTGCAAGCGCTTCAGGAGCTGGAGGCGGTGGTGGCGGTGGTGGCGGCGGTGGCGGCGAGCTGAGCAAGAAGCAAAAGAAGAAGGCCAACAAGCAACAGCAACAGCAGCACCAGCAGAATCAGCAGGCGGACAAGGCGACCCAGAGCAGCATTAAGGGCAAGGAAAGGGAAGTCGATCCTCTCGACAGGATACCAGTGACAGAAAAGCAGGAGTTACACAGCCGGATCAAGGATCTGCGTGATCGTGAGTCCCTCTACGCTCCTCCTGTTTGCGCACCTTGGCAGTATAGGCTGACATTCGTGCCTCCCTCGCTGCCAGTCGGCTACACCTGCATCGCCCTCAATCATACCATCCACAACCGAATCGAGCCAAGCCAGCACACTAACCCCTTCTATGACGCCGACTACACTTCCAAACCTCAACCTCCGACCTCTCACATGCCCTCCGTATCCCTCCCAGCATTCCCTCACCTCTCCCCTTCCTCCCCCTCATCCTCACGTCCCTTCACCCAGCTCAATCGACTCACCCTCATAGTCGACGACTCGGGCACCTCATCATCAAAAGGCGGCGCTGGAGGGGGAGGAGCTATCAATCTCCACCAATCAGGCTCCACCCTCGCAAGCTACGACATCCTCTCCATCCGACCCCTCACCTCGAACCAATTCAACCTCGCCTGCCTAAGTCACACGGAACTCAAACCGGGTACATCCTTTGACATCATTTCGCTCGATCTGAGCTCGAGTCCACGCTTGCCCTTCTACCTGAAGCGCAGCACCGTAGGCAAGGCGTTGGACAATGGGGCCGTCTTCGAGGTGTGTTATAGCGACGGGTTGGACCATGGGGAGGAGAGTTCAGGAGGGTTGAGAAGAGAGGATAGATTGCGCAACCTCGTTTCCAATACGCGCGATCTGCTTCGAGTAACACAGGGAGGTAAGGGAGTCATCCTGTCGTCTGGAGCACGATCCGTGTTGGGCATTCGTTCGCCCTCGGATGTAGTCAATTTGGCAGCCGTCTTTGGCTTCCACCCTACGAGGGCGAGGGAGGCACTGAGTGCTACATGCGCAGGATTGCTTGCTAGAGCACAGACCAGGCGTAGCTGGAGAGGAGTAGTCGGGATGCCGAGGATTGTGAGCGCGGAGGGGGACAAGGCAGAGGCGGGAGAGGGCAAGGTGGCTACGGGATCGTCGGCGCCTGATCCGTCGAAAGACATGGGATTTGTGGATCACGCTAAAGGGCAGAAGCGCAAGGAGATGGCGCAACAGGGGGCGCCACTGTCGAAGAAGCAGCGGAGCGAATAAGATGCGAGGGCAGCCGCTCATCATAGCAGATTTCATCGTCATTGCTCCATATCCATTGCAGTCTGTCCTGCCTCCGTCTTTACGCCGCTACTCGTCATCCTCCTCCTCATACTCCCCCTCCGCAACCGCGTTAGCAATCTCCCTCTGTCTCTCCCTTGCCTCCTCTGCTTTCGCAAGCTCGTCCCCCTTGCCCCCATGCATAGGATAGCGCATGGCCTTGACACTCTCGTTCCTCAACCCTAGACACCACTCAATCCTGGCCTCAAACGCCTTGCGCGGCTCCTCGGTCGAGTATACGTCCCTTCGCTCCTCGCTGGTCATCCATCCCTTCTCGTGGTCCACCTTTGCCTCGATCACACCATCGCGGATCGCCTTGGCGACGATGTACTCTGCGTCCTCTTCAGACTCGAGGCCGAGCTTGTGAGTGACGTCGAGGAGGGAGATGCGCGAGTAGCTGAGGGAGATCATGCGAATACCCGTCTTGATGACATTGTGGCGCAGACGGAGGATGAGCGAGTAGGTCGCATCGCGTTGGAAGAGGGACTCATGCTTAGTGAGGCAACGTTGGAAGTGTTGGAGGTCGCCAATGCGGACCGCTGCAGCGAAGGGGTTAGAGGGCAACAAGGGGAGTCAGTATGCGATGAGGTCGATCTTTCAAGCCCGTGTGGCGCGCACTCACCCTGCACGATCTCGAGATAGGGCGCCAATGCCTGCTTGAGGTAGTCGACACGGAAGATGCTACGCTCAGGGATATCGCCCATGAGTAGCTCAACAACAACGAGGAACTTGTGCGCCGTCTGCAAGAAGCCAGATCCGGTCTGTGACTTCTGCGGTTGCGCGACAGCAGCAGTAGCAGGCGCGTTGGCCGAGGCCGTACCGTTCGCCTTGCCTTCGCCCTCAAGCGCTGCGGAAGCGGGCACTGACGTGGGCTCAGGTTTGGCGGGCTGAGGACCACGACGAATAGCCTGCTGGAGGTGCTGGTGCGCCTCGGTGTAGTTGAGCTGTACAGCCCTGATCCTGCCTACCCAATACTCATATCGCGCGATATTCGAGTTGCTCGCCTGAGCGCGCGGGAACGGTGCGCGGGCGACGAGCTTGTCCGCCTGGTCGTAGAGGTTGCCTACGCTGATGTAGGAGCGCAACAGCAGATTGATGACCGTCGCCGTAGTCTCCGAGTCGTGGCGTAGTGACGAGGTGAGATGGAGCGCAAGCAAGGCAGGACGCTCTGATGCTAGCCCTTGGGCGCCAGAGTGGAGCTCGACGCAGCGGGCGAGGAAGAAGGCCGTCTTTGCAAGGACTTGGTCAAGGGAACGGCGATTGGCGGTTGTGATCGTCTGAACAGAGAGGCGTGCAATTTCAAGCGCTTGCGGAACCTTCTTTGAGTCGATGAGATAGGTGATGGCCAGAAGGCGAAGGTAGGCGTCGAGCTCTGGTTGGGCCTCGGGCGAGGGCTTTGCGCTGAGATCGCGAGGAGCAGGCGCAGGCGCGGTTGCTTCTCCTGACTTGCCATCTTTTTCGCCTTCTTTGCTCGCATCCGTCTTCTTTTCATCGACGTCCATATCCGTTGATGAGGCTGCTTGCTGTTGAGGCTGAGCTGCCTGGGGCTTCTGCGGGACATAGGCTTGAGGCAGGAAGGCGAGGAGCTCCTTCCTCACATGGCTCTCTGCAGGCGTAGCCTCCTCTACGATCCTTGCAAGAACATCCGGGTGCTCTGAAATCCTCCTTCGAGCCGTAGGCAGCGATCGCAATGCCCTCGCAGCAAAGCGTGCCTCGAGATGAAGGACGGAGCGGTGGAGGAGTGCGAGGTTGTGACGCAGCAGTGACAGGAGGAGCTCCGGGACTGGCGGAGGTGTTGGCGTTGTCTGTGATGGCTTTGCATCAGCAGCAGCAGCTGCGCCATCTGCCTTCATTTCAACATCTTCGGCCGCCATGTCGAAGTTGAGAAAGGGGGTGAGGTGTGGGGTGAGTGGAGTTAGGAAGGATGGAAAGGCGCTCGGAGCGGCCCAGATGGAGGCGTCGTCACCTTGGCCAGGCCGCGCGGCAGCCGACGCGCACGCACGCATGAGCCACCACCAGTCGAGGGCGCCATCGAGCAACTCGAGCGGCGATGCCTCAAGCTCTCTTCTACACAAGTCGCCCAAGACTTCATTTCAGTCAAGTGCTATACACAAGTGGCAGCCTCTCCCCTCTTGCTGTGAACATGCTGGGCAAATGAACTTTCTATGAGCCTTGCGGGCGAGTGATGGTCCCGTGAGGCTATGCCTAGGCAAACTGATACACAAAGATGTCGAGCAAGACCACTCGTGGACTTGGTGCCTTGCTCACCTTGTGTGCCCCCTGCTTCGTCGCTGCAAGGTGCTCGGCGACCTTGTACCAGCCACCACTCATCGGTGGCCACCACCCACCCTGATAGTCGCGGATAAGCCGTCGCTCCTGGCTCGGCTCGCGCGATTGTGGCCTGCACCCGACTCAAATTTCAACGAACGGACGGCAATTGAGATGGCGCTTCATCGCCGCCCTCTCTCCGCTCTTGCACTTCTTCTTGTCCATCCATCGCTGCTCACCCTCCTATTCACCAACATGACCGTCGATACCGCACAGATGGATAATACGACAGCCTCGTCGAGCAAGGGCTCAGCTCCTACCCTCACCACGCTGGAGGCAACCCTCTGCTCCCCATCACCCCCCACACCTCTTGACGCTCAATTTCGAGCCCTCTTTAGCATCAAGTCGCTCTGCACCGCCGACAACGCCCCTTCAGGATTCATGCCCGAAGGAATTCGCATCATCGGCTCTGCCCTCTCCTCGAGTGACTCTGCCCTGTTGAAGCACGAGCTGGCCTACGTCCTCGGCCAGATGCAGGACACGCGCGCCATTCCCACCTTGACCAAAGTGCTCGAGGATGAGGCCGAGCATGCCATGGTCAGGCATGAGGCTGCCGAGGCTATGGGAGCTATCGGAGATCAAGGCGCGCTGCCTATCCTGGAGAAGTATCGAGAGGACAAGGATGTGAGCGTGAGGGAGACTTGCGAGCTGGCAATTAGGAAGATTCAATACGAGAGTGGGGTGAAGGCACCGAAGAGCAAGGACGAGGAGAAGTGAGTCGCACCCCCACTCGCTATAGTGGACAAGACTTACTTGATTGATTGCTCACGCTTTCACCTCCGCCCTCTCGCAGCCCCTTCGCACCGATCGACCCCGCCCCCGCCTTCCCTGTCACCACCTCAAAGCAGCCCGGCGCATCAGCAGCCTCAACTTCCTCTACCGAGCTCCTCTCCTCCATCCCCTCATACCGCACTACCCTCCTCGACCCCAGCCAATCACTGTTCGACAGGTATCGCGCCATGTTCTCTCTGCGTAACGTGGTCCACGCCGCTCGAAGAGCGAGCGAGTCGCCCTCCCTCTCTGCCGTCGAGCGTCAAGAGACCCTCGCAAAGGGTGGTGAGGCCGTACTGGCCCTCTGTGACTCCCTATCCGACAAGTCGGCTCTGTTCAGGCACGAGATCTGCTTCGTCTTTGGCGAGCTGGCGCACCCTGCCTGCGTACCGGCCATGCTGCGCGTACTGAGCGATGACAAGGAGCACGAGATGGTGCGCCACGAGGCTGCTGAGGCTTTGGGAGCTGTGGTGGAAGACGGGGAAGAAGGGGAAGGCAAAGGGGAGAGTTTGACGGAGCAGGTCATGAAGGAGCTCAAGCGCTGGGCTGAGGATATGCAGGCGCCTCGGGTAGTCAGGGAGAGTTGTGTGGTTGCGCTGGATGAGATGGCGTACAACAATGATCCGAGCCAATTTCAACCGGTGGAGTAGGGGAGTCGCTTTATTGCGATGTATGCCTTGCAATATCATCAGTCTATATCTCATTGCTGCGCTCCTCTAGCCTTCTGCATCGCCGACTCAACGTCCGCCTCTTTCGCTCGGAGCGTAGCTGCAATCTGCCCTGCCCTCGCAGATGCTAATGCCAGACATCTCGCAATGAGCTCCTCGTCGCCCAGTGGCTTGCCCTTGCCCGGTGACAAGGCGACATTCGTAGCTCGTAGTGGACCCGTCGAGTGCATGGCGCAGAGTGACCACTCGTCGCCTGTATCTTCCCTCTTGCCACTTCTTGACGCTTTCCTCTCCTTTGCCTTCTCAGCGCTCAAACACATCGCCATACTGCTCTGGGCTAGATCCGCCTCGAAGGATGAGGGACAAGCCAGGAGCTGTTCGTCGTAGATGGCGAAGGAGAAGGCGAGAGGCAGCGAGTCCATGTGTGCCGAGAGAGACCAGTAGTCCGCGGGTGAAGCGATGACGACGTTCTCGTCGAGTGAAAAGACGGACTTGGGGAGCCAAACTGGGAGGGAGTGAGAGGGGTGGGGGCGGGGGAGAAAAGGTTAGTACGATGAACAGGAGGTGCCTCGATGCAAACGTGTACTCACGTTGCCTCAAAGCCGCCGTAATAGCAAGCATTGCCGTCTCCAGCAACGCACCATCATACCCCACGACCGTACAATCAGCGAACAAGCACCACTTCGCTCTCGGCGGTCCCCTCTTGGCCTCCTCTACACCTGCCCCTGCTGCCTCTCCTCCCTCCGTCGGTATATGCAGCAGTTCGGGCTCAAAGGGCAGGCTCGAGTCCAAGAACTCGTACAGTCGCTCAGTAGTGCATTGCGCAAAATTGGAAGGCGCTCCGCTCTGAAAGTCCGCCGAAGGCGAGGAGAGGGGGGTAAGGTTGATGGAAGGCACCACTGTGGAACTCGCCTGGCTTGAGGAAGGAGTAGACATCTGCGGCGGGTAGACAATGCTAGGCGTGATGCTGCAGATGACCGTCGTCGACCCTACACGAGCAAGAGCCGAAGGAGAGGGGATCCATTCTGGTCTGTTGGAGGATGAGGACGAGGCAATGGGTCCGAGGTTGAGGTCTACATCCGGGAAGTCAAGCGGGGAGCGGGAGGAAGAGGGGCGGGAAGAGTGGGACAAGTGGGTAGATAGGTAGTGTGAGGGATGCAGACGAGCTAGAAGGGAGGACGAGTCTGTTGAAGCTGGTGTGGTGGAGGACATGGTGACGCCAGTGTTGGTGGAGAAGATGACGGAGAGGGAGGGACGACATTCTCGACTCGCTCAACTTCCTTCCCGTCGCATCAGTGAGTGGCGCCGCGGCGGAGGGCGACACGGAAACGCGACTCGACTCGCCTTTGGAGATTGGACTGAACGCAGCGCACCGGCCAAGGCATTTGATGCTCCTTATCTGGCACACCATCACTCGACAAGCTATCCTCAATGCAACAATGATCACCACACCGTGGGGATCCGCACCCTCCCGCAGTCCCGACCCACCATGGCAGCGCCTTCTGGATCGCATCAATTGCCTTCGCAACGGTGGGGAGGACTGTCGTCAATCCTTCCACATCCACCTCGCCATCCTCAGTCTCGTCTTGACCCTCGCCCTTTTCCGGAAAGCCCTCGTCGCAGGCCCGCTCAAAGCCAAATCTCTTCCGCCTCGATTGAAAAGTCGAGCTGTGGTAGATGATATCTTGGTACATCCGGTGAAAAGCTGTGCGGCCATCTCGTTGGAAAAGGCGAGGATTGGGAGGAAAGGGTTGGAGTTGGATAGGAGGTGGATGGTGGTGAGGCGGGGCAAGGAGGAGGGTAAGTGGGACAAGATAAGTCTGAGGGAGGAGCCTCGCGTGAGTATGCAGCGGACCATGTTACGACGAAAGGGCAATGCTGATGCGCCACGCCCAAACGGCCTGTCCCGCAGCTCACCCTAATACAGCCCAGCATAGAGGCAGATGGGCTCCACCTCTCCCTCTCCGCTCAAGCGCGCCTGCCAGATGGCGCTCAGCCCTCCCTCCCACCGATTGCGATACCGTATCGTACCACAAGAGACAACTGCGTCGAAGTCCTCCCTTCAGTAGCCATGTGGGGTGACTCTGCTGATGGACTAGTCGTCCCTCTGCTCCCCTCCTCCTCCTCTCCGCAATGGTCGAAAAGTCCATCCTCGTGGCTCTCCCACTTCCTAGGCTACGAAGTTCGCCTCATCCAGTTCGCCCCCCTCGATCCATCAACCGAGGGGGAACGTCGCGCTTTCCCCATATACAAGGACGCGCACCTGGCTGGAAAGGCAGAGCAGGCTCGCATGCGCTCTGACCCGCAACCTTTGGAATGGCAGGACGAATATCCACTACTTGTTGCGAGTAAGGAGAGCTTGGGAGACCTACAGGAGAGGATTGCGGATGCAGGAAAGGCTGAGGACGGCAGCGATGGGAGGGGTGGAAGAGGAGTGAGCGAGAAGATGTTCAGTAGAGAGAAGTGGAAGGAGCGAGCCGGTAAAGGTGAAGCGGATTGGTTGAATATCAGGAGGTTCAGGGCCAACATCGTCTTGAGAGGTGTCGATGACAATGCCGAGAGTCAGGAGGGAGCAGCAGCTGCGAAGGCAAATCGTTCCATTCGCCCTTGGGAAGAGGACCAGTGGACACGAATCGACTTCCCTCTCCCATCCTCCTCATCTTCCCCACCAGAGACCACCACACCCTGCCTCCATCTAGTAGCCAGGTGCGAGCGCTGCCTCCTCACAACGGTCGACCCCATCACCGGCGAGAAGCAGGACGCAGGCGTCCCATTAGCCTTTCTCCGTAAAGACGAGCGAAGCCATCTAGTCAAGCACATGAAGGAGAAGGGAGGGCATGGCAGGAAGGGACCCATCTTTGGGATGTATGCTATTCCTGGTATGGGAGAAGAGGAAGGGGAGGAGGGGTTTGAGGTGCAGAAAGGGATGGAGGTCATTTGTTGGTGGCGGAGAGAAGTGGAAGAATGAGGAGCCATCGATACCAATTGAGACGATCTGACTCGACGCGTCAAGGCTGGCACTCGGGATGAAATGATTGATTGGCTATGACTGGAGGTGAGAAGTACATGACGACGACAAAGCTCCGCTTTGCCTCTCATCGGTGGCGTTGAGCAGGCGCGAGCTGATACTGACGACGACGAGGCGGACGGATGGCGGTGACGCGGAGATCGAGGTTGGATACGATGTTTGCGCCTCGGCAAATCTGACTACTTCTTCTCGATGGCCTTCTCAATCTTACCGAGCACGGCCGTCGTTGCCTGCCTCAGCTGTTCGTTTCCCTTAGAACCCAGCTGACGCTCAGCCCTCAGCTCATTCCATGCCGGCTTGTGGTTCTCAAAGACCAGTCGCACGACCCTGTCCCACTTGATCTTCTTCTTGTCCTCAGTCGGAGCCGATGGTACCTTGATCTTATCTTTGCATCCTCCTTGGACGAAGAGCAACACGTTCTTGACGAAGCTGGTGTAGGATGCGCGGATGTGCTCGCCATGGCCGTACTGGTGTTTGGTCGTTATGCCCATCTCTTTCTCCAGCCACTGATACTTGTTGGCTGCCACGGCTTGTCCGGGTACCCACTCATCGAAGCTGCTGAAGATCCTGAGCCACACTGCAAGATAGTCGTCGTTGTCGGGCTGTTTGCGGTCCTTACCCTTGGGAGGGGACGGCTGAGGCAGCTTGTCCATCCAGGAAACCTTGCCCGACTTGAAGGAGCTTGAGGCAGATGCGCGAGGTCTGACGTTCTTCTTCCCCTCTTCCTCGATCTGTTTGTCGTCTTCCTCCATGTCGCTCTCCTCCTTCTTCGGAGCCTTCGGCTTTGCTCCCTTCTTGGTCGCCTTGGGCTTCGTCTCAGGCTCAACCTCAGGCTCAGATTCCTCCTTGTCGGTCTCGCTCGTCTTCATCGTCTTGTGGCTGGCTGTGCCCCGAGTAGGCCTCGCCTTCTTGGTCTGCGGCTTTGTGTCCTCCTCCTTCTCGTTAGGAGCTTCCTGCTTGGCGGCACGCTTGCGGGTGTTCCTCTTGGTGGTGGGCAGCTCAGGTGCCTCGACAGCGCTGTCCGACTCCATCTTGACGGGGCCTCGCCCTTCTGCATGCTGCTCTTCCTTGATAACTTTGTCGCTACTGGTGAATGCCTTCGTCTTAGGTGCACTGGTGAGGCTACTGCCTCCGGCGCTGCTGGTCTCGTAGCTCGACTGTACTGGACGAGAAGCCTTACGTGTAGCGATGCTGGCGCTAGAGCCAGGCTCCTGGACGCTGCTGAGATGGTCGGTCAGGTCAGTCAGGTCGGTGATGTCGGACTCCTCACCCATACCTGCATCCTCATCAAGCTGTTGACGAGAGCTGCTACCAGCCTGAGACCTGGTGGATCGGCTGCTATGACTAGGCTGAGCTGTGCCACGAGCACGGCCACGGCCACGTCCGCCACGCGCCGCACGACCTCCTCGGCCTGCTCTCCTGCCTCGCACACTCTTGGGGCTGCATGATTTCGTCGAGGATTGTCCGCGGTGTTCGTCATCATCCTCACCCTCGCCGCTGGTGCCGGCGACTGCGTCGATCATTTCGACATCTTTGTCCTGCTTATGAATCTGGACGCCGCTATCGTTGTCCATGGCGTCAGCGTCCGTGCCGTTGCCTGCTAGCTCGATCGGGTTGTGGCCACTGTCGAGAGGTGGCTGCTCGACCAGATCCTGTGCCCCTTCGTCATCGCTGTCCTTAGCGCTTCCTTGAATGCCGATCATGGCCTCGATGCTGGCTTTGTCGTGCATAGACTGGTCGGCGACGTTGCTCTGGCTGCCGTGCTGGACGGCTTGGTCGCTAGCGCTGTCATTGGCATTATGGCTGCTCGCAGGATATCTGCCGTGCTCTTTGGCAATGCGTCCATTGCCAGTGCCGGAGTGGCTTGCGCCAGGAGCGTCGTCGATCTTGTCACCTGGCGTGTCGTACATTCTCAGACTGCTCCCCTCAGCAATGGCATTGGTTGTGCGCTCACGCTTTGCTCCGTTCGACTCTTGTTCGAGGTCGACGTACATCACCAGCTCGTCGCTCAGCGCAGCCGGTCCCTCGCGAGTTCGCGCTTCGGTGTCGCCTTGGTTCTGCGACATCGTGATGTTCCCCGTCGATGTGGCTATGTGATGTCGGTGAGGGCTTAAAAGGCGATGGAGCTGGGTTGAGTGGGCTGGCTGGCTGAATGCCAGCGTTTTGTTGTGCCACCAGGCTGAGTGAGTGGGAGATTGGAGGTGGCGGGAGGAGATGAAGAAGCAACAAGCTGCTGAGCCGCTCCTTGGCCGGTCAGTCGCGTGTACCTCTCGTCACGAACCGCATCGTCTCTTGCCGCTCCCTCGCTCAGGGCGAGTAACTCGAGCCAATCAAGCTACTCACGGGTCGACTCGTCGCAATTGTGTCGTCATTACAGAAGGGAGAAGGGGTAAAAGTACAATGCTAGGGTCTTACGCGGCCAGATGGGAATGCTTGAGAGTGAAGGAGATGGAGGACGATGCCAGGATCCAGGTGCAGCTTGGTGGTTGCCTACGACGAGACGAGCAGCACGGCGTTGACGCACCCGTCGTTCTCCGGATTATTGGTGACCTGGGCAAACTTGCCCCACGCAACCTTGCCTCCCGTTGTGACCAGTCCCAGCTCGCTCACATTCACCTCTATGACAGCTCCCTTCGTCAGAACACCAAGCTGGGTCATGAGTGGGCCCTGCGGGTTCTTCTTGACGCCCAAGATAGGCAGCGAGAAAGTCGCCTTCAAGTCTGGGTGGGTGACGTGAGCCTTCTTGTATCGCAACGCCATAGGGCGAACGAAGCGTTCCAGCTTGGGTGGCTTGCGGGTGAAGCTCTCCCCGACAAAGGTGGCCTTTGTGACCATGCGCTTCCAGCCCTTGTCCTTGCGCTTGCCCGTCTTCATGACCTTGAAGGCTTCGTCCTCTGCGATGCCGCGCACCTGGGGCAGCGGCACAGAGTACTTGGCCGCCTTGTCTTTTCTCCTCTCCTTGACGGCGGATGAGAGAGCCTGTACGAGCAGCGAACAGAGTCGTCAGATTAATCAAAGCATCCATGCCCTTGGAATGTCCGCAACTACCCACCTTGGCATCCTTCTGGCCCTCTCTGTCCAGCAGATACGTCGGCAAAGCTTGGTCTGGGTTCGAAGACGTCGACGCCTGCTTGACATCGCGCTCCTCGTGAGCCTTGAGCGTCTTCTTGAGCTGGATCTTCTCTGCACGTCGCTTCTTGTTGAGCATCTTGGCCTTAAGACCCGTCGTCTTTTGGGCAATGGCCGATGCCTTGTGCGATGAACGGGCCTCCCTCTTGCGCCTGAAAGCCAGCGGATGGAGAGAGGCATGGGTCAGAGCTGCTCGAGCGATCGTTCGTGCACTGCGGGTCAACTCACATTCGCTCCTCATGGTCCATTCGGCGACCATGTCGGCGAATGTGCTCCTCGATGTAGTCGTTCTGCGGCATCGTGAGGACGTGTGGGATGGGATGTGGCGATTGGTGGTAATGATAGCCGGCAGCAGCAGCCTGAAATTTTGTGGCTGGGCGTTGCACCAACTCGACTCGCCTCCAACCCGCCCGCCCATCGAGCCGGACTTGGACTTGGACCCGTTCCGATGCCCGGCTGCCCGCTCCCCACCCTCGACGTCGTCCGTCCGCCCGTCGACTCAACACCTCCATTCACCACTTCTTGACAGCCACGAAACCTAGCAATCATCATGGCGGGAGGAGACCACCGTGAGCTTCGCAGGTATAGAAGAGTGCTCAGCGGGGTATTGACAATTCACCTGACCAAACAGATACCTACAAGGCGGACCCGTCCATTGAGCGATGGCAGCAGATGGTGAGTCCGACGAGTGCAGCATGGCACCGTTAGTAATGCAAGCTCACCTGTCGTTCTCCCTTTCGTCACAGCACAACACCATGGTACGCTCAAAGCAGGAGGTACGCCTTCATTGAGGCAGACGCTGACCTTATCGCCGATCCTTATGTCCCTTCCAGTATGAGCGCTTCCGCTTCACCCCGACAAAGGTTCGTGCCATTCTCCTCTGGGGACTCGCCGTACCTTCCCTCGCCTACTACCTGGCAATCAAGACAGATGTAAGTGACAGCAACGCCCGCAACTAACCCAGTCTCGCAAAATCTCATCCGTCTCCTCCCTTGCTGCCTCCTCCGCGTCTCAGAACAAGTGGGAATTCAGAGGACGCCTGAGGGGAGAGTCGATTCTGCGCAAGCCGCCTCAAGATGCGGAGCCCAAGGAGGAGTAAGAGGGTACCCAGCGAGGCTGTTGATGCGATCGAGGCTCTGGGCGCTACGATTTGCAATACTACCATCATCAAGCTAAGTGCGACATGCAGCTTAGGGCGACGGCGACGCGGTCCAGAGGCGTGAAGCGGGCGCTTGAGACCAGGCGCCAAAAGCGCCCGATGGTTCGCGCCAAGTGCCTGGCGACGACCAGCTTGTCTTAGCATTCAAGCTGTTAGGCGGCAGAAGGCTCGACGTCCTCCCTGATCGACGATGCTTCTGCCCGCTTGATGCTACTGGCCATGATGAGCTGCTCATCGCCCCGCGCTCCCACGTGGTTTAAGATCTCGCTCGTCTGGTCTCTCGCAGATTTCTTCCTGTCCGTGTTCCGTCGTGGCTCCTCGCCGTCCGTCGGCGTTGCCCTTGCCTTCACGTTTCCCAACCCTTGGGACATTTCCTTTTCCTTTGCTTCCCTCGTTTCACTACTCTCTCAACATGGCATCGACATCAGCTGCTGCTGCCTCCTCGTCCGCGCCCGTCGCTCACGGCGAGATGACCAGCCGCGACTACTAGTGCGTTCACCCCAGAGAGGCCGCATCGTCGTAGACATTCTCCTGACCTTTGATGAGGTGCTCCTCTTGCCCTTGCCCTGCCCTTCTCCTTTGGCAGTGCCGACTCGTACAGCCACTATGGCATCCGTGAGCTTCCCCAATACCCACGTCGACGCGGCTCAGCTTGCAGAGCTAACTTCACCCGATGCCTGCCCCCTGCGTTACGTAGACGAGGAGATGCTCAAGGACGAGGTACGAACCCTCTCATATCGCAACGCCATCATCAACAACCCGCACCTCTTCAAGGGCAAGACGGTCCTTGACGTTGGGTGCGGCACAGGTATTCTCTGCATGTTCGCGGCCAAGGCCGGCGCGAAGAGGGTCATCGGTGTGGACATGAGCAACATCATCGACCAGGCAAAGGTCATCGTTGAGAAGAACGGCTTTGGAGATGGTGAGGAAGAGGTGTCGAATGCCATCAAACTGACAATCGGTGACTGACATCTCACACACGCCTCCTTCGCGTCAGTCATTCATCTCGTCAAGGGCAAGCTCGAGGACGTTGACCTCGGCCTTGGTCCGGACGGCAAGGTCGATGTCATCATCTCCGAGTGGATGGGCTACTTTTTGCTCTATGAGAGCATGCTTGACACTGTCCTCGACGCACGAGACAAGTACCTTGTGAGCAGCAAGCGTAACGGTAGATCACCTTTGACTTGAGCATCTGCTGATCCTAAGTCTACCTATCTCGCCGCCAGGCCCCCGGCGGTATCCTCATGCCGGACACTGCTACCCTCTACCTCTCGGCCGTCGAGGACCAAGAGTACAAGGACGAGAAGATCGGCTTCTGGGACGACGTGTATGGCTTCGACTACTCGTGCATCAAGGACATTGCCCTCAAGGAGCCCCTCGTAGACACCGTCGAGCTCAAGGCCGTCGTGTGCGACCCCGCCAAGGTCTTGCATCTCGACCTGGCCACCTGCACCAAGGCCGACCTGACCTTCAACAACAACTTCACCATGCGCGCCAGCCGAAATGACTACGTGCACGCTTTCCTGGGATGGTTTGACATTGGTTTCGAGAAGTGTCACAAGCCCGTACGCTTCTCCACAGGCCCTCACTCCCGTTATACCCACTGGAAGTCGACCGTCTTCTACATTCCGGGTGCGCTCATGCTCTCGCAGGGTCAGGAGATCAAGGGTAGCCTCAAGGTCGCGCCGAATGAGCGCAACCACCGCGACTTGGACATCTCGATCAAGTGGCAGGTCGATGGACAGGGTGAAGAGGGTACTGGACAGATGGACTACAAGATGTGAGTACGAAAGCGGAGGAGCAGCAGTCGTCTTCTTCTTCACCACGGCGGACGAGGGCCGCAAAAGCGTCCTTGCCCTGCCTTTCCTTTTTCACTCTTTTCTAAACTTCCCTTCACTCTTTTCACTCTCCTTCCTTTCTACCCCGGCGTTGTCGTTGCTGATTGCAGGTCGTAATCGCTGCTTCTCAATTTGCAGGTACTAGATGTTCAGGGCCAAGGATGTAGGACAGGATGCTGAAGGCTGGAAGGTCAACATGTACTGCCATCACCACCACCACCCTCACCACTACCACCCACGTCAGCCTCTCAGGCGCTGCCTTCAAAAGGACGGTCTGTCCCTATCACCATCTCCTCCAAGCCTCCCTTCTAATCAGCACCCCTCCCTCGCGACTCAGCTACTCTTGAGCTGCTCTAGAGCTCCTCCGTGATGTGCATATAGACGAGATATGATCACACAGACTGCCAGTGCTTGCTTCGTCTGCATCTGTGTGAATGAGCTTGCCTGCCGCACGTCGTGGCTTCCTGTTCCTGACTCAGTCGCGTCGTCGAGACGAGGCAATCGCATCGTGACGCGCTCCTTGCTCTCCCACCTTTCACTGCAAGTCCTCCTCATCTCCAAATTTTTGTCTCTGACGCCCGTAGCATCTTGATCTCACCTCGCTCGAGTATCACATCATGCCAGCCAACAACATGGGAGGACCCAAGTGAGTCGGAAGCGCAGCCCTCAACAAGAGGGGAGAGGTTGAATATTGTGATGCGTCGCAGCTCAAGTCTCTGATACACCTCCCATCACTACGTCAAGGGTCACTCTCGCCCGCATTCGCGAGCGACGTCGTCTACGTCTACAGCAGAAAGCTCTCGCCCTCGGTGCTCCAGGCGTGACGACTGCCAGGTCAGACTCATTGTCGCTCGTACGCCCGTCGGGCGAAGATGAGAATGATGACATCCAGCCAGCAGCCTTCGATACACCTCGCCGATCACACTCGCTCGACAAGCCTGGCGAAAGCAGTACTGCCCACGTCGATTGCAAAATCTTGCTGCCTGCGCAAGACCCCAGCCTTGATCGTGGCGAGCCTGCCCACGACGAGGCGAGCGATCACGAGCTAGACACAGCTAGAGACAGCCTTCATCAGCTCGAGAACAAGCGCAAACGCCTCCTCGAGCATGATGACTGGCTGAATGTGGAAGAGATGAGGCGGGTCCTGAAGAAGGCCAGCAGATCGAAGGAGAGGGGCGCAGAGGAGCGGCATCGAGCTGCGGCAGTCAAAGAGGACGCGAGCAGGCTTCAGGCGAGAGGAGAGGCTGGATTGACTAATTCGCAGCACCCTCAGAGTCATGAGCAACAGCATATCCAAGTAAGCAAGCCGCTCGTCTCCCGGAGCAAGCCAATCGACGATACTGGGGGTGGTCACGTGGGTTCTCAACCCGTCGAGCTCAAGGCTGTAGCAAATCATTTGGCGAGCTCTGAGCCTGCAGTCAGTCAAGCCGAACCAAAGCGGCTGCCTGATCTCACGGAACCGCTCTTCGATACCTCCATCAAAGGGCTTTTCACTGGCGGCGGGCTCGGCAGACGATCAGCAGAGGAGGTCAAGAAGGTGACACAGGAGCATGCGGTCGATCCGGCATCAGAGCCACAGAGACGACAAGTTGCAGAAATCAACCAGTATGAGCAGGCCGTAGACTGGGACGAGAGGAGCCGATCTGCCGAGGAAGTGCTGCCTTCGATGAAGTCACGGCCGGACGAAGGGAGTGAAGAGAAGAATACAGAGGCAGAGGCAGAGCGCCAGGAGCTGGAGTCGCTGGGCCTTGAGACCAGAGAGAGCATGCGGAGACAACTCTTTGGGTAGCTCATTCCACCACGAGATGATGTCCGCTTGTGCAATCCATCATCTCATTCGGACCATCGCCGCTTCCACAACGACGAGACGGGCGTGCGTAGCGGGTGCGGGCACGCGTGGCGCGCCTCGACCAAGCGAGGCGACGTCATTGGGGAGCAGCAAGCTGGGCTGTCGTGCGTGCGTGCGCTGTATGTGTGCTTCTTCCTGTCCGTCCGTCGCAGCTTCGCAGCATCGTCTTTCTTTGTCTTTTTCGCAACTTCAGTGCATGCTCATTCGATCAACGAGTCGCATCGGCAACTTGACTACCACCACAAGGCTACTCCCACGGCTCAGCACATCTCCCCGTCGCCTCTCAATCTCGCCTCTTTCGCCGGCCTCTCTCTGCCCTCCACCCATCTCTCCCTCTCGCCCGCGTCTTTCCTCCCAACCTCTCCTCCTCACCCTCTCACTCTCACGCACAATGTCCTCCTCTTTGGCCCCGCTCGTCCTCAAGCCTCTGGAAGGTGTTGAGGCCGCAAAGCGCGCAGCGGCCTACGCTTCAGTGGACAACCACGTTCTCCCCGAGCACAAGGTCGTCGGCATCGGGAGCGGTTCGACTGTCCCTTATGTAGTGGAGAGGATCGTACAGCAAGGGCCCAAGGTCAACGCGGCGAGGTGGTTCGTGCCGACGGGCTTTCAGAGCAAGGAGCTGATTGTGCAAGCTGGTGAGTTGGCGCGGCTGGTAGGAAGGCAGGCATACACGCCGGGGGAAAGAGCGACGACCTGACCGATTGATTTCTCCTCACCATGCTCGCAGGACTCAACCTCGGAGACGTCGACTCTTTCCCCGTCATTGATGTCACCATCGACGGAGCAGACGAGTGAGCTCCAGACTCCCGCTCGGCTTATCTTCTTCCTCGCTCATCCCTCTCCCTCCTTCGCACGCAGAGTCGACCCCTCCCTCAACTGCATCAAGGGCGGCGGTGCCTGCCAACTCCGCGAGAAGGTCCTGGCCGAGGCAGCCAAGACCTTCATCGTTGTGGCAGATTACCGCAAAGAGTCTCCTCAGCTCGGCCAGAAATGGACCCAGGGCGTGCCAATCGAGGTGGCCCAGTTCGCCTACGCGAGCGTTATGCGCAAGCTCGAGGCGCTGGGCGGTAAGCCTGTGCTGAGGATGGGAGGTGGAGCCAAGGCTGGACCTTGCGTGACTGACAACTCGTGAGTACCAGCGGGCGATCAGGCCGCAATGTCTTCCTTGGTAGAGATGCTGATTCCTCCTTGCCTCCTCTCGCTCTCAGCGGCTTCGTAATCGACTGCCCCTTCCCGGCTTCTTCCTTCTCTTCCCCCTCCGACCTCCTCGCCAAGATCAAGCTCATGACAGGAGTGGTCGAGGTCGGCCTCTTCTGCGATGTAGCCAAAGCGGCCTACTTTGGCAATGCGGACGGAACCATCACGAGCAGGACGGCAGCTGGGGAAGTGAAGGAGGGGATCAGCTTCGATGTTCAGAGGAACCCCGTGGTCGCGTGAGGGGAGAGATAAGGAGGGTGTAAAATAGATTGACTCAGACGTGGCTTAATGAAGCGCCTTCAAAGGATGGGACTGACAGGGAGCAGACGCGTGACCTTGGCTGGCTATGGCAGAGTGAGCATTGTCTCAACGACTGTCGGGCGTCTCGTGCAGCAATGCAGGCAGGCAATCCGCGCCCAGTCGCCGGCAGCACCTTCAGGCCTTTTCCCCATTCAATGCCCTCACCCTCCCCTCAAGCGCCTCCATCCTCCTCATCACCCCCTCCAAATTCTTCCTCGCAAGCTCAGCATTGACCTTGACACTCTCCCTGACCTCGTCAACTCCCTTACCCACCCCTCCCAGCCTTTCCCCCATCTCAGCCTGGTCGCGCTGCAACCCATCCAAATCAGCAGCAAAATGCGCTGCGGCACTATGCAAGGTGGAGAGGGACTCAAGCCGAGCGAGGAGAGATGGGGCGAGAGGGAGGAGTGGTTGCAGCCGGGTGGAGAGGGAGAAGAGGTCCTGCAGTTTGGACAGGGAGATGGGGTCCAACGGGCCTGACGTGGTAGCCGCTCCTGCCGTAGCAGCGACGTCGCTTGTAGTTGCCTTGTCACCGCTAGCAGTCGCTTGCATCTGTCCTGCCAGCTTTCTCCTCGCCTCATAGACGCGGTCGAGCTCAGCGACGAGCAGTTTGACCCTCTTTGAGATGGCGTCCAAGTGTCGTGGCTGTGTGAGCAGGGTGGCCAAGTGCTCCAGCCGTGCTAGTGTTGGGAGTAAGGGGCGCGCAAGTGATTGGGTTTCCTCAAGGACGCCTTGGTTGCTGCCGATGAGCGACTCCAGGTGGTTGAGACGCGTCTCCAGGGTGGAGAGGTGGGCAGGAGAGGCGCTCGTGGAGCTTGATGGCGCGATTGTCGAAGCCTGTGATTGTCCCGGTGGTGCGCTGCCGTCTTTGACGCCCTGTTGCTGCTGCTCAAGTGATGAGAGGAGGGAGCGTGCCTGCTGTAGTGAGCCCGCAGTAGGCGTCTCTGCCCTTTCTGCATTCATTGCATCCAGCCCGCCCCTGAGCGATCGCAAGTGATCAAGCATAGCTTGCGGCGATGGCTCGTTGGGGCCTCGACGAGCCTTTGCCTCTCCCTCCGCGCTGGCTTGCCCATCCTGGACCCCTGCCACGCCTGACGAACCAGTAGCGGCCTGCTGATTGAGCTCCTCTTCCAGTTCAGCTGCCTCAACCTTGAGTCTCCTCAGCCTAGCGAGCGGTGTCTCTTTCACTGCCTTACTAGATCCTGTACCATTTCGTGCCTCAATCTCGTATATGTCCGACTCAAAGTAATCGTCGTGCGGTCGACGAAGTTGCTGGCGCCTGCGCCTTGCTGCAGAGGGGCCAGGTTGTTGCCTGCGGACCTCTGTGCTACCCTGAAAGCGCTGCCTGGCCTCTTGAGTGTCAAGAGCAGTTCGTTCTATTGAGGCACGAGCGGCATCCTCGTCATTGGCTGCGCCATCCTGGCGACGATTACGCCTCCTAGTGCTCGAACCCGGCTCCCCCTCGCCTTCCTCATCCTCATCATCATCGTCGTCTTCGTCATCGTCGTCTTCGTAAGAGCGTCCACCACGTCTGCCGCCCAGACCAGTGGACGTGTGCTTCGTAGGCTTGAGCTCGGGAGAAGAGGCAGTCTCGTATACGTCGACTGATGAGAGGTCGATATCCGGCAGAGTGGAGAACTTGTTGCGGTCAGAGGGTGCTGCTGTAGGAGGGACCGCGCCTGCATCGAAGGCAGGATCAGCGCCTGCTGGTGTCGTCATGTTTCGCCGTGGTATGTGCGAGGATGAGAGGCGTGGTCTATAGCGAGTCTATGGTAGGAGACAAAAGGGAAGCTGCAATGCAACCAACACTCAACTCAAGGCCCGCTCGCGTTGCCGCTTGTGCCCCACTCACCTCGACTGGTCTGTCGAGCCGCCTCGTCTTCTGTCCGCGTTCCGTCCACTGCCTCCATCCGCAACGCCCAACCATCAAAGCATGTCCAACTCAGCCCAGGCCTCAGGTAGTGGCAGCAAGCCATCAGGCAATGGTGGTGGCGTAGGTCCCTCACGCCGCACATGGGATGTAGAGGAGTATGCGCAGCGCGCAAAGGATCGTGAGAAGAGGGAGCGAGAGCACATGGAGTTGAATGAGCAGAGGGCAAAGAAGGGTGAGTGGCAGTGGCACCTCTTCGCCATCTCAAGCAATCTTCGTCGCCTCGTCTGAAAGCCCATGCTGATAGATCCGATCCATCAATCGCACACACAGGCTTGAAACCCCTTCCCCGCCGCAGGCACGAGGACCTCCCTGCTCCAACGGAATCCCTTCAGGCTCGCTCTACCGCCCTCGACCTAGACAAGAATGTAGGCAAGACGATGATCGTAGAACAAGTAGGGCGTCGAGGGCCTGGCTACTACTGCGAGCTGTGTAGGAAGACGTGCAAGGACAGCATCGGTTATCTGGATCATGTGAATGGGAGGAGTCGTGAGTCTGCGCCACGAGCTCGATGACCTCGAGACGACAAGGCGAGCTGACCTCTCTGTCTCCCCTTGGTTGTCGCACAGATCTTCGTCGCCTAGGCCAGAAGACGCAAGTAGACCGCTCGACCCCGCAAGCGGTTCGAGCTCGCATTGAACATCATCGCTCTCGCCTCGTAGCAGCCGGTGGCGCAGGAAAGCGGGAGTATGACTTTGCCGCCAGGGTAGAGGAGATAGCGAGGAAGGAGCGCGAGGAAAAAGAGAGAAAGAGGGAAGAGAAGAGGGAGAGAAAGAGACAGAAGAGGGAAGAGGAGACGGGAGGGGCTAATGGCGTTGATGCGGGAGGGGGAGGAGGGGAGGATGCAGCCATGATGGCTATGATGGGTTTTGGAGGATTTGGGAGCTCAAAGAAGTAAGGGAGCATCGAAGAAGCATGAAAGGCAACTGTAATTGTATCCTTACATCCGCATTGTACAGAACATATTCAACAACTAGCGACCGTATCCGCCACCCCCTTGCCCGCCGTAACCGTACGAAGAGGGCCGTTGCTGCTGCTGCTGTTGTTGCGGTGGCGGCTGACCGTATCCTGCTCCTGGCGGCGGCATTCCCATTCCCATCCCCATCATGCCCATTCCCATACCCGGCGGAGGCTGGCCCTGCTGGGATGGGCCGCCTTGCATGCCGTAGCCACCGTACGGACCACCTTGCTGCTGGGGCGGTGGACCTCCGTAAAGGCCACCTTGGCCACCGTACTGCTGGCCTTGCTGTTGAGGTTGCTGCTGCTGGAAGAAGCCAGGAGGGGGAGGCGCCCTGCCCGATCCAGCCTGTTGACCACCCCCTTGCCCGCCACTGAAGGACGGCGGTGGGCCCGGCATCCCACCTCCCCCGCCTCCCATGCCGAAGCCAGGAGGCGCTCCGTTCATACCACCCGGCGGCGCTGCATTGTACCCCGCGTCAGCATTAGGTGGGGGCGCTCCGCCCGATCTGCTGCCCCATCCGACATCGCGTACTCCTCCGGCATCCATGTTCGCCCCTGTAGCGTGCGGAGGACGAGGCGGTGGTGCACCAGGCCCTGAAGAATCCCTTCCTCCTGAGCCCCAGCCGCCTCGCCCTGAGTCGAAGCCTGGAGGGAGGGGAGCGCGTCCACCACCGCCTGAGCCCATACGCGGGGCACCATTGGATGGAGGGAAGGGTGAGAACGACGACGATGAAGGGGCCGCAGCGGCAGCTCCTCCCCCTAGACCGGGGATGAAGCTCATAGATGAGTCCGCGTCATCATCCGCATCGTATGCAGGTCGGCGTCTGCCTGGCAGCCCGCCTGCGAAGCTGGCCTCCTGACCACCTCCGCCAGCGAAGGCCGCGGCTCCATCCCCGTTCACCCCCTCCCCTGCGCTCTGATGCACCAAGTCCCCCATCTCCAATCGCTCCCTCTGCCACCACCTCGTCAAACAGTCGTTGCCCCCAGTGACCAAAATTTGGCCCAAGGGATGCCAGTTCATGGCCCAGATGCTCTGATCGTGCGCTGCAGCGACTGTACTGATGGGCAGCTCCGGGTTGGCAGATGGGGCGAGCGAATGATGCTGAAGTGCTCCAGTCGAGAGGCCCGAGGAGAGCAAGGGAGCGTGAGGGTGCCAAGCCAAAGAGCAGACACCACCATTTGCGCTGCCTCCGCCAGCATCCCCGCCACCAGGTCGATCCGCTCCCCTATCCACATTTGTGCCCGCAGCAGAGCGCAGAGTCCCCACTTCACGAATCATGCGCAGGTCGTACAGCTTGACCGTCTGGTCGCGCGACGCAGTTGCAAGGATCTCGGATGAGGAGACGTGCGCAGGGGAGAAGGAGAGGGCTTGTACCGTATTCTTGTGGCCGTGGTAGGTACCGATTTCACGGCCGCCGCGACGAGGGTCCCAGAATTTGACAAGGTTGTCTTTTCCTCCCGAGGCGATGAGGCCCTGCGATGATCCAGGAGTAAAGGTCATGTCAGTCGTCCGTGAGATAGCTGCTTGCTCCTCTGAGCGCGCGGGTGCCAACGTACCTTGAACGGATGCCACTGCACGCATTTGACATCCCATCCATGCCCCTTGAGCGTCGTCTCCTCCACTCCCCTCTCGGTGTTGAACATCTTGATCGACGAGTCGTCCGACCCGCTCACCCACCTCTGATCATCAGGCGAGAAGCTCAGCCCTCTCACACTCTCCCTGTGCGCCTCAATCGCAAGCACGTTGTTCATGTTAGGGAGGAAGTATTTCACGGTACCACCTGCATCTCCTGAGAGGAGTAAGTTTCCCGTAGACGACCAGACGAGATTACGGACGCCGTGATCGCAGGCTTGTAGAATTGTCTCGAAATTGAAGGTCAAGCCGTTCCATAATGTGAACTCGCCGGAGGAGGAGCCGGTGAGGAGGCGACGTGATGAGGGCATCCATGTGACTACGTTGACTGGTGTGCGGATCTTGTTGGTTGATGTGTGGACTAGCACGGGAGCCACGACTGAGGCGGGCGAGCGGGCTGCGGCTGATGGTAGGAGATCAACGACGTGGTGTGGAGACGGCTTGAGGTAGTAGTCATCGCGCGTCGTGCTGCGCGAGAAGAGACGCTTCTCTCTATAGCGGATCCATGCGCCCATGTAGTCTACTGTACGTCGCTGTAGGAAGCGTCGCATTCGACGTCCCTCGTAGCCTGCTGCTTGAGCGGCTGCCTGGGCTGCTTGCTCCTCTTCGACCTTGTGGTCTGTCGGAGGCGGTTGAGGTGGCTCGTAGGCGTAGCGACTAGGCTGGAAGCGATATGGCTTTGTGGGCTTGGAGGGTCCTGCTTCAGCGGATGAGAGAACATCATGGTGGTCTTGCTCCTCGACCTTGAGGTCAGCGGGAGGGGGAGCCACCTCTGCCATGGCCGATGGAGATGTGGGGAGGAGTGTGAATGGGAATTCAAGGGACGCCAGGTGACTGATTGCACTTCTCTCGTCGTCCGCGTCCTTTCTCTCTTCCGCCTCTCTCTCGCTCTCCGTCTCGCCGTGGCCCAAGCGCTCGTCAAGCGCACGCTCGACTTTCGATCCTTCTCTTCTTGTCCGTCCACCCATCTTCCCAGGAGCAAGCGCTGCAATTGGACAAGATGGCGTCCACCTCACAACCAGCTTCGTCAATGAAGCCGGAGCTCAAGTCCTCACCCTCAGGCATCCCGCAAGCGCCCTTTATCGAAGACGTGGAGCAACACCTCGGAGGAGCAGACGCTGATGTTACACCGACGCTGCAGAAGTTCCAAGAGACAATGCAAAAGTACAAGATCATGGAGGCTAGTACCTTCCAGAGGAGTAAGAGCCTGCAGGAGAAGATACCGGATATCGAAAAGACATTGAAGATGGTGGAGCATTTGAGGGATCTCAGGGTGAGCGCTCGCTACGTTGCCATGCAAGGGGGATACACCTCAATGCTCATCACCCTCACAACAACTCATCTCGCTGCAGGAAGCGGACCAGTCCCTCACGACTCACTTCGAGCTTCACGACACTCTCTACACCCAGGCCACAGTATCACCACTCACCCACGTCAATCTCTGGCTGGGCGCAAACGTCATGCTGTCGTACCCGCTAGATGAGGCACGCGACCTGTTGCAGGACAAGCTGGCAACGGCAAAGAAGAGCCAAGAGGCGGCAAAGAAGGACTTGGATTTCCTGCGGGATCAGATCACCGTCATGGAGGTCAATACGGCGAGGGTGCATAATTGGGATGTCAAGAGGAGGAGAGAGAGGTGAGTCGTGCGCCAAATTCGCGGCGAGACTGGTCGTTGAGCTGACGCCGGTCTTGTTACCCTGCTCGCACAGACGATTGAAGGAAGGCGCGGAAGAATGAACCATGGTGCGACAGAGTCAATTGAGACCACTAGACGCAGAGCATTGCGACGTGAAGCGTGACAGCAGTAACATGCGATTGGTCGTTGGTCATCGAAGCATTGATACAAGGCGGAAGGCGAGAATGAGGGATGGGCAAGGGGAGTGGGAGAAGTGCGAACCGAGAGAAAGGGGCAAAGGGTGATCGACAGTAGAGAGAATCGCGCACGGTGAGCCATCCGTCACGGCTACACCATCCCCACCCCACCCCAATGCCCTCTGATTCTCCTCGCCAGTTGGATATCTCGCTGCATGATCGTCACTCGTCTTGCGTGGATGGCGCACAAGTTCCTGTCAGTGCGGATAAGATGAGGCCGGTGGGTCAGTCAGCAGGTCACCCTTAATCAGCTTGACCTCGTCGTGTTTCGCGCACACTCACGCATCCTCAAACAAATGCACCAGATATGCCTCTGTAGCCTCCTGCAACGCCAAGATCGCCGAGCTCTGCCATCGCAACCCCACACTTCCATCGCCATCGTAGACTGTTGTGATGAAATTCTCGGCAACCTCCTTTACCACGCGCGCGAAGGGTAGCTTGGCAACTAGGAGGTCCGTAGATTTCTGGTAGCGCTTGATTTCCCTCAGCGCGACTGTGCCCGGACGGAAGCGATGTGGCTTTTTCGGATTGGATGTGGGTGCGCGTGAGTTGGGTGGGCGATTGCCTAGCAGAGGAGAAAGAGGGGGAACAGGTGAACATGAGCGTGAGGTTGGAGACAAGGGAGGGGGTTCGGCGTCGACTCACTGCCTGACGCTTGGGCGTGTAGGTTGGTTCGCGGTACCTTGCCTCCTACTGATCTTCTCGCTTGCGGCTTCCTCGACTGCGCTCCTCCTCCGCTTCCTGAGCCACTACCAGACGGGCCTGGACGACTCGGCGCCATGAGCCAAGACGGTGTTTTGCTGCTGTGCTATGAACGAATGAATGACTGGGACGCAGGCCGAGGGGGGTTCTCGCCAATAGTGAGGCCTCGGAATGCCAGCTGCTTGTGGGAGCTTCTGGCTGACCAAGAGCTTTGATCGTCTCTGAAGCTGCTCTGGTGGCTCTATGTTGTGAGGGAGCGGCAGCCTTGGACGAAGAGCATGAATTGGCAGAAGGGAAAGCGGATGGCTTTGTGCAGCGTGGTCAGGTATTGCAGTCGTGTTTTTTCGCGCTTGGGGTATCAGAGGATGCTCGCGAACGATGTTCGAGGATGATGATGGGTCACAAGGAGTTGGAAAAGCCCGCTGTCGTTGTCTGGTGAGCTCGTGAGGATGAGGAAGGGTGGTTAAAGTTGTGGCCCGCTCGCACCACACGCCGTGCCCGCCTGTTCCGTCGACAACCGCTCGCCTCCCGCGTCGCGTCAACTCACGAGGTTGACAAGGTCTGCATCAGCGTGATTTGTGGTTGAGCAGGTGGCAAAGCGAGGGAAGAGCTCAAATTTGGCCAATGGCACCCTGATAGCTCAGAGATTGCCCCCATTGAAGGCTCAATTTGACCCAATCAGCATCCTGTTGTGATGAGGCGACAAGGAGTGACAGGCTGAGGCCGTTGGGAGGCTTCGGCTCCGGTCCGATGTCAAGAAGTGGCTCCTTCCGCCTCTCGAGCGAGTGACTTTGAGAGCTTCGCATCTCACCCATCCCCACACCAATCTGCGACCATGTTCAGAGCAGGGTCGGCATTTTTGCGCATCGCAGCAGCCTCGCCGACAGCAGCTTCATCATCGCTGCTCACCCAGGCTTCATCGACAAGCTTGCGAGCGGCGGCGCCTCTGCGAAGCTTTACTTCCTGGCAGCCATTGCGCCAAGATGGCAACCAGCGACCACCAGCCAGCCCGTTGAGCGATGCAGCGTCGCCATCGGAACCTACTGAAGAGAAAGCTACTGCTGCTGCCTCTCAAGCTGGGTCATCCTCGTCAGCATCGTCAGCTTCCCTCCCAGGCAGCCAAAGCGGGAGCTCCTCCAGTCCCTGGGACAACGTCCAAGCAGCCCTCTCCCCCTCTTCCTCTTCTAGCCCATCCTCACAGCGAGGCCCATACTCGTCGCCTTACTCCGATCCTTCCGCCCCATCCTACACCTCCTCTCCTGAGTCTGTCCTTGAGCGCCAAGAGCAAGCCTGGGCCTCACGCCGCCTCCACCAATGGACGCCGCAAATTGTCACACCCTCTACAGGCCGTACCGTAGTCGTCAACAACAACTTTGAGCGCTCCTTTGCCCGCCTGAGGGGCATCCTGAGTCGCAACAGTGTCTTTCATGAGCTGAAGCGTAGGGAGCGGTATGAGAAGCCGAACCAGGAGAGGAGGAGGAAGATGAGTGAGCGCCATAGGAGGAGGTTCGCCGACATGATCAGGCAGAAGGTCCGATTGGTTAGTTGCAGAAGACGAGCGTACAAGACGACGATACACTGGAGCTCGTAACTGACTTCTCCCTGCTCTGCTCTTCCCTTTGCACAGGTCATGGAGCTCAAGAACCGCGGTGGATGAGCAGAACGAGGCAGAGAGACCGCGAGCACGGAGGCGGCTGAAGCGTAGTCACTAGCGCCCGACGCACAGCATCATGAGCTCGACATGGTTCCATCCCGAATGGTAATATCTATTGTCTTCGCCATCTGCCCGACGCCCTCTGCGCCTCCTCAACCCTCTGCCTTTAGTCAAGATAGCCCTTCTTCAGGGCAATCTCCGCATTCATGACGCTGCTCGTAGCGGCCCCGATCTGCACATTGTTGCTCAACACCACAAACCTGACATCGAAGATCTTGCAGTCCCTCACCCTCCCCACATTGACGCCGGCACCATTCTGCCAATCCCTGTCCAGACGAGGCTGCGGCCTGTCGGGCTCGTCGTGCACCTCAATCGTCTGTGCAGGGGCAGAGTGGCAGCCGAGCTTCTGAGCATCGCAGACGTAGTTGCGGAGAGCTGCTTGAACCTGCTCGATGGAGGGTGGAGGGCGGCGTTGGAAGGAGAGTGAGACACATTCTGTGTGGCCATCGATTACGGGTACGCGGTTGCAATGGGCTGAGACGGTAACGGGAGCGTTGACGAAGGAGTTGTTGTCCTTGCTGAGATCGCCGAGGATCTTGGCCGTCTCTGATTCAATCCTGAGAGACGAGATAGAGTGAGAGTCAGATATCGCCCCATCATGAAGCTGTCTTCTTCTTTCAGGCGCGGCGCACTCACTTCTCCTCCTCGCCCGAGATGTAGGGCACAACGTTGTCATGGATGTCGAAGCTGGAAAGCCCGGGATATCCGGCACCAGAAATGGCCTGCATCGTAGATACCATGATCTTGTCCAGGGGCCCAAAGGCGTCCTGCAGCGCCTTGAGCGGAACGACGATGCCCGTCGTGGAGCAGTTGGCGTTTGTAATGATGAATCCCTTTTTCGGCGAGGGGCTGAGCGTGGCGCGCTGGTGAGGGATAATGTCGAAGTGCCCTGGGTTGACGAGCGGTACGACGAGCGGGCACACGGGGTCCATACGATAGTTCTTTGCGTTGGAGAAGACTCGCAAGTCGGCCTCTCTGAACGACGACTCGACGGGACCTGCAGGCCCACTGTCCAGGCCGCTGAAGACGACGTCGCAGTCCTTGAAGTTGGGTACTGTGCATTCCTGAACGATTAAGTCACGAACATTGGCTGGGACGGCCTTGGCCTGCTTCCATCGACCGGCTACAGCCTTGGCGTAGCTCTTGCCTGCCGACGAGGAGGAAGCGCCCAGTGCGTGAATCTCAAAGTCAGGATGGGCAGTCAGGAGGAGAATGAAGCGCTGCCCGACGGTACCGGTGGCACCGAGGATGCCGACTTTGCGCTTGGGCGATGAGGAGGATGCTTGTTGCGAGGACATGATGACAGTGGTGGGAGCAGGAGGACAAGACGGTGCGCGAAGATCTGCTCTGCATGAGATGTCGTGACTCCAGTCCGCCGCCTTGACGACGGGCGGAGAGTTGAGCGCCCAGTCTCCGTCTGAGCTCGACGCCTCGTTGCACATGGCGGAGACAGCCCGCCGCCTTTGCTCCCGCCTCACAACATGGTGAGCGCGCCTTCACAGCCAATCAATGAGATGGCTGCACATGAGCACCGCTTTGGTTCCTGAGCTCAGTCGTCACGATCCGCACCTCGGATGTCATCCTCATACATCGGCTTCATCACTCTACCTCATACAAGCTCGCTCGGCCCTGACAGTCGCTCACATCGCAGTGCGCTCAAGGAGCCGCGAGCGGGGCGGCGGTGGCTCGACGTCGAGGTACATAAGAGCGGCGCCTTCCGCTTTGCTTGACGTCTCTCCGTCCCACCCACCCTCGCTTGACGCGCCGCTCAAACCTCCGCGAGCCGCGAGGGAGAGAGCGACAACAAGAAACATCAGCGTCACGGTTCAAGCAAAGCAGAACAAAGGGTAGAACAGCGCGCTGCCATCGCATCAAAAGCAAAGGCTTCAGCTCCTCCAGAAAGCTAGCTACCGCACACATCAAACGGGGAGGCCGGCCCCCTCCACCCGACACCTCTACGCCATGTCTGACAGTGAAGACCGCGCGGGCCCTTCTTCAGGCGGTGCCGGTGACGAGGAGGTCAGTCTGCCTCGAGCCACCGTCTACAAGCTCATTGCAGAGATGCTTCCTGGAGACTTCAGCGTCGCCAAGGAGACGAAAGACCTCATCATGGAGGCGTGCACAGGTACGTTCGCCCAAATCTTCCCCTCATTATCAATGACTCTCTCGCTGACCACCATGATCACCCATGCCACGCCTACAGAATTCATCCGCCTAGTATCATCAGAAGCCAACGACCTCTGCGAAAAGTCCGGCAAAAGAACAATCGGCTCAGACCACTGCGTTCAAGCGCTCAAAGATCTGGGCTTCGAGTCGTACCTCAAGGACATCGACACGGTGTTGGAGGAGCACAAGGCCGAGCTGAAGTACCGCGAAAAGAAGAACAGCAAGATGGCAATGGCGGGTTTGACGGACGAGGAGCTGCAAAAGCAGCAAGAGGCACTCTTTGCGGCTAGTAGGGCGAGGTTTGAGGCGCAAGGCTGAGGAGGAGGGAAAGTGAGAGAAGGCGAGGGCACCAGGAAGCGGCTTCACGCGCCTGTACGAGCGCAATCTGCATGTATCAATCGACCATACGATTATCCTGTTGCTTGCGTCTGCTTCTATGTTGTACAAGTTTGACATCTACTCTTCCATGCTGATTAGCTCCTCCCTACGTCACTCACGCCTGCACCGCCTCCAACTTCTCATCCAGCGCTCCGGCGTCCTTCAGATGGCTCATCACTCCGCCGACGAGATGCAGACTACCCGCGACCATAACATGCTGCCTCTTGAGAGACGACGGCCCCTTGAAGGTATCAAGGGCATCCTCAATGGACGGCAAGACGTGCACATTGTCCACCGCAGCTGGCTTGACAAGCTGAGCCCACGCTGACTGCAGATCACGCTGCACCGACAGGCTTTGCACCTCATTCGAGTCAACCATGTTGTTCGTCAGATCGCCTCCTGACCTGGCGCCCGGGCGATACGGGATATTGGTGCAGAAGACGATACGAGTAAAGTACGACGCTCCGTTCGCCACGGCGGATAGGATAGCCGACAGGAGCTCATTCGCGTTGCGTCCGTTCGTGCAGTTGAAGATGAGCGTGCGCTCCACGTCGCTGGCTGAGGCGGGCGACTCTAACTGCCACCATTGGGCGCAGAGCGCTAGCGAGTCGGAAGTGTGAGCGCCATCGAGGTAAAAAGTCGCGGATGAGGTTGGAACGATCTGACATCGGCCTGGCCAGCGAGCTGAAGCCAATGCATCCGTAGCCCATTCCGACGGCGAGCCGTCATCCTTCCAGACCGACTTGGCGATGCCCTGCGCTTTCAGATAGCAGTCAACGAGGTTCAGCGCCAGCTGAGCATTGCTGACCTGATGTGGCCCGGGGAGGCCGAGTCGTATTGACGACACTGGACTCTCCGCAACCTCCGGCAAGACCTTGAGCTCCTTCGCGCCCACGTCTTCCGCCGCCTTTCGTAGTACCGCCTCCGTCTGCTTGAAGGGTTGGGCCACGCTGATAGCCGGCGCTCCCCGCTTGTATATGCCGGCCTTTTGCGAAGCAATCTCCTCAATGGAATTGCCCAGGATGACTTGATGATCCAAGCTGAGGGTAGAGATTCCACAGGCTACCGGCTTGGGTACAATGTTCGTGGAGTCATACCTGCCTCCGATGCCTACCTCTAGGATGACGGCACGTATTGACGGCATAGAGAGGAAGATGTGCAGCGCGAGTACAGTCAGGAACTTGAAGTAGACGGGCCGAGCAGGGGTCACCTCTGGGCGTGCTCGCTGATCTGCCGTCGCCTCAAAGGCATCCCAGATGCGCCAGAAGGCTCGAGTGAACGTCTCCTCATCGATGGGCATGCCGTCGAGCCTGATGCGCTCGCGAACCAGAAGCATATGCGGGCTTGTATATAGTCCCACTTTCGGTCCAGGCGTGGATACAGTACCATCGCCATTCTCCTGATCGGCAAGAGCCTTGAGGAGGAGCGAATTGGAAAAGGCAGCAGTGCTTCCCTTTCCCTTGGTGCCGGTGATGTGGATGACATTAAGCCGGTCAAGCTCCTGCTGCGAATGTCCTGCCCTCTCAAGATATTCGACCATCTCTGGTATGAGCCAGTCATTATACTTCCCACCAGCTGCCCTCGTCGCAGCGATCGTGGCAGCATTTGACTGCAGGGTATTGAGCGCCTCAATGGCCGACGCATATGAGCGCGGCGGCGGCGTCGCAGCTGTTGATGAAGAGGAAGAGGAGGCGAACGCCATTCTGACCAGAGGAGCGGGACGAGCAGGAAGAAGGGGAAATCGAAGAGAAGGCAGAGTTCGGCTGAAGCCAACTCGCATGCCCAACGCCAACAGAGGTCGATGGAGGACGAGCGCGAAGGTCTGTCTTGGTGGTCAAGTCGCAACTCGCTGCTCTGTCCGTTCTGAGATTCAACTTCGTCTCTCTCCGTTCGTGGACTGGCTCAACTCAAAAACGTGGCCGGGGCGCGACTGACTGCCCAATCGAGAAGAACACTTTGAGCGCTCGACCCGCTTCATCTTTCATTGCTTTGTTCCCGAACTCAACCTCGATTTGACGACAGACTCGAGCTCTCCGCTTCTCTCGACAAGATGGCGCCCAAAGGTGAGAGCAATAGCCGCAACCCCTCGTGATACGCCGCGTAATGAGCCGTGTCCCTGACACTCCCCTGGACCCTCACACGTCTTTGCCTCCCTACCCCTCTCTACAACGCTGTCCCTGCACGCTCAGCCGCTCCTAACGGCAACGGCCGCAAACGCAGCGCATCCGCAGCCATAGAGAACAAGAGCAAGGTCGCAAAGAGGGCTACTACGCCTTCTACGCCAATGGCGGCTACCAAGCTGCGCGCTGGCTCACTCGCACCCGGCACTCCGACCCGTCGAGCTCGACAGGGTCCTGTCTACTCAGTCAAGCAAGGCATCAATCCTCTCCCTGCTCCTGTCAAGCCGATTACCCTCGCAGAGCTCAAGGCAGGTTTGCCCATCGGCTTTCCTGCCACTGGAGCATCCTCCTCCTCTTCATCCTCATCGTCCGCTGCGCTTCCCCGCCAGCTCTTCGTATTCGGCAATGGAGACATGGGTCAACACGGCCTGGGCACCGATGCCCTCGACGAGATCAAGCGTCCTCGCAAGCATGCTTGGGTTGCAGACAAGATTGCCAATGGCGACTTTGGAGTTGGTGGTCTTGAGCAGATTGTAGCTGGAGGCATGCATACACTCGCCATTGACGGGCAAGGGCGTGTCTGGAGCTGGGGCATCAACGACAACGCCGCGCTGGGCAGGAGTACGACAAGAGAGCCAGACGTCGAGGCAGAGGTCTTCGAGACGGAGCCGATGCTGGTTGAGGGTCTTTCGCCTACCGGCAGGGGTACACTCCCGGGAAGCAAGGCGGCGGGTGGAGGAACGCAGGGCGAAGTTGAGCAGTTCAGGGCGACGAGGATTGCCGCAGGAGACAGTGTATCGGTAGCACTCAGCGAAGATGGCCAGGTCAGGGTTTGGGGATCATTCCGCTCCAACGACGGCCTGCTCGGCTTCGATGGTCAAGTCGGCTCCTCCAAGACGCAGTTCCAGCCCGTTTCTCTTCCCAACCTCCTTCAGCATTCCTTCGTCCAAGTAGCATGTGGCGATGACCATGTTCTCGCCCTCACAACTACCGGACTGGTCTACTCGTGGGGCAACGGACAGCAAGCACAACTCGGCAGGCGCATCATCGAGCGTCGCAAGATCAACGGCCTCAACCCTGAGAAGGTCGGCCTGCGCGACATTGTCCTGATCGGCACCGGCGCGTACCACTCTTTCGCAGTCGACAAGAAGGGTCAAGTTTACGGATGGGGCCTCAACTCGCTGCGTCAAGTCGGCATCGATACCGAGGAGGACATTGTCCCCACCCCTCGCCTCATCACGGCGCTTAGCCCCAAGTCACTCAGCGCCGACGGTTCCGTCCGTGTCGTTAGCATCGAAGCCGGGCAGCACCACTCCCTCTTCCTCCTTTCCGATGGCCGCGTCTTTGGCTGCGGACGATGTGACGGCTGCGAGCTTGGATTGGCACCAGAGCACGAGGCCATGATTGAGGTCAAGAAGATGCGCGACGAGTGGCGCGAAACTCGCGAGGAGCTATTGAAGGTGGAGACGGAGGCGTGGCAGAAGAGAATGGAGGCAAAGAAGGCTTCAGCTGGCGGTAGCGATGTGAATGCCGCCATGGCTAACGTCGTCTCCTCCGATGACCTTCCCCCGGTCATGGGCCCGCCGCCTGACGAGTTCATCGCCACGCCCGTACACGTCCCCTTCCCGAGCGGCGACTCAAAGATCGCCTACCTGTCCTCGGGGGCACGTCACGTCCTTGCGGTGGGCACAGGCGGTACTCTCTATTCGTGGGGCTTTGGCAACCAGTCTCAGCTGGGTTTGGGCGATGAGGAGGCAGCACAGACGCCTACGGAGGTCAAGAGCAAGCAGTTCAAGGGCCACAAGGCCGTCATGGTGGGTGCAGGTGGGCAGCACTCGACGGTGCTTGCAGTGAGGGACCCAGACGTCACGGTCGACTAAAATGAGAGGGCAAAGCAAACAACGCCGGCGTCCAACGTCTGTAGCAATCAGAACCCATTACAAAGAGCAGCACACTTCGATTTTCGTACGTCGCGGTCTATCATTGCCCTTCTTGCCTTGTCCCGCCTACTTCTTGACAACGTAATCCCAACCCTGCTGACTCAATCGATCCACCTTTCCCAGTACCTCTTCCTCCATATCATCCATGTAGCGCTGCATCATCGCTGCATACCTCTCGTCCGCAGCAGCCAAGATTCTGATCGCCAGCAACCCTGCATTGGTCGAGTTGTTGATCGCGACCGTAGCCACCGGGATTCCCCTCGGCATCTGCACGATCGAGTGCAGAGAGTCCACCCCATCCAACGTCGATCCCTTCACTGGCACGCCCACGACGGGCAGGACAGTCTGCGCTGCTACCATACCCGGCAAGTGCGCCGCTCCTCCTGCTCCGGCAATGATGCAGCGCAGCCCCCTTGATGCAGCCGAACGTGCGTACGCCTTCATTCGGTCCGGCGTGCGGTGAGCCGAGACGATTGTGAGCTCAAAGGGCACGTTGAAGCGTTTCAGGTGTTGAGCTGCGGGAAGCATCACGGGCAGGTCGGAATCAGAGCCCATGATGATGCCTACGAGCGGATGAGGATGCTTGAAGTCGAGCGAGGAGGGTTGGGTCGGGGTGATCGGGGAGAGGGAGTCAAGAGTTTGCTGGGCGGATGAGGAGAATGATGATGAGGAAGAAGCCTGCGCTGCTTCTCGTGCGCCCTCTGGTAGAAGCGCCTTAGGGAGAGAACTGCCATTCTGCGCCGCCTCAATGGCCGTCTCGAGTGCGTGGAGGATAGGTTCCATTCGAGCGTGCAGCTCAGCATCACTCTGCGCCACTACGGTGATGTGACCCATCTTCCTCCCCTTTCTGCAGCCCACCTTGCCGTACAAGTGCACAGTAGCACCGGGGACGGTCAAGCTAGCCACGGCGGGTGCCATTGTCTTGAGAATGGCATCCTTGTCCTTGTCAAGGTCCGCGAGGCCGAGGATGTTGACCATGCATGTAGCGGGCACCTTGAGGGCTGTGCCTCCCAGCGGCAGGCCGAGGATCGCTCGCAGATGGTTCTCGTATTGGCTCGTCTCGGCTGCTTCGATGGTGTAATGGCCAGAGTTGTGAGGCCGCGGGGCAATCTCATTGATGAGGAGCTCGCCATCTTCCATGAGGAACAGCTCGACGCCAAACACGCCTGCGCCTCCAAAGGTAGCGACGGCCTTCTCCGCAATTTCTCTCGCCCTTTGCCCGACGGTAGCATCCTTGCCATATCGCAAGGGAGCAATGACGGTGTGGCAGATGTTGTCACGATGAACCGTCTCGACTGCCGGGTATGCTCTGACCTCGCCAGTCGAGCTTCGCACAACCATGACTGCTACTTCCTTAACAAATGGCGCCCACTTCTCGGCATAGAGACCGCGCGTACCGTTGCCGAGCGCCTCGATGCCCTCTATCGCCTTGCCTCCCTCCTTGACAACGAAGTTGCCCTTGCCGTCGTAGGCCTGCGTCCTCGACTTGAGCATCAAGGGGAAGCCGAAGCTCCTCCCGGCGGCAGCCACGCCTTCGAGCTGCTCCTTGGCAGCAGCTGCTGGGTCCTTGGGCAGAGCAGACTCTGAGCCGACGGAGACGAAGTCGGCGACTGGCAGGCCATGAGCTATGAGATGCTTCTTCTGAGCGTACTTGTCCTGGATAAGGGCGATGGTCGCTGGAAGCGGGTGGACCTCCTTGACGATGCCGGCATCCAGAACGGCCTGCAGCTGCCTGGCATCCACATGCTCAATTTCGATGGTGAGGACGTCGACTTTCTCTGCTAGCTGCTTGATCTTCTCAGGGTCGGCGAAGGAGCCATCGACGTGCTCTGATTGAGCTGGGTTCGAGGCTGAAGGGACGAAGCAGATCTGCTTTGCTGGTGCAGACTGACCAGCGTCGAGAAGGCGCACCTGGACATTGAGGCGACTGGCTGCCTCGACGAACATGCGGCCGAGCTGGCCTGCGCCGAGCACGCCGACTACTCGAGATTCCATGGCTAGCGGTGAGTGAGAGTGGATGGTGGTTGTATGCGCCTTGTCTCTCTTCCCCACTTTCGCAATCTTCGACTCTTCTCTCCGCTATCGGGGTGGGCTTCGATTATGTAAGCGGTTCATACCTGCTGCTCGAAGTCGGGACGGAACCTTGTTTGTGCTCTTCATCGATCGTCATTATCGGCCTGTCGGGACTTTGACCTCGCTCTCGGATCTCATCATGAGTTGCTTCTGGCCCTTGCCTCTTTGGTACCATCTTCAACCCAGCTCGCAAGCTCATCTGCTCAAGCCTGTTTTACTCTACTCTATTTGAACCCTCTCACTTCTCGCTCGCGGCAGCCGCCTATGGCTGCCAGTCCGCGCTCGGCCTCCTTACAGCCAATGCAGCCACCTTTCGGCCAACCTCCCTGCATGGACGGAGGAGAGGCACACGCCGCCAATGACTTGTGACGTGAGAGCCAGAGCCAGAGCCAGCACTGCTCGATCTTCGCTTCATTCCGACGACAGCGTACTGGCGGAGGCCGACTTCGATGACGCCGGCGATGAGGAAGCAAGTGGCCGCCAAGCACGGAGCAATAAGGGGGGATGAAAGGGACCACTGATCAGCGTCCCCCGGCCACACAGCATGTGAGCCGTCCGTCAGTCGCGCCGATGGACGCGTTCGAAGCCAGTCGGACAAGGAAGGAGAGGAGGTGTTGGTTGATTGGCGGCAGCAGCCCAGCCAACGCCCGGCCATCATTCGCAGCCAGGCAAAGCAGCAAGGTTGGCTCATTCATTTGCTCGCTCGCTCATCGATTCGCACAGGGCAAGCCACGCTTGACTTGTTGTAAAGCCAAATCCTCGATCCCTCTCCATTTCGAGCTAGACTAGCACGCACCTGGATCCTACCTAGCCTATCCTACCTCTTCGTCTCTCTCCTCTTCCTTCTCCGTACCGTTCCATACCCTCGATTGCCTGTGCTCCTCATCAAGACCGTTGCTGCCACCTGCTCCGCATACACTACCGGCCTCTTTCCAGCATAGCCCTGCCGTCCTTGTCATTGCCGTCGTCGCCGCGTCCACGATGACTGATCACGTCGTGGCTCAGCGCTATCGTCTCGACGCGAATGGTGGCTTGCGCGACGCCTACCTATACCAGGAAGAAGACGATATCCATGCTCGCAAGCAGCATAGCCACTCGCACCACGTCGGAGCTGCCAATGCCAACGAGGATTCACCTCGTCCCTCCTCATCTCTCCCCTCGAGCGTCTTTGCAGGTCAACGTCCCTTCCAGCAGCCCCCACCCGTGCCTGCGCGGCCAGCTCGAGCAGCTCCACCACCAATGACTCGCAACTTCTCAAGGCCCAATCACCCGTATAACAGCGCTGCGTCAACTTTAGCGCCAGGCGACGGCTATGACACCAGGCGCTTCAGCTTCGATGACGACCACAGTCCTGGTTCGTCACGCCCTCCTAGCCTCTCCTTCTCCGCATCCCGCGACTCTGAGAGCCACGCCGAGGCACCTCAGACACCCTTCAAGTCGCCTACCGACCTTCTTGATGTGCAACACCCCGTCGACTTTGGCACCGTCATTGAGGACGATGACAAGGAGAATGGCGGCAGCGAGAAGAGCGGCTTCGTCAGGAAGCTCAGACATGCAGCCAGCTCGACCGGCTTGAGTCGCTCCTTGACAGGCAAGCGCAGCGTGAGCGCCAAGTCGGGCAACGCAGTACCACCCACACCTAGCGGTGAGCTCCCTCCGGCTCTGCGGGACGAATACGACGGCGACTACTTTGGTCAGCAGCTTCAAGCCGCACAGAACAAGGGCAATGTGCGCTCAGCGTCGTCAAGCGTCACGCCGTCGCCAGATGTGTTGGAGAAGCCTTTGCCGCCCATCGGTAGAGACTTTGAAGCCACTCGTAATCGCAAGGCCAGCTTTGGTAATCGTGCACGCCCAGAGTATATAGACCTACGGGCCCCTGGCGGCGAGAAGAAGAAGGGAAAACGAAACTTTCTCAAGACGCTCATCATCGGCAGCGATCGCAGCAATGACTCGACCTTCCTCCCACCTCCTCCTGCCTCGGCGCCTGCGCACGCTACGGAGTTCGGCGAGGCTGCGCTGATGGCTAGGGGCAGCTCCGCCACGAGTCAAGGCAGTCAGGGCGGCAAGGCAGGCCGCATCCTTGGCTTGAACGAAGAAATCCCGATGAGCAAGGCAGATCGTCTTTTGGGCTTCAATGAGCAGCAGCGCCGTCGCGAGAGCAGATTCATGGCCGAGCTCCTTGCCAAGCGTCAGGATCCCCTCGCAGAGTTTGCGCCAGATTGGAAGGAGTCTCGCGCACCTTCTCGACTTGACAACTTTCACAGCGCCTCAACCACTGCTGCATCATCAGCCTGCTCATCACCAACAGGCAGCGAGGCACCGCTGCCATCCGCTAGCGTGTCAGGCAGTGAGGCGCCAGCGACCCACCATCATCACGCAGAGTCAACGTCAACTGAAGACAGCTTCACCACTGCGAGCTCGAGCGACTCCGGCCGGGCTTCGGATACGGCGCCGCGAGTGTCTGCAAGGGCGCCGCAGCTTACCGATGAGATCAGCATGCACTCCAGGGAGCTGTCCGACGAGCTGACTGAGGACATTAATGCTGTGCTGCGGTCCCAGCGCAATTCATTCCAGAAGGTCGACGAGATCATGGCCGTCCACCGTCAGATCACCAAGCGCAACAGTAGCATGCGTCATCACAGAAAGTCGTCCAGCACTTCCTCCTCCCGATCGGCAGGCTACAAACCCGCCATCTCATCCTCTCTGGCTTCATCCCATCAGTCGTCACCCGTCTCTACACATGCATCTCTCCGCTCCAAAGAGGATGCCGCATCGACTAGCCCAATGGTGTCCTCAAAGCATCTTCCCACATCCAGCATCTCTGCGTCCGAGGCATCCGTTGCGTCGACGGTCTCGTCCACCAGGGGCAGCTCCACATCTGCGACGTCAGGCAGTAGTCGCAACCAGAAATGGAACCATGGCGACTCCACTCTGCTGCCGGCTTCTCCAGCCACCCGTCCTGGCCTTGGCCTGCGCTACAGGACAGCGCACAACATCAGGTCACCTCCGCGCAGCAGCGTTGCCGGACCTCCCACCAGCGAGCCGATGGCGCGCGTATGCTCAGAGCCGATGAAAGGTGCAGGCCAGGCCAGTGCAGCTGCGGCTGCTGGCTCTACTGCAGGCGCGAGTCATCCCTTCGCTTTCCCCGCTGTTCGCCCGAGTCTGCGAATGGCCAAGACCAGTGCAATTCTTCCGCAAGCACGCGGAACGACTACGCGCGCCTCGCGCATGCTCTCCGACTTGCCAGCCCTTTCCACCCTCCTTCATTCCTGCCTATTGGCCAGCAAGTCCACAACGCAGAGTCCGTGGTACGACTTGACTCATCGCCCACTCTGCGCATCGTCACCGAAGGACCGTATCCCTCGCTCATGGTCAGGCTACATAAGGGCCTACGCTCGGGGCGAGTTCGATCTGAGTCAACCACCCAAGCCCAGATCAGCCCCGCTCGTGGAGCACGCCGTACCGCGCTCATCGCCCAATCCAGCGGTAGAGCGTCGAGCTCGTCAAACATCGCTGGAGGATGGGCCTCTCGACTCTCTCCCCAAGGGCATCGGCCTCGATTTTGCGTTCCCTATGCCGCCGTCCCGCGCAGATGGGCACGAGAAGGGTCTCGAGGCCCCTGGACAGCATTTAAACTACCTGCAGGTGCAGCATGAGCCTCGCCGAGGATCAGAGGCTACGATTCAGACCATCGCAGCAAAGAGTCCGCTACTTGACGGTGCCACTGAGGATCCTGAGGACACTTTGCAGATGGAGGCAGAGGAGGTTCTCGCTGTTGGTGGTATGGGGGACCTCAAGGCTCCTCGCCCGCCTTATGAGGCCGAACGGCAGCAAGCTACGATGCAATACCTCGCTGCGTTGGGTATCGATGGCGAGTGCCGCGCCGCGTCCTACCAGAGCTCCAGGCTGGTGGCTATTGTCGATCGTCTTGCGGCCATGCTCTCCACCAGGCAAGCCAGCATTCAGCTCGTCTCCGACGACGAGGTCATCAGCCTCGCCAAATCGGGGCAGACCTTTGGAATGGGCGATGATGAGGGAGGCAGGACGCCCAGAGCAGACGATGCATCCTCGCAGCGAGGCATGCTTGGGCTCGATCTTTTCGGCTCGGCGGTAGCAGTTCCTCTGCGTGATGCTTCACTCGACGCTCATGCGATCCTGAGTCGACACGGCCTGCCCGTCGTCATCACCGACGTACACAATGACTGGCGCTTCTCAATGCGAGCTTCCTCGAGCGATGGAGCTTTCTTTGCCGCGGCCTCCATCATGTCCGAAGATGGGCTTCCGATCGGTACTGTGAGCATCAGCGACATTTCCACCCGCCCACATGGTCTTACCAAGCACGAGCAGCACTGTCTTGCAGAGGCATCGCGAGAAATCTCTGCCGAACTCGAACAGTTACGTCGAATGGCTCTCGGAACTCGACTGGCGAGGCTTGATGAGAGCTTGGCCTCCTGGTCTCTCCAGAGCGAGGACGCTGCAGACGATGCAGCGCCTGCCTCCTGGTCTCCGGCGAGGCAGCCCTTGAGCATCGAGTCGACGCTGCTACTCGCGCCTCTTGGGCCCCAAGCCGGCTGCGCGGCCCCTCCAAGCCCTGGCACGCTCGCGCAAAGGCGGGGAGCCAAGACGCCGCAGAGCCTCGCTGTACCCTCTGCCCGCTCTCAACAGCATTTACCGGTCGCTGCTCTACGGAGCGCTCTCAAGACGATGGTCGAAGCTCTACAGATGGATCTGGCGTACATTGCTCACGTCTCGCCAAGACCTGAACGGTCCTCGAGTAACGCTGCACACTTCCAGTGCTCCGTCATCGTCCAGCACGATCGGGCGGCCCCGATGCCTACGGTGCTCCGCCCAGACGTTGGTCTGCATCTCTGCGCTCTTGCCGCCCCTTCGAAGCGTGGTCTCCACTTTCAGCAGGACTCAGCACGCGTTTCTGAGCTGCTCGGCCGTAGCCTGGGAAGCAGCAATGACGCGCTCAGCGGCGTCTTCCACACTGCTGCGGTCGTCAACTGTGGCCTCAAGGGAGGGGTGTCAGGTGTGCAAGACGGCCGCATTGCGAAGGACACTGAGGGATGGGTACTCTGTGTGGCCAGCAAGTCAAAGGACGTACGCTTCGCGCCAGAAAGCACCATCTACTTACTGCGGTTTGCCAGCTTGCTCATCCCAATGTTGCTCGAGTCGGCAGCAGCGGCCGAGGCAGCGGTGGCTTCATCTTCGCCCTCGCCCAAGTGGTCCACATCGCCGTCCGGCGCAGCCTCTGCTCTGCCGGCTCATCTGATAATCAACGGCGGGCGAGCCCGCAGTGCCTCGCGTGTGGGCTCTACCCCTTCACCGCCTGGAGGTCGCATGGATGCGCCCTTGGGACCGGCGTCTTCCTCGTCGTCTTCTTCCTCTTCCTCCGCAAGGCCTCGCTGCATGAGCCCCGGTATGCGTCGAGGCGGAGGCGCACCACCACCCCTCTCGCCTCCTCCCAACGAGCCACTGCCTCTCCTCCCCAGCACGCCCAGCCCAGTCATCGCACTGCGCAACCTACCGAGCATCTCCGGTACCTCTACCAGCAAAGCTCCTCCTAGCAAGCCACCCAGCGCTGCTCTGCCACCAATTCCTCCTCCTCGTTCCACAGGCGCACTTCTGGCTGGCGTCACGTCGAATGAACCACCTTCTTCCATCGCACCATCCTCAACGATAGATCAGCTCAGCCAGTTGACCTCGCTCCCTTCGATGAATTTTGCCGACCTAGGCCGCGAGTGGGCAGGCAACTATGATGAGGAGGGGCGCTACGATGATGATGACGAGGACGACAAGGATAGCGAGGATGGGCTTGACTATCTGATGGAGGCACCTAAGCCTCCCAGACACGCGTACAAGGCGGCCGTCATTGCAGGTGGAACGCGCGAGTGATCACCGAGCACGCACGCTTGCCGGACCCCACTACGCTCCCTCGATCTGGCCCTCCATTACCACCCCAACCTCTCGCTGCTTACAAAGTGTGGACTCAAGCACATGCATCATTACTTTCACCCAAGGACAGCAAGTCGCGCCATGTATCACATATACGCTCATTAGTCACGTTCCTGATTCTATCTGGTCTGCTCTCTCTGCACTACAGCCGATGGCTCCCGCTTTGGCTCGCTTTCTCTGCTATGGCACTCATCCATTCTTCTCTATTGTATCCTGGACAATACCAAGCTCAAGCATTTGTCATTCCCTCGATTGACTGTTTGACTGATGAAACGCTCAGCTTGATGACAGTGATGACAGCCAGGCTGTCCTGCGCTCGAACTCGTCCGCGCGCACAGCAGCAGGCGGATACTTGCCCTGAGAATTCGCCAGCGTCTCGGCTGCGGCTACGACCGCGGCCTCCTTATTCCAGTCATACCGCAGCAACGCTTCTTTCAGCGCAGGCGAAGCATTTGTTGCCATTGTTCGGCCAAGCGCGGCACGACGTCGCTGACGTCGCTCGTCCTGTGTGCCCTCCGAACATAAGAAGCGTGATACGCGATGAAGCGCCACACGCGGCATGAGCTCCTCATCGCCTCGAGAGACGTCCAAGCGATTGAGCAGAGCCCCAGCGTATGCCCGTAGAAGGTCGTCTGCCTCTTCCCCCTCCTTCTCCTCCTCACCGGCAAGGTAGGCTCTCAACGCACCTACACCGCCTACGTCGTCAATTCTGACCTTGAGCGTCGCAAGCAGATGCTCATGGTCCCTCCAGATCAGCCGCCTATAGTCGGGCGCAGGGTACTGCTTCATGGCCAATGGCGGCATCAACGCAGCAGCGAATAGCGGGTGCCCGTACGAGATGGCGTCATATAGGGCAACGAGGTCGGTGTAGAAGGAGTAGTATGTCGCGGGTGGGGCCGAGGGGTCGGTGCTTGCTAAATGGCAAGCAGCGAGGTCTTCTAGGGTCGGACACCGCATCCTTTTCTCGGTAGCTTCACGGGCCGCTAGCGTTGCAGCCAGCTTCATAACCTTCCCAAGGAGAGGCTCAACCTCTTTGTCACGGAAAAGGTCTTTCCCCGTCACCGCGCCCGTCCACTTGCTTAAGTCGCCTTGTAAGCCAGACTCAAGCATAAAGACCTTCTGGCACGCAAACCAGAGGTGCGACGAACACAATCCACCCACCGCATCTGTCTCCAGTAGTTGCTCCACGCACCACTCGGCAAACAGGAGGGTTTCCCTCACCACCTCTCGCTCATTCGGGTCCCATCCTTCGTCGGGCAAATTGTTGGCCCGATTGAACACTGCGGCCTCTGCTGATCGCAGCAGGTCGTCGAGAGGGAGGAGCGGCCAGTCTGGTCGCAGGGAAGGGGAGAGGCCCTGTGAGGCAGGGCAGGTCCAAAGGAGAGAGGAGGTGGTAGGATCGGTGTTGTCGGCTTGAGAGGTCGCTGCAATGAGACGCTGCAGGTGACTGCGGCCACTTGAGCTGGACGGTAGGGAGGTTCGCAGCGTCATTGTGCGCTTCAAGTCCGCAGGCCTGCTCTCTATGGGTGGACGGAACAGGGGTCGCTGAGCCTCGGTCTTGACATTCGGACGGATGTCGAGGCATTCGAGGAAGAATGGCGTGAGTGAGCTGAACGCCGTCGGGGTTGATGGAGAGATAGCTGCTGCCGCTCGGATCTGTAATGCACGGATCGTTCTTAGGGCAAGTGTCTCTTCGCCAGCTCTGAGGAGATGTAGAATGGCGAATAGGTCAGCAGTCGAGCCTTGGCTGCTGAGAGCCACTTCAATGGCCAAAGAGAGAATCGCGAGCCTCTCGCTTGGTGTCGACGAGAGACTGAGGGCGCCCTCGAGGTCTTGGAGCAGTTCTGTCGAGGCCTCTGCAACCATCTGCTGGCTCTGAGCGGGAGAGAGCGAAAGGAGCATGTTGCCAAGCTGGCTGCCCAGAACGAGCTTCTCAGAAGCGCTCAGACCCTCTTCTTCGTCATCCCCCAGTCCGTCGCCATTGGCTTGGTGTTCCATCGCGGAGGGCACATCAAGCAGACCCTGCAGCTTGCTCTGGAAGATGGTCTTACCACACACTTCGCTCACCACGCCTTGGACCTGCTCACTGAACTTGCCCTTGAGCGCAGGCGCATTGACGTCGGCGCCGTCCAGCCAAACCTTGCAATGTCTCGACGCAGCAGCGAGCACCATCAGGCGTTCTTCGGCGATGGGGTTACCTACGGCAGCCTGCATGACGTCTAGACTTCCTTCAATCCATCCCTCCAACTGGGTCCACGTAACCTCATGCTCAGGAGTAGTCTGGTGCGGGTCTGTAGCACAGACGGTCCATGTCGTCAAGAGGTCGTAGTAGCTCTGCAGCAGTCTCGCCTCATTAAGCTTCAGCGCCTCTTTGCCCCGCAATCGCTGCAAAGCCCAAGGCTGCACAGGCTCGAGCAAATCCCAGCATCGCGACACCAGACTGGCGTACATGCCATACTTTCCCAGATCCGTGAATAGATCCAAGCAGGCGGTGAAGAGCTCAAAACCCATGGCTCCCTCCCTGGTTTCTTGCTCTAGCTGCCAAGGTGGTATGGCCACGTACCGCAATACACAGTCGATGCTCTCGCGCTGCACGAGGGCTTGGGCGTTCATTCGCGATGAGCAGACCAGGCTGCGCAAGAGGTTGATTGCGCGTGAAACAGGTTGAGAGCGGGAGGACGGCCAGGGCAGCTTGAGAGTTGAGGCTAGGAGGGATTCGAGGAGCTGCGAGGATTGAGGCTCGACAAGAGCATCTCCAATGTAGTCGTCGTAGTCAACTAATTGTATGAGTACGGCGACGATGAGCTCCCTGCTTGAGTTACGCTCAACAGTGTCGCCGTTGAGCACGTTGTGCAGCCCGGAGAGGAGGCCAGCGTCAAGTATTTGCGCGCAGATACTGCGCGGCTGATCTTGCTCTGGCTCTACGTCTTCATCTTGCGGCATTGAGGACTTGACCTCCGTCTCGAGAGCGCCAAACGAAAGCGCGACACGCAGGCAGCTGAGTGCGGCGTGACGCACACTGAGCTGTCGATCATGCAAGGCCAGGATGGCGGCCAGGGCTGCGTCGAGGTGAAACTCAAGGCGGACCAATTCTGTGGCGACGAACCGTGGGGTGGGTGCTTGGCCGGTGGGTAAAGATGAGGGGTTGCCTGCTTTGCTCTTTGAAGCTAGCTGCGCTCCGTATCTCGCAGCAATGTTACTGATGATGCCAAGAGCTACACTTCTTTGCGCTGCTATTGTGCTGCGCGCCAGCAGCAAGACTGATGTAGTCGAGTAGCCTTCCTGATTTCCACTCGTCTCATGGAGATTGCCGTGGTCGTTTGAGGCAGACTGATGCCCTAAGCCAGAAGCGGATATCGCTTTGCCTTGTGCGTCGAAGAGGAAGCGCGGCCGTGAGGAAGAGGGCTTCATTACTGCTGGGCCTGGTGAAGAAAGAAGAGGCTGTGGTGGTGTGGATTGAGGGTCGGATGCCTTCTCCTCTTGCCTCTCGGGCGCCTTCGTGACTCCATTCTCAGCTTTGCGATTCTTCAGCCCCTCCAAGACGTCTTTGCCAAACATCGCCTCCAGATCCTTGAGATCCTGCTCGATATCCTCAGTCTTCATGCCTTTAATCTTTGCCTCGTTCTCCGTCGAGATCGAGCGCATGAGCGGATCGATGTCTGACGCTGCGGCGCCCTCAGCAGCAATGTCGCCATTGCCTACTCCATCATCGCGGGCCTCAAGGGTCCTCGCTGGTGGTCGAGCTGCTGTTGAGCTCTTCTTGATGATTCCCCCAGGCGGCTGTCTTCCTTCCCTCTTGAGCCTGGCCTTGCGGAACGCACTCATTACTGTGCCATCCTCATCCAGCCACTCCTCATCCACATTGCGACCGCTCAGAGAAGTGACCTCAGGGTCGGCACTAGGCTTCTCAATCGCGGCGAGCTCGCTAGACCTCGGCAGGCCGGTTGTGGCAGCCAGCCCAAAAGATGAGCCTTCGTCCTGCGGAGGCTGTACCGAGGGTGCCTTGAGCTTTGGAGGGTTGAGCGGTCTCGATGTTCTTTGGCCCACATTCACACTTGCTGCCTGCCTCTCTGCCTCTCTGACCGCCTTGAAGCGCGAACTACCAGCTGAGGAGCCAGTGACGTTCTCTGGCGTCGTCGGCTGCGGTCTTGCCTGCCTTGTTCGCTCTTGCACGCCGCCCATGACTGGGCGCATTGGTTGTGGCGGAGCTGCACCTCGCAGTGAGGTAGATAATCCAGCTTCTTCAGCATCAAAATCCAGCTCGAATCGCCCAGCAGGCAAGCCGTCGCCGTCCTCCTCATCATCCTCCCCGTCTGGCGGCCTCGACAAGAATCTCCGCTGCATGAATCTCGACGCTTGATTAGTCCCCGGCTGAGCAGTGGGAGCGGATCTTTCCTTGGGAGTAGGCTCAAAGTAGCGTACATCGTCCTGAGAAGGCTGAGCTATCTTGACCGTCTTCTTTGGCCCACCGTTTTGGCGATCAGCTGCGCCCTTGGCCTTCTTGAGGAGGGACGGCGGCGGGACATTGCGGGATGAAGAAGCAGCCGATGGCCAATCGATATCGTCTGATTGGGAGAGGTCCTTGAGTGATGGCCGAATGCTCTCTCTTGAGGATGATGGGCCGGACATGGCTCTTGATGGAACGAAAGGAAGGGCCAGAGAGCTGCTCTCTGGATCCAGGGCCTCCTCCGCTTCCACTCGACTTTGTCCAGTTCCGGCAGTCCGTCTCTCGAGCCACCCGCCAAAAATTCGAGGTGGTTGCCTCTTCCGTCGATTCGTCCCGTCACTCTCTCCCCTCACCAACACCATCTCACCCAACAATGAGGCAAAAGCGCTCAAAGACCTATCGCAAGCTTCTCTCTTCGTACATCCTTCACTTTGGCTTCCGACCCCCCTTCCAAGTCCTCATAGACGCCTCCTTTGCACAGACCTTGTCTGCCCTCCATCTGACGCCGGAGGAGACATTGAGCCGCCTATCGGATGTGCTGCAGACTTCGCAGCTCTCAAAGGGCAAGGTCAACAAGCAGACGGCGTATCAGAGGCATGCGAATGGAGCTGGAGGGATTGGAGGTGGTGGGATGGGCAATGAGGAGATCAAGCTCATGATCACACAGTGCAGCATGGTCGAGCTGTATCGCTCCGAAAAGGAGGGCCCACTCCAAAAGGGAGCCGTAGAGCTCGCAAAGACCTGGGAGAGGCGTAAATGCAACCACCGTGAAGCTATACCCGGGGACGAGTGTCTGGAACAAGTGGTAGGCCCCACGAACAAGCATCGCTACATCATTGCAAGCGATTCGCAGACTCTGAGGAGGGAGCTGAGGGAGAAGAGTTTGGGTGTGCCCGTCGTGCACGCTAATCAGAGTCGGGTGATTGTGCTGGAGAAAATGAGTGACAAGACGAGGCAGAGGATTGAAGAGATTGAAAAGGCCAAGTACGGCGGCACCGCTGTTGCCTCATCCTCGATTTCTTCTGCGGCCAACATCATTGGGGGCAGCAGCAGCGAAAATGCCGATCCCTCAAACTCGACGTCAGCTGCAGCGTCCTCATCTACGGGCATCATTCGCGGAGGCAATCGACCCAAGGCACCCAATCCGCTTAGCAACCGCAAGCCAAAGAAGGTCCTCGAAGAAGAGAAGCGGGAGAAGGAGAGGAGAACGAGAGAGATCGAGGAGAGAACCGAGGCCAACAGGCTCAAGAAGAGGAAGTTGGAGGAACAGGAACAGGAGCAGCAACAGGAGCAGGCGCGGGCGCCGGCGAAGCAGATGGATGGGCCTGCCAAGGAGGATGTCAGAGGGGAGGAGAAGCGAGTTACGGCCAGGACGAATAGCAAGGGGTCGACCAAGATGAACGGTCAAGCGAAGGAGAAGGAGGAGGATAGAGGAGTCGACGAGGACGGCCCGTCCAGAAAAAAGCGCCGCAAGCGTGGAGGCAGAGGTGGGTCGAGCGCAAAGGAGTCAGCAGCAGCAAGCACTTGATTGTAGCGACACTAGTAGGTGTAAGAAAGATAATGTCACAGTCGGCGGTCAGCTCGCACCGCGGCCTTAGAGGAGGTCGAAAAGGTCCTGCTTCTTCTGACTTGCCCCTCCCGCCTGACCACCCATTGGCGGCTTGCTACCGCCACCACCCCACACTCCCATTCCACTCTGCTCCTTGGCCAAATCAGCCATCGTCTTCTTCCCTGTCGCTCCCGCACGAGTAGAGCTACCGCTGTTCGAAGATGACCAGAGGTCGTCAAAGCCTGAGAGACCACCAGAGGGCTTGGAGGCCGTGGATGCTGACGTCGCGGAAGAAGCGGTTGAGCTTCGCTGCTGGGGTGAGAGGACAGAGCTGCCACCGAGAGAGGAAGCGGAGGGGTTGGAAGACATGGCTGGGCGCATCGGTGGCGAGAGGGCCGAGGAGGGTTGCGCGCGTTGCTGTTGAGGGGCTGCCGATGGCGCAGAGCCGAAGTCATCCCCGCCGAGGAAGTCGAAAACGTTGTTGCCGCCTTTGTTGCCGTTCGACGATGCTGCTGGAGCTTTGGCGGCTGGAGCGGCCGGGGTAGCTGCAGGAGCCTTACCGCTGCCACTAGGCGCAGCCTGGAAATCGTCAAAGTCGTCGCCAAACGCGTCCCCCGATCCACTTGCCGCAGGAGCAGCAGGGGCAGCAGCCTCCTCATCATCGAAGGAGAAGAGGTCTGCCACCTTGGCCTCTGCCTGCTTCTTGCCCTTCGATGGAGGCGCAGGAGCGCTCCCAGTCCTTCGCGAAGAAGTTGAAGCTCTAGCGCTTGGAGGCGGCTTGCTGGCTGCGGCACCGTCCTCATCATCTCCCGCATCGTACTCGTCGAAGCTCTCCCTTGCCCCTTCTCCTCCCCCTCCACCACCACCGCTACTGCTCCCTCCAACCCCACCAGCATGGTAGCTCTCACTGCTGAAGCCACCGTATCGACCTTGTCCAGAGCCCGGAACGAAGTCCGAGTTGCTCACACCTTGGTACTTTTGGCGGTTGGAGCGAGCTTTGCGACGCTCTTGGCGAATGCGGTCTACGTCGGAGAGGAGGTCGGCGAGCTCTTTCGCTCGATTGCGGACTGTGAAGTTAAGGGGAAGCGAAGGGCGGCGATCGTGAGTGTGCTGGGAGAGCGAGCTAGCATGAAGGTGGCGTGCTTACCATTGAGCCCCTGATCCTTGCCCGCCTCATCGATGTAGTGGAAGTTGCGCAAGATCTTGATCGTGCCCAGGTGAGCGCGTGCGTCGTCGACTACGCGTTCTGAGCCGTGCTTGGTGATGTACTCAAGGAGTTGAAGCGACTGCGAGTCAGGGTAGCAGGGGCGAAGGAGGGTTGAGCGATTGCTCCAGCTGGGACCATTTCATCTCTCGGCAGCTCACCTTGTAGATCTGACGCCATTCCCTTGCCTCTCTGCGAAGAAGCGAGCGAGCAGACAGCTCCAAGTCAGCCACAGCAATTCACTATACTCCTTCTCTCATGAATGCTACCCACCTCTCCATGAAGTTGCGAAAGATGCACGGCATGATCTCGTTGAAGTCCTGGAAGTTGTGGGTGGCACCTGCAATCTCCTGCATCAACGTGGACGAGGCGCCCCAAGGGTCGTCATTGGTGGCCTCGTTGACTTTGGCCTCGATCTCGGAGATATTGAGAGCGTAATTCTTTGCTTGAGTCCAGGCTGACTTGATGTCGTAGAAGGTCAGATTGGCAATCTTGTTGCCGCTGAGGTTGGGGAGGGAGGCAGAGGCGAGGCGTGGGCGTAGCCAAGGTGGCAGCGGTGGTGGAGATGGGCAGTGAGATTGCCAGGGGGACATGGCGATGTGCACGACGAAGAGGCAAAGGTTGTGATGGAAGGAGTGGGCGGTCAGCTATCATTGTGTCGAAATGGTCCTGGAGCCTGCTGTGGAGCTCACAGATCGTCGAGGTCCTGGAAGCAATGGGGCAGGCAGAGGGCAATGGCCAAGGTGAGTGATCAATCAGCCGCGAAGATAGCTTACTGCATCGTCGTCTTGCTCACCATGATCGCAGCTTTGTGTGATGTGATGGATGAGGAGGGTGATTAGAAGGAAGGAAGGAAGGAGCCAGAGTGGGTGTTGGTTCATCGACGTCGAAGTGGACTTGACTGGCTGGCCGAGGCGCGGCAGGCGGCGGCGCACGCCCCCGCAACCAACGCCAAGTCGAGAGAGCGACCCGCGCCACGGCCACAGCCATGGCCACGACGGCTTGGCTGGCAAAGACCTCGAGATGAGCGCTATGAGGCGATCAATCAGGCGCTAATGTGGTCAGACGTGATCGAGAGGAAGAAAAGATGGCATCGAGTAGATTGGAACTTAAGTAAAGCAAAGGAGAGCAGATAAGGTAGAGACGACAGGGACAGTGGGCGCGGGAAGAGTATCGAGTCAAGTCTCATCAGGCACTGGCAGCCAGCTCGCGAGGAGCTACCTGAACACCAGCTGCAACGTCGACCTCCCCGCCCTCGGCCTGCTTAGGCTGCGCAAGGACAGACTGGACACCGAGCAGCTCATCAGTCCAAAGCGGCTGCGACGCCTCATCCTTCTCGGCCTCGACGAACAAGTCGGCGAGAACGTCCTCCCCCTTTTTGGCGCTACGCAGCTCCTCAACGCGACGCAGCCCCAACTTGTTCCAAACATCGTCCAGCGCCTTGACCAGGTGCTCGACATCAGCCGTCGAGTGACCCGGAGTGGGGGTGATCCTCAGCCTCTCCAGTCCACGAGGGACGGTAGGGAAGTTGATAGGCTGGACGTAGCAGCCGTGCTCCTCGAGCAGCATGTCCGAGGCCTGCTTGGCCTTCTCTGCCGATCCGACGAGGACAGGCACAATGTGCGAGGGGTTGTGCTGCAGCGGAATGCCTGCGGCGATCAAGGCGTCCTTCGTCTGGCGCGTGCGCACTTGCTGGAGACGGCGCGTGTGGTTCGACTCCATGAGAATCTCAACTGCCGTGGTGGCACCAGTGAGGACGGCGGGAGGAAGGGTCGTGGAGAAGATGAACTGAGGGGCAAAGGAGCGGATCAGGTCGACGAAGCGGTTGGAGCCGGCGATGTAGCCGCCAACGTTCCCATAGGCCTTTCCGAGCGTACCGGTGATGATGTCAATGCGGTCCATCAGGCTTCCCTTTGTGTTCTGACCAGACTCCTGCAGTTCCCAGTCGAGATGCTCAGCCACACCTGCACCGCGAGGGCCGTACATGCCGACGGCATGAACCTCGTCCAGGAAGGTGATTGCACCGTACTTCTCAGCGAGGTCAAGAGTCTTCTCGATGGGGCCAACGGTGCCGCACATGGAGTAGACGCTCTCGAATGCGATGATCTTGGGCGTGTCAATGGGGAGCGAGGCAAGCTTGGCCTCGAGGTCCTCCATGTCGTTGTGCTTGTAGACCATCTTGCGGGCGCCGGAGTGGCGGATGCCCTGAATCATGCTGGCGTGATTGGACGAGTCTGAGAGGATGACACAGTCGGGCAGCTTGGAGCCGAGGATGGAAAGCGTGGCGTCGTTGGCTGCGTAACAGGAGCCAAAGACGAGTGCAGCATCCTTGCGGTGCAGGTTGGCCAGGACGGCCTCTGCCTTCTCGACGTGCTGATTGTGGCCGGCGATGTTGCGCGTTCCTCCAGCACCTGCGCCGTACTTGGCGAGCGTCTTCGACATCTCTTCGAGGACCTTGGGATGGCGACTCATGTTCTGGTAGTCATTAGCACACCAGACTGTGATCTCCTGCCCTTCCTCGGACAAGTGACCGCGCGGGAACTTGCCAGCCAACCGGTTGATGTTGTTGAAGTAGCGGTACGACTTGTCGGCGTGCTTGGCCATGATCTGCTTGTGGTAGAAGGTCTCATAATCGAACCCAGGCGTTTCTTTGGGCTTGGGCGTAGGCGGGATGCCCATACCGGAGCCTGGCGTTCTCACCTGCTTCTTGATGGACTTGGTACGGAACGGCGTCCGACCCATCGCTGCAAACGAGGCGGCTTGCTCAGCGGCAGCGGCTGCTGCAGCAGCTTTGGCGTGAGGACACTTTGCGAAATCGCCACGGCCGTCAGTGTGAACGCCTTCTTGAGCGTGAATGCGGTCGAGCTGGTTCTTGGGCGTGATGTCGCGGACCGAGGCCTCGTGAGCGGTCGAGCGGCTGACGAAACGGGCTTGCTGCTGAGCAGAGTTCATCATCATACGCATGTGAGGGCACTTGGCAGCTGCGGCGGCTGTGTTCTGGCCTCCCATTACGGCGTGGGCGATGCCAGAGCCGATGAAGGTGTTGGGGCCACTGCCAAAGAGGAAGGAGCCAGCAGCAGCCGTGGTGGCAGCGGCAGGAGCGGCAGAGTGTTGAACGGGGCAAGCGCTGATGTTGGCGCTTGCGGTGCCCTCCTCAGCAGAACCGATAGCCTCCTTCATGATGGGGCACTCCTGCGCTCGAACGGCGAGGCGAGTGGGTCCGCCAGGAAGAAAGGGCGTGTGCGACATCTTTCGAAGCTGGCCCATGGGAGTGCGACCCAGGTAGGGGCACGAGGTGCGAAACTGTCGCAGAGATGAGAGCGAGCGGTCCATGGTAGACGACTGTACCAAAGACGAGAACGGATTAGGGGAGTGGTGAGGTAGGATAGAATGGGGAGGAGTGAGTCGATGCTGCGACTGGTTGACAAATGGCCGGCGGCGGCGGGCGCGGCTTGGTCAAGGGCTGGATCAGTCAGTCAATCGACTCGAGCAGAGGCGGCGGCCACGGCAGGCGGCCTCGGCCAAAAGCAAACGCCTCGACGTCGCAGACTGGCTTTGATTCGCCGCCACCGCTCCGCCTCGCGCCGGGCACTGGGCCTGCTGTCCAGTTCAGCGCGGAATTCAGTCAGGTCAGGTCAAGACGCAGAGAACGGCCTCTGTTCAATCTCTAAGTCTAAGGCTGCTTGGCAATCAGAGCGCAAAGAAAGAGGCGAAGACCAAGGCGAGGAAGGAATAAGGCTACGAGGCGGCAGCCTAAAGTGATCGGAGAAGAGTGGCGTGAGTGATCACGGGGCCAAGAGGTCGGGGAACAGTCGTGTATCTCAACCACGCGGCTTGCTGCTGCTACGGCTAGCCTAAAACGACGGCGCGACTGCTCGCGTGGTGATGCCTACGATGCTCAGACAAGGGTTGCTCAGGCTGAAGCGCTCTCACTCGGTCCTCGACGAGATGGCTCTCTTTTGCGGTACTGAGGGTGAGATTGTACATGAGTAAAGAGAGAGAAGAGAGAACGGATGGGCAAGTGTCGGCGCCAACAAAGGCTGACGACGAGAGCGCATGCTCATGGTGTGAAACGCTGTTCGGCGTCCCGGAAACCAGCCCATCCCCGCTGACACCATCGACTAGCCTGCCCTTCATCCTACAGACCAGTCCTTTCGCTGCCCACAAAAGCGCCGCGCTTACGCAGAACGAGCGGCAGCGATGCGGCGCTGAGCAAGCTGACGCTTGTTGGCGACGCGAACGAGGGAAGAGGTGTCGGCCTTGGGAACCTCCGCGCTGGGCTCAGCGAGGTGGATCTCAATGTGGCAAGGGTGACCCTGGTACGGGTTGATGCGACCGTGGGCGCGGTATGTGCGCCTGCGGGTCTTGGGAGCCTGGTTGATGCAGATGTTGCGGATGACGAGCTCCTCACCGGTGAGGCCCTTGGCCTCGGCGTTGGCCTCAGCGTTCTTGAGCAGGTCAAGGACGAACTTGACCGACTTGACGGGCCAGCGACCTTGGGTCGTCTTGAAGACGGAGGCCTGAGGGGTACGGCCGACACCGCCGTTGAAGCGGCGGAAGGGGATGCAGGCCTTCTTCTCAGTAACGTCGTTGAGGTACGTGTAAGCCTTGGCGAGCTTCATGCCGTTGATGACGGCGATGACCTCTGCGAGCGAAATAAGAGGAGTGGGATGGTCAGCGACTTGCTCTGAACCAAGATGGCTGGCCTTGTCTTTTCTCTGAGCCCTGCCCCCCACAGCATCTCCACGCAGCACTAAATGCTGTAAGCTCATATACCACCGCCCGTGTCAGATCTACTATCCTGGCCTCTCCGCCTCTCAGAGTGACGCTCTCGAAATGCTGCCTCCCATCGTCGCTCCCTTTCTCGAGTATGATAGCCCCATGCCTTGTCAACGCCCTCGATCCACGATCATTCCCCCGCGCATGTCTAGGAGCCTGACTCGAATCAATACGCACCCCTCGCATTCTTGAAGTGCGTGCGGAGGTAGGTTCTATTAAGGGACGATTGGACATGGATGAAGAGGATCAGCGACTCCTTGTCTTCGTCTGCCTTTTCACAGGTCGTGAAGCCACTCACCCCCTGCTCTTCGACGACTTCTCGGGAGCGTCACCGGTCGACCTGATTGCGTACTTGACGGCCATTTCTGATGATGAAGAAGAGAGATAGGACGGAACCAAAAATAGGGATGACAATGGATGCAGTCGGGGATGAAGATGACCGGGAGTATGAGGAGGTTGAAGAAGAGGATGAGAGAAGAAGGGAAAGGAGGAGATGGGAAGAACGGGAGGGTGTAGGGAGAAGAGAGGGGGCCAAAATGCGAATTAGTGTCTGATCGACGATAGCCTCACGCCACCTTTACGTTTACTGTGTCGTCACAGCCACTCACCTGTTGAGGTCGATCTTGAGTTGGTGATGAGGAGGAAGACGATGCGATATTCCGACTTCGGTCCAAACTCGACGTCGCAGCAGGCGCAGGCAGGGGGAACGGGGCGGGCAGAGCTGGCTGGGCGGGGCGGCCTTGGACCTCGTGGCCCTCGACGATGCAGACGAAGACTGGCCGTCCGCCTGGTGAAAAGAGCCTCGGCGCCGCGCGCGCTGCGGGAGCCGCTCGATGGACGGACGACCAAGGCAAAACGCAGCCAATCCGCCAGACCTTCTCCCCTTTCCCTCGATCCGTCCCCCGTTACACCCCTCAAGATGTGAGTATTGGCAAACATGAGTGGTGATGGCCAAGTCATTCGCAGACCAGATCATGCCAGTCTTTGATGTGATTGTGCTCTTATGCTGCATTAGGAGCCTGGCATGGCTGTCACTGCGAAACTTCCACATCCAAACCTCCTTGAATAGACGGCGCAGTGGCTCATCATATGCTCTCTCGCCCCTCTCACAGGTCTCACTGCAAGTTTGAGCACCCTCGTCACGGGTCGCTGGGTTTCCTGCCCCGTAAGCGTGCCGCTCGTCACCGCGGAAAGTGCAAGGCTTTCCCCAAGGATGACCCCAAGAAGCCCGTCCACCTCACTGCTCTCCTTGGCTACAAGGCCGGCATGACCCACGTCGTCCGCGACCTCGAGAAGCCCGGATCTAAGATGCACAAGCGTGAGATTGTCGAGGCCGTTACCGTCGTCGAGACTCCCCCCATGGTTGTCGTCGGTGTCGTCGGCTACGTCGAGACCCCCCGCGGCCTCCGATCCCTCACCACCGTCTGGGCCGAGCACCTCTCGGACGAGGTCAAGCGTCGCTTCTACAAGAACTGGTACCGCTCCAAGAAGAAGGCTTTCACCAAGTACGCCAAGAAGCACTCGGAGAACGGCGGCCAGGGCATCGCCCGCGAGCTCGAGCGTATCCGCAAGTACTGCACCGTCGTCCGTGTCCTTGCCCACACTCAGATCCGCAAGACGGGCCTCAAGCAGAAGAAGGCGCACCTCATGGAGATCCAGGTCAACGGTGGCTCCGTCGCCGACAAGGTCGACTTCGCCAAGAACCACTTCGAGAAGACTGTCGACGCCCAGTCCGTCTTCACCCCCGACGAGTCCATCGATGTCATCGGTGTCACCAAGGGTCACGGTTACGAGGGTGTCACCGCTCGTTGGGGCACCAAGAAGCTGCCTCGCAAGACGCACCGTGGTCTCCGTAAGATCGCCTGTGTCGGTGCTTGGCACCCTGCCTCGATCCGCTACACCGTGCCCCGTGCCGGTCAGGACGGATACCACCACCGTACCGAGCTCAACAAGAAGATCTACCGCATTGGCAATGGCTCGTCGGAGACTTCGGGCTCGACTGACACGGACATCACCAAGAAGACGATTAACCCCATGGGCGGCTTCCCCCACTACGGTATCGTCAACAACGACTTCATCCTCCTCAAGGGTTGCGTCGTTGGTACCAAGAAGCGTGTCTTGACCCTCCGCAAGTCCCTCTCTCCTCCCACCACCCGCTCGGCCCTCGAGAAGGCTTCGGGCTCGCTCAAGTTCATCGACACTTCGTCCAAGTTCGGTCACGGTATCTTCCAGACCCGCGAGGAGAAGGTCGCCTTCGAGGGTGCTCGCAAGATCCGCGTCCTCCCCACGACTACCACCTCGTAAATGTTTGGGACGTCAGCGTGGTATGCCCACCGCCTTGCTTCCTCTCTTTTCTCTCTCACCCACTTGTCATTACTAGCATTACCTCGATGAGCAATCTCACGTTCGTCGATCAGACCAACAGCGCGTGATCTAAGATGTATATGACATTGATTGTGATGGGGAGCATGCCATGCTAGCGATTCCTTGTGCCGCCATAGCCTGTAGACGACCTTGTCCCACTCGGCCCGGCCATTGAGTCACCGCCGTAGCCGCCCGTGCCTCCTCCACCGGTCCATCCTGCTCCCAGCCCACCACCTCCAAAGCCTGCGGCACCAGCGTATGGGTCGTACTCATAGCCTCTTCGCCTGTCGCCTCGTCTGTTGCCAGCGAGCATAGAGCCCAGCACGCCTGCTGCAGCGCCTGCCGCTGCACCTGTCCAGAAGTTGGAGCCTCCGCCTCCTTGAGCAGTGCCTGATGTCGATGAGCCTGAAGGGTCCATCTTGGAGTACGGCGGCGGTGGTGCACCACCACCCCCGCCTGAGCCCCAACCTGGTCCCCATCCGCCAGGTCCACCGCCCCACCCACCCCAGCCGCCGCCACCACCTCCTCCGTACGGACCACCACCACGCCCATGCTGTGCTGCCCCTTCTCCTCTGATCGACCTCACGAAGCCCCAAAGTATCCATCCCAGCACGCCAATGAAGATCAAAGGGAAGCTGAAGCCCAAAACATCGTCGAACGTGATCCCCTTCCTCCTCCTGTAATGCATCGTCTCATCATCTGCGCCCATAGCTCCATAGGCCGGGAGAAGCTTATATGTGAGCCCGCATGAGTCCTTGAGCACGTATGGGTCACGAGGAGATTCGTATCCCTCACACGACACCTCAACGCGGCCTAGCCTGATGGAGGAGGGCAGGTCCGCCTCGCATTTCCACTGGCCATCGCCTAGACTGGTGCAGGAGACGACATCTGGTTGAAACTTGCGACAGAGCTTGCCTTCGCAGGTGAGCTGCGGGACTGGTGATGTTCTCCGAGCTGCCGTCTTGTGGCCATCGTAGAAGGTGAGGGCTCGAATGCTGTCGAAGGGGATGCGCCGGCCGGCACCGTAGTGTGGATTGGAATTGCCATAGGCGGCAGTCTGACTGGTTAGTGAGGCCAAGATGGCGACAGTTAAGGCGAGTGGTAGGTTCTTCTTCATTCTGCTTGTCTACATTGCAAAGAGGAGAGGGAAGCTGAATCCTCTGTTTCGTGTAGAGCGCAGGTGTTGCTCAGCCTTCCAGAGTGGAAGCTGCAGCCGGGTGCGTCTCAGAAAGCGGAGGCGCGATGCCCACGTGGCGACGGAAAGAGGGCTTCGATCTCGACCAACAGTGAGACATCGAGGCGCGAAGACTCGAGGCTCGTGTTCCTGTCCATTCATCATCATCACTACTTCGAGCAGGCTCACTAGCGGGCATGGCATCTTCCGCGGGCTCCTCTGCGGTCGGGCTGGGTGGAGAAGCGCCCAATGCCCTCCAGACGCTTACCCATCTGCTGGCACTGGGCACCTCAACATCGGCTGCGGACCTGAGCACCTCCGAGTCGAACCTCTCCTCATACGAGGCACATTTTCACTCTCATCCCAGCGCAGAATCGCGTCCATGGCTCGCATACCTTTACATCGCCCTACCTCGCGGTGACCTACCCATTCCGCCTTCCCATCAGGCCAACGAGGCCGCCCTAACAGCTCTCCGCACCCTAGCCATCATTCGCCTCAAGCATGCGATCGACAAGTACTGGCGAGCAGCACGCATCGTAGCTCGACCTCGTACCAATGGAGCCATTGACGTGAATCTTACGCCGGTCAAGATCAATGACGAGGATAAAGCAGCGCTGCGATCCCTTCTCCTGGAGCGCATCCTTGGCGAGAGCAACCGCGGTATCGCCCTCCAAGCATCAGTCTGCATCTCCCGAATCGCGCGTACAGACTACCCCAATCAGTGGCCCAAGTTGTTCGAGGATAGCTTGCAGGCGCTCAATCAGGCGGCAACTCGCGTGATCGGCGCTTCTGGGTCCAGCGCGCAAGGACAAGAGCTGGAGAGGAGTGCTTTGGTCATGCTGAGGGCGGCGGAGGTTGCCAAGAGGTGTACCAAGGAGCTCTCCCAGGTCAAAGTGTTGGCGGGCAAGGTCCGGATGGCCGAGGTGAGTGAATGAAAAGACAGCCTCGCATTAAGCTGCGACTGACGCCTGACCTCTCGTTGACCATCTCTTCCGCCCGCACAGCTGGCCAAGCAAATGCTCCCCTCGCTTCTCTCCTTTTACCCTCAACTATTCTCAGCTACCTTTCCCTCATCCACATCGCCGGACGCAGCTTATCAATGGGTCACATCACGACCTGCTGAGGTTCTCAACTCTCTCGTCCGCGTCAGCCACCTGCTCTTCAAGCTCATGACCGCTCTCGCCATCGCCGACATCGGCACTCTTTCAGCTCGAGCAGCCAATGACGGCAGTGAAGGACAGTCCAACCTGTCCAACGACTGGTTCAAGAGCACTCCGGGCTTTCTCGATCATGTTTTTACGCTGCGCATGTCCTTCCTCGAGGTGCAGGCTTCCCCGTCTTTAGACCAAGGCCTTGCCCGCGAGCTGCGTGCCTTGGGCCAAAGTCTCACCAAACACCTCTCAGCCTTCGGCAAGCTCTACCTCGGCTTGCTCGACAAAGACAAGTCCCGCGCAACTTCCTGGCCCGGTTGGTCCGACATCATTGCCTGGTACTGGACCAAGACAGGACAAGCTCCCTCGAGCGCAAAGGAAAAGTCGCGGGACATCGACGAAGAGGCTCTTATGCCCTACCCGTCCACATTGGTCATCCACACCCTCTTGCTGCTGCGCCGATCCCTCGAAGCCTGGCACTCCCCCTCCAATCGCGGTCGCCCCATCCCCTCCCCCTTCGACAGCGACGACTTCGCAGTGTCTACCGCGGACATCGTCGTTGACTACTTCCTGCCATTCGAGCGTTCCGCCCTCGAGAGGTGGGAGGGCGACCCGGAACAGTGGACTGTTGAGGAGGAGCAGGCGCAGGAGGACTTTACGAACGAGGTACGACCTTGCGCTGAGCGACTACTCATCGTGCTTGCGTCTAACTCCAAAGCCAGACGGGTGGGGCGAGCCATCTGGCGCAAGTTCATGGAAAGTGCCAGCTATGATGTACAAGACCTGGGACAAGTCGTGCGCAGGGATGCAGTGTACACTGCCCTGGGCCGATTGAGGGACTATCTCCCTGCGACAGAGACGGAAGGGTATGATGAGGAGCATGAGAAGATCCAAGATGACCGCATCGATGTCAGTCAGGCATTCGTGGACCGCTTGCTGCCAGAAGCAGCGCAAGTCCCGCCGGCAGTGTCTGCCTCTTGGGTCTTGATTAGACGTCGAGTCTCATGGCTCCTCTACGAGTACTCGGAGAAGATCAGCCCGACAGCTCGCGACAAGGTGTATCGCCTGCTCACACTCCTTCTGGACGCCAAGTCAGAGCTCGGTGGTGACATTGCCGTTCGACTGTCCGCCGCGCGTACCCTTGGAGCTTTCATCGACGACATCGGCTTTGATGCAGAGGTATTCCAGCCCTACCTCGAAAGCGCAATCAAGTCCCTCGCAGAGCTGGCGACGGACGAGGAGCTCTGTCTTATGGACAGCATCGCCCTTTCTACCCGCACACTGTCACTGCTCATCGAGCGCTCTGGGCCCCGTGTGGCGTCTCTCGTCCCCGCACTGGCAGACCTAGCCCCCGCCCTGTGGGGCAAGGAGTCGAGCGAAGAGTGCAAGACCCGGCCTGCCGTTCTCGCACTAGTCAAGTCCCTCCTCCGAGCCACAGAGTCTCTGTCCGCCTCCGATCCATCCCTCTCCGCCCGTTTACAAGCCCTTGTGGCTCCCTTGGTCACGTCATGCCTCCACAGCTCTCTCATTTCCCTGCTGGGCATCGACGCCCTCCAACTCTGGCACAAGGCTATCCGTTGCGCCGCCGCTATGCAAGGGGACGTGTTCAATCTCCTCGGCGTAGCGCTCGATACCACTGGCGGCACTGGCGGGCAGGGCCCTCTGACTGAGATACCAGACTTTGCGAGCGAGGTAGGACGAGTTGTGGAGGAGTACGCACTGTGGTTCGAGCCCACCCCGGCGAGCGGAGCTGGGCCCGGTGGTCTGGCGAGAGAGATGCTTCGCGCCTATGCTGCGCCGCTCTTTTCTTCTTGGGCACGGGTGCTCAATGAGGACCCGATGACTCTGTACCCTGTGCAGAGCATTGATGCGCTTGTGCAGAGTATGAGCGCTGGTGATCGGCTGGAGGCGACTGGAGGTGATATGGGCGCGGCGAATGATGGGAGTGCAGGACTGTTCGAGCGGCCTACAACTTATGCCGGGACGAATATGTTGGCGCAGGTGATGAGTGAGAGCGGGCTGTTCGAGGCCATCGTGAGGGGGACGATCCTGCTTAAGGTGAGTGAGCGCAAACAATTACCAACTTCAGCGCAACGAGCTGACTTCTCTCCTCTGCCCTTCGCCAGGAATCCTCAATTCCCTGCTCTCACTACATTCTCCTTCTCTCTCGGCTCAGCATCTCCGTCTCTCCCTCCATCTTCTTCCCCCTCCTCTCCTCAACCATCTCCAACATCCGCAGCAACCCCACCAATCCACGCGCCTCCCTTGACTCAGGTGCCGCCTCAATCGAGCCAGCCGTGATTTCCCAGCTTCCTGACGTCTTGCTCGGGCTCTGGCCAAAGAAGTTCGAAACCACAGCCGCACCTCGGCGTCGCAAGCTCATCGCGATGGGTATGTGTGCCCTCCTGCAGGGAGCGTCAGCCGCGCAAGGAGATGCATTGGCGGCCTCTGTAATGAACAGCGTAGGCGAGTGGGTAGGCACATGGCTAGACGCCCTCGCCGAGGTGCGCGAGAAGGAAGGCCCGGACTCTGCGCCTGGAATCCTCCTTAATGACGACTCCAACGACACGCCCTTCGGTGCAGGCGGGAGTGATGTAGGGGATGACGACGGGTGGCTCGAGGACACCTCATGTGGTGCAGCAAGGGCGCGCGCCCTCAATGATGCGGATCTGGGCGTGCGAGTCAGGCTGGCTGATGCCGTCAAGGGAGCACTGGGGGCTGCAGATGCTAGAGGGGGAATGTCAGGCGTTTGGCAGGCGATGGATCCCATGGTGCTGGATCTGCTGCAGAGAGAGTTGGGCATGAAATAAGCGCAGGGCAGGCGAAGCAGCGTTAGAAGAAAAGAGGCCGCTCAGAGTGGCCTCTGAGCACAGCTTGTCTCATCAGAAGCAAATCCGCACCCGTTCCATCATATCCCAATCACCAACATTTCATACAAGTTCGCTTTCTAGCATCTGCATGTCATTTTCTTCCTCATCGCGCTTACATGATGCTGCCTCCTTTCAACGCTCGATCAAACCTGTAGGGGTTCCTCGCCGAATCTACCACGCGAAGCATGAAAAGCTCATCCTCCGTAGCTGCGCCCGATCCCACACTGCCTCCCTTACGACCAGTCGCTGGCGGCGGTGAGGCCAGCCCCCGCAGCGGGTCGAAGCTTCCCACCGCTGCGCCTCCCCTGGCTCCAGGCGGGCCAGCGGGCGAAGAAGACGCCAAGCGCGGCGTGACCGCAGCAGCCGGGGCGTTCCATCCCCTACCCTCTACTCGCCTTACGTCGAACAGAGCCTTGAGCTCGGAAGTGGTCCACTGCTCAGGCAAGGCGAACGGTGTCCAATTGGATCGTTTGGCATGCTCCAGATGCAGCGGCTTCATAGTCGAGTAGGCGTGGAGGGCGGCCCCGTTTAAAGCTGAAGTTGAAGACGATTTGGTGGCATGAGCTAGGACTGCCGCGATCTCGTTCCCTGGCTGCCATTCTGAGTGAGAGCGCGAGAGGGCCGCGAGAACCATTCCTTTCTTGAGCCCGGCCTTCTCTCCTCCGACGAGCAAGCTTAATATACTGCGCACGGCTGCGAGCTCGTAGGCCTGCACGACCTTATAGTCCGGGTCGCGATAGTTCGTCGTGGAGTAGAGGGCTTGTGCGTCGTCCATTGCGAGGAGGGTTGGGACCGCGCTCTGAGAGGAGATGGAGTGCAGGAAGGCGTCGAAGATGCGTTGCGATACAAGCGGATTAGAGGAGTAGGAAGGAGCCGCCTTGAGGAGGTCTTGCACAGTCTTCTCTCCGCTCGCCTTGAAGTCAGTCCCTGGCACATCCCGTGCAAGCGGGATCTTTCCCAGTACGCCACTCTTCGCATTGACGGCGAGGGTGCTCGCCATAATCTTCTGCACCACTTCAGGCTGGAGGTACGCCTGCTCCTCAGCGGAATAGCTGAAGGGACTGGTGGAGTTGACCCAGTTGATCAACCGAGGCAGGTAGATGACGCACCATTGCGAGGCGAGTGCGTACGAGATAGATTGGAGGAGGAGATAGGACTTGCCTGTTGAGATTGAGGAAGAGAGGATGTGATGTCGCGCTGAAGAAGAGGAGGAGGTAGATGCGGAGTCCATGTGGGTGTAAAGGTCTAGGGTTGAGGAGCGGAGCACTGAGATGGGTTGAACGTACGAGGAGAGCTGCAGATGCGAGGGAAAGAGAGGGAAGTCGTGAGCATACAGGATGAAAGTGACACTCGAGGGCCACCTGCAGTTACTCACTGCCTTCTTGACCTTCGGCTCGACCCCACAAGTCTCAAAGGCCTCCAAGTCACCCTTTGTGAATGCCAAGGGCGTATCAACGTTGTCCTTCCTCGCCGAATCCGGGCTCAACTTGGTCCACTGTCCGCTCAAGTCAGGCGGCGCCCGATAGAAGGGGGTTGACAGAGCGTTTGATGAGGCACCATCAGTGGCTGAGACTCCCTTGCGCTTGGCACCTGTCGAGCGAGGGCCAGAGGGAGCATTCTTCTTGATCGAAGTCTTGCGTTTGACTTTTTGGGCCTGTGCATTGGCTGCCTTCTTGGGCGCTTGCAGTGAGGCGGTGGTGGCGATGCTGCGTGACGAGGAGGCGACAGAGGATGTAGAGGAGGGCAGAGCCGCTCGCAGTGAGCGAGCAAAGTGACTCGAGGCCATGATATATGCGCGAAGTGATCGTGGTTGAGGAGCGAGAAGCTCTGCCCGCCCTCGGTCACTCTCACTTCCTCTCCCGCCCTCGTCCGTCGGACTCGTCTCTGACAGTCGGATCGGAAGAGGGTCGACGATGACGAGTCGCGGATCAGACCTGGTTGGGTGGCTCGGGCCAAGAGACTTTCGTTCGCTGCTTCCTACCAATCAACAATACGGCTCAGCGACATCATATACCAAGATGTTCCTCACCAGGTCAGAGTATGGTGAGCACGAGAAGAGACTGCAATGGACAGAGCAGCTTGACTCAACGACTTCCTTCCCCCTTCTGCACGCTCAGACCGCGGTGTCAACACCTTCTCGCCGGAGGGTCGCCTCTTCCAAGTCGAATACGCAATCGAAGCCATCAAGCTCGGCTCAACTACAGTCGGCATCAAGACGAATGAGGGAGTAGTACTCGGCGTAGAGAAGCGCGTCCAATCCTCTCTCCTCGAGCACGACTCCATCGAGAAGATCATGGAGATCGACTCGCACGTTGGATGCGCCATGTCCGGTTTGGTCGCCGATGCGAGGACCATGGTCGAGCATGCCAGGACGACAGCTCAGAACCATGCATTTGTATACGATGAGGATATCCAGGTCAGCAGCGTCACGCAGGCTGTTTGTGATTTGGCTCTGCGCTTTGGAGAATCAGTGGCTGGGGAGGAGGCAATGATGTCTCGCCCGTTCGGTGTGGCCCTGCTCATTGCAGGATACGATGCCAAGGGAGGCCCGCAACTGTACCACGCAGACCCGTCTGGCACCAGCATCCGATACGAGGCTAAAGCTATCGGCTCAGGACAAGAGGGGGCCCAGGGAGAGCTGCAGGACAAGTACCGCAAGGACATGACCCTGCGCGAGGCCGAGGTGCTCGCACTGAGGTTGCTGAGGCAGGTCATGGAGGAGAAGCTCGACGAGAAGAATGTGCAGCTCGCCGTCGTCACGCCTAGAGTTCCAGAGGTGGGCGAGGACGGCAAGAAGATGGGAAGTGGAGGGACGGGGAGCAGGCCTAGGATGAAGGGCGGGTTCAGGATCTTGGAGGAGGATGAGGTCAAGACGCTCGTTGCCGAGATGTAGGCGGGCTACAGACCAGCAATCAAGTCATGATAAGCCAGACTCAGGAGCTTTACGGAGTGCAAGCAGACGAGACGCGCGCAAGACGATCATGATGGATGATTGAAAGCTGAAGATGCTGATGCTGATGTACAGTGAAGACGACGGCGAGAAGAAAAGGAGACAGAGAGGGCCTATGAGGCGGAAAGCTCTAAGAGAAAACGATAACTTAGGTAGTCAGGCGTGCAGACGAGCCATTCAGGCTGCCGCAATGAAGACGAAAAAGGGGCAGGAGGTGGTCGACGGTCGTGCGAGGCGCATCGTCAAGAGTCAAAAAAAAAAAAGTGTCCGTACCACGCTGCACTTCCGCCTATCTCGTCGCCAAGGCTTGGGCGGGAGCCGATCTTCTCACCTTCGCCTCTCCCCCAGCTCCCGCTGCAGACGAGGCGGTGCTCACGATCGAGGTATTAGCCGCCGACGAAGGGGCCATCGACTCGCGTGACGCTCGCCCAGCACGAGCGGCTGCGTTGCTTGGTGGGCCCCAGGCACGCAGATTGAGCGCAGAAGGTGGTCCGCCAGCTGTTGAGGTTGTCGAGGTGGGCGCGGCATTGTTGGGAGAGGGAAAAAGCCCGCGCGAGAACATGCTCGTGCTACCCCCACCGCCTCCAACCCCACTCGAGGACGCTCGTGCAGCTCCTCCGCTGCTATGCCTACTGCCTGGTGCACCGGTGAAGGACGACGCGCGCGACCCAAGCCCTCCCGCCTCTGCACTACTGAGACGTCGCGAAGTGTTGATGGACCCTGTAGGCATTCGGCGCTCAGGCCCCAGATGCGACTCGCGGCGCTTGTACGGCGCGTGCCTGTATGCCGCCCCGACGGCGAAGGGAGCTTGGTCACGGAAGGTGTTCTCGTCCACTCCGCTGAACAGGGAGGCAGGTTGAGCCGCAGGAAGTTGCTCGTCGCCTTCAGAGGCAGGATTGCGCGATGCCTTGGCCATGCTCGCTTTGGTGGGAGCGGCGAAGGAGGATGTGGTCAGAGGGAGTGGTGAAGAAGCCGGAGCGGCTCGAAGGCCGAGAGGCTTGCGCTCTTGCGCGGCTGGCTTGGCGGGCGCAAGGATGTCGGTCCCGTCGTCCCATGCACCTTCGTCATCGTCATCATCGTCTTCGTCTTCGTCCTCGCCTCCCTCCAGAATGTCATCGATGCGCCTAGATGCTGAAGCCGTCGCGCTGACCTTTCTTGCGGGGTTGTTCGGCATTGGTGCCGCCGAGCTTGGAGCAGGAGGGAGCGCTGGCATTCTGCTGACTCTTGGCTTGGACTTGAGGGCAGTCAGGACGGGTGCAGATGTCGTTGCGTCGATCCAATCTGACGACGAGGAGCCAGAGTCGGATGCGATGGATGGTGGCGGCGGGTAGTCGGGAGTAGTGGAGCGACGTGGTGCTGGCTTGTTGTTGACTACTACGCTGTCGTCTGCGAAATGGACGCCTGCTGATCGAGCAGGAGCTGTCGATTTCGTCACAGCTGCCTTGCCGCCAGGAGCTCGCTGCTGCTTGCTCACGTCAACGTTCGAGGAGCCCTTCATTGCTGACTTGAGCCCGGTATTCGCTCCACCTGGACCTGCACGGAAACCTTGTGGCATGAGGCTGGTCCTCCTCATAGGCTTGGGAGCAGCGCCAATCAGACTAGTGCGCGCCTTACGAGCGGCTGGTGACGAGGGCATCGTCGGTCGAGCCACACCAACTTGCGACACACGACGACCAGCCGGGCGAGTCCTGCTCGCTGCACCGCTGCCGGCGCCAGCCACTCGTGAGATCGAAGCACTGCTAGACCCGCTCGCCATGCTTGTCCGTCTTTTGAAGCCACCGTTAGCGGACCGCTTCCCATCGAATTGCGGCTTAGCCGCCGACGTACCAGCGCCGGCGTGTTGGTGGAAGAGTGCATCGTTCCTCGCTGCCTCGCTGGTGAGCTGGCCAGCCATAACGCGCAGATGCTTAGCCACATCCTCCCACTGCTCCTCCTTGCTTGCTCGCCATTCAAGCTCGCCCGCCGTATCTTTCATGCCCACTGTACTGCGGCATGCAGCGGTCATGAAAGCCATTGTGCCCACGAGCGCCATCCTAAAGCTCTCCCTCGACGCTCTGGCCACAGCGGCGTATCGCTCTGCATCGATCTCAGCCTTGCGGGCATCAGCGATGCTCTTGACCTTGTCTGCTGCCTCTTCATCGAACTTGCTGTTGCGAGAGGCGCTGCCGAGGTGGCCCATCAGGAGGTTGACGCGATTCTCAAAGCGGGTTTGGCCCTCCTTTGCTGTTTGCAATGAGGCGTCATTGGCGGCGGAAAGCTGATGCAGCATGTCCCGCTCTGATGTGAGGTCGGAGGGCTCATCCTCGCCCGGACTGGCACGCCCGTGATGCTCAGTAAGCAGGCCGTCGATCGCAGCCAGCCGCTCACGGTAGACGGCGGCCATTGTCTCTGCTGCTCTCACAGCGCCTTCGAAGTGCGCCTCGTTGTGGACTATCTCTTTTGCCGTGGCAGCCTTGCGCCCAATGGCCGAAACAACATCGCCCACCTCTGCCTTGCACTCGCGCTTCCTCTTGCGCTCCTGCTCCGTCTCCATGCCTCCCTTCTCCGTGAGCTGAGCTTTGAGGTTTGCCACCTCTTGGCGCAGCTCGTGAATCGTCTGCACGTACTGCGCCACATGACGGTCGACATTGATGAGGTTCTGGCTGACCTTCGTGCGGATGTTCTTTGCCTGATTGGCATACTTGAGCGTATTTGACGTCTCGTCGTAATGTCCCGAGCTTGGGCTGACGCAGACAATCATGACCGTCTTGCAGTTTCCGCCCAAGCTGAATTTGAGCAAGCGGGTGAGCTTCGAGTTGCGATAGGGGATGTGACGACCTTTCACGCCCACCCCACCAGCTTGGCATAGGGCATTGATGCAGTTGCCTAGCGCGAGGAGGGACTTGTTGATGTTTGCTCCTTCTTTCATGCGGGCGCCATTGTTGCTCGTTGCTGCAGCTCGCTCACTGCCTGCGAGGTCAATAATATTGAGCGAGGCTGACGTTGTCTCGTCTGTGACGTCGCCCGTCTTCGGGCGCTGGGTGACATTGATCTGCAGGACCGCGTGAGAGCGAGAGGAGACGGCATTGGCTTCGGTCGGGCTCATGGTGCGGCGCTGATTACCCTCCTGGATCATCTGAAGAACGTGCTGCGGACTCTCTGGGGTATGCTCAGTGATGCCAATGACGCTGATCTTGTTGGCCTGATCTTCTCTGAGCTGCAGACCCTGCCCGGGTGGGGTGGGTTCGTCGGACAGAAGGTCTCTGATCGTCTCATTATAGATCTCGAGATATGATAGGCGGACATTGACCTCTGAGTCTGCCTTTGAGTCTGCAATGCGCTGATAGAGTTCCTTCATGGTGAGGAAGATGACGCCAGGATCTTCTGGAGTACCAGAGATAGTGTGTGTCTTGCCGCAGCCTGTAGCTCCGTATGCGAAGACGCTGGCATTGAAGCCATTGAGGATGCCGTCGAGGAGTGGGCGGGTCGTCCCCTCGAAGACGTCGACCTGTCCGCACTTGTCGTCAAAGACTCGGTCGAAGGCGTAGCGCATGTCCTTGGCCTGCGAGGGGTATGTGCGAGAGGATGGTCAATCAGGGGTTTCATGCTTTGCGAATGACACGCAAATGAGACAAAGCGAGTACCCACCCTCTTCTGGCCGTGGCTCATATAGTTGGCATGAGCATGATTGTAGAGCCGGGAGAGCGGGTTGTTGTCCGGCGGGTCAAAGATGAGGACCTTATCATCAACGGGCGAGATGATGGGCCTCAGGAACCTCGTACGCAAGCCAGGTGCGCCGCCCAGCGGCTTAGCTGGCGAGCCTCCGAGGCCACCATCGCCCAAGAATGGGAGCGGTCCCGCTTGAGGGGCAAGCTGAGCTGCCTCCTTCTCGGAGAAGGGGCGAATGCGGACAGTTACGGTGATGGAGGACTCGGACATCGTGGTTGTGCGAAGCTCTTGCGACGTATTGTGTGGCTGGATGCCATCAGATGACGAGTGGAGAGTGCGTATATGCTGCCGCCTCTTGCTCTCCGACGACGCCGGTGATGGTGGTGATGAGGTTTCGATAGGTGGTGGTAGTATCGAAGGCGGGCCGGTGTTGGTTCCCAAAGACTTCTCGCCCGCTCCGACTCGGTAGACAAACACTACGCGTCTTTGGCTCAGACGTGCGAGGGGGACGAGGATCCCACGTGGAGGCAACATCGACGAAGTCTCAGTCCGCCTCGCCGCTCCCGAGACGTGCGTGCGTTCTTCTTGCCATCATCAATTCGCCATCATCATGTCCCTCACATCGCTGTTGGCCAGCATTGCGGTCAAGGCCGCCGGAGTAGAGTCGGCGCCGTCTGCTCAGGGTCCTGACGCCCCTGATCCTGCCCTCGTCGTGCTTCAAGATATTCGCAGAGCCAGTCAGCTCGCTGATTCCCTCTCCCTCTACTCGGACAACGACGGCCTCGATGACCTGCCGACGTCAACGCTGCGACCGCTACTTCTCCACTCGGTGTGGGCAGAGGTCGAGACAAGGGTGCGCACGAAGCCAGGAGATGTAGACGCAAGACGAACCTGCCTGCAATCCGCCAAGGTGAGGACAGCTGCGGCTGTCGCGATTCTCTTCATGTGCTGCGTGCTAATCTCATCTATCCCGCCTGCCAGTCTCACTATCTTACCTATATCAAGACTCTGTTCGACCTCGGCGTTTTCTCCTCATCCTCCAGCTCATCCTCCTCGTCCTCTCAGCAGTCTCCGCTGCACCTCCTCGCCTCCCTACTTCGCCCCTACGCCACCTCAGCTTCGTCTTCTTCCTCATCCGGCTCGACGTCAATGCCCACCAACCCGCATCAGCGTCGCGAGCTCAAAGTCGCTCTCTTCAAGCTTGAGCGCAGCTTTAAGTCTGCTCTAGACGAATATCGCCATGCAGCGCGAGAGAAAGCAGGTCTCCAGGCGGGGGCAAAGCTGAGCGTGCCCGGAGCTGGTGCGACCTCTGCGGGTGGCAACAGCACCGAGACTGTCGCGCAAGAGCCAGACGAGGCACAGTGGGACTGGCTCGTCCTCCCCAAGCGGGCAAAACGCAATGAGCGAGGCGAAGGCAGCGATGACGAAGATGAAGACGAGGACGAAGGTAGCGATGCATTCGTCATGCCTGGCGGCAGCAAGGCCGCCTCCTCATCAGGCAGCATCGAAACGCCGCACAGCTTGCGGGCCTATCTCGTCCTCTTGCTACGCTATCATGCTTTGCTCGCGCTCAATAACCTTGGGTTCATCGATGACGAGCTCAACTTGCTCGCCAATATACCCGCAAGCGCGCAGAGGGACGCAGCTGAAAGGCAGGCGAGGGAAGAGGCCGAGGCGGAGCGTCGCATGGGAGGTGGGAATGATGACTTCCGAGTCGAGACGAGATTCGACGCTGCGGCTCCCGGCCCGCTGATGGACGACAAGGGTAAGCCTTTGCGTCCATTCACCATCACGAGCGGGCAGGGAGGCGCAGCTGGTAGCGGCAGCGGTAGTGCTAGCAGCGGCAATCTACCCATCCGCGAGCTCAACGAGCGTCAACGTATCCGGGACGGGGTGTTCCGCCCACACGAGCGTCTACCCACGATGAGCATCGACGAGTACCTCGCTGAGGAGCAGCGACGCGGGAATGTCCTCACTGGCGGCGGAGCAGAAGGTGCAGCGAAAGCTACACCAAGGGAAGAGAGGAGCTTGAGAGCCGAGATGGATGGGACTCGCGAGGGGAGGGAGGCGCAGGATGAGGAGCGCGAGGAGAAGATAGAGTGGGATCGCTTTACTGAGCAGAATAAGAGGGGGGCAGGGAATACGATGAATCGTGGGTGACCTGATGAGTAGAAGGAGAGAGGGAGACGAGGGATCAATGAGAAGGAGCAGCATGTCCTGTGAGCTTTCACCCAGAGCTTTGCTTGAGCTTGCTTGCGTCAATTCACACCGCCGCTGTTGTCCTGGCAGACAAGCGAGTAGATAATGGATGACATTAGTGAGGCGAACATATGCTGAGGAGGGTGGCTCGAGACGAGAGAGACGAGATATTGGAGTGAGGCGGTATTGCTGAATATACTGGATATGTCATGCTGATCGTCTTGCGAGGCATTGAGTTACTGAAGGGAAAAAGAGGCTTGCAATCGATGAAGCTTGGAGCTTGGTGCTCTCAGTAGTATGGCGGCACTTCCACATTGAGCCTTCTGCAGTCGCGCTCTTGATCGCATCATCGCTGCTGTCGGGCTTCTCGACAGAGAACGTGCGTTGTGAAGTCATCGACGTGGTCCAAGACCTCTCCATCAACAGAAGTGATGAGTTGCGTAAGCTCAGCACGCTTCATGCTGCCAGGCCGACCAACGATGACGATTCGACAGCCATCGAGCACACCTCCATCGCCAGCGTCAGCGATCGTTGTGGGCGAGCTGCTGCGCAGGATGTCAGACTGCTCGCGGGAAGACATTGGAGAAGGTCGTGATCTCAGGACGATGGGAGGGGAGATGATCTTAACATGTTCAAAATGAAAGAGAGAAGCGCAGACGGCGGCACTCAATTGCACTGTGCTTGACGAGCCGCTCATCCGGCGCGCTTGTGATGTAGGCCGCACTTCCGAGTGTCGCGTCTACGGTGGGTGGATATGACTTTGATTACGACGAAGCTGGGGAATGGGGGCTTCTGAAGACCGACAGATGAATATTCAGAACAGATCATCGAGGAGAGAGAGAGAGAAGGAGCGCGAAGACAGAAGCGTGATAAAGGTGGAATAGTGTGTATCTGTGCATGCTTATGAGCCGGTATCGCTGGTTTCGGTAAATGCATTGGGATTTGTAGACTGGTGTCTTGGCGCGCCGGTGGCGAAGAGGGAGAGAAGTGGGCGGGCCTAGTAGTCCCTCTCATCGATGACGTTGAGCCTGAACAGGTACCTGAAGCGGCACTGTGACTCGGAATAGATGATCAGCTCATCGTAGAGCAAATCCAGATCGAGCTCGTCATGCTCCACTGGCGTGCCCGCAGGCATCTTCACGCCTCGAAGTTCCTGACGACCCAAGTGCTCGGCGCAATCCACCCAGTCGCTCGTGTCATTGTAGCGGGTGGAACCCTTGCCGTAGGTGGAGTGCTTGCCCCGAGCCGAGACCTTCGCAGCAGCATTGCCATCAGAACCCTTGCGGAGGAGCGGCTCTCCAAGTTGGGCCTCGCAGAGAAGGACCAGACCAGTGCGGTCACTGAGGTAGGACTGAGAGAAGAGGAGAGGACGGGAGATCAGCTCAAAATGCCTGGCCACGAGAGCGGACAGGTTGAGATTGAGGAATGGAGTGACGGCGAAGTCACCCATGACTCATACTCAGCCGATCGAGATGCCTCACATGGCAGTAGTTGATTGACTTGGTCGAGATGTCAGCGAGGTAGATTCCCTTGCCAAACATGTACCCAGAGACGGGAGCCTCGGGCGGGGCAATGCGAAGACCTTGGGAGAGAATGCCAGCAAAGTTGGCGGTGCGGCTTCCATGCCAGAGCAGCTGGCGATTGTCTGGCTGAAGTTTCTTCCATTCAGCGAATCTCTCTTCTTCCCCTTCTCGCTCAATGCGGAAGATTTCCGCGACAGAGTGCTCGATGTGGTGGCTCCATCCCTTCTGGAGGCAATACTTCTCGAGTCTCTTGAACTCGTCCGAGTCCTTGTCCAAGGGAGCGATGGTCTTGAGCTTGAGATTGGCAAAAGCCTGGTCAATGTTGTTGACCTCCTTGCTTGAGGGCTTCTTCTCGAGGATGCTCATGCCGACTGTCATGTGTCTCAGAGTGTCGACTAGCTGCGTCTCGCGCTCAATATCTTCCTGACTGTCGATGCGGGGAAGCCTCGACTCGCGAGGATGTGCATGCGGGATGACGGTGTAATACTTCGCTCCCCAGTGATCGAGGTCATGGTTGGAGCCGCCTGCAGCGATGATTCGGCTGAGCTGAGAGAGTGCCGTGTATGCACGCTCTATGGACGTCGACGTGAGCTTGCCCAGAGGCATCTGCTCGGAGTCGTAGCCCATGTCTTCGAGAGCACTGCCAGCACGGTAGGAGAAAAAAGATGTTCAGCGTGATCAACCAGACAGGCTGCCTGGCCGAGGCAGACTCACACATCAAAGAGCTTGCGCGAGAAGATGAGCTCTCCCAGATCGTAGACGCTGTTGTGCAGCTTGGTCTCGTACTTCTTGCGGTGAGCGCCTCCTGCACCCTTGCTGCCGCACTCTTCGTCTTCTACCTCTTCCTCCTCGCTGTAGTCGTCTTCCTCAATGCCACCTCGCAGAAAGGTGTACTTGCCTTCCTTGGGCGTATCATAGCGCGCAGCCCAGGCCAGACCTGTCTTGCTCCTGAATCTGGAGTTGAACGCCTTGATGACCTCGTCGACAGTTGGATGAGGAAAGAATTTGAAGTCACCGCGCTCACCTACTCGCCCCCATTTCGTCCAAAGGTAGTAGTTTTTGTCCTTTCCTGTCGGGAGAGGCGCCAGGGCCTGCTGTGCATAAAACTTGTTGTTGTTTCTGCCCCATTGAAGATTAACGAAGTTGGCCATGGAGTCGTAGACTACGCCTTGATGCTGCAGAACTCGGTGGGTGCTGGTGAAGTTACTCATCGTATCCACAGGTGGTAGACGGCGGCTTTGGCGCATAGTGGACGACTCCGCCTTGGTAATTTCGGTGCCAGACTTGCTGGCTGCTGGTGCGGAGGTCCTAGTCTTGGCATTCCTACTCTTGTCGGACGGGGCTGACTTGTCGGTCATGACCTTCTTCTTGGTCTTCTTGCGAGCTGCTTTTCTCGGTGCGTAGTCGTCGTCGTCGTCATCACCGTCGCTGGAGCTGATCTCGATGGCGTTGCGCTTGCTCGAACCACCTCGCTTCTTGGCGGCGGTGGACGCAGCCTTCTTCTTCTTGGGCTCGGCTCTGGTCCCACTGACAGTGATGGGGTAATGCTTGATGTCTTCAAGTTTGCCTTCTTCCATCGAGACCTTGAGCCAGCGACAGGGCAGGAGAGGGATGCCCATGGCTTGAGCGGTCTCGATCTCGTCGCACATTGTGGGCTTCTCGACCACGAGGACGTGCGTCGCAGGCGGATCAGCGCCGACTTTGGCTACCACTTCGCCACCTGCGTCTTCGATCCATTCACAGAGAGTGGATTCCCCATAGCGACCAGGGCTGCCGATGATAGCAATGCGGCAGCCTTCGAGCATGCCTTTGCCGTCGCCAGCAGCGCTGGAGGACTTGTGTGACGCCATGTACGGCGGACTGATTCCTTGGCGCTGAGGATGATGTTAATGCTAGGGAAGTGGGAAGCGGTTCGATGGGTAGAAGGAGTGGTGTTGAGGACGGCAGGAGATGATTGCTCGCATTTCCGGAGTGTTGGCCAGCCAGCGGGGGAGGGCCGCTTTGTTCAACGGGCTCCAAGTGCATGTCTCAACGCTCGACGCGACCTGCTTCCGTGCACCCGAGCCTCCCGCTCACTCAGCCAGCCGCCGGGGCCAAGGGAAGCAACGCAGGCCACAGCCAAAATTGGCTGGCCAAAGCGATCCAACACCCGCCAAGCGAGAGCGGGGCGCGACGCATCTTCTTCTCGTCCACATCGTCACTACCATCCACTGAGCAGCTGCGACTCGTTTGAGGCCCTCAAGTGGGCGGCTGCTGGTTTTTCGCTTCTTCACTCCATTCTTCAGCCTCCCCCTTCGGCCGATCGCCCATGATGTGGGCAGCGGCTCTGGTCATTTTGCATTGCATCGCACTCCCCTTCACTCTCCTCTCCCTTACTCCAACCTCCTTCCTGCTCCGAATCCTCGCTCATGGCCCTCTTCCTAAGCACGTTGCCTTCATCATGGACGGCAATCGACGCTGGGCTCGATCTCTACCCTCTCGCTTGCCTTCAACTTCGGTCGTCTCTGGCCACCAATCAGGCTTCCAAGCCCTCAAGCGTGTCCTGGACCTCTGCCTGCAGCTACGCGGCATCGAGCACGTTACCGTCTACGCATTTGCGATCGATAATTTCAAGCGAAAGAGAGAAGAAGTGGACGAGCTTATGGCTCTTGCGAGGCAGAGCTTGATTGAGCTAGCAGGTCATGGGGAGCTGCTTGCGCGACATCAGGCTAGGCTCAAGGTCGTGGGAAGGACTGAGCTGCTGCCAAAGGATGTGCAGGATGCGGTGAGGAGGGTGGAAGATATGACGCGAGATAACATCGGGTGAGCAGGCGGGCGAGTGTGAAGACGATAGCAGCTCAGCCTGACCTTCACTCCCCTCGCAGTCCTACGCTCAACATCTGCATACCCTATTCCTCGCGCGACGAGATGGCCGGCGCGCTCCAGACCTGCGCTCGAAACCACGCCGCCTCGCAGAATGGGATCACAGCTAACGGCGGACCCCACGCCAATGGCAACCAGACCAATGGTAGCGCTCAGCACAGCGACTGCTCTGCCTCTGCCGAGCTTCAACAACTCGACTCAGCTATGATGCTAGCCCACTCTCCTCCGCTCGACATCCTCGTCCGGACATCAGGCGTGCATCGCCTCTCGGACTTCATGCTCTGGCAGATCACGCCAGAGACGACAATCCACTTCGTGCCCACATACTGGCCCGCCTTTGGACTTTGGGATCTGCTACCCATCGTGCTGCAATGGCAGGCGATGCACTTTCACAAGTGGTGGCGCGACGGAGGCGCGCATCAGGCGGGGAAGGAGGCGACATAGCGGGACATTACATGACAAGGTGTAGATTGCATATCCCAAATATTGGGCGACCTCTGGCTCGTCTATCTCTACGCGGCACGCTCAGCCGTATCTGCGGCCACAGCGATGGCCTGCCTCTCTTCGCGGTAGGCCACAAATTGTCCCAACACGATAAAGTCGAGGACGATGGTGCCCAGCGACCCCACCAGCCAGGAAGCGGACTCGGTCAAATACTCCTCATCGGTCGACTTGATCACGATGGACGCAACGTACGTCACGTTACCAGCAACTGCAAAGAGGAATAAGGCGAGTGACAGGCCCTCGCACTTGGTCTGACGATTCTTGAAGATCTGCGGCACGCGAGACGCGAGGTAGAGGGCCGCAGAGAGCCACCCGTACACCTGAGCGTCCCAACGCCATCCTGGGCCTTCGGGCTTGGAAGGGGGGCGAGAGTCTGGCTGACCGCCGTTGCCGTACTGCTCGACAGCCCAGGCTGCCACGCCTGTCAGGAGGACGACGAGCGCTGCGAAGACGTAGCGGAGGATCTCCATGCGGAGGCTGCGAGGTGCTGATGTGGGGGAGGAGGCGGGTTTGCCTGGGATGAGAGGGGTAGACTCGGTCGCCTGCTCGTTGTTGGTGTGCGACGAAGAGGAAGGCGCAGGAAGTGCCGGGTGGTAGAAGTCGTGATGTTTGCGGTAGTAGTAGTACTGCGCGATCAATGCCACATCACAGAGCGTGTAGTACCCCGCCAGGATGATCATCGTCCATAGCAGCTCTTGCCTCCATGCGCCGATAAGGTTGAGAAAGTCGCCTGCGAGCCAGATGACGACGAAGGCGAGTGAGAGGCCATCTCCTGACTTGCGATCATAGTTCTCTTTGAGTTGGCTAAAAGACGGGAGGAGCTAAGAAAGGCGTGAGAAAGGGAGGACTGGTATGAGCGGAAGAGATTGAATGGATTGCAACGCACGGCGTGTAGACGATTACCCAGCAAGCTATTGAGATCCTGCAATGGCGCAGCAGTGAGGGAGGGCGGTGAGGAGAGGTCAGCGATTGGTCATCACCTCATATCGCGCGCCGCGTCTGCTCACCATCCGACGACGCTTGACCACTGATCTCTGATGAGTTGATCTTCATCTGCGTCTGACCAGCCCGGGTGTCCCTTCTTGTGGTGCTTTGAAGCGGCGGCTGCGATGCCCAGCGCGATGGCCGGAGCAGCTCGCGCGACGATGGTACGTGTGCGGGTAGCGACCGTGGTGGGGATCGGCGCCATGCTATCGGAAGACGATGAGGGGGAGGAGAGGGATACTGTCTCTAGGTCCGGGCGCGATCTAGCTCTATTAGCGGCCCGACAGTGATAAGAGCAGGTCGGGGAAGGCGGATCGAGTCGTGATGGTGGTAAGAAAGGCAAATGCAGTCGTCGACGAGTCACTCGTCGAGGTCGGACGAGCAGGGTCAGCCCTCGAGTTCATGCGTCGAGTTCATGCGGACGACGGCAAATTCAATCAAATCGGCGCGCCGCCGGCCTCCTCGACTCGAGGTGCGGGAGGGGCGAGTGACGAGCGACAAGCGTGACGACAGGCGTCGGCGACGGACAGACGGACAGACGAGACGGAGAGCGAAGAGCCACGAGCCACGAGAGCTTCGCATTGCAACCACTCAGCAGACCATCCTCACTTCCATCCGCTCATAATAGCTCAGCAGCATGTCAAAGTGAGTGGCAATCCGTTACGAGCACCACTCAGCGAGCGAGCATGCTGACCATCGCTCTACTTTCCGCGCCTCCAGGCATCACCCGGATCTCATCCTCTGCCGCAAGCTCCCGGGGATCGCCATCGGACGTCTGTGCGAAAAATGCGACGGCAAGTGCCCCATCTGCGACTCCTACGTCAGGCCATCAACGCTGGTACGCATCTGTGAGGAATGCAACTTCGGCTCCTCAGGAGGCAAGTGCATCGTTTGTGGTGGCAATGGGATCTCGGATGCGTACTATTGTGCCGAGTGCGTGAGATTGGAGAAGGACAGAGATGGTTGTCCCAAGGTGGTGAACCTGGGGGCAAGCCGGACGGACCTCTTCTACCTCAAGAAGAAGTCACAAGGGTGAGTCATGTCCGTCGCAGTGGGGAAAGAGAACAACGAGTGCTGCGCTACGGATGCTGAACACACTACGTACATCTCCTTCGCAGTTTCCAAAGAGGCTAACATCTCGAGCAGCTACGGCCGCCACTACGTCTCCCATTCGATGCGCACCTCGCGCCACTCAGCAATTTGTACTTCTAATCAATACCAAGATCGCGCTTACACACCCATTCATTCACACAACACCCTCGGGCCTCACACGGTGATTAGCATACTGCGATGGTATCCATTGAGCCCCTTGTGTCGCTTTCTCCACCTCTCTCAACCGAGCGCCTCCTCCCTCTCCATGACGGTCTTGTCCAGCTTGATCAAAATAGTCGTCCGCTGCGGATGCTCAGCTGTAGGCACAGAGTGCGCAGTCACCCTCGCTGGAAAGCCCATCCCGTCCAAGATTGCCTCTACGATGCCAGCCGTATACGCCTCGACAGAGAGCTGTGACATGTCCTTTGGCACGGAGATGCCCCGCGAGTAGACGGGTTGGTTGGTAGAGATCATGTCTGTGTGGGAGGGACAGGGCCGGGGGAGGGGGTCGTCAGCCTGAGAGCCGAGTGTCATCCTGCCGCTACGCATGACAGCACGCACATTCATCACTTCTCTCCGTGCTCCTCTCTAAGCTATCTGCTGCCTTGCCAAAGAGAGCCTTCCAAGCCTGCCCATGAACCCAAAGCAGCATAGGCAGCAATCTCGTCTCCCTCTTTGGATTCTTGTTCGAGCTCGACGCCCCTCCGCCTGTCGGGGACTCTAGCCGTGAGTGCAACAGGGGAAGAAGGCGCTGTCCATGATGATAGCCAAGCAGGCTGAGCCTACGCTCCAGATCGCCAATACCAGTGACTCGCCCTTGCGTGTAGGAGACAATCTCTGCGTAGAGAAAGGAGAGCGAGCTCGATGCGACCTGCGTGGTCTTGGTCTTGTCTCTTGGTCGATCGAGAAGGTCTTGGTGCTGCGAGGATGAGGCAGAAGATGCGGAAGGTCCTGATACGCTAGGCGTCCGTGCGAGGTAGCTTGCCACGCCTGCTGGTAGGGCCGAGGAAGGGGTGCTCATGCGACTTCGTCCTGGTAGGGAGGAGCGGGGCGAGGGAGAGAGCGGGTATGATGAAGAAGACGAAGATGAGGCGGCTGCCATGCTTTGAGCTGGAGAGGCGGGTGGCGCTGATGTTCTTGGTCCTCCTGAGCTTGCGAATCGTGATGACGACGAGGCCATGGCGCCGGGTTACGATGTTGGAGTGGAAGGTGAGCCGCTCTGTGGACCGGCCTCGCAACTCACTCGCCGGCCCTCCGCTGCTGGTTCCGTCCTGAGTGGCTGGACGGCAAGGCGCGAAGATGGTGCGCCTCTCTGTCCGTCAATCTCAAGCCGCTGCCCTCGCCCTGGCCCACCAACATCGTGTCTCACTTTCCTTACTATCACGACCAGTAGATAGCTCATCGACCTAGGCGGCCGAGATTCGTAGACTTACAAACACCAGCGATAGCAAGCATCATCAGAAGATGTCGGGCATCTGCCGAGCAAGGTGAGCTCCTCAGCGACTGCAGCCACCCTCACTTCCGCCCTCGTACGGCTTGCAACTGACCTCGAGCCCTGATTCCCCTGTGCTGTCCAGGCTCGCCGAGGAGCGCAAAGCATGGCGCAAGGACCACCCCTTCGTGAGCTTCCGCCTTTGACATCGTACCATCACCCTGCTGGAGTCATCTGACCATCCCTTCGCCCTCTCCTCCTCCGCGCTCTCTCCGCGTCGTACCAGGGCTTCTACGCCAGACCGACTAAGGCAGAGGATGGATCAATGAACCTGATGAAGTGGGAGGCGGGCATCCCAGGCAAAGCAGGCTCCCTCTGGGAGGGAGGCATGTACAAGCTGACCCTCGACTTCCCGGAGGAATTCCCCACCAAGCCGCCTAAGTGTACGTGGGGCTCAGCGTTGACGAGGTCGTGAGTGTGAGCTGACTCCGCTACATCAACTTCAACCTCCTGTCCTCATGCAGGCAAATTCACACCTCCCCTCTTCCACCCTAACGTCTACCCGTCGGGCACCGTCTGCTTGTCCATTCTGGTGAGCCGCTCGTCCTAGAATGTTCCGCTTTGCCGCCCACTCGTCATCTGACCCAGTTGTCTCTGCTCGTGGTACTCTGTTCGCTCCCTTTGGCCCCTCTCGCTCACACACAGGACGAAGACAAGAATTGGCGCGCATCGATCAACGTCAAGCAGATCCTCCTGGGTATCCAGGACCTCCTCACTGAGCCCAACAACGCAGACCCTGCTCAGGCCCCAGCCTACCACTTGTTCCAGACGGACAAGGCCGCGTATGACAAGCGCATTCGTCAACAGGCGAGAGAGATGGTGCCGCAGGACTGAGTGTACAGAGGAAATGTGTGAGCAGGCGTGAAGAGGGACGTGAGGGAAGGCGAGGGGAAGAGGAGAAGGAGAGGCGGTGGTAAAGATGCGCCGATGGTTACACTCTACCTCGTTGCTATCCTCCAACTCTCACGCTCAGCCGTATCTAATCAATCATCAAAGCGTCATCACAGCTCGGGAACGCGGTGATCGTCACTTGCCATTGGCCATTGTCTACACGGCCGCAGCGGCATCCTCTCTCTTGATCTCTCCCGCCTGTGCCTGCTGTGCGACCCTCGCCTCTTCCTCGGCCACGATGTCGTTCGCTTCAGCAACAGCGTCCGCGGAGGGTGGTGCTGAGCTAGACGGCGAGGTCAAGCCCTCGCCATTCCCGAGGACGTGCATCTTGGCCAGATAGCCACGGTTGCGAATGTCCGAATAGTAGACTGTGATGAGCGAGGAATGGGGGGCGCTGTCAGCTCTGAGCCTCAGCACGGTTGGGACCCAATGACTACTCACGCAGATCCCTCCTGTTGATCGGCATCGACTCTCTAGGTAGCAGTCTCCCCCTACCGGTCCACTTCTCCGGCTTTACCAACGCCCTCAACGTCAGCGGCGTGTAGTACTTGCAAGTGATCGACCCACCGGCCTTCTCCACCGCCTTGATGGCCGTCGTGCTCGCTCGTGACACCACGAGTTTGAGCGGTTGAGAGAGGACTTCAGCTCCATCGCCCAGAAGCTTGACACCTCCGTCTCCAAGACGGTGGATGCAGCGTGAGAGATAGAGCTCACGAACGGTGATGGGAGCAGAAGGGTCAAGGCGGCCGGAGTCGATCCACGTTTGAAGGCGCGAGAGGTTCAGCGGGACCGTTTCGTGGGCAAAGCTGCGCGGGGAAGGGGATTGTGAGTATCAGCAGCCGGTCATAGGGTGAGAGCATAGGTCATGCCGCTCCTCTGATGGTACCCACGAGTTGACAAACCCCCTCTTAGGAAATCTTCTCATGATCGGCGTCTGACCTCCCTCAAATCCAGGCGTAGGCTTCCCATTACCCGTCCTCGCCTTCTGTCCCTTATGACCACGCGTTGATGTTCCACCTCGACCAGAAGAGTCTCCTCGACCGAGGCGCTTGGCCTTCTTTGCTGGCTGAGCGGGGGATAGGTGTCCGATGGAGTATTGGGAAGGTGGTTGGAGGGTCGTTGCGTAGCTGCGAGCTGAGGGGCGAGAGTTGGGGGCGACCCGGCGAGAGAGGGTGGAAGTTGATGCTATGGCTGCTGCTGATGAGCTAGAGACTGCAGGAGTGAGCGCGAGGCGAGCCAGAGAGGCTGTCAAGCCGCTTGAGGAGCGCATAGCCATGGTTGATGGACGGTAAGAGGATGTTGGATCAGAATAGTTGCTAGCCTCTCAAGCTCAGCCCATCAATCGACCCGTCGTCGTCTTGCCGCGCGCGCCGTTGCGCCCAGTCCGACGGTGAAGAGATGAGCCGGCTCAAGCTCGGTCGGTCGGATGACTGCTCATCTCGGCCACGCAGCGACGACATCTTCGACCTTCTTACCACACAACTCCACCTCACTTCTCTGAGACAGAGCAGCAGCAAATGACCATCGTCACGCCTCAGATGATCAGGGCGACTAGGGTAGCATTGAGAGAAGCAGCCAACAACAGGGCAGCAGCAGCAGCGGCAGCGTCGGCATCAGCAGCAGCATCTGCTTCGCCACTGCGACGCAGCGCAGCTTTCCCCTCCTTCGCCTCTTCTTCTTCCTCATCGTCGGCAATTTCGCCGTCTCGCGCTCATTTTTCAACAAGCGCACGACGTTGGGCTGACGACAAGGCTCAAAAGGCAAAGGAGGACCAAGCGGCTGGCGAGGCGATGGGAACTGAGGCCAACAAGCCTGAGGCTGAGAAGAAGGATGGCGCTTCTTCCGAGGTGGAGAAGCAGCTGGCTGAGAAGGACAAGATGATCAAGGAGCTCAAGGTGTGTGCACATCACAATGGATCTGCGCTTTGACGGGTGGATCGCCTGGCTCACACTTCCCTCTTCCTCTCCACCCGGTTGCGCAGGACCAACTCCTCTACTCGAAAGCCGACCTCCAGAACACTCAGCGCCGCGCTCAGGAAGAGAAGTCTCAAGCCTCAGAGTACGCCATCACTAAGCTGGCACGAGACCTTACCTCTTCCCTGGACATCCTTCACCTGGCCTTGCGCTCAGTTCCCGAGGCGATGCGCAAGCCCGCGACAGACGGGGCAGACGAAGCCCGCAAAGCAGTCTCTGAGCTATACAGCGGTGTAGAGCTGACGCAGAAGAGCATGACGGACATGCTCCGTACGCACGGGGTGACCAGCTTCGACCCTACGGGCGAGAAGTTCGACCCCAATGAGCACGAGGCTATGTACCAGGCACCGGTCCCAGGTAAGGAGCCGGGAAGCGTGCTGGAGTGCTCGAAGATTGGCTTCAAGATCAAGGGGAGAATATTGAGGCCGGCGCAGGTTGGTGTGGTGCAGGGTTAGACGAAGAGGCTGAGGGGCATGGCATAAGGGTACGGAAGGGGCTGGGATCAGATGGTGCGGTCACGCGAATAGGAGGAGAGTCGAAACGGTAGCACCGATGGGGTCATGTCGAGGGACATTATAGCACTTCACGCGCATACACACATCCACTCCTCAATACAGCAATGCACGCCGTGCGCCACGGATTCCATTTGCGATGATTTCTTGCGTGCATTTCACCTCTTCTTCTTCCCGACCACGGTGGTAAACCCATCCTCATCAACGATGGGCTCTTGCTTCTCCTTGGGCTGCCTGGCCTGCCCCGACCCCTCAGCGGGTCCATCCACTTCCATATCATCGTCACTGTCGTCTTCACTACTCTCCCCCTCGCCGATCTCTCCCTGCCACCCCGCCCTGTCCCTCTGGCTCTGCAACCTCTTATTCCTCAACTTCTCGGCCGCCTCATCCAGTGGCGCCAATGCCGCTTGAGCCGCCGCCAGGACCTGTTGTGCTGCTGCCTCCTGGGCGATAGGGTCTTGCCCCGCTTCTGAGGAGGAGGGCGAAGCGAAGATTACACGATGAAGCGAGCAGATACGTCCGGCAATGTAGTCGCATGACCCGTCCTCTACGTGCGCCTCGTACTCGTCTGCGACGTATTGCTCCAAGACGTCTGCGAGCTCGTCTTCCTCTGGTGTGGGTGGGGCGGCAGGTCGTGCGATTGCGTTGTTAGAGCCAGAAGGGCCTGCAGTGTTGGGCTCGAATACTCCAAGCGTCGAAGCACCGGGCTGTCCTCCGTAGGTATCACAGATGTGCGATACAAGGAAATCGCACTTCTCCTTTGATTCTGGTCCTCCCCAGTGCTCGTCTATCGCCATGCGCATCGAGGGCCAGAGCTGGAGCGTGTGGATGACCGCCCGCGCGAAAAGACATTGCTGAGCTGATGGAGGGAGATCCATGGATGCCGCTGATGAGGAGGCCATGCTGATCGTGAGTGATCGCTATGGTAGTGTTGTAAAGGTGGAGAGGGTCAGGCGCGAAGAGTTGAGGTTGACTTGAGTAGCGAGAGGCAAATTGTGTCGGGGCCTTTTGCCGGAACGGGAGCGGCGGATGGAGGGGCGGACTGAGACACTGGCTTGAGCAAGAGCCAGACGTCGGCCGGACCGGCAAAGAGGCATCGAGGTCCGGCTTGACTGAGCACCTGCATTCATTCGATGCCTCCATCCTCATCCTCCAATCCACTTCGATTCCCCCCTCTAGATAAGACATGAGCGATTCCTCGTCACCAGAAGCAGGTCCCAGCTCCCGTCCTGCCAACACCAATGGCCCATCATATCGTCCAAATCCCTCCTTCTCCTTCCCCTCGGCCTTTCAACCAAGTATCATCCGCTCCTACCAAAAAGACAGCTACTACCTCTCCCTTCTCCGCTCCCAACTGCATGAAGTCACTCGCACGTTACTAGGCTCGCGCTTCCTCCAGCAACATGGACAAGCCGTTTCACTCTTTGCCGCGTTGGGTTACCATGTATTCACGACGTGGGAAGGGGCCCAGACGCTTGGCGAGGAATACGTCGGGTCGAGGATGATCGAGACTGGTGGAGACAAGGCGGGCAGCTTTGTGAGCAAGCAGAGGCGGGTTGCGTTTATCCTCGTGCAGGTTCTGGCGCCATTCATCCTCAGCAGGGTGTACGCCCGCATGCGACGACGGATCAACGCGAGCAATACAGCCAGGCAACAAGCACTGCAGCGTCGCGTGTTACGCTGGAAGGCTGTGGGTGGTCAGCCGGCTGAGGAACCAAAGGCATCACGCATGGATAGACTTGTGGGGAGGCTATGCAAGTGGCTGCCCAGCTTGGAGACACTCAATCGCGCCGATGGGTGGATCGCTTACGGGACGGCGCTGCATTTGATGCTCTTTTACTTGGGCGGGAGATACTACAAGGTCGCACAGAGGGTCGTCGGGGTCGAGTACGTGAGTGTGCGCGTAGCAAAACCTCGCTACAGAACAGCCAATGATTGAGCGTCTATCTTGTTCCTTTCCATGCAGATCTCCATCCATCCATCCCCACCGGGACAGGAGCCCCCTTCGTACGAAGTACTTGGAGTCCTCCTTGGTGTACAGCTAGGTGTCAAGCTCGCCCTCGCTCTCAATCGGCATCTACATCGCCGCGCTGCAGCAGCGGCAGCTGCGAGAAAGAAGAAGTTGGCGAGCGGCGACAACGAGGATGAGAAGGATGGGCAGCAACAGGACGATGAGGACGAGGCGGCCCCCACGGTCGACGTGGACGGTCGCCTCTGGTCGCACAAGAGCGGGCCCGCTCGACCCGTGGCGGCTGGACTGCGGGCACAAGGCCTTGATGGCGGTGATGAGCATGACGATGACGACCCCTCGTCCAACCCACGGGACTATTCTTCTCTCCCCCCTCCCGGTCGCACCGTACCCCTAGCCTATCCGTCCTCAACCAGCTCCTCCCTTCTGCCCTCCATCACCTCCTCGCGATCACCATCAAACAACACCATCTCCACCGCTCAACTCCAAGCTGCCCCCCTCGAGTCCTCCTCCACCTCCATGCTGCGCTGTACCCTCTGCATGGACGAGCGACAACCCCACAAGGGAACGAGTGCAGTGACCGAGTGTGGGCACGTCTTTGATTGGTCGTGTATTATGAGCTGGTTGAGGGAGAAAGGCGAGTGCCCATTGTGTAGGCAGGAGGTCAAAGCGGAGAGGGTTGTGCCGATGTGAGTCAGAGAGAGGGGGAGAGAGGGACTGAGCAGCTAGCTGACTGATGCCCTCTTCCGCTGCCGCAGATACAATATGTAGGGGGATGTTGAGCTGACCAGCAGGGCGCAGACGCTCGTCAAGGATCGACATTCTTTGGCACACCTTGAAGCGTGTCGATGTCCGTCGACCCAGCTCTGACATCTCGTCTCGAATAGAGGCCACTGGGGCCTTGTGTGATTCATATAATGTACAGATATGCCTCTCGACCCCAGCATCGAGGCATCACGACAGTGAGCCTGCCTGCCTGTGCAACTGACCTTGTCTATCAGTGGCCTCGATCTGGGCCACCCTGTCCTTCTCAAATTGCACACCACTGCCCAAACCACTCCTCTCCCAATCTCTCGCTGCTCATCGGCTCCTCTCCTTGTGTGGTATCCGTCCTCCCTGCGCGTTAGTCTCCTCACCGGCTCACCGTCTCACCCTCTTCTCTCTACACATACACTCCGACAGCATTGAAAAGCGCCACGACACCGCCACCAGCGCAGATCGATGTAGCGATAGCGACAGCCAGCTCCGAGGGGAGGGCGCCACGTTTCGGCAAGCTGGAGTGCGTGCAAGTGAGGACCGTGAGAGCGACGAAGTATAGCGCAAGAGGGGATATCGAGAGGAACGGAGGTCATGGAAAGAGCACAATATGGTCAGCCATCGTCGAGAAAGGTGGTTCAAGGAGAAGGGTCTCGACACCCACGTAGTGAAGAAGAAAGCGCCAAAGAAAGTTGCGAGGAGGAGGACCAAAGCGACCGTGGGCATGGCGTGTACGGGCACTGAGGGACGGATGGGCGGGGAGGTCGAGTGCAGGGACTGATTGTGGAAGAAAGTGTGCGTCATGAACGTTGTGTCGAGGAGAAGTTCGGGGCGATGCGGTGTGAGGATGAGGACAGGGAAGACGGCGGGGGAGCAGGTCCGAGGAGTGCGAGAGGGAAGGGCGGGCGGTCAGCATAGTGAGCAGAATGGCATCTACCGAGGTAGAGCGGGAACTCACGGCAGCAGCCTTGTACGACTGTGAGAACGACATGGTGTCGATCGTCGCCTGTCAAGCTGAGGTGTTGTGCCGGGTAGAGGTAGACGTCGTGGAAGGAAGGAAAGGAAGTCGCCAATCACTCCCCGCCTCGACGTCGAGCTGCAGCGCAGCCGCCAAGCCAAGCGCATGGCTTGTGCGCAACGCCCCTCTTCTCACTGAGCATCGAGCAGCGGCAGGCATGACGATCTAGAGGGAAAAGGGTGACTATCGAAATTGAGAAGAGATATCACTGAAGCTCAAGAGATGTACTTGGGATCTTTCTAGGAGGCGGCTCTGCTGCGCTACCCTCACTCGCGCCTATATGATCAGCTGGCTCCCCGCAGCCCTCTCGATTTCCCTCCTCAGCGCTTGCGTCTGCTTGTCCCTCTGCGTCTGCGCTTGCGTCGCTGCTGCCGTGCCTGTCGTCTGACTACGCCCACTGCGGCCAGTGCTCGCCCTGCCGGCTCGACGACTACTGATTGGTGCCTGGCTTGCCTCTATGCCATCTCCTACCTCCTCCTCTGCAACTGCTTGGCCGGGCGCCGCATCAACGTACACGGCGCTCACGAAATCGGCGACAGCCACCTCTCCAATCTCCACCTCCGCTCGCGGCCCCCAACGCCACTCCATACGATCGTCCCCTTGCCCATCTGCCGACTTCCTCGCCCCACGTGCCCTCTGCGTCTGCTGCTGCGTGGTGCCTCTAGCGTTGGTCATGCCCGTACTGACCTTCTCGAGGTACTGATGTTTCAGCAACTGATTGAGGAAAGATTGCAGACTGCTCGGTCGAGCTACCGTATCCGTCGCCGCCCCTCCGGCGGCATCGCTGTTACGAGATGCGTTACGCTGCGTGGCTTGGGTCCCGTCCGCAGCAAGAGGCATTGCCGAGTCGGGCCTCAAGGTCTCGGGAAGCTGTTTCGTGTTCTGCAACCCAAGGCGATGAAGAAGGGCTCGGAACTGGTCGTCGGGCAGGCTACGCCCGTTGAGGAGGATGAGACTCAGGATGAGGAAAGTGAGACCCATACTGCCTAGTTGGCCATCCGCCTTGTTCCAGTCGAGGAGGGTCCCGCCTCCTCTTGGGGCACGACTGCTTGCGGCTGTGCGTGAGGAAGGGCCGGCTGGATTCTCGTCTTCGTCATCGTCGTTGAGGCCATCGTCTGCCATTGCTGCTGCTAGCTCGGCATCTTGCGCGGCCATGGATGAAATCACGGGAGCGGGCAGGATTGAACGGAGGACCCAGGACTTGCTCACGGCGGCTGTGCGTGCGGATCGAAGACAGATGATTAGCACGGCAATTCGACAGTCATCAAGCCGCGAGCTGCTCACCCTTCTTCGCACGCTCATCTCGCTCTGGCGTCTTGTCACGCCTGTTGCTGCTCGAGGCTGCCGTAGCTGCCGCTTGAGTTGCAAGTTGCTCATTCTCTGCCCCTCGCGCTCTGAGCTCGACCATTTCGTAGCAGAAGGTGGATCGCAGAATCTTCTGCGCTTGATTGAAGATGTAAGGGAAGGCACGGGCGGCGTTCTTTCCCAGGACTGCGCGGGATAGTGTGAGCGATGGGACGAGTCAGCATCCGAAAAGAGCAGCGTCTTGCTGGCATTGCGCTGACCTTTCTTTGAGATCTCATCGCGGCGTATGGGGAGACGTCGCTGCTCAGAGAAGAGGGCGAGACGAACAAGATCGTTGCTCTTGCGCTCGATTTCCTGCGAGTGGCCGAGCATACAGCCTGAGTCAGCGCGGCGATGCAGTAGCCTCTCGCTGCCATGTTGCACTCACCTGCTTGCCAAGCTCGTTCACAAGCTTCTTGACTCCCTCGCTGACAGGCAGTCTGACGCGCTTCTTGACACGAAGGTCCTCATCTTCATCCTGTGCATCGTCATCGTCTTCCTCCTCGACCTCGACCTCGCCTCCAGCATCGCCTCCTTCGTCCATCGCATCCTCAGAGGCTTCGCCGGTCTCGTCTTCTTCACCCTCATCCACTTGAGGTGGTGCCCTCCTCGACGTGCTTGCTTGAGCGGATCGGGCGTTGTTCGTCGACGCTGAGCCACGACGAGCACCGCCGCTACGTCCGCCGGCGCGTCCTCCGTAAGACGACTGCTGTTGGAGACGCTGGCTGCTTGGGCGAGCGGAGCCCCTGTTGGCGGGCCTCGCTAGCCCTGAGGTCCTTGCTGGCATGGTCAGCCCGCTCCTCAGTGCTTCCGAATGCAAGTAGTAGTGGTGGTTGGGAAGACAAGGTGTTGGACTTAGTTGCATTCGCGGCTCTTTCGCTCCCGCCCATCCCGCGACGCGAGCCGGAGACACGGAAGGCGGCGTCGAGTCGACGTGCGATGCGGACGGACGGAAGACGAGGCCGACGTGACGCTGAGCGCTGAGTTGCTCCACACAGCCTCAGCCTCAACTTCTCTTCCTCGTCAACACCACCATCCCCGACGATCACCACATACACGCCTCTCTGCTCGGGTGATCTAGCTGCTCAGCATGGCTGCTCCTTCTTCATCGGCTTTTGAGTCGAAGGTGCCGCTCAGCTCGCTGGCCATCCCCCACCGTCCGCCTAAGAACTCCCTCATTCAGACGATTCTCTTCTCCCTTTATTTCACTTTGTCCTGCATCTTCTTGCACATGTACCAGTGCATGGTTCAGCCCCTCCGCCTTGCGCCGCCGCTCAGGAGCACCGTACGCGCTACCAATGCTTGGGTCAAGTCGGCCTTCTCAAAGGGGCTCGTCAGCATGACTTGTGAGTCTGCGAGAAAACCACGGTGCTCGAGTTGACGAGCCAATAACCTGACCATCCTCTCATGCTCGTCTCGCACAGGGCTCTTCTCTCCCTCCAACATTGTCCTCTCCTTTCGCGATGAGCATGGCAACACCCTCGACCCGAGGCAGTTCGTTGACTTCAAGCCAGACGGCTCGGTAGACCGCGTCAGGCTTCCAATGCGCAGCATCTGGATTTCGAATCATCAAGTCTACACCGACTGGCTCTACCTTTGGATCCTCAGCTATTTCTGTGGCCTGGAGTCGAGCATTTACATCATATTGAAGGATAGCCTGAAATGGGTGCCTATCGTCGGTCTTGCGATGCAGTTGTTCGACTTCATCTTCCTGGCTCGCTCATGGATCAAGGATCAGCGAACTCTGTCCACTCACCTCTCGAAACTGGCACGCCTCTCCCACTTTGACAAGATGCCGCTTACGCTCGTCATCTTCCCCGAAGGAACGCTTGTCTCGAAGGACACCCGCCCACAGTCAAAGAAGTACGCAGACAAGGTAGGATTGGAAGACTGCCGCAACGTGCTGCTGCCCCGCTCGACCGGCCTGCTGTACTGTGCTCGCACGCTCAAAAAAGAGATCGACGATCTGATGCTGATGGACGCCACGATTGGCTACCCGGGCATCCCGCCGGCAGGCTACGGTCAGTCGTACTACACGCTGCGCTCCATCTACATGCAGGGCGTGCCACCCCCCTCAGTCCATATCAGCATCACGCTGCGTCGCATTTCGTCGAGCGACCCCGATGCAGACGCCACCACAATGGCAAAGGAAGGAGGGCAGATGCCTATCGGCGATATCAGCAAGCTGAGCCAGGACGCCTCGCCGCGGGATCTCGACCCCTCGGAGGCGGAGCGCCAGATGTTTGACTCTTGGCTCCTAACGAGATGGAGAGAGAAGGATGACCTCATGGATCGATTCTATAAAGATGGCGACTTTGTGGGTGGGGCCTTTGTGCGCAACAAGAAGGAGGCGGGAGAGTACTACCGCGAGAGTGAGGACGATACGGTAGGTGGTGGAGAGGGGATCAAGACGGAGAAGGGCAGGCAGTACGTTTGTATACCCATTGCGCTGCGCTCTCCCTTGGAGATTCCGCAAGTCTATGCGTACGGCCTTCCGCTCATTGCGGTGTGGCTGGCGTATCTGTGGCTGCGTCGATGAGCTGCGGCGGCGAGGGTCGTAGGGAGGAGCATTATCGGTAGACGGATACGAGTACGTATACAAGCATTCAAGCTAATCCATCATCGTCATCTCCCAATAATCAACCGAACCCTGTTTTGAGCAATCTCATTAGCATTGCATCATCCCATGCTCAGACTCTGTAACGCTTCGACCCTCTCGAGTCGAACAACCAGCGGATCAGGGCGACCTGACCCACGCTGATGCCGATCATGAGTGCCGACTCGATGAGGGAGAAGTAGAAGAGCTTCGACCTGAGCGAGAGAAAGTAATGTCAATGTCAAGGTCAATTACGGCTGCCACGCCATCGCATTGCTTCTCAGCTCGCACTGGCACTCACTGCGTGCTCTTAACCGTATCGAAGCCTCGATTCTCCCATGTCCTAAAGTATCGCTGCGTCCTTCCCATGTTGGTCAACTGCTCTTGAACCTTGCCAATGGAGTCTTCCAATGGTGCTGAGTGCTCGCTGAGCAAAGCCGCTTGGCTGAGCGGCAAGGTCAACCTGGGTTCGCTCTCCACTGTAATGTCGAAATCCACCGTCTTTTCTGCGGCAAAGCTAGGATCTTGGAAGCAGAAAGCGTATTCCCCGACCTCCTGACCAGTGAAGATGATGTCCGCCTGACGGTCTTTGACGCCTTCAACTATGGTCTTGTCCGAGGGAGAGGTGACGGACCACTCGATCTCGAAGTCTCCGCCTGATTGGACGGCAAAGTACCACCCGATCTTCTCTCCTGCTTGGTCTACCCAGGCGTAGTAGCAGGAGCGCTGTGGGCGAGGAGGGCGAGGAGAGGGGAGGATGCGTCAGCATGTTCCTTGAATCGGAGACTTTATTGGCAACGAGGGCGAGCGGTTGCTCACCTCTCCCGGCTTGACCGTCGTTGTCAGAGCGGCTCCGTGCGCAGCAGAGGGTGCCAAGCAGAGGAGACCGATGACAGCAAGGAGCAGTGACGCGACGACGCTCGCCAGCGAGCGATCCAGCCGCGATGATGACGGCCGTGGTGACATTACGTGACTTGAACGAGGCTTGGGGACGACTGGCGAAGGTAGACGAGGAAGGAAGGAGTTGGACCCCGAGGGCGGACTGCACATCTTGATTGCTGCTGTCGCTCGACCACGCCAACGACGGACGGCGGACGGACACGCAACCGCCGAGCACCGAGGAAAGCGGGAGCGGTGCGCGGACCTCCTTGGCAAAGTCGACTTGGGAAATTGGACTCGGTGCAGCGCAGCGACACAGCAGCCAACGCAAGCAAGCAAGCAAGGGCAGTGTTGGTCCACCCTGCTCATCTTTCCCTCTCCAAATATCAACGCAATGCCATCCTGGCTACCTGGATCCGGATCGAATAGCAACGCAGCACCTACGGCGGGCGCGGGAAGAGGGGGAGGCGGGCAATGGCTGAACCTGGAGGTGCCCGGCCAGGTCAAAAACACATACGGCGAGCTGACTGGCGAGAATTCGCAGTTTGCTGAGTGGGGCTTCGAGTTGACAAGGACACAGAGATTGATTGGATTTGGCGCTTGGTGAGCGGGCCAGATGCGCTTTTGAATGGGGACGATGATGCTCACATGTCTCATCTCCACTGCTCCTCCATCACGCAGTCTCGCTGCCGGCTTCGCCCTATCCCTGATAGGCTCGTTGCTCCTCCTCTCAGGGAGCTTCGCCACATTTGCTGTCCTCTACTCTTTCGGCATCGTCATCTCACTGGTGGGCACCGGATTTCTGGTGAGTGCAGCAGCCCCTACTTGGCCCTTCCTGAGCATCACTGACGAGCCCAAATCGCCGCCAACGCCCCAACAGATCGGCTTCATGAAGCAGCTCAGGCAAATGTTCAAAGGGACGCGCATCATAGCGACTGGGATTCTCATCGCTGCTTTCGTTATGGTTTGGGTATCTGCATTCGCCATCAAATCGACCGTGAGCAGCAACCGCAGCGACCTCGCACGCATCGCGAATTCATCAGCTGACGCTCTTCCACATTCCTCTCTCGCAGATCCTGGCCATCGTCTTCGTCGTGGTACTCTACTTGGCCTTCATCTGGTACTCGCTCAGCTACATCCCTTATGCGAGAGACTTTGTCAAGGGAATGGTCTCCAAAGTCTTCTGAGGCCGCCGAGGAGCAGGGGTCGCGGGGAAGCACTGGCAGCGCTGCGGTCAAGACCGCTCGAGACCCCACCTCCTTCTTTCTCAGACCCCGTTGCAGGGCCGAGTCCTTTTCTATGCTTTCTATGCTATTGCCAATGGATGTATTTGTATGAGTACAGAACGATATTCGCTGTCTTGTGCGTTGGGCTGGAAAGTCCCCGTGTTCGTCAAGCCGGCCTCGTTGCTCTGTTCCGTCTGTCCGGGATCTCAACACGGGCCATGCGAAGCTTATTCCTCTCTTGCCTTCCGAACTGCAAGCATCCTGCCCTGATCGCCTTACTCACGCCATGACGTCGACCTCTGCTCAGCGTGGCAGAGGGAGCAGCAAGCACATGACAGCGCTTCAGTCTCCATCGATCATCGTTCCGCCAACGCCAATGTCGGAGCAAGGCGACGAACCAGCATCAGGGTCATCCGAGGACGAGGAGAGCGACGACGAGGAGGAAGAAGAAGAAGCAGACGATGACGACAACGACGAAGATCGCTCAATTGACGAGGCAGGATCCTCACGCCGTGTTGCCACTCAAGCGCATCTCACGCCTCGCCATCAAAGGCCATCACGCAATCGTAGGCCGCCAGCTTGGCTAGCAGAGGATGGCCTCGTTGAAGTCCGCAGCAAGAGATCAACATCCACTACGTCTCAACGTGAGGCACCCGAGACGCCAAGGAGGCGGCGCAAGACGACAGCAAAGGCGGAGGGAAACTCATCCGATGACGACGACGACGACGAAGAGGCACCGGACACACCGTCGAAGAGGCGGACGGCCGGCACCAGTCGAAGTGGCCGAAGCATCAAGACTCCACTCAAGGCTGATGACTCTCCACCGACTGCTCGCTCGCATGCGGCATCCTCGAGCACCACGTCCAGTCGCCCAATCCAAAAGCCTCGGACTTCCTCAGCGTCTTCTGTCAAAGCCAGCCCCTCAACGCCTCGCCGGAAGAGGATGAGTACCGCCAGCACCCCTGGCAAGACGCCCAAGCAAGAGCCCCTCGTCCCATCGAGACCTTTTGTCCGCCCAACATCTGCCGACTACTACTTCGCAGCTCACGTCTCACGTCGGCGGTCCCAGAAAGACCCATCATGGGCTTCACTCGCCTCGTCCTCCAACACGATCGCCTCCGACCTCCCTGCCCTTAGCTCAAAGCAAGTCGCCAAACTCTCTCTGCCCGGCTCCCGCAGCGACCCACTCTCCCTCGCCGGACTCAACGATCTAGCATTGACTCACTACCGCCTTCAGTATCCTGCATGGACTTCTCTCCTCTTCCTGGGCTATGACCTCTTCTTCTACGGGCTGGGGGCGAAAGAGGCCGTACTAGAAGACTTTGCCCGTCAGAAGGCGGAGCAGGGGGAGGCGACTTGTGTCGTCATCAAAGGCAGGACGGGCGTGAGGGCCGAGGAGTGGGTGGAGAATGTTGAGGAGGCGCTTGGCGTCGCGCCACAGACGGCCGTGCCGGGTGGGCTTGAGGGGCGGATTGAGCGGATCGTGGCTCTTTACGGGGGTGAGGGAAAGAGGCGCAGCCTGCCACGCTTGGTACTCGTACTGCATGCGCTAGACTCGCCCGCTTTGCTCAACCCACGCAACAGGGCGTACTTGCAGTTGCTCTCAGCCTCGCCCTTCATCCACCTCGTTGGGTCGGTCACGCATCCCAACGCCGCCTTCCTTGCCGACTACACGGTGCCTACGGGCTCATCGCCCAAGGGTAAAATATGGATCGATTGCACCACGCTCCTCCCTCATCTGGACGACTGTCTCCTCACAGGCGCAGGCGTCAGACTGGCGGGCCTGCCGCGCGCCTTTGACCTGAGAGCAGGAGGAGGCGTGGGAGGCCTCACGGGCATGGGTGGTGCAAACAACGCCAATCAGAGAGGCAACGAAGCGGCGGCGGGCGCGACCTCAGCTGCAGAAATGCACGCCAGTAACGCAGCGTCCGCGCCCTTGCTCACGGCGACCGCAGCCCTCCATGTGCTCAAGTCAGTCACGGTGAAAGCGCGTGCCCTCTTCCTCAAGCTCGCCTCTGAGCTCAAAGGCCCCAATGCCAGTACGTCCGTCCAGCCTACGAATGGCGTGGTCCTCCCCGGAGGATTTGCCAGTCGGTCCCTCCCCTACACTCGATTGTCTCATCTGGCGACGAGAAACTTCATCGCCACTTCAGAGCCGGCGTTGCGGGCTTTGCTGGTTGAGTTTACGACGCATGGCCTCGTGAGGCTCTGGCGATCAGGAGGGGGAGAAAGCGGCAGTGAAGAGCGAGTAAGCATTGGGGTCGGAGGTGACAAGGAGGTGGATGAGATTGTTGAGGGTGTCAAAAAGCTGTAGATGAAGGACTACAGAGCTTGGGCCGCTGCAGCGCTCAGTCCCCTTCGAACGCTCGGCCCCCTCATCGTTCTTAATCTCGCAGTCGCGCGACTCGCCAGCCTGGCCCTGGTGCTTGTCCGGCGCAGCGATGCAGAGCCGCCAATCAATCAATTTTGAGCCGTCCTTGTCCAGGAGGCTCCTCATAGTCCCACTCTTTGCCTGCTGCCCACCATTTCGCATCGCCCTTCTGTTCCCTCTTCACCAAGCTGATCATCATGTCCAGCACGCCCACCGCCAGACCTGCTACTTCGGCAGCCCAGGGACCTCGAGCTGATTTGGCGCCTAAAGTATCTGCGGCGTCTGGCCAGCATGGCACTCGCAAAGCCTACGTGCCCGCACACATGCGTAGCTGCCCCGCAGCTGCGACTCCCGCACCTGCAACGCAGACGCCCGTCATCTGCTACACGCACGGTCAAGTCCTCATCAATGGCCGCCACTCGATCCGTGGTGGTGTGGGCGTCTGGTTTGAGCGCAGCCGCCACCATCATCTCAACGTCGCCGAGCCGCTACCCTCTATGGTGCGCAAGGACCACAAGGGCGAGTCGGTCAAGAGGGCCGAGCTTTGGGTACGTGCTCACGAGTGACACGAGCCGAAGATTTCTTCGGCTGACCTCTGCTCGCTGGCAGGCTATCATCCGGGCCCTCCAATCCGCCCCGGCTGACCGATCCCTCACGATCATTACGGACTCGTCCTACGCCGTACGAGCGATCAACGACCTCGTGCCCTTGTGGGAGTCGCGACGCTGGCGCAATTGCAAGCGTCAGCCTGTAGCCAATGGCGATCTCATTCGTGAGGTACTGCAGGAGTGTGATGCTCGCCGTCTGAGGGCGGGATGCAAGATCAAGATTGAGCTGTTGAGCGAAGACGATGTTGCGCTGGATGGGTGGGAGGAAGCGAGGGAGTGAGTGCGCGATTGCCTGCCAGAGGATTGAAGAATCGGCTGACAGCCTCTCCTCATCGCGCCTTCCCTTCCTCTTCGTCGATAGTCTGGCATCCAAGGGAGGCGACAGACACTGTTGCTACAGATGCTTTGAGTCGTCGAGGGGAATTCCCCTCTCTGACTCCATCACCGATGCCACGAGCACCATTTCTGCCTCGTCGTCCGATTGAAGGTCTCTGTCGGGTCACTTTCCTCTTTCAAGTCGCGCTGGTCTCTATGATCATGATGTGTGCGAGAGAAAGACATGCGAGCGATGTAGTGACATGAGCTGCGAAAAGTGGTGACGGTGGAATCGAAAGCCAAGTTCGCAGCCACTTCGCACCTCGAAGCTCGACTTCGGCAGCCGAAGTTGCCTCCAAGTCGCGTTTCGACTCGCAGGCGTCGACGTCAAGGACAAATTTCAGCCCTGTCCGCCTGTTCCGTCACTCTGCCTCCAGATTTGCTTCTCCATATCCGTCCTATCCCTCCTCGTATCCCACACTTCTCGCTGCCAGTCATGTCCAGTGCAGCATCTTCCTCAACAGGTGCGCCTAAGCTCACGAAGAAGCAGAAGAAGGCTGCCGACTTCCGCAGTGGCGCCGGCAGTGGCGGGAAGAAGGGAGCAAAAGGACGACGTGATGAACAGGATGATGTGCCCGAGGAGGATCTCCTCGACGACAACGCAGCTGCGGGGCCGTCAGAGCCAGCTAAGGTCAGAGATTCTGCAGCTGATCCCGCTGAAAAGGCACCAGTAGGGAGCAAGAAGGCAGCTAAGAAGGCGGCAAAGGCGGAAGAGGAGGAGGGCAAGAAAAAGGGGAGCAAGAAAGACAAGGCTGAGCAGTCCGCAGGGGATGCCGCTGCGAATAAGAAGCGCAAAAGGTTTACAGGGGATGATGCGGCACAGGCGACAACCGCATCATCATCAGCAAGCAGCAGCAAGGCAAAGAAGACGTCATGGGACGAGGATGGCGAAGCGAAGGAGACGGACGCTGCAGCGGAGGATGATACCAAAGCCGCGGGCAAGTCAGCGAAGCCCAGCAAACTCATCGTCTTCGTAGGCAACATGTCCTTCAAATCCACGGCAGCAGAGATCGAATCTCACTTCAAATCGCACTGTGGCGAGACTCCCTCCGTCCGTCTCCTCACGACCAAGTCCGATCAATCGCAGCTTTCCAAGTCCAAGCAGAAGTCGATCGCAAAGGGCAAAGCAGCAGACACCACTGTCCGCTCCAAAGGTTGTGCCTTCCTCGAATTCCAGACAGCAAAGGCACTTCAGAAGGCCCTTGGGCTGCACCACATGCTCTTCGGCGGACGTCCCATCAATGTCGAGCTCACGGCTGGCGGAGGCGGGAGCAAGTCCACCGCCAGGAGGGAGAAGATAGCGGAGAAGAATCGTGTCCTCAACGAGGAGCGCAAGAAGTTGCATGACAAGTACGTGGAGCCTGCCAAGGAGAAGAAGGACAAGGAGAGGGAAGAGAAGATTGCAAAGGGGGAGGACGTGGGCCCGCCGAGGAAGAAGGCCAAGCAAGGGGAGGAAGGAGTGGCTCAGTGGGGTCCCAAGGCGGCTCCTGTGGATGGCAAGAAGCCCAAGCATATGCCACGATGGATGGCAAGTGGGGCAAATGCGGTGCGTCTCTCGGGATGAGGATGGACCCCAATAATGATACAATGCCTTGTCACGTCGCTCGAGCGCAAGCTGCTGGTATTGGAGTGACAGTGCGGCCCCAGAGAGCCACAGAGGCCTGATGGTACAACACAAGATGGTGAGAACAGATTCGTGAATCATGAGCGCCCCTCAGGCAGGCGAGCCCTGTGACTTCTTCAGCTCTGCTTCCTGTTGGGATGGAACAAATGTATCAGCTATATACTGGCAAACACCTCCTCGATCCCAGCGCATGCTCACCTCCCTCTCAACCTCATCTTCCAACGCAAGCAACTCCTTCTCCAGCTGCGCTCTCCTCCTCTTGACGCGCGCCAGATCGTCCAATTGCCTCTGCTCCTCAGCACGGGCACGCTCCTCCTCTTCGTCATCTTCGCCCGCTCCCTTACCATTGCCGTTGCGAGAAGCTGCTGGAGTGATCTTGATCTGTTGCGAGGCGAGGAGTTGCTCGAGACGAGTGGTGAGTTGAGATACCTGCGCGTAAGAGTGGACGAGTTGAGGGGAAAATCACATCAGCCCATCGTCCCAATCGTAAGGAGTCGTACGTCTACCACGCGCATACCTTGTTCCTCGCCCTCCTCGCAGCCATCTCCTCCCTCCCGACTCCTTCCTCTCCTCGTTGAATCAACTCTCTAAGCAGCGGACGCATCTCATCTTCAATCCGTCTCTTTGCCTCCTGCACAGTCCCTTCTGTCACTACATCGAAGTGCCTGCGCGAAGTGAGAGCCAAGCACAGGCGCGGTACGTCGGAGACGCAATGTGACAAGAGGGAGTTTGTGTGCTGTAGGATGGAGACGGATTGGGAGAGGGAGGACAGGCTGGATGAGAGGAGGTGCGGTGTTGACGAGCCGCTCGGGTGGGGCTGCGATTGGTCGTACCCTTGAGCGGCCATGCCTGGGTAGAGGGATGCGCGTGGCATAGAGCTTGTACCGCCCACGTTCATGTCGATTAATTAGGATCTCTGGTGTGGATGGCAGTGGAGAGAAGGACAAGATGGAATCGCGAGTGTTGATCTCTCGCAGCTTTGCTTGGCCCTCGTCTTCAATCCGTCGTTTCCCACGCGACGCGGAGAGGCGGGACCAAGGGACGAGGAGACGAGACTTGGGCGGGCTTGATTTTCAGGCAGTCTCGCGGCAGCGTGCTTGAGAAGCACGCTGCTGAGACGACTTCATGGCACTCGCACGATGTGAGAGCAGCACTCGGAGATGACAATCAAAGATACCATTCGCTCGACTGGAGCGGAGCGGCACCACATCTATCAGACCCCACGCTCCTACGACAGCAGCGTCAACCTCCCGGCCACCTCTGCCTGCGCCCTGACAATGTTGCTCAAGTAGCTGACCATGAGCACATCCTGCAGGCACGAGTTCCAGACATCCCCCACATCTTTGCCCTCTGCCTTGCTCGCCCCTACTGGGATTCGAGCAATCGTGTCCAGCAAGTATCGACCCACAACCTCGTCACCCTGACGCTGCCCGGAGACGACCTCACGTACGTAGGAGAGGACGCGACGCAGTTGCTGTTGGATTTGCTGGAGAGCGAGGGTCAGAGCTTGCAGGTCGGGCACAACCTGGCCTGCTGAGAGGGAGGGAGGCGCAGCGGTGCTGGAGCCGTTGGCTTGCTGCTGCGCGAGCGTGGTCTGAGATGCCAAGAGGGAGAGGGCCGGTCGCTCTGCGGGGGCAGAGAGAAGGGTGACCGGCAAGGGAAGGAACACGGCGTTGTCTGCCTTCGGGGTGAGGCCGAGAGGAGAAGAGACGTAGGCGCGGACGCCGAGGGGCTCGCTCGACGATGACGACGCCTCGCTCGAACGAAGGTCAGTGTCGATCGTCAAGTGAACGGCCTGGTGAGGGGCTGACTCCTTGGAGAAGAAGTCTTGAATGAGAGCAGAGTAGGTGTTGAGGTCGGGTGACGTTGCGTACCTGAGCGGGCGGGCGGAGGACAAGGTAGAGGGTGAGCATATGATCCAGTGAGCGCAGCTCTCTCTCTCTCCTCTCTTGAGACTCACCATCCAACAATCACTTCCTCCGGGTGAACTTTGGTGTGCAGTTCAATCATCTGACGATGGTAGTCCATGTCCACCTGAACGAGCTCATCCGTCTCGTTATGCGGGACCGCAAAGCACGATCGGATCTCTACCTCTCCCTCATTATGCGTGCCCAGCAAAGTACCAATAACCCGGTTGGACCTCGCATTCGATGAGGACGAAGCTGAGGCCTCTGCATTGGCCTGTTCTCCAGCCTTCTTTCCCTCCGCATCCTCCTCTGCATTCTCTTCGGTGCTGGCCGCCTTGTCACTTCGACGAAGGAAGTGGTCCAGAATGGAGAAAAGGGCGGCGGGGTGAACCGAGACTCGCGAGATGGAGCGCGAGTTCATAGGGGCGCCATAGGTCGTAGCGGGGAAGTTGAGATGGAGAGACGACGACGCCGTAGCGCTGATGTCGGGAAGGGGAGCCGTCTGGCTGCTGTTGACGAGGTGAGCCATGTTTGGTGATAATGGGTGGATGGAGGAGGAGAAGAAGCGGACGAGCGGACAAGCGGAACAGGTGCCGAGAAGAAGTCAATCAAAGTTGCAGCGCGGAGCGGGCGGCATAGCGGGTTAATCAAGACTGACCGCGCACTCCGTCCGATGCTAATCACTCGACTGGCACAAGTTGTATTCACTTCTATCTCGTTGAATAGTATTGCCATTTCATCCTCTGTAAAACTTGTTCTCAACAAACGGCATCTTCTCAACCACGGCAAGCCTCCGCTTGCCCCTAACTTCGACCTCCAATTCCGTACCCTTCTTGTGCAGCCCATTGGCCACGTACGCCATGGCGATGTTCTTGCCCAGGGTGGGCGACGGGATGCCCGATGTGACCACACCTACCTGTTCGCGAGACTCGGTCGCTGCGAAGAGCTTGGCTCCCTCACGAGCTGGAGCCCCATCCACTACGAGGCCGACTCGACGTCGTTGTGGGCCTTCCTTGATGTCCTTGAGCACTCGTTCGGCGCCGATGAAGTCGGCGGAGGTGCGGCGATCCTTGCCTGCAAGCCAAGAGATGGGAGGATCAGCGACAGGGGGCAACGAGCCAGTCTCCTCCTCGCCTCGCCTACTCACTGACAACCCAAGCCAAACCACCCTCACTCGGAGTGGTCGTCTCGTCCAAGTCGTGCCCGTACAGGCACATCCCTGCCTCGAGCCTCAAGCTATCCCTCGCAGCGAGTCCAGCCAATGCAGTAGGCTTCGTGCCGACGAGCGCCTCGGTAACCTTGACCGTCTGCTCCGGCGCGATAGAGATCTCAAAGCCATCCTCGCCCGTGTAACCGCCCCTCGCAATGTGACAGTCTGGCACGCCAGCCACTGTTGCGTAGGCAGTCTTGCCGAAAGTGAGCTTGCTGAGCTCCACGTCCGTATGCTGGGCCAAAACCTCTGCCGCCTTCGGGCCTTGAAGCGCTACGAGCCCCTGGTTCTCGAGGACGGTATGCTTGACCTCACCCCCCTTCTTCTCACCGCGCCAGTCGGCCAGCCTCTCTTGGAGCCACTTGAGGTCCTCCTCACGCCTACCCGCGTTCGTGACCACATAGTACTTCTCGTCGCTAATCTTTGTGATAACGGTATCATCCAAGATCCCTCCCCCAAAGTTCAACAACACGCTGAGAGTTCCTTGATGGTCGGGTAGTTTCTTCAAGCTGCTTGGCGTGAGCCACTTGAGGAAGTCTGCTGCTCCTGGGCCCTCGAAGTGGTGTTGCACCATGTGAGACACATCGAATAGGCTGGCCTGGCTGCGGGTGTGGTGGTGGGAGGCTACTTGGCTGAGGGAGGAGTAGGTCAGGGGCATCGAGTACCCGCCGAAAGATACCATCTTGCCGCCTTGTTGGACGTGATAGTCGTGCAATACCGTCTTGCGAGCGCTGGAGTCTGCGCATGTTGTTCGAGTGGTCGAGAAGCAGCGAGGCAGCGGAGAGGAGGAAGAGGACAGAGGAGGAGCAAGGCGAGCGTTAGGAGCCAGACGAGCTGAAGCGGCTGGGGAGCTCGCGATGCTTTGGCAACGCCTTGCCGCTGAGCGGAGAAATACAGCAGCAAATGGCCTCATGCTTGTGTCAGAAAAGGGAGATGGGGGAGGGAAGAGAAGGTGTTTGAAAGGCGAGAAGGACGGCGTGGTCACGATGGGTGAAAGGCAGGAGGCAAGTCCGGGCGTCCGTGCGCCGCTTTGACCTTCTCCGACAAGGCCGACGAAGAAATGGCCGATAGATATCACACCACCTCAGCTCGTGGCACCTGGGCATCGCAATCAGCCATTGTGATCTGTACACTCTGTGGAATTGCAACCTGCCGTCTCTCATCATGGCTTGAATCCCTCATCGATGGCCATCTCGTCCATATCGTCGAGGAGCTCATCCATCCTGATCCGCGGCACATCCTCATCGTCACCAAACTCGCTCTCCCCGTCCGTCGTCATGCCGTCGTCTGTCATCCCATCATCGATGTCACCAGCGGCTCCTGCTCCCATGTCCGCATCTCCATCACCATCCATCTCCTCATCTCCCTCGGCATCACGCTGAGCAGCCTTTCTCGCCCTCCTGAGCGCCTTTGCCTCTCTCTTGCGCTTCAAGCGCTCCTCTGCCTCCTTGTCGCGGTACAGGTTGACGCCCGCACGCATCTCCTCGTCCTCTTCCAACTCGCGCAAGAACCACTCGTATGCCGCCTCGACCTTCTGTCCGTCCAATCCACCACGACGACCCAGTGCTCCACGACCATGAGTCGTCTCACTGACAGTCTGCTCGTCCGCCTCCTTCGCAATGGATTTGAGGCGCCAATTCCTGTTCTTCCTCCTCTTCTTGCTGTCAGGGTAGCTCTTCTTCACCAAGAACACGTCTGGGATCTTCTCTGACGGGATGGAATCGAAGACCTCTGAATTGAAGTTGGCCGAGCCCAAGTTGTAGCCCATTGCCGCGTCTCCTGGCTGGAGGAGTGCGCCAAGGTGTGTTCGGGTGTGGTGGACAGCGTCCGCTTGGCCGAAGGAGGTGGCATTCATTGGAGAGACTTGGGCGTCTGCTGTGAGGAGCTTGCTGGTCTTGCTTGAATTGTTCGTGGGCGCGGCGTGTGTGGAGGGCTCGATGTCCAGAACGAGGAACTCGACGAGCTCGGGGATGGTGCAGAGGGCTTGGAAGGGGTCGCGGAAGTATCTATCGAGGAGGAAAAGTGCGCGGAGGAAGGTTCAGTACGATGCTAGCATGCTGGATACAATTCTCTTACTCACTTCTCTGCGGGTATGTCGGCGTAGTGAAGGGTGACTGGGTCCATGAGGCGAATCGAATTTGTAATGCGAGAGCAGAGGACGAGCTGCGGTAGTTGTCCCAAGCTCTTGGCTACATTCTTTGGCAGGCAGATGAGGTCGTCCTTGCAGATGGGCGCAATCTCAACACTGTAGGTGAACTTGTTGTTCGAAGTGCTCGAATGGATGTCCATGCTGATGACACTGGTGCTTGACGTGACCTTGACGGGCACGACTGACGCCAGGAACTCGCACATCTTGACTGCGTGAGCTCTCTGCGTGTAGTAAAAGTCGAGGCCGTCCTTCTTCTCTGAGATGTTGATTGTATCCTTGTGCGCGTTATGCTTGAGGATGAGCTGCTCAAGGTAGAGGAACGTCCTCTTGTGGGGAACCTTCTGCCTGACCTGAACCTGGGCCTTCCATGTATTCTTGGCCGCAAGACGGGTACAGTCTGGGCATTGGCCGTACTGCACAATGTACTCGACCTCAAAGATCTGCTGCAAGATCGTCGAGATGAGGACCTCCTTCTGTACGGTGAGCTTGACTCTCAGTCGCTTCGAGTGGGGCTCAGTCCAGATGAAGCCGGCGTCGATGAGTCTGACCTTGTTGAGGCCACGCAGCTTGCGCAGGCAGATGGCGAGAAGCTCTCTGCTCTCGAGCTGAGCCATTACCCACGTCTGCGGCGGGTTGAGATATCGCTCACAGTTCTTGCAGAAGTTGACCGTTGCCTGCTTTGGGATTCCTTCAGTGATGTCGACTGAGTTGCGCAAGCATGACAGGCAGAGATTGGCCGAGTTCGGTGGAATGGCAGTGCCACAGTCGGCGCAGAGGACGAGGCCCTGCTCAGCGTCATGCGCCTGAGGCTGCAAGTACTCCATTGCTAGGCGCGAGGAGGAATGATGATGATGATGATGGTGGCAAGCTTGATTTGACGACTTGCTGCGCCGCTGATGTCGCCTCCCCTCACTCGCTCTCCGCCGGCCTCCATCTCTTGGGCGAAATTCTCGACGAAGCCAGTCCAAATTTCAAAGCCGTTCCGTTTGACGCGGGCGGACTGGAGGGACTTGGCTTGTGCGGGCGCCGTCAACAGAAGTTGTCCATTTCCGTTTCATCCATCTTGGCATCCTTTCCCCAGCCGTCTCATGACACCATCGTCATGCACTCTCATCACTCTCATTCCGCAGCTTTTTGCTCTCATGCACATCCAGGGTCATCACCTCAGATCATGCTCGAGCGAGCGACAGAGCTAGGCTTCCATACATATGGCCTTTCAGAGCATGTGCCCCGCCAATTCGAGTCAGAGCTCTACCCAGAGGAGCGCGAGGAGGGAAGCACGCCGGCCAAGTTGCTGGCAAAGTGGCAGGCATATCTCGTCGAGGCGCGACGAATGCAGAACGAGTACCGCACCAAAGCAAAGGGAAAGGAGAGAGCGGTGCCAAACGTCCTCGTAGGCGCAGAGACGGAGAACCTCTGTCCTAGCACATTGGCTTGGCTCAAGGCAGAGGTCTTGCGTACCCCGGGAGAGGAGCAAAGGGCTGCCGCGGTAGGCAAGGGAGTCGTCGACTATCTCGTCGGCAGCGTCCATCACGCTGGAGGCTTCGCTTCCCCATGTCGGCCTGCGAGAGACGCGGGCATCCCCATCGACTTCGATGCTGCGACGTTCAACGATGCTCTGGACCACTTTGGCGGGCAGTCAGAAGAGGCCCATCTACAGCTCTGCCTAGCCTATCTTGACGCTCAGTACAGCCTCATCAACGAGTTGCGGCCAGAGGTCATCGGTCACTTCGACCTCTGTCGCCTCTTTCGTCCACAGACCGAGCTCCTCAAGATGGGCGCAGCGGCGAATTCACTCCAGCTTGAGGTCTCGCAAGCCTGTACTCGGAACATCAGTCTGGCTGCAAGCTATGGCGCCTTGTTTGAGATTAACAGTGCCTCTTGTCGCAAGGGCTGGGCGACGCCGTATCCAGCTGCAGATGTGTTGAGGGAGATCCTGCGACTGGGTGGACGGGTCTGCCTCTCGGATGATGCGCATGGTCCTACGCACGTTGCCATCTCTTATGATCAGTCGAGGCGGTACTTGATGGAGATGAGAGTGGAGACACTGTGGCATCTCGAGCTGGACGAGGAGCGCAATCAGGAAGAGGCTGGGTTGTTAGAAGACGAGTCAATGCGAAGGGCCCGGGAGGCCAGCGAGAAGCCTGGCGAGGGGGCTCCTGTGCGATTCCTTAGAGGGACGAGGGCAAAAGGAGTCACTGGCTGGGCAGACGATCCATTCTGGGCCAGACTGAGCGCGCTGAGGGAGCAAGGGCCGTAGCTTTCGGATCTGATTAGATGAATGTCAAGGAATGCAAGGGATGAAAGCAAGTCACGACGATACCGGAGTGGTGTAGCGGCGCTGCAGGCCGCATGGGACGTGTGTGCTCGCTCGCAACGACGTCGGCCAAGCACACGACATGCTCTGGCCTCACCAGTCGTACATGGCACGGCCCGCTCGCAAAGTGAGAGGCATGCTCCTCGTGACTTGTCGCGAAACAAGGACGCGCACGCGCTACTGTACGCCACCCTCTCTTCTGCTCTCGATCGCCGGCGATGGGCGGGGAAGACGTAAGCCCGCCTGTTGAACCTTGCATGCTGCATTGCTGCCCGCGAATCGAATGAGGCAATGACTGAAGTGTGACTCTCTATGTGGATCGTGTCCGATGCGTGTCAATCGCCGACTGGCCGCTGACGCTGCTCTCGTTGTGTGGTTCGCGACAAAAGGCTCATCTTCTTCCGAATCGCGTCGTTCGTGTCGTGACGCGGCGGCGGCGGAGCGTGCAAAGTGGCGGGAGGGCGGCGAGGCAGGCAGACGGGCTGACTTCGGGCCCGCCCGCGCAGAGTGGATCCAAGGGCAACACGTCGAGCCCAAATAGCCGCGTCTCTTCATCGCAGCTTCCTCTTTCTCTTCCCCCCTTCATCTCCATCACATCGACCACTTCCCAACCCACGATCATCGTTGAGAATCACTCTGCCTACCAAGCTAGAGCCTCATCGACCTCACTAGCACAACCGCAAATCCTCGCAGCGACATCCGCCCAGCGCACCACCACCACCACATCCCGCTACCACTAGATTTGCTCAGCAACTCCACCGCGGCGAACTATCCACTCTCTTCCCATCCCACTCCCCCCTCGCACGCATCTCACTCGCGCATCATGACCGCAGCAATCGCACCCGAGACTCCCTCCAAGAAGGTCGCGTCCTCCTTCGCCGACATTGACGTCAATGCAACCCCCTCAAAGAAGGCTGCCCCCGCTGACGCAGACGACTTCTCAGAGCCGGCTTTCCTCTCAAAGGGCAAGACGGCCCCCACCGCCGCAGAGGTCGAGAAGAAGTCACACGTCGCCGACGATGTTGTTCACGGCAAGTTTGTGGGAGAGGTCGACCTGCCTGAGGAGGACGAGCCGCTCCTCGTCGAGAGCTCGCGTCGTTTCGTCCTGTTCCCCATCCGCTTCCACGAGGTGAGTACCCGCTCGAGTTCGCCTCTTTGTTGGAGGTCTGCGATACCAGTCATGCGTGACATCGCGCCACGCTCCTTCAGCGACGCCTCTGCGCGCGTTGAAGTGGTGCGTCGCGATGTAGACGCGTCGGTGGCGATCCGAGACAACGCATGATGGCGATGATCGCGCTGGCCCGTCATGACTCTGTGAACTCATGCTGACCATGACATCTCCCTTCCCTTCCTCGCCCACCTCATCACGCTCTCTTTGCTCCGCTCGTCACGCACGCGCAGATCTGGCAAATGTACAAGAAGGCTGAGGCGTCCTTCTGGACCGCCGAGGAGATCGACCTGTCCAAGGACATGCACGACTGGGACAACAAGCTCAACGACAACGAGCGCCACTTCATCTCGCACGTCCTCGCCTTCTTCGCTGCCTCAGACGGCATCGTCAACGAAAACCTCGTCGAGCGCTTCTCGTCCGAGGTTCAGGCCGCCGAGGCCCGCTGCTTCTACGGCTTCCAAATCATGATGGAGAACATCCACTCAGAGACGTACTCGCTCCTCATCGACACATACATCCGCGACCCTGCACAGCGCGAGTTCCTCTTCGATGCCGTCGAGACCATTCCCGTCGTCAAGCAGAAGGCAGACTGGGCCCTGCGCTGGATCAGCGACAAGCGCGCCACCTTCGCTGAGCGTCTCGTAGCCTTCGCTGCGGTAGAGGGCATCTTCTTCTCTGGCTCCTTCGCTTCCATCTTCTGGCTCAAGAAGCGCGGTCTCATGCCTGGTCTTACCTTCTCCAACGAGCTCATCTCGCGCGACGAGGGCCTGCACACCGACTTTGCCTGCCTCCTCTTCTCGCACCTCAAGAAGCGCGCCCACCCGGACACCGTCCGCGCCATCATCGTCGAGGCCGTCGAGATTGAGTGCGTCTTCCTCACCGACGCCCTGCCCGTCGCCCTCATCGGCATGAACGCCAAGCTTATGTGCCAATACATCGAGTTCTGTGCCGTGAGTAGTCGACACTTGAGCTTGACTGCGTACGTTCGAGCAATAGTAGCTGACGTTGAGCTATACCTTTCCCCTCTCAGGACCGACTCCTCGTCGCTCTCGGCAACGACAAGCATTACAATGCTAGCAACCCCTTCGATTTCATGGAGAACATTTCGCTTCAGGTACGTAGCCATGGTCGTGAGCCTCGCTGGCATCATCAAGTTGATGCTAACGCCTCGTTTTCCCCCTCGCCGAACTAACAGGGCAAGACGAACTTCTTTGAGAAGAAGGTCGCCGAGTACAGCAAGACTGGTGTGGCTCGCAAGGAGGGCGACGAGGGTGATGGACGCCAGCAGAACACTCACTCCTTCTCCCTGGAGGAGGACTTCTAAGGGTCCGCAACGCGTGCATATCTCTTCACCTCTCCTAGTGTCTCTTGTTTCTCGTCTCGTCTCGTCTTGTACCATACCAGCTCTTCATCGCTCTGAGAATTCACTTTGCACTTGCTTCATACAGACGGCCGTAGAGCCGTAGGCGGGGTGAAGATGGCGTTTGACCGAGGGCGTGAGGACGGAGTGGCGTGCCGTAGGCGGCTGCCGCTTGCAGTCCTGGAGCCTTGCTCAATTCTCAATTCACATCGTCATGAAGCAACAAGATTAGACGTGCTGGATATCATTGAAACGTCGCCCTACTACGCCTGAAACAACGAGGAGCCACACTCTCACACCTTCCTGACCGTCCTCCCGCTTCTGGTCCTCAACGTCGGCGGACTAGGCTCAGAATGAGGCTCAGATTGCGCCTCGTCCTCCCCGTCTTCGTCTTTCCCTCCCTTCTGCTGGCCTCGCTTACCCCTCCCACCTGTCGAGGCTGCCCCTCGCGCTGTGCGCTTGGCGGTTGAGGTTGCAGGTGCTGAAGGCTTGACGGGGCTGGAGGCTGACTTGATTGATGGGGCGCTGGCCTTCTTTGCCCCGCCGCCGCGTGCTGCTCGCCTCGTTACGGCAGGTGAAGGGGCAGAGGGCTCGTCCGCCTTGTCCGCAACGTCGGCCTGCTCCTGCGGATGCTGTTGCTGTTGCGGCTGCTGCTGCTCCTCCTCATTCTCGCTGCTGTGGCTCGCAGTCGCAGCCGCAGCCGCCCTGCGCCCGCGGGTCGATCTCGTTGCGTTGGTGGCGGCAACGGGCTTGGGAGGGAGAGCAGCCTTGCCCGTGAGAGGTGCAGCCGACTTCTCAACGGGTGGGGCAGCCTTGCGTCCCCGAGTAAGGGGCGCATCGTTGCTCTCTTCCTCGATGGTAGCTGGCTGGCTCTCCTCGATCTCCGCTGCTGCACTTGAAGGCGCGGCCGCGATCGGCTTCTCAGCGTCCACGGAAGGGGGGTCGATCGGTTCGACCACTGACGAAGCGTTCTTCTTGTGTCGCCCACCTCGTCTAGTCGCCGTGCTGCGGGTGGCAGCTGACTTCGTCGGGGAGGATTGCGATGTGGTAACGGCTGCGGCTTGACGTCTAGTTGAGCGGGGCGGGGCAGGGCTCGAGACGACTCCCTTGTCTTCTGCGTCTTCTGTGGCAGGGTGAGTCGCCGATGACTCTGCAACCGTCTCCCCTGTTGCTGGTGGCTGAGCAGCGCGCGTTCGAGGTGTTCTCAGCGCCTTGACGGGTGATCTCTTGACGGGACTCGCGGGGCGAGCTGGCTTCTCTTCCTCTTCGACGGTTTGGGCGTCTGCCTTCGTAGGCGATCGTTTCTTCTCTCCCGCGTCTTGCTCGTGATTGACCTTCCGACTGCTCTTGAGCGGGCTAGGAAGGCTCGACTCCTCTTCCCTGGCAATGGCCTTGGCAGGCGACGAGCTTTCCTCTGGCAGCTGCGTCCTTCGCCTCTTCGGTGTCGAGGGTGGCGACGAGGACGCGAATGGCGATGGCACCTCTGCCTCTTCATCCTCAGCGAAAGCCGGCGCGGGAATGTCCATTGGAGCGTCTTGTTGCTCGTCAGCGTCTGCGTCGACCTGCATTGACTCATCCTGCGTCGGCTCAGCCTCCTGAAGTGCGGACACTGGCTCGACCTTGGGCTGCACCATGTTTTCCTCAGTGGTCTCAACCGGCGCCTTCACCTGTCCATCAGCTTCAATCCTCTCCTCGGCCACCTCCGGCATCTCAGTGACGTCCGAGCCATCCTGCCCAGTCAACTGAGCGAACGAGCTCGAACTCTTTCCCCTTCTCCTCCCGCCGCGGCAGCCACGTCTGGTCTTACGACGACGAGGCTCAACGTCTCCTTGCTCGGCGGCTGCAGCTTCGACCTCTTGCATTGACGTGATGAAGGCCGCAGACTGTACGGCCGCTTCGTCTGACGAGAGGCGCGCGAAACTTGAGGCTGTCTGGAGGAGGGCGCGACGTGCGGCGGGGGAGACAATGAAGTCGGCAAAGTCTTCTCGGTCTTCGTCGTCTGCCTCCTCTTGTGAATCCTCGTCGAGCATGAAGGCGAACTCATCGAAAGTGAAGCGCACGCTCTTCAATTGGACATCCGTGTCTGTCTCTGATCTTGGGAGCTTGAAGATCTGACGCAGGAAGACAACATCTGGCGTCGTCTCGGCGGGTAATTGCGGTGCGACTTGGCCCGAAGAGGAGAGAATGAGACTGCCGCGCTTGGTTGTTTTCCTCGTCTGATCCAGCAGCGCAACATTCTCTGGGCGACCAAGCATAAGCTCACGCAGCATGCCATAGCGAGGAGCGGCCGTGGCAGGAGCTGCCTCTGCCTCGACCGGAGTGGGAGGCGCCCTGGTCTTGTTGGACAGGAGATATCGCAAGGCTTCTCGAGCGGGTGCGCGGAGTGATTCAAAGGCAACGGCAGGGGTAGAGGGCATCGAGTCGGAAGACGGTTGGCTTGTCTCGTCGGATGTTGCTCGATACACCGTACCAACGACGTCCTCTGCCTCTTTTGATGGGCGAATGGGCAGGAACCCAAACAAACTCCTGCGCTTGGCTGCCACGGGCATTGACTGGCGCTTGACGGAGCGCTCTTGGACCACGAAGCTTGGCAAGTCCGCCTTAAGCGACAAGGGTTGCAGCTGTCTTGCTGGAAGCGGCGCGGGCTCTTCATCTAGGCTCAAGCTACCAAGGCTCAAGCTCTTCTCAACCTCGTCCTCGTCGTCCTCATCCGCAGCACCGTCTTCTGCTACACTAGGCGATGATTGAAGATCCGAGCTCGGCGCGCTGCTCTCATCCTCTTCCTCTGGCTGTGTCGGTAAGGTGACCGCTTCTTGCAGCGGCGAGGCCTTGCTGGGCGAGGCCGGAGTTGATTCCATCATTGCCTCACTCTCAAGTCGCTCCACAAGAGCTGCGCTGTGCTTGAGAAGCGTCTTGGTACGCAAACTGAGATTCCTTCTGCCGTGATTCAAGAAGGACGGTGAGCCCACAAGGCGGCCAGGGGAGCTCTGACTGTGGGGTAGACGAGGAGTGCCCCAGGGGCTCTGATTGCTGTCGACGCCTTGCTCGTCCTCTTCTTCGTCGTCCCACTGACTCGCGTTGCCGTCATTCATCTTCGGCTCCTCGCTAGGTTCGCCCTCTTTCGCCGGCGTTGCCTGACGCTCGTCTGCGTAGACCTCCTGAGATGACGAGCCAAACGGCCACGCACGGCCCAGGAAGCTCGAGCGACGACGATCCTTCTTGGATGGCGACGGCGGCTTCTCTGGCTCGGCATAGCGGGTGGGCTCCACATCGACATCCATGGCATGCTCTTTTGCTTCCTTCTCTTCGCCTTCTCCATTCCCATCATCTTCGAGGACCAAAACTTGCTCGCCATCCTCCTGATCGTGAGGAGAAGATGAGAATGCTGCAGGGCCTTTGCGCAGCTGCGGCGGCGGCTGATCTCCCTCCTCTTCATCAAGATCCTCGAGATCTCTGGCTACAGACTCTGCCTTCTCGGGCGTATCGATCGTCGCGGCTCGTACTAAGCTCATCCTGACTCTCCTCCTCTGGCCAGACGGCGTTGTGAGCGCTGCAACAGACGCTCTTCGCTGATCCGCCGGACTTGATGGGACAAACGTGGGGCCCTTGCTGCTCCCTGAAGCCTGCTCTGCGTACCTGAAGCGGAAGCGGTACTTGTGAATGACGACGAGGTCCTCTGAAGAAAGTAGGACAGAGACTGGCTCGTCCGAGTCTGGAAGCGGGAGGATATGACAGTCGTTGACGACGACCTTTGTGGAGCCGAGGAGTAGTAGCCTTGCCTGCCCTGGATGATCAAAATGGACGCGGCAGGCATGCCGTGATACGCCGATCTCGCAGAGGCGGATGTCATTGTCTGACGATCTGGGAGGGTGAATGCAGTAGGATGATCAGCTGCGAGGTCACAGCGCTGCGTTGCGAGGCAGCCCAAGCGGTACTCACCTTCCAATATTGCAGTCCCTCTCAGTCAATGGCAAGCCTCCAGTGACTTTGCCCTGCCTGTTTTCGACGTCAAGGTGACCCCAAAGCGACGGCTCTAGCCGCGAATCATGGTGTTGATCTCCCAACTGCTGTTGATGTCCGCCAGTTGCGACGTCCTCGTCGAGCGCCAATGGCTTCTTTGTAGGTGACCAGGACCCGAGACTTTTTCTCCAGGAGCTGAGCATGTCGCTGATTGATAGCGAGCTGCGTGTTGGTTGATGATCAGGCGAGTGATTGGGTGGTGTTGAGAAAGCTCAAATCCCGCGGCGCGGAGGCCCGTTGTTCAAACACAGCGACACCTTCGACGCAGCTGGACGCGTTCCAAGGAACGGGAGCCGGCACGTGGAGTGGTGGAGTGATTGTTGCTTGCAAACACTGGCGGGGCAGAGCCGTCAACTTCACAACGATCGAGCGTCGAAGAGAGCGTCTAATAACATCGCAAGCAAGCTGATGAGCAGGGAAGATGAACAGATGATAGATGTGCAACTTCGATCGCCTTTCTTATGCCTCACTCGCTCATCTACTCACTATCCTCGCCCTCGCCCGCGCCCTCTTCCTCCGCCTCTGCCTCCGCCTCTGCGATCCGCCGAGCTTGCTCCCCAACCAGCTGCGTGAGCGTGACCGTCGAAGGCCCCAATCTTGCGCTCTCGTCTCCCTCTCGCCGTCTCGCCACCTCCGCGGCGATCCAAGGCGCAAAGGTGATGAAGCGTGGGCACTTGGTGACGGTGAGACGAGGCAATGGGGCGCCATCGAGGGCCGCTCCACCGAGTGGTGCTTGGTCGAGCGGTGTGAGCTGAACACTTGCGTACGTCGCGAGGAGGTGGTCTTCGCCCATCTGCATGAAGGAGACTGGCACCGGTAGCTGAACATCCGAAGAGCTTGGGATGGCGTGGATGGGGAGTTGGTGGTCGTCTGTGCGAGGCAGCTTTCCGGGCTCTGGCAGAGGAAAGACGTAGATGCGGTCGCTATGAATGACGGGATGAATGCATGATGTCGATGAGTGAGCTCTGACAGCTCTCTTTTGCGCATGCTTGACGATCCCTCAGACGGCACTCACCCAATTTCAAAGCAAGCACGGGGCGACGACGCAGGGCCGCCGATGGTAAGCCAGCCACCCAGATCCCACTGCGAGCGCCGAAGAGAGCGATCAGTCCTTGCTTCGTGGTATCATGATGATCTCCCGTTTGCCGCCATTGTCACCGCCTCACGGCGCGTACGACCATCAGATCCTGCTGGCCGCTGCCCCCGCGGTCGTTATCTTGCTCGATCCGCTATCGAGATTAAGCGCCGGCTCACATGTGCAGAGGCCGGGCCGCCGAAGGATGCATAGACTAGACTGCCGCGGCGCCCAGTGCATCATGCACCATCGATTTCACTTTCCCTTCCTCCAAAGGGAAGAAGCTCGAGACCGGTCCAGCCTTGCAAAGCATCTTGAATCCCTCCCACCACCATCGGCGCCAATCACCAGTCATGGCTGCTCTGCAAGGGATCGTCGTCCTCACTCGCCATGGTGATCGCCAAGGTAAGAAGAAGCGGACGAGATGAGGCAGTCTAGTGTCTCTGACTCACTCTTCCCACTCTCGATACCCAGGTTTCTACCAGAACCCCAAGACGTACTCTGCAATCCAAACCAACTTGACCGTCGCTGGCTACGTGCAAGAATACAACAATGGCGTCGATCTCCGCAATCTCTACCTCGTCAATGCCACCGACAGTATCCAAGGCATCAATGCGACGCAGTCCGAGACTACGCAGCTCAACGTCATGGCCGACGCGGGCGGTGAGGGAGGCGTAATCATCGAAAGCGCCAATGCCCTCCTGCAGGGCCTCTATCCACCCTACAACGACACCATCACTCTCGCCGACGGCTCGACCGTATCTTGGGATCGCGCTCAGCTGATTCCCATCGAGACGATCGAGCCTGACCAAGATGTGTGGATGGAGGGATGGACCGACTGCGACGCCTGGAGCGACTACCTGCAGGACTGGTACGACAGCGCCGACTTCAAGGCCAAGGCGGCGATTGCAAACCCCTTCTATCAAAGCATCTCCAATATCCTGGGCAACCGTCCTTTGAAACTCGAGAACGCCTGGAACATCTTCGACTACCTCAACGTCCAGAGCATCCACAACGCCACTCTTGCCCCACAGATCCTTCCCCATCTGGCTCAGGCGCGATACTGGGCTGACTACCACGAGGCTGGCGCTTTCGGCAATGGCGCAGATCCGTCTGACATCGCCAACATCGCGGGGCAATCCATCCTGCCCCCTCTGTTGGGCGGTTTCGATGACATCCGCAACACGACCACGGGCCTCAAGATCCAATACCTCGCCGCATCATATAAGCCCTTCCTTGGCCTCTTCAACATGATGAAGCTTCCCAGCCCCCTCTCCACCAGCGTGGTAGACTACGCCTCGACCCTCATTTTCGAAATCCGAGACGACGCTACGGTCACGATGCGTTTCCGCAATGGGAGCTCGGGCGCGTTCGAGGCCTACCCTCTCTTTGGCTCCTCGTCCACCTCGATGCCAATCGCCGATTTCGAGAGCAAGATGCAGCCCTACTCGCTCGACTCGCTCAGCAAGTGGTGCAACAAGTGCTCCAATAGTGAGACGCGCGGATGCGCCACGCTTGCGCAACTCAACGGGACGGGTGGGGGCGAACGATCATACGCGCCAGACACCTCGACGATGGGACGACACCACGTCTCGCCCGTCGTCGCTGGCGTCATTGGGTCGATGGTCACCCTGGCCATAGCCGCTGTGCTGCTCGCTGCGTGGCTCTTCTTTGGCGGCTTGGTCTCCAAGTCGCGCCGCTCGAGGCAAGCAAGCGGTGGCGGTGGAAGCATCGCGGGGGAGAGCAGGAAGAGCCTCGCTCCCGCTGGCGCCGCTGCTGGATCGAGTGGGTTTGAGATGCCCAGCCGTACTGGCTCAACGCACGATGGCGAGGCCTCGTCGATGGGCGGCAGCGCCAAGGGAGGAGCCGCTCACTGAACTCAATAGGGCCATCTATGTTACTCTTCACAGTCTGCAGCACCGTTTTGAGCAAAGTCACGAATACCAGGCAATGAAGAAAGCAAAACAAGTCGTGGCTGCGCACACTCACCGTTCGATCATGCTCATCCGGCGGATTGGTCGCAATGAATGCAACGCAGTCTTGAGCTGCTTGTGGGTTCTTGAGTACCTTCGGCCAGTCGGAGCAGATCATGACCCAGCCTTGACGAGCCACGCCGATCATGATGTCGCCATAGAGCATCCCAGCACCCCATTCAGCCGTGTTGGGTCGTCCCCAGTCTCCTTGATCCTCGTCGCGAACCTCTTGCGGTGTATTGGGTGCACGCATCGACGTCCCTTCTACGAGGCCCGGTCTGAGCGTCACGTTGCAGTGTCGCACCGTAGCGTCTCTGCCATCCTGCCCTCGCGAGCTGATGACAGCCGAATCCGCCGGCTCAGGCAGAGGGATATGGTAGTAATTCGGCGTAGTCTCTTCCGCCCATAGCTCACCATGAAGCTTCCCCATGTACCTGCCCGTCTTCTTCTCGTAGAAGTCGTACCCGCCGTGCTTCATGCAGTACATGACTACTTCCTCGTTCTGCTCGAGATGACCACGCGCCCCTTCTGGGATCGTGATTGTGCGCTGTAGCTCAGGCGGCGAGGTGGAGACGTCGTAAATCCAGGCTTTGCCCTGGTTGGATACGACGCAGAGGGTGGGGTAGAGGAGGTGCCATCCTCTGAGGAAGTTGGAGTGGGGTAGACGACCGACTCGTACGTATGCGCCGCGTTGAGGCGTCTCGCAGGGAGTTGAGGTGGACAAGCTGCCCTGATTGCCTTCTGCTGCGGCTAGATCTGCTCGTCGCCAGATCTCGATGGTGTCGTCCATTCCCGGATTGAAGGCGAGAGTCCCCTTGGAGTGCTCAAGGTGGGCATGAGGGCCGACTTGAGATTCAGACAAATTCCAGAGAAGCTTTCCAGTATCCATGTCGTAGACCCAGAGACCGCCTTGATGTGCTGTGCACACGACAGTGCGAGCCTCGTAGTCGGGTCGTAGGCGCCACGTCGTTACGACGCCCGTGTTCAGGATGCGGTCCGACAGCTTGGGCAGCTGACTGTCCATATTCCGGAGTAGCTGCATCTTTCGTTTGCAATATTCCTTCCAAGTTTCGACGCCTTGCCAAGTTGCTGGTTCTGGGCTCCACTTTGCTGCTAGTACTCGCTGCAGGTCGCCCTCCTCGTAAGTAGGCGGCACGCTATTGCGCTCTTGAATAACATCTCCCGTCCTGCCTCCCAGAACGCTGGCAGCTGAGGCCCATATTGGACCGTGATGCTCCTTGACGAAGCTGTTCCAGGCTTTGTTTACCTGTTCAAGGCGAGCAATCGATGTTAAGTCGGACAGCTTGACGATCCTCAGGACGATCTCGGGCGGCAGAGAGACGAGGAAATCCACTTTTGGTTCGCCCATGGCGGGCCACTTGTTGCCACAGATGTGGTAATAGCCTTGATCGGTATGAGGAGTGCGGGACAATGGGGATAGTCGGAGCTCTCACACAAGGGCGTTTGAGCTCGGGGCTGATGTCGTTGGCGGCTGCAAACGAATCTCGACGTTGGACGGCTGCCTCCACAGGCTCCCAAGACGGACTGCCGCTCCGTTGAGCGTCTTGGACCCTGGCTGAGGCCAGTCGACGGATCAACACTCGAACCAACACGTCGAGCAATCCTCAAGGCAAACAAGCAAGGACGCAAGGACGCGGCAAAGGCAGCCTCGTCGATGGACGATAATCTTCACGGAGGCCTACTCAAGCTTCCGCCGGAGCTGCTGCTGACCATCTGTGACTCGTTACCATTGGCCTCGATCTTGATCTTTCGCCTCCAAGTCTGTCGGCGTTTACGATATCACGATCAACTCGGGCCTCTGCGTCTGCCCCCTTCCCTGTCATTTGCACAATGGCAGCAGGCGAGCGAAGCGCTGAAAGAGCTAGGCCTCGCCAAGCAAGATGATGATGCGGATGAAGACCTCGACGATGGGGAGCATAACCGCAACATCCATGCCTCCTACCCTCGGCCACTCCCCAAGCTCCCAGACGTGCCTCAACTCCGGCCTCTCAAGTCACCACCGCATGCCAAAGGCCAAGAAGGAGGTGTCGCTGTAGGCTGGAACGGGGCATCCAACCTAGCACCAAAAGCGTACAAGCTTGAGGTGGCCCTTGGCGTTCTCCTCGCGACAGGTCCAGCGTATGAGGTCCGCCTCTTCCGCCGGGTGCTCGCCTTCCTCGGTCTCTTGCCTCCTGAAAGGGCAATACCACCAAAAGGCGCGCTCAAGGCCCCGGATAGACGAAGACCGATGCGCTTGCCAGTCGCGCTTGAAGAGCGGCTGCAGCCTACTTGGGTTCGCTCTGCAGGGGGTGAGGTGAGGAGGGAAGCAGAAGAGGAGGAGGAGCCTCGATTGCTTAAGACGCTCTGCGCTGTCAGCTGGAGCGGGATCAGTGGACAGTCTCTCGTGCAAATGCTGAGGACTGAGCCGGCCTTTGCGGGTGTGGAGCTGATTGTCAAGACGGAGAGATTTGATGAAGGTGACGTGGGCCAGAGTGCGCTGCATATCTATTGCGGTCACGGTCTGCTTACATTCGACCTCGATGCCGCACCCTCGCAGACTCATGGAAGACGCTCAACGATCCTGGTGCTACTCATCTTGCTTCACAATCTGCCAAGATCCAGACGCACCTCATAGATGAAGGCGAGTACTCAGCAGGTCGCATAGCGTCCGTGCTGCCGGCGTCCTCGTCGTCCTCCCCCTTGACACCTTCAGCGTACGTAGAGACGCAAGTAGTCGTCAACGTGGGGTCCAAAGCGACAGAAGAGCAGGCGCGCCACATCAAGGGGCAAGGCCTCTTCGCTGGTTACCGTGCATTCTGCTTCAATGCTCCAGCAGCGAGGCAGGGAGAGGCTTCACCACCGGAGAAGGCGCCTCCGCCGCTGCCGTCTGAGCAGAGCAACCCTCAAAGCAGTGGCGAAGATGACGAGGAAGGCAATAGGCCGAGCTCCTTACTTCGAAGCGGAGGAGGGCCAGCCCCGTGTCCCTCTGATCAGCCTGTCACTCCCTCTGTCTCCAGGGCAAGGCCACTTCACGTTGTCTTCGTTGGCCGCTTCCGCCTCGATGAGGCACTAGAGACCGAAGAGATGCTGTTCCTCAGCGCTATGCGGTGTAGTGCTTGCCAATCAGGGCTCGCGATGTAGCTGAGCATGGCAATGTAGAGATGGAGGGGGAAAGGAATGTGTCATTGTGTCTGTGTTGTGTGTACGATATACAGTAATGCTGTGCGGACAAAGCAAATCGAATCGAGAAAAGTCAATCCCAGGCTACGGAAGGGTCACTTCACAATGCTATCTGGCTCAAGTAGCGTCAGCACTCAAGCCATCCCCCTTCCTCCACCAGTGAGCACAAGCTTCGCCTTGCGCTGCTTCTTGCCCTTTGCCGGTGGCTGCTCAGCAGGGGGCTTAGCGGCAGCGGAGTCGCCACCTTCCTCCTTCTTGTCTGCGGGCGTACCCTGTTGGCTCTGCGGTTGAGAGGAGGTCCGTTGTGCAAAGCTCGGCTTCTCCCCCTGCGGTGTCCTCTCTCCTCCATTAGCGTTGCAGTTGCGCCTTTGACCCTGCTGCTGCGTGTTGAGTCCCCTACCCTGTCTCACCTGCTTGGAGTTATTCGTTCCAAGCACGAATCCTTCCTCCAGCTCCAGCCAGGCATCATCCACGTCCTCATCCCATCCTCCTCCCTGCTGCCCACGCGAAGAGGCGTGCAACGTCGAGGCAAAGGAAGGACGAGCTGCTGCGGGAGTGCCCCAGACAGTGCGCGTGGAAGGGGCGAGGGGTGGGGAGGGGCCAGAGGGAAAGTTGGAGGAGGGCGCGACAGCAGGGAAGTCTTCCTCCCCCGAGCCATGATCAGCCGAGGCACCAGGGTGAACGGGGAAGTGACGCTCTGCGCCCCACATTGCGGCCTCCATGAAGGTGGGTGATGTACCGGCTGCGCCTGCCGAGTGGCCAGACATGTTCGAGAAGGCACTGTCCCCTCCTCCGCCGACGCTGCTGCCGTAGCTTTGAGAGAGCTGAAGGTCAGGATGACTGTCCCGAGAGCGCCGCCCCGAGCCCATGGGCATTGCTTGCGCACCGCCAGAGCCAGTTGTGGTGGTGATCGGCGGTCGCCTAGCCGCCTCTGCTTCCTCGGCCTTGAGCTTCGCTCTATCCTCCCTTCGCTCCTTATCGCGTCGCTTGTTGCGGCGTGCACGCAGCACCTGCTCGTACGGCTTGAGAGTCGCTTTGCTGACCAACGGAGGCGGGCCACCCTCCTTGGCCGCAGCCATGACCTCCCAATCAATCTCAATAAATACGACATCCGTGCCTCTCGGCAGATGCGTCAAATACCTGCACCTCTTGCGCAGCTCTTCATTCATACTGCCCTCCTCTGCGCTCTGCACCTTGACAGCTATATCGCGCGGGAAACGAGCGTAGCTGCCGAACTGAGAGTGGAGAATCTTGATGTCTAGTGGGTGCATGAAGATGTTCTGACCTGAGGAGGCTTGGTAGAAAAAGAAGGACGAGGGAGAAGGGTTCGGAGGATTGAGGTTGCGACGCGAGCGGGCTGGGCCTTTGGTAACAGGCGGCGGAGGAGTAGCGCTCTCGTCTGCCGAGGAGCTCGCAGGGGCGCTTCCTGTAGTAGCGACATCTGCTTGCGACTCTTGACGAGCCCTACTGCCGTAGGAGCCTCCTTGACTTGAGGCACGTAGCGCAAGAAAGTCTTCAGCTCCGACGGCTGACTCTGTTGGCTTCTCTGACTCGGTCTCATCCTTGTCTGCAGCGCCGTCGCCCTGGTCTCCCGCCTGATCCTTCCCATCGTCTTGCGCCGCCGCCGCCGCCGCCTGTTGCTTCTCAGCCTGCCGCCTCTGACGACGACTGAGATTCTCTCCCTCCCTCAACCTCCTACCCTGCTCCGCCTCGTCGTGCTCCTTGAGGTCGTTCTTGGCCTGGCCAATTGTGCTTCGCACTACTGGCGTGTCGAGCTCATTGAGCACCTTGCCCATCTGCTCGCGCACTTTCCTCTCTGCGAGGTCGACGTATGCCAAGCTGTTGTCCCCTGTGCCTGGCCCGCCGGCTCCCATTGACTTGAGTAGCGACTTCTCGGCAGCCAGCTCATCTACGTCTTGCGTGAGTGAGCCGAGCAGGAGGTCAGGCGTGGCAAGCATGAACTTGGAGAAGGTCATCACGTCGGGTTGGAAGTGCCAGGGTGCTTGGTGCTGGGCGATCAAGGGCTGATCCGAGGGAGATGTCGAGGACGTGGGCCAGGTAGATGACTGAGGCAATGCCAATGTGGTGATTTGCGGACGTTCAATGAGACGCATTCTGAGCCACTCGGTGGGCGCGACAGAGGGCTCAGCCTCGGGCGAGGTATCATCGCCTTGCCTGTCGAGAGCGACTGCCTTTGGATCCCACCACTTGACTGCCTTGAGGTCTCGTGCATACACTGCGTCCCAGCAGATGGGACATCGCTTCCACATCCGATTGGTGGGGCCAGACAATGGAGTGCCCGCTGGTAGCTGCGCAGCCGGTGCCGCTCCAGGAATGGGCAACGGGCCCATGTTTGACGGCCCGTCAGTCGTTGACAAGTATTGGAGGATGCAAGGGTAGCAATAGACGTGACCGCACTTGGTCATCCTCGGCGCTGTCGGCGGGCTCAAGCAGATGGGACAAGCAGCTCCCTCATGCGACTCGAGTGATGGTTGAGAGGCTGCTGTGAGGGAAGAAGTTGATGCCCCTGAAAGGGCTGACGAAGTTGGGATGAGGACGGAGAGGATGTCGCCCCAGTTGAGGTAGATGTCGGCGTCTGCGAAGTAGGCCGTGTAGTCGCCCGTCGGCTTGACAAGAAAGCGATACTGGGCTGCGACGTAGCGCTCTTTGTTGAATGGCTGCGAGGGGCCGCTGCGACGAGATCGACGACTAACGGGCGCCGGGGGGCGAGCTCGGGGTGGCAGCGTGAAGGAGAGTAACTGAGAGGGCGGGCGACAAAGAGGTTAGGCTACTGCATCTCAGCGTCGCATGAAAGACTTGCGTAGCACTCACATGGCTGATGTCCTGGCCACGATTCCTGCCTCCGCCACCACCACCACCTTGCGAGAAGCCGTTGCTGGTCGTCATCTGTTTGCCTCGCGGGGTGGACGCGGCGGTCGAATTTGCGTGTACGCTCATGAGCAGATTACTGGATACCTCTTGGCACGTCGCCTCGCAGAGCAATAGCGTCGTAGTCGCAGAAGACGATTGAGAAGAGCGAGAAAGATGCAGCTAGTACGAATCTGCTGCGCTTGACAGGAGGATACAGAGGCCAGAGGGTCGAGTGGCGAATACGACGCGCAGTTAAGCGGCCGAGTCGATGAGGAGGAGAGGCGTAGAAGATGGCGTTTGTAGATTTCGTGGCTGATCCTCACCCGTCCTCCGCCGCAGAAAGCGGATTGGAGTAGTTGATGAGGGGACGAGGAGAGGAGCCAAGTTGCTCAGGCGGCCACCAACGCGTAAAGGCCCTCCTCCGCCTCCCTCGCCCGGACGGACCCTCGAGTCGTGAGCCTCGTGAGCTCCTCGGTCCGCCCGCCTCCACTGCCGCCGCGCTCCGGCTCGGCGAGAGTGCAAGGGATACGGCAAAGCCAAGCATGCAGCTTCTTGTCAGGCAACGTGTAGCTGCGATTCACGAAACAACGATGGTAACAACAAGAGACGAAACATAGAGACAGCAGAACAATCATCATCATCAACACCGCCTTCAAAGCCTCTGCTCCTCCTTGCGCTTGCTAAGAACAGCAGCAGCAGCACCCTTGATCGCATCAGCGACACTCCGCCCTACCCGCGCCTGCTTGATCAGCGTCGCCCCCCTCTCAGCCAACATGTAGCAAGTCGACTGAGGGTGGCCAGGTGGCAGCATCGGGAAGCTCGAGGCGTCGATAACTCGCAGCCCCTGCGTGCCGTACACCTGGAGCTTGCTGTCCAGAACGCCTCCTTGATCTCGCGTCGCCATCTTACACGTGCACGAGGCGTGCCAGACGGTCATGAGATTCTCCTTGACGTGTTGGAGAATCTGGGCATCCGTACTCACGGCAGCGCCCGGATAGTACTCGTTCTTGTCTGCGAGTACAGGCTGCATAGCTTGAGCGCTGAAGAATTCGCGGGCACGCTTGAAACCGTACACGGCCGCCGCCTGGTCCACAGGGTCGACGAGCCACTTGGGGTCAATGTTGGGCAGGTCACCCGTGTCGGCCGAGTTCAGCGTCACAGTTCCCCTCGAGCGAGGGGCCACGATAGCTGCGAGAATGGTAGCAAATCGAGAGCCATCAGCGCCACGAGCGAGATTGTCCTGGAAAAGGCCCTGGAAGTTGCCTACGAAGCCAGCCCCGCTGAAGTGCTCGATGTGTGGCCAGTCTGAAGGGTACGTGTTGAGGATGCCGGCGCCAATAGCAGCAGCCGTTGCGGGGGGAATGCGCTCCCAAGCCAGCAGGTCGGCGACGGGGTTGGTGAGGAGGCCGAGCTGATTGGTCGAGAAGTTGGCAAATTGAGCGGCGAGATAGACGGGATTGGCCGCCAAGTCGGTTAGGGTGTTGGTGGCTGGGTTCACCTTGAATGTGGGTCCAACGAAGACGTGGTCCTCCATTCCTTGGCCGACATTCTTGTTCTCCACGATGACAGGGATACCCTGGGCTGTGAGCTGGTCACGGGGGCCAATGCCGGAAACCATCAAGAGCTGAGGGCTGTTGAAGGCTCCACCGCTGACAATGACCTCGCGCGTGGCGTGCACTCCGAATAGCGTGAGCTTGTCCGCAAGGATGGCACTGGAGCTGAACAAGACGCCGCGGGCGCGAGGAGTCGTGTCGTTGCTGAGCACAATGCGCTTAGCAAGGGCGCCAGTGTAGATGGTCAGGTTGGGACGCTTCGAGGCTACGACGTAGGCGTCGCGAGAGGTGGAGCGGATGCCACCGTTGGGATTGATCGTGGTCGGGCAGTATTGCACGCCGAGGAGGCTGCCACCGTTGAATGACCTGGTCGTCCTGATGCCTGACGGACGGAGAGGCACGAATGGGATTCAGTGGGAGTCAGCATTGAGGACGCGATAGGCACCGTACTGGTATGGTCGCGTACTCACCCTTCTGATTCACACTCTGCTGCATGAAGTGCGAGAAGTTCGAAGGCGTGTTTGCGTACGACGCGTGGATCAAGGGCGAGTCAGATCCCCAGTCATTCGGATTGTACTGAGCCTCTGGAATCTCCTGGCGCAGCTCATGCTTGGGCGGCGTAAAGTCAAAGACGCGCTTGTAGTCAGGCTGGCGAGCCTCGAATGACCAGGAAGGGTCACCAGTGAGAGCCACCCACTTGGCCAAGCTACCCCTCGTAGGGAACTGATTGAGCATAAAGTTCCTCGTAGAGGTGCCTCCCAAAGTCTTGCCTCGTGCGTAGTGTACTTCGCGGTTGGCCGCACCCTGCTGGGGCACCGTCCTGTAGCCCCAATCAATAGCGCTCTGAATTGCAGCGTCAATGTCCCCGCCACCGCAGCCTACTGTGTCTGCTCCAGGAATGTTGACTAGCTCCTGGTTGACGACGGGCAAGGGGCCAGCAGCGTAGTCGATGCCGGCCTCGATGACAGCGACCTTGATGTCTGGATCCTCACTCAAGCGGGCAGCGAGGGTCATGCCGGAGGTACCGGCACCGACGATGACATAGTCGAAGGTGTTGTTGCCGAGCAGAGGACCGAGCAGGTCTGGGAGGAGCGGATCCTGGCCATTGAGAGGGGCTGAAGGGCAGAAGGCGGGTCAGTGTCCGGACGGCCTTCAACGTAGTCTGAACGCCTGCTTGACTCACCAGGGAGGGTCGGAATGTGACCAGACGAAAGGTTGCCAGTCTGGCCATCACCGAGACCAGGGACAAGCGCAGACGTCGAGGTGGCCAGAGCCACCAAGGCAGCAGCTGCAGAGAAAAGCATGAACGGAGAGAAGAAGAGGGTGAGAGTGTGTTCAGGCGGCAAGGGCAGCGTTCAGAAGCTTGGATCGCATGTCTTCATGACCTTATATGGTCATGACGGGGGAGGGCGAGGATCATCCGTGATCATCCAGAGCGGGTTCAACTGCGCCTGACCAACATCGCCTGCACGAGCGAGCATAGATTGAATCTTCTAGCCCGGCTCTCTCGTGCGCAGCCTCTGAAATTTGGCCTCCTTCTCCCCTCATCATTGACTGGTCAACGGCGAGCATCTCGAGTGGGCGGAAGACGTTCCCGTCGGAGACAGACTGTGTTGATCCAGGTAGCAATCCACGAAGCTCTTCCCCGCACTTGATGAGGCTGTCATGGTCTGGATCTGTTCCGACGCGACGAGGGCAAGCGAGTCGAAGCAGCTGGCGGGACAGGCGAGGCGAGGCGGAGAGGGAAGCGGCGGCGGCACAAGCGGAGTCTGGAGCGCTTGCCCTGCTGAAAGGCCCATGATCGAGCGAGGTCTGGCAGGCAGCCCGGGGCAGAACGAGTCTCCCCTTGGCGATCCTGCTCATGCTCTGGCTCTTCGATGCAACTGAGGCTCGCCAGCTCCGCGTATATTGGCAGCGGGGTCCCCCTTCAATTGCGAAGGCGTATGGTTCTCCTACAGCTCCATATTGCGTACGGAGATGAATGATCAAAGGCCAGGCGGGGCCGTCGATCTGTGTTGTTGACGGTGTCGTCGAGCGCGTAGGTACACGCTCGTTGAGCTAGAGTAGATTCCGGGGAGCTTGATTGGCCATGACTCTGTAATGATCTGTCGTAGGGCGTGAGCGAGCTGGCTCCGGCGTCCGAACTCAAGAGGTGAATAGCAACGGCATTCGGCACGATGCCCGATGAGAAGATGCAGAGCGATGCAGTGACGACCCAATGAGCGTAATGACAATGTATCCCGATAAGTAAAGCAAAGTGAAGTGACAGTATACAGAAGAAGGACAGTGGTTTGTATCGGGTGAGATGCTTTGCGAGTGACAGAGGTGTGTTTGAGGGAGTAAGGGGCGCGTGAAGGCCGACTGGCGGCGCTGCAGGAGGTATGTTGCGGGTGCTACAGAGAGGACGAGGCGAGTGGGCGGGCGAGACAACGCAAGAACCAGCTTGCGTCGTTGCCATGGCGATGCAGTGAACTGATCTGGGCGCACTCCGGGTGCGTAGAGGAGAGAGTCGTGACTGGAGTCAGGAGGAGTCGAGGCTATGTACGTTGCTGACTGCGGTGCATGTCCAGCGCTGCCTCAGTCCAAGCTGACGCGAGGCTGCGCCGGAAGGTGTAGTGTGCTACTACTGCTCAACGGCAGGAGCTCCTTACCACCAAAGGAAGCCGAGTACGGCACGCCCGCTGCCGATGCAGCCTTCCTCTCCGTCTTTGCTCTGTCCATGGCGTTGCACAGTCCACGTCCAAAGTTGGCCGCGCACCTCACGGAGAGGGTGATAGTCGCCAAGTCAAGAGCGAGGGCAATGACAGCGAAAACGGTAAGGCTCTTGTACACCTCGGCATAGATGCCGCTCCTGCCCATCCAGATTCGATAGAGCTTGTATGAGAAGTAAACGCCCGCCCCGAGGAGCCCGGCAACGAACACCATCATACCCCAGCGCTTCTCGCGGCGGACTGACCACCAGGCGAAGAAGAGGAGAAGGAGAGCGACGGGTGCCGCGATTATCGTGAGCCACTTCTCGACAGGGTCCGAGGCAAGGACAACGAGTACGAGCTGCGCATGGCCGAAGGTATAGAGTGAGTCTGGAGGTGCGAGGGCGATGGAGCTTCAGGGATCGAAGGCTCACCTGAAGGCAGAAGGCAATGAAGACGAAAAAGTCAAACTTGAGGAGGGCCACAAAGAGAGCGTATTGACCATAAGCCTTCTTGAGCATGCGGTCAGCGCCTGACGAGGATCGAAGGGGCGAGGGTGATATTAGCGGGCGTTGCACGCGAGGGACCGTGTGGACGCTGGCACGCACCGATGATGGCCTTGTACACCTGCCAGCCAAATTCCTTCCACAAGAACCACGCCAGGATGGTGAATGCCACCTGCGAGGCTCCAATCACAATGGGGATAGCCCCCGTCAAGACCTGCACGGGCACAGTCTGGCCGGACCCTTCCTGAACGCCCGTACCCAAGACTTGTCGGATCTCCCCGATCTGAATCAGCGAGTAGACGAGGAAACAAGCATTGAAAATGACCAGTCCAAACACCAGAATTACGTTCCTGTTGATGCAGGCATCAACGCTGAGCAGTGTCTGATAGGAGTGTGCCAAGCAGAAGCACAGCACGAAGACGGGCAAGCTGCGCAGGCTGTCGGTGCCGTCCTTGGTCAAGGTCTGCGTAGAACGATACCGTGAGAGGAGTACAGCCTCGATGGAGATATTCACGAGGGCTTCAGCAAGGGTGATGGCCATAAAAAGGCGCGCTGATGTCGAGGAGGGCAGCCATCGGTGGATGAAGTCGCCTAGGGCGCCGCGTGCGGGTCGTCTCACGGAGGGTGAGTGGGTAAGGATCGTTTTGGTCATGAGGGCGGTCGAGGAGGGAGAAGCAATCGAAGCCTGGGCACGAAGGATTGTCTTCTAACGGTATGAAGTCGATAAAGTGGAGACCGTCGCGAGAAAGAGGGACGGCTGCGTTGATTTTGGCGGTCGCCCAGCGACTTTGATGAGGACGATGCGGGAGGTGCGACCACGCCGACGCCCTACGACGTCAGAGTGAGCGAGGAGGGCGGTATCAAGGGACAGACGATGGTGTGCGGAGGGAAAGGAAGGGAAGGTAACGTGAAGTTGTAGGAGAGGGGAGGGGAGAAGGGGTTGACAGATGGAGAGGAGGTTGAGAGAAGGCGGGGACGCACGCAGCAACGCGGCAGGCCAATCAACGCTCAAGCCGCGCCACTGTTGCCGCCTGCCGCCGCCCCGCGGAGCAAATGCCAGGGGGCTCCCTCACAGCCAAAAAGCTTGGCCAAGCATTCAAGAGCAAGAGGCAAAATGACAAGGAGTCATGGCCACGAGCTTCAGACGACCATTCAGCGCACAGCTGCTCACAAGGTACGAATGCAGTGTATGTGTGAATCGCATTGAGAAAGCTGTACTGAGAACGAGTAGGACATGGTGACAGCAGGGAGGCGGCGGTCGGTCGCCCCGCGTGCCGTAGAGCGCGGACCCTCGTCTCTTGTACCGCCCTCGATGTGAGGACGAAGTAAGGCGAGGGAAAAAGTGGATGATATACAACAGAGACGCGAGTCACTGTGAGGTTGGTGGAGAAAGTTTGAAGAGAAGACCGAGGTCGTTGGCATAGGGAAGAGGTTGGATGAAGAGTTGGGTGGGTGTGGCCGTACGCCGCTGGTGTGACGACGACGTCTGCGAGGCCCGCTGCCTCACTGCCAGCCCAATTCCCTTCACTCTGGATCGATCCCACGTCCATTACACCCACAGTCCTGCTCTGCTACCCCAACACCAGGAATGCTGCTACCTTGCTCTGCTCGCCATTTACTTGCGGCGGAACGAGCAGCCCTCGGTGAGGCGAGCCTTACCACCGGTGGGCTGGGCGAGGACCTGCGAGCACGAGCCGCACATGACGACGGTGTGGGCGTGCGAGAAGACGGTGGTGATGGCGAAGCAGCCGGGGCACTTGACGTCCATGAAGTACGAGTTGGGGCTCTGTACCAATCGCTTGAGCTTGTGGCAACGCTGCTGCTGCTCGGCAGAGGGGTTGAGGAGGTCGACGGCGAGAGTCTGCGTGCGAGTGGAACAGGGTACAAGAGATGGTGAGCTGACGGTGTGAGGGGGATTGGCGTGAATGGACGAGCAAGGCAATCCCAGCGCGATCCCCAACTAGCATGACTAAATGCACGTTCACAAGCCCCGGAGTGCAGAGTCACATGCCTCTGTCCCACGTTCTTGGTCTCATTGACATCTGGCGATGTGCTGAGCAGGTAGCGGTCGAAACAGGTTGCAGAATCCTGTCGTCTGCTATCATCATCCATCGCCAAGAGCAAGTCGAGCATAGGTGAAGGACAGCGGATGAGGCAAGCTGCCACCCGCCACCAAAGGCCTCGCCCATCGTTGATGACCACCAAGCATTCCCAAGTTTGAGATGATGACGAAAGTGATGATGCGAATGCCGTGCATGATACTAACCATCTTGAGTGATGAGTTTTGGTGGTGATGAAAGAGGGTGCGTAGGGTGGTGAGAGAGAGGCAGTAGTACGCAAGCCGTCGAGTCGAGGCCTCAGCCAAACTTCGAATCGACTGCCGCAGAGCAAATCGGCGGGTCGAGCTGGACCCGGAACGGAAGCGGCCGTCATGCCGCGCGAAGTCATCTGGCTCCAAGCCAAAGGTGGGAAGGGGCAGCTGGACGGGGCGGGCAGGCCAGGAGGGGAGACTGCAGACGGCCAGAGGAGGGCGAGAGTGCGTCAGCCTGGAGCAAAATCCCAGGACTGGCCAACGGCGAGCGCTCGCCCTCTCTCTCCTCACCATCACCCTCCCTCCTCATCCCATCAAGGTGAGTTGCGGCACAGCGTTCATCACCACACAGCAGCGGCACACGCAGTGCGGCACAGAGGCACGCACTAGATTTTGCCCTATACAGGCTCTTGGACTAGGAGTAGCAAGTGGTACACGGCCTTGCGAGGGGAGGCCATTGGACAGAGGTCAGACGATGCTGCGCAGATGTCTTCTCGCTGTCCAGCCGCAGAATCTTCCTTCGGACATAGCATCGAGCATTGGGATCAACCTGAGAGAGCCACAAGACGGGCAGACATGCGCTCGTCTGATCCCATCTATGGGAATGGAAGCTGTGACTGGACTGTGGACGAGGGTTGATGGAGGATTCATGGGCTGCACTGGATATCGCTGCTGTGCCTGGACACCCGCATCACCCATGCAGAACATGACAGCTCACACATTCCTCCCCCCTCCTCTACGCAAACAGTCAAAATGGTCAACCTCCGCTCTCAGAAGCGCCTTGCGGCCTCGGTCCTCGGCGTCGGCAAGAGGAAGGTCTGGTGCGACCCCGCTGAGCAGAACGACATCGGCAACGCCAACTCGCGCGCCAACATCCGCAAGCTGATCAAGGACGGCCAGATCATCAAGAAGCCCGCCGTCGGTCACTCGCGTTCTCGCACTCGTGAGCTCCACGCCGCCAAGAGGCTTGGGCGACACACTGGTACCGGTAAGAGGAAGGGTTCCTCGGAGGCTCGCATGCCCACCAAGGTCCAGTGGATGAGGCGTCAGCGTGTCCTTCGCCGTCTCTTGCGCAAGTACCGTGAGGCTGGCAAGATCGACAAGCACCTGTGAGTGTGGCGCGCCACCCCAGCACTGTCCTCGATGCGGTGAGCATGTCTGCTCACACTCCTTTCTTCCCCGTTCCCCTCCACCCTCAGCTACCACGAGCTTTACCTCAAGTCGAAGGGTAACGTCTTCAAGAACAAGCGTGTCCTCATGGAGCACATCCACAAGGCCAAGGCCGAGAAGACCCGCTCGAAGCACCTTGCTGACCAGATGGAGGCTCGTCGTCTGCGCAACCGCAACATGCGCGACCGTCGCCAGCAGCGTCTCGCCGAGAAGCGTGCTGCCATCACCGCTGTCGAGCACGAGGAGGAGCAGAAGTAAACAGACAGAAGTTGGGCATCACAGACTCATTACGCAGTCCGTCAAGGTTGGGTTGGGTCGGTGGCGACAAAAACGGGAGGAGCTCGTCAGAAGGACGGCGGGTCCTCTCCTGCACATTCCCATTCTGCCGCCACGATCAGCTGCAATCATCCCCAGCACCACCGTCTTCACTCTTCTCGCTTCGGTTCTTCATTGTACTACCTCCTACGTCTCGTCATGCACTCGAGCCACACATTTACACCGTACCCGACGTCGCGCCCCTTGCCATGCGCCTTGACTCTAGTGTGAGCCCAGCTGTTACCGTAACATGTTCCGCCTGGAGCTGATGAGTGAGGACAGCCTGACTGTTGCAAGCGATGCTGGCCTTGAGACTTTCGGGCTGATGAGGAAGTGAGAGTGCTTCCCAACTTATTTTTGCAGCCTCTTGAGCACAAGGCGAGGACCCGAGGTCATAGTGCCCAGCCAGACAGGCTTGGTGGGACGATGTAAAACATTGACGCGGTAAACGGCGTACTCGCAGCATTACATGCTTTTGTCTGAATCAAGACCCGTCGCAGCCGTCTCGGGCTGCGAGATGATGGCTCGTAGCCGCCCAGTCACGCTCACGAGGCCGGGAAGGCGCCAGCCACGCGACTGGCTGTTGTGGCTCGAGCGTCGACGCGGGGCGCGGACTCGCGGACTGAGGCGACGATGGGCGGGAGTGAGTGTTGATCGACAATCCAGCGCCCACTCAGATCGAGCTGAGCATCGACTCGCTGGGCTTCTCACCACCATCGTCATCACTACCACGCCAACTTCGCCATTCTATACGGCTTTCTTCCAGGCGCAGCACTCTCTGCTCCTTGTCAAGGCGTCGAGTGTCCTCACTGCACCCATCATGCCGGAGAAGCAGCCGGAGCGCATTCACATCGCGTCAGGGGCGGACCTCGCAGCACACTTTGATAGCATTCATCAGGACCTCGCTCAGCAGGAGACCGAGCACACATGGCAGAAGCTGGACAGAGCTCTGTTGAAATTGGAGGCTGTCACCAAGGGAGGAGGGTACAAATTTGATGACTTTCTTCCTCAAATGAAGGCCGTTGCAGGACCGCTTGCGAGATCGGTGAGCCCAGCGACAGCGTGACTGTGGGGATGATAGTATATGCTGACTTTCTCTCGCTGCTCCGTCCATACAGCTACTCTCCGAGCGTACGAAATTGTCTGGCACTGCGGCGGACGTGCTCAACTCTGTCGCTCCTCGACTCGCCGACCGCTTCGAGTCCCTTGTCAACTACTACGTCCCGCCGCTTCTCCTCCTCTGCGCTAGGACCAACAAAGTGGCGCTCAAGCGAGCAGAAAAGTGCTTGTACCTCATCGCCAGACACTGCCAGCTTATCAGTACGCTGCCGCTGCTAAGAGAAGCTTGCAAGGACAAATTCGCTGGGCTGCGCGTGGTAGCGGTTGCTACGATGGCCACGACTGTCGAATACGCTGGGAGGGATAAGCTGACCAGGAAAGTAGCAGAGGTCGAGACGGTGATCCGTCTCTCTGCGACAGACTCCAATGTCGAGGTGCGACAAAACTCTAAGCGTCTCTTTGAAGTCTACGTCGCAACGTGGCCGGACAGGGTGGAAAGGTGAGTCGGCTGCGTGCGCTCAGCGATGCGCCCACCATTCTAACCTCTCGCCCTTCCTCGCAGCTTCACCGCCGTATTCACCCCGACCATCAGACGCTATCTTTCCCTCCCAAAGACTGGATCATACCGACCAGCGCCCGACGTCTTCGCAGCAGCCATGGAACAGCCTGCCTCGTCCTCAGCCACAGCACGCGAGCCCCCGGCGCAGACCTACGTGCCTCCCCTCAGGGTCAGCAAGGCGAGCGCTGTGCAGTCACATCAAGAGGCTCCAATTGTACCTAGAGAAGACAACGCGCGCTCGAACAACTTCCTTGAGCAGCTCGTCGCTGCCAAGTCCAGAGCCAAAGCACCCTCGCACATTCAGTCGACTGGCCTGTTGAAGGGTCTGAATGCTGCGGACGTCTTTGGGCCTCAAAGAAGCGACAGGCCTCGTACAGGGGAGCAGAAGCCCACGAGAGTCCTCTCATCGTCTGCATCGAGCAATGCAGCCCTTCGCAGCTCGACTTCGACGTACCCTGCAGCGTCTTCATCCAAGGTCAAGGTCAACGACGAGTGGGGTCATGTTCGCTCTGCAACGCACCATGAGTCTTCACAAACGCCTCTGGCGGCCCCGATTCCGACAATGCAGCGCAGCCTCAGCAGCAGCCATCCTCCTCCGTCGGGTATGCTGGCCTCAAGCGACGACGAGACATCCCCTCTTGCGGTGCGAGAGAGTAGGACTGCGCCCGTGACACCAGCCGCGGGGTTGCACTCCGCTGACTCAGGCAGCGAGAGCGAGAATACTCCTGAGACGCCATCCGTAGTGGGGCCGTCCCAGCCTACTGTACAGGAAGCGACGCCATCTCACAGCGCAGTACCCAGTGACGGCGTTGCTCGACGGTTGGCTTCGATGGCTCAGGAGCAGATGGCAAGAGCGGCCCGGCAGCCAGCAGAGGGCATCTCGACACCGACGCAGCGTACTTTGTCCGCTGGCACCAGCAAAACCGCGGGAATGACCGCGGGCAACGCACCTAAGGCGGCTCGTGTTGCAGTACCTCCGCCCGTTCAGAGGCCCACGGCAGCAACGCAACGGCAGGTCAGCGCGACCCGCGTGGCTCGCACGAATACTGTTGCAAACTTGGGAGAGTCATCAAAGGGGACCGCGCAGTCAGCAGCTCCCATCGAGCCAAACTCGGCCGTAAGGAAGCAGCCAGCTGCTCCAGCTGCCAAGACTAAGCCAGCGCCCGCCTCACCGAGGAAGGTCCGACCCATCAAGACGACGGGCAAAGTCGTCTCATCGACCACGCAGTCTCTCAGCGCCAAGAGCAGTGCTATCAGCACCAATGCTGCAGGGAGCGCCGCTGGAAAAAAGAAGACAGTCAACCCACAGTCGGCTCGAGAAGCGATGATGGCCAAGAAGCAGGCCGAAGTCGCCAAGCTGAGAGCCCAGGCAAAGGCTCGTAGCGAGCAGGCTGCGATGTCGGCGGCAGCATCACAAGCTCAAAGGCAGGCCAAGACGAAGCAATTGAGAGAGATGACGACACACCCGGGGCCAGCTGCGGCAACGCCCGGGGCTAAGCAGGAAGCCTCCGATGGGGACGAGGCCGAGGTCCAGGGGGGCTCGACGCAAGAAGCAGACGTCAGAGTCGAGCAGGAGGATCACAACCAGGCTGCTTCTCTTCAACGCTCTCCAGTCAGCCCTCAACGTTCACCTCGCATCGAGCGCCAAGCACCAAAGACTTCTCGCTCCCCTCGCTCTCCACGCACACCCTTCACTGACATCACCGCCGAGGTCCATCACGACACGATGGCGAAGGCCAATTCTTCTCCACCCAAGCAATCTCCATCAATGCCATTCAAAGCGACTCCATCACAGCGTTCTAATGGGTTCCCGGCAGGTATGAGCTTCAGTTCTCCCGCCGACAAGCTACGCGCCCAGATGGAGGCCATGAGCATTGGAGGAGCAGGCGAGGACTGGCAGCCCATCGAAGCTGGGCCACTGCGCCTCTCACCTGTCAAGGGACGTATTGCGACTCCGGTCAGGGCGACAAAATTCGGCGTCAGTGGCGGTGCGAATCGCAGGACGCCTGGCAATGCTGGTGCAGGCTGCGGGAGCGACGAGGCGCTGGAGGATCAGGAGAATACGCAGCCGCGCAGCATTCGCGAGGAGGACGCCAAGGTAACGCTCATCAGCAATGGACGGCGCTCCCAGCTTGTGTGTCAGCTGAGCTCTGAGGAGGGTAGCAGCGAGGTGGGGAGCGATAATGACACGCTGATTGAGGCGTGAGGCGGTGCCAAACGAGACGGAAAGAATGGACTCAAGAGGCTCTGGACGTGGTACGATCGATTCGACTTCAACTCATCTTTATCCATTCTCTTCACTGTTGTGCCGTTCCTAGATCCAACAAATACCAGTAGGAACATCGAGCGAGTTTGGCGTGAAGGACGTGAGAGGGCCGGCCCGTCTCTGTTGGACTCGCTTGACTTGTGCTGCGACGGTGTCGATGGATCTGCACGGACGTCGATGTTTCTCCGCCTTCTTCCACTCCATCCCTCCTTGAGCCTTTTCTTCGCCCCTCTCTGCGGAGACCTTGAATGCCGCCTCTCCCTCCGCGCAGCCAGAGAAGAACGTTTCACCATCGTCATCGCCGTGCAAGTGCGCTCCGCATCGCCCTCGTCACCTCCGTCGCCATCATAGCGAGCTTGTGCTTCTTGCGCCTTCACGCAGTCTTGACGCCGACGTTGAGTAGGATCGCGCCTTGGGCATCTTCGACGTCGTTCAGGTCAGCAAAAGGCTTCTCGACCACCAAGATGAGTTCGCAAGCATCATCATCATCATCATCCTCAGCACGAGGAGATTTGAGAGCCTTTCTGCGCAATGCACGACAGTCGGCTCTCACTCATCTGAAGGATGGTCCGTCCTCGTCATCTAATCCGCTCGTCCTGATCATGGGCAACGGCGCCGGCGATGCTGACTCACTCACATCAGCCATCTCACTTTCCTATCTCCTCTCCACCTACCCTCACTTATCTTTGCCCCTCTCCTCGCCCCTACCGGAAAAAGCTATCTATGCCCCATTGATCCAGACGAACCGCAGCGATGCCCATCTGAGACCCGAGAATGTGGCTATTCTCGCGGCGACAGGCATCGATCAGCAGGACATCTTGTACCTTTCTGATCTTGTAGATGCGCCGCCCAAAGGGCTCGATCTCAGTCTGGCCAAATCGCCAAACTTCAGCCCAGAACACAACACCTTTCTCGGCCTCGTCGATCACCCGCAGCTCGAGCTGCCATGGACCAGCGGATCGTCCAGCCAAGCGTCACGTCGTGTTCTTCTCCTTGTAGACCATCACGCCGACGCCTCCCAGCATCAGGATGCCAGCCTGCGCGTGTTCCGCCAACCAGAGGGCAGCTCAGATCCCAACCCGACAGGCAGCGCTCAGAGCATCATCATTGAGCTCTTTGCTAAGGAGATCAAGGCCGACCCCGCAGCTCTGCCGCAGGGCCTGGCCGACCTAGCCATAGCTACCGTGCTGATCGATACGGACAATATGCGGCCCCCACCCAAGGGCAGGGCGAGTGAAACAGACTTTGCCGCGGTAGAGGCCTTGTTGCCTTTCTCGTCGCTTCAGTCGCGGGAGAAGGCCAAGGAGTTGCAGGGCAAACTGCTGCAGAGCTCTCCTCAGGAGGTCAAAGAGCTCCTGGCATCTGATGAGTTTGAGACGTCTGCTTTCAATGAAGGCAAGCAGGAGCTGAGCGACAAGACTGCCGCGATGGCCAGCGTTTTGTCGGCGAGCAAGGCGGCTATTCGCCATCTAAGCAGCCTCGATTTGCTCAAGAGAGACTACAAGTCTTCCTCGCTCAGCGCGGATGACCTCCGCGGTGCTTCGAAGGGCCTGAAGGCTGGCTTTTCGTCAGTAAACCTTGGCCTCCCTACGTGGTTGCATAGGGCCGAGGGAATGGGCACGTCCAGCGAGCAAGAGAGCGCGCAAGCTTGGGCAGGCTTCTGGTCGAGCTTGCGAGAATGGATGGAAGATCAAGCGTTGGACGTGGCGGTGGTCGGGACGAGCTTCAGAGATGAGGAGAGCGACAAGCACAAGAGGGAGCTGGTGTTTGCTATGCGTTCCTCCAGTGAGACCTCTGCGCAGGAGGTGGGGAGCCTCTTCGATGCTGTGCGGTCAGACTTGGAGGACCCAACCCACAACCAGCTGGAGCTACAGACGCCCTGGAAGGGAGCGCGGCTGTCTTCAACGGGCAAGAAGGAGCGCGTGTCTGGCATAGATGGGACGAGTGGGAAGCTGGAAGCGACAAATGGGTCCAACGACATCGTGCGGGCCCAAGTGTGGAAACAGGGAAACGCAAGGGCCAACCGCAAGGTGTACTTGCCGACGATCATGGCCGCACTGAAGAAGGCGGCGTCTAAGGGCAGCTCATGAGAAGTGAGCGGAGGAATGTTGGCATGCTCGGCTCATTCGCATTGCGTGTGGTCACGTCTAATTTACAGTTGGATGGTTTGCTGTTCCTCACATTATCTCGTGCCCGCTCCGGCATTCACCCTCGGCAGGCTGCCAGTCCACCACCAACGCCGTGCATTCCTTCCAGTGCCGCCTTCGGTATCGCCTCTCCCCTCCCACTCCTCCATCGACGCACCATGGTAGCTTAGCCAGGGCCGATGCTCCGCCAGCCAGAAGACGTCCGGATCTGAGTAGCAGGTGCCGTCGTCCTCCTCTACTCCTACACCTGACGGCCGCTTCCTTGACTGCAAATCGCAAGCCTGCACTTGGGCCTCAAAGTCCTGTCGACACTCATCGCTGCTCCATCCTCCTGGGCGAGGAGCAACGATGCGGACTTCGACCGAGGGCATGCCGGTGTCTGTCTCCGTCTCCGCCGAGGCTGCTGTCTCTCCCTCTTGCCCGTTGCCCACGGTGACCGCAGCAGTGCCAGCTTTGGCTACAGCGTCCCGCCTCGCCTCCTCAAAGAGCTCACGCAAGGCCTCCCTGCCCGCTCTCGTCTCGATCCAGTAGGCGTCTCGCGAAGCCGTGCGTGCTCTCTCGGCGTCGTCTGCCACCTCTCTTCTTAGCTGCTCATTGGCACTTTCGCCATCTTCACTCTCCGCAGACGCCGCAGCATCGATTGTGCCATTCGTTGTCTGCAGCACACCAGTAGCAGCTTCCGTCGTTGCATCCACGGCGATGGCCGTAGCTCCACCGCCAAGGAGCGGCGCGTCCTCAGGCTCGGCCAATCTGCTCAACTCAGCGAGCTCGATGATCAGACACCCAAAGTCCCTCAGCCTCGGCCCAGCAACTGTCGCCAGACTATACAAGGTTTCCTGCGCCTCGAACCGTCTCGCTGGCACTCTTGCCGGTCGCGCCGGTGGAGGGACTCCAGCATTTGTGCGTGCCCGTCGCTCCGAGGTGGTCAGAGCGTTCCAAGCGTCTGAGGCGCGACGCCAGGTTATGTAGGCGGGAAAGTCGAGGAGTGACTCGGAGTGGAGTTGTGAGAGGCGGAGGGTGCGAAGAGGGTGATGGCGGGCCTGAGGGGATGAAGAGGGAGCGAGGCCAGAGAGGAAGTTGATGAGGGGGTCACGGGGTATGAGTTGAATGAGGTGCAGGTGAGTGCATTGGGCGAGAGGCAGGAGAGAGTATGTCGAGAAGGGCGGGGAGGAGTAGCTGCGAGTGTGCAAGGGAAGGAGAGTTCAGTCGACTTGCTCGATGCATTCTCCGGTCAGCGTTCCTACCCACAAATTGAGAATCGTCACCCTTCTCGGCCTCGAAACGACTTCAGAATCGAAGAACTCGCTCAGCATCGCACCGTCCGGTCTGGCTCCCAGCAGCACGCTGTCCAGTCGGCTGCAGCTCGTCCTGAAGATGTTCCTGAGCGAAGGTGCCCACTCCGTCTGATCCGAGGCGTCATCGTTTGCCATCATCAAGCCGTCGTTGGGCAGAAACAAGTGATGCGGCTGTCGCAGCCGATGATGGGCTTGCACATCTCGATCCAGGCCCTCGTTCTGTCCTGGTGGTCCTCTGGGAATGATGTCGCGAGCTAAGGAGTTGGCGAGAAGGCGCACTTGCTTGTTACTGATCAGAGCAGGTGCGTAGTAGACAGGCGGAAGGGCAGCCAGGTAGCAAGAACGTGAGGTCAAGGCGAGGGAGACGAGGTCATTCATTGCCGTCTTGGAAGGGATCGTGACGGATGAGAGATCCATGGATGTCGCCTGCGGGTGAGGGTAGATGGATGCATGTGGGCGAGGACGCAGGTGGGTGGCTATTGATGTGAGGATCTCCCATGGCAATAGATCGAGGCGGAGACCGGGTTTGTGCTCATCTTCCTCTGCCATCTCACTGATTGGCGGTGGCGATGGTTAGGATGATTAGGAGGAGGAGCTGCCAGGCCAACCAACACGAACTCAGGCCCTGTCGTCTCCACACACCACTTTGTCCTCCGCCTGCTGCGCCTGTTCCGCCTCATCTCAAGGACGCGTCGCTCGCTTTCCGTGTCTTTTGGCTGCATCTTCATTTCCATTCCCTCTCTGCTCTGGACCCCCGCTCGTCCCCGTCAGCCCTCCTTTGCTCGCATGTCATCCTGCCATTATGGCAGCGGCAGCAGACACGACGCATGAAGATGAGTTCGACGCTTTCTACGGAGACGAGGGCTTCGATGAGGCGTCGCTGGCTCAAGCAGAGCTCCAGGCTACCCAAGTTGTCCGAGCACAGTCGGCGCAGCCGGCCCCTCAGAGTGGTCCTCAGGTAGTCGCACCCCTGCTTTCGACTCAGCGCAAAAGAACCGCCAAGCAGCAGCAACAAGATTACCATCATCATCAACAGCATACAGCTCCCTCGAATAAGCGGCAAAAGTTGACCTTCAGCCAAGGAGCAGCCTCTGGCCCTCGTTCCGTCCCTCTTCCTCCTCGACCAGTCGATCACTACGACTACGATGAGGAGACGCCAGAGGTCATGTGGACGGATGAGGGTGGCTATGTCCAAGTCCCCTCGCGCCAATCACCACCAAGACAAGATCATCGACCGCAGCAACAACTGAATCAGCGCCTGCAGCAGCCTCGCCCTCCAGGACCAGACGATTATCACATCAGCCATCGTGGACCGGGCAGACCACCGGCGCTGGGAGCTGGTCATGGAGAATCAGTCCCACATGATCCGTGGTCGGATGAGCATGACTGGGGGGATGGAGACGTGGAAGCGTTGTCCAAGGTCGAGGAGGCAGCTATGGTCAGGCTCTCGCAGCAGGCCACTCGTTCCCCAAGCAAGCCAGGCGCAGTCGAAGCCGGGTCAAGACCGCCTGCGCAAAACGGCAGCAATGCGGCTCAGCAGCAGCAGCAGCAACTGCCGCCACCCGCAGACTCGGAAGCCATCCTCGAGATGCGCAGAGAGAAAGAAGAGATGGAGCGCAAGCTGCAAGAAGCCCTTTCCCAGCTCAAGCAGCGCACAAACGCCATGTACCAGCGGGACGGCGAGATCAAGATGGTCCGTCAACGTAACGATAAAGCCGAGCGTGACCTCGCCGAGCTGCACTTGACTGCTCAGCGACAGCAGCAGGAATTTCAAAGAAAGCTCGAGGAGCAGGAGAAAACTTTTGCGCGCGAGAAGGAGCGACTGGAGACGACGGCTGCTTTTGATCGAATTGCGCAAGAGACCTCTACGGCTAGAACAGTCTGGCCTGCTTCGGTGAGGAGGGCAAGGAGATTGGCGGGGGAGGCGTCGCAGGCATTTGGGGCTGCGACGCAGCAGCAGTATATCCCCCCTCCAGTCGCTCCCACAACGCCTACCAAAAGGAGGAATGGGGTGATGCCCCCTCCTACGTCTGGGAGCGCGACAGGCAGTCCGAGTCGCGCAAGACGGGAAAGAGGCGACGACTTCGACATGAGTCCGTCCTCGAGCAAGGCTCGTGCTGCGCGGCAGGGATCGCTGCCAAGGGATAAGTCGGCGAAGAAGGCGACGCCCAAGCCTCCTCCAAGAGCATTTGCGGGCTTTGACAACTCCTTTGTCGACGTGGACACTCCCACCGCCAGCAGCGCCTCAAAGCAGCTGCGCAAGGCGAAGAAGCAACAGCAACGCAAGGAGGAGGGAGCAGAGGAGGATCGATCACCGTCGGGTGACCTTGACGTGCAGGTCAATGGCGACACAACCAGCGAGGACCTAGCGGCGGTCAATTCAGCGAATGGCAGCAACACTCGACCTGAGCAGCCCGAATGGTCCGTCAAGCTCGCACAAAGCAGACAGAATCGCTATTTTTGGGCTATATCGTGGTTCTCGCGCAAGCGGACCGGATTGGCTGCACTCTTATTGGGGCATGGCTCTTCTCAACCACTTGCACCGCTCAGCCTCCCCGCTTCGCGGTACTTGAGCGCCGCGGTACCCCTGCCCAATCTGGTGCCAGACCACTGCGCCACGCTGCATCGTCTGCTTGACACGCAAGTGCCCACCGGGGCGATTGACGCCATCAAGGATCGCCACCGCGCTGCTACAGAGCTACTGCTAACGACGGTGACAAACAGTGCGAGCTCGAGTGATGGGGAGCGTCGCTTTGCCTTCCTCACCAACACAAGTGCTGGGGACCCTTTGCCGCAGGACGAAGCTTCGTTCGTCGCAATGACAGAGGCAGATTATTGGGATTGCGAGGAAAGCGCGAGCGAGGGAATGGAGGACCTCTACGAGGATTTGGCCGTCGCGCTGAGAACGCTGATGGCTGTCTATCTGCGACTCTGCATGGTGAGTAGGGCGAGAGCAAGAGCAGAGACGGATGAACGATGGTCACTAATATTTCTCTTTCCAATGCTCTCTCGCTTAGATCGATGCACTACAAGATACGCTGGCGCTCATGACGGCAGTCTGCATCTCTCATCCGGCCTTCGTCAATTTCCTTGTTTCGCGAGACCTTCCCTACGAGCTCACCGCGGCACAGGCCTCCTCACCCTCGACGCAGCCGCAGGTAGCGGCGCCCCTCCCACTCCGCCTCAATGCATGCCTGATCGAAAGCATGCGCAAGGCCTGTCGCATCTTACCTCTGGCCCTGAGTAGCCCCATTTCAGTGGTCAGCCCCTATGCGGAGACCCTCGTACCCGCAACGGTCGCGCCTGGTGCTACTCAATCGCGCAAAGCCAAGCAACAGCAGCGTGAGCAGGACGAAGCCGCCCGTAAGCAGCCGTGGGACATGGGTGGTGCACAACGTGACGCTTTGCTGGTTTCCATGCTTGACCTCGTCGAAGTCCTTGCATATTACCTCGGCGTGGAATCTGGCCGTCATCTCAAGGAACTTTTCGATGCTCCAGGCTTCATACCTACCTTTCTCGACGCAGCTCGCCCTGCGAGTACCATGCGCCGCTTTGTACGGCTCCTGATACAGCTCTGCCCCCAGCCCGACCTGTGGAAGACGCTCATCGCTTGCCGTTGCGACGATGCCCTACAGTCCCTCCCCTCCCTCATCACCTCATCGCGCACTCCGCTGCTCGAGCTGCTAGGCAAGCACCTCGTGGACCTCAAGTCCAAGCAGAAGGCGAGCGAGGCACACGATCTGCACGTTGCAGTCGCGACGCTGCTGACACAGCTGATCATCACTCATCATGATGCGTTGCTGCTTGCGAGGGAAAGCAAGACGGTTCTGGCGGCGCTCGTGCAGAGCATCTACGCGGACTCGAATCTGATTTGGAACGACGATGGGCACGGGATATCTGCGAGGGACAATAGGGCGGAGGAGATTTGCCAGAGGCTCGTGGTGGATACTCGATTACTCTTCTACCTCTATGCCTCCCCTTCCAGGTCAAACGAAACCGAGCACAGCTCCTCCCCATCCTCCGGCGACCACGAAGGCACCAACAGTCACTTGATGGACCACCTCCACTCTCACGAATCGCACCTCCTTCTCAATGGCATACGACACTGCTTTGTCCTCTCTCTCTCCCGCCTCGCCTTCGCGGAAGAACCGCCCTGGTTACCGCAGGATTGCGTGAGAGAGCTGCAAGGGGTGGCAGAGCTTTGTAGCGATCTGCTGGAGATGGTATTGAGTCCTGAGGAGGTGGAGGCTGCTTGGGAGGTCTGCGCAGAGGGAGAGGAGCAGGAGGACGAAGAGGAGGAAGAGAGAGCTGAATTGGGTAGGGGAGGGCGGGACGAGGATGAGGAAATGATGGAGTTGGCGGAACGGCAGCGCGGCTGATGGAGGCGCGACGTAGAGGGCTTGCAGTGCATGGCTACCGGTACGACCCAGATTCTTCCTGTATCATTCGACGCCAATTTTCCTCCTGTGATTCCATGATCATTGTCAACGTGCTCCTCCCTCGCTCCCCTCAACCACAACGCTGACAAAGCTGGTGGCGCATCCAGCCCATGCTCTCGTCACCCTGTCACCACCGCTCAAGCCTAGCAGCTCCTGCTCCACCCTTGAAGGCGGCCATATCCTCACAGCCTCGTGAATCTCGCCCTTCTCGCCCTCCTCCCCTGGGTCCAGGGCAAGATTGCCATGCTCGTTCCACCCCCACCCCCACACCTCGTCTCCATCGTCAGCCTTGACAAGTGCAAGGAGATGCTCTGAACCGCAGACGATGCTCATTTGGCGGCTGTCACTCAATGGCGGCAGGCGTACAGCTGTGACGCCCGGCAGACCAGCTCGCCCGCGCCCGAGTTGGCCCTTATCGTCCTTGCCGCTTCCTAGCAGGCGACGCTCGCCCTGGCCAGGGTCGACAAGGGCGAAGGTTGAGTTCCACGTCGAGCCGACCCACTCCACGCTCCTCGGTTCCGCTTCAGTGGCGGAGGCAACGTCGAGCTGGCCAGCCTTATCAGAGCCGAAGGCCAGGAAGTGAGGTGAAGTAGAAGCGCCATCCTGAGCAAGAGCCTCCCACTCCTTCGGCACCAACAAAGCAGTATGATCTCTTCCCGGCGCCAATATAGGCATTGACCCATTCTCAGAAGGATCAATGGGTACCAGCCAGGCTTTCAGTATCTCTGGCTCCCACTGCACCTTCTCGCGCTTTTTTACATCCCCACTGTCGCAGGAGACGTCAAGCTGTCCATGTCGCGACGCACCCCAGCCGAACAAGGCGGCGACTCGTGGTCCCTCCTCTGCAGCCTGATGGGCCTTCTCCTGCCAAACGGCGAGAGCTAGCACATGTCTGACCCCACCGACGATGGAAAGGATGCGAAGAGGCGAGCGCTGTAGGTGCTGCGGAGCTGCAGTTCCCGATGTACTACTGGTCGTCTTGGCCCATTGCCTCCAAGCTTGCTCGCGCAGTTCTTCGGTCACTCGCAGGGAAACAATGTGCGGCCCTGCCTCCTTCTCTCGCTCTCTGACGACTGAAGCAGGTAGACCGAGCTGCCCAAAGTCACCTTCACCGCCGAGACAGATGAGCTCATCGTCTTCCTCGCTTTCCTCAGGTGGCGGAGATAGAGCAACGAACGTATTGCTCCATGTGGCTGCAATACGGCTGGGCTCTTTGCGCTTACCCTCTTTCGTCGAAGATGCTGGCTGAAGGTCTTCTGGAGCAAGGCGACGGAATACGGTCGTACCTTTGTCACTACTAGAGGAAGGGGCCCAAGTAGGCTTGCCGAATTGACCAAGTGACCCGTCTCCGCTTACCCAGATCTGCGTCTCTTTCTCGGTCTCCTTGCCCTTGAGAGAGCCAGTCGCGCGCCGCAGCAGTGCGACAGTGTGATTCGCACCGCCTCTCACGTCTTGCACTGTCCAGCCCAGGGGAGGGAAGTTGCTCAATCTTGACGCTAAAGAGGGATCTGAATCGAGATAGCATTGGCAGGCCGTCCAACGATGGGCGTCTTCCGGCTCTTGTTCGCCCGAGTCGTCAAGCGCTAATTGGCCTGAGGCATTCGATCCTGCCGCCAAGAGACGCTCTCGATAAGGATGGAGAGATCCGTGACCTGCAAGAGCATGATAGGTTGAGAGGCAGGAGACAACGGGAAGGGACAGGGTGATTGAAAGTCAGACCAGCATGTTGATGACGAATGACGATTAAAGGCAAGCTAGTGCACTTCTATATACACGCGATAGGTGAAGCGGCTTAGCATCTCAAAGCTCACGCACCTGACTGCTGCATCTCACCGCTGGACGCCGCCAGTCCGGCACTACCGTCAGCGAGGCTGTCCTCCGTGGCGCCGACTGGCGGCCTGGGCATAGTGGTAAGGAAGGAGAGTGGGAACCTGTGCGGAGGCCGAAGTGTATGTCAGTCAGATGTCTGTCTCGCCTTTCTCGGCTTCCTCGCGCTACTCACCAGCTTGGCGCCTCCCACTTCTCTCCCCTCTCCTCAGCAACAATCATATCCACCACCACCTCCGCGCAAGAAAATGCCCGACTCATACCATGCCCGGAGTATCCGGCGCTGACGTACTGCCCGGGCACGGTTTCCACTGTTGTCTGCGCCTGCTCCTTCCCGTCCTCAGACGCCCTCAAGGGCGGATCCATCGTGACAGGCCCAACGAAAGGATCCTTTGACTTTGTGAACCCCATCACCCCAGTCCACTCCAAGTCGACCTCAGCGTCTCTCCGCGGATCGAAGTCTGTAGGGAAGATATGGCTCAACATGGGCCTGAGTGCCGCAGAGACATTAGCGTTGAAAGTCGAGTCGTCCGCCACGTTCCATTCGTATCCCTTTGCGGATTCTCGGCCTCCGCCCAAGATGCAGGATGGAGGTTTGCGGCCAGACTGGCGGACAGCAGTGGGGCGTTGTTGCAGGTATTCGTAGCCTCGGTTGAGAGAAAAGCCCATTGCCCAGAGCGGATCGGTGTTGGTAGGCACGGTAGTGGGGGAGGGACGAATAGCAATGCATTGCCCTCTAGTGGGGACTACACCACTTTGAGGCCCGGTGAATTGCTTCGGGAGCAGGTTGGAGACGTATCCGTTTGTTGCATGGATCACGTAGCGGGCTGCGAGTGGACCGCGTTTGGTGTGCAGGATGGTGGGCTCCGAAGACTTGGCGGCGGCTTCGACCTTTTTGACAGGCGTGTGAGTCCATGCCTCAAGCTCGACGCCACGCTCCTTAGCTTTGGCCAGCGCCTTACGCCAGAGCAGAGCGACGAGTCTTCGAGGGTGCACTGTGCCTCCCGGAATCTCAAAGACGCCTGCTACGCCGTGTGGCTCGTGAAGTCTCTGCTTCCACTCGTCGTCTGGCACCCGCCTCACTTGGAGCGCAAAGTCCCCCAACCCTGCCCGCTTTGCAGCTTCGATTGAGCGCAGGTATGCGTCGACTTCCTTCGTCGAGAAGCACAGGTGCCAATTGGAGCCGCACACCAGCTCTGGGTCGTCTGACAAGGCATCCGTCCCAGCAGCAGCATCGCCCTGTTTCGCAGCCTCTCGAGCCTTTCTCATCGTCTCCATCCTCACCATCATCAAAATCTCCGCAACCGTCCTTGCCTCGAGCGTCAACATCCTCCTGATGGTCTCATCCGTCTTGACGCCCACATCATTACCCCAATGCTCCTCTCTTCCTTGCTCCATGCCAAGGAACCTGGCTAGATGCGCAGGATTGGAGGCCATGTCCAGGTACGAGAGGGCGGAGCTCGCAGTCAAGTGACCACCATTCCGTCCTGTGGCGCCGGAGCAGAAGGAGCGGGCTTCTAGGACTTTGATACGTGTACCACGGGGAAGCTGGTTTGCGAGGTGATAGGCTGCGCTTATCCCAGTGATGCCTGAGCCAATGATAGCGACGTCCATGATACCGGCAGTGCTCGGCCAGGAGCCAGGAGAGCGACCATCATGGACTGCCTGATCGGGCCCTGGGGAGGTTGAAGTGACGAGCCAGTAAGAGTCCGGCGCATTGGGAATGGGGAGAGGAGAGGGCTTGATGCTGCCCGCCATGGCTTCGAGATGTAGGTCGACTGGATCTTCGCCTGCCGCTGCTGGATCCAAGGATGGAGAGTGTGGTGCAGCGGAAGGAGCAGGAGCAGCAGCTACGTCCGCTGTCGACGTCAGACGCTCTTCTTCTCTGTTGCCGTCATCCTCGTGCTCGTAGGGAGGCGGGGCGATGCCGGCCATTTTGATGCGAAATCAGGTTGCTCAAGCGCGATATTGTCATGCAAAGCGATAAGAACGGCGGCGAGATGAGGGCGCGGGTCGATACGATTGAGCAGGGGCGCCAAATGCCGGGCCGAAGGTTCTTGCCAGCAGAGCCTGGGCCACTCGAAACTGGCCTGCTTGTGCAAGAGGTGGGCTGAAGGGCGCTAGATGAAGGTAGGTTGCTAATGCGAAGGATGGTACAAAGCGACGTCGGTCCAAGGGTCTAAGGCCCTTCTGATTCGAGATGGCCTGAGCGCAACCTCCACGTGGCCGGCAAAGCGGTGCGTCCCTTCGACTGCTCACCGCTATGGGGCAACGAGAGTGGCCCGAGACTGGGAAGCGAGGGAGGCAGCGGAGCCTGGCCTTGGTTCCCCACTCATCACCATCGATATTCCACGCCCTCGCTCAACCTACTCTCAAATACCCTCCCGCCCATGCTGTCCGCCATCTGGGACATCATGGTCACAGTAGCAAAGCCCCTAGGCTATACGCTAGGCTCTGCCTTTGCCATCCTCGCACTCCTCTCCCCGCGCTCTCAAAAGGCCCGCTTCTACCTCAACCTCGTTCTCTACGTTGGCTCGCTGGGCGTTTGCTCCATTTATGGTGTCATCGTTTCAATACTCATGGGACTGGTAGGACAGCGTCTCAATGTCAACTACGTCGTCGCTCGCTCCTTCTACCTCCTCGCGGGAACGCTCACGGGCGTGCGATTCTCCGTGTCGGGCGAGGAGAACTTTGCGAAAGCTCGGCCAGCTGTCCTTGTAGGGAATCATCAGACGGGTATGGACATCTTGTACTTGGGCAGAATATTCCCCAAGATGGCCAGCATCATGGCTAAGCAGGAGCTCAAGTTCGCTCCGCTGTTGGGACAGTATATGCTGTTCAGCGGGGCCGTCTTCATTGACAGAAAGAATCGTCATGACGCTGTCAAGTCTTTCAACCAGGTGGGAGACGCCATGAAGAGGAAGAAAGTGAGACATTGCGTATTCAAACTGCTCCATCGCCTGCTCCCCTCTTTGCTGACCGCCATCTTCCTGCCTATACTGGCGCGCCGCAGCTCTCCCTCTGGATCTTCCCCGAAGGCACCCGATCGAAGCTCCCAGTCCCTGACCTCCTCCCATTCAAGAAGGGCGCGTTCCACCTCGCCGTCCAAGCACAAGTTCCCCTCGTGCCCGTCGTGTGCGAAAACTATCACCGCTTGTTCGACAATCGCAGCCGATTCGAGGGAGGGACCATCCGCATCAAGGTGCTGGAGCCGATTGAGACAAAGGGATTGGGCAAGGACGATGTTAATGAGCTGACGGAGAAGGTCAGGAAGGCAATGCTGACTGCATTGGTGGAAATGGACAGGGAGCGCGAATCCTTTGACATTTCGACCGCTTCCTCTTCTACGGCAGGAGAGCGCCCATCCCGCGTCGACCCCTCTGCCTCGTCCGTCCCCGCAAACCTCGCGCAAGGCGAGATGGGTCTTGGCGGTGTTGCTGGCCTGATGGCCAAGATTGTAGGCACTGGAAAGGGCAAAGACTATGTCAAACGTGCGCAGAGGCAGGAAGATGAGCTGAGAAAGAAAGGAACGAGTGGACAGCAGCCAGATGATTATGGGCTGGTCAGTGAGGCTGAGAGGGCAGGCAGAAGTACTGCCGTCGGCGATTCGGCGGGCGCTGGGTCGCAGCAGAGGAGGCCGGCTGCGTCACAGGATGATGTCGAGGGAAGTGGTGTGCTGGTTGAGGCGCCGCAGACCAAATGAGCAGGACGTGCGTCAGCGGGGAGCAGCATAGGATAGCTCATCAGAAGAGGTTGAGAAGGCAGTAATGTAGCGGCACAACACCACTAATACCGTTTGGGTCACGAAGGAATGGTATACAGATTGGAATCGACAGAGAACCAAACAAGACTACTGACTGACTGACATGTCGACGATGATGAGAGGTCTCGCCACGGCAAATAATAAGACAAGAGAGCGTGAAGAGTGATGAGGTAGACGCTCGAGTGAGTCGATGCTGAGTGGTCCAGAGGTAGTCAGCGATACAATGTCGAAGGTCCTGTTCTCTTCGGCGCAGTGGGTGAAGCTCCCGCGCTTGGAGTAGTCGATCGTGACACAGCGGTGGACGACACGGTTCCGCTCCCCTTCCTGGTTCCACCAGTCGTCGTGGTCTTCTCCTGCGCGGCTGTAGCAGCCGCAGCCACATCGCACTTTGCTGCGATCCCGCGCATCGCCTCCAAGCTCCTTGTGACCCTCGCATGGCTCAATGAGCTGGCAGGCGTATTGCGCACCAGCTCGGCAAGCAGGAGAAGGTAGCGCGGCGGGCGCTGCAGGGGCATGATGGCCACGTCGAGTGGGGAGAGCGCTTTTGCTGACGCAGCTGCAATACCGCCGCTGGGCGACTGCTCGACGAATGTGGCTGGGACGTCAATGGTTGACATGGACGACGATAGACGCTTGCTAGCAGCAGCGGCCAGACTGCGTCGGGTCGAAGCGAAGCCCCAGGGCGAAGCGGAGCGGGAGGGAGGCTGCGATGCTGGTGCGATGGGGCTCACGTCGCTACCCATCGCAATTCGCGATGAGGGGGATGGAGGAGGGCCGGATACACTTTGGCTGTTGAGCGCGTCAAGAGAGCCTTTGCGACTGATGGACCTGCCATTGACGTCGATCCTGTCTCCGCCCAGAGCGTCCGCAGAGCCACTGGTCGATGCTTTCGACTTGGTAAAGTTGCGAGGATGCACGCTGCTGATCGTGCTGCGCCTCTTGGACACTTTTTTGCCGGCTACACCCAGCTCAGCATCGACTGAGGTGGCTGCAAATGCAGGAGGGCAATCCACGCTCACCCTCGTTGAACCTCCCCGTAGCTCTGGACTTGAAGGGCGTGTGAGGGCGTGGGCGTCCATCGATTTGCTGAAACGGTGTGACACGCCTCTGGATGAGCTTGGCGACGACGCTGCGGCAGAGTCTGCAGAGACACCATGCGCTTCCGTGGAATCATACGGCGCCAATGTGAGCACGAGTCGATCCTTCGCTTTCCCCCTCGGCCCCTGCGCGTGTCGCAGCCCGGCCATGATCTCATTGGCTGCCGTACTCCATGCGACGAAGGTGGCTTCCAGCTGAGGAGCAACGATGGCGAAGGCGGCTCCCACGCCAGATGCTGTTGGGTTGGAGTCGATGCGTGACGAGAGCGTGCGACTGAGAGCGATGAGTTGAGGAAGAAGGTTGCGCATCAAGGGAAGATGGCGATCAATCGGTACAGCTGTTGCCGTAGAGCCAGATGAGGGAGAGTTGGAGGATGACGACTTAACCGTTGACGTGACGCTTGAGAGGCCTACGACCGATTTACGTTTGGCTATCGTAGGTCCGTTGCCGCTGCGATTGCCATGGGCTGCAGAGAAGGTGGTGGAAGGCGAGGCCGAGGAGGACGACGGCGCAATAGCTTTCTTTCGCACAGCCTGCAACAAGCTCTCAAGGTGGCGCGCGTAGCTCTTCTCAGTGGCGAGGAGCTCTCGAATGATGAACAGTGCACGCACCTCCCTCTTCCAGTCGTCATCGTTGGCAAATGCGTTGTGCAGCTGAGGCTGGCCGCTAGCATGGCCGACATTGGCCGCGACGAGGGCGATGGAGCCAGGCGGATGAGGCTGGGACAGAGCTGCAGTGAGCGCCAGAGGCGCGTGCAATCCACTGTCAAAGCTGTTGCCGCCAGCCAGAGCTTGCATGGCGGCAGGATCGCCCTGACTGGCACCCCTGACCTCGTGACGGACCTCGGCGTGAGTCTTGCCCCCCAGACGACCGTCGGCGCTGGATGATCTGCGAGAGGTCGACGAGCGAGGATTGCTAACCGCTCGTCCTCGCCTCGAAGTGACGTCGCCAGACCCACTCGCACCTGGCCGTGCTGAAGTCACAGCATGCTCAGTGTTCTCCCTGCCACTGACATCTCTCGACGCCTTGTATCCCGTAGCCATCCCCATCTGCGCCATCCGCGTGATCTTCTCTGCCTTCTCTGCATCCTTTGCTGCTTGCTCATTGTGTTGCCTTCTCGCCCCCTCGAGCATCTCCAGGAAAGCTTTGTCGTCCAAATCTTGCAAGTGTGGGCGATTTAGCCGACGCATCGTGGGCGCATCACTGTCGAGACCATACACTCCCAGCGAGGACGAAGGGCGTGGCATACGCTGGCGAGGTGCACTAGCCACGGAGGTATCGATCTTGAGTGCTCCCGGAGACAGCTTCGAAGCTGCGGCCGGATTTCGAAGCGAAGGAGCTGGTTTCTTCGCCAGGACAGGGGATTCTTGCCGGGTCGACTTGCTGCTCTTGAGACCGCCAGGCTGCGACGAGCTTCGCGGCGGGATGGAGCGGTCTGGTGAGTCAGGCTGCTCACTCTCAATCCTCCTCGATGACAAGGGCGGCAGGTAGCCATTCGCAGCGCGAGCCTGCTGGGAAGATGCTGCTGTACCAGTCCTGGGAAGGATCGTTGACGCTGTCTTCTCTCTGGGGGCGACATGGGTCCGTGTCTGGGCTGGTGCAGTCGGACGACCGCGCGCCACTCTTTTTACCGCAGTCGAACCGCCCTGGATGATCGCGTACGGCGAGTCGACCGTTGAAGACTCGATGCGGCGCGGCGGTGTAGGGATGTTCGACATCAGATCGAGGCTACGTCGGCCAAAAGGTCCGCCCCTGGAAGGTGATGGGCTGGGATCAGCGGCCAAGGATGCTTGCGCCCTCGATGATGACAGCTTCGCCGAAGAAGTCCTTGGAGATGGGACAGGCGCAGCACCTCGAGTTGGCGTGACTCCAGCATTCAGCGTCTTGGACGTACCACGAGGAGTGGCACCGATACGTCGCGTGATAAGGCCGCTCATGGAAGATACTGAGCGAGGCGGGAGTGGCATGGGGGGTGAAGTAGGTCGCGGTGGGGTGTAGTCATTTCGACCAGCAACAGATGGCCGGGGGTCGAAGACGGTAGCAAGAGTTCGCGTGAAGGTAGAGCGCCCTGGAGTCTTGCGAGTTGATGTTGATGCGTGCAACGAGCTGTCTGAGCGATCTGAGTTGCTTCTGGGCGATGTACTGCTGCTGTCTGAGGTTGTGGCAAGCGGGGCGATGGGGGGCCGGAGCTGGGGGTTTGCACTCTGATCCCTGGGACTCGGCCCGTCTGAAGTTGGAGGGAGAGGCACAGATGTGTTGGACAATAGCGGCGGGGGCAACATTCGCTCGACCTCATCGATACTGTCTTCTCCACCATCGACGAAGTCAACGGGCTCGCCCATCCTGACAGCCGTCGACCAAAGCTGCGCTAGATTCGGCGAGAGAGGCGAAGAAGCGTTGACAGATCCCGAGGATGTCTTGCGATGGCCACTTGGACCGGCAGCGCTACTTTTGCTCCTGACAGAGCTTGTGCTGGCTGCTGCCTTGGGCGCAACGTACACTTGCGTACCCTCATTTTGGCCCTTGCGAGACTGTTTGCGGATCATGCGAGGGCTCGTCTCCTGAGAGCGAGCAGAAGCTGCACTCGCTTTGCGTAGCCTTGCTAAGTCGACGTCGCCTCGCTCCTGCTTGACCGTCTTTGAGCTCTGCTTGGACACGTTCGAGCCTCGTGGGCTAGCCACGCGCCGGCTCTCGATGCTCGTACGAGCGTGAAGCGGAGGAGGAAGCGGCGGCGGCTGCTCTTCGTCGCAGTCGCAGGCAGCTGATGGCTTGCCTGACATACTGCCTTTCTTACTCAGCACGCGTGTCCACTTGAATGAGGAGGGAGCACGCCGCGACGAGGCTTGACGATCCATGCCAGAGCCCATAAAAGACTGCTGCGAGGTCTCGATGGGTGGGAGGTGGAACCAATCAAGCTGACTGGCTTCGGGCAGAGGTACATCTACGCTGGTGGGAGACAGGTCGGCCGCAGCCGCAGGCATAGCGCCACCGCTTAGGTGACCTTCGACCTCGCCGACGCTTTTTGACCGCGTCCGTGTCAGCGGAGGCCTAGCAAGAGGTGGCGCCGTGAATGGCGTCATGAAGGTGGCGAGATCCGTTGAAGGTGGGCTCCTCGAGATGCTGGGAAGAGGTAGTGAAGGCAGAGGTTCCGGAGCACTCGTGGGGGCTTGCGATGTCTCAGTGACACCTTCGCTAGCTGCTTGTTGCAATCGAGGAGCTGTGACAGCCTCGCCGACTTCCACTTCATGAGCCACGCCCGTAAGCTCCTGACGCGCGCGAGAGCCACGCCTGAGAGAAAAGTAGGAAGGAGTCGAGGTATCGACGGCGGTGGTAGACGCAGACTTCGCCGCCATGCTCTTCGCCGGCGACGTCCCATGCAAATTGGACTTGGACATGCGCTTGAAGAGGAAGGGTGAATGGGAGCGAGGGGGATGAGAACTTGCCGTAGCCTCTTTGCTGCTTGTGGCAGATCCCCCAGCATCGCTGACATTGGACGTTGATGCAGATGGGGACGGTTGGATAGGACTCGAGTGGGTATCGCTTTCGGACGAGGGAGGTTGAGCGCCAGCTCGAGCCTGTCGAGTGCTAGGCTGACCCCAAAGCTGATTCGTCTTGAGGTACTTGCCGCCAGAGATGAGGGCTGATCGGAGCGTCGACCGAGATGACATCGTCGGCGACTTGGGCGCGACGGCTGCACTGGACGAAGAGGGAATACTGTTCACACTCTCATCGGCGGCAGCACTTCGAATAGAGTGCGAATATGCATCCTGCGGCGTCAAGAGCGCTTCTGAGCCCTCGCGATTTGCAACGCCCGGGACAGGCAGCGGCTTGTTCCGGTGATTCAGGTCAGCCATCCCGCCATGCATGGATTTCGTCACCATCGGCGCAGTATCTTGAGCTTCTCCTGTTGCACCTGATAGTAATATACCAGCCTCGGTCGCTGCTTGTTTGCTGATGACGACCAGAGGCTCCGTGTCTGGGCTCGTGGGTATCGTGCTCGCCGAGCTGCGACTGCGATGCAAGCTGCCCAGCGAATCGCTGCCATCAGTTGCGGTGGCTCGAGAAGATGCCTTGCGGTAGAGCAGGCTATCCCGGCCTGATGAGGACGCGCCGTCTGTAGCGGTGCTCGAAGAAGCCTGCGACTGGACGGACATGCTGCGGTGGTGCTGTTGACTATATGGTGTGTATGCTGTGGATGAAGTTGAGGATGAGGTACCAGACCGAGTGCCAGCTTTGGATCTTCTGCGCTCCAGAGCATTTCGAGAAGAAGACGGCGAGCGGGAGACCGGAGCTGCGGCCGCAAGAGGCGCGCGTCGAGTGGGACGCTCAGGTGAAGCACCTATATTCGGAGAGGCCGCGGAGGAAGCCGTGATGGGAGCCTGAGGCTCCACAGTGCTCGCATTCGCGCTGTCTGGCTTAGTCTGGCCCGCAGCATTCCGCGATGAAAAGACCCGTCTGCTACCTGGCCCGGCATGGTGGGTCGTGGACGTCGAAGGCGTAGAGAAAGCAGCTGTCGCGATGGTGCTAGATCTGCCGCCGCTCGTCGAGCTTGGCATGTTGAGCGTGACAGCTACTGTCGATCAGCAGCAGAGACAAGCCGTCTCTGACTGCAGACGTGACCCTTGCTGTCAGATGAGGGGGCTGATGGTCGCCGAGAAGGAAGATGCTGGGAACGGCTGCGTGTTGAGCGAAGCGGCGAGGGTCCATGCAAGCAAAAGAGGCATGAAAGCACCCGTCGAGGCAATCGGAGCTGGCAGAACAGCTGCCTCTACCAAGGCACGGCACTTGATGGCTGCCTTTGCTATCGCGAGGGATCGAAAGTGACGATGACACCGAGACGCGAGGAACGGCGCGAGCAAGCCTCGCTGGGTGAGCGAACGGCAGGAGAGTGCTAGCGTACGCCGCGCGAGAGGTTGCGCTGAATGTGGTCGGGAGGGAGGGGGGGACTACGATGGTAATGAGGATGGAAAAGGCGACTCGACAATAGGTACGAAGCGAAAGAGCCGGCGGGGGCGTCGCTCGAACGAACATGCACAAAGAAGCGCACTGTCCCCCTCCCCTCCCTCGCTCGTCCTCGCCGCTGCTTCTCCTGCGCTCCCAGACCCGCTTCTCCTCCGCGCTTCGACACTCGGTCCCCCTTTTTTGGGTGTCAGTGAGCCCGCTCAACCGATAGACCTTCTGTTCCTCGCTCAGACTCAAGTCTGCTCTTGCGGACTGATCTCATTCTTCCCTGTTTGTCTCCGCGCTCCTCATCGCATCATCATCATCATGACTCAACGAGAGCGAGACAGGGCAGCCAGCAGCCGGGAGCTGATGGAGGTTATCGAGATTCTCTCCTGCACGTCGCAGGGCGCTCGGCGTCGAGACGCGGCGGGGCTTCTGAGTTGAATGCGCTTGAGCTGAGTGAGAGGGCAGAACAGGGTCCAACCCTCAACTTGCGGTCTTGTCGACCCGCGAGCGAGCAATGCACGCACAGCCCGCGGCCTAAGTGAATTGACAAGGGCGATGATAATGACGACCACGACGACGACAGCAGCGCCCCGACGCTACCGATGCTCAATTGGCATCGCATTCAGTTCATGTTCATGGCATGGCGCACGCTACGTGGCATGCCCGTCGCAGGCTCGCCCGATGTTGCTCTTTTTGACCATCAAAGATCTCACACGCGGCGGCCCATTGTCGCACGTCACTCACGCGCTCGCCCTGCCGCCCGCTCCATCTCTCGTTCCTCGCTTGTTCGTAGACACCAGGCGATCTCGACGAGCCGAGTTGCAACCAACGCCCAAGGCGTCGTTGCTTGTCTACCGTAGCATCGTGGACCCTGGACAAAGCCTTGTCTCACGCAGGAAGGAGATCTACGTCAGACAAAGGGAGGGAAATATGGGTACATCTCTTGATAAGAATGAACAATGGATCGTGCGCCCGAAATTGTCAAGACAGCCTGCTTAGGAAGCTTTCAAATTCCTTCCCCGCACCCTGGTCCAACCTGGGTACCCACGATGTCGAAGACGATGATGAAGACGTCTGCGAGCTCGTCGGTCCATTGTCCTCCTCATCGCCCCTCCCCCCAACAAAACGCCCGCTTGCGCGCCTGATCACACCGATGGGTCGAGCCTCCTTCCCCTGGGTGCGACGTCTTTTCACTGGCAATGGCAGAGGTGGCGGTGACTCGTCCTCTGTATGCGATGACTGCGAGGAAGGCCATGCGAGTGGCTGAGTCTCGCCTCCATCACCATCATCGTCGTTCCCATCTGCTCGCGTAACTTGAGCAGCTGCTGCAGCTGCTGCGGCGTTGGCATTGAAGCTTCGAGTGGGCGATGGTACCACGCGAAGGACCCGTTGAGACCGAGCAGGCACCACTGGACTGTTGGCCGCATCCACAAAGCCCGAGTCGTCCGCAGCATCGCGCTCTTTGCTGTTGCCATTCTGATCGCGACGCAATACTGCCTCCTCGATGTCTGCGTCCTCCTCGTCGCTCAAGATGTCGGTCTGGTCGCGAGGAAGCGGGTGCTCAGCAAAATGAGCTCGCTGCGCCGCCGTGAGGCCCCGCGCAGCTGGCGTTGCACTCTTGCTGCTCCTTTGCTCCTCGTGTGGCGTCGTAGATGGCCACCGCGTCGTCTCGTCAAAGCCAAAGCGCCCAAGTGTCGGCTGATGGCTGGTCCGCGAGGGCTTCTCCCGCGGCTGTTCCCAATCTGCCCAAGCATCGTTTACGGCTGACCAGCGGGAGATTGCTGGCCGAGCTTGAGATGCTGAAGTTGATGTCTTGCTAGATCGCTTCGGATCGGCTGGCATCGGCTCTGGCGACGGCGAGAATGCCAAGGGCTGCGTAGCATCACGATCCACTTCGTCCGGCTTTTCACGTGTCGGCTGGCGTTGCTTTGTCTCTAAAATCACTTCGTCGTCGCTATCATCGTACTCGCCCTCCAGTGGCTGCGTCTCAGCGGGCGGTGAAGACAGCGACGAGGAGCTGTCCGTGTTTGATGCGCTACGGTTTGCGGCCGCCACTACGCACTTTTGAGTGGATTGGATGGTGCCAAGGCGAGCACCCAATGCCTGTCCCAGTGGCCCCCTCTTTGCGGTTGACTTGGCAGTGCGAGGAGGCTGGGAGCGCGCGGGCGTTTCTGGTATCTCCGAAGGAGGGTCAGGCTCGCGGTAGGTTTCATCTGGCAGAAGAGCACCACGATGATGGGGCGTGGATATGGGCGATTGCGGAGACAGGCTAGGCGAGGATGTGGTGTAGTGCGTCTTGGCCGCTTCCGCCGCTTCCGCAACAGCAGTAGGTGACGAAGGCGCCGATGATAGGCTCGAAGATGCCTCGCGCTGCCGAGATAGTTCTACCGCAGATGGCTTCGCGGCTGGACGCGGATCGGCGCCACCTGTGGCAAAGAGGCGGCGTGCATGGAAGGGCGAAGGGAGTGGCTCGCCATCTTGCGTTTCGAGGGCGTAGATCCTACGATGCGATCGAGGCGAGCGAATAGCAGGGACAGAAGCGACGGGCGTTGCTGCTGATCGCGCTGGTGGAGGTGCAGCACGACCTTGAGATGAGGAGAAACGAGTTGGCCTTGGAGGCGACGGACCAGGTCGTAGGAGACTCTCCTCGTCGCTGTCTTCGTCAGCGTGGATGGCAGCCGGATTTGCCACAGGATCCGAGCGATGCATGTTGCCCGTTGCGGTCGGCTGCCGGCGAGGTGAAAGAGGGAGGCGCTTATTCGGGCTTGAGTTGCTTGGACGTGGACTTGCAGGTCTTTTGACAGGTACGCGTACGTCTCCGCCGGCGCTCACTGGACGCTGTGGTGGCCGGACATGCTTGATTGTTGTTTGGGCAATAGCTGTTGGCGCACCGATCGATCGAGCGATGCCTTCCCTCCTTGCCTTGTCAAATGCTTCTCGCTCCACCTGACGCTGAGCATCTAGGTCGCCTGCCGTGGGCTGTAGTCCAGCAGACACTCGATATTGAGGTGCTTTGCGACGAGCGTCGATCTCCCACTGCATGAGCGAGAACTCTGACAAGGACTGGTGCATATATGGCGTCTCTTGGAAGGGCGACTGCGGTGAGACCGCGCCTGCAGCCGCATGAGCAGCAGCGAGCCTTTGAGCGGAATTTGGTGTGCGAGTGCGAGAAGCGGCTGCTTTTGGGCTCTTGTGGCTCGGAGTGACAGCGTTGACGGGTGTAGCCGGTCTCCTTCGTCTTTGTTCCACGGGTGAGGCAACTCTGCTTCGCTGCCTCTTTTCTGTGCGATCCTCTTCAGGGATCCGCATCGGTAGCGGTGACTTTGATGTAGCACGCCTCGCTCCACTTCTTGAGCTTTCTCGATCGACAGGAGCAGCTAGCGGCTCTGAGACATCGCTGCCTTTAGATTTCGTGCGAAGCTTTTGTGCCCTTTCTAGCCATCTACGCTCCTCTTCGTCCTCGTCCTCCGAGAGGTGGCGAGCGCCTACTGCTGGAGTAGAAAAGTCTTCGTGATCGCCATGCTCGTCTTCGGGGACCCACTTGAAAAGCGACGTCAACGGCGACTGTGTCGACGCAAATCCTCGACCGAGGGCGGCGAGGTGCAGCTTCCGAGCTGGGACAGGTGGAGCCTTTGAGCTGGAGGCGGTGGATGCAGCTGGTGCTGGTACAGATTCTGGGGCAGGTGGAGGGGTATTCTGATGCTGATGCTGTTTTGATGCTTGCTGAGATTTGGTGAAGTAGTTGCTGATTTGCGGCTGACGAGACGAGGACGAAGAAGACGAGGTGGCAGCTGCGACGGGCCGTGGTCTTCGAGCTGACGCTGATGATGGCGTCGCTGATGGCGTCGCTGACAGCGCCAATCGATTAGACGCGCTCATTGTCACCGGCTTGTGTTTCAATGGCGGTCCCAATCGCTCTGTGGCCTCTCGAATGAGTCATGGGACTTTGCAGAGGAGCCACTGAGCAAAGAAAGGGAGGATGGTGGGGTGAGGAGAAGTGACAAAAGGGCAGGACGGAAGCAGCGGACTCAAGAGGGCCAAGCGCGTCGAGCACCGAGACGCGCCCGCCCCGTGTCCGCTCAAGCCAGGCCAGGCCAGTCAAGGTGGTCCGCGAGCACTCAGCCAATGTCAATCTCGCGGTGTACGAGGCCGCCTGATGCTATGGTCATGCCATGCTTTGCAGTATCTTGTCCCCCACGACCTTCCATTGGCGCCTTTGTCGAATTCATAGCGCTGAAATGCGTCTCCTCAGAGCCATCGTATCTCTCGCTCTCAGGCTGCAACGCATCGTCATGAGGATGCCAATGAGACATTGCTTGATTTCCTTTGTCCCGTCCCCTCGGTCATCGTCGTCGTCACCGGCTCGCAACCCTAGTTGCACCGCAATAGGGAGCGACGGGGGCTCACGATCGTACCGAGATGGGCCGATGGGAGCCGCCGGGCGTAGCTCGCTCATGTGGCTGGCGATTGCTCTAGGCTGAGCAGCGCGGGGACACTGAGCGCTGTGGGCTGGGTCGCAGAGTGACGCACGCGGGCAGCATCGCAGCAACGAGGCAGAGGACACAGAGAGAGAAAGAGAGCGCTCCACCTGGCTGCTGCGAGGTGCGATCGCAGCAGGAGTCCACCAATCGTCTCGTACCGCATTACCGCCGCTCCTCAATCAAGCTTTTTATCCTTCTTTCTCACCACCACGACCCCTACAACTCACTTTCTCTGACAACTCCTCGCCCAACATGTCCTACGCCAACGCCGCATCCAAAAACTCAGCTGGTGGTGGTGCCCAGCCCTCGAGTGAGTTCCTCGAGGGGTCAAACTCTGCCGGTGGGGCTAACGCGCCAAACCGCTCCGTAGACGTCGACTCTAACAAGGTGAGCCTGCAGTAGCATGTCAAGTAAGGAGCATTGGGATGGTACCCAGATCTACTATCGAGGTTACGCATGTCATCTGCGCATAGTCGCGCCGAGCTCGATGGCGTAGTCGCAGCATCACATCGCTAGCCGCACTCTCGGTGCCCTCTCTGGGCCCCCCCCCCCACCATCTCACGACATCATCGCTCACATCTGCCTCCCTCGCCTCTTAACCAGGTCAACGTCGTTCCTTCTGACAGCCAGCTCGAGCACCTCAAGACCGAGACTCGCGACGCTGCCGACAAGGCCAAGAAGTTTGCCAGCGACGAGTCAGAGCACATCCGCCGCGAAGCCAAGAAGGCTGAGAAGAGCCTGTCCAAGAAGACGAAGGAGGTCTCTGCCCAGGTTCAAGAGGGCTGGAAGCACCTCTCCTCTGACCCCAAGGCATGGAGTACCCTCCTCGGCGCCGTCAACCTGGCCGTGCTGGGTGGTCTGGGTTACTTTGTCTACAAGGAGCGTGCCAACATCGAACGCTGGGACCGAAGGGTCGTCAGCGCCGTCTCGGTCGGTGTGCTCGGTCTCCTTGGTGGGCAGGGGTACGTCGCTGCTGAGACGGCTCGCAAGCAGCAGGGCAAGAAGTGAGGGCAGAGTGAGCGTTACAGGTCGTGACCAATGGTGTGGAAAGAGGTACGAGTGGTGGGCGATAAGCAAAGTCAAATGAGACTTCGAGTGGCGGCATCAACCTCTGTCACTTCAGGTCTCTCCAGTCCACCTTTCACGTATCCTTTCTCATGTGCTCGTGTCGTTGTGCGTCATGAAAATGCCCACGCGCACTAGCCCCCTTTTCATCCACCTTGCGACGTGCCTATTGTGTATTTGCGCGCCTCTCAATGAACATATCACCGCTATCACCATCGCTATCATGGCTGCGCAACGGCACCGCCCACTTTGTCTGAGCCATCATACTGCTGCCATGGCGCGCCCATCGCTGGTAGCGCCAACGACGTCGCGGTGACGCTGAGCTTGGGCGGGCAGGCGCGGCAGTCGAGTCGAAGCGGACCGAATGTGCGCGGCGATTCGCTCTTTCTTGAGCGTCGACGTCGACCCTTGGCTTGGACGGGAGCAAGCGGGCGGACGGGCAGGCAGGCAAGCAGGCAAGCAGGGCGCTGCGACGACACACTGAGGCGGGCAGAGCAGCCAGTCACGCAGCCAAGTCGGATCTTCGTGGCCAAAAATCTATCGACGACGACACAGAGACTGAATCGCAGCGCAGGTCACTTCCTAACACTCCACTACCCGCATACACCCCACTCACATCATCACCATGGCCTCCGTTGTAGGCATCGATGTCGGCAATGCCTCGTCCAAGATTGGAGCAGCGAGACAGCGTGGCGTTGACGTCCTCGCAAACGAGGTGTCAAACCGAGCAACGCCCTCGCTCATCTCCTTTGGCCAGAAGAACAGAGCCATTGGAGAGGCAGCTGCCACCATGCAGACGTCCAACTTCAAGAACACTGTAGGATCTCTCAAGCGTCTCTTGGGACGCACTCTCCAGGACTCGGACGTCCAGGAGCACGAGAAGAAGTTTGTCAATGCTGAGCTGGTTGACACAAAGGGAGAAGTAGGGGTAAAGGTTCGATTCGAGAATCAGGAGAGGACCTTCTCAGCAACGCAGCTCATGGGCATGTACCTTGGCAAGCTCAGGGATACCGCAAAGAATGAGTTGGGTGGTGCTGGCGTCAGCGACGTCGTCCTTTCAGTGCCCCAGTGGTACACCGACTCGCAGCGAAGGGCAATGCTCGACGCTGCTGAGATCGCTGGTCTTAACCCTCTTCGCCTCATCAACGACACCACCGCCACTGCCCTTGGATATGGTATCACCAAGACGGACCTGCCTGAGCCTGAGAGCCCGCGCAACGTCGTCTTCTGCGACTTTGGCCACTCGAGCTACCAGGTCGCCGTCGTTGCCTTCTCAAAGGGTCAACTCACCGTTCTCGGCACTGCCTCAGACCGCAACTTCGGTGGTCGTGACATGGACATTGCTCTCCTCCACCACTTTGCAGAGGAGTTCAAGGGCAAGTACAAGATTGACGTCCTCTCCAACCCCAAGGCAATCTTCCGTCTGTCTGCCGGCTGTGAGCGCCTCAAGAAGGTTCTCTCTGCCAATGCCTTCGCCCCTCTCAACGTCGAGTCCCTCATGGAGGACATTGACGCTTCGTCATCCCTCAAGCGTGAGGACTTCGAGAACCTCATTGCTCCTCTCCTCGAGAAGGTCACTGTACCCCTCGAGGCTGCCCTCGCCCAGGCCGGCCTGAGTAAGGACGAGATCCACTCCGTCGAGATGGTCGGTGGTAGTTCGCGTGTGCCCTCGCTCAAGGAGCGCGTCTCTGCCTTCTTTGGCAAGCAGCTCTCCTTCACCTCGAACCAGGACGAGGCCGTCGCTCGTGGTGCCACTCTTGCGTGCGCCACCCTCTCGCCCGTCTTCCGCGTCCGTGACTTTGCCGTCCACGACGTCACCGCTTACCCGATCAAGGTCACTTGGGAGAAGGCTGACGTCGACGAGGAGACTGAGTTGCTCGTCTTCCAGCCCAACAACCCTGTTCCCTCGACGAAAATTCTCACCTTCTACCGCAAGGAGCCCTTCTCGCTCGAGGCTCACTACGCCAACCCGGAGCTGCTTCCCAAGGGCATCAACCCTTTCCTTGGTCAGTTCACCGTCAAGGGCGTCAAGCCCACTGCCAGCGGGGACCACTCCATCGTCAAGGTCAAGACGAGGCTCAATCTCCACTCCGTACTCAACTTCGAGGGCGCTTACCTCGTCGAGGAGGTAGAGAAGGAGGAGGACGTCCCCGACCCGAACGCCGCTCAGGTCGACGGCGAGCCGCCCAAGACGATCAAGCAGAAGGTCAAGAAGCTTCAGCGCAAGGAAGACCTCCCCACCGTTTCCGGTTTGGGCACCAAGGACGCCTCGATCACGGCTGAGCTCAAGGAGCTCGAGGGTCAGATGTACGCCAACGACAAGCTCGTCATCGACACGGCTGACCGCAAGAATGCGCTCGAGGAGATGATCTACGACCAGCGCTCCAAGCTCGACGGTGCGCTCCGCCCTTACGTCCAGGCCAAGGAGAAGGAACAGTACCTTGCTGCCTTGAATGCTGAGGAGGAGTGGCTCTACTCGGACGAGGGCGACGAGGCAACAAAGTCTGCGTACGTGGAGCGCATCGAGAAGCTTCAGAAGATCGGTGGCCCCATCGTTGCTCGTTTCAAGGAGAACGAGCTCCGTCCCAAGGCTGCTTCGGCGCTCCGTGAGACGCTCAACAGCTTCCTCGAGCAGGCACAGGGTGGCGACGAGAAGTATTCGCACATCAGCGATGAGGAGAAGCAGAAGGTCATCGAGAAGTGCGCCAACACCGCTCACTGGCTCGATGGCAAGCTTGCCAAGCAGGCTGAGATGCCCAAGAACGAGGACCCCAAGGTCACTGCGGCTGAGATGAGCAAGCAGAGGGACGAGGTCCTCTACGTTTGCACGCCTATTATGACCAAGCTCAAGCCCAAGGCACCGCCTGCGCCTGCACCTGAGGCCAACGCACCGCCCAAGGATGAGAAGAAGGCTGAGGAGCCGGCAAAGGAGGGAGAGGAGGCTAAGGCTGCTGAGGGTGAGGCGCCGAACAACATGGACGTCGACTAGACGAGTGCTGAGGCGAGGCGATAGCACTGGCTTCTGATATCGATAGAAGGAATTCATACAGTCGTGGATGCGTGCGAGCGAGTGCGTGAGATGATGATGCTCTGCTGCCGTGATCATGAGGTACAAGATGGGATTGCTCCACTCCCATTAGCCAGCCACCTTCCCCCTACCTAGCCTTGGCCAGTCTCGTAGCGACGCTTCTGAACCAATTCAGATGCCCCTTCAAGTAATCCTTCCTCGACCTCGCCACCCTCCCCACATCCTCTGCTGTGATCTCTCCACCCCTGGCCTGCTTCTCCTTAAGCACCTTGAAGTCCCTACTGCCATGCACCTTGTTCAGCTGAGCGTACTGCCAATGAATCATGCCATGCATCGCCTCTGCCCTCTCTGCGCAGCTCGATCCGCACTGAAAGACGTGCACTCTCCCATGAGAGGTGTAGCTCTTCTTCGCCTCTGCGCTCGCGGTCGGGGGCGGGAGGCGACGAGAGTAGGTGCGAGTGGAGTCGGCAGGGTGCTGATGTTCTGCTCGATTCTCGTCATTCGAGCTCATGTCGCTCGAGTCTTCCGCATCCTCGCCATAATCGAGCCATTCGAGGGTATCCTGCTTGTAGGGTTTTCCAGACAGTATGATGCGATACTCGCACGCCTGACCTTTGCGATGGCAAGCCGCGCAGCCCTTTTTTCCTTCGTGGCGACTCATTGCCTCGCGCTTGAAGAGAGGGTAGTGTCGAAGGTACCAGCCGAATTGGCGACGCTGCGCCTGCGTAGAGAGGAGGCGGAGGGAATCGTCTACGTGTGATTGAAGGCGTGAGCGGGCACGATTCATGAGGGCTTCGTCTTCTTGTGAGACGGGGAGGGAGAGGAGCATAATGACTACCCAGTGATAGAACTCGCTGGCAGCTTCATCTAGATCCAGTCGGCCATGCAGGAGGAGAGCGTCGTTGCGACTCAAGGCGGAAGCGCTTGGCCCTTCGCCGCCCCCGCCGCCATTGCGACTGTTGGTGATGCCGAGCGAGCGGCTGGATGGTGAGGGGCGACGAGCGGAAGGACGGTGCAATTGGCCAGCTCGCTGACTTTCGACTGCACGAATGTCGTTGCGCGCCCTTTGATCTTCAATGGAATCGTCTGAGACGACGAAGGCCGAGCTCGAAGATGTACCCGAGGACGAGGATGAGCTACTGTCCGACGACGAGCCGCCTTCGTCATCGTCATCATCGCTATCCCTGATGTTACGCTGCTTGTTCTTCCCCTTCCTCGCCTTGCTGAGCTTCTGCAACTGAGATCGGAAATCTCTGCGGCCCTTTGGAGCCGTAGCCCGCACAAAGGCATCCGCGTTCAAATTCGACCTCAAGTTGGCAACGTCGTCTTTACTATCGTCCGCGTCGCTCCCGTTGCCGAGCTTCCTCCTCGCGCGAGCTGCCGCTGCTGCCAACTTCTCCTCCTTCTCCCTCTTCCTCTTCCGCTTGCGCTCTCTTTGTTCTTCTCGCCTGGCCACCTCCTCAGCCTCTGCGGCCGCTTCGGCTTCGAGGCGTTGCTTGCGGATGACGTCTGCCGCCGCGCGAGCTCTCTCCTGTGCAGTAAGGCGGGGTCCGCTGGAAGGCAGAGGCTGTGTGGATGACGAGGCCTCATTGCGATCAGCATGGGTGAGAGCGGTGTTGGTGAGCTCTGCGCTGGTGTGCCCGCTGGCTTGACGACCCGGAGTTGCCTCTGACATGGAAGGCTGGAGCTCGGTGTCGGAGCTGCTCTCGTAGTCGTCGTCGCTGGCCCGGAAGAGGGAGGATTGGTTGCGCTGTTTACGACGTTGTGCTTGAGGAGATGAAACGGACACAATATCGGAGACAGCGAGCTGGCGTTGCCCGTTGCCAAGGCTTGGACTACGCTGAGCCTCAGGCTCTTGCCGTGGAAGTCGTGCGGGCGAATCATCAATCACGATGGGGGACTGAGCTCGACTTGCCAGCTCGTCCTCCTCTTCTCCGTCCTCCGGCGGCGTAGCGGACAGTGCGCCTTTCGCATTGGTCCACACCCCGTACCTTGCGTTCCTGAGCTCTGGCGTCAGAGGCGGCACGACGATGGCAAATGTGTACTTGCCCTCATGATCCTCATAGCGCGGCGCTTTGAGCCAGGCCGTGAGCTGGTGAAGGTCCATCCTTGGCCGATTGAAGGTTTGATCGATCGATGGCAGAATATGCCTGGCCTTCCACCTTTAGGAATTGCCCAGGCGAAGGCTCTCCCCTACTCGCCAAGTGAATGAGTGGTTAGATCGTCAATGATGTGAGGATCCTTGAATTGTCGGACACATACAACTCGACCCAGTTGCTACTCTGTTTCCGCCCTCCTCCACGCCCCTCTTCCGTTCCGAGGCCTCGGGCACGGGCCTCCCGGAATCCCCGCCCACACCGGGCAGTCGAGGAGAGTGACACCGTCGTACGACATCACGACTTCCTTTCCCATCGCAACGAAAACTCTACTTTGGCCCATCGTGCTCTCTCTTGCCCCACGCACAGCTTTGCGACGCCAACTACTTGGACATTCCACTTTTGCCAGAATGTCCTCGACCACGCATAACCACACCGACGCTTCGTGCATTTTCTGCAAGATCATTGCGGGATCCATCCCGAGCATGAAGCTCTTCGAGACGGACAAAGTCTATGCTTTCCTCGACATCGGACCTATTGCGCCTAAGCACTGCCTCGTCATCCCCAAGTGGCACGGCGCGAAAATCACAGACATACCCGACGACTACCTCATGGAGATCGCCCCAGCGCTCAAGAGGATCGCCATCGCATCAGGGGAGGAGAACTACAATCTGCTGGCTAATGCCGGGACCATTGCGCATCAAGTGGTGATGCACTTGCATTGGCATTTCATTCCCAAGCCTGATGAGAAGCAGGGCCTCGGAGTGGGATGGCCTGCGACGAAGCCTGAAAAGAAGGAGTTGCAAAGGATTTACGACGAGTTGAAGCAGAAGCTGTAGTGAGCAGGTGGCGGGCAGCTGAATGACATGAGATGTGATGTGACGATATTCTTCTTGATGATTGATTGACGGTACGGTCAAGAACGAGGACATAATGGCAAGAACAGGACATGACTGCTAGCTATGCGTACAGAGTGATGAGAGAGAGAGAGAGATATCAAGACCCACCAGTCGGTAGGCGCCAACCCCGCTTATCCAGGTCGTGAACGCAATCGTCCACGTCTAGCCGCACTAGTATCAGCTGCGTCCACACTGCTGCTCGCTCGTTCCCTCCGGCTCCTTGCTCTACCCTCAGTCCCCTCATCGCCTTCTTCGCCCTCCTCTTCCCTCTCCAACATTGGGCTACTGTCCCTTGCTGAGGAAGCAGATGACGAACCACCGCCACGCCCACCTGCTGCTGCTACGCCACCCAGGATATGAGAAAGAGCGTCGGGCGCCCTTGACCTGCTGCGTGAGGTGGATGCTCGCGTCGACGAGGCAGAGCTGTACGACGTGGTAGCACGACCACGATGCTGCTGCTGCATTGGCAAATGGATGCTGCTCGAGCTCGCACTGTGCGAAAGAAGGTGATGTCCTGCTCCCACACCACTGCCGCTTCCTCCAGCGGAGGAGCGACTGGGCGATCGCTTCGCTGTCGCTGCTGAAGGCACGCCGTGCAGGATATCGAGAGGGCCGCCGATCGATGGAGGTCGCCATAATAAACGCTCGAGAGACGCCCGACTTCCGCTGTCGCTTCTATCATCGGCTACCCTCCCTGATAGCCTCGATGTGCTCACGCTGCGCGGCTGCTGCTTCGGTCCACCAATCGCAATAGGCTGCACGGATGGCGCACGCGATCCTCGCGAAGTGTCGTTAGCCCTCTCCTCCAGCTGACGCTCCAGGTCCTCCCTGCTGACCTGCGAGAGCGGCACCTTGGGACCCGGGCGACGGCCGCGGATCTCAACGGGTGACGACGGCGTGGCGCTGCGCGGAGTTGGACGAGAGGACATGGGCGAGTCCGCGCCGTCGTGAAGGATCGTCGTCGCATCAGCTACGCTGTTCCTCGCGTTGCCCTCGCGGGACACGCTGACACTGCGCGAACGACGTCCCTCGCCATCGCCCCTCGGCCTCGAACGGCTGAGACTGGATGGTCGTCTGGCTGCGCGGTCCACGGCCGGCTCCTGGCGCTCGAAGGTAACCTCGGTCCTCCAACTCTTCTCGCGTCCCCATTGCGGCCGCTCTGCGCGCCTGTGCTGCTGCCGCATCTCCTCCTCCATCGCGCCGCCGCCCACAGCCACGCCCTCAGTGAGGTTTTCGAGTCGTCTGTCCCCAGTGGCACCGCCATTGGTGATGAAGGGATTCTGGCGCTCCTGGTCGGGCGATGATGCGAGCCAGCGCGACGCCAGGAGGCGCTGTACAGTCCACCGTCTAGAGGGCTCAGGATCCAGTAAGCCTCGTAGTACCGCCCGCGCAGCTGCTCGCTCATTGCTTGTCCCGTCCCACTGCTGGTCGATGCTAGCTTCTGCGTCCGACTCCGGATCCGCCTCGGCGTCGGCAGCCGCTTGGGCAATGGTGTCGATGTCGAAGCGACGCGGCTCGCCAGGCTTGGTGGGCGCTGAGCCGACAATTGGGGCGTCGTGCGCTGCTGCTGCGTCATGGTTTACGTAGCGCGCCGATTTGTAGCCAGAGTCGGGCAAATAGGGCAAAGAGGCGCTGAGGTCAGTGATGGCTGTGAATTGTGCCAATGACGGAGGTCGACTGCGTGAGAGGCTGCTGCTCCCTGATGGTTGTCGCTCGTGTGAACCGCTGCCGAAGCTGCCTGCCCGACTCATGTTTTTGCCGCTTGCCTGGCGTGAGAGAGAGCCGTCGCTCTTGAAGGACTCAGAGGCTAAGCGTCTCGCTCTGCGCCACAATCGAGGCGGCAGCTCCCATTCACCCTTGGCAATCTTGGCCTGTAGTCGCGGTTCGAATGCGTCGCTGAAGGGCATCTTGCCGCTAAGAAGAGCGTAGGTTATGCAGCCCAATGCCCACATGTCTGATGCAAAAGGTGATGCTTCTTCGGTGTTGTCGAGGCCGGGTGACGAGGTGGCGGTTCCATCGCGCCACATTTCGGGCGGTGTGTAGGCTAGCGATCCTGCGCCTGCGCCTGCACCAGGAGCGCGAGAGAGGCTGCGAGAAGGAGGCGGTAGCGTCTGTCGTCCCGCTTGAGCGTCTTGCGATGACATGCCCGCCCTCTTCTTGAAGAAAGACAGAGCCTGTTGAGTGAGCGCGCCCTCAACGTCCACCCTCTGCGACAGACCAAAGTCAGCTAATCTCCAGCACACTGCGCCGTCTTTGCCCCCTCCGTCTGGGCTGCCGTTGCTATTCATGCGCTGTGCCAGCACGTTCTCAAGCTTCAGATCGCCGTGCAGGACATTCATCTTGGTGTGTAGGCAGAGAAGGCCTTCGGCGAGCTGGCGCAGGATGTCGCGCGCTGCACCCAAGTCAATGCCCTGACTGCGTGGAATGGCGCTGCTCGTCCTTCTCGTTACGCCCGCGCCGGACGGACTCCTTGCTAGCGCCAACGAAGAGGAGGGAGTGACGTCGGTCGATGCAGCTGGAGAGCGACGACTGAGGAACCCGGATCCAGTGCGCGGGTGCTGCGCGTGGTTGTCATTGGGTGACTGGTGCAGCGATTGACTGCGGCCGAGAGAGATGGACTGAACCCGTGAGGGGGCTTGGCGGCGACCTCCCTCACCTCGTACAAAGTCCATGAGGTTGCCTCCTTCACACAGAGGCATCACGAGGAGTTGGAGTTCTTGCTGCGTCGCTTGAGGGTCTCTGTTGAGCGATCCAGTCGACGATGTCATATCAGACCTGTCGATGAGCATCGTGTCGTCGTAGAGGAGCGGCAATAAATTAGGATGCGACGGTAGAGACCGCCAGATGGAGAGCTCCTGCTCGTCACTGTTGGCTTCCTCTGGTTGGGGCGAGGAAGGCGGGTCGCGATAGACCAGCTTGACTGCCACCTTGTGCTTGCCCCCTCCTTTACGTTCCTCTGCCAGATCCCATCCCTCACGGATCGTCGAGAAGCCGCCGAAACCGACCACTCTGCCGAGCTGGTATCTGTCGTCTGGCCCAAAGGTGGCACCCTCTTCCTCCGGGTTGAAGGCATGTGTCTTGTCTGCTAGTTGTCCTGACGAGTCGCTCTTAGCCATCAGCTGCGCAGCTACACCTCCCATGCCCTGAAAGCCCGTCACTGGCGTGGGACTTGACGTGAGATCAGGCAGCTTACTCCACTTGGACAGTGAGCTAGACCGCTGTGGCTCGACATTGGCTGAGCTCGACCGACTGTCAGCGCTTGAAGACCCCCACTCGCGAGCATGAGATGGTGCGACCATGGTATTCATGGAAGAGAAGGCAGACAAGAAGTTGGCCGCAGGAGAGCGACCGAAGCTCGGCGAGCGGCCAAAGCCTGGCGATGCTGCAGTTTGCTCTTCCATGTCGAGCTTCAGCTTCTCAGAGCTGCGCCGTCTCCGCCCACGCTTGTCCTCGTACGAGGACGAGTTCGACTCTGAAGGGGGCTGCTGGTGTTGATGCTGCACATCTTGGCGGATGCGGATGCCCTGCGCGGCAGCGGCTGGCTCGGCGTGGGAGCCATTGCTGTTGCCATTCTGGATGGATGAGCTGAGGCCAGATGGATCGTAGAGAGGCGTCGCTGCGATGGGCGAGTCTCGCGGATTCTGCCGATTGAACTCGGATGCTAATGCTGAAGTTGACGAGGGGCCCCAAGGAGGCTGAGCCATATGCCCTATGGCACAGTGATGGGAGGGTGAGGTCTTAGGGTTGTATGAGGGAGGCGGAAGCCCTGGGTATGAAGGCGAGGCTGCCAAAGTATATGCTCTCAGTTGAGGGTCGTCTGGATGATAATAGCGGTGTCGTGTTGCGGTGGTGTGGAGCTCATGAAGATGGCAGACAGCGGCGACGGCCCGAAAGTGAGGGATGGGAAAAGAGGCAAGTTGAGGTCGAGAGGAAAGGCACGGACAGGCGGTGGCTGCACTTTCTCCGCCTGACGGCTCTGCTCCGCTTCGCAGTAGCTTAAAAATGCGATGGACACTCAGAGATGTCACCCAGGCTCAAGCTCAGGCGCCAAGAAGAAGAAGACTACGAAGACAGCGAAGACGACAGCAGCGTCGATGAAGCAGTGCCAGCAAAAACAGGAAAAGACGCCGAGCAACGAAGAAATAAATGCCTAGATAGAGGTGGATGGGCTCCAACCACACGTCGTCCGTCTGGCTCTGCTCAGCAGGACCCTACGGCAAGCCCCCTACACTTTCTGTCTAAAAGTGGCTGAGGATACGTTCGCCATCTGTACAGTACGATCACGCCCTTTCACAGCTTAACGTAGCTCACTTCATTCGACGACGAAGTTCATCGCTTGACGCCGTGTCGCCATGACTGACCTCGTCCTCCTCGTCATGACCTCGGCCGCTCGCACAAGCCACCTCTTGATCGCGATGGTGGAAACGCGCGTGCGCCTTGGTTGATTGATCGCACGGGCAAAAGGCAATAGAGCTGGAGTGCAATTAGGGCGGCGCAGTGCGGGGGCAATAGCAGAGACAGAGCAGGCGGGCGGGCCAGAGGCGGGGCGGGCGCACAGAGTGCATAGAGTCGACGGAGAGTCGACAGTGGACAGTCGAGTAGGCCGCTGCCCGCCTAGCTGCTAGACAGACAGTCTCTCTTCCCTCTAAGTCTCGGCCATTGGTCTGAGTGGGAGGGCGCTCCCCATAACTCTACGCGTTGATCGCTCTCCTCCCTTGTCGTCCCATCCACCACTACGAATTCGCCTTTGGACGCTCCAATCGATACGACCAAACCACGCTTTACAGCCAACCAGATCCAATCACCAACATGCCCCCCAAGAAGACTTCCAGCGCCGGCGGCAAGAAGAAGGTCTCTCCTTACAACGTGAGTGTCGAGCACAGCACGGCGCGTCATCGAGCGTGCATCACCATGAGCATCACCGTCGCACGATCTCATCTGCTCACCACCGTCTCATCTTCCACGTTCCTATCGCACCGCACGCAGCTGTACATGAAGGAGCAGCTGGCCAAGCTCAAGACGAGCCACCCCAACCTCAGCCACAAGGAGCGCTTCCAGCAGGTCGCCAAGGACTGGGCTAAGTCTCCCGCGTACGTGTCGCGTCCTAGACGAGGCAGAGGGGCCTGTCGTTTTGATCGACATGCTCCTCTCCTCACCACCGTCACTGTTGAGCATTGTAACTGACTCAATTCCTCCCCTTCCCAACGCGTAGCAACCCCAAGAACAAGAAGTGAACGGAGCGCGATTAACGCGTCAAGCTGGCCGATGCCTCCCACCATCGCGTCCATGCTATCCACCGTCTCGTCTCGACCCTTGTCCCGAAGCTATCTTGTTCCTTCCCCCCGCGCTTCCTGCCGACGCTTTTGTCCCTGTCTCTCCCCAATGATGTAGCGAACGCGACCTCAAATTAGCCAAAGGGATCGATCCTCGCGATCACACTCGCTACTCGCAGCGTGCCCCTCGCTGGCCCTTCCTGTATGCTGTCGCTACGCGAAATACCATCTACACTTACTCCTACCAGCTCTCGTCATCCTCACCCTCTTCATCTATTCGAATTGATCGCGACACGAGCGCGAGAGCGTGACAATCCAATGGCCCGTGCGTTCCGCTCGGGTGAGGACGCTAGTGATGCAAAGGCGGGCAGCAAGCGTACCACCATGGTATCGATGTCTGAGCTGCGATGTTGTCGAAGTCCAGATGAGCCTCTCGATCACCATAGCAGCTGGCCTTTTCATCTCGAGCAGATCTCCACCTGTGACCACTGCGCAGTAGTCAATGTGGTTCTCATCGCATATCGTCGCCTCTCTGCATGATGCGGGAGGGACTAAAGGTGCATGGTAGCATGACCTTTAAAGTTGTCCCCTCGTTCATTGAGACAGAGTTGTCGTGATCCAATGCGCTCAACTGATCGCTAGCATTCAAATCTACACATTTGCATAGATCGCTGCGGCCTACCAGCTATGCCCAGAGTGCGCACCGGGCCTTTGTCGCTACCACTCGGCGCCACAGCGTGGGCAAGCGGGAGCCGGCAAGGGCGGAAGGCGCAGACGAGGCAGCGAGAGAGCGACGCCGCACCAATGACGCTTCTTCTCTTCTCCGTCCACCACCATCGCAGCTCTTGACCTTGACGCTGCAAGAGGCATGGCTACGACCTCACGAGGACTAGCAACAGGGCATGAGGAGGCGTTGCCCTGGCAGCGCCTTCGCCCCCGCCGCCCTGTTGGTAGGCTCGCAGCATCGAGACGACACCTATCTCTCACCCTCGCCTCGTCCTTCTTCCTCATCCTGCTGCCGCTCATCTACTCAATATGCGGGCCCTCGCTCCACGTTACAGCATCGTCTTCACCATCGCAATCACGCCCTGCTCCCCTCTCACGCCGCTCCTTCACGCACATCCCTAGCGATACCTTCCACCTCATCTCGTCCCTCTCCGACGCTGTACCCATCCTCGACCACACCGACTCTTCCTCTTGGCTGGCGCGCTTCCTCTTTCCTCGTGTTCCGGGGGACCCAGGCATTATCAAAGCCAGGAAGATGATCACGGACGTCTTTCAAAAGCAGCTAGGCCCCAGTGATGGGAAGAAGGGCGGAGGAATTAGGACAGGGTGGAAAGTCGAGGAGCATGCGTCACAGGGAGATACACCGCACGGGGTGAAGCCCTTCGTCAACGTGGTAGCGACCAAGGACCCAGAAGCACCACGCAAGCTAGTTCTTGCGGCACACTACGACTCAAAGTGGTTCGAAAGGGGCTCCTTCGTAGGTGCGACGGACAGCGCGGCTCCTTGCGCCATGCTCATCGATCTAGCCATCAGCCTTGATGCGCTACTCGAGGGAGCAAAGAAGAAGCGCAAGGAGGGGAAAGGGACAGGTGACGGGCTGGAAGATGTGACGCTACAGCTCATCTTTTTTGATGGGGAGGAGGCATGGGATCGTTGGACGCATACGGACTCGATCTACGGGAGTCGGGCTTTGGTTGCCAACTGGACGAAGAGCTACGACCAATCTAGCCTCCCTTCGTCCTCGCATGAGGCACGCCGCCTCACCACTCACGGCCGGCCCGTACGACGGATCGATAGCATTGATCACTTCATCCTTCTCGACCTTCTCGGAGCTAAGCACCCAACAATACCATCCTACTACGCCTCGACGCATTGGCTCTTCCGTGAGCTGCTGAGCGCAGAGCGTCGCCTACGGGACTCGGGCCACCTGTACCCTGACATCAAGAGCAGCAATGAGGCGCAATCCTTCTTTGTAGACCGCGATCCCATGCTTGGAGCGGGCATCGAGGACGACCATCTGCCATTTATTGCGAACGGCGTGCCCGTGCTGCATTTGATCCCTACGCCGTTTCCTAGGGTGTGGCATACGTTGAAGGATGATGCGAGTGCACTGGACTGGCCGACGAACTATGCGTGGAGCATGATTCTTAGGCTGTTCACAGCAGAGTATCTGGGGCTAGAGATGCCTCAGCTCATCAGGAAGGATGAGGACGAGGAAGGATGGGCTGATGATGGGTGGCTGCGGATTGACAAGGCGAGGAGGGGAGAGCGTGTCGAGCTGGCGAGTAGCGGTCCGTAGATGCGCGCAAGTCAGCCTTGACTGACTCGCATCTGCCCCGAAACTCCTTCCACTCGGCAGCGATGACGAAGGACGTAACAAATGACGTGGCATCATGATACCCTGTAAATGAGGATGAAAAAGCGCTCAAGAGCATAATACATGGTCCTGGCAAGGTCATCTGCATCATTCGCCTCCGCCTCCTCCTGCTCCCCTCTCCGTCCTCCTCGCTGCAGCCTGCGCACTACCCTTAGCCAAGGCCGCACTAGAAGGACTCGCCCCAGTCGACCCTGCAGCGCTGCCTCCGCCTCCTGCTCCTCCACCTCCCTTGCCCCTCAACAAGTCCTGGAAGAAGCTCTGCAGCACCTCGCTCTGCTTTGTACTCGCTGACGCCCCACCAGGAGAGGAAGCTCGCGTAGCGGCAGAGTCGCGGGATGAATGAGTCGAGCCTGTGCCACCGCCGACGGCAGGGCTGTGTGGTCTGCTGCCAGTGCCAACCGCCGAGCTGCGGTGCTCCTTGGACTCGCGGCGCTTTGTCGACGGGCGCGAAGAGCTTGACGAGGGGACATCCAGGTTTGGTGAGCCCAAAGCATCAGCGCCGCCTGCGCTCAGGGAGTCCTCGCGTTGTGCAAGGCCCATGGCTCGCTCAACAGCTGGGCCAGAGAGGGAGGAGGACTGCATTGGGCCGACGATTGAGCTTCTACCGCCCGCTGAGGCCAGGTGCGACGAAGCATTGTTGCTACTGCTTGTCCTGGCGAACTTGGCGCGAGGGTCAGATGTGCCTGCGCTACCCCCCGCCGCAGCGGCTGTCGCTGCGTTTGCTGCCGCCTCTTTCTGCAATGTAGCATGATGCTGCGCAAGGAAGCTTTGCGCATCTGGAGCTGCCAGGCTATCAGCGCCCCCGGCAGACGACTGGCCGGCTCCGCCGCTACCAGCACTATTAGCCAAGCTGCCTCTCGCAGATCGATCCCATCTATAATCTCCCAGCACGTCCTCCCACAGCCTACACGCACTCGCCGGCTGCGGTGGTGGGGCAGCTCCTGCTTCTCTCTGCTGCTGTGACTCCTCCCTCAGCTCCCGCTCCACCTGACCCAGCTCGGCGCGAGGCAAAGCCCGTGAGCGACGGCGTTTCTCAACGCGGCAGTCGAACTCCCAGCCTTGCGCGGTGAGTGAAGGATGGAAACCTTCCCGCAATGCAACAATCTTGCCCCAAGAGTCCCACCCAGAAGGAACGAGCAGGACATCGCGCTCGATGGTTGAAGGAGGGTGCAGGAAGGGGTAGCCGCGGGACGAAGAGGCAGTAGCGGCACCATTCTCCCCTGGTACTTCTGATGTGCCGGTCGCATTGCCGCTGCTGACTGAGGAGAGCAGCCGATGGACGAGGTATTGTCGAAGCACGCCGAACGACGAAGGACGACTCTGCGCTGTAGAGAAGAGGGCCGCACCGTACTTGAGGCAGATTGTCCGTAGAGCTTGCTGAATGTAATCAAATTGCTCCTCCTTAAAGTCCCGGTCGCGCTCCAGTTGGGCGACGTGATCTGATTTGGCTAAGACGACTACGATCCCCACTCCAAGGTTATCATCGAGCACACCCTCGTCGAGTGGTAGGGCTGCATTGCCTGCTCCTCCCCTGTTGCCTAGGCTGAGAGGCGCGCTGACGGGTACAATGGTCGGCGCTTGAGAATCACGGGTCTCGTTGCCGTCTTCTGCTGGTCCTGCTGAGGTTGCACCCTCTGTTGTGCCATTGGCGCCATTGACTGTAGCGCCGACGTCTGCGCCCGTCGTTGTCGGCGGGACGTAGGAGCGTACGTGCGCCTCGAGAGCGTCCTTCATCTCTTCGAGCATGGCTTCCTGAGCCGCTCGTCTTTGCCGCTCCTCCGAGGCAGAGCTTGCTGCGCCTGCTGAAGCCGCTGAGATTGTCTCCTTGATGACGGAGATCCACGTCCTGAGCTCGTCAAGGAAAGACTGCGGACGCTGCCAGTCGAGGACAATGAGGAAGAGGGCATCGCGCATTGTTGGGAGGGAGGGGAGTGGTCTTCGTTCCTCAGCAGAAGAGTTTGATGAGCTGGCTGCCGCAAGTTGACGTGATGAAGCGGCATCCTGGCCTCCGCTTGGTGAGCGAAGGGCGAAGGGGAGGAGGCAGAGGAGCGCCTCATCCGATGACGAAAGGGTGTAGAGGGAGAGGCGGGCGAGAATATCTGCGCGAGAACAGAGGACGTCAGATTGCTGTGCTATCGCGCTTCACAAGCGTTGACGTCTTATCTGCCTGTATGCTCACCTTCGCCCTCATCATCAGGCACATCGCAGTACCCATATGCGAGTCCTAGATCGCGCTTTCCCCTCTGCAGCTTGTCTGCGAGTGCACTGCCATTACCATCTATCGCAGGCGTACCGTCTTCTTGCTGCTCATCGCCGTAATCCCCATCCTCGCCGTCTTCCAATGAAGTCCCCGGCTCGATACACCCACTCGGGCAGCCATGAGCCAATCCCCTAATCAAAGTTGACTTGCCACTCTGGGGCTCGCCCAGCACCACAATGGGGAACGTGGGGGTAGACCGAGCCGTCCGTACTGAAAGGAGAATGGAAGACCAGACGTCTTCGCGCTGTGTCTGTGTATTATTGGTGGTATTGCGATCCCTCCTCGACGAAGAGGGGGCGAAACTGCTCTTCTGGCTCCGTGTGGTGAGGGACGAGTCTCGCGTGAAGGAGTAGTCCACGCTGACGTCGCCTGCATTGTGATTGTAGGACGATGTGTCCATCGTCAAGGCTGCCGCAATGGGCAAAAGATGTGAGAGAGAAGAAGGGGTATCAGGATGAAAGATGATGAAGGTAGCGGGGAGAGAGAGGCAGGCAATGCTGCTCGGGCCCTCCCACTTGTTTCGCTCCGCCCTCGCCGCCGCTCAGCCCGCCCGTCCGCTCCTCGAAGTGCGCGTTGCGTGCAGACCAACACTCGAGGATTGTCGCGAGGGGGTCAAGCATAATCAGCATCAGCGAGCGGTGATGATGATGATGATGATATTTCACGGGAAAGGCAGCACAGGAACAGACTGAATGGAGCAGCAAGTCAATGAGTCGTGTGAGAGCGCTCTATATGCTTAGAGGTCATCGTACTGGCCCTCATCCTCCTCTTCCTCTTCCTCCTCCTGAACAGGAGCCTTGGCTTTGCTGGTGCCGTTTGTCTTGGCAGCCGCGGCAGAGGGCTTCGAGGGCTTTTCTTCCTCCTCCTCGTCATCTTCATCGCTGTCCTCTTCACTGCTTCCCTCCTCACTAGAGCTAGCTTGCTCCAGCCACTCGATGAACGGCTTGGCAGCCTTGCGAACCTTCTTGCTCGTCTCCTTGTCAACGTACTTCTTGCTGACCTTCGTCGACCACTCCGTCACAAAGTCTTCATCAAGAACATCGATCTGATAGAGAGCCATGAGCAGCTTAGGTACGCCATTGGGCACCAGGTTCGGGTGCTCAATTCCCGCCAGGCGCTCGACGCCGCCCAGGAGGGCCTTTTGGTGTTTCTCAGAGGTGACCATTTTGACCAGGACGGGGGCGTACTTCTCGACTTCCTTGGGCGCATCATCGGTGAAAAGGGCCTGTACGAGAACTTGTACAGCCTTATGCTTCTTGTCGATGCCCATCTCCTGGGCCTTCTTGTACACCTCGGCGGGAGAGCTACCCTTGTTCTCCAGAAGCCAGCTGCCGTACTGTGCGTAAGGAGAGTCGGCTCCCTCCTCGTCTTCATCTTCGTCTGCGCCGAGGACGAGACCCGACTGCAGACCTCCCTCGAGGGCCTTGACACGTGCCTTGACGGCGGCTTCAGACGTGTCGACAGACCATCCACCATCGTCGCCGTTGCGAGCGGCCATTTGGTCCGCCGTGGGGATCTGAGCAGCCTCAGCGTTGATCTTTGCGGTCAACTCATCGTCACTGCCAGCGTCAGCTTCTTCAACACTCTGCCCAGCCGACTTGCCGGCGCCCTTCTGTCCCTTGACCTTCTTCGGAGGAGGGTTCTTGCCGATGAAGGTGGTCAATTTGTGCGACATGTTGACCTTGGTGCGCTTGCCGCAAGCCTTGCAGTCCCTCATTATAGGCTCGTTGCCCTTGGGCACCTTCAGCTCCGTCTCTGGGTTCTTGCACTCGCCACAGAGGACAAATTTGTCGATGAAGTCGTCGAGGAGATTGCGCAGCTGATCGGCTTGGTGGGCGCCGTTGATGATGTAGCGGTCATTCTTCTCGTCCGACGTCGTCTGAGCGCCTAGCTCAAATCCAAAGAACTTCGTAGGATCTACGGATGCAGACGGATGGTTGAAGGGATCAGCGCTGTGGTTTGGCCGAAGATAGGTTCTCGGAACTCTTTAGTACTCACACGTCGGTGGACGACTGAGGGCCCGAGCAATATCGGACATGTTGGGCACGACCGTCTTAATGCCGTTGCCTCGACCTTCAATCTTGGTCTGCAGGAGGGGCATGCTGTGCGCGGGTGGGTAAGGAGGAGAGATGGAAAGGTGAGTGTGAGGCTTGCTTAGCCCGATGCTCAGCGCTTGCTCACCGGTAGCGATAGAACTTGTCGTCGACATCGCGACGAATGTTTACGACAGCCATGATGGGTGGTAATAAAAAGGGATCGAGAGCCTCGTAGGACGCTCAAGTTCAAGATTGAAGTGAGGAGTCGTCGGCGGACCGTCGAAGATGATGGAGGGCCGTAGTAAAGACGGAAATGGTGGCGACCGTGATGGTGTTGGCGGGTGGTGGTGATGTATCTAGGCACCTTCAGGATGGGTGAAAGGCGGCTTGGATCGTCGCCTCGGGATTGACGTATCGAGAGAACGGGATGGCGGCAACTGACAAAGGGGGTGGGTGCTATGCGGACGCGAATACATGAAACGGCGGCTCTTTCGATGCTGCGTTTGATTCACGGTTGAAGGCGAGGCGATGGGTGGATTAAGGTAGTGCTGCGTCGATGTTTGTGTGATTGAGATCGACGAGAATGTGTGACTGTGGCTATGTTCCCCTTGCTGATCGTGATCAAGGGTGGTGTTGAGTGGTTAGCGGATGTCGTGAGATGAGGAAGACGAGGGAGGGAAGCAGACAAGGCCAAGTCGACCAACCGACCGGAGTGAAATTGTCGCGGCAACGCAGCTCGACCCTCACTCTCGACCCTGGCCCGCCTTTGTCCGCGCGCTGCACCCGTTACCTACCAATTGCTATCCTGGCACACGAGCAACGACGTTGCGGTCCTAGCGACAAGTGGATCAGCGAGACATCTTTCTATTGCAGGGGGCGCATATGGTACAAAGAACGTAGGCGGCTGCAACAACATCGTGACGGTCCGCTGTCTTCGTCTGGACGGACGAATGGGAGCTTGAGAGGCTCACATTGGGGCTTGTGGTGACAGTGAGCGTGCGTGCAAGGCGCCTTGTTGGGCGGTGATAATATCATGACTGGTCGAAGGATACCGCGGGCTGGACCATCCCGCTTTACATCCGCATGGTCGTAAGGCACGCATGGAGAAGGGCGCCATCGTTGCTCAGGGGAGACGGGCGAGTGCGGCAAAGCTCTTCGATCTGTTTCCTGGCGGAGAGTCGATGATGATGAGCCTGTACCGTTCATCGCTCTGACAAGAGGGTACCTCGAAGAGATATCATGGAGAGAGTCCGTGGCTGCTTAGCTATCGTCAATCCTCGATGTATCGTCGCCTCATGGTCCTGTACTTCTTGAGCGAGTACAGCGTCTCGGTCTCTGCGGTTGACGAGGAATGCGATGATCAGCTTGCATCTTGGAGTGACGTCCAGCCTCTGATGCACCTACCCTTGTACACATGCTCTCCAAGGTCGAGCCATTTCCTGACCTCCTTCTCGTCCTTCTCATGCGCGTACTTGGCTGAGACGCCTCGCAGCTTGCCCAAGAAGTTGTAATTGGGATCAGGATACTCTCGACCGATACGATGCAGGCGCTTGTAGAGGTTGATGGCTGCTGGGCGTAGTGGATGACCGAGGGGTGGCATTATGATGGCAATGAGGATGAGGAGAAGGCCTTAGCTCCAGGTGGACTGACCTTGGTCAGCCAATGTCGCTGCACCCGCTCCACCGGGAGTGAGCCTCAAGGTCCCAGATCTTGGAGCCCGGGCGGAGGTTCAGTCGAGACGAGCCCGGTCCGCGATTTGGTCCTGAGGCCAAGGGGGGGGGACGGGCGCCAGGCGGGGGGCGCGGGCGCAACACATCACTCGAGGTGAGAGCAACACTTGCGCGGGCCGCCGCTGCGAGGCTCGTCGTCGTCGTCGTCGCAGTCGCCTCCTCTGCCCCTCTCTCTCTCCCACTTTCTCTTTCTCCAACAGACCTCATCATCACTATCATCGCCGCCACCGGCCTCACTGCGCCGAGCATCTCGCGCTACGCAGCTTCATCTGCGCCGACTTGGCTGTTCGATCACAAGGGGCGGTGACAGCCTGCACAACCAATTGGCTCTGCTTCTTTGTTCACTGCGCATCGCAGCACTCCATCGCCCACGATGTCGACGGGTAACGTCAAGGTAGTGGGAAGGTGAGCAAGCAATCACATAGGGAGCCTGAATACCATTGATTAGTCGCAGGTAGCTTACTCTCATGCTCGTCCGCCCGCTCGCTCAGGTTTCGCCCTCCCAATGCTCTCGAGCTCAAAGAGGGAGGTGACATCGTTGTCGAGTTCGATGAGGGAGAGAACACAACTGTCAAGCTAAGGGGTGGTCCGACCACTGGGCCGGAAGCAAATGGCTTTACTTTTGATCGGGTGTTCCCCATGAACACGAGGCAGCAGGATGTCTTCGAATTCGGCATTAAAGAGACAGTCGACGATGTCATCAACGGCTACAACGGAACGATCTTTGCGTATGGGCAGACGGGTTCGGGTAAAACGTTCACCATGATGGTCAGTACGAGGGGGGAGGGGCGAGGTAGGCGCCAACCTCACTGACATTGACCCCCATGCCTCTCTTGCTTTCTCTTAGGGCGCGGACATCGACAACTCAGACTTGAAGGGAATCATCCCCCGTATCACAGAGCAAATCTTCGACTCCATCATGGCCTCGCCCCCGAATCTCGAGTATCTGGTCAAGGTCTCGTACATGGAAATCTACATGGAACGCATCAGAGACTTGCTCGCACCGCAGAACGACAATCTGCAGATTCATGAGGAGAAGAACAAGGGCGTCTACGTCAAGGGCTTGTCCGACTATTACGTCGGCGGGCAAGATGATGTCTACGAGATCATGAGGCAAGGAGGTAATGCTCGAGCCGTCTCGTCGACCAACATGAATGCAGAGTCATCGCGTTCGCATTCCATCTTCCTGCTCACGATCCAGCAGAAGAACACAGACACCGGTAGTCAGAAGACAGGTAACCTCTACCTTGTCGATCTTGCCGGGTCTGAGAAGGTTGGGAAGACGGGGGCAAGCGGGCAGACGCTCGAGGAGGCCAAGAAGATCAACAAATCGCTCAGCGCTCTCGGTATGGTCATCAATGCCTTGACCGACGGCAAGTCTTCTCACATTCCCTACAGAGACTCCAAGCTCACTCGTATCCTCCAAGAGTCGCTCGGAGGGAACTCAAGAACTACGCTCATCATCAATGCCTCGCCCTGCGCCTACAACGTCGATGAGACCATCTCAACGCTCCGCTTCGGTGTGCGCGCCAAGTCGATCAAGAACAAGGCCAGAGTCAATGCCGAGCTATCCCCCGCGGAGCTCAAAGCTCTTCTCAAGAAGTCGCAGACCGAAGCCGCGCGCTACCAGCAGTACATTGCCGCGCTCGAGGCAGAGCTCAAGGTCTGGCGCTCCGGTGGCTCGGTTCCTGAGGCCGAACGCGCAGAGCTGGGCAAGATGGGTGTCCCCGACGCTACATCGCTGGCTGCACGATCTGGAGCAACGCGCCCTCAAACTCCCGCCACTCCCAGCGGCATCGAGGCTCTCAAGGAGCTCTCTTCGCGACCTGACACACCCACGGCCGTGTCTCTCGACCAAGACGAACGCGACGTCTTCCTTCGCCGCGAAAATGAGCTCAGCGATGCGCTCGCCAAGAAGGAGAACGAGTGCAAGGACCTCACCAACGAGAACGCACGTCTGCGCGATGAGTTTGCTTACACGCAAGAAAGCGAAAAGCGCACAACTCACGACAAGGATGCAGCCGTCGCGGCATTGACTGAGCTCAAACTGAAGCACAGCGCCCTCGTCAATGAAAACAAGGACTACCAGACGTCCAACGAGTCCCTGCGCGGCGAGCTCGAGGCTCTCACCGTCAAGCTGCAAGAGGCCGAGGCGACGGCCAACAGACGAGCTGCGGAGGACGACCCGGAGGCCGAGAACAGGCGCAAGGAGAAGGACGCTCGCGTCAAAGCCATGCTTGAGTCTACTGCTGGCGTGCACGCTACGGCAGACCCTGCGATGCAGCTCAGGGAGAACCTGAAGCAGCTAGAGGGTCCTGGAGACCATAAGGAGAAGGTGTTGGACACGGTCGAGAAGCTCCACGAGGAGAATCTCCAGCTGCAGACCCGTCTCAACGCTTTCAAGCTGGAGCATGACAACCTGCTCATAGACAAGGACAATGCTGAGATTCGTCTTCGTGACCTGCAGGCCGCGCACGCAAAGATTGTCGCCCGAGGTGGGCAGGACGCCGGCGTTGACGTCAATGACCTGCGAGCTGGCATCGAGGCTCAATTCCAGGCACAGCAGCGCGCTTTGGAGGACGAGGTGGCCGACCTCAAGCGCACGATGGAGGCCAAGCAGCTCGAATTCAGTCACGTTGAGAACGAGCGTGGCGCCCTGCGAATGGCCAACGACGAGCTGCGACGAGCATTCGCTTCAGCAGGCGGTGCTACTGGCGCTAGTGCGGGCACTGACGGCGCCAACGAGGCTGCATCTGCTCAGCTCCTCGAGACCGCCAAAGAGATGGAGCGTGTACGCAAGTCGATGGCTGGACAGCTCTCCGACTTTGACCAGATGAAGAAGAGCTTGATGCGTGACCTGCAGAACCGCTGCGAGAAGGTTGTGGAGTTGGAGATCTCCCTCGACGAAAGCAAGGAGCAGTACAACAACGTTGTGCGGTCGTCGAATACCAAGGCTCAGCAGAAGAAGATGGTGAGTGCGGGCTGAGACCGTGAATGATGCGTAGTCTTGGCCTCCAAGCTGACCATTTCCCCTCGCCCTGCCTCCTCCGCTCGCCCGCTAGGCCTTCCTCGAACGCAACCTCGAGCAGCTCACCAGCGTTCAAAAGCAGCTCGTCGAACAAAACTCATCCCTCAAGAAAGAGGTTGCCATTGCCGAACGCAAGCTCAATGCACGCAACGAGCGCATCCAATCCCTCGAGTCACTCCTCACCGAATCGCAGGAGCGCATCAACCAGCAAAACGCCAAATACGAGGCCCAGATGGCTCTGGTGCGGGAGCGCTTCGAGTCCGCTCGCAACCTCAGCCGCAGTATGGGAGCTGCAGGGCAAGCTCCGGGCGGCCAGGGAGGCGCCGCGGGTGCTTCTGCTGCGGCCAATCCTGGTCTGGCTTTCGGGCGTATCGCCAAGCCGCTGCGAGGCGGTGGCGCTCAGGCGGGCCCGCAGCCGGGCCCCGCTGCTCTACACTCGGGAGCTCCTAGGCATCCGGGCGTGTCGAATGTGCAGCAGCAGGCGGCCCAGTTTGATAGCAAGTCGCCAAAGGCAAGGAGCAGCTGGTTCTTTTCGAGCTCGTAGGCGCGCTATGCGATGGCACACGCGCGGCATTTCTCTCCCTCACCTTCACGATCTTTCACTGCGATCTTAATGCTCCTCACACCCTTGAGGCCCGCTCTTCACTTGATATCCCTATGACCGCTCGATCGTGAAATTTTATAGAGCCGTCCCGATGATGTGGCGTGAATGTGATGATGGCTTTGAGTGCTGAGTAAATGATACAGAAAAAAACGGTCGTTGTGATCCCCACCCTTCGCTAGAGCGGTTCATCGATGATGTCTCCTCCGCCGCTACTGACTTCCCTCAATGGTATCTTTGCCCGCTTCTCGCCATGCCTAACTTCCCATCCTTCCGCACCCCTTCAGCCTCGTATCAAACGTCAAGGAAGTCCGCACACATGTGCAGCTCCAACGCCAGGTCGGCAGGAATACCCTTCTCAAAGTCAGGGATGCGCGTCCCCTCAGGAGCATCTGCGTACTTCTCGTACCACTCGAGGTAGGCAACGACGATCTCGAGAACGGCAGACCTGCGGACGAGCGGGCCAGCCAGGGAGGGAGCGAAGTGATGGTGGGTCAGCCGTGATACTCACCACAGGCAGGGGCGCAGACGGGTTGCTAAAGCTCACTCACCTGATCTGCAGCTGGACAGTCCTACTCTCCGACTCGGCGAAGCCTCCCTCGAGCATATCTTTGATGGTGCCCGAATGAACGGCAGCCGACTTGGCAATAGAGAAGCTCTCCCCGTCTTCGCTGACCAGAGTGACCGTGTCCTTGTTGGCTTCCTTGTCTCCATTGGCTTTGCCTTTGCTGCTGCCGCTCGCACTAGCGCTCGTACTGGTGGACATGGTGGTGGTGAGGGAGGGGTGGCAGATGAGGCGTTGGTTGAGGGTGGCGTTGGGTGGAGTAGGCCGAAGGGTCAAAGACGCTGCTGCTCAAGCTGATGCAGGCTTCGCCCTTGAGCTGTGATGATGTGAGGAAGAGCCTTCTTTGGCCTCTCGTGGACAGGTAGGGCAGTGTGAGAGCTACGAGGGGAAGCTTGAAGGAGAGGCGTTGCTGCCGTCGAGTTGGTACGAGATGGAGAGGAGCCAAAGTCAGCTTTGCTCCGTCCGCTCCTCCACGCCCATCTCGCTCCCAGTCCGCCCTGTGCCCTCGCGGCCCGTCAACACGCGTCACGGCTGCCATAGGGCGGGTCAACAATGCCTTCTTGGTTGCAGCCAGGCTACATCAGGTCAAGGAGCGATTCAGCTTGCATCGAGATGTTCGAAGGAAGAGATGCTCACGCAGCTCTGCATAGACGGCTGGAACTTCGCGGGCAGTAGCCGCTCTTTTGCAAACGCTGATCGTATCCGCCAAATGAAATGGAATCATCTGGAGAACACACAGCTCGGGCACATTTCGAGATGATGCTTCCTGAGAAGTCCCTGACTCGAGATCACAGCTGTCGAAGAGGGGTGTGAGATGACTTCAATTGTTGCGGAAATGACGCGGAGGAAGCCAGATGTCTCCGACCAGATCGATTGTAGGACCACAGTGCCGCCGCGGCTTCCTCATCGAGCCTTGACGCCGATATGCCAGCTCTCGTCTGGCGCAATCGATCTCTTCTGAGCTTTTCAGACCAGACAATATATCGAGACCAGACAATCGATCGCAACTTTCCTTCGCAGCCGCTCATGCCAGGCGCTGGAAAGGATGAGCAGGAGGCGAGGCGCCATCCTCTTGTCCCCCCTGAGGGTATCCATGGCACCTTCGCCGCTAGCTTAGCCTTCATGTTCAGCAGTGGCGGAAGATCACGAGTCCGTCGTAGTCGACACACGCCGAAAGCAAGCTCAATGTGAGGAAGCTGCGCTGTCAATCGTTCTCTGGCATCTGAGATGCCAGATGGCATACCGTCTCGGCTTCATCGTTGATCCGCAGGGGCGAACAAGCTGGCAGACGAGCTCGCTTGCTTAGAGCACTGACTTGCAACTAGTCCCCATTGGGTCAAAGAGCCTCAAGACCACGACTATCGCTCGCGCTGATGTTGAGGACCCACCATGACCGGAAGTCATCATCCGCCGTGGAGGGCTGGCTGCTCGCGTCGACCCAAATGCAGCCTGAGAGCCTTCTCTGCGGGTGGAAGCGACGGTGCAGATGCTCTTCTCCTCCGCTCATGCACGTCCGAGCCAATCTGCGCCCGAGATGTTTTGGACTCGAGAATTGTCGATCCGGCAATGCTGCTCCTTCTTTGATTCTTCATCTCTCTCTCACCTTTCTCATTCATTTCCGCTCATCTAGCTTGGGTCAGTGATGTCGGCTGCTCCCGCGCTGAGAGGAGCAGACCAATCATCAGCCGCCAATCAAGAGTCGACGGCCGCTCCTCAAGATGGCGTCGAGCAGACTACTCCCTCCTCTTCTACCGCAGAGCAGCGCGTAAAGGCACCGTCAGAGCAACGGCGGTCAAATGAGGACAGGCAGGCTGACGACAGGCAAGACAAGAAAAGCTCGGACACCAGTGGCCAGTCTAGCTCGAAGCTGCCACCTTGGATCGTCGACAATATCAAGAATCCACACAGCCTTAAGATGCTGTTTCGCTGCTGTGAGTGTGCGATGACGCCGAGACCGACCACAGGCCGTCTAAACACCTTTGTCCATCGCTCGATTTATTCCAGGGGTCGCAAGCTGGGTCGCCATCCTTCTCCTCCTGTTTGACCGCTCGCTGGCCACTCTCGGCCAGGCGGCCTTTTTCGTCTGCATGGTCACCGTCTTCCTGCCGGCGAATCTTCCCATCTTTCCATGGCTTATCGCAAACGGGACCCTGGTAGTGGGCTCAGTCGTAGGATGGGCCATCGGCTGTGCTGCAATGGCCGCTGCTCTGCGAGCGAGAGACTCGACGCTCCTACAAAGCCAGCTCCAACGCGTCCAAGCATCAGTAGCGACGGCGACCAACCCAGAGGCGGAATATCAAGCTGCCATTTTCCGAGCAGAGTTCCTCGATGCCCGGTCCTCTGCAGTATTCGGCGTCTTTCTAGCATTTGGTAGCTTCCTCGCCGCAGTGGTGTTCACTCAGTCACCCAAGCTGAGATTCACTGCCATCTTCATGGTCATCGTGCTCGACGTCATGTGCACCTACGGCGTCCTCTTCCCCGTGCAGCAGTATACGCTAGGCACCATCTTCTTGCTGCCCATCGGCGTCTCTCTCGGCATCAGCTTCGCCTGCATGCTCTTCATCTTCCCAGAGACTCTCTCGTTCGGCTGGCAGGGCAACTTGGCCAAGCTGCTCAAGGCGACAAAGGGCTACGTCGTCCTGCACGACGCCTTCCTCAAGGAGCTCACGACGGCGGATGACCTCGAGCAGACGGCCAAGGTTTTCGACGGCAAGCTCAAGGGTGCTCAGACGGGTGTGATCGCGCTCTTGCAAGCCATGCAGGGTCAGCGTCCCTTTCTGCACATGGAACTCACGTACTCTTCCCTCTCGCCGAAAGACTTGACTTCTCTGCTTGAGCCGGTCAAAATCCTAGCCCTCAGGACGCTCGGACTATTCAGCTTCAATACGGCACTCGAGGTGGCTATTCACGACGACAAGCTCGCGGACGATCCCGACGCGGCCAGCGATGCAGAGAAGAACGTCAAGAGCGATCATGAAGATTTCTCAAAGCCAGTCGCGGTGCACGACACTCATGCCTTGATGCGATGGCGAGGGATGCAGCACGAGGCTGAGCGTACTCACCACGTCTCGCTGAAGGACGACATGCTCCCAATCATGATCGACGGAAGCAGAGATCTTCTCGCCAAATGCTTTTCCGCCATGGACGAGATCACGTCCTGGCTTGAGTTCACCAACAACCATCGCTACCTGGGCCAAATGAGCGCTGAGCAGCACCAAGACAGGGTGGCGAAGCTGAATGCTGCCGTCGAGGAACTCGAGCAAACGGTCAGCAATTTTGACAAGGAGCGTCTGCGTCTCATTGCGCCCTACGAGAAGCACTTTGCCAAGCAGACAACCGACGGTTCCCTTATGCTGGATGCTGACGGCGCTAAAGCATTCCGATCAGGCGCACGCGGCCTCTACATCTGCCTTGTCTGGTGCTTCAATGCCACCAACACAGCCAAGCAGCTCATCGTCCTCACTCGAGCTGTTCACGACGTAGCCCTGAAACGACCTCGAAGCAGGCTCTGGTGGCCTACTGGCCTCTCCAGATTGGCTGCGGTCATCACGTCGAAGAGAGGCAGCGATGTCGTCAACTCGATGCCTGCAGATGATCCGGATTCCGAGGAATCTACCCTGGCCGAAGATGTTGAGCAGGACGAGCGGGAAGAAGGGGACAATGCAGCAGCAGACGCGACGAAGAAGAAGATCAAGGCCGAGAGAAGATCCAGGCTGCGCGATGCCGATGCCTTGCCGCCCTCAAATGCCCTCCATTACATTGGCCGCTTCCTTGCAGCTTGCTACCGCTTCACTTACAGCCAAAGGGGGATGTTCGCGTTACGCTTCACAATTGCGGGGCTGGCCGTGTGGATCCCTTCAGCGGCAACGCAGGAATCGGCTGCCTTCTCCTATCGCAATCGAGGCCTTTGGGCCATCATCATGGCTCAGCTGGCAGTGGCGCTCACTTCGGGCGAATTCGTCTTCTCCATCGCCTCGCGAGTCATTGGTACGGTTCTCGGAGCGCTTCTAGGCGCCCTTTTGTGGTACATCTCCTGCGGCAAGGCGGCGCAAGGTAATCCGTACGGATATGGCGCTGTGACGGCGGTAGCCTTTGTGCCCCTGGTCTTCCTTCGGCTCTTCGTCCCGATGCAGCTTCTCATCGTCTCGCTCATGACCTTTGTGACTCTTGTCCTGGTCATTGGCTATTCGTGGATCGACGCCGGCCACCTCGTGATCAGTGTCTCGAGCGGTATCGGAATTGAAGTGGCCTGGCGTCGCATGCTGCTCGTCCTCATCGGTATCGCAGCTGGCTTCATCGTCATGCTATTCCCGAGACCGACCTCGACACGAGAGACGGTGCGACATTCCTTTGCGAAGCTCACCAGCCGCCGCATCTTGCCCATCTACTGCAAGGCCATTGAGGCGTGGTCGACACACAGCGAGGACAGCTACGACGAGGTGATCAAGCAAGACGCCGCAAAATCTTCGCCGGCCATGGTCGAGTATCGTGCAGAGCTTTTGGCCGGCCTGGCGCAGCAGGGCGATCTTGCGGGTAAAGTCGGCTTAGCGAGGCTTGATGTCCCCTTCAGAGGTCGCTGGCCCGCGGAGCGGTATGATCAGCTGCTGAAGACGCACAATCGAATGGTAAGACGCATCCAGTGACGGCGTGTCATGCAAGATAGCACCGCGCTGACTAGATCGATGCGCCCTCACAGCTCAGCAGCCTGGCACAGCTTTACCAAATCCTGAATCAGCCAAATTATGACTACACCTGGCGCAGGAGATTCGCCCACAATACCGCGCTGTTGGATCCATCTACTATTAGCGACATCTGCTCGACGCTGAGCATGCTTGGCCAGGCTCTGGAGACGGGACAGCGCCTGCCCGCCGCTACGACTTTGATCCGCGAGCGGGTCATCAGAAATCAAGTTCTGACTACAAGGATCGAAGAGCGTCTGCGGGAGAAGGGCTCGAGAGAAGCCTCCGAGCCATTGACGCTGGAACTGCTCAAGAAACCGCTTTTCATGCAGCACGTGGTGGCATCGGTGGCGTTGGTCGTCTTTGTCGACAATCTGGATCACGCTCTTGCGGTGGCCAAAGACTTGGTCGGAGAGGTAGAATTGACGTCGTTCTACGAGCTCAAGGAGCGGTGGGACGATCGTGTTGCACTGCTAGCATAGGATGCACCGGCTAGAGAGTGCAACCGATGCCCTAGGCCGCTGAGTGGTCGGCGTCCGAATAGTGGTAGGCCGCCCTCTCTTTGTCCGCCTCTTACCTGCAAGCGAACCCCAATCCATCAGCATCCTGTTATTTTCCCTTGAGCTGTCAAGACTACGCCCTCGCGAGAATGTCCGATCGCGACCTCGGCGATGGTGCTTGCCGATGTCTTTCGACGTCGCTTCTACAGGCCATGTGAACGACCCTGGCACCTGAGCGAGGCATCTCTAACTAAAGAAATTGTGTCGAGTGACACTTGTTCAGTGGCTCAAAGCTCAACGGCATGCTCCGTTGGACCTGGCGATGCGTGGCAAGGAGCACGCCGAGTCGGAGGACCAAAAGTGCTAGCCCTGGGGAGAAGACGGTGAGGATTGGTGGGTGGGTGCTGTGGCGCACGGCGCAGAGAGCTAGTGAGGCGGGGTGACGGCTGGCTAAACTACTGGGCGGCGGCGGGCACTGGGCGCTCATGTCCTGTCAGCAATCAGTACTCAGCTCCATTATTCGACGCTCTTAGCTCCACTCGAAATCGAAAATGGCCCCTCTGACTCGAGGCGTTGGAACACTGCACGCTGCCGATGGCGGCCGCGCTTGTTTGGTGCTGCCACTGCTTCAATCTGATGCGATTCAAAGGCGTCCTCATCTCGCCACGCAGATCGACGCCGCCAACAGCCCGCCTGGGCTGTTCCGAACTCGTGGGGCGCGGTAGCGAGGCCGGGATGCGCAAGGCAGGCTCAATCAGCAGGCAGCGGGACAAGAAGATCCCGAGGTTGAGGCTATTGGCCCGGCTTGCCCTTCCGGCTCAGGCGTAAAGCTGCATTGGGAGGGCGTTGAGCTGCATCTGCGCCCTGCATCCCCAATCGTCTCTCGTCGTCACTTCAATCTTGTCTGTACCATTGCTCGTTACCTCGCTGCATTTCCATCCTCATCTCTGTCTAGACGTCACTGGACACAACCTACCGCCTCTTCAACTGTTTTTCAGCGTTGCTCGTCGTCTAACGATCTCGGCCACATTCCATCAACGGCGCACGGCCTTCTGCTCGATCGGACCGACGCAGCGATTGGTATTTGTCGGCGTCAAAAAGGGGCCGCATCCGCTTCATTGCTTGCGGGAAGGAACCAAATACCGCAGCGAAAGGTCCTAGAGCCTTGCGGATCATCGACGTCGAGCCGACCGCGAGCGCCCTCGAAGCTGCTCGTTACCGCCAGGTTGAAGGCGCCCCACCTCGACGCGCTGCTGCCACTTGCCAACTACAGCCACATCAGCAGGGCCCGGGGGCGGCGCCAGCCCTGCTGCTGCTGCCTCTCCTCGTCATTCGCCTTCTGAGTCCCTTCTCAACCTCATCAAATCCCCACCCCCATTCCCCGCCACCCCCACCACCCGCCAGCATCGTATAGCACAGCAGCGCAGCAGCATCGCATCCCACCTTGCACCGCATCATGCAGTCAGAAGCATATCCGGCGGGCTCGCCTTTACAGGCGCCACTCGTCGTGCCGGATGAGCCATGTCCCGACGGCTATCTTGAGAACCATTGGAAGGGGGACCTTGAGCGTGGATGGCGCACGTTTGAGGATCTCATGAGCGGTCAAGAGGACCGCTGGCAAGGTAAGCAGCGCGGTGGCTCCCCTCAAGATCCTATTCTCGAACAGGCTCACTCACTTGCCTCGCTTGCATTCGCAGATCTGGGCGAGAGGGCTGGAGTGCGTAGGTCTGTCTTCAACAACGGCCAAGCACTCCATCCGCACGAGCTCGAGTGCACTCGTGGCGTCTCCTTCTTTGACAATGTTCAAGCGCTCGACGTCTTCAGCTGCATTTACAATCCCGGCTTCCGACTGATCTGGGACCACCGCATCAAGGAGGCCAGCATTCTCCAGCGCTTTTCGCAGGCCGAGTTCCTCTTCTACATGGTCATCCGTGGAATCGGACCCATCTATTGGCCGCGTGACTACATTGGCATCGAAGGCGTCCGCTTCTACAAGCCCAACGGCCAAGTCGTCACCGACCACATACCGTCAGAATGTAACTGCATCGACGTCATCTGGACGAGCGTGGACAATCCGCCCAGTGGTCCGCAAGAGGGAAAGGTGCGCGGTCGGCTCAACATCGCTGCATATCGCATTCAAAATTGTGGCAATGGGTGCGATGTCACCTTCATGATCAGCCTCACCCTGTCCGCGCCTATCCCGGCCTACATTCGCCGAATGCTCGTAGCAGAATGTCCCCTCTCCTTGGCCAGGCTTCGCGACTCGATTCCGACGTTCGGTGTCTGCCCGTACGTTGTCGATGAACAAAGCTGTCTCGTCATCCAGCGACACTTCTGGGACGCCGAGTCAAGAAAGAGCCACATGCGAGCATTCTCAATCAAACCAGGCACCATCGTCATCATGCTCGACACCAAGAGGATGTATCCGTCAGGTGAGCTGCATGCCGCGAATCGTCAGGGCGCCTACAAAGGGCCGATTGACTGACCATGATACTTATCCCATTGCTTGTTAGGCATCATGATGCCGACGATTGAGGGTCCTGGATCTCACTCAGTCAGCGTGCAGGAGGCAATCACGGGCGATCGCCTCTTCGTTCACGTCGACCAGACCGGTATCAGGCAGAATTGGACGCTCGTGAGTACACAGAGGTCCGCACCAAGACGTCGAAGTCTTCTCACTGACATTGGCCTCTTCGGCGTCTTGCTCTCCCTAGTCATTCGAGCCAAGGGACAAGGACCCTGAACCAGACGCGTCAGGCAATTGGTGGTAGAGGCAAACCCTTCACGCACGAACGACTTAATAGGCAAGCACAAGCAACAAGCATCCATCCTTAACACCCTACCCCACATTCCTATACTGAAACAGCAAAGTAGCTCCCCGAGTTGGCTCCATTACTCGAGGAAGCGCAGTCAAAGCCGCGCGCTTGGAAGTTGAAGCGCGCGCGACAGGCAGAGGGTTTCTCAACGTCACAATGTCGGTTTTTGGCTGTGATGTACATAGTATCTCGATGTTACCAATTGATTCACTGCTCTGTCTCATCATCCGTCCACCTGTTTCCTGAGCCCACGCGCGCCGCCGCGGCTGGGAGATGGTGTCGTCGGGGCTCCCTGTCCCTGTCCGCGTCTTGACTCCACTTTTGCTCGGTGGAACCAACACTTGGTTCACTGCTTCTCCATCTCGTCGCAATGCCGCCAAAGAAGAGCAGCAACAAAGACTCAGTCGAAGCTTTGCTCTCCGATCTCGACAGCCTGGGTACGGAAGACCAAGTTGCTTCAGCAGCCAAAACAAAGGCCCCTGCTTCATCTGCTAGCCCTGCACCTCCCGCCGCCCCTGCCTCTGCCTCCTCCTCCACGCCAGACGCTCAGAGTCTACTCGATGACCTCGACAGCCTCGTTCAGCGTCGCGCTCCTACTCCAAGAAGGCCGCCTAGCAGTGCAGCTGTGCCTTCACCAGGCCCGACGTCATCCGCCGCAGAGACAGTGACTCCACGTCCGGCCAATGTAGAGGGCACACCAAAGGAAGCGCCAGCGGGAGAGTCACCAGCTACTTCAGCGGCACAGGCTTTGGAGTCGATGCCAGCGCCTGAGAAGCAGAGAGGAAGCACAGCGCCAATTGCGTCGGCAGCTCCGGCTGCTGCTGCCTCTTCATCTGGCAGCGGGGGAGGATGGGGAGGATGGGGAAGCAGCATGTGGTCTTCCGCAACCAAGTTCGCCGATCAAGCTCGAGCAGAGATCGAGAAGCGGGCGCAGAGTGAACAGGCCAGAGACCTCGGTCAAAGAGGCTGGGACCTTGCTCAGGGAGTACGTGGCTTTGTCAAGGAGACGGGATGGGAGAAGTTGGGCGACGATATTACTAAAGTGGGAAAGAGGGGCTGGACCGAAGTCATCAACGCTGTCGCGCCGCCTATTTCCGCTCACGAGGTCATCCAGGTGACCCTGTCGCATGACATGGTGGGATTCGATGGGGTTCCGGACGTCACATTCAAGATCTTGTCGAGGGTCATGGAGTCGCAGGTGCGCCAGCATGGGCTGGACCAACAGCTTGTCGTCAACCAGGCGCGCAACGGCGCTCAGGTGGGGGACAAGGTCGATGAAAGCAACGAGAGGGATATGCAGCCCGCCAAAGGATTCGAGGAAGGATGGAAGACGGCACAGGTGAGTAAAGCGATGCTGGCCACCGAGGCTGCCTTTTCGCTAACCTTGCCACTCTCTACCCGTAGTCATCGCTCGCCACGCTCATCGCATCCCACGAGCCAGAGGCACCCAAGGCAAATTCTGTCAACGTCCCGGTCACTAATTCGCCTGTATTCCTGCGCATACAGCCAGTGATGGCTCCATTGCCAGGCGAGTCCGCCACCGCATCGCCGCCATCGTCCATATTTTTCCTCGTACTGCTGCAAGACCCCACTCATGGCCTCAGCCATCGTACATGCAGCCAGGCTATGCCTTACGCTTGGCTCTCGCTACCCTTTGACCAGAATCCATGGATCGAGCAAGCAATGGTCGACAGCTTGGAGAATGCCCTCGCTATCGTTGGCCAGGACTACATTAATGGCAGGCAGAGTGGTCGAAGCGTGAGCGGGGAGCAGGATGCTGGCGGCGCTGCAGAGGCGTGAGGATGAACGAGGAACAACGGGGCATGGACATTAGGGTCACGAAGACTCGATTGTGAGGCGCGAGGAGCCTTGAGAGCAACTTGGAGCCCGCAATCAGGAGCTGAATCAAATCGATTCCGTGACGCCCGCGTTTCCCGAGGCGATCGTGGTTCGTCGCAAAGTCGTCGAGGCAGTGCTTCGCCTGACCACCTCTCCGGGTCTTTCTTGACATTCGTCCCTCACCGTACCATACCATTGCGCCTTGAAGAAATGCGCTTTTTGCTTGCTTTGCGGTGTCCTCGGCTCACCTGACTATGCGCTTTACCGGCTCTGCTTTGCTCTGCTCTGCTATCAATTTGCTCTGCAATTCTATGACACCGCTTGGCTGCATCGACGTTGTCGTGTCTTGATTGGACATGGCAAGCTGCGGGCCCATGGATCCGTCTCAGGTACGTCAAAGCGCTACATCGGACGCTACGTCGGGAGTCTGTCATGAGCCACAATGGCTTTGCGACCGCTCTGCACACTCGCAGCACGATCTCCTCTGACTGGTGCGGCAGCCGCTCCAGAGTCGCCACAGGACGACGGGCTGAGGGAGAGAGATTGCTGGGCTTTCGCTGTGCCGCCGCACCCTCTCAACTCAAATTCCAGACTCAGCGCAGCAGCGCTTCTGCCTCCGCCGCGTCCGCCCTCACACGCCCACGCACCCTCGCCGACGGTTAGTGGTGGCCTCAACTTCTTTCTCGTCCGTTGCAATCATCGTCGATCGCAATCGCAGTCAAGAAAGGGGCAGAGTCGATTTCGACGCCTCCAAAGACGATCAGACGACGTCTTTCGCTTCTCTCCCTCTCCTCATCATTATCATTGCTACCACCGCCACCATCTCCAATCGAGCTCATCTCTCTCTCGCACACACAGTCCGCGACTTTCCATTGTAATAGAGGGCGCGGGAGCGAGAGGAATCCGTAGGATCTCAGACGTTAGCAGCGGGAACTCCAGCAAACGGCCGTCTCAACGAGATACCGCCTGCGGTCTCGCATCATCAGGCCAAAGAGCCCGCTCTGCAACCTTTCGCGCGAGAGAGTCAACCAAGCCAGAACGTCATCGTTAGAGTCAGGAGCACATACACGCCAATCTCCGGACTCGTCGTCGACTTTCGTTTCCTCAAATCTCCTCATCCGCACCTTTCGCCCTCAAGATCCTATCGTGTAGCTTTATCAAAACAAAGAAACTTCTATCCCGGCTCCATCAAAGCCCACCTTCATCCTCGCCTTCACCACGGCCCGCAGCATCTCAGCTCTTAGCACCACCAGGCCGTCAACGCCGCGCCATCAAGAGCTGCAAGTCTTTGCACGCCCGGCTTGGATGCAGATCGCCTAGCGACGTATGGCCCATTATCCTAATCAGGCCCCGCCGGGCTACGGTCAGGCCTCAGGCAGCAGGCCATTCCCTCGTCCACATCAGCCGCCAGCGCAGGATTCAAGGCGTAGCGGCACCTTTCCGCCTCTTTCAGCTCTCGTCGGCAGCCTCAGCAGCGGCAGCACAGCGAGCGCGAGTGCGAGCGGCAGTGGGAGCAGCAGCAGCGTGACTGGTAGCAGCAGTGGAGGCCATGGGGCGACGGGTCCTCCGCCTCCCTGGACGCCCTCCTCCTCGTACGCAGACCGCTTGCCACCTCCACCAACGACGTCGGCAGCATCGCCACCCGGCGGAATCGTCTTGCCGCAGCCCTCACCCGGCTCAGCATGGGCTGGTTATGCCTTGACGCCTTCTCCGCATCCTGCGATGCCATCTTCATCGGCGTCGAGCCCGGTTTCGGGCTACTACCCTCGTTCAGCTCGAGGCGATAGTAGATCTGCGACAGGCGCCTGGCTGTCCTACAATGACCCCGGCGTCTCTAGCAGTCTGCCTAAGACGGTCCCTTCTCCTCAGCAGGCATCGTGGCGAGAGGCGCCGTACCCTCAATACCATCATCACCCACCGCATCCTACAATGCCGCCTCCACATTCTCCACCCTCGCTGCATTATGCTCATGCGCCTACATCCCAGCCACTCCCGCCGCCATCGCCGGATCACAGACCGCGAGGCGGCTCCACGTCTGCATATAGCTACGGAGCACCAGGCTATGCCTACAGCTCGGCGTATCCTCCACCGCTAGCCTCCCCGTACTACTATCCTGCTCCCCCTCCTCCTCCTCCTCACATGTCCCCATTTTCGCCGTCTCAGGGCTCGCCGCCACACGGCTCAGGCTACGCTGGCGCGCCGCCTCCTCCTCACTCTCCACCGCCGCCTGAGCGACATCGTCAGCTCTCCCACACGGGTTCTGTGACCGCCTCCAACTCTGCCAATCTGTCTATGCTCCAAGATAGCGACCGCCCTAGGCAAGCCCGCAACTTGGCATGCGAGTTTTGCCGTCAACGTAAGCTGCGTTGTATCATCGACGATGGGAACAAGTCATGCCGCCAGTGCGTGCGTAGAGGTAAGGATTGCAGCCTACCCACCGCTCCAGTCGAAGAGTCCCCGGCTGTGCCAAAGGCAAAGAAGCGAAGGGCGGCCGATGAGCCAGCCGCGCAGACATCCGGCAAAGCAGCTTCGCCCTCGTCGAAGAAGAGTCGCAAGAAGCAGACCTCGCCTTCGCGAGGAAGTGGATCGCAAAGCTTCGACGCAGGTCAATCAATGGACGTCTCAAGGACGGCGTCACAAGACGCCCCCGTCAACACCGCCATGGCCTTGGTACCTCACGCCCAAGAGTCATCCTGGGAGACTCGTGCCGAAGAGGCGAACAACCTCCTTACATTGCATGCCTCTGGGAATGGCTGGAACAACGGCAGTGGCATTGGCGATTCCGGCGGCAGCAGCGAGGAGCGTGCACTTCAGAGCAGTCTCGACGCAATGATAGATGGAGCGCCAGACTCTCAGGATGTCGACGACGAGATCGAGGTCATCGATCGATCGAATGAGGTCGAATTGCAGCCGATCCGGATGTCGTCATTAAACTCAGATCCGAATTGGTGGGATCGATGCTTGTCCTTCTTTGGCGAGCGCAGGCAAAGGTGAGTAGCAGAAGCAGGCCGTGAAGAAGCTTTTGTACTGACGCTGCACAATCTCCGCGCGCAGTGTCCGCGTCGTTGAGACGTTGCTCATGCGCTTTCTGTCCACACACGCTACGCTCACTGGTATCTTCCACGCACCAAGCTTCGTCGACCTCGTCCGTCGCCCAGAGAGGCGACAGACGACGCAGCCCGCCCTCATCTTTGCCGCACTTGCCGCTGCCGTCTGCGATCTCAAGCTCGACAAGGCCGAGCCTTACACCGCAGATGTCGCCGCCGCCGATGCAAGCTGCAAGCGCCTCGTTGAGCAATTGCGAGCCAGTGCGTACGAGTACATCGAGGCGACTTTGGCGAAGCCCAACTCCCAGACGATCCCCCTGGCCCAAGCAGCTACCGTCATGGCTCTTACTGAGACGGAGCCCGCGGGAAGGCGCCGCTTGTTCGACATCGCCGACTACGTTATTCGCAGTCTCGGCGTGCCTGAGACAAAGCTCATCAAAGGCTCTGACGGACGTGAACTGTGCTCCTCTCAGTCCCTCATCCGCTACGACCGACCGAAGTTCGCAGCACCGTCGGTCGAGGGACAGATTGCAGCAGAGATGACCTCTCGCCTTGCCAAAGCGCCCATGGGCCTCGTTATCCGCCAAGCACTCCAGCGACCAGACGAGGACGATCCGACGCTCACTTTCCCGGACTACTCGCCCTTCGTGAGGCCATTCACTTTTTGGGTGCCCAGTGAGCTCCCGGATGTCTTGCCGGACTCGTATCACGCTTCGATGCATATTGCTCGCGCAGCCGCTATGGCCACTGGCGCGTACGCTCGGACTGCAAAGATGTCCCCACGGGACGGCATCGGTAGCGACGACATTCATCAGGTGCTGAGCGAGCTCGAACAGCTCGAGGACGTCTTCGCGTGGGCGCGCGAGGTCAATCAGAGTGACGCCACGGCTATCTTTCCGTACCAGGCGCAAATACTCCTGGTCAAGCTGTCCGTTTTTACGCGACTGTCCTTGTGGCGCAAGACCAAAGCGTGGACTCTCAACGACGCGCTACTGAAGACTCTGGCTAGCGAGTCGAACAGCAGCAGCGAAGAGGAAGAAACGCCACTGCTCCCGAGCTTCAGATGGTGGCTGTCCCTCCTCTCCGAGCAGATTGAATCCCTCGAAGCCGACTCGAATCGCCACATTACCTCCGGTGAAACGCTCCACGCTACCGACGCTGAAATCGATTCTGCGCTCCGCCACGTAAATCTGGCAGTGCAGATGCTCACGGTCCTACCACGGCCCCCTGTGGGGATCAGGCAGTTGCTCAGCAGTGCATTGTCGACATTGCAGATCCACGTCAACCTGCGAAACGCCAACCCGGCTTCGTCTAGCTTGGGGCAACGCATCGAGCAGGTGCGAGCGGATGTGGCGCGATCCGGTACGCCGAGTCCGCAAAGCGACAGTCCTGTCTTTCCTTCTGCGCCGGCGGCGGAGGCTTTCGCCCTCATGCCGACGACGACGACGACACCGCCGAATGGCAAGGATGCGGGGTCGGCAGGTGCGCCAATGAGCAACAGCAGCTCCGGTTCAATCGAACCTGAAGCGGCTATCACCCTGTCCTCCATGACGGCAAGTAGCACGCAGCAGGCGCCGATGGAGACCATCGTAATTCCCTCGGCGGCGGCGATGTAGGCCTCTTGGTTGATTTTTGGCATCTTTTCTTGTCGCGATACACGTCCGGCCATCCATCCTGTCCGCTTCCCCCTCTCCTGGCCTCTTTAACCCTTGTATTAGTTCAAATCTACTCCTCCTCTTCTCGCCTGGCTCTATGCGCATCAATGTCACCACACCGTTGTTGCATTGCACATCTGCTGCTCTTGCTGTCCGACCACGACGCTACAGTAGCGCGAGGCGCAACGTCGAGGGCGTGGGCAACGAACGGGCTGGGCGCGTGAACGCCGATGGAAATGTGGTCCCGCCGGATGCCGGAGCGAGGGAGAGCGACATGAGAGCCGAAATCCCAATGCAGCTCAATTTCGCAGCATATCGTTTCCCCCTCACACACATTCAACAGAACGAGATCTCTGGCTGGTCACTCTATCTACCTCGTTCATCTTCTCACAAGAGCGCTCAGTCGACGTATCGTGAAGCAGAAGCAAATCCTCGCAAAGGCGCCTCTGCTCCATCGTCCGACCTTGAACATTTCGGTCCTCAATCCAACACTACGCAACTCGCTCACACAATGAAGCCCACGTTGTCGTCGTCGTCGTCGTCGTCCTCACGTTCCCAATCAGAAGATCGTGCACGATCCACCGACCTCACAGGCGAAGAGCAAGGCCGTGAACCTGCCTCCACGACATCGAACAGCGGAGGTGAGGGATCTGGCGAACCTAGCGCTCTCGTCGAAGATGGAGAAAATGGCCAAGGGGTCGTCCAGGATCAGGGAGAGGAACGAAGGACGATCGCGGCCAACACAAGCAATGAGGCGAGCATGATCACGCCCACGGGGGAGTCCGAAGACTGTACGGCGGTCACGGTTGACGCGGCACTTGAGGTTGAGGAGCTGGATCAGGACCTCTACAGGAGTATTGTGAGTAATGCGATACACCGCGAGCCTGACGCTGCCGGGACGAGACTGACTTCTTTCGCTACCGCCGCAGCGTCTATGGCAACCAGCGCGTGCCCGTGGAGTATTCGGCGGTCAAGTCATTGGCATGGCCGTTGCCTCAGCAGCCAAGACGGTTCGTGCAGACCAGACGCTCCACTCGCTGCATTGCTATTTCCTCCTCGCCGGTGATCGATCACAGCCCATTGTCTATCGCGTTGAGCGGGTGCGCGATGGAGGCTCCTACGCAACAAGACAGGTCCAAGCGCAACAGAAGGGCAGGTGCATCTTTACAGTCTTGCTGTCCTACCACGTACCCGAGCCTAGGCAGCCTACGTTCGCTATACCGCTTCCACCACCGCTAGGAGGGACAGGAGGTGCAGGCAGCTCAACAGAAGCGAATGCCCGTCTCTTCGAGCCGCAAACCTCCTTCTCCCGGTCACCCACTCCCAACAGTATCGTTGCCGCCCTCCCTCCCCCCGAGACCTCCCCTCTCAACGAGCAACGCTACATAGACGTCCTAGCCCGATATGGGTCTTCTGTCCCGCCCAAACTCAAGAAACTCCTCGAAGCCTGGATTCGCGACAGGCGAAAATCCCCCTTGGAGATCAGGAATGCCCTGCCGGGTATGTACGACGACAATGGTCTTCCTACGCCAGGGTACGAGCAGGCCTTTTGGCTTCGCACGCGCAAGCCTGTGAAGGGGGACATCGAGGCGCAAAAGGCCGCATTGGCTTATGCTTCTGATTTCCAGTTCTTGAGCTCTGTCCCAAAGGCTTTGGAGAATAGCCCCAACATTAAGATGATGGCTAGCTTGGATCATTGCATGTGAGTGCGCGAGATTTGCGGATGGGGCGTCCGGAGGGGGGCGCGGAGGGAAACCATCCTCTTTCTCTGGACATCGCTGACCTCTTGCCTTCGTCGCCGCCGTTGCCGTTGCCGCAGGTGGTTCTACAACGACTTCGATGTGCACGAGTGGCTCCTCTTCCTCATGCAGACTCAAGCTGCCGGGCATGGCCGTGGCGTAGCGCTGGGAAGGATCTATCGTCGTGATGGGACCCTTGTGGCCGTGCTAGCGCAGGAGGGCATGGTGAGGGAGAACCTCGAGAGAAAAAGGGACGTGGACGCTAGCAAGCTCTAAGGCGCGGGCGGCGCAGTAGTGAAGGCAGGTCCCGCGATGAGACGCTGGGGGCTTTGTAACGGGACAGTCTCTTTTGGGTATCGTATCTCTCTCTCCTTTTATATGCCTCGCCGTTTCCCAACTGTGACAAGCTACTGCATTCTCACAAATGCTTTCTCGCGCTCGCCTTGACCTTGGCATCAAAGCTGTTTCCCTGGCTAGGGATGGGCGCGTTGACATCGTTGAATGGGTTTTGAATCCATTTGGTCCAGAGCTCCCAAACGTCGAGGAAGAAGTTGCGTATCCCGTCATCGTGCTTGTGCTCGTGGAGGATGAGGAACTTGATGTCTACGCGCGTGAGGGCGAGGGCGAGATGGGGTTCAAGAGGTGAGAAGGGGCAAGATAGTGGGGGAGGAGCAGGTACGTACTGCCAGGGACGAGAAACGCTGATGTGGTCCATTCGTTGATTCGGTCCATTGACTTCATGTACCTGCGATTGCGTGAAAGTGTTGCATGGCGGTGATCAGCTCGCCTCATGCGATCTCCCTCGTCGCGCCTGGGCCTCTCGTCGCACTCACATGGCCCCATTTGCAAACTGCTTGTCTTCAACAACGTCCAGCGAGCTGTGCGCAATCATCTGTAGCACATGCTTGTCATTGTACCTGCCAAAGCCGATGCCCTTTTGTCCAGAGGCGTCATGGCCTGCAGCCGTTGCTGACGAGGAGGAAGGACGTGCTGATGTCTGGCTGCCACCTGTCGTCCCGCCTCCCCTTGAGCTCAGTCCACCGGCCAAGGCACCGAGGCCGAGCGATCCGCCGAAGCCAAAGATACCACCAGAGCCACCATTGGCTGACGACGAGGCCTCGTCGCTTGCTGCGCTCGTCTGGGCAGTGGACTGAGAAGCGGATGAGGCAGAGGAGGATGATGAAGAGAAGAAGGAGCTCGGCCCAGATGAGGCGGCTGGCTTTGATGCGAGGTCTGCTGTGTAGAGGGGATTGTCTCTCGTTCCTACGATGACGAAATAGTAGCTCATTGTGTGCGAGAGCTCAAGGGCGGTCGAAAAACAGGCTGAAGCGTTGACAGATAGATGAGAAGGAGGAGAAGGCAAGCGACGGCAGTCCGTGTTGGTTGCACTCGGCGTGGCCCGTCCGCGCCAAGACGGGGGGCTCGCTCTCGATCTTCACAACGTGAGAGGCATTGACAACGCTTTCATTTAGGGAGGAGTACAGCATCGCTCAAGCCAAGAAACCTCTGATCTGCCCTCCGACGTTGATCTCATCAATCAAAAAGGTATCATGGCCCGTTGGCGCGTCCAGCTCAGAGTATCGCACCTGACTGTTCCCGGCCATCCTCAAGCACTCGGCCAGTTCCCTCTGCTGATCGATCGGGAACAAGATATCACTCTGTGCCCCAATGATGAGCGTGGGAGTGTCAGCCAGCCTCGACAGACCTCGAGAGAGGGAGGGAAGGTAGAAGTGGGCTGACGGAGAGGAGAGAGTACGGATGTGCTTCCTCCTCCCAGCGCGTGGCGGAGAGGGGGAGAGGGCCTCCTCCATGCTCGTCGGGTCCGTACTGATTGCCAACGGCTTTATCGAGGCAACCTCCTGCCCATGAGCCTTGCGACGACGGTCGTCTAGGTCCTCGAGCGCATCGTCACTCATGTCGAAAAGGTCCATCGCCTTGGAGATGTAAATGAGAGAGTTGGCATCGTACTTGAGGCAGAAGGATTCGCCTTGATGATCGATGTAGGACTCAATCTCAAAGTCTGGGCAAAGGGCCGGGGCCAGCTCTGATGAGCTTGGCTCCTGGCCTGAACCTGGGGCTGCCCGCCTCCTCCTGCGGCCAAAGCGCTGCTCCCACTCTGGACCGGACCGATACGTGATCGTCGCAATCTGACGAGCGAGCTTCATCCCCGCATGAGGCGGCAAGCGGTCCGGCCCATAGTAGTGGCCTCGGTTCCAATTTGGGTCAGACATCAAGACACTCCTCTGTGCGAAGCGCAAAGCGATGCTGCTGGGCCCACTCCTGGCGCAGCCGCTGATGCTCACTACCCTTTTGACACGCTCTGGTTCGAGATGAGCGGCCGCAATGCTCTGCATGCCGCCCATGGAGGAGCCGATGCTTGCGAACAGGGAATCGATGCCCAGGTGGTCTAGGAGGAGGAATTGAGCGCGAACCATATCGAAGATGGAGAGGATAGGAAAACGACTCCCATATGGCGCTCTCTCGGGATCGTAGGGGTTAGGGCTCGAGGGGCCTGTAGAGCCGTAACAGCTTCCGAGGACGTTGGTGCAGATGACAAAGAAGCGGTTCGTGTCCAATGCCTTGCCGGGACCAATGAAGTCCTCCCACCATCCTCTTGCTGGGTTTTCTCCATGCGACTTGGCGTGAGAGGAGGCGGAGAGACCTGTATGGATTAGGATGGCATTGTCCTTTGCCTCGTTGAGGGTGCCCCACGTCTCGTAGGCTAGCTGGAGCTCGGGCAAGACGCGGCCATAGTCCAGATAAAGCGGCTCATTGTGGTGGAAGAGCTGGTAGCCGGAAGTTACAAAGGAGTAGGAGGGCTCTGGGCCAGACGAAGTGGAGGCAGTGTTGCTAACGTCTTCCTGCTGCTGTTGCTGCTGCTGCATCGGCGGGGCGTGCTGAGCCATCAGTCTGCGGCCTCGCGCCTCGTGAGCGTCAAGGCATTCAAAGGCTGGGGTGGCCATGCCGACGACGGGCGAGGCGGTCGATACGAGTCGATGCTGCGAAGTGCTTGGGGCAGACGGAGAGGATGGCTGCCATGACGACCAAGTCGAAGGTAAAGCCCTCGCCTTACCAGCCGCCCTGCTACTCTTCGTGGTAGCGAGCAGCGCCTGTCTGGCTCCTTGGGTGCTGAGCCAGCTCATTGTAGCGATGGGAATGATGTTGAGGATGCTGTATTGGATCGGTTCGAGAGATGCATTGCCAGCTGAGCTGGCTGAGCCTCAAGTCTTCCCCATTGCCATCTCAAAATTGTCGCCTTCGGACATGCACCGATCTTACGAGCGATTTCATGCACTGAGCACGCCATCGAGGCGGCTATACAAGTTAAACTGACTTTTGGCTGCAGGGTCCACTTCCGCCTGCCAGCCACGCGAGACGGGCGCTCGCGTGGTTGCGAACGACGGACACCGGCTACCCAGGATGCATCGGCCGGTCGAGGTTGGAGGAGAGGGCGAGGCCGACGACGCGGGCGGACCAACTGCAACTGCGCTTCCTTAATCATCCTTCATCTCGACGGTGCTACAGCGTCCGGCCATCGTCATGGTCATCAAGGCATACGGTGAGCACGCGCGTTATAGCAGGTGCATGGGAGGATCTTGCAGGCTGACATCCCTCCTGGACCAGAGTTATTCCTCCTCTCCAATGCCTCGCAGATCACGGCCGTCGAATCGAGCCTGCGCTCCCTGACCTACTTCCTGCCCGGCAGATTCAAGGATGCCGAGCTCGCCGGTGAAGCGATCTACAGTGGCATGAATCTGCTAGGTCTCTACCACGATGAGATCCTCAAGTCCCTCGTCATCTACCGCGACGTCTCTGGCTCTGCCGCTCCTCGCGCTTCTTCGTCTGCGGCGGGGGCGGCTACATCGCCTGATTCGGTGCCGCTGCTCCCCTACACGCCTTCGCCGCATGCGCGGTATACCAATCACTACTCGAACTCGTCGCCGACGTACAAGCTCCTCGCTCGCTTGCTCGTCGTCATTGGATACACGGAATTGCTAGCAGAGATGGTCGCTCGCAGGCGATTGCCAAGTCAAAAGGCGTGGGACGTTGTCCTGGCGATTGAGGGAGTCAAGGCTTCGCTTCGCCTTGCTCTGTATCACCTCACGTCTACTCGACTCACAATCGAGCCCCCCATCCCAGAGCGCGAGGTGGACCCAGAGATGCTTCAGAAAGAGCGAAATGAGGCTCTCCTCTCTCGAGCTGCCGGTCAAGTTGTGCCGTCATCCTCTTCGTCTGCTGTGTCTCTACCGGCTGCTGTACCGCCAGCGGGCAGCAAGAAGACATGGACAGGCACGCGCACTAAGCTCGTCCGCCCAACTCTCGCCTCTCTGCGGTCACGCACACCTCGCAGTGTCGTTGACCCAGTGACTGGCCAACCGTCCGACCCACCATCACGCCCTCCCAATTCGCGCAGCGGGTCACGCTCCGGTCCCTCGTCGTCTCGCTCGCACTCCATATCAGGGCTCAGCTCATCGGGAGGCAGTGAAAGCGACTCGGAAAGCGAGAGTGACTCGGACTCGTCCGAGGAGACGCTGGTCGACCCAGCAACGGGAGCTACGACCACCTCGACAGTGCAGCCCTGGACGGACAACAACATCAACGACTATCTCACCAGCAAGGCCCTGACACGAGAAGATGTCATGAAGCCTCTCGAGCTGGTCCGCCCATTGGGGCCCAGCAAGCGGGCAGTCCTGAGCGAGTATTTGTGGGTTCTGCGCCCGCTCTTCTACGTTGTGGCGCTCAAGAAGTGGGGAACCAGAAGGTGGGAGCCGTGGACCATTTCGTTGGGTATCGAATACCTTTCCCACTCGCTGAGGCAGTCGGCGTACGCTTCACCCTTGCTGGCGGGGAAGGACCAGCAGGGGGGCATCTTGAGCCCAATGCTCATGGGTATCATGTCCGCGCATCCGCTTCTCAAGATCGTCGCACGACTTGTCCAGTCTTCCACCTCAGCGCCTAAGCCGCGTAGCGCAGTAGAGGAGGCAGAGTGGGCCAAGCGTCGCCGCGCCTTTGTGTGGTACCTCCTGCGTGGGCCCATTTGGCATATGTACACGCGGGTCAAGGTGCAAGGGCTCTGTGACAAGTTTGAAGGGAGGATGCTGTTGGGCATTTTGGCGGCCATGGTAAGGGAGTATGTTCCGCTAGTCGATGACTTGTACTTTTATGTCAACTAGAGACGTGGAGTTGCAATGACAAGAAAAGAAGGATGGGCAAATGAGGCCCCCAGTGAAGTCCACCCTGCGCGACTGACTGGCTTGAGCGTTGTCCATTGCGGAGTCAGGCTCCTTCGCAATTTCGCTTTCCGTCCGCCTTGAGGTCCATCTCCTGCTTCCCTTTGCGTCCCCTGCCACATATTCCCCACTTGCAGCGCAAGCATGTCGTCGTCTCATGATGAGCATCGCAGGCAGGGCAAGCACGAGAAGGCCAGAGGTAAGTGCCCCATCACGCCCACTCCAGCTCAGCCACGACCGCTGACCTGCTCCCCACCTGGCCGTCATCTGGCCGCCGCCCGCAGAGGCCATGATGAAGGACTATGAGCGACAACGCGAGGACATGGCCAAAGAGTCGGAGCGTAATCAGCGCAAGGCCGGCGACCGCTTCACATCCAACACAGACAGCATTGAGGAGACGCTCAAGAAGTCGACGATTGGCTTGGTCTCCGCCGAGGACTTCAAAAAGCGCAGAGAGGAGCTCGAGGAGCTCAAGCGACGAGAGGCGGCCAAGACGAGCGAGTTGCAAGACGAGGACAAGAAGGACAAGAAGAGGAAAAAGAAGGGGGCCGCGAAGCCTACATTAAGCTTCAGTGTGGACGAAGATGCGGAGGAGGAGGAGGTCAGCGTACCTAGCAAGGCGGCCAAGAACGCCAACGGCTCGTCGTCATCAAAGCGCCTCCAAAAGAATCCAGGCGTCGACACCTCCTTCTTGCCCGATCGAGCTCGCGAGGAGGAGGAGCGGCGTATTCGCGAGTCTCTCCGCCAAGAATGGCTCAAGAAGCAAGAAGACATCAAGCAGGAGTCCATTGAGATCACCTACTCCTACTGGGACGGCACTGGGCACCGCAAGACGGTACAGTGCAAGAAGGGCGACTCCATTGGCCAATTTCTCGAGGCCTGCCGAGCTCAGTTTCCCGAGCTGAGGGCTACCTCCGTCGACAATTTGATGTACATCAAGGAGGACCTCATCATTCCGCATCACCATACCTTCTACGAGTTCATCATCAACAAGTCTCGCGGAAAGTCTGGCCCTCTCTTCAACTTTGATGTGCACGACGATGTCAGGATGGTGAGCGATGCGACGGTCGAGAAAGATGAGAGTCACGCTGGCAAAGTGGTGGATCGGACGTGGTACAACAGAAACAAGCATATCTTCCCTGCCAGTCGGTGGGAGCTTTACGAGACGGGCAAGGACTACGGCAATTACTCCATTCATGATCGTACGAAGGGCAAGTAGAGCAAGGGGTAGCATAAGATTACACCTGGCGGCAGAGATCTCGTCCCCTGCTCACTTGAGCATCGCAAAGACCAAGCTGCAGGGGCATCGAGACCAGGCTAGCGACGAGAATACCGAGCGAGTCGCCTACGCCTACGCAGCCTACGCGGAACTCTTGCTCCTGACCTCGCCGGACCAGGTCGGCCTGCGCGACCTCGTCGTCCTCACTTTCTACGCCCTCCTCATCCACCCCTCTGCTGGTCGTGACAGCCTCTCGCTGGTTGGTCCCAATCTGGTAGAAGACAGAGACATAAGCCCATCCCCCGGCCAGCCCCTCGATTCCCACGAAGACCAAGCACAGGCTCCTCGCAAGACTCTCTCTGAACCACGCATATACACTCTCGGAGGCCAAAAGGCCCAATATTCCCACTTGCACAAAAGCCGGCATCCAAAGTAGTCGCTTTGGGATGGGTGGCAGGCCCAGCAGGCTGATTGAGCTCCTGGAAAGAAAGACGAAAGCCTGATATGTCAACTGGTAGAGCGGGTAGTAGTCGCTTAGCTTCTTGATCAGCCAGGAGAGCAAGAGGTGCCGTGATGGTTGGGGAACAGGGTAAAGGAGCGTGGGTGCCACGCCTTGGTTTATGGTGTATTCAGCTAGGTAGACGAGGACCAGCGGAAGGATAAAGGGGAGGAGCATTGGGCGCAGGAGGGCCAGCTTGTCATTGAAGGAGAGGCGGACTTGCTTGTGCTCCGAGGGAATAGTCTCATCCAAACCTCGCGGCAGGGGGGTTAGGGTGGGTGCGCTGGATGAATGCATCGAGTCTATCGTTGTTGAGGGCCGAGCGCCACTAGCAGTGTCTTGGCGACCATCGTCGCTGCCGGCTTCTTGACCGTGGTCGTCGTCGTCATCGTCGTCGTCCGCAGCCTCTCCGCCTGGCACCGCTTGATACCCTCCCCCTCTTGCAGCAAATACCGCCTTCGTCTCGAAATCCCTAAGCTGCTCCACAGACGGCAGCACAAGAAAGTAGCTTGCAGCCATGAAGAGGGGTAAGGCGCTCAAAAGACCCAAGCCTCCCTTGACTCCCAAAGGTCGTACGACCCACCACGCTCCGGCGCCAAACAGCCCTGCGGCGCCAGTCCCACTTGCGAACCACCCCACACCCCTACCAGCTCGCACGACACCGTACGTCGTGCAGAGCTGGAGGAAAGTCAACTCGCCCAGCCCACTCGAGAAGCTCGCCATGGAGATGCCGACCAGTCGAGCTCCCAGCGTGGGCACAAGTGCGACTACGAGAATTCCTGCTGTGCTGAGCGCCGTACAGGCCCACACGCGGCGGGCATAGCGTACCCTGCCCTTGAGCGCATAAGGCCAGATGGCTTTGGCGACCAAGGCTGGACCGATGTTGGCCAATGCGACTAGACCCGTGGGTACGCCTTGAGGGAGGAGCTCGAGTGCTGAGGTGAGGATGACGACGTAGAGGGCATTGTTCAAGAGGCCGAGCAGGAAGAAAGAGAGGGAAAAGAGGGCGATAGGTGAGGGGTGAAGGATGGAGAAGATGCTGAAAGAGGAAGACAATGGGGAGGCAGAGGGGGACGATTGTGGTCTCGCATCGCCGCGGACTGCATAACCATTGGCAGCAGATGTCGTCCTTGAGCCCGCCGTAGACTGGCCGAGGCTTGCCATTTGATAGCCTTGCTCACACTCGTCGTCCCTGTCGAACGACTGTGAGCGATGTTCCCTAGCAGACATGCATATGTGGTGTGCAGAGATGGATGAAAGTTGTCAATTGCAGGTGTGTTGAAGCAGTCGCGTGGAGAGGCAATGGGACGAGACGCCCGCACGACCGCGCTTCCGTTGATGCGACGTCGAAGCTTCAAGCTCGAAGCTCACTTCCTCCTCCCTACCACCACCACATCTCTCACGCACGCATGTCCCTCTTCGGAGGCACAACCTTTGGCGGGGCCCGCCCTCTTGGTGGAGCAACCGGCTCGACCTTTGGCTCCACGACACCGTCTGCGCCTGCCGCCTCGTCAACCGCAGGCTCCTCAGCAGAAAAAGACATCGAAATCTCCCAACCTCCCACCGACGGCGTCTCCTCCCTTTCCTGGTCCCCCACAGCAGACTTCCTCGCCGCCTCATGCTGGGACAACAATGTCCGCATCTACGGCATTGAGTCGAACGGATCGAGTGCCCCGAAGGCGTCATATGCACACCAAGGGCCCGTGTTGGACGTTACTTGGTCCAAGGATGGCAACAAGATACTCAGCTGTGGTGCAGACAAGGCGGCGAGGTTATACGATGTGACGAGTGGACAGCAGCAGCAGGTCGCGGCACACGATGCGCCCATCAGAAATTTGAGATGGATCGATCAGAATGGGGGCATTCTGGCGACGGGCAGTTGGGATAAGACGGTCAAGGTGAGACGCGCACCGAGCTGACTCTCGTGATACCAATCCGATCAAGGATGCAGCGTGCTGACTATTGCTCCTTGTTCCTCTCGCACTCGTAGTACTGGGATCTCAGGTCACCACAGCCGATAGCGACGGCGCAGCTGGCAGAGCGATGCTACTCGATGGACTTTGCATGGCCGTACCTCATTGTGGCCTGCGCTGAGAGGAAGATACAGGTCTTCGACCTCAGCCAGAACCCGAGCAACGCAATTATGGTGAGCGCGAGCTTGTCCGAACGTCAACTTGGGGCTGCTGTCGCTGATGAATGACCTATCGCTTGCAGACAATCGACTCTCCCCTGAAATGGCAGACACGCTGCGTAGCCGCCTTCCAGCGACAAGACCCGCCAGGCTCGCCCATCCCGCCCCCAGGATACGCTGTAGGCTCCGTCGAAGGGCGCGTGGCTATTCAGTACATCAAAGAAGAGAACAAGAAGTGCGTCTCGTCTCGAGCCCCCCTCGGGACCGCTATGCTGACCTTTCTCCTCTTTCGCCGCCGCACAGTCTCAACTTCTCCTTCAAATGCCACCGCAAAGACGGTCCTACCGCTCGCGACCCACAGCAACTCTACCCCGTCAATGCAATCAGCTTTCATCCGATTCACGGAACCTTCTCCACTGCAGGAGGGGACGGTGGGCTCTCCTTCTGGGACAAGGACTCCAAGACTCGTCTCAAGAGTGCGTATTGGCCTCGCGTTCTGCTGCTCTTCCCTCCCACTCTCAGCTTGCCAAGCATGCTGACCCTTCTACCCGCTCTCTCGCGCTTGCACAGCCTTTGAAAGCAAGCCTGCCCCGATCTCCTGCACGGCCTTCAACCGCAACGGCACCATCTTTGCCTATGCGGCATCGTATGACTGGCACAAAGGATGGCAGGGTGCTCCTGCGCCTAACACGCCGCAGAACATCTACCTGCATGGGTGCAAGGACGAAGAGGTCAAGAGGAGGCCGAAGAAGTAGTGCCGTTGTGGGAAGTGTGATAGGCGGCAAATCTCATTCACCTTGTTCACGCGCGCGCCCCACTGGTCTGCCAGTCTGATGCTGATGATGCTGATGCTGATGCTGATTCGCAGTCGCGATGCTAATAACGACGACAGTCTCTCTCGTATATTTACCTCCCCATTCTCCTCCTCTCGGCCTTCTCCCTCTCTCTTCTCTTGAGTATCTCCTCCTCCCTCTTGTCCTCCTCTCGCCCCATCCTCGCAGATCGCATCTCCTCACGCAACACGCTCCCCATATCCGCCTCCATATCATCGTCCTCATCATCGTCCTCGATGTAGCGTCGTCGCTCTCGGCCGGGATTCATGATGGACCAGATATCGTTCGACTCGCCGTCATCTGGAGGAGCGCCGAGAGTACCATCATCGTCGTCGATGAAGGAGTCGAGGTCGGAGTCATCTTCATAGTCGTCCGACCCAGCGTCTGAGTCTTCTTCGTCCTCATCGAATCGCATACTCTTCCCAGCGGTCGGCTTGCCCTTCTTGGCGCCACTGGTCGCCTTCTCATCCTGCTTGCGGGCTTTACGTTCGCCCTCCTCCCTTAAGAAACGCTCTCTAGCTGTTTCCGGTCTCGCGGGGGTGGGAGGCCCCGCGGCAACGACACCAGCTCTGCCTTCCTGGCCAGGCGGTAAACCACCATTCTTGATCCTTTCCATCTCAGCCTGTTCTTCACGCTTGCGCTCCATGGCCATCTTGCGACGTAGGTCCTTTTCCAAGCTTTCAGCGTCGCGTAGCTGAATAGAGCGGTCTTTGCCTTCTGGCAGGCGTTCAGCTTGGCGTCGTGACTCAATGGCTTTGTTGAGGCGGACTTGGAGCAGTTTGAGGGCTGGACTGGGGGAGGCTGGGGTGGAAGATTGCAGCGCCGTTCGCGAGGATGATGAGGAGGCGGAGGCGATGGATCCGCGAGCGTTGAGAGGAGTAGAAGAAGAGCTTCCTGCTGGTCCTCGAAGCCCTGAAGCGCCAGTGCCGCCGGTTGCGGCATTGCTCCTGCCGGCTGCCCTGATGTTGCGAGCAGGCATACCCATTGCTTCTCTTTCCCTCCTTTCCCTCTTCTCCTGTCTCGTTAAAGGCAGGTAGTCCGAGGACGAAGATGACGATGCCTTGCCAGCCGTCCTACCCAGCCCACCAAGCCCGGCCTTTTCCTTTGCCTTGATCATCTTCTTCGTCACGACCCTGTCCCCGATATCCTCCTGCGACGCTCTCTTCTTCCCATCACCCTTTGCCGCTCGTTCCTGCTCCTTTTGCTTCTGCCTCTTCCACTCTTCCCTCTGCGCAGCCAACCTAATCTGCTCAGCCTCTCGCTTCTTTCTTTCCTCTTCGCGTGCCTTTAGCTGCTCACGGCGCTTCTCCCTTTCAGCCTTCTCTTTAGCCTCGAGAGCTGCTTGACGAGCAGCGGCCTCTTTGTCCTGTTGAGCGCGCTGCTTGAGGAGTGTAGCCTGCTTCTCTGCATCTTGCTGCTGCGCTCGCCTCTTCAAGGCTTCGAAGTCGCCGCCGAGCTGCGAGTGGAGCCCGAGCGGTCATTGGTCAGCATACAAGGTGAGGTTGAGGTACTGAAGGAAAGAAGGGTGACTCACCGATGCCATGACGTTTGTTAGAAGCGGCCAGCCGCTTCTCGATACCTTGTGAGGGAGGAGGCGGTATGGAAGACGAGGATGAAATGCGGAGTCAAAGTGAGCCGACGGAGGTTGACCCGATCGTCTCGTCGTCCGTCTCCGCTCGGACCACAAAGTGTTGGATGAAGCGTGGGAGGAGCGACGAGAGCAACACAAACCTCCTTTCCTCCTCTACTCCTCCTTCTTCTCCGGCTGTCATATACCCACGAGCCTCAGGCAATGTTCCTAGCTCGTCTCGTCAATTCGGGAGCAGCTAGGCTCAAAGAGGAACGACAAAGGCTCACCGCATCGGCCTCGCCTTCATCGCGAAGTGCATCGTCGTCATCAGCCGCCTCAAAATCTCGACCACAGGGAGGCGACCCTCTTCTCACCTTCATCGACGACTACAACGTCCTCAACTCGCATCTGAAGTCGCCAGATCAAGCTGCAATTCATCATGGCATCTCGCGCACTGACATTCCGCAACGTCTGGAGAGTATGGCTGCCGCCCTCGTATCTGAGGCCATCGGGTCAGGCCACGAAGCCATCGATGGGATGGGCATGTGCATGGAGTATATGCAGAAAAAGGAGGTACTTGCCACAATCGTACAGGCAGCCATCAAGAACAGACCACAGGGAGTGATAGTCGAGGCAGTCAAGTTCTTTCAGACCTTGGTGGCCAACCTCGACGCGAGATTCTTGAGCCAGCAGGCCGTGAATAAGCCCCTGGTCAGACTCATAAGGAATTGCGTAGATGACGATGACGTCGACTCTGCGTGGGGCAACGATGCCGATGGTTTCGAAGACGATGATGACGAGGGCGATATTGGCGGCTCCTCACAGCGACATCGCCTCAAGGAGCCTGAGGCCACACAGCTCAACGAGGCTCTCGTCGGCCTCATGGCCTTCATTGCCTCGAAGCTTTACACGGCGCCGGAGCTTTTGCACATCTTCTTCCACAATCGAGACAAGGATCCGAGATTGACGACGAGGAGGTCTAGCGTCACCTCGATTGCAAGCGCTAGCTCTGATGGAACGCAACGGCCGGCGTCGCCTGCTGAGTCGACCACCTCTTCCACAGCAACGGTCAGGGCGACGGGGGCGACGTCAAGGAGCTCAGAGGACCCAGCTTCGGGACCACATACTGAGAAACTGGCAGAGAGACCCAAAGCATCATACGACTTTCCCCTCTTCATCTATCTCCTTCGCTTTGTTCACTCTGAGGGCCAAACAGGTGCACTAGCGCGCGCTGGCCTCTCCGTCATAGTCAAGATGGCTTTCGAGACCAAAACTCTCGATGCCTCTTCGTCTTTGTTTTCTTTCAGCACTCGTCCGCCAGGACGTCGCGTTCGCTTCAGCCAAGACGCAGACGAGAATGCATCTGCAGCACTCGATCTGGCAGAGTATGTGCTGGGTTCTGATTTCGTCGACGTCATTGGGGCATCGTTGGGTGCCGTATATGGATTGCTACCTTCAAAGCTGGCGGTAATCACGAGTCAAGCTCCAGGGGAAGCGTCAGGTGGAGACGGAGGCATGTCATTGGGCGTCGACAGCGCCGTCAATTTGGAGGACGAGCTGGCGCGCCTAGCCCGACTCAACATCGAGGTCTCCAGCAGCCCGAACGTTGTGGAGCGAACCCAGCTCTTCGCGGACATCTTCGACTTCCTTCAGCACGACGTACTCGCCACGGCGGCTCGCACCGCCTCGACCTCTGTCTCTTCCGATCCAGCGCAGGACAGCAAATCCAAGCTAGCCAATGAGCTGGTCGACCGCCTAGCAGAGTCTGTCCGCCTCTCACTTTTGAACAACATTCTCCTTCCCTCAATGATCGAGTCAGGCGATCGAGACGGAAGCGCCACTGCTGTAATGAGCTATATGGAAGTTCTGCTCTGCATCCTGGACGATGCGAGCCCGCTGGCAGATACTGTCGTTTCATGGCTGGTTCGAAATGAGGACGACGATGAAGGCGGTGCAAAGGAGGACACGAGTCACAGCAGCACTGGCATTACAAAAGCACCACGACGTCGGAAATCAACTGCTCTCACTCTGCTCGAGCGTGGGCGCCAGCAATCGAACGACTCGCGCTTCTTCGACCCTTTCCTCCACTACACGGTCAAGAATCTCATTCTTGATCACCTCTCTCCCACCACCAGCCACGGTACAGTTGCTGCCGCTCTGGGGCTCGCAAGCTCTTTCTTGGCGCGACATGGCCGCTTTGCGCCTCATGGGCTGATTGAAGTCAGCAGGGAGGAGGCAGCCACTTGCTTCCCGGGAGGGCTTGGCGCACTGTACGCTAATGCAGAGGAAGGGGAAAAGCCGGAAGAGGATGAGGAGGAGGCCTTTGTATATCCGGGGGCGAACAAGGCTCCGGAGCGACGAGTCCTCGATCCTCTGAGCCCCACGTCTCCCGGTCTGAGCTTGCAGCAACATCTGCGTGAGCTCGAGCTCTACCACTCGCTCATTTCGGCTCTTGAGGACACTTCAACGTCGACCAGCTCCGCGACATCTTACGCTCACAGCACAGGCTACGAGAAATACCTCGAAGACGCGCAAAATGCACTCCTGAGCGATAGCGCATATCGATGGGGCTGTTCTCCCCGCGCATCAGGCCTGACAGATCCTCATTCAGGCGGCACTCGTGCACCACCTGCCGCTCCTTTCACACCTTACACGCACCGGCTCGACCCCGAGGACACAGTACTGCGTGCAATCCTGTCTCGTTTGCGGCGCTTCTTCGAGCAGCCACCGGAGGTAAACGTCTCACTCACGGCCCTCATCAGCACAATCTGCATCTGTCCATATCGGAACCTCGAAGGATTCCTTACCTTTCACGTCGAGCAAGGCGACACGAACACGGCGAGACCGTCTCCTGCCGGGCGTAGTGAGCAAGGCAGTGGCGGTCCCATCCTTCTGTTGCTACTGCGCAGCCTCGTCGTCCATGTGCAGACGTATCGCTCTCAGGTGCCGGGTTTCGATGCTGCGCTCGAGGAAAGGAGAAGAGGGCTGCTGTACGTGGAGAACTTGAGCGATGCGCTCGCTGGAGCCACAGATGAGGCAGAGGGCACACTGGGCGAAGTCATGGCTGCGGAAGGGGCGGACGCTCTCTCAATAGGATCAGCGGGTCCCATGGGTAGGGAAGGGATGGATCGCCTTTGGAGTGGCAGCACCGGGCTCGCTTGGCCGGGCTTTGAAGCGGTGGTACGCCAGGGCAGCGCGGCATGGCAGACGGTCAATGGCACCGGCACGAGCGGGAGGAAGAGCAAGGGGCAAGACGGGCCGGATGCCAAGGTTGTGGACGCTCGTGAGCTCAAACTGCCACCACGGCCGTCTGATGGTGGCGAAAACGAATCTGGCGATACTGCCACATCGACTGCTCCGTCACAGCGGCAAACAAATCAGGCAAAAGGGGTGAAGTCAGCAACAGCAGCATCGACATCAGCAGCAATTCCTGCAGCAGGAAGTGGTCTTCTGAGCAACTCGACTATGAATCGACTTTTTGGTCGTGGAGCTCGCACACCCGCCCACTCCGATCAACATCCCGCACAGGTCACCTCCACGTCTAACAAGGTCGAGGGAAGACAGCCGGACGGGGACGTCATGGCTTCCACTCCCTTCGCAGATCATTACGCGCAAACAGCTGCTGTGAGTCTCGAGCCGCTCTTTCTGGAGATGCCACCCAGCCCATGGAGCGGGCGCAAGACCACTCTCAACGGCAATGGTAAAGCGGGCGGAGAGAAGAAGAGAACCCGCTTTCAGATCGCTGGTGACGAGGACGATGAGGATGGTTCCCTCGATCAGTCATTCGACTCAAGTGCGTCGCGCGACGCCTACTACCCTGGCATCGACGACGACGAAACGGAGGAAGCGAGACGCGCACGGCCGAGGGTGACGCTGAGCCATTTGTTGGACAACGTGGTATTGCTGGAAGAGTTCCTAAAGATGCTGGCTGCCGTGCTGCAGGTAAGAAGGTCGATGGGAGTGGATAGGGTGATTCTGTGATCAAGAGTAGCTAGAGTACGACAGGAGAGATAATTGATACCCCATTCGCACGAGTCTACGAGCAAGGTGCGCAGCGTGAGGATGATATATTGACCAGCTTCACGTTCTACGTCGTCGTCGTCGTCATCAAGTACAAGTACACACACACATGCCACGCCCGCAGACTATGACCCGCCAGCGGCCACAGGCTCGCTCGTCACGCTCCCGGCGGCGTAGCGCTCCAAATCGAGGAGCATCCTCTCTAGTCTACCCTGATCACCCTCACCCGCCACATTTCCCATCTGTCCGGTCCCCGCCGTCGAATTCGTCGCACTCGCATCAACGACCAGTGCTGGCCCGAGGGCCAAGTCTCTCACATCCTTGGCGTAGTCGCTCCTCCTTACCAAGAAGCCTTGCAAGAGCTTCTCATCCACCTTGCCTAGGTTCCCCTCCTTCATATAGCCGCGCAATACCGATGGCTGGACGATGAACAGATTGCCCAGGGAGCGCAGCATATCAAAGCGATCGGCCAGAAGGGGGCCGAGCTGCAGCTTGGAGGCTGCTTCCTGGTAGGCGGCGAGGTCTTGATTGAGCATCAGGCCGCCTGCAGCGGTCACTGTGAACTTCTTGAAGTGGTCGAGCAGTTGAGCGTGGAATGCTAGCCCGACCTCGAGGAGAACGTTCTCCGCGTTCGGGTTCTTGGTCGGAACGCTCGAGACCGTGCCGCGATCACCGCCGTCTCCTTCTGTCATCGTTGGTGCAGCCGATGAAGAGGGAAAGATGGAGTGAACCACGCTGGCCGCTCGAGCAAGCGCATCGCAGCATGACAAGCATGCGTCGGTATTCATGCGCGACATGGCGAACTCATCATTCTTGGGCGCGAAGTCGTTCTTCTTCTGCGTCGCCAGCCTGCCTGATAGATGCGCCAAGAGGTTATCTACCAAGCGCTGCACAAGGGCGTCGCATTTGCCTTCAACGCGAAGAAGATTGTGGTTGTTGAAGATGGCCATTTCCCTCCTCATGGTGACGGAGTTGCTCACAAGAGGAAGCAAGGCGACGTGAATGTAGTGCTGCCAAAGGCTGGTGACCAGGTCTACCTGCCGCACGATGCGGAGCGGGCTCAGGTCTGGCATCTGCGCTGAGCGGGTGTCCTGCGCTGCGACCAGAGTGGTAGTGGAGTCGAGTGCCGTCTCGACGTATGACTTCAAGAAGGCCTCTGCTAGCACCTTGAGAAGGCTGAACGCATTCTTGCCTACATCGCTCGCCTTGCTCAGATCGACGCAACGACCTATGGCTTCGGCGTGCCAGCGGAGCATGCGTTCGGCTACTCCGAGAGAAAGGTCACCTTCGAGACCGCTGTCCTCTTCTCCGCCCACAGGCGTCATGGCATCTATACTTGCATTGCCTGTCGAGTCTTGCGACGCGTCGCCAGAAACTGGGCCTGGTGCCGCTGTAGTTGTAGCTGCTGCTGGTTGTTGAGCACCTCTTGCTCGACCCACAAAACCGGATATCTTCGAGAAAGCCGATGTGTTCGACGTGGCACTCGCTGCTGCTGTCGAGGAACTCGATGAGCCCACGATGGTCGATGAGGAGGAGGATGCAGACCCAGAAGGGCCAGGACTGTTCGAACCTCCCGCGGCCGCTCGTACTCTGTCGAAGATGGTCGTACCCGCTCCCTTGGTCTTTCCCGACGACCGATGGAGAGCCGTGAAGCGTGCCAAGTAAGCAGCATAGAGCTCTGTCAGACTCTTGGTCTCGCGCTCCAGGTAGGCCGTGCCCTCCATGTACGGCATAAAGATCTCCTCGACCGCACCCTCGAGCATGGCACTCAGAGAGTTGCTGGTGTGTGGCCCCGACTCGATCATGTTACTGGTGGTGGATCCGAAGGGACCATCTGCTAGCAGCGAGGGGCTCGCATCTCCTCGCGAGGGTCCGCCTCCTGGGCCGCGAAAGTCGTACACCTTGATGTCAGCGATGAGAGCGAGGGCCATACTTCTCGCCATCTGTAGCACGCGCAGGAAGGCGAGGTCGCTCTGCGGCGAGGTGGCGCCACCGAGGGAGTGAGCATCTGAGCTACTCGCTTTGGCGCCGCCGATCTCCGCAGCCTTGTTCATCAGCACCTCGATGTGGCCTTGCACGGACTGGGCAAAGACACGCTGCAAGAATGTTGTCATGACCATCAGCGGATTGGGGAAGACTGCAGCGATAATCTGCGCTTCTTGCTCAACAACTTGGCGGATCTCGGAGAAAAGGTCAGCCAGGTTCTTCTCCGTAGTAGGAGGTAAGGCGTCTGGGTCGGCGAGTGTCTTCCAGCTGGGCGAGCGAGGGAGAGTCCAAAAGTCAGCGCCTCTATGGGTCCCCTTGTGCCTCGTCATTGATCTCACATGTTACTGCTCTCCACTCGCGTGGCTTCGCCCACCCTATCCTTACTAATGAAGAAGTCGTGCTGATTGACGTAGATCTGCACGCAGCTTTGCCCGCCATTGAAGTTCTGTAACACTTTCGCGATGTGCGACATCATCTTTGGATCTCCCTTGCGGTAGAAGCGATCAAAGAGCTTGAGCATATCACGCTCGAAGCGCTCATTGTAGCGATCCACCGTCTCCCTAATCTGCTCTGCTCCGGGAACGTCGACCTCGCGGCTGATGACGCCTAAGCGGCGGGCGATGATGGCAGTCTTTAGTCTCCCTTCTCTCCCTCCTTCCTTGCGCAGTCGATCGAGCTTGCTCGTATCGCCGCGCGCAAAGGCGTAGTAATGTTCGATGAGGTCGTGAGCCTCGAGGGCGCGCTGTCGCTGTCGATGGATGTTCTCCAGCTGCTCGCCGATGGTGATGGCTGTCCGGCTCACTTCACCGAATCTTGACTCGAGCGAGGAAAACGACTGCGAGACCGAAGTGAAGTGAGAGGCAATCTCATGAAGCTTTGATGAGTAGGCTGATTGCGCGACCTGCACCGATGAGGCTAATGTCGTCTGTTGATCTTGGAGCTGGGTGCGCAACCCCTGCAATCGTTGGATGGCCGTCTCAAATGTGCGAATGAAGGGATTTGGGTTGAAGGGCCCTGGATCTGCTCTTGATCTGGCTATGAGGCGATCTGATAGGCCAGCGAGGAAATCCTTTGAGTCGTAAGCGCCTTCGAAAGTGTCGAGTCTGCATAGCTCATCGACTGCAGCATCTCGGTAGAAGTCATGCTGCTGCGATGTCGACGACTCTGCTGGCAGCATGGGCGCTGGGCGATGTCTCGCCGGCCTTGGAATGGACTCGTCCATGTCCGGACGGAGATGACTGCCTGTCAGCGAGGGTATATGCTAGGGATAAAGGGGCTGTTGGTGAAAGAAGAACCAAGGTAAGTGCCTCGCTCCTCGCCTCGCTCGCTCCATGAGTTGCCTGGCCCAAGCGCACACACGTCTCTCGTCGCCCGTCTCGGACTGGCGCCTCGACTCGTCGTCCGGCTTGAGAGAGCGCCTCTGCTTGACTCCTTCAACCTTGCTTGCCATCAGCTCAACGACGTTGACGCAGTCATGGCGCCAATAGGTAAAGCCCCTCTCAGGGCGGCAGCAGCAACATCGTGGCGAACTCACCTCGCGCCATGCAGAGTAGCCTCTTCCTCCTTCGCTACTACCTCGGCGCACCGCCTCCCACCGGCCCCACCGGCTGTGTCCAGCAATGCCTCAATGATCATGGCAGACGAGGCTCAGCTGGGTCGTCACTTCTACCTCAATCGCGCCCTCGAGCACTGGGCATCACGATCGACCACAAAGATGACTCTCCGAGGGCTCCTCTTCTTTGGCAAGTCCCTCGGTAGAGACCCAGAGAAGATCATCAAGAGCGCAAACTACGTTCGTGAGGAGCTGCCCATCAGGATCGCAAAGAGGATCAGAGATATGCAGGATCTTCCCTTTGTTGTCATGACCAATGAGCATTTGGAAAAGGTCTACCAGCTCTACTGGTCGGCATTCGATCGATTCAGGCGTTGGCCGGTCATCACGACGCATGAGGACAATGCCAAGTTTATTGCGCTGCTCAAGGAGTTGCTCAATTCGCAGTGAGTGCCGTGCAGCGAGTAGTATGATGAGCCTAGTCTTCACATACTGAATGACATACACCTTGCCCCCCATCCCTCAGCCTTACCGTCATTCCCTCACTCGCGTTGGGAGTCGTCGAAGTATCAGAACATCTCCCCCCTGGCCAGCTCGAAGGCTTCATGCTACGAATGCTCCGCAGCCGCATCAGTCGACGAGTGCTGGCAGAGCAGCATATCGCTCTGAGCGAGGCGTGAGTGCGAGTGCCGCTACCTCTCAGAATAATGACAGGCTGAATGCTCTTCTCCCCTCGCGCCTCCAGCCTCGACGATCCCTTCGCCTTCTTCTCCCCCGAGCCCTCCTTGGGTGAACCCGCCCTTCCCGAGACGATAGGCATCATTCGTACTCACCTTTCGGTCCGCGGGATCATTCGAGAGTCCATCTCTCTCCTTCAGACCGTCTTTGCCCGCGAAGCTGGGCTGTCAGTAGAGGAGGCCATCCGCACAAAGGCGGTGCCGGATGTGGTGGTGGATGGGGATCTTGAGGCGCGCGTCTCGTACATTCCGGAGCATTTGAGCTTCGTGGTATTTGAGCTGGTCAAGGATGCCATGCTGGCTGTCATGCGCTTCAAGCCGGAGGAGAGGGATGAGATTCCGTTGAGGGTCACCATTGTGGAGGGGCCACCAGAGGATGATATGATCATTCGCATTTCCGACTGCGGTGGCGGAGTGTCGGATCTTGTATCCAGACTGGCAGCAGCAGCGCCGACTGGGGCAGCTGCGGCTGCGAGGGCATCGCATCGGGCTGCATCCTCCGCTGTTCCCACTATGCCGGCCACGACGGTCGGCAAGGGCGAGGGAGCCGTCGCCTCTTCCTCTACTACGGCCTCGCCCCTCTCCTCTCCGCCATCCTCACCCGGCCAAGACCCTAGCAGCGACGCCTCACCACCCACCCTCGACCAGACACCGCACCACTGGCCAGCAGGCGCCATCAGCCCTGTGAGGTCAAGTGGCGTCTCATCGAACCTGACCGACGTGCTCTGCTCCTTCAGCAATGTCAAGCAACGCCTCGAGCTCGAAGAGGAGGCAAGGCGAGAGAAGGGAAAGATCGAGCAGGTCTTACGTGGCGAACGCGGCGGCATGAACGAGAGACCGAATGCAGCAACCTCTCAGGCGTCTTTGGCAGAAGAAGGACAAGAAGAGGAGGACAGCGACGTCCAATCTTCCGGCTCTACCTCATCCACCCTCCTCGGAGCATCAGCTCAAGCAGGCCTCGGCTCACGCTCCAAGCTCGAGCTGCTCCGCCGAACAGGCAAGTTCAAGGGCACTGTCCGCGAGCAAGTAGGATCTGCAGGCTCTGCCGACCAGACGGACTCGACCATCCCATCCCCTTCTCCCTCTGTCGACCCGCCACCCCGTCCACAACCGGCGAGGACCAACGAGCAACATCACTACCTCCAGTCTTCCCTTTCGGAGACGTCGCTGGGACTAGCGGATACGGGGCTGGGCATGGCGATGGCAAGGGTGTATGCTGAGTATTTTGGAGGAAGCCTGAACTTCAGGAGTTTGGATGGACACGGGATGGATGTGTACTATAGGGTGGCGAAGTTGGGGACTAACCAGGAGGGAGTGAAGAATTAGGCGTGGATCGAGAGCGGATGGACGGGAAGTTTACCAACGCTATGGTAACAGAAGGGGAAAGCGCGTGCGCATTCTTGTACTTGTATCGCACACAAAGAAAGCATAAAGTCGAAGAGGTGACGATGGTGATGATGCTACTGTTGTTACACTGCAATTGGGCATGGTATCATGGCGGACGAGACGGAGAGGCTGACGCTCAATTGCGGCCAGCGAGATAGTATCGCATCGCCGCAGAAGCGTCGTGAGCTCTTCGTAGCACTGCGAGGGGCGAGCAAGAAGCTTCAGCAGACTATCCATCGATCCCATCGCGCAACGCAGCACTCACCAAGCTTCTCACTCTCGTCCAACCCATTGACAAAGTCGACCAACTCGGCACTCATGGCCACATTCGACGGCCTACTTCCGAAGCCACCTCCACCACTACTGTTCGCCGTCGTCGCGTCCCCTTGCCCTGCTACGGTTTCCTCATCGTCCAACCCTCCACCACCTCCTCTCGAGGAAGAAGCAACATGTAAAGCAGCGTCGTACGTGCTGGCCAGCCGAGCTGAGTATGTCGTGCTCAGTACCTCAAGCAGCAAAGTCTGACTGTCCGTGCCCTGTCGTTCCAAACTAGCCAGCCGCACACCGAGAGCGTACCACCAATTGGCTTGGCTGCGCAGCTGTACACTCTTGGCGTCCGCGTTCAATGCGTTGCGAACGCGCTGAGAGTAGGGGCGGGGCAGAGAGGGCGAAACGATATCATTCAAAGCGAGCATTTCTGCCAGCCAGAAGGGAAGCTCCAGTCGTGACTTCTCGCGAATGGTGTCTGACGAGTCGTCCATTTGAGAGGAAGATGAGGCGGAAGCTTGCGAGGATTGGAACTGATTGTCCACCGAAGAATCTCCTCGTAGGTGGGAGAGGTTGGGCACATCTAGGTTGAATGTGCAGGGTATACGGGAGGAATCTGCTAAAATGCTGGAGATGGACCAGTAGGACGTGTCCATCTTGGCAAGAGACGCCTCCAATCAGTCGCGGTCCTTGACGTGAGGTGACGAGAGGATTCGGTGGTGAGGGTCCAATATTCGCGCCCACCCATCGCGTCGTTGGATTGAATGCAACGCGAACCACGTGTCTCGGTCCGTCCCCGCCGGCAATTTCTCTCGTGGGCGTTTCAAAGCCGGACTGAAGCAAGGAACGAGCGAGATGGAGGATTGTGGGGAATGAGAAGCGGGGGCCAGCCTTAACTTTCCCACCACCTCCTCATCCTCTCCTCTCCTCTCCTCTCTTTGCATCGGACACTCATGGTCTCGACGACACCACTCACACCATAGAGCAACCACTGTCCTTTCGTCATCACCGCCGCCCAGCATGGTTCACCTCAGCCTCCCAACCCCCGACGGCTTTCCACTCTCTGTCGACTGCTTCACTCCTCCGGCTCCTTCCCAGATCAAGGCCTCTTGTGTCATCATCAATGCAACGGGCGTACAGGCACGCTTCTACCACGACTTCGCTCGCTATCTCTCCCAGCACGACATCGCAGTCCTCACATTCGACTATCGCTTCTCGGGTACCTCACTGCCCCAAGCAGTCCTCAACCAACTCAAACAAGCAGGCGATGATGAAGTCAAGCGCGACGACATCTTCCATGCCGCTTTGGTCAGCTGCCCAGAGAAATGGGGCCTGATGAGCCACTGGACACAACAGGACCTGGGTACCGTGGTGCGCTATGCTCAGGAGCAGTGGAGGGGAAAACCGATGACGCTTCTGGGCAACTCGTTGGGAGGTCACCTCGCCACGTTGCTAGACGAGGAGATCCTCTTCCCCTCCTCTTCGAGCTCGACAGACACGGCACCTGTCCGCATTTTGAACGTCTGCGGTGGGAATGCCTACTGGCAGAACAATCCGCGCCCGGAAGAGGCCCGCTTCGCTTTCGACGAGCTAGTCGTCAAGCCACTCGAGACCGACCGCGTCTTTCGAGCCAGCGCCCTCGGCCTAGGGTACGACCTGCCCTACGGCGTAGGGAGGGACTGGCTGGCCTGGTTCTACCATCCCCTCTTCTCCCTTCAAGCCAAGAAGGACGAGGAGAATGCCCGTCGTGTGGCCAAGAGGTGCGAGCGATACCTCTACGTGGGGTTTGAGGACGATGAGAGCATTTCGAAGAACATGATGCTGCTGCATTTGGGCTTGCTGGATTTGAGCGGCAACAACGTTCACTCACTTTGGGTCGATCCACCCAAGGCAAAGCCGGAGGCGTGGCCCAAGTGTGGGCATGTCACCTCCTTTCAGCTGCAGAGGAAGAAGGGAGAACAGGAAGCAGAGGAGCATGAGGCATCTGGAGCTGAAGGGTACCAAGCAGCCGAGGAGGACGAAGACGAGGACAACAATGACAACAACGAGGGCTCTTCCTCATCCAAGCCTCCGCCATCCCACCTCAGCCGAGAAGAAACGGTCTTCATCCTCTACCGCGACTACATCTTGCACGGCGACATTTGGAAGTCGGCGGGAGAGTTTCGTCAATGGCATCCCGACGACGAGCGTGATCGTCATCAGATACGCCGAGACGAAGATGAGAGAAGGCGCAAGCTGAGGGCAGAGGGTAAGAGGGCTACAGGAGATTTTGCTGAGGATGAGGAGCACGAGGGAACGGCAAAGGCGCGACTGTGAGCCTGAAGGATAGACGGGTTGCCTGCACTGCGTAGCGCATCGCATAGATTTCCTCCCCTCGTGGCATTGATCTTTCTTTACATATGTATACCGACTGGATGATGCTGCTCCTTTTTTGTGAATACCATCCAGCCATCACACGATCGGGGGAAGTGCGCATGGTTGAGATTGAAGCAGATGCGAATGACGGTGAGCGAGGCAGAGCAAGTGGAGCGAGAGTGTGAACATGTACAGTGCTACTCCCCGCAGGGGACCATTCCAACAGTCATCAGCGCTTCCTCGTCGTCCTCCGGGGCTGTGCAGCTGCGGCGGCTTTGCCCTTGCCTCTCGTGGACGTGCTGCTGGATACTTTGCCTCTGCCACGAGAAGCTTTTGCTCCTCCTCGACCGCCACGCTTTGACGTGGCAGCTTTGCCACGAGAAGGGTTGGCTTCGTCATTCTCCTCTTCGTCACCTTCATCTGCCTCCTCTGCGCCAGACGCTGGCTCTGCTTCCTCTTCCATGTCCTCATCGCCCTCTTGCTCTTCGTCCCCTTCGTCATCGCCTTCCTCTGCTTCGTCCTCATTCTCAGCACTGAGCGCTCGAGAGCTACCGCCACGGCTTGAGGCGGACTGGCGTCCTTTGCTTGGTCTTTGCTGGGGCTGTTTACGGATCGCAGAGGCTGGGGGACGTTGTTTCGTCGCTGAAGCGTTCGAGCGTGACTTCTTGCCTCGAGACTTGCCCTCGTCTTCGTACGAGACATCTTCTTCGGCTTCTTCCTCTTCGTTGTCGTCATCATCTTCCTCGACCTCATCATCGTCCTCCGTCTTCACCTTGGCGTCCGCATCTTCCTCCTCCTCATCTTCTTCATCGTCTCCAGAGATGGCCGAGCTCAACGAGTCGTCCCATTCCTCGTGGTCGCGTGCTGCTTGCTCTTCATCGGCCCCTGCTCGCTTGTCTACGAGTGCCATATATGCGTCTCCAGGTACAAGAGCAAAGTCAATTGGCTCATCCTCGTCGTCTTCATCGCTGCCCTCGTCTTCTCGCTTTGGCCTCTTGGGGTTCCCAGGCCGAGTATGGCCATTGGAGTATCCCTCGTGCCGGACGGAGGGATGAGGTGCGAGCTGGTGGGACGTCAAGCTACGTTCGTCCTGTTGAGAGATTCGCGAGGTAGAGTCAAAGACTTTCGGTCAGCTCTTGCTACTCGAAAGCCTTTGAGAAACGGCATATTACTCACAATGTCGTCAAGAGTGTCGACATCGTAATACTCGGCCAGCTTGTCTAAGATGGCTCCTGGCGTCACCTCGAGTCGGAGGCCCCGGCCGATGCCACCACCCTCTACGCCCGCCATATCGAGTCTATGCTGAAGTCGTGCTACCTCATCTTGCTCTTCTTGATCCTCATCATCCGTGGGATCCGCCTCCTCTTTGCTGTCCTCACCATCTGACTCATCAATATCGCCGGCGTTCGACCTGCCCGCCGTCTTGTCGCTCGGAGCGGCTGAGGTGTCACGCTTCTGTCGCTCATCTTCAAGCGCTTCAGACTGCCCTCTCCCCTCGGTCTTATGCCTCTTTGCATCACCTGCTGCCCCTTGTCCATCCCTCGGCGCCTTTCTCTTCTTCCTCCGTTGGCTGTTCCTGTCGCGCCTCGTCTGATCTTCTCTCTGCCTACGCCGTTGTCTCTGCGCTAGGCCGAATATGGCGGCATTGAGATGCTGAGCAATGGCTGCTACCGCCCAGTGCTTTGAGAGGCCGACGGGGCGTACCGTTGCTACGGAGCGAAAGAAGATGGCCTCGAGGCGAGGAAGGGAGAGGAGACCCTCGAGCTCGGCGGGTGTGATGAGAGAGGGCAGAGCAGAGACAGCGTCATGACTGGCTGGCGTGAGTGTATCTTCCATCGTGAGCTTGGACGAGGATGCTATGCTGGTCATGACGATGAAGGAGTGAGTGGAACAAAGAGAGGCCGTGCGCGACTCGCGACTGGACGACTCGGGGTGGAGCCATTTCCGTCGATCGAGTCGGTCTGGATCGACTCGCGTGCCATCTTGGCTGCCCTTTACTTCTTCTCCTCTTTCCCACCTAGCCCGGCAGACATGGCCACTCCAGGTGCAGGACCTAGTCGTCTGCCACCAAAGCACGTCGAGCTCCGCGCACAGACAAACAAGGACGGCGAAGCCATCTCTCGCCTGTATCGTCTGGTGCTGCGCAGCTTCTACGACGACAAGTTCATCGTAGTCGGCGAGCAGGTCCTCCGTTTCGGCGTGCTCCCCACTGATGTCCTTGCAGCGCGTCTGGGCGTTCAAGCAAAGGATGCAGCGGCTCTAGCCTCGAGACTCGTCGATGACAGGATGCTCTGTCACTTTAGAAGGAACGAACGAAAGGAGACACCCGCAGCCGGAGGAGGAGGCGCAATGCTCGAGTCGAAGCTTCTCCCCCGCAACTATTACTACTTTCATGCTCCTTGGTTCCTTGCGATGCTCAAGTACAGGCTTCACCATCTGCGACTCAAGCTCGACTCATCCATCGTCTCCTCGAGCTACACGACCAGCTTCGTCTGCCCACGCTGCCGGTTCAGCTACTCAACGCTCGACGTTGCCCACCTGCTGGACCTGACCACCAACTCGCTCCGCTGCGAGCGTCCAGGATGCGGAGGGGAGCTGCAAGAGGACGAAGAGGAAGGTGATGAGACTCGCAGGGGCAAAGACCGAATGGCTAGATTCAACGAGCAATGCGCGGGCATGATCCGCACGCTCGAAGCCCTGGAAGGAGTCCACGTAGATAGCATCGAGCCAGTCTCCTTCCTAGCGGATCCCGCGAACCACAAATGGAAGCTACTCCGCTCAGACCAACCTCGTCACCAATTGGACCAGCAATGGTTCGCCGAACACGCAAACGACGAGCTGCCAGATGCAAAGGCGACAGCCATGTCCCGCGACGCCGCTGGTAAGCCCACCATCTCCCTCACCGACGCCACGACCTCGGCGGCGGCGCTCCAAGCTGCGAGGGATGAGGCGGACCGACAGCGCAAAGAGAATGCAATTCCTGAGTGGTTGGGGAAGAGTACGGTCAGTGGTGAGGAGACTGCGCTTGGGATCAAGGAGAGGAGGGAGAGAGAGCGTCGAGAAGGCAGAGGAGAGGGAAGCTCGAGTGGTGCCGGCACTGGTCAGAGTGGAGATCAGGGAGAGCAAGGTCGTGGTGAGGCCGACGAGGAGGAGGACTACTACGCCCAATACGCCAAGATGCAGGCCGCGGAAGAAGAGGCGGCGGCGGCAGCAGCGACGTCCGAGAGTAAGACGAATGGCGCCACGAAGCGGGAGCGCTCCAGCGAGGCTGAAGGTCGCGACGATAAGCGCGTAAAGAGGGAAGAGCAGAGCAAGCCCGCGGACGAAGTCACGGCTGTTGATGCTCCCGATGACGACGAAGAGCTGGAAGACCTCGATGAAGTCGCTTGACGACGAGAGCGAGGCCGGCATCGAATGCATGTGTACACTAGCCAACAACGATCGCGGCACGAGAAAGCAGAATGAAATGTACAACGAGCCAGGGAACAGAAAGAGGAGCTGAGCGGCCTCAGAAGATGACATCCTCGTCCTTGCCACCCGACAACATATCTCCCTTTGATCCTCCTCTCTCCCCCTCTTCCTCCTCTTCCTGTTTCTTCTTCTTCTCCCCGCCCTCCTGCTCCTCCCTCTTCTTCTTGGCCTGCACCTTCTTCAACCTGAAGAACTCTTCTCTGTCCGCCTCGTCCAACTCGCTCGTGATGTAGCTGATGGTGTTCTCGAGACGAGGAATGATGACGTGCTCGATTGCGTTTACTCGGCGGTTCGTCATGCGGATCACCTCGTCAAGGATAACAAAGGCCGTCTGAAGGGATGCGAGCTCTACGAGCGTCTCGAGGGCTTTGCGGTACGTCTCGCGGGCTTTGGAGACTTGTTGACCTCCACGAGAGAGACCGGTGAGTTGGAACTCTGGGCAACGATACGGGCAAGATGGAGGAAAGATTCGCGTCAGCCTCGAGCCCTCTGCGTGACTCGGTGTGTCAAGCACTCACCCTTCGATCCCTCGGCGTTGGGCACAGCCTCGAAGGCGGGCAAGAAGACACCGCTGACATTCTCTTGCCTTGCTTGTACCTTGAAAGAAGCCTTCTCGACGGACTCGGTGACCATGAATCCAATGTCTCCCACGGCGTAGTTTACCTCTGCGAGGGAGAAGGCTGCGAGCTGCATAACGCGGCCCATCTTGCGCTTGGCCTCGTCGATCTTTGCGGTGATGGTGCGGAAGCCTGCGGGGGTAGAAGAAGGGGAGGAGGGTGTGTGTGAGTAAGGGGAGAGCAAGTGGCAGGAGTAGGAGATTGTGTCGGCGCTACGTACGCTTGGTCAGAGCGTCTGCTTTGCGCTTGAGGAGTGAGTGGCCCGTTTGAGCTCCTTTCAGTCTACCCTTTGTGTTGTTGAGCGTCATGCGCGTGGGGAAGACGGCTTCCCTGTTTGAGTTGGCCGACATGCTGGGCCACTAAAGCGATGAGTGAGGATGCTAGACGTAGGGAGGAGCTGAGGGTGGAGAAGTCGACTTGGCCGTGTCCGCCTCCTGACTTGAGCCTCTCGACCCGTCTGCCCGCCGCCGCCAGTCCGAGGCGCAGCGCAAGCACGAGCCACCACTGCGAGGCAAACGTCGACTTCACTTCTCTCGTCCCCTTTCCTTCAAGCCGATCATGGCTCGAGACAATGAGAGGACGGGCAGCCACCTTCGCAAAAAAGCGTCGCCAGGCCGTTCAATGCGGCTGGGCTTCGTCTCTCTCATTCTCGCTCCCCTCCTCCTGGCCCTGACTGCCCTCGCGCTGCCGCTCCTCGTCCCCTCCCTCTTCATCTCACAAGCTCAAGCAGATCAGATAGAACGATTCTTCGCCGCAACCTCCGCAGACTCCGCTGCCAACACAACCTCTCACCATGCGCAAACACACGGACACACAAACAATTGGGCGGTCCTCGTCTCGGCCTCGCGCTTCTGGTTCAACTACCGGCACATGTCAAACACTCTAGGACTCTACCGCGTCGTCAAGCGTCTGGGAATCCCAGACTCGCAGATCATCCTCATGCTGGCAGACGATGCCGCTTGTGACCCGCGCAACCGCTTTCCAGGTAATGTCTGGGCGGACAGCAATCGAGCGCTAGACCTCTACGGCGGCGAGATCCAGGTAGACTACAAGGGATCCGAAGTCACAGTAGAGGCTCTGATTCGCCTCCTCACGGGACGACACCCGCCGTCTCTACCAGCAAGCAAACGCCTCCTCTCCGACTCGAGCAGTAATGTCCTCCTCTATCTGACCGGTCATGGCGGGGAGGACTTTCTCAAATTTCAAGACGCAGAAGAGCTCGGCGCCTGGGACCTGGCCGACGCCTTGGGTCAGATGGACGCAAAGAGGCGCTACCACGAGCTCTTGTTCATCATCGACACATGCCAAGCGAACAGCATGTACTCGAAGATCTACTCGCCCAACGTCATTGCGGTGGGAAGCTCGCAGGTTGGGCAGAACTCTTACTCGCATCACACGGACGCGGATTTGGGGATCGCCTTGATTGATCGTTTTACGCGGTTCGTCTTGGGATATCTGGATGGGATCGATAAGACGAGCGGATTGAGGTTGGTGGATCTCTTTGGCGCTTGGGACAGCGAGGAGCTGCACTCTGATCCGGGCGTGAGGAGTGATCTGCTGAGGACGAGGAAGTTGGAGGACGTCAAATTGACGGATTTCTTTGGTGGGAGGAGGAGGGGGGTGACGATTGATGCGCCCGCGCCAGGGAAGGGCAGAAGACGGCGTGCTGTCCACGGCGTAGGGAAAGATGCCACGGCTGGATAAGAGCAGACGATCAAATTGAAAAGAGGTACGTCTGCGTCCGACTATCCTCGCAGGCCTCATCAAACGCCAGGTCGCGTAGCCTCCCACTTCTCCGGGTACCTGAAATCTCCCTTCTGCCTCACCTCATCCATGATCTTCATAACCACCAGCGAATCGCCCTCCAGTGTGCAAAGCTCCGTCTCTTTCTTACCATCCCTCAAGCATCGCGCAGCAGCATCAGCCTCGAAGCCCATGCCGTTGGAGCCGTTCATAGAGATTTCGATCTCCTTGGACTCCTGGCCCTTCAAGTCAAGGAAGAAACGCTCCGGGTTCATAGGCATGGGTGGGACGCGAATGTCTCCCTTTTCTCCTTGGATGAGAACCGAGTAGACTGAGCTCGTCTTGGCGTGCAGGGAGGTGGTGGCAATCCCTTGAGCCCCGAGACGAGGATAATTGCCAATGACCACCGTACTGTCGTCCACGCCAGTGAGTGGCGACTTTGTGAATGTACTCGTGAATTCGGGATGGGCGCGAGCATTCTCAGGATGCTGGTAGAGGGTCAACAGCTGCCACGTCAGGGCATATATGCCTACGTCGAGCAGTGCGCCACCCCCAAGTTCCGGATTGTAGATGCGGTGCTTGGGATCGAGGGCGAAGGGGACTGACAAGTCGGAGAAGACGCGAGTGATTCGACCCAATACCTTCTCTTCGTGGATGAGTCGCTGAACCTCACGCACGGCAGGGATGTGACGAGTCCACATTGCCTCACTGAGGAAAAGGTTGCGCTTGCGAGCTTCGGTGATGAGGTGCTTCAATTGCGCCGCATTGATCGTAAATGGCTTTTCGCAAAGCACGCCTTTACCGTTTTCGAGGCACAGCAGCGTGTTCTCATAATGGTAGACGTGGGGTGTAGCAATGTAAACGATGTCAACGTCCTTGTCCTTGACCATGTCCTCGTAGCTGGAGTATGTCTTGGTAGAGGAGGGGCAGCCAGTCTTTGCCTTGAAGTCGTCTGCCTTTTCGAGTGACGAAGAGGAGGCAATGGCGGCTACAACGTGCTGCACGTCCGAGGCGTTGCGCTTCGAAGAGTCAAGAAGGAGGTCCTCCACGAAGTTGACGGCGATGCCGCCCGTGGCGAGGATGCCCCACTTGCAGATGTTCGGGGATGTCATGATTGGATGTGGATGGGTAGATTGGCTGGTGGTGAGTGGAATAGAAGGGGACGATAGAATGGTGGTGAGTTGGAGATGGCAAGCGCCTCCACAACGCAGCCGACGCTGCTGTTCCCGGCCAAAACAATTTGCCGAGCGCCGAGCGCCCGCGGCCAGACACACGACTAGCAAAGCCGCGACCACAGCTTAGACGGTAAATCTTGATGACATTTGGATCAGTGTGAGGAATAGATGATGAAAGGAGCGACAAGAGAGGGCATGGATTCGTGAGTGCAAACTTCGCGGAGGAGCTCGAAGGATGCAAAGGTGGCTATAGAGTGGAGCATAAGAGAGGGGACAACGGCAGCCTGCCGTCGACCACAGGATAAGGGGGTCTCGATGACGATGACAAAGAAGCAGTAGCGAAGAAGGAGTGTAGAGTATAACACTCGGTTTGAAGGATCGTGGAGTCGTCGGATCGTGTACGTATACGTATCGGGGGTTGGCGTGCGAAGAAATCGAGAAGGTGCAAGAAAGGTGACCGAAGAGCAAATGTCCTGCAGATGCTGGTGAGGAATGCCAGCTTGACTTGAATGAGTTCGAGCGACGGTTGAAGATGTAGGGGCACTGCACCGCCTAAGGCTGCTGATGTGACTCTGCCGTCAGAGGACTCGAAGCCTTGACTGCTGAAGAGGCAGCAGTAGGGCTGCCAACGATTCTACCCCCGGCGAGCGTAGGGCTGATCTGCTGGCTCGTGGGCACACCGCTCGCTCGACGAGAGGAGCGAATGCTGTCTACCATCATAGACTTATCGCCCAGTACCGAGCTGCCCGACGAGATGCTCGTAGAGGGGCGAGAGCTACCGGAACCCACAGTTGAGCGAGCTGCGGCTGTGGCGCCCGACGTGTCGTCCATTGTGCGCTGAACAGACTGCTCTAGGTCGACAAGGACGGCAGGCGTGTCGTTTAGGATGTTGGCGTACGAGAAGAAGGACAGGCGGCGCGTGGCGGGCGCTGCCCCTTCGATGACGGCGTCACTCTTGTTGTCGGGCGTGATCGTAGCTGCTGTGTCACGACGGACGAAAGCCGCTGTGGTGGGAGGCGCAGGGCTCGGGGCGGCCGACGGCAGGCCCTTACGTGCTAGAATGGGGCTAGGCGAGGAGAGGCTACCGTCCGCCTCCGCAATTGCGTCAGCCATGCCGTCGAGTGAGAGCTCGCGGACTGCCGACTCTGAGCTGGGAATGATGGCGCCATCCAGGGACATGCTTATAGGCGCAGGAGGAGCGGCATCCGAGCTGCCCATAGAAATGGAGGCTGAGGGCGAGTGGCTGCGCAGCGCTGATGGGACGTCGGAGCGGAAGGGGTTCGGGAGAGGGAGAGAGGGAAGTGCAGTGCCTGCTCCCTGATGGGAAGATGGCGTAATGGGTGCACCCGCTGTAGTGCCTGCCTTTGATGGCGTGGCCGCAGCGCCTACCGCACCGCTGGCTACGGAGCTGGGGCGAAAAGCCCGAGGCGACGAGGCCCTCACTGGGCTGCTGGGCTCCGTCGAGCTCTTCCCCGCCACAGCTGCTGAGCTGTCGAGCACTTGCTGAACGCCCATGGGTGCCATTCTGCTCGGCGACCGAGAGCGCGTCGAGCTCCCAACGGATGAAGCGCTCGAGGACTGCGTCTGTCGATGTCGAGGGGTCCTGGTGACGGAGTTCTTAGGAGGCGAGGAGCTGAGAGCAGCCTCGTCGGTCGCAGATCTTGAAGGTGCAAGGCGCTCTGCGATCTGGGCTGCAATGCTGCCCGGGGGTGGCTCGTCTACTGCTGCTGAAGAGAGCACGGGTCCAGTCGATGAGATCGGTGACTGTGGGCCTGAGGACGACGGGGTCGAGAAGGAGGATAGCGATTGAGCGGATGCGGACAGGGCCGTGGCCGACAAAGGCAGAGGTGCTGGTGCAGCCGATGAGAGGGGCGTGACGATCTCGATGGGCTCCTCCCCTCCCTCGATGATGGCTTCTACTGCATCGTCGAGCACTGGAGGGATGGCGACGTCGACGGCCTCGCTCTTGCTCAGCACATGACGTGCATCGCGATGCTCAATATCTCGCTCGAAGATGCTGGACTCGCTGGCGGACGCAGTTGAAGCAACGCCATCCTGCTGCGTACCGGCGACGGAAGCGAGACCGAGACCTAGAGAACCTGAGCCGACGAGCGGGGATGCAGAGGTTGAGGAGGAGCTGCCGGGGCGAAGGGCAGCTGGCACGATGGTCCTTTGTCGCTCGGGCGAAGTTGGTCGGGGAACACTCCGCGCGGCGGGCGGGGCGACTGGCATCGTCCATTGGAAGCCTCTTCGCTCCGAGACAGGAGAAGTCGTCGCAGACACTGCGGGGCTCAGCGCTGCGCGGATGGAGCTGGCGACCGGCGAAGTAGGGGCGGGCGCTGGAGGGTGGGCGAAGAGGGAGGAAATATCGCTGGCTTTCGCCGGATCCAGTGGGAGGTCATTGGCTGCTGGAAGCTTGAGCATGCCATCGAAGCGATGTCGACCCTGCGCGCCACGAAGCATGGAAGGAGTTGGAGTGACATTGTCGGTGGACGTGTCTCCTCCATGATCACCAGTCCGCGCGAGAGCTGTGAGTTGGGATGTCAAGCTAGGCTGGTGCTGGAGGACAGGAGGCTGTTCCCATTTGCCATCTTGCTGCTGCTGCTCATCCCAGTCCGAGGGCAAGGACAGGAGTCCTCGTTCTGGACTACCTTGAAGGGCAGGTGAGGTGGCTCGATCCGGCGAGGTCGCACCTGTAGCATCGCTGCGAGTCTCGAGCTCCGCGGTATCAGGATTCGAGAAGACGTCGTCTTCGCCGTCTCTATCCGGCCAGTAGTCTGGATCGGACAGAGCCTGGTTGGCACGAGGAGACAGCGAAGAGATGCTCTGATGCTGCGTATGGCCCTGATGAGCGCGGATGGTCGCTTGATTGGCGCCAGCGGATGACGATGACGAAGACAACGCCGCCGTTGCGGTGATGGCATCGGGGCTAGGGCCATCATCTCCCGCAGCCGCTGATCTGCTCATCTAGAGAGGATAGCAAGAGGAGAAAAAAAAAGCTGCAGATGCTAGGACTGATGTGCGAGAGTGATCAGGGCGACAGTGGAGGTGCTGATTTGCGGCGGATGATGGTAGTGGAAAAGGCGTGTCGTTGTCGATGCGTTGGAGTGAAAGCTTGAAGCCGGCTTTGCAGCTCAATGCGATCAAGGAGCAATGGCGCTTTTGTAGTCGGAGTTTCGATCCGTCTAGGGGGACCCAGCTGAAACAACAAGAGGGTAAAGCTGGTCGATGACGGAGCGTCGACGTGGTCGTGCGAGCAAGGTATGGTGAAGTGGTGAGAAGGGCAAGCCGCGTAGAGTCTTTGGGAACAAGAGGGGATCGGTCAATTTGGAGTGGGTTGTGAAAGGAAGAAGAGTTGGCCCTGACTTGGGCGGGGCTGAGTGAGCCGTTGGCGCAGCCTGCCTTGCTTGCGCCTTGCACATCGTGGTGGAGACTCAAATCGGCGGGCGGCGGCAAGCGGCGACAAGCGGCAACAAGCGACGGCCCGCCCAGGAGCTCGGGGACCCACCCTAGTCTAGTTGCAGCAGGGCGGCAATCAAGAGGCGAGGCGCGTCGGGCGACTGAACTGCTTCTATTCATTCCAACGACATCCTGATCGCGCACGACGTCGAAAGAAGAGGGACCCTCGTCAGTCCTCATAAGGCGCCGTACGTGTAGCGGCCGCCATACCGCCATCGACTTCGAGGCGGCGTGGACCAAATGTCGACAACTTCGGCGTCTACCGCCCCCGCCGGTACGGGTGCTGCGGGCGGTGCGGGCGCCGCCGACGAGGCTCAGCCCAATGGAGACAGCCTGCCACACCACAGTGCGCAACCACACTCTCACTTGCTGTCACAACCATCGAGCTCAGCCACGGCCAGCTCCCGGCAGGCGCTATCGCCCAATACGGACAGCCTGCCACACCACAGTACGCAACCACACTCTCACTTGCAGTCACAATCATCGAGCTCAGACACAGCCAACTCTCAGCAGGCGCTGCCTCCCAATGCTGGAACAGAGGCCGAGGAGGAAAGGACTTACCTGCGGGGTGATTTTGCGCCATCATCCGGGGCGGATACCGCGGCTAGGCAGAGACGACCGCGCAACGCTGATCCCTCCAGACCTGCAAAGGGCGTCAGGGAACGAGTGCTCCATTTCACACCATCATGGTTCAGCGTGGTCATGGGCACAGGCGTCATCTCAACGGTTCTACTTCTGCTACCGTGGGAACCACTGCACGCAGGGCTGCGTTACCCGGCAGCAGCCTGGACCATCCTCGCTATGTTCCTCTTCCTGTTCTTCTCCCTGGGCTTCCTCGCCCGTTACATTTTCTTCCCGCAAGTCTTGTGGCTGACCATCACGCATCCACAGAAGAGCAACTTTTTAGGTACGCTGCCAATGGGCCTGACGGTCATCGTATCCAACATCTGTCAGCTGGGGACCGTAGAGTTCAACATGGGCCCCGGACCTGCTCTTGCGGCGAGCGTACTGTGGTGGCTGGCGACATTTCTGTCGCTGCTCACGGCAATCGGCGTGCCCTTCGTCGCGATGACCTACCAGTCGCACTCGTTCTCATCTACGACCGCTGCGCTCCTTGTTCCCGTTGTACCTTGCCTGACAGCCTCCAGCGCAGGCGCCGTCATCTCCGAGGCTCTCTACGACCATGGCTTCTCCACCTACGCCTTCACGATCGTCATCGTCTCTTACATGGTCTTGGGAATCGGACTACTTTTGTCCCTCACGATCCTTGTCCTCTACTTTCAACGTCTCCTCCTCTTCAAGCAGCCTCCTCGTGAGATCATCATCTCTACCATACTGCCGCTGGGTCCAACAGCCCAGTCCTCCACAGCTTTGCTCCACCTCGGTCAAGTAGCCTTGAAGCTCTTCCCCACCATCTCCACTCGACCCGGTTCGGGTGTGACCGAGCTGGCGCTCCCCGTCGGCCAGGCCCTGTTTGCATCTGGCTTGCTCAGCGCGCTCATGCTCTGGGCGTATGGCATCTTCTGGACATTCATCGCGGCTGGCACCATCATTCGCGAATTTCGTCGGGGTTCGGTCGCGTTTAGCATAGGTTGGTGGTCTGCGACGTTTCCGCTGGGATCTATGTCGATCGCCACCATCCGACTTGCACTGGTGCTCGACTCGCTGGCCCTCAAAATCGTAGCAACCGGCTTCGCTATCGTTACACTGGTCGTGTGGTTCACGGTGGCGTGCCCCACCCTATTGGGATTCGTCAACGGCAGCCTGTTGAGTAGGGCAACGGCACCATGTGTAGCCGACTTGCCGTTGGATCCCCTTGACAGGCACGATGAGGAGGAGAAGTCTCCGAATCCAACGGACGGCATCGTACGACAGTGAGGAGTGCTATTGGACCCGAAGCCCGGTCTCTCCAGTGGCCACGTGTAGACCCGGTTTTGCTGGTCATCTTGCATCCAAATCCATCACCTTTTCTCATTGTAACAAGGAGGACCTCTACGCAGCTTACATTGCGTCTGTCCTGAAAGACCCGGTAGAGCTCGACGCTTCGCCGACTTCTCGGACGCCGTGGGGACGTCGCCAAGGCTCGCACAACTCCGAACATGGAGCAGCAACAAAGAAGCGGCCCAGCCTGTGTATGCAAAGTTCATTCGTCAATACATCATCAATTGCAACGAGAACCTTGATCAGGTATCGAGCTGTCGCTGAGAGTTTATCGATGACTTCTTGTGGGGAATCGGAAGCGCAGATGCTCAGAGCGATGGGTAGGACCACAACTGGTGGGCGAGAGGGGCATTGTCTCGTGGATCGACGCGGAGACGAAGCAGGAGACTGGGACATCTGAGCAGGCGAACACCCATCGTCTAGTCGCTCTGGTCCAGGAGTACGTCAATGATCATCCCGAAGCTCTGGAATGGGAACCAGAAGACGAAGAGGAAGAGGGGGTAAGGAAGTGATCTGCGGCGGCGAGGTTACGACAGTGCTGAGTACGGCAGCTTCCTCACATTATGGCGTCTATACCACAGACATAGCGATACGCAACCATCAATACCATTCATGATACACACGAGCGATCGGCGATGTGCATTCGCGAGTTGCTCGTGCCATCAAGGCTGCGCTGCCACGGTGAAGACGCGCTAGCACGCCACCGTAGAGATGCCTCCGGCCGTTGTGGCTCGACGAACGCCGTAGCACCACTCGTCCAATCACCGTTATGCGTCTCAATCAATGTCATTGCTGAATGCATCGTATTCTTCTTCGAGAGATTCGTAGAGACATGAGACAGTCGTGAAAGCGTGAGCGCGGGACTTGAGCGCGGGACGTGAGCGTGAGAGGAAAGAGACTGGAGCGAGGAGTGGACGAGAATGTAGAATATTCAATAGAACGGTCATGAGCTTGCAAGATGCAAGTCAAGCGATGAAGACGAAGGCGGATGAGGAGTGTGAGGAAAGATGTAGCTGACGCCGCGTCGATTTGAGATCGACTGCGCTTGTTGTCGGTCCGTCGCGCTGGTGATGCTGATGCTGTGACTGCGTTGATGGTGATGATGCGCTCTACTTGGGCGTGGCGGACGCGCGTCTACGCCTCCTCGCCGACGGGGCTTGGGGCGCGACTGGCGGCGCGACTGTTGGCCCTGCTGGCAGCACGACTCTGCCTCCTCGAGTTGGGACCAGACCTGATCCTCCTCTCCTGGTCCTCGCGAGCATACGACGCGCGACGAGGGAAGGCAGGTGCGCCCGCCTCAACATCGCCCTGTTTACCGCTCGGGGGCCCGTGGAGCTTCTCGTCGACGGCGTTTCGCTCTTGGATGAGCTCTTGAGCAAAGGGCGACCTCTTCCTGAGCTCGGGACCCTTCCAGTAGATGACGTAGACTGCGCTGACGAGGACGAAGGAGATGCAGAAGAGGATGGTGCTGGCATACTGGAGGTGGCGGTCGGGGGGACCAATGTTCTCAAAGAAGGGCGTGGCGGGCAGGGTGAGAACACCAGCGAGGAAGTCGCGAGACCAACCGTTGCCGCCCGTGGCCGAGGCCGAGTAGGGGCCGTAGGCGGCAATCATGTAGTCGATGGTGGCCATGTAGATGGCATAGTTGGCAATGCCGATGACGGCGGCAAAGATCATGGAGCCGATCCAGTGAATGGGAGGGCCACCTGAGGTCCACGCGAAGCCGATGAGGCCAATGGGCAGACAGGGTGCCGTCCAGAGGAGCCACTCGAGCCTGCTCTCGAACTGCGTGTGCTCGTCGTTGGGATCATTCTTGCGCTGCTTGATGTTGCGCTTGATGGCGGGGAAGAAGGAAAGCCAGGCGATGACGTAGCCAACTCCAATGGAAAGGAAGGCGAGACCAACCTGGGATGTGGTGAAGCCCCATTGAGCATAGACGAGGCCAAATGACTGAATGAACATGAAGATGAGAGCGTCGGAGAAGCCAGAGAGGAGCGAGAGGACGAGGACGATTGGCTCAGTGAGGAACATCCTAAAAGGTCGGATCCAGTACACCATGATCTCCTTGGCTGAGAAGCGCTCGTTCCATGGCTTGACCTCGTTCGGCCCCCAGATCTCGTCTCCCTTCTTCCTGCGCTCCTTTGCGATGCGGTCGATGAGGATCGTAGCGCGCGTCTCCGGCACGCAGACGAGGTGAATGATTTGAATGGCGCCGCCGAAGATGAGTTGGATCCAGATGGTCCAGCGCCAGTTTGATACGTACTGCTCGACGAAGCCGCCGACGATGGGGCCGAGGACGCTTCCACCTACGGATGAGAAGACAACGTAGGCGACGGCGTACTGCTGGACGTCTGGCTCGAAGAGGTCGGCAATCATGCCCAAGGTGACGCTACCGCCAGCAGAGGACAGTCCACCGAGAGCGCGACCGACGAGGATGGTAGCGAAGTTGGGGGCCAAGGCGACGGGGAGCTGCCAGACGTTGACGAGGAAGAGGGAGAGTTGAAGGATGGGCTTGCGGCCAAGTTCCTCGGACCAAGGAGCCCAGAGCTCACATCCAAAGGCGTAGAAGATGAGGAAGATCATGGCACCGCAACGAGCAGCTTGGAGACTGACGCCAAACTCCTCGGAGATGCCATTGAGGCCGTTGGAGTAGAGACTGGTGTTGAAGTTCATTGAAACTTGGACCCAGAAGATGACGGTCAGGACCCACCACTTCTTCCAGGTGGGCCAGCTGAAGCCAAGCTGATCGTAGCATTCGACCTCGGAGAGGACGAGCTTGTCATTCATGCGTTTAGTGACGCCCGCGGCAAAGTCGACTCCGTGCTCAGCATTGGGCGAAGTCGTCGTCGTGGTAGTCTGGGTGCCCTCTTCCTTTGGCTCGTGTTCTCCAGCCATGGTGGGGCGAGGGGCGTGTGTGTGAGCGTGTGAGTGTGTGTGTTGACAGGGTGTGTGTGAGGTGATGAAGAGAGGAGAGGGTCAGCGAGGGAGGGAATCGCTGGTAGGTAACGACGAGTGTAGTGTTGTGTGGGGAAAAGGAAGGCAAGATGGGCTGAAGCTTGCCACTTGCTTATATTGATCATCCAACGACGACGACCAACGGCAGCAATTCATCTCTCGTCTCTCTCGCGAGCACCCTTTTCCCGAGCCAACGGCATCGACACGGCGGAGACGGCGGCAACGCTACGCTATGACGGCGGGGCAGAACCCAAATGTGCGTCAGACAGCGGGCGGGGTAAGACGCCGCAACGCAACGCAACGCAACGCAACGCAACGACCGACTCACTCACTCTGGTCCGGCGCGCTAACCCCCATCTGCTCTCAGGAACAGGCGAGTCGGGCGAGGCCAACCCGACAAAAGCGCCTGCCGCTGTGCTTCGAGGTGCTGCAGCTTCGAGAGATCGGGCGGAGCGGCAGGCAGCCAAGGCGGGCGGCATCTTGAGAAGTCCCACGGGGCCCAAGTGCGGCGGCAAACGAGGAAGAAGAGACGACGACGTAAACGAGACTTGGGCTCCAGTCGATGACGATGGAGCAACGACCGACCACGAGACCGTGTGACCAGGAGGAAAGCTCCCAAGACAGTGGTTCGAGACGGAGCAGAGGATGGTAGCGCGCGTACCCGCTACCGAAGGTATCACGTCGGCGGCACTCACGTCTCACGTCGCCTCACGTCACGCGTCTCACACCTCACGTCACGCGTCTCACGTCTCGAAGTCCTTGTCAAGGGGTGTATTCCTGACACAGCACAGCGTAGCGAGGAATGACGACGTCTGATGCTTTTCCTCGAGAGCGGATCGCATCCACCCGTTTCGTGTCGGATCATGAAACGATGAATGGTATTGAAACTAGGGTCTTGGACAAGAGCTGAGCTGAGACAAAGGAGCTAAAACCGGAACCGGAACTGAGACACGTGGCGGTGCAACATTTCGTTCCCTTTTGATCCACACCCACTCGTATAGACCTTCCTCTCACTTCATCAATATGTCGCTCCAGCTCGTTCAGAACGCCAACGAGTTCCCCGAGTCCTCTCGTGAGTGCGAAAGGGCGTGGATCGTAGGTCCTCGTCGTTTTCCTGCTGACCAAAACATCTCAACCTCGTCCCTTTCGCTGCGCAGAGAAGGCCATCGACTCATGGAAGGAGGACATGGCCAAGGCTGATGCTGAAGTCCGTGAGTCGATGGTGATATTGCAACAACTCCGCTTGCGTCATCACTCACACTCCTCTTGCGTTTTTCTCTCCCTTGCGTTTTTCTCTCCCGAATTCAGTCAAGCTCCAGGAGAAGCTGTACGCTCCCCTCTACGAGAAGCGCGCCGAGGTCATCTCTCAGATCCCGGACTTCTGGCCCAAGGCTGTGAGTAGAGCAAAGCGGCGCGATGAAGCTCGTGACCAAGCGATCAAGCGATCATGTCACTGACATTGTGATCCGCCTCTTTGTAGATTGCCAACTGCGAGAGCCTCATGCCCTACTTTGACGACGTCGACTCGCCCTTGATCACCAAGATCAAGAACGTCAAGGTCACTCGCCCCGCCGAGGACCCACGCGGCGCTAGCATCACCTTTGAGTTCCACGACAACGAGTTCCTCGCCGAGAGCTCCATCACAAAAGTCTTCAAGCCCAAGGCTGATGCTCGTCCCCTCGGACACGAGGACTTTGAGTGGTCGGAAGACCTTGTTCCCCAGACGTGCTCCGTCAAGTGGACCGACGACGAGCACAACCTCTGCAAGAAGAAGCCCACCGTCGAGCCCAAGGACGAAGACGATGACAACTTTGAGCCCGGATCCTTCTTCTCGTCCTTCTTCGAGTCGGAGAACCCCGAGATCGTCAACGGTATCGGCCAGATCATTGCTCAGAACTTCTACCCCATTGCATTCGACTGGTACACGGGCGAGGCCATTGGCAACTACGATGATCTCGACGACTTTGACGTGGAGGACTTCGATGACGAAGATGAGGAGGACGAAGAGGACGACAGCGAGGACGACGGCGCTGCTGAGATCGACCTCGACGAAAAGGATGGCAAGCCTGCTGCCAAGAAGGCCAAGACGCAAAAGTAGAGTGAGCGAGCGCCGCCATGCTCCATCTTCATCTAAGGCGAGGATTTGTTTGCAATCTGCGTCCCTTGGATCAAAAATGTTATGCCTATTGTTATTCCCCAGCGGTGTTGTGCCGAACCCCCCTGTTATGATGTGCCTTCGCCGTCCGCGTCCGAGTTGAAGTGAGGGGTAGCGGATTGGGTATCCTACTGCCTCGCTAGGCAGTCCGGTCCTGCCAGCTCTTCAAAGAGCACTTGTCGGCAGCCAGCTAGTCTTGTAGCGCAACAGCGATGACGTTGTCCAGGCAGCGTCATGCCTGCTCAACCCTCTCTGGCCAGAGCAATCTCGAGAAGGTCCTTGAGCTGACCATCGATGGCTTTGCGATCGTTTTGCAGCGCGATGATCTTGGATCGAGCCTCGCGGACCGAGGGCTAGTGGGCAGGAAGAGAGTGATGATTGAGCTTCCGCATCATCATCATCATCATCATCACCATTGTCGTCCTGCTGAGGACATCCTACTCACGATGTCTACGGTGTTCAGCGGGAATCCTTGGCTGTCGACGAGGGGCGACGTGAGCGTCACGCCCTCGCGCTTGAGAACATCCGAGTTTGTTGACTGCGATTCAAGGCGTTGGCATTGTCAAGACTTTGCATTCAGTCGTCGAACCTTTTTCTCCTCTCTTTCTTGCCTGGCTACCCACAATCTCAGCATCGATGTCCTTGCGCTGCTGCGATAGCTCCAAGGCCCTCTGCCTAGCCTGCTGAGCAGCGCTTTCCATGATTGTCTGTGTCTACAGAGACTTTAGTGGTGGCTCCGCTCTGTTGGATGGATGGTTGGTCGATGTTGAGAATGCCCCACTCCGTCGTCGACTCGGTCACTTGTTCTCCGTCTGGCGCTGCTGCCTGCAGCCCAGGATGATGGACCCCGCTTGGACCTGAAGCTGCTGCTGCTCGTCGCCTAGTCCGCTCCCTCGATTTCGTCGTGACTCTTTGGGCGAAGGTCGCTGCTTTCCTTTCATCCGCACCATTTTGTATACAGTTCCCACGCCTTCTCGCCTTGACTTGGCAGCCCAGTTGCTCTACCATAGGGAACTCTTCTTCCACTCTTGCCTTCCTCTTCGACGACTTGAAGGCGGCAGAGGTGGCTGATGCTGCCCTCGGCGCTCGTTACTAGCAGCGCCTCGCACCATTAAAAGAGGCGTGACTTCAAGTCGCCGATACCATGTTTTCGGCATTCCTTCACGCTCCCTGCGAGCTTCAAGTGAGCATCCAGCGCCTTTTCACACCGCATACAGGCTGACACATTCACCTGCTTTTGGTACACCCACAGCTTCACATTCTTCAATCGGTCATTTTCCTCTATCCCCCGCAGCGTGTCCCTCGCGATGCCGACCCTGAAGGACCGCCTTCTCAGACCGACTCCCTCGTTCGCGGCCTCGTCGAGCTCTGGGTCCCTTCAGCGCGCCACATTTCTGGTATCAAGGTCAAGCTGAGGGTACGTCATGGATCGTTGGTCGCCCGTCAGTTGATACAGTCATCGCCCTCGCTCACTCATCTCGCCTCCGTCGTGTGCTACAGGCAATTCAAACCGTCGCTATCCTCGATGCCAACTCTGGACTTGTTCCCGTCAGCTGGGAGGACGAGATCCTCATGGAAAAGGAAGTCTATATCGGCATGGCTCCCAAGCATCACCATGGAGGCAAAAAGGACAGGGGTCGCACCCCAGGTCCCAGCTCCCTTCGACCATCGCGAGCATCAAGTCCAGTCAATGACCGCCGCAGCCCCGCAGGCAGCCGCACGCCCAGTCGCGACGTCACTGCCAGAAACAGCTTTGACGGCAATGCTCACGATTTGGACGATCATGAGCACGAAGGACGTTCCTTGGCTGCCAATTTGACGAGCGCCATCAATCGAGCTCTACCTCGCGGCAGGACATCTTCTCGACCACCATCGACGTCAGGGTCTCGTCCTTCTTCGCGTTCTCGCCCTTCTTCACCCTCAGGCGAACGTCGTCGTGGCCTCTCTTCGTTCCCATCGACGTCCAACTCTCAAGCCACTCGATCGGCCAGTGTGGCCCCCTCGCTCCTTCCTGCAAGCCCGCAAATGTCGCCCCGAGACGAGCGCAGCGACGACCACGCACATGGCCGTCCAGGCATCGGTCGCAGCGACAGCAGTCAATCGGGCCTCAATGCCACGCTGCGATCCATGTCCATTGGCCCTCGCGTCGAGCGTCAGCGATCAGCTCAGAACATCGACGGCTTGGGTCACCCAGATGACGACGACTTTGGCGTCCATCGCGCTCGAAATGGCAGTGGAGCTCTTCGTGGCCGTAGCGGCAGGGGACCCGGAGCTGGCTCAGGCAGTGTGCCTCCTTCTATAGGCAAGGGCAAGCAGCGAGAAAAGAGCGATCGCAGCGCTAGCACGGGATGGGCTCGATTTGGTCGAAGCGTCAGCAGAGCTAGAGGCTTTGGCCACGCTCATGCGACAGAGACTGGGCCTGAGTCTCCCTCTTTACCTCAGAGCATGGATCCTCAAGAAGTGCAGTCGCCTCCTCCAGGTCTCGAGCTAGAAAAGGGCGTGCACGGCTTCGAGTTTGCCTTCATTATTCCAGCCCACTCTGCAGAATACACTCGCAGCCCCTTTGGACGTGTGCGATACATCATCAAAGCTACCGCCTACGGGGCTGGCAGGGCTAAGAGCAACATCGAATCGTGGCGCGACGTCTTTCCCGTCGCCAATCCTTCCATCGATGGCGGACCAACGTCGCTCACGGTGCTGTACAACGACTTGCACCCAACTGTTGGCCTCCTCTCCATCGCCTGCACCTCGCAGAATATTTCCGTCGGTGGACTCTTCCAGCTCGATATCCACTCACCCATGCCGCCACCCGACCTCGTTGTGTACCTTGTTCGTATTTCACTCGAGACGACGATTGAGATTAGAACGAAGCGCAAGGGAAAGCAGGTGATCCCAGCACAGCGCAACAAGCTCTTCGAGAAGGTGAGTCGGTGCCAGCGTGAGCACAGGGGCCCGTCTTTCGAGGCAATTGCTGACCGAGTCCCCTCTTCACTCACTCCTAGGGCTACGTTCCACCTCGCAAGGAAGATCCTCATGGCCCTGGAGATGGCAAGAAGTCTGACGGATCCATCCGCGAGCCAGATCGCGATGGTGCCGAGAGTGCATGGACGGTCCAAGGCTTGGCGCGTATGCCAGACGACAATCAAATCCGCTCATCGACCATTGGCGGCACCAAGTCGGCAATTCGATTTAGTCATCAGATCGTCGTCGAAGTAGTCCACTCTCGCGAGCCGCCGCCCGAAGCCGGGACAAAGGAGCGTAAGCTCAAAGTCTTCACGTTGCGTCAACCCATAACTTTACCCAGCTGCTGCGTTGCCTTTGACGCTGCCACGCTACCGGCCTACACGCCTGCCAACGACGACCAGGGCACGGCCGGGAGAACCGTTGATGCGCTGCCCTACGACTTGGCCCACTTGCCCAACGGAGCTAGAAGTAACCCCGTCACAACGCCCGTACGCGAAGATGGCCCATCCCAGGGCAACTCTGGTCCTTCATCCTCGGCCTCGTCAACAACCGGCGCAAATTCGGCCAGTGCCGCTGGTACTGGTGGAGCGTCCTCCTCGTCTTCGTCTGCCCTAGGTGGTCTCTGGCACCCACCGCATCACCGTCACAACACGGCCGAGGTCCAAAGGGGCACGACGCACGACTACTGCGTGTGCGGCCTTTCGCTTCAGGACCTCGAAGCAAGGGAGCGAGCCATGATGATGCCTCCGCAAATGGCCGCCTACGATATCCCCATCGACGCGCTGCGGCCACACGGCAAGATTGGGGAGCTGCCACCTCAGCAAGCCAGCGGCGGCGTTGGTGCCGCTCTAAGCCGAAGCAGGACTCGCAGCAGCAGTCGAAGCGTGAGCACCAGGAGGGGCTCGTCCAGCGGCAGTCAGAGGAGTGTCAGCCTCGCGGGCAAGAAGAAGCGGTCGCCTAGCTCAGGAGGTGGCGCGTCTGGTAGCATGGGTGGTGCATTGGCGAGGAGTCTCAGTAGAAGGAGGGGGAGCCAAGGTGGCGCTGGCTCAACTCCCGGCCTCGTAGGTGGCACGAGCGTGTCGCGATCCTCAACGAGGGACAGCGCAGTCAGTGCGACGAGCACGAACAGTCGTGGCTTGTCCCCTATGCGACCGGCCGGCGGTAGCAGCAATGGAGGTGGTGGCGGCAGCAGACCACCTCCCAACGCGCGAGGCAGCAGTCGAGTTGCTGATCTCAACGATGGTGGATATCAGGAACAGCGACGCCGCTCGGCCTCTCTGGCACCTCCGCGCATTGCTGAGGGGGAGGCGCCTCCAAGCTACGATTCGGCGGTGCTCGAGGAGGACGAGGAGGACCTCGATCACGAAAATGTGCAATCGGAGACCAGGGGACGGAGGAGGTGAGGGGAAGATTGTGGATCAACGTGTCGATGACTTTGTCAAATTTACTTGCCCTGATCCGCGGGCGCTCAGTCACAACTACCAAATAGCATATCTATAGATTATATGATGTCATTGTCATCATGTCGAGACATCATCGAGGAGGGCAACTGGGATGTGCACTTTCCTCTGACGAGAACAGGGTCGTCCAAGCCTGGTATCGAGAGGTAGCGGCAGTCAGGCGCATGCCCTTTACTGGGGCTTGTTGGCGTCGACCTTGGCAGAGCCAGCCTCCTGACGAGCATTGCCGGCGACTTGGTCTGCCTTGTTGCCAGTCACGGCGCCGACTACGGAGTCCTTGTAGCCGCCGACCTGGTCAACCAGACCCTCGGCCATAGCCTTGCCCTGGGCAGCCTTCTGCTCTGCCTCGCCCTCGGCGTGGATCTGCTTGCCGGATGCCTTCCAGTCATCGGAACCGGTAGCGTTACCTACGGCCTCGTACACTTGTCCCTTGACCGAGTTGAGCTGGCCGTTAAGCTGCGATGGCTCGTTGCTGTTTCCGGACATGATTGCTGACTGGCAGGTAGGAGGTGTTGGGGTAAGGGTGAGTGGTGGCCGTTGGGGATCCGATTTGTTGAGGACTGCAAACAAACTCACGTTGTGTGTAGCGGGGGAGAGCTGTTTGAGATGAGTTGAGATTGATTTGGCGTGACGAATAGAGGCAGTATCCGGTGCCAATAGCCACCTATATAGCGTTGCGAGTGTCAATTGTGTTGGGTTCGAGGCGTTCGCACATGATGTGACGTCACCAAGGGGCCGTGCGAAGCCACCCCCCCTCCACGGACGCTTCTAGGCCAAGAGCTCAGCTTGGCCCCCTGCTGCCACTACTCACAGAGCAATGAGCACAGCCACCAAAGCGCCACGGACAAACAAGTGTGCATCGAGATTGCAAGCGATCCGATGTGTCCAAAGATATCCAACGTGAAATTGAAGTCGCCGCTGCCCCGATGTGTCGGGAGAAGTTCCGATCGAGGCAGCGTCAAGGTCACATTTGACCCTCAGAGAAGAGTTAATGGTGGTCAATCTTGACTTTGGCCCGAGCATCGGCCACAACCTCTGCTCGTGGTGATCAAACTCACGAATCGCATCTGCTGAGATCCTGCCTGCGGCCTCGATCAGCTCAAAGACTGCTCTGGCAGCGTGGCAGGCTCCCTCGGTTGCCCTGTTGATCGCTCGATGGCTCCCATCCGCTCATCCGGCGGCGCAACTTTTTCTCCAGTTCCGCTCCCTTGACATCAAAGACGACCCGCAGAAAGCAGCAGCTAGCTTCAAGACAAAGACGGGAGGGTGCCAGGTGATCGGACAAAGAAGCTACTGAGCAAAGCATTCAAGCTCAAGTCGAAGCAGCGGACTACCGGCAGGCAATGGCGGGATCACGCTTCGCGTACGTGCGCGACTTTGAGCTGCCAGACCCGGCGTTGCCTGATGTTTACCTCGTCGTCCGCATCGACGGCAAGGGATTCCACAAGTTCGTATCGTAATCTCAAAGAGCGCCCAGGGTGTGGCTTGTAGAGAATTGCACTGATCCCGTCATCCGCTTTAGATTCTCTGCCGCACACAACTTCGCCAAGCCAAACGACGCTGCGGCCTTGGAGCTAATGAACTGCGCTGCAAGACAGGTCTGCAGCGAGCTTCGCGGAGACGTCGTCATGGCCTTTGGTGAGAGTGACGAATACAGGTGAGCGCACAGCGTGACGCATACCCGGAAGCGCCGTCAGATGCGCTGACGATCGAACCGGGTCCATGGCCCTACCGCAGTTTCTTGCTCAAGAAGGACTGCCAGCTCTACCGACGTCGGAAGACGTGAGTTTCACCTCGCAGGATGCCAAAGCAGCCAGCCAACTGGCTCATCTGAGTTTGCTCCCTCGCCAACAGAAAGATCACAACGCACATCGTGTCCCTCTTCACTTCCTCGTACGTTTTTTCCTGGCCCTCCTACTTCCCTCAAACGCGGCTCCTCCAGCCACCCTCCTTCGATGGGCGACTCGTCGAGTATCCCACCGCTAAGCATATCCGCGACTATTTTGCGTGGCGGCAGGCGGATACGCACGTCAACAACCTCTACAACACGACATTCTGGGCATGTGTACTGCGTGGTGGTGTGACGGAGAGGGAGGCGCACGAAAGGTTGAGAGGGACCGTGAGCGCGCAAAAGAATGAGATGCTCTTCAGCGAGTTTGGGATCAATTACGAGAGGGAAGAGGCGATGTTCAGGAAGGGTACGACGCTGGTGTGGACGCAAGAGGAGGCCAATGAGACGACGACTCAGCCAGCGGAGGATGTACACGATGGCTTAGTATCGTCGCCGAAAGGGTCGCAGCAGAACAAGCGCAAGGTCAAGATGAAGAGACGTCTACGAACTCTCCACGTCGACATCATCGGCGACGCCTTCTGGCTGGAGGGCACGGCGGCGCTGCCTGCAACGGCTGAAGCTGCACCTGCTGTCAGTGGATCTTGTGCAGCTGCAGCAGCCTCGGACACCACCCTTCCCACATCAATGCCTTCAGCTGCCCCTTGGCAGGATCCAGACCGACTCGAGGGGGTTGGATGTGGGAGGTGGGCACTAGCGTGACGTCATCTCGCGAGAGGTAGTCAACGAGCAATCACATTCGATTCGTAAAACACAACAAGCAAAGAAACCAAGAAAGGGAGAGTTCATATGTCCGTGTACGTTAAGAAGAGTCAAAGAGGTCTACGAGCGCTCTACTTCTTCTCGACCTCCCGCTTCCACCAGCCGTCAAAGCTTGTCTTGCTCGCAGGCGGAGGTGATGATGATGATGCGGCGGCGGTCGCTGGCGGAGTAGATGGGACAGCAGCTGGAGTCGCCGCAGCCGCAACCTTGGGCTTGTCCGCCTTGTTGTCCTCCTTGACACCTTGCGTTCCATACGGCGAAGCCGAGTCATCTGCAGCTGTCCCGCCATGTTGGGCGTGCCACTCCTTCGCCTGCGCTTGTGCTCGCTGAATCCGGTCGATAGCATTGATCAAGCTGGGCGTCGCAGCCACCATCGCCGTAGGGGCTGACGCGGAGCGAGCTGCACCTGCTGATGGGGCTGAGGGAGGCGAAGAAGAAACCGCTGCGGGTGTGGGCTTGCTGCTCTGTGTCGATGCTGGTGTTGAGCGAACTGACGTTGGGTCCCGGTATACAGTCGTCGGTTTGAGCACGTCGCCTCCGGTCTTGCTGGGCGGAGAAGACGAGACGGCCGTCGATCCGCTCAGCTGGCTATTGCGTGGCTGCGACGACGCCGAGGACGATGCCGAAGAAGAAGATCCAGACGATCCGGAGGATTCCGTGCGGTACGAAGGCGGACGAGGCAGGTTGGCAGGAGGCAGGGCATAGCCACCGTAATTGACCGTAAGTTTCGGCAGAGCAGACAGGTTGTCCTGCGCTTCGGCCTTCTTGTCGTCGTCACCATCACCCATGATCGTCGAGCCGTCATCATCTTCGTCGCTATCCAGCTCATCGAGCTTTTCAAGATCGCCATCCCGCTTCGAGAGACGTTCGAAGCGCGCAGGGCCACGCGATGAGGAGGTACGCGATGAGGCTCTCCTGCTTGTCTGTCTAGATGACGGTCTCTCGGTGAAGCCTCCAGCAGCAGGCGCCGTGCGCCCGCCAGCGATGTTGCCGTACGTCGCCGGCCCACGAGAGCGTCGCGAAACGCCATCATCGAGCGCATCCTTGATCTTTGTCCACAGGGAGCGAGGCGGCTCATACATGCCGGCACGATCCGCAGCAGAAGCCGTTGCATCGTTGCGCTCAACGTTGCCGGTGTAGACGCCAAGGTACTCATTCCACTCGTCATCGACGCTCTCACCGGCGTTGCGGTGAAACCAAGCTTCAAAGGCGAGGGAGAAGACGGCGAAAAGGATGGAGCCAGCGATGTAGCCTTTGAAGGCTGAGGACCCCCACGAGTGGATAGCCGCTTGTTGTGATGGGGAGCTGTCGGGGGCGAAGAGAAGTGTCCAGAGGTCCAACCAAGCGCGGGAAGCGTCCTCGGGCGGTGCAAAGAGGGCTACGCCGTCGAGGAAGGCAACTGAGCCAATGAGAGACGTGTTGACATTGAGGAGCCAGCGTTTCGTCCTCGGGTATCGCGATTTGGAGGAAATGAGTAGCGGTAACGTCAGAATGACGCAGAAAATGGAAAGAAGGACCGCCCGCACAAGGATGGTGTGGATGCCAAACGTCGCAGTGAGGATCGTCGTGAGGCAGACCGCGCCCAGCAGTCCGACAAAGAGGCGAGAAAGGACGAGGAGATGGGCGGAGAGGAGCGTGAAGAGCAAGCCTGGCGCCAGGAAGATGGCAAAAGTGCCTCCAGCAGTGAGCTTATTGTGATGTCGCGTGGCCGCCGCGTTCGTGACAATGAGGCCAAGGTAGGATCCAGCGAGGAAGCCGACGCAGAGGCCACCGACTCCGCCGCCCATGATTCTCCTCGACGTTTTGCCTTGCTTGGGGGCGAAGCGAGGCGCGATCGCCCAGTAGAATGACTGGAGGCCAAAGAAGGCCAAAAAGACGCCAAAAACAATCCAGAGGATGCAGTATACGACTCGAAAGCCATACGAGTGGGAGAGGAGGTGGTACTCTGTGTGGACGTACGCGATGTAAGCTCGGTGGTCAAGGGGTCTGGCGATGCAATCTTTGTCTGGCACTCACGACTGAATGCAGCGTCCTGCGTTGTGGCAGCCAGTATTCCTGCAGCGCCTGTAGAGGCACCGACGCCGGCAACAGCAGCGAATGACGTTGCAGCTCCTTTGTCCTCAACATTGGTGCTCTTCGTCATCTCAGTGACCTTCTGTTTGAAGGCCTTGAGCAGCGAGCCATCCCCACTGTGACTCTTTGCGTACTCTGCCAGCTTCTGAGCGATGCTTTCGGAATCGTGACCATGGAAAGAGGAGCCTCCCGTTGAGCCGGAAGCGGCATGGTTGTTGTGCTTGAGCGAGGCCGGGTCGTAAGTGAGGCTGGACGAGGAAATGGAGGGCGAAGCTGCAAAGGCGGCCTTGAGGTTGGCTGCTCCGGCCTTGAGGGTATCAGCTCCGTCTCTGACGCTTTTGAGCGTCGGAAGAGAGACGGGCATCCTTGGACGCTATGGCGATAACGGAGAAGAGGTGATGTGTACTGGATGACGGTATCAAAAAGTCGTAAAGGAAGTCGTGAGGGTTCGTTGAAATCGTGAAATCGTAGCAAGCCGTCAGGAGACTAGACGTTATGGAGGTCCGTCGATATCCTAGCTTCTGAGAAGTCCAGTGAAGCTAGGGCTCCTGTTTCCTCGGGCCGATCCCTGCCTGGCAAGGATGATTGAGGTGGCCCAAGGCGTAGACTAGCCCCTATTCAATCGCGTCGTTCGCCTGCACGGCGACATTCGCGGAAGGGCGGAAGTGGATGTCGACGAGCCACGTGCTGGGAAGATCGGACAGCAGCGTTGATGGGGCCGCCCGGGGGCGCTAAGAAGGAGTGAGTTGGTTGGTTGGCGTTCGAAACGGTTGCAAGCTCCACACCAAGTTTAGCAGCTTTCCATCTGTACGCACGAACCATCACTCACCCACCATCATGTCGTCGGTCAAGACAGTCTCAACAAAGCCATTCGAGGGTCAGAAGCCTGGCACCTCTGGACTTAGAAAGAGGTGAGAGAGCGTGCAATAACAAGCTTCTGCCACAAATCGTCGCTGTATGCTCACCACTCTGGGCCGACATAGGGTCAAGGTCTTCTCGGAGCCTCACTACACCGAGAACTTTGTCCAGGCCATTCTTTCTTCTATCCCGTCGCCCGGAGCAAAAGGATCCACCCTCGTTGTCGGAGGTGACGGTCGCTACTTCTCCGTCCCCGCCATCCAGTCGATCATCCGATTGTGCGCAGGTAATGGTGTCTCAAAGCTCATCATTGGCCAGAACGGCATCTTCTCGACGCCCGCCGTCTCGCACGTCATTCGTAGCTACAAAGCTACGGGTGGTATCCTTCTCACTGCGAGCCACAACCCCGGTGGACCCAATGCCGACTTTGGTATCAAGTACAACATGAGCAACGGAGGACCTGCACCGGAGAGCGTCACCAACCAGATCTTCGACGTCACCAAGACGATCAGCGAGTGAGCTAATGCGCGCGGGAGAGCGGAGACGATGCGCCGTGTCATTGATTCTGACCCATATTCACACCGCCCCTTGCCTCCACAGGTATCAAATCGTCGAGGGCGACGACGTTGACCTCTCCAAGGTCGGCGAGACATCCTTTGGGCCCCTCAAGATCCAGGTAGTTGATCCAGTAAAGGACTACGTCTCGTATCTTGGCGAAATCTTTGACTTTGGTCTCATCAAGTCCTTCCTCCAGTCCGGCAAATTCACCGTCCGATTCGATGCGCTGCACGGTGTGACGGGCCCGTACGGTCGTGCCCTCTTCGTCGAGGAATTCGGTCTTCCCGAGTCGTCGATCCAGAACTGCACCCCCTCAGAGGACTTTGGTGGTGGGCACCCCGACCCAAACCTCACCTATGCAAAGTCGCTCGTCGATGCCGTCGAGAAGGAGGGTATCGACTTTGGTGCTGCGTCAGACGGTGATGGAGACCGTAACATGATCATCGGTAAAGGAGCATTTGTCAACCCTTCGGACTCGGTCGCCATCATTGCCGATTGGGCCAAGAAGGCCATTCCCTACTTCGCAAAGGGAGGTGTCAAGGGGGTGGCACGCTCCATGCCCACCAGCGGTGCCGTTGACCGCGTCGCCAAGAAGCAAGGCTACGAGTGCTTCGAGGTCCCCACCGGCTGGAAATTCTTTGGCAACCTGATGGACGCAGGCCGTCTTTCCATCTGCGGTGAAGAGTCCTTCGGTACCGGATCGGATCACATTCGCGAGAAGGATGGTCTCTGGGCCGTTGTAGCGTGGCTCTCCATCTTGGCTGCGGCCAACAAGGAGAAGCCGGGTACCAGCGTCAATGACGTGCTGCAGGACTTCTACAAGTCGTATGGCCGCAACTTCTTCTCCCGCTACGACTATGAGGAGGTGGACAGCAAGGGCGCCAATGAGCTCATGGCACAGCTCGAGAAGAAGTTTGCCGACCCATCATTCAAGGGTGAGTAGCAGCGAGGCAGCGAGCAACGAGGGGAATTTTCCTTGCGAGATACCAATTATGTCTACCTCTCCCCCTTCTCTTTGCACAGGCTCCAAGCTCGGCCAATTTGAGGTCGCCGAGGCGGACAACTTCAGCTACACGGATCCCATTGATGGCAGCGTCTCTAAGAACCAAGGCCTCTACATCAAGTTCGTCGATGGTTCACGCATCATCTTCCGCCTGAGCGGTACGGGCTCTGCGGGTGCAACGATTCGCCTCTACGTCGAGAAGTACTCCAACGACGCCAGCGAGTTTGATGCTGATGCGCAGGTTGGGCTTAAGCCGCTTATCGACGAAGCACTGAAGTTGAGCCAGCTGAAAGAGCTGACGGGCAGGGACAAGCCGACTGTGATTACTGTGAGTGGCCGAGGTCAACGTCGTGATCGAGTAAGAAGGCGAGGATGGATTGCTAACGCAAGTGTCATGACCCTGACCCGTGTCTTTGCAGTAAAGGACTGTCGAAATCATGTGTCCCTGCACATCTCAATACAATGTGATCGCGTTACTCATGACCTCCTGTAGGCCCGGGTCTCTACTCTACTCTAGAGTGATGTCCAAGTTTACGTGACCCGCCCGCGTCTGTTGGTGCTCTGCCTCCACTCGACGCTTTGCTCTGCGGGTGCAGCTGGGCCTGGCGGCTGCTTCCGCTCCCTGGACATGCGGGGCTGACAATGGCAAAGTCGGACCAACTGTTCTCCTCTTGCTTTCTTGTCCTGCTTTCCTTGCCATCGAGGCCGTGGAGCTACGACGTTGTCAAGGATGGCGCCGAGATGCATCGGTGCTTCGCAAAGTGCAATGGGCCTCTCGAGAAGATGGATGACGTCGTCGTCGCAAAGGACCATCGTCACTTCAACACGTCGCCTCAACGCGCCATGTTCTCGAAAGCCGTCGATGTTCATGCCTGTGTCAACAAGGCCCCTCCTCATCCGTCAAGCCTCGACGTCCACACCGTTGACCGCTTCTGACGCAGCCGGTTCGCCGCCGCCGCCGTCATCGTCGTCATCATCTACGTCAACTCGTCCTCCCAATCAGCATCCCCCGCAGCGGCGCAGACGAATCGCTCTGGGTATCCTGACAGCTGCAGGCCTCACCGCTGGGTTAGCTCTCGCCTTCGACGAACACCACATCATCCGCCGCAACGTCCTGACAGCATATACGGGCATCTCCATTGCACTCGACTACAAGCTCTACTTCGACCCGGATGATCCAGACGCTGTTGCCGGCCTTCACGAGCGCTGCGCCAATCGCCTCTTTGCTGCTTGCGAGAAGAACCAGGGGCTCTACATCAAGATCGGACAGGCAGTAGGGGCCAACTCCCTCGTCCTGCCCCCGGCATATGCGCAGTTCACACGCATGTTCGACGATGTAGAGCGTATGCCGTGGGATGTAGCACGCGGCGTCATCGAAGCCGAACTAGCACAGCGTGGTCAGACGATGGACGACGTATTCTCCTCCTTTGATCAAGTACCCATCGCTGCCGCCTCGGTCGCCCAAGTCCATCGAGCAACACTCAAGGAGACGGGCAACCAAGTCGCAGTCAAGGTCCAACGCCCCTCGATTCGCCCACAAGCCTATTGGGATCTCCTCTGCTTTCGCATCCTCCTCAAATTCTACGAACGCATCTTCGACTTGCCCCTCGCCTACTTTGGCGGATACATCTCCAATCAGATTGAGCTCGAGACGCACTTCGACGCCGAGCTACAAAATAGTCTGAAGATCAAGGAGGCAATAGCACAGGATAAGGCGTTGGCGCACAATGTGACTGTGCCGGAGGTGTTTCCCAAGTACTCTAGCGACCGACTTCTCGTCATGGATTTCATTGGCGGTGCATGCAAGCTGACCGATCGCCAAAAGATAGAGGACATGGGGCTCAGCGTGCGCAAAGTAGCCTCGGACGTATGCAACGTCTTTGCAGCCATGATCTTCCAGTACGGCTTTGTTCAAGCGGATGGTCACGCCGGTAACGTCTTGGTCCGACGACACCCGACGGATAAGCGTCGTGGCGCTCACCAGGTGGTTCTCATCGATCACGGCCTCTACGTCACGCTGAGCGACTCTTTCAGACGGCAGTACGCTCAGCTATGGAAGAGCATCTTTACCGTTGATGTACCCAAATTGGAGGCCATCACCAGGGAATGGGGCATGGGCGAAGCTTCTGCCGATCTCTTCGCTAGCGCGACACTGATGAGGCCGTGGAGTAATCCCGAGAAAAAGAAGAAGTCGAAGCAGCGTTTGGAGGAGGAGGCAAAGGAGGCCGAAGAAGAGAAGGGCCTCAGTCAGAAGGAGGTATATGCTAGGCGGCACAGGAAGAGAAGAGAGGAGCACAAGCGCCTCTTGCGTGACTTCCTCGTTCATGTTGAGCTGGTACCAAAGGAGCTGATCTTCGTGGGGAGGTCGATGCGTATCGTCCAGGCGAATAATCAGACGCTGGGTAGCCCAGGTAAGTGGGCATCGTCAAGTTCCACACCCGGCTCCCGCTCATAGACTCTCCCTACTACGTGTGCTCAGTGAACCGCATCAACATTCTTGCGCGGCATGCCGCTGACGCTCTGGTGGATACGGTCGGCAAGGCAGCTGAGGAGCCCCTGGGATCGGCCGGTCTGCGGGACGTCTTCTTCCCACGTCGCCGCGGTGACCACTCGAACAGCATCGACAACAGTTCGCTGCCCTCGCCATCACAATTTCCCGCCTTCCGTGAGCGCCTTGCCGCCTGGCTCCGCGTTCGTCGTGACTTCCTCGTCTTCCGCGGCGCTCTTTTCCTCCTCGACGTGGCTTTCTGGACCTCTGCAATATTACACTGGACAAGACGTGCCGCTGCTAGTCCACTCGAAGTCATGGGGCTGAGATCGTCACCTGCGGAGAAGGGAGAGGGAAAAGGCGGATTCGAGGATGATCTTGAGAAGAGCATGCAAAGGATGGCCAAGGAAGAGCTGGGGGTGGAGCTGAGGAGTGAGGCGTTTGAGGGGTGATACATCAGAGCGGTGATCCATACACACTCTTTGGACGATAGATCGTAGATGCCGGCTAATCTATTCTCATTCTCGGGCGACTTTGACTTCTCTCGGAGCAGCGTGTGGCTGCCTGCTCGCTTTTTGCGCCCGTGGCCTCAACCGTCTGTCATTGAGCGGTAGGGTCAAGGACTTGCGCCAGCCTCTGAGCAACGCTGATCCCGTCATCTCGGCGCTTCTTGCCCTGTTTCACCTTCTCCCCGTTCAGATCCCACTCAACAAATCGCCTCAGAATCGCCTCAGCCCTTTTCGCCTTCTGCTCAGGGCTCATCGCAGCCTCGTCGACCTTATGAGTGGGTGCGACAAGCGCTTCAAACTGCAGCTTGGCCACATCTCTTTCTATCACGGCGACTCGGGTCACGTAGCGGGCGCGACGTAGCACAGGTTCCTCTGGCACGCCGCTGAGAGCTGCACAGTACAGTGCGTGCGAGTCTGGTGAGGCTGCTCCAGGTTGCAGCCGAAAGAGGAAGACAAGTGGGGATTGTGGCTGGCTGGTGGTTGTGGTGGTGAGTCGGCCGGACGCGGAAGATGTCGTAGAGCCACGCGAGGAGCCGGTCGCATTGCGAGGTCTTGCTGCCGCAGGGCCTGGCATAGCCACAGGCGTGACTCCGGGCGAAGCCTGCTTTGATTGAGCTGGGGTGTGAATAGCGATCTCCATTGAACAGGGCTCGTAGCCCAACCTTCGAGGTAGGATGGCTTCGTCGAAGACTTCTGTGGTGTGGAAATCAGCAACTGCATTAGCAGTCAAACTCGTATATCTCCTGTGACGTCCTGCACTCCCCATGAAAATGTGTTGTCGCCACGCATCTCGGTTTGCCCGGTCTTGCTCCATGATTCATCGACGGTAGAAGTAGCTGTCTGACCGTAGCAGCGAAGAGAGCAGCCCCATCCGTGGCCTTCGTACCCTTGCCGAACTCGTCGAGCAGTACCAGAGAGCGGGCCGTGGCGCTGCGCAGAGCATGCGAGACCTGCGAGACGTCGGTGAGGAAGCTGCTCTGTCGCCTTGCAATTGTCTCGCGAGCGTGAATGCGGGTGAGGACTGCGGGAAGGTGAGTGGAGATCAGGAAGGGCCTACTTACTCCTCTTCGCATACCCCGCGCCACTCACTCTGATCAACAACGCCAATGGTGGCTGCCTCCGCGGGTACATAGCAGCCGATCTGCGCCATAAAAGCGATGAGCCCCACCTGTTTGAGGTACACTGACTTGCCGCAGCCATTCGCCCCCGTCAAAATTTGCATGCTCGGCGCACCATCACCACCTCCTGCCGCGCGTAGCCTCGTGTCATTCGCCTGGAACGAGTCAACGCAAAGCTCCTGCAGCGGATGTCTCCCGCCCTTTACGTCGAAAACCCCGTCATCCGTCATCCTCGGCCTCGTGTAGTTATACAATGTAGCCGCCCTCGCAAAAGCGAGCAGACAGTCAATCTCAGCGCAGAGCTCGGCCACCTTCACAAGCAGTCCTGCTCCACCTGTTGCTATGCTCTCCGTGAGCTCATGAATGACCTCAATCTCTCGATCGGCAATGAAGGAGTGGACGTCTCCGAGGTGAGAGTCGAGATCAATCATCTCCGGACACTTGTAGTAGGCGCTGATTTCCGAGGCGAAATGAAAGGCCCAGCCGGCGGGGACGTCGAATGATTCGGGGAGCTTGAGTGTGTCCGTGAAGCGGAGGGCGGCGAGGTAGCCTGACCACATGAGAGGAGACAGTCAACGGCAGTCAGTTGAGGGAGTTGTTTTCACGTCGACGTAGACGTGACCTTACCTAGCTGCGGAAAGTAGGCGACATTGATAAGCCCCGACTGAGCGAAGGTGTACTTCTCTTGAAGCTTTTTGGCCACGGTGATGAGAAGGTTCGGTAGGCCGGCGTAGATCTCTCTCCATTCATCGAGCTGGTCGTTGATGCCCGCCTGCACGCACGCACGCCCTTCAATGGCACTTTGTTCCCAATCAATTGTAGCCTCGATGGACTCGGCGATACCTTGCAACGTCGCAGCGTCAAATTCTGCCAGGCAGCGCTGCACGATGGCCACCTTGTGCTGCGGATAAGCCCCATCTCCATTGGGGCCAAGTTGACTGGCCAGCTCTCGAATGTGTAACGCCCGCAAGCAGAAGGAAACGATGCTCTTCCACGCGATAAGCGAGGCGTGCCCTGCAAGAAGTGAGTCGACGAGCTTGGGTACATTCTTGATGCCTTTGAGCTGCTCGATGATAGACTCGACAATGGCCTCGTTGGACGGAGTCGTGAAGCATTCGATGGCGTTATGCCGGTCGGCGAGGACGCTGAGGTCTGTCGAAGGAAAGAGGAACCAGCGACGCATGAGGCCAGGGGATACTACCATTGAGGTGATCAGGGGTAGTGCTCGTCAGCTTCGTCTCAACTGCTCAGAGTCCTGTGCTGCTCGCGCTCACGAAGAGTGCGCGTATTATTGAGGAATGCAAAGAGGGTGAGGCCTCTTTGGCTCTCTTTGTTGCCATAGCCACTTGAGGAGGATGAAGGGTGAGAGATGGCAAGGGCTTCCCTCGTCTCCGCACTCAATGTCATGCAGCCGTCCAGACAAATGGTGTCGACGGTACGGATCTTGGCGTAAGAGACATCTTCGCCGGTGTCGAGGCCATCGCCGTCATCGGAGGTGTTACTACGAATGGAGGAGAGACGAACCAGGTTGTCGAGAAGCGCCGCAGCGGCAGCGAGCTGTGCAGATTGAGCGGTATGTCAATGTCGAGCTCTCCAGTCAGCTGTCACCTGAATCTCACAGAGAGCGGCGTATCTGGGCAACCCTTGAGTCGAGGGCCAAGCCTCATCTTGCCCGTGGCGGTGTCGAACTCCTTGGAAGGACGAATATAGAGGCGGCCACCGATAGTAGAGACTGTATGCGCGGCCAAGAGAGTCATTGAGACGCTGCACACGCAGATATCGTTTATACACGCCACACACTGTGCTTCTGAACCGTCTTCTTCACAGCATCGCTGCATTGCGAGCCCAGGAGGATGGTGTCTGGCGTGAATTGTTCGAGGACTTCAGAGTGGGGGAGTGGTCAGAGGCGCATACAGTGATCCTACACCGGCGCTGTTCCTCACGCATCGTTGCCAAGTCTCCCAGCCTGGGCTCAGAGCCATCATCATGGAGCTTGAGAGGAGGTGAGAGAGCCCGTTCTCCCTCGTCCATGGCGGGCGTGAGCGTTCGATCGATGAGATCCTGTTGCAAGCCAAGATGCGCGCCCTTGAGCATCGAATCTTCAAGAAGGAGGAGTTTGCCTGTGGCCTCTTCGTAAACGGCTGCTCCTAAGTGTGCACCCCTGGTAAGGAGGCTCAGGACGATGGGGGTGGATGTGCTGTCGCCATCATCTTCGCAGTCACTATTGACAGCTAGGCTTGGTGCCTGATGGCTGCTTGACGCAGAGTGATGGCCATGACCAGCCGCAGACGCTGCCCCTAGTGAGCAGTGGGAGCGAGGAAGGGGAGACGGCGACCCGTAGTCGATGCCAACGCCCTAAGAGTATAGAGATGGCTGCAAGTCAGTGGAGCCCGTGTGACCTCGAACCCACAAGATGCACCTTGCTCCTTTTCGACGACATCGATGGGGGAGAGGAGGTTGACGTGGTGTATAGAGTAGAGGGAACTGTGGCGGCTTTGGCGCCGGCTCGATCCCTTTTCGCGGCGGAGCCGCCGTGAGAGCAAACGAATGGAATTGAGCGGACGAGGACGAGAGGACGACATGACACAGCGGCTCGCGGCGAGAGGGAGAGAAGAGGAGAGCAAAGGAGCGTCGGACATGGAGATATGAACAGGGGACGAAAGGAGTGACGTCGAGACCACGTTGCTGCCAAGACGTCCGGGTATGAGGCCATTCAAGGCTAGGTATCCCTCATCGCTTGCATCAGCGCATCGCACTAAAAGAGCAACCCGCCCAACATCATACCACCAAGCAGACCACCAGCGATGGGCATGCCCATCCCGCCGCCGCCCATTGGCCCGTAGCCGCCTCGGTATGCCATAGTAGGGAGTGCCGGCCTGACAAAGGTCCTGGGACCCTCACGCCTGCTCTCGAAGCCGTAAGGTGGCGGGAACTGGTTGAGCAGGTGAGGAGGGTATCCCGGAGGAGGGGGCTCAGCCCAGTACTCAGTGCCGGAACGATCGTCACGACCAAGGTATTGCGCCTGACCAAACTGTGCTGCTTTGATGAACGCTTCGGCAGTCTTGCGTCGATGCTCGAGGGCGATCTGCTCCATCTCCCGATGCTCAGCCTTGGCGCGTGCCCGCTCAACGTGGTTCATCCCGGTCGACTTGTCCTTCATATTGCGACTGATCTTCTTCATCCCACTAGGAGCGGGTTTCTCTGCTGCACGACGAGCTGCTCGTTCGCCGGCGTCTTTGATGCGGCGATGCTCATCGCCCGCTGGGCTCGGGGCATGCTGCGGGGCTGCACCAGGTGGGGCGGACGATGGTGGCGCGTACTTGCCGGAGCCTGCCCCCTTCGAAGAGGCGAACTGAGGGTTGGCCTTGAGGAAGGCGGGATCATCGAGTGGGTGGGTCCAGATCGATCGTGGGGGCGTCGCTTTGGTGTCGACCCAGAAGTGATGCTTGTGGCTGCGATGAAGGATGGGATCGAAAAAGGTGTCAGTCAGCCAGCTGCGCGTACTCACGATGCGTTCCAGACCGGCGTCACTCTCGCACACTCACCCATTGTCGTATTGCATGATCCATCCGGGAGGCAGTGGTCGAGCATCCTCGGCCGGCTTGGCTGCATTGGCAGAGTTGGAGCCCTCTGCATGAGAGGCGGCTCCAGTAGAGGTCGAGGCCGTCTTGGAGGTGGCGGCATCGTAGGCCGGCGGAGGGTTGTCAGGCGTTGCCTCTGCCTTGGAGACATCAGTGGCGGATGCGGTAGGAGAAGATGTCATGTGTGCGATGCGATCAGGAGATACGAGTAGATGGATGGGTGGCGTGGCTTGTTGGTAGACTTGGTAGTAGCGGCAGCGTGTGGGTGTGGACCAGTCTGGCTACTAGCAGTGAGTCGACCTTGTCCTTGCTGCTAGCAGAGTACAGTGATCGAAAGGTTGCTAAGGATGGACAGCGAGACGGTCAAGATGTGGCGGATGGTATCGAAGACAAGAAGTCAAAAACGGCTCGCGGCTGCTTCTGACGCAAGACGTACGAGTGCGAGCGGTGCGTGTGCCTGGCGGAGAAAGAGAGTCGAGCTCTTGGCGGCTGTGCAGATGCGGCAGGCAGACGAGGTGGAGACGTGGAGGGCTGGTTCCGTCCTCACCGACTCGCAACGCCAAACGCCACCGATCCTCATAGTAGCGCACAGGTATTCATCGAAGCGTCTTGCTCTGACCGGGGATCATATCATGAGATGAGATGGCGTGTGCAGGATGCAAGGAGATTTTGAGGATTCAAAAGCAGGGATCCGATGAGAGCAGCTTGACTCAACGATGGACAATTCGGCACTCGCCGCTAGGAACGCCTGCGCCCACTGGCTTTCTCCATACCACTGCACAGGAGTCATGGCTCTTCGACAAGATGTGGTCACCTCTTTTCGTTTCCAGAGATCTTCGGGGATCGGGCAGTAGTAACAGTCCGAGTCCTTGCTTGAGATGCGAGAGCTCGCGAAGCCTCGAAGACGCATATCCAAGCTGCTGCTGCGGCGAGATTCGATCCTTCCGCTGGGGCTACTGTTGCTACTGCAAAATACAATTCCCTCTGTACCGAGACGACGCTGCTGCTGCAGTTGGGAGTAAGATCGTCCGAGAGGTCCGCTGCATCGCGGCAACGGTGGACTTTGGAAGAGTAGCTGCGGCAGTCCCCAGAATGAGAAGCGGCGAGTCCAGGCTACGAGCGAGAAGCAGGAGGTGAACGTGCGACAGTGTGAGCAGGACATGATTCTCGCGCCGCTCTTGCGCTACTGACTGGCTATTGCTCGAAGACAGTAGATGACGTTGCTCGCCGTCACGGCGACGGAGCTCATGATGACGAGGCTGTACCAAAGAATCTGGCAGTTGAGGTGCCTGACATTCTGTGAAACGCATCTGTCCAACGAAAAGGCCTGCGAGCGCCATTCGAGCAGCGAGAAAGCAGATACCCGACATCTTGCGCTTCTCTTTGCCCGCGATCAGGGGCCAGTGCGTATGGACGGTGTTGACGTACTGGTTGGTGAGAGCAGCAGACGCGATTCAGCTCGAGGCCTGGTTGCTTGTACCGCATGTCTCCCCTCCCAGAAGCAGACGCCCGTCTACAATACGACGAAGCAGGACCAGATGATGAGGTCGTCGTAGATGGGACAAAGCGAGTCGAGGTCTACGACGGCAGAGATTGAGCCCCCGGAAGTTGGCGGTGGGTCCATATCGATGGCCATTGCTTTGAAGCTGATGGAAGAGAGAACAGAGAGAGAAGATAAAAGCAAGGCTGACGGTGTGAGAGGAGCGTCTGAGCCATACGGTCGACTCTTGACTCGACGGGCCGCCCGAGTGCGGCATTGCTCTGACGCTGCGCCGCCGACCGTCCTTGTAGCGACTTCATCTATGCCATTTTGTTGCATCCGCTCGTTCCTATCAGCGCTCTGGATGCTGGGATAGCTCCGGTGAGCTCGCACGAGGAGCTCGCAAGAGGATAGATGTAGCGGGCGCGACGCGAATCCAGTCAAAGTCGCGAACCGTCGTCTGTCCCTCACCTCGCTTCTTTCCGTTCGACCCTCTCCACCATCACCCCATCTCCATCGTCGTGACAACGCTCTCGACTCAACATGGCGCCGACAGCAACAAACACATCAGCAGGCCCAGCCGCTACTTCAAACAGCACAGGAAATACGTCCTCCTCAACCGCACAGGCCATAGACGTTCCAGCGGCCTCATCCTCGATGCCGGAATCCCTTGAAGAAGCACAACAACGCTACCACGCCCTCAAATCTCACCTCGACTCCTGCCTCGCCAAGAAGCGCACGATCGACCGCTCTCTCGCCGACCTCGAGTCCCAAATTTGGCTCTTCGAGGGATCCTATTTCCAGTCCACGGCCGCGTCCGGTGGAAACATCATCAAGGGCTTCGACAACTACCTCAAAGCGACGGCAGGGCTGGGTGCGGCGGGGAGCTCAGGTGGTAGAGGGGCAGCAGCGGCGGCTGCAGCGGCTGCTGCTGCTGCTAGCAATCCGGCTGCACAGCTTGCAATGGAGAATGGAGAGGTCCCGCCAGAAGATCGCGTCTTCTCTGCGAGCAGCTTGACGTACCAGCGTAGCTTGGAGTTGAAAGCCGCTGAAGAGATGGCGAAGCAGAGAGCGGCTAGCGCCGATGCTGCTGCCGCACGTAGTGGAGCCAGCTCCAAGAAGGCTGGTGGCTCGGGCGCTGCTGCTGCTGAAGGGAGTGAAGGGACCGGAACAGTCAAAAAGAGCAAGAAGGAGAAGAAGGACAAGGGGAGGCAAAGTCAGGCGGCCGAGGATAGTGAAGTCGCAACGCCTACTGCGAAGGAAAAGAAGGACAAAAAGAGGAGAAGGGAGGAATAGCGATGAGACGGCAAGTCTCGTCTGATGTCCGAGGACATCCTCGACCTGTCATCAAGAGATCGACCGCATCTTTCGCTGCCAGCGGACTCATCCAGACACACTTGGGAGCCTCCAAGATTCTTCACCATATGTCACGCGAGACGAAGGCCGGGCTCCGTGCTCTCAATCCTCGCCCACTCACGGTCAAGCTGGCGAGATGCTCCGTCGTTCAGACGCGCGTGACCACTCTCACTCCCACCCTTTCTCACCAGGGTCGAAGCCTCGAGACAGAGTCAGGGGCCCTACGCTCTACAGGGTCACGCTGGAGCAGATGCGGGAGAAAGATATCGGATGGTTCAGAGTAGAAGTACAGATGGATAGAACAGAGAGGAACCACTGGAGGCAGGCGAAGGCGAAGGGACGCAAGGCTTCTCGTGGAGAAGCTCGATCCCTCACTGCAATACGAAGCCTGAAGGGCATCATTTCTTCTTCTTGGCGCCCGCCTTGTCACCGCCCTTGCCTCCCTTGACCCCCTTTGCTCCCTTGCTCGACCCTTCGTCCTCAGCCTTACGCTTAGCAGGCGCTGCAACCTTGAAGAAGCCGTCCAGTCTGCCCTGCTGCTTCTGGCCCAATGCCTTCGTCAACTTCTCAGCGCCCTTACGAACCCGATCCTCACTGAACCCCTTGTCGGTGCACAGGAACTTGACGAGTCCCTCGACATCCGGATGCTCCCATTTGAGCTCCATATCGTCTGCCTTGACTACGCCTGGGTTCTTGAAGATCTTGCGCGCCTCTTCAAAAGGCCAGATCTCAGGGAATACCACGCCACGCGGTCTGTCCTTGCCCTTCTTTTCGGCCTCAGCCGCCTTCTCCTTCTCACGCTCCTCGAGATGCTCACGGATTGCTTCGATGGTGCCATAATCCTTGACCAGCTTGAAGGCCGTCTTTGGACCGATGCCCTTTACAGGCTCCATGTAGTCGCAGCCGAGCAGGATGCACAGGTCAATGAATTGGTCCATGGTAAGGCCAAGCCCCTCGAGCGTCTTCTTGAGATCTACCTCGTGGACTGGCATCTTCTTTTGCTCGCTGAAGGTGAGGTGCTTGAGGAGCAGAGGGCTAGCAAAAGTCAAGGTGTCCATGTCCTCCGATCCGGCCGCATAGACCTTGCCTGCCCGGCAGAGCTCGGCGCACTGAGCTTCAGCTTCGGAGGGGGAGGTAACGCAGGGGATACCCATGAGGCCGAGGAGCTGTTTGACCTCGTCGTTGTGGGTACGAGTGGGGCGGACCTGCCTGCGTGCAAGCTGGTCAAGACGCTCATTGTCTGCCACGTCCTTCTCTTCTTCCTCGTTCTCTCGGGCCTCTTCGCGCTTCCCGAAGCGGGCCTCGAGCACTTTCTTCTTGAGGTCGGGAGGCTGACCGTCGAAGACGTACATGGGTTTCATCCCGTGGTCTATCATGCGCAGTGTCCGATAGAAGAAGCCCATGAGGTGACTGCAACGACAAGAAGGGAATGTCAGTCAGCATATATGCTGCCCTGTTTACCCCGATTATGAGAATTGTCGTGCTCTCACCTGGTCGTCTCACCGCTCTCATTCATGAGCTGCTGTCCATCACCCTGTCTGACAGCGATGAGAAACTGGTACAAGCTCATCGACGCATCGATGGCCACCTTTCGCCCAAAGAAGGACTTGATGTCGTGCTCCTTGATTGCATCTGGCGCCTCGTCCTGAATCAGCGAAGTGAGGCCTGCGGGCGAGACGTACGGGCAGTTTGAGAATGCTGATTCGTCATGAGGTCAATGCGAACGAGTGTGCCCACCTTTGATACCCATCCTTGTGATCAAGTGCGGATGCTGGGCGGAGGGTAGGATTGGACGGAGAGAAAGCAACAAGCAGATGGTAGGAGGTGGAGTCGGACTCGACGCGCCAATTTGGTGAGACGCGGCGGCGGCGCGGCCAGAAGGGAAGTGAGGTTCAGGAAGCCAGGTCCACTTCAGAGCAAGGGACAAATCTATTCTTCCAAATCTATTCTTCACTTATGGAGCGACAGAGAGCTATGCGGACACGACACCTTAGTCAAGATCTTCAAAGTAGAGCCCATTGAATCTCACGTCCTGCCCCTGCTGCACCAGAATCGTCTGGGCTTTGTCCAACGTCCCATCGCGTGTCTTGAGGTAATGCTCAAACTCAGGTAGCCCCCTGTACTTGAAGACCAGAGAACCCTCTGATACGCTCCAGAATTGGCGATTCTGCTTCTCGGCAATGTCCTCAAGGGTGCAAGGCGAGACAAAGAGGGGCGAGTGGAAGTGGTCTTCCTCAGGCGGGGACTGCGAGGAGACGATGCATTGGAAGTTGCCGTCCGTCAGGGGCTGGTCGCCAGCGTTTTTCGACGTCTTGACCAGCAAGCCGTAGTCAGTCGTCATGTCGTTACCCTCGTCGTCGCGCACCGTCTCCTTAGCTTCGACGCCGAGGGACTTTGAAGAGCAACTGTAGAAGCGATACACGTCATCGATGTTGTCCGGATTTACTACCAAGGCTGCGGAGAGCGGGTCGCCAGAGATGCTCTTTGCCACGTACGGGATGGGCCTTCCAGCAGCGGAGGTGCCGTTGGGCGTCGAATTGTTCAATATGAGGCGGCCACCTCCCTTGCCTGCGCCGAGGTAGCTCGGGGAGCAGGTGATCTGGCCATCACGAGCGATGACTTTGGACGCAGTCGAGACGGGTACCGCTAGGGAGGAGGCAGCCAATAGCGAGGCGGCGGAGGCGAGTGTGAAAAGCATGCTGAGCGGGGAAAAGAGGGTTCTTTGGGATGAGAGAGTGTTAGAGTATTGAAGGTGCTGAGTGAAGGCTAGGTCAACTTTCTCAATCGATGCCCTCTTTATACCCCTCGAGCAAGATGCGTGACCTTGAACCAGCGAGCAGAACCCTGACAAGTCGCAGCAATTGCGTCGTCTTTTCTTCGAGGCATGGCACAGCTTCGGGTGCGACGATTCTTGATTGGGAGCGTTGCGAACCTTGATGAAAGAGGTCCTGTCTTAGTTGGGAAGCGAAGACCCAACCATCTCCAGGACCAAGCTCGACGGAGCGAGGTGGCTCGTGCTCGCCTAGACTGGAGAACGTCGACGGAGATGCGTGGACGGCGAAGGGGAGCTCACCGGGACCAGCGACGAGGGAGAAAACGAACGGCCGATGGTATTCTGAGGTATCGCATATGTATGGTCGAATCTATATACAAAGAATCAGAAAGCTTGCCAAATCATTCATCAATCGTAGGGGATGTGACTTTGCGCTTCGCCTCTGGGCTTCGCCTCTGCGGGATCCGTCTGCAACGACTTCGACTCTTCAACTTGCGCCAGCTGTGACATTGTTGACCCCAAGCTCCTTGAAGCTCAACGGACTCATAACATTCTTCCCGTAGATGAGATAGTTGGGATCGTGCCCATCCATCCTCGACGCCAGTCCGTCGACATCGAAGGCGAAGGTCGAGCTCATACCCATGACCTGATGTGCCAAAATATGGCAGTGCAGCGGCCACACGCCACTTTCCTCCGCTGTGACCTCGTAACGGAGCACTGTCCATCCTCCTGCTCCACCGGTAGGAAGGATGTCGGTAGCATTCAGCGAGCTGCCGGGCTCGGGCCAGATGTTGAAGGTGTCACGGGGTACAGGATTCTTGTAGCCACTCCTGCGGGCCGCAGCTAGGGCTTTGTCGCTGAAGTTGCCATGGCCACTGGCGAGGTGCCATGCTTTGGATGAGTGGAAATGCATGGGGTGGATCTCTACTTGCCTCGAGAGCAACGACGGGCGATTGATCAGGACAATGTCGAGGACTTCGCCTTGCTTGGCGACGTATGTCTTGCTGAGCTCGTCCCAGCCTGTGGCGCTGCTGTTGTTCATGGCGCGAGTATAGCTGGGCTTCTCGGTCATGTTGAGGTAGAGCTGGATCAAGTAAGGTACCCGCGTGGTAGTCTCCTCGTTGTATACGTAATGATTCTGGCGCCAGACGTCACCCAAGCTGCCGGGGAAAGTGTGATCTTGCTGGATGCTAATGATCTGGCGCCTGGTCACTTCGGCATCGCTAGGCATCGCACGAATGTTGGATTTGGGATGGACGGCCAGCTCGCTCTGCACCCACCCAAAGTTGGCGACGGGCAGCAGGGTCTCTGAGTTGTTGACTGTGGGCGGACGTGCAGTCGTGACTTTGCAACTAGGATACCGCAGCAATGCCCAGCCGTGCGTCGATGGCTTTCTCCACTGAGCCTCCAAGCGCACCCAGTAGCAGCCATTCTTCTTGTCCCTGTCGATGTCTGCCGCAGACTTGGTCTTGAGGAGCGTGCCGTACCGCTGGCCAGCGCCGAACTCGAGGGTCTGGACACCAAGGGGCCGAAGATAGGTGCCGTCTGCCTCAACGAGCCTCTGGTTGTGGCCAAGAATGGCAACAGACTGGACACAGCACCGACAACAGGATGTCAGCACGCAAATCGGGAGGGCTGAGGACAATTCTTTGCTCACGTAATACATAGTGCCCTGCGCGCCGATCCATCGGAGCAGGTACGTTTTGCCGTAGTCGACGTCGATGACGTGCGGAGGATCGGTCCAGCCGGCTTCGCCTGTGTATGCCTTACCGTTGACGACGACATGGTTAGCGCTGCCAAGCCAGACGAAAGGATTGGCAAGCAGCCCCTTGGTCATGACGTCCTCGGTCTTGTTGTACCAATCTGCGATCATGACGGTGCGCTCCTCGTCGAACTCGAACGGAGGGTTGTCGTCTTCGATGATGAGAGGACCGGAAGCACTCATGGCCTGCAGGCCGACGTGAGCATGGTAGTAGCGCGATCCAACGTCCTCCTGGGTTGGCTTGATTTGGTATTCGAACCATTTGCCAGGCGCGATCGGCCACTGAGAGATGACAGTCCCGTCGGCATATGGCGTCATTTTCTGGCTGAGACCGTGGTAGTGCACCGTAGTGTTGTGGTCCGTCATGGCGTTGGTCACGTTGACAAGGGCGGCTGCGACGTGGCAGGGACAGGATCAGCGGATATTGCTCATTCATCTACCATCTACGGAGAGTTTTTGCGTGGCGGCAACTCACTCTCGCCAACGCGCAGCCTCATTGGAGGGCCTGGATAGCTGTTGTTGAAGACGGTCACAAGGACAGACTGGCCGCCGAAGGTGACGGTTTTTTGAGAAACCACCAGGCTGAAGCGCTTGACGGAGGTTGTATTGCTCGTCTTCCTGTCGTCAGCCGCCAGGGCGAGGTGACGTGAAGGAGCAGCCACGAGTTGCAAGGGCAGGGTGAGGCTGAGCAAGGCACACACGACGAGGAAGGGGAAGAGGAGCATGATGAGTCGTGCCCTCGATGAGAGGAGGAGAGGAAGCAATGATGAAGGCTTGAAGAGAGTGTCCAGGATGCTGCTTGTGTTGCGGGGTTTTATCAAGAAAGGTAAGGAGCGTAGTCTTCAAGGTGTCTTGGTAGGTCTGTCACGGGGCAGTGAAGGCGACGGCGGCGACGGCGGCGACGACGGCGGCAGCGGGCGGAGGCGACGGCATCAGCGAGCTCAAGTAGGGATCAGATTTTTCAATGCGAGCGGTGCTCATGCTATGTCGTTGGCGGCGGCCTCGTGACCACACTCTCAAGCTCTCTACGACGGAGGCGGCGGCATAGGGCTGCAAGCTCCCCCGCTGTCACTTGGCCGCAAGAGCAGGGCGAGCGCGAAGTGGGAGGAGGGCGGGACGTTGCTTTGACACTTGCGAAGACGAGATCTCCAGCTGGTCGGGGATAGGTAAAGGGGCGACGCCATTACCGTGCGGCAAGCAATTGACGTTGCCCTCCGGAGGCGGTACACCGTCGGCGGGTACAGCGCACCGTCTTTGCCGCCCTGGCTGTATCGAGCGGTGTGAGCGCACGGCGAGGGCGAGGCTCAGCGACTCGCAGAGATCGGGTTTGACCCCTGTGAGCCGATGCAAACAAGCGCACTCCAAGCGCTGCCGGCCGCCAGTACCTTCGTCGGCTTCGAGCCTGCTCGATGACGGTCTGAAAGCGTGTATTGGGATTGGAGTGAACGAGGGGCGTTGGGAATGATGGCGTGGTCGCGAAGGTGTTGAGTCGTCTAGCGCGAGATCGGAGACGCTGCAAGCTGCAGGCAGATCATGCAGAGACGACGCCCGTGCAGAGAGCATCACGTTCCCTTTCCCTCCGATCCACTTGTTCCTTTTTTCCTCGTCTCGATGAAGAGGCTCGGTTTCGCTTCAAAAATGGCGAACAGAAGACGGTCAGGCACTGCAGTCCTTCCTTCCAAACATCTACCTCCATCATGAAGCTCACACTGCTCGCCATTGCGGGCGGCTCCTTGGCTATCAGCGCCGCCGTTTCTGGCGCAGCTCAGATTCCCCTCGAGATGACGCGCAGATCGACGAGCCCTCCAAGCTTCGCTCACCTCCTCAATGACGGCAATGACTACCTCGATGCCTCGCTGCACAACCCCAAGTTTCAGGTTCAAGGCCAATACTCGGCTCGTTACACTGTTCAGTCATCCCTTCCCGACTCCTTGCCCTCGGGCTGCGCCGTCACCCTCGTCAACTCACTGGAACGACATGGGGCGCGCTACATGACCAACGGCTCCCTCAAGTCGGCCAAAGCTACCCTCGCAAAGATCAAGGCAAGCCTCTCCGCCTCAGGAGTAGACGCCAAGAAGCTACCAAAAGAGCTACGCTTCCTTGCTGCAGAGGAGCTGCCCTTGCTCACCTCGACCGCAGACCTCGTGCCCTACGGAGCACTGCAGTCCTACCTCTCTGGCCGATTCACCGCGCAACACTACCCCGATCTCGCTGAATCAAGCAGCGCCTTTGTCCGTACGACGGGAACAGAAGAGTCGGACCGCGTCATCGTCACCGCAAAGTACTGGGCTCTGGGCTTCTCAGGGCAGCCTTTCCCTTCACTCCCGCTAACCGACGGCGCTACCACTCGCAACGCCGTCGCTGGTGGCCCGCAACCAAATGTGGTCATCTCAGAGGCTTCGGGGCAGAACAACACGCTGGATGTCTCGACCTGCCGAAATGACGAAGATCTCAATGGAGAGGACGATGCCATTGCCGCTTACGGAGCGTCGACGCTGATGCCTCGCATTGGTTCCCGCCTCGAGAAGGCCTTCAACAAGGCCGGAGCCAGCATCAATCTGACCACATCAGACATCACGAGCCTCGGCGCCCTCTGCCCCTTTGAGACGTTGGCCCGTGCAAACGTCACCGAGTCGGGCCAGCTTGACTTGGACGTCTCGCCGTACTGCTCAGTGCTGCGGGACGACGAGTGGCCCCTGTACGGATACGCAGTCGATGCGGGCAAATACTATGGCTCGGGATACGGTGACCCGTACCATCGGGGGATCGCCACTGGGTACTTGAGGGAGCTCCTCGCCCGCTTGACGGGCGGCAGGCCGGTGATTGATACGCCCTCTGCTATCAACACGACGCTTGACGGGAGCGAATCAACTTTTCCCAGCACTCCCGCAGGCAAAGACGGCAACGCCCCACGAATCTACTTCGACGGCACTCACGACAACAATGCGTCACCCATTGCGGCTGCTTTCGGCCTCTTCTCCAGCCCGGGCAACCTCAGTCTCGCTGCTGATGCTCAGGATACGAGAGAAGGACGCAATCGTGCTTGGAGGTTCAGTCGCATCGCTCCATTGCAGGGGAAACTTGTGTGGGAGAGGGTTGAGTGCAAAGCACAAAGGGGGAATGTGGAGCCCGCTCGCTATGTGAGGGTCAGGGCGAATGAGGCCGTGCAGCAGGCAAAGAGTGCGCCGTGGTGCCCTGCCGCAAAGAACGCGTCCAGCGAAGATCGTAAGAGAATTGAGGCAGGGCTTTGCCCGCTTGACGCTGTCGTTCGGGGGCTTGACTGGGTCAAGAGTGGTGACGAGTGGGCGAAGTGCTTCACGTGAGAGCTGGGGAGAGTGGGCGGGCAGGCGGACTCCCGCCTCGACGAGGAGGACAGCGATAGCTTTGGCGGGAACGGAGCGTCGTTGGAAACAGGTCATAATGGAAATACATGTGTGTCGCTATCGTCCTCTCCCTCCCCTCCCCATTTGTGCACTCGGTGCTGTTCCTCTGCCCCTCCCTCCCCTTCCTCCCCTTGCACCTCCCCGCCTCGTCGCAACCGAGGGCGAGCCGTTCTCTCCTTGCGCAACTCCAACTCCTCTTCCCGTCGTCTTCTTCCTCGCGGTTCCATCCCCAAAGGCCCCCGAATTCGTGCTCCCCGCGCTTCTCACCACACGTCCTCTGACAACGCGTGCCCCATCCGCAAGCCAGGTCGTGTCCCACGTCTTGCGTGCCAGTCCCATGCCGTGCTGGTTGCGTGAACGGGCCGGAGTGACTACGCTGATGGGTGCGCGGGGAGGGGCCATTGGAGCTGCTATTCTTGAGTCATCTTGACGATTGACAAGAGGCGATTCGAGCATGTCGGCCGTGATGTCTAGGGCGGAGCGGACCCGCTGGAGAGGCACGGCGACCGTGGCGCCAGCTGGCGGGGCAACAGCCGCGCACGGTCTTGATGGCGACTCTTCGTTGCCTACAGCGACGAAGTGGTCTTCGTTGAGCTGTCGTGCCAGTGGAGCAGGATGCGGAAGCAGGGCTCCCCTTGCCTCATCTTCATCCTCCTGATGGCACCCAGCAATGAGACGATTAGGCAGCAACCTCGACTCGCTGTGTACGCGCGAAGCCCAGCCTCTTGCTCCTCCTCCTCCTGGTCCGCCTCCTGCCCTCAGCAAGATTCCTACTCCACCAGCTGGCGTCCTTGGATTTCTAGGTGGCGCATTATAGGATTCGCCTCGGCTGACCTCGTCGGCCTCCCGAACATCGTCGTCGTTGAATTGTGCCCAGTAACCTGCCTGCTTTTCGGAGCTCAGCTCGTGTAGAAGGGGAGCGAGTCCGCGTCGTGGTGTTTGACTTTCTTCTGAATCTACAGCGAGTGGCGGCGCCGGCGGTAGAGGGACGGAGAGGGAACGACTCGTGGCTGGAAGCGTAGAGGTGAGGGTGGAGGATACTTGCTCTTGACGCTCAGACGCAGAGTCTTGGCGCTGGTGGGCGTCAGGGGATCGACTTGGTGGTGATCTGATTCCTCGCGGGGATTGTGCGCCTCTTCCTGCTGCTTGCTGTGGTGGACTACGTTGTGGTGTCGATTGGCTTCGCCTCGGCAGCGGCGATGGCAAAGGCTGTTCATGTTCATCGTCGTTGGAAGCTGGGGGACATGTACGCGCAATGCGTTTCCTCGAGAAGAATTGAGTGGCGGACGGCTCTTCTTCCTCAGCATCCGGCCGAGATGCCTCATTCTCTCCCTCGACAGCTCGCGCAAAAGCTCGATGCCGTGGTCGTGGCCTGCTCAAATGCGCTTGGAGCGTTGCCGATGCCTCTGGCGCAGCAACGCCGGCCGTAGCCGGACTCGCACGTCTCCTCTTATTGCTGCTTGACTGATAGCCCTCATTATCAGCCCTTGTCGCCGCCATCGAAGAGCTTTCGACGAAGATGGCTTCCTCGTCGTCGTTGACTCCATTGAAGCGCCCGGCTATCCTTGGAACCCTGAACCCATCGAGAAAGAAGCGACGTTGTACCTGAGTAGCAAAGTGCTGGCCTTGAGTCCACGGAAGTCCGACATCGAATGGGTTTGCGGGTGAAGGGGAAGGCGACGATGCCTCCTGCTCTTCCTGGAGGCGGGGTTGCTGCTCCTGACTATTACCTGGCGTATGGAAGGAGCTGAGCGGGATAGGAGAGAGCTGGTCCCACAGGCCAGGGCTGGAAGGAGTCTGCGACGCGCATGACGCGGACATTGCTGACTAGTCGCCCCCAAGGCGAGTAGAATGCAAACGCGCTTACGAGGGCGAAGTGGCTCTAGGCATCTGTGAACGGTATGTGATGTAACATCAAAGGTCAAGAGTGGTCTGTGATAGCATTGACCGAGGCCGTGGGCCTTGGTGCCCACTTCCGCGCCCCTTTGGGTCCCTCGCGTTTCGGAACGGGGAGGCCAAAGAGGCCGTCGTCTGTCCGCCTTTGGTTGGTTGCTCGTCCGCCTTTGGTTGGTTGCTCATCCTCAACTCCCATTTTGATATTGGCAATGGCAAGGGCAGCTGCGCCCGTGCGCCCACTCGATGCGGCTGAGCAGGGTGAGTAGGCGGTCACAGGACGCTTTCACGTAGACGATTTTATATGCTCAACACTCTTGCCCCTTTGCATCCAGATACCGTCCTGCGGTCACGCCTCTCGCACTCTCTCGCACATCGCCCGCTGAACGGCCTCCGCAACCGCATAGCATCCATCCTCACAGCCTCATCATCGCTTGAACAATTCCAAGATGACAGACTTCCCTCTTCGCCATCCTCTCTGCCATTCCCTCTCCTCTGCGAGGCTCAAGGATACCTAGCGCAAATGCACCGAACCCACCTCGCCTCGACTTGCACCTCCTCCGCTCAGCTCGAGGCCTACGCAATTCAGCTCAAAGAGGTGCAGCACGAGGAGCAGCTGTGCAAGCAAAGGATCGAGGGACTCAAAAGAGAATTGCAGGGGGTCAGGAGAAGAAGAAGGGAGAAGGTCGAATTTGGCAGAGTCGTCGAGGGGATTGAAGCTTGGTTCAAGCCGCAGGGGACGGCAGAAATTGAGGATTCCCTCTCCACTCTTCTATCCCACATGACGGCTTCTTTCCTTTACCAGGCACCGACAGCAGAAACAGACGCTGCTGCCGCTGCTGCTGCATCCCCGCACACATGCACCCTCAGCACGTTACATGCCAAGCTTGAGACGATGCTTACTCTCTCCAGAGAGATTCGAGAGATTGTAGGCTGGAAGCCAGGTACAGGCATGGTTCCGCCAGCAGCAGCAGCAGCAACATCTTCCTCTGCAACGAATGTAGCCGCGGATGGTGACGAGGAAAGCAGCGCAGGGGCCTCATCAGACCTCCGCGACCCATCATCGTCATCATCGCGCTCCCGCCTCGCCACCCTTAATCCAACCGCTCGTCCCTTCCGTCCTTCCTCATCCGCCGACTCGACCTCGGGCCTCTCCTCTCCACCAGTGCAGCAGAGCAATGCGTCTAAAAGACGTGTTGCCGCCAGCGCGGCCATCCCCGCCAACTCGTCCCCTCTCACCTCGTCGGATGCGCTCGGCCTGGACGACGAAGGAGAGGAAGGAGCTATTCCGTCTACCCCGCCTGCGACTAAGAGGAGAAGGGTGCAGGGACAGGTTGAGAGTGCCGCAGCTGTGCAAGAGGAGGAAGAGGAGGAAGGAAGCATCGCTCCGACGACGGCGCCGTCAGCAGCAGCCACAACGGCGAGCGCAAGTGCGGCACGACCGGCCCGTAGTTCGGCCGCCGCCTCCTCTGGACCATCTGGCGGCGGGCGTGCAACACTGACCGGGCGTCCACCGCCATCGAGGGCGGCACTCTCCAGATCGGGGCTCGGCAGCGGCGGTGGTGCGCGTAGAGGCGGGCGAAGATGAGCTCGATGGCGACGCCCCCATCGTGGCAGCCACACTGCCACTGCGAGCTATGGACCTGACAGCTGTTCATCCCTATGCAATGCCATTCCCGTCGCGTTGCGAAAGGAGCAAGACATCAATCGTATTTAGCAGTAAGGGATACACGTCGGCTACAGGCCAGCAAGGATGAGCAACTAAAGCAGAGGCCGAATCAGAGATACCACGACTAGACACCACTCCGCGCCTCACGCCTCCCCCTCGAGCTGACCTCTCAGCACTCGCTCCACCTCTCCTCTCGTCACCCTCATTCTCTCTTCCAATCCTTTCAGCCTCACCTCCCCTTTCACCCTCATCTCCTCAAGGGCTGCCGAGATCTGCAGCTCCAAGTACGTCTGGACGGTCATGTCTTGTGCTGATTGGAGATCGGACAGCGAAGACAGGGCGGGGAGAGCAGGGATGTGCGGTTGAGACTGAAAGCTGGGTTTGACTGGAGATGGTGGGGGCAACGGGAGAGGTGCGGTTGCCGGGGGTGGGGGGGAGGGTGCGAGAGGTGCTGATGATGAGGAACCTGCGGAGGGGGCGAATATGGCCTTTGCTGTCGGTGCTGAGGTGGACGAAGGGAGCGCTTCCTGCTGTCCCCCTTCTTCGATGGCCATTGCCACGTCAACGTTTCGCCCTTCCTTCGTCGACTCTGATGGCGCCTGGTTCTCCTGCTCGACCTCTTCCTCCTCCGTGACCATCTTCTCCGCCTGCTTCTTCCCCTTTCCGTCCGTCCGACTCCTAGAAACAGCACGTGAAGTAGCAGCAGCCTTCTGCCCACTCGGTGCGCGCTGCTTCGATGGCAGTGGGGAAAGGATGCGCTTCGCTGAACTGTCGGGTTGTCTTGGAGAGGAAGGAACGGGCGCAAGAGAGGGGGCAGTTCCGAGGCATAGGGCGGCTTGTTGATGCTCCACTAGCGGGGATGTGGTGATGTGTGCTTGAGGGGCTTTTTGCTGGGCATTGCCCTCCTCTAATGGTGGCGACGCAGAGGCTGAAGTCGATGCAACGAGCTGTTTGACCTCTTCCTCACTCTCCTTCTTGGTCGATGAGCCGGACGCGCTTCTCGTCTTAGGCTGGTCGGCCAGCTCGGCAGCCCTCTTCGTGGTTATGGCGGCGCTTGCTGCTCGTGAGCGGGTGGGTCGCTTAGCAGGCAGAGGCTCTTCCTGCACCACGTCGGCCTCCGTTGGCACCGCAGTCACAGAAGCTGCCGCCACCTCCACTTCCTTGGTGCCCTTGGGCTTGCGACCACCACGACGAACGGGCTTGGCTGCCTCCTCGTTTTCTCCCTCTTCGTCTTCTTGGGCCGTAGGCACAGACTTGCTGTTGGCCTGGCTGGAGGAAGCAATGCGGCTGCGATTGCGAGCGCCGGCACCGGGGTGTTTGGCCGTCTCGTCGTCTTCCTTTGTCGCCTTCTCCTCTTCGCGCGCCTCCTCGTCTTCTTCTTTTTCTTCCTCTGCAGCAGGCATTGCCGCAACGATGACTGTTGCGTCTTGACCATCTAGCTCCTCTGCTGCTGCTTCTGACTCTGAATTGGCGACAGACGATGTCGTCCTTGCTAAACGCGTCGCTCTGCCTGATGTCTTTGACTTTGCCGAGCGCTTGTTGGCTGACGTGCGAGTTGAATGTGTGTCTTTGGCCGTGGTAGTCGTTTCGCCATTCTCCTCCTCCTCTACGTCCTTCTCACAATCCTCCTGCGCCGCTGATTCGAGCATCTCTTCGGTCTCGGACTGCTTTTCCTTCCCCTTGCCCTTCCTGCTCCCGCTAGTGCTACGAGTCGTCTTGCCCCTCGTCGCGGCAGCCTTTCCTCCTCTTCGCTTGGGTTTCTCCGTCTCGCTCTCTTCTTCCGCCTGGCTGGCCGCTTCTGCCTGCACGGCCTCAGCCTCACTCTCGCTCGCCGCTTGGGCTGCTTTGCGCGTACCCCTCGTTGAGCGCGTCGTCGCCGTTGTCGTTGCTGAGGAGGCCGACTCGGTGCGAGCGTGGCGACTCGGCTTGGTGGCAGCTAGGCTGTTGGCGTTTGCACTCTTTGATGTCGTCGACGAGCTCTTTTTGACAGTGTTGCGAGCTGATCTGCTGGTCGCAGGCTTCGCGACGTCTTCAACATTGTCCTCGTCACTGTCTCCATCGTCACTCTCCTGCTTGGAAGGCTGCACTTTGCGAGAGCGAGCATGACGAGTTGTTGGAGCGTCCTCCTGCTCATCTTCATCGCTGCCGTCTGCCTCGCTGTCGACCGCCTTGGATCTAGACACGGACCTCGCATTTCTCGTTCTTGCTGGCTTGACCTCTGCTTTGGTTGCCTCGACAGCAGCCTCCTCCTCCTCGTTTCCAAGCACGCAATTGAAAAAGGGGCACTCTGGCTTCTTGCGCATATGCTCATGCACAGGGTCGTCGCCCTTTTCCCATCCACCCAATGTTCTCGAGCAGTATATACAGCTGGCGTTATCCGCATCGTCTTCCGTGGGCTCAAAGTGAAAGCCAGCCTGTGCCAGCTTTTGCGCCGTCGGCTTCCACGCCTTCTTGGTGTCATGCGGCCACAGGTCGGCGAAGGTACGACGCCGGGCAGCGATCATCACGTGGCCATTGGGCAGGAGATCTTCATCTTTGTACAGATACTGGCCTTCCGAGGACTTGGACGGCTGGCCGGCACGCTTGCTGGACCAGATGAGAGCCCAAGCATTGTCTGGCTGCTCGGAAGCGAGGCGATCCTCGGCGTCGTCGCCTGCTTTGAAGTTGGATAGGGCGAGGCCGTCGATGTACGATACAACGCGATCGTTCTCTGTGCCACTCGGAGAGTAGTAGAGGCCCAGCGACGCGAGTTGAGAAGGCAGAGGGTGTTTCGATGACGAGGCAGTCGAGTGTGGCCATCCTCCTGCTCCTCCTGTCTGCCGTGATCGGCTCGATGACGATGTAGTGGTAAAGGTGGCCAGTCGAGCCTCCTGAGATGCCATCTCTGGCGCAAAGGCGCGTGTTGCCGACGATGGCGGCATATCGACTTCGTTTTCTGAGAGGCGATGATGCGAACGACGGAGAGGAAACAAAGGCAAATGCGCATCCAACACTCGCCTTGCCGCCTCCCGCTTGCCCGTGTGCGGAGTCGCGTTTGGCGTCAACTTCACGTGGCCTGTGCCTTGATCCGCCCTCTGTCCGTCCTATCCGAGCGTGTTCAACCTCCTTTCAGTCAGGTCGACGACGTTGGCATCGATGAGCGATACGGTGAGCGCGGCGTGGGCCATAGAGCATCGGCAAGCAGCAATCGGAGATGGCTGACACGAACACGCTACACTAACAGGACGACCTCTACCAGGCGCTCCACCATCGTCTCATCACCACGGGCGAATGGCATCGGTGAGCAGACGAGGGCGCTCCATCACCGACACCAACTGGCGCACAGCTCACACTTGTTCCCATTCTCGGCCAGACTGTCCAATCTACTCGAGCAATTGCTCCTCGACTCGAGATGGTCCTCTGATATGGCAGACTATGCCACGCAGAAGGCTCAGTCGATGGATAATCTCAATCTCGACGATCTCGTAGCCGCGGTTCAGGCCAAGGGGCAGAGTGAGCATACGCTACGCTGGGCTGCCACGGCAATGATTTGACTGAGCTTGCTGATGATCGATGACCCTCTCCTCGCAGAATCGGTTCCCAAGCAAGTCCAGACGCAGCTCCTCGAAAAGATTCGCGACTTCCTCGACCGCAATGTCGAGGATGCGTGATAGCGGCGGCGGGTCGGCGAAGGCGTTGATGCCAAAGGTCGAAGGAGGAAAGATGGTACCATCTGTTGTAGGACTTGTGTTAGCATAGGCGGACACAGGCAGCGAGCTAGGCTACCGGAGGCACTACTGCATGGCGGTGAAAGAGACCACCCTGAGCTGCGAGGCTCAATCTATATATTCAGTATTAAATCGAAAGGCCGCTCAATAACGCAACTTGGACAGCCGTCTCGCGATCTCTGCATTCGTCAGGTCCTGAGTACGCTGAAAAGGGAGACAAAGACGTTGCCCCGAAAGCTGTCATTGGAACCCCTGGCTGATGAGGACGGGGGGTGGCTGCGCCTGCAGCTGGTTCACGATGCCGCCGGCTCCCATGACGGCGGACGACCCTTGCACAGGCACACGAAGTCGAGGTCTGAGCAGGGAATAGCCGATGGGGACATCACGACAGTCGCCGACAGCACAGCGCTGTTCTCGTGAGAGGTAGAGAGTAGCAGCAGCATTTCAAGATAGCTGATGATGAGCCGGATCTGCTTTGGTAGAGCCACGCGAAGAGGAGATTCTTGGACCGACGGACCGACAGAAGTGCATGAGTGCGTGCCCTGAGCGTTCGATGGGCGCAAGGCGCATGCCAGTCGGAACTGGTCGTGAGGCTCTTCAGGGCGCAGGCCAGGCTTGCTCGCTCGCTCCCTTGGCTGACGCCTTGGAATGAACGCCGCACGACTTGCCGCATCCCTCTCTTTCTCCGCCGCCAAGGGAGCAAACAACAACACTCGCTCACCTCACCTGGACAAGGCGGCGACGGCAGAAGCAGCAGCGAAAGTCTGCCTGTGTGCAAGCAAGAGAGAGCAGCTGAGCTTGAGACACTTGCACTTGAGCTTGGGCGTGAGCCTTGCTTGGCCTGCTCTGGCGTCAGACATGAGATTGAGACTGCTACCTGGTCGTCAATTGGCCCTTCTCACTTTCCTCCTAACCACTCCATTCACTCGCTCCACCGCTTGACATCCCCTGCCCCCTTCTCCCCTCGTCACTTCGTGACCTGACACTCCAGAGAGGCGACGACGGCGACCTCTACAACGCCCAACCGCCAGCGCCTCGCTTTCCCCCACACTCTTTTGCATACACCACCATACGCCCGCCGCACCTGCTACGCCATCTCCACGCTTCACGCTCAGCTAGCACTCCAACCGACTGATACCGCAACGCCCACTCGCAACACCGCAACTGACGGCCCTCTTCTTCCTGTCCCACACTAACACGATCGGCCCACGCTAATCACATATCCCCCACCAACGCCGCCGGCATGCCGCGCATCCCGGTTCGCACTGAGCCGTACTCGTCGCCCTCGCGACAGCACCGTCACTACAAGAACAAGAGGGACCAAGTCCTTCGCGCTCTAGGCAAAGCTGCCTACATCAATGGCTCCCACTTTGCCATCATGTGGGTGACGGCCTCGGGCCAGTCAGAGGTCTACGCGAGCGACGCTTTCCAACCTCGCATCGACGATTGGTTCGAGACGAGTGGCATGCGCGAGGAGGGCGTCAAGCTTGTCCTCGAGCGCGGCAACCACTGCCATGCAATCAAGGGCAAGGGTCTCGATGCTAGTAGCGGCAAGGCGGCAACAAACACTTCAGGACAGGCCGACGACGACGACGGAGAGGATGGCGATGAGGGAGACGACGACGATGGCGATGAGGATTTGAGCGACCACGAGGGGCCCGCCAGCGGCCGCGCCTCGCCACGGTCCAAAAAAGTAAAGAGCAATGCTCCTACTCCCCTCATTGCCTGCAACGACGACGTCTTTGGCTCGACGTCAGCTGCCGTCTCACCAGCTCCTCCTACATCCATGTCACCCTCCGGCAGGCCAGGATCTTCGCAGTCGACATCGGCCGATTTGGTGCCCACTCGCTTGGCTCGCAAAGCACTGGCCCCCATCGATATCAATACAACCAACAAGCAGTTCTCGCATCAGCTTCTCAACACACAAAAGGACGACGTCGACTTCATGCGCGCACCAAAGTCAGCACCGCTCCCCAACTCAGACGGCGGCAAGCCCCTTATGCGTGCGCCTAGCTCTACCACCGTCAACCCTTCCAAGCTCCTGCCCGTCACCCTTGCCGATCGTGCTGCTCGCACCGCCTTCTTTGAGCTGCGCTTCGGCCAGATGCAGCAAGGAATGTGCAAGACGGTAGCCAAGGCGTGGATCAAGATCATTGAGCCAAAGAAGCAGACACGTTGCCCTTACAACAAGGGCGAAGAGGGGAAGCCCGACTGGTGGCCAGAAGGGGTACGCCACAAGGAGCCTGACCATCTCATGAAGCCAGAACGGCATGCATTGCTCCTCGCCATCCTGCGAAGCCCCAAGGTCAAGGTCGCTCGATTGCAGCTCGCGACAGCCGAAGTCGTCGCCATGATTCGCGCAGACAAGGTCAGCCTCCTCATGGACCTCTACCGCATCGCTCGTGAAGAGGAAAGGCTCACCGATGCCCGAGCTGAGACAGCAGACACGGAACCCATCACAGTCGGCGTCTCTACGCTGGCTGGTTGGAAGCCTGGAGGAGGGCTCGATGAGGCCGGCAAGCTCGCCACGCTCGGCGAGGACTCTCCCGAGGTCGACGACAAGCCTGCAGGGCGCAACAGCAAAGCCGCAGCAAAGAAGCGCAGGCCCAGCACTCTTGGGCGCAGCGTCAGCTCTACAAATGTCGAGAAGAAGCAGCGACTCAGCATCAGCGCGGGAGCTTCGAGCGGCAAGACGCTCGCCATGCCTGAGGCTGTCGCTCTTCAAAGGAGCCACTCGCACAGCGACATGCCTCTCAACAACAGCATGGTCACAGCCTCGTCGCTCGTCGACTCTCCCAACCGCATGATCCAGGCGTGGTCACATCAAGCCAGCATGCCCGGCTACTCCCCCTTGAGCACCCAGGCTGGGCCCTCCGGCCACGCGCATACCAGAAATCTACAATACCAGCTCCAACAGCAGCAGCAACCCACCTACCAGCAATACGCCGCTCAGCACCTGGGCAATGAGCACTCTCCCTTCCTTGGCAGTAGCGCAGGCAGCTCGCCCCACTTTGTACAGCAAGGCTTTGCACCTCCAAATCAGCGTCTGCAGTACCTTTCTCAGCAGCATCAACCAGGCAGTCTCTCTGCGCCACAGGGCAGCCATGTTCCGCTATACCCCGTCGGTGCTCGTGCTGGTGCAGCGGCTGGCCGCGGATTGGGTGCGTTGGAGCCAAGCAGCGGCGCCGGGAGGACGAGTTCGTCTGTGCGCGGGTCGCCTGTGCCTAATTACAACTTCCACTTCAGTAGTGGTAGCGAGGGGTACGAGAATACGATGGAGAGGTACGAGCAGCAGCAGAGCAACGTGCAGCAGCAGCATCACCAACAAGCACAGCAGCAGAGCCCCCTGTTCGCCGAGCCGCAGTCTAGCAGCGAGAACCAACATGGTTCAGCTCTCGGGCTCACTGGCGTGCCCACAGGTATGACATCTTGGAACAATCCGTTCGACCCGGCCTACATGCCTTGGGGCCCCCAGCAGCAGCAGCAGCCCCAACAGCCCCAACACGATCAGCCTCGCCAACTCGCTCAGCAGCAGCAGCAGCCTCTCCCGTCCTACTACAGCGCACCCGCCCGTCATATGACCCTTCCCTTCACTAGCTCCTCCACAGCAGACGAGTCTCTCGAAGACATCTCTGCTGGGGACCTCTCCTTCGCCTCCACTGCTGGACCGATGACGCCGCAGCATGGCCATGCTCACGGACATGCGACGCAACAGCTTAACAATCAGCAACATCTGGCACTGCAGAAGTTGGCGCAGCAGCATCAGATGCAGGATGGCCAGCTCGGTCAGCAGGTCCAGCAGCCTGATTTGCTCACGCAAATGTACGGGGGGGCCGTCCCTGCCAGACTGGCCAGACAGCCCGGAGGGTACGTGGAGTGGAGCGGCGAGACGTAAGGCCTCTGCGCGTTGCTCATACCTTTGAGTAGTCGCGTCTGTACCCCTGTATCCACTTTGGGGGTCATTCAATCCCTCTGCTCATCGATATTCCTCTTCTTCTTCTTCCTAATTTCCCGCCGCCATCGGCCCACACACTCCTTTGTAGCGTCACACCTATCCTCGCTTCGCTTCCCTTCACTCTCTCAACTCTTCAGTTCGCTTCTTCGACTTTCACGATACCGTATACCTTTCGTCAATGCATGATGATTTTTGACTTTTACCTTCGTGCTGGAAGTAGACCGGCGATCAGGCGTGCGCGTATGTGCACGCGAGTGGTGTTGAGAGGATCGCTACATTCTCCGACAGGGTCACATGGCACACGCGACACGTGAGACTACCGCAACGGATTCGTACGAGGTCAACTCCTCCCAGCTCAACTGCATCAGACCTTGCTCGTTTCAATCGCAGGCTTGTGGTGGCTCCACTTAGTCCACGGCCAGGTTATCCTTGACCGGAGGGTACTGTGGCGTGGTCAGTGAAGGGCGAATGACATGATCAGTTGATGACGAGTGGACAGTAAGGCTCATCAGAGTCTCCGACTCACGCAGGAGAGATAGAGATCCGCTTCAGGATCCGTGGAGTCTATGACCCCCTTGATCTTCATATTGCCGGAGTTGGTATTAAAGAAGCCTTGGATACTGCACGATGCGACGTACACTAAGCTATGATCAGTTCTCCTCAAGCATCAGTGGCGTGCTGACACGCACCGATCATTACGCGTCTTGGCCGTGTCCAATCCCTTGTATGTCGAGAGATGATGAAAGAAGGACCAAGTGATGGTCGAGCCTCCACAGCCAGTAGCCGTGCCCTTAGCGCCAGTGTCAGCCATAAGGTACCACCGGCCAGCGCCTGTGTGAGCGGATTGCTCGATGCCCCCGCCTTCAACTACAATGTTCGGGCCAGCGCTGTGAGAGTGAGGGGGTCGATGGTAAGGCAGCATTTTGCCAGGAAGTAAAGACAATCTGAGCTCACAGGATGCAGTGTCTGCCTTTCTCGCCGCAGGCGTCACCCAATCCACGGATCTCGCCAGCGCCTCTTGTGAGACGGGCAATAGCTTCAGCCGTGCCACTGAAAGGGAAAAAGATGACAAGGAACAATGAGAAGACAAGGGCGAGCATTACGACTTGTCGCTCAGGGTGTGCTAAGGTCTCGAAGAAAGGGGTAAGGGAGGCACAAGGGCGTAACGGGGACTGAGGACCTCGTGTTCTCGTGACCGCCGACCAGTTGGGCGCAGGGCATAGCACTGGGCTGCTCAGCCATGCGGAAATGGTCGCTATGAGACAATAATGGCTTCTTTACGGATCGACGAAGAATATGACGGGAAAGGATGCCAATCACGCTGTGAACATGAAGGTCTCCTTCGGTACGTCACGGCCTTACACGCACGACAAGTACAGATCCGCTCCACTCTGCCTGGTGCTCAAGTCTCCTTTGATAGACACCTGGCTCGGATTCGTGCTGAAACACCCTTGAATCTTCGCGTTGTGCGTCTTGTCAGTGGCATTCCCCTTGTACACCTTGAGCAGTCTGCCCAGGGAAAAGAAGATGGTTGAAGCGTCTGCACATCCCTCTGCTTTGCCGTACGAGCCATCGTCGCTGGAGAGATACCAATGCCCGCCTGTCAGCGTGGGCGAGGAGGCAATCAAGCCTTCACCCGTGACTGTGATACCCGGTCCGGCGCTGTGCGGGGGAAAGAAGGAGGGGTTAAGCTCCAGAAATCGATGCCGCGTTGACATTGATCTCACAAAATGCAGCTGACGCCTTGTTTACCGCAGAGCTCTCCAAGGGCGACCCCAGCTGCGCAAGTGAGACAAGAGTGACGATTAGTTGAGCTCATCGAGACTTCGGGCCGATGGCACTACCCACGCGACGTGATGGGCGCTGCCTCTGCTCCTTTCGCGTAAAATCCGCAGCAATTTGCCAGTAGGGCGGCAGCAAGGAGCGTCAGCTTTGGAGTCAACATTGTGCGTATGGATGCGGGCAGGGGTGCAACAAGACAAGGGCGCGAGGGATCTCATCGACGTGGCATTGTTCGGAGTATACGTCTCCGGTCGAGCCAATCTAGGGCCGCTGATACAAAGCCGGCCGCTCACGCCGGTGATCACGCCGGAACTCGGAGAACCTCTGGTCGGTGGTGAGCTCTCGACAACGACAGCGAGGCTAGACGAATTAGCATTAAGGGCCTGCGGGGCGACAGGCATCGTCGCCAATGAAGGACTCGAGTAGCTTCAGACCTACATGGAAGGAGGTAAGGAACGGTCAGTATTGGTCGAGCAAGCGACGCAGCAGCTCGCAACTCGTCCCACTCCTAAGCCGCTGCCTCCTCCATCTCATTGTAGTTGTCAGTCTGTCCGCATCCTGCAATCCACCCCACCCCGCAGCGCCGCCACCCTCCTGAGCCTGCACCATCACACAGCATCGAATCACCTCGCTTCCACCTCTCGCGCTCGTCCGATGGGCGCAATCTCATCCTGACGTCCTCGCGAAGAGTGGCGCAGCGACGAAAAGAGTGCGGGTCGATCGAAGGCGAGGACGTGAAAGTTTCGTAAGGCGAGCGACATGGTGTGGCTGACGAAGGGGGGAGGGGGCAGCCCGCCTGAGTAGAGGAAGACGCGAGAATGGGAATCTTGCCCTATACCGTCTCGTCAAAGGGAGCAGCTTCCGCTCCTCTTACGATCAAGGATGACATCTGAAGCGGTGTTGATCATCGTACAACGCGCCATCTACTAGTGGCTGCCTCTTCCAACTCAGCTAGTCTTAGTACTCACCGATAGCAAAAGACTAGCGCGAGATTGCTGCCCTCGTGATGTCTCGAGTGTCTCCGTAGGAAGACGGCGAATGCGGAGGCATTGGAAGTATGTATGGGGTATCAAGGATGGTATGGTGCAAACGGCGTCTCCCCTTCTCGCCGCAATGCGATCGACTTTCAGTAAGACGATGTCGTCATCGGTGCAGCTACGGCAGGGCCCTCATCCACCCTCGGCTTCTTGCGTCTACCAGACAAGGCCTGGCGTCTCAGCTCATCCAACTCTGCCTCATCCTGGGCTTGGCTTTCGACGGTAGCTTGGGCCCTCTTGGCCCGCTGCTGGTCTTGCTGCTGTTGACTTTGTCGTTCGATCTTCTCCTCCTCTTCGACTTGTTCCTCCTGCTCGCGTTCCCGCTGCCTCTCTTCTCTAAACTCGCGCGCAGTGTCAAAGATGCGCACACTATCCGGAGTGAGGTAGTTGAAGCCCATGCGTTTTTGCCACTGATGGTCCAGCTCACCTGGAAGCCGTTCGCCCCACGGGACCTCGGCGTTCGCTGGTGGACGCGGTCGTCTGACAGGGTCAAGAGTGCCATCGGAGGTGGATCGAAGACTGTCGCTGACATTGCTGCTACCGCTTCCACTGCTTTCCTCTTGCTCCATCTGAGCTCGAAACCAGGAGCGTCGCTCAGGATCGTCGATGTGGGTGCGGTGGAAGGTGGCGAGGTCCATTGGTGGCGTAGGTGCAGGCTCAGACGACGAGGATGCGGCAGGAATCGCGCCTGGTCTGTCGAATGGCGCAATGACGCAAGGCAGACAGCTGGTACAGCACTCTTCTGTTGCAGGTCGCGCTGGCTGCTGGGGTGGCGTCTTCGACTTTGCCTTTGACCGCGAGGAGCAGCAGCTGGCAGGCGCCTCTGGCTCTTGACTTTTGCCGTGCTTATTGCATCCCAAGCACGAGCATGCGCCTTGACAAGTGCAGTCAAACTCTACGTAGAAGGAGTGAGCTGGGGAGGGAGCCTCAGCAGCTGCGGCTGCCACGTCTGCTGCGAGGTCTACGGGCGTGGTCAAGGGTCTCTGGGCCAGGCCAGGTCCGCAGGCATCACAGTCCCTCTTTTCGATGACGTCGTCGTCGACCACGAGGCATTTGCATTTGTCCTCGCCGCAGCATCTCGACTTGCGAGGCTGCTTTGCTGTTGGCTTTGTCCACTTGCCAGTCGACTTGTCGATGGTACAGCCTTTAGGTCGACCCCTTGAGCGGACCTCGAAGAGTTGTCGGTACGTGTGTGGGCATACGGCACTGCGATGACCGCGGATGCAGTTCTCGCAGGCCATCTTGACGCCATTGACGACTGGCATGGCGGGCGGCGAATGAAGGGGATGATCAATGGCGATGATGACGAGGCAAAGACAGCAACATGCGAGCGCGACTTTGAGCGAGAGTTACAGTCCACTAGCGTCGAGCAGTCGAGCAGTCGAGCTGCATGGTGGAGAAGAGCAGCGGACTGAGCACATAGAGGGACATGGGTCTCAGTCGAGAGAGCAGCTGTATTCCGTTCCGCCCACGAATCCGTCGCGACGGAGAGAGGTGCCTGTCGAGCGGGACAAGACTGGGTAAAGCGGCATTCATCCACACTTCGGATCCCATCAACCAACTCATCCTCGTCTGGCCTGTCGCCATGGCGTCCTCTTCACGGTCGTCAGCGCCCCGCATCAAGAACCGTGCGCCGGCGCCTATCCAGATCTCGGCGGAGCAGATCCTACGAGAGGCACATGAGAGACAGGAGCAGCCCCTTCCTCAGACGAAGACTCGCGTCGAGGATTATGAGGAGCTCGAAGAGTACAGAGGCAGGAAGAGAAAGGACTTTGAGGAGCAGATCAGGAGAACGAGGGGCAATGTCAGTATTCATGAGATCCCTGAGCTCGCAAATCCATGCTGACTTCTTTGACCTCCTTGCCCCGCTCAGATTACAACATGGATCCGCTATGCAGTCTGGGAAGCATCGCAGGGTGAGCTCCCACGCTCGCGCTCCGTCTTCGAGCGAGCCCTGGATGTCGACCCTTCCAATACCAACATATGGGTCCGCTACACCGAGACGGAGCTCAAGAATCGCAACATCCAGCATGCCCGCAACCTCTACGACCGTGCCGTATCGATTCTTCCGCGCGTTGACGCCCTCTGGTACAAGTACGTCCAATTGGAAGAGCTGCTCGGCAACGTCGACGGAGCTCGTCAGGTGTTCGAGCGTTGGATGTCTTGGCAACCGGATGAAAAGGCTTGGGCAGCTTACGTCGGCTTGGAGGTCAGATACAAGGAGATGGAGCGGGCGAGCGCTGTCTGGGAGCGAAGCGTTACCTGCCATCCCGATCCGCGGCAGTGGATCAAATGGTCCAAGTTCGAAGAGGACCGCGGCGCATACGACGAGGCCAGACGAGTCTTTACTATGGCTCTGGAGTTCTTTGGCGAGGATGAGGACAGGATGGAGAAGGCGCAGACGGTATATACGGCCTTTGCCAAGATGGAGACAAGACTGAAGGAGTACGATCGGGCGAGGGTCATCTACAAGTACGCACTGGAGAAGTTGCCACGCAGCAAGAGCGCAGGTATCTACTCGTCGTATACGCGATTTGAGAAGCAATTTGGGTCGCGAGAAGGCGTGGAGGATACCGTCTTGGGGAAGCGCCGTATACAGTACGAGGAGGACGTGGCTGCAAGTGGGAGCAACTATGATGCATGGTTCGACTACACACGGCTAGAGGAGGATGCCTATCATGCTCTACTGTCATCTGGGGTGGCAGTAGACTCAAAGGAAGCCACACAAGCAAAGGCTCGCGTCCGCGACGTCTACGAACGGGCAGTGAGCAACATCCCGCCATCGAAAGAGAAGCGGCACTGGCGGCGCTACATCTTCCTCTGGCTCTCCTATGCCTTGTTCGAGGAGCTCGACGCGCAAGACTTTGACAGGTGTAGGCAAGTGTACAAGGCCGCGCTCGAGCTCGTACCACACCGCAGCTTCACCTTCGCCAAGCTCTGGCTACAGTACGCCAACTTTGAGGTTCGCCGGCTTGACCTCACTGCAGCACGCAAAGCATTAGGCGCCTCCATCGGCATGTGTCCCAAGGAGCGGCTCTTTCGTGGATATGTGGACCTCGAGCTCTCCCTCAAGGAATTTGACCGAGCCCGCACGATTTACGAACGCTCTCTAGACTGGGACCCCACCAATCCGCGCCTCTGGGTCCGCTTTGCAGAGTTGGAGCGCGATCTATTCGACGAGGAGCGAGCGCGCGCCATCTTTGAGCTGGGCACGCAGCAGGGGGCCATGGAGATGCCCGAGGTGCTGTGGAAGGCTTTCATCGACTTTGAGTTCGCGGAGAGGCAGTGGGAGAGGGTGGATGGTCTGTATGAGCGCTTGGTGGCGAAGACGGGGCATGTCAAGGTGTGGGTCAGCTGGGCGCTGAGTAAGATGCAGAGGGCAATTGCGGCGGAGGAAGATGAGGATGAGGGTGATGACGACGACGACGAGGAGGGAGCTGAGAAGGCGCACACGGAGCTCACGCCTGAGCAGCAGGCAGCTCGTCAAGAGAGACGTGCCGCTTGCGCTGCCGCGGCTCGCGAAGTCTTCCTGCGCGGATACAAGGAGCTGCAGTCGCGCAAGCTCAAAGAGGAGCGTGTCGTCCTGCTCGAATCCTGGAAAACCTTCGAAGCGCAACATGGCTCAACAGAAGAGCATCAGAGCGTTCAGGCGAGGATGCCACGCGTTGTCAAGAAGAGAAGGGCCGTACCTGGTGGTGACGGCACGGAGATGGAAGAGTATTACGACTTGCTCTTCCCTGACGACGATGATGATGAGGGTAGAGCGAAGCAATCGTTCAAGCTGTTGGCTATGGCGCATGCTTGGAGGCAGCAGCAGCAGCAACAGCAGGCGCAAGCAGAAGAGACAAAGGGATCACCGGCTGCTGCAGCGGAAGAAATCGCGGGAGCGGTGGATGGTGGCGCGTCAGACGGAGAATTGCAAGAGTCTGCTGTCATGGCAGAGGACATGGAGCAAGATGGCGGCGAGGAGTAGCCGCGACACTGTATCAATTGACAAGAGCATAGCCATGCAACAAACCGACCGGCGGCTGAGCAGAGCAGGGTTGAAGCCAGAAGAAGATTCGAGGACCTTGGCGTTGAAGCTCTACGTGCAGTAGAGGATGAGATCGGCGTCCGTCGTGACGAAGGTCTTACCATGAACGGTCTGCGAAGTATTGAGCGCAGACGTGAGTGTGAGTAGTAGAAAGGCAAGACGTACGCCTCGCTCCTGTTCTTCGTACTCACGCCTGTTCCTTGAGCGTTCGGAGAGAAGTAGCCCTGCGGCGCACGAGGGTGACATCGTCAGCGCCTACCCGCCATCTCATAAGACCGCCCGTATGCACCCCAAGCCTGTGGTTGGCGCTTCCTGTACCATCAAATGTCTTATGGTCCCCCCACGTCCCCATATGCCACCAAGCCGTCGAAACGCCGCTGTCTGGCGTGACGCAGCCGTGCGCCGACCCGTGCGCTCCACCGGCGGAGAGATGGTAGACGATCTCGTCTCTGCCGACTATCTCGGAGTGAGAGATGCCATCGCCTGTCACGGTGATGCGACGGGTTGCGCTGCGGACGATGGAGTGAGAGATGAGGGCAAGACTTGAGAGCAAGGGGAGTGGATACTCACCGGATGCACATGATGTTGGGTCGAGTGCAATCGTCGGCTGTGCGAGCTGCGTGAGTACCGGCGGGTCTACGTCACTGCACTGCTCATACTGTTGTGAGCAAACAGCTTACCTGCGAGGTCGGTGACGTTCAGGGCAACAGACCCGGCAGGTGCGGTCTGTGAGACGGTGGCGAGGGCGATGGCGGCAACAATGATGGTAGGCACCAATGCGGTCACATTGCACCCTTGGATGATAGCTCGAAGGAAGGATATGGTGAGCGGGGACATTTGAGAGGCTAAGGAGGGATGTCTTGGATTGGAGAAGCAACGACGAGCTACGAGCTTGGCATGCACCGCCTCTTGTACGATGCGACGTCGAGTAAAGAGTGGGCATAGCTGTGCACAGCTTCGTCTCTCCTAAGTGATCCGTTTTCTGAAATGCCGCGCCGAGCACCTTGGCATTCTCCTGATCGTCGACCTCCTCCGGCCCTTCCAATACCGGCGCGGCGTTTGCTGTCGCAATCCCCGCGAAACCCTCAAAGCCCGATCGTTGGTATGGGTCGATGGTCGCATGACCTTTCCCTCGCGGACAAGTCACGAAGCGGCGGGACATTGGTCTATTGGCTACCGTGCAATGGACACGCTCTGGGCTTCACCGACGATCATGCAGTCACCGTCCAAGCTCTCGCCACGAGATTTGACGCTGCGGAGTCGGAGCGCTCAGCTCATTGGAATTGTTGACCGATAGCATATGCGTTCGCCCCTCCACTCCAAAGCCGCCCGCCGTGCACAGCAATCCCGATGCTCTACACCGAAGTGCGGCCCGCTTTACTGCCGCCGTCTCGACCAGCCGGCGGCTCTTGTGCGACTTCTTGCGAGCCGCTGGCTGCCATGAGTATGGCCGCTTAGCCTCGTGTTCTGGAGGCTGAGTATAGCGAAGGAGCAGGGACAGGCGCATGCCCAGTAAGCAGCTCTTGACTGAGAACGGTGGGTCGCCAAGCGCGAGCAGAGCAACACGGTGTCACCGCTCACCGTAGCGTTGACGGACGTCCGCCACCCCAAGGAGACTCCAGGTGAAGAACGGGTGCGAAAGGTTCTTCCTACACGGCTAGTCTACTCCTCGATCTCGTCTATGATCTCTGACCATGATGTGCTTGCGCTCAAGCATTCACGGTCGACTTTAACTCGCGAGTGACGCGTGGCGGTTGGGTCGACTTGGACACCGACTTCTTCTCGTCGAAGCTCACGGCCTCGAGCGCGTCATCATGTCCAGCATGACGGGCAGCGGAGATCACGCAAAGGATCGCCAGGGAGGGCTCACACATGTTCCGTGGAGGTGATACAAGGGCTTCGTCGTATTGCAATACAATCGCGGCAAAGAGAATGGCTGAAGGGGAACAGCACACAGTCGCGACGGCGAGCCAAACCTGAGGAGATGGGACCTTGAAGATCCCGGTAACCCTTGAAGGTGGAGCCGAAGGACGCTGAGTAACCCTACGAGCCGAAAAGGTGCTAACGGGAGCACCCTTAGAAGGTGAGAGCAGCGCTGAAAACGGGAACAAAGATAGGGTCAGTTCGTGTTCAAGGCGAGCACGTAGGAGGTTGAGAGAATAGTACTCACCCCTTCTGCTTCTTGTCACCACCCAGCTCGAAGTGCCTGAGGGGAAGAAGTAGAGTTGGTGCAGAGAGATGGTCAGAGGGAGAAGTCCTTTGAGGCTCGGATCAAGGGGCCGGATACTCACTTGCAGCGCTTCAGGGCCATGTGCGAGCGGTACTTGCAGGCGGTGCACTCGAGACGCCTGTATGAAGTAGCAGGGAGTAGATGGAGGTCAGAAAAGGTCTTACTCGCTTCATGGAGACCGTCGATTCCTACTCACAGGACGACCTTCTTCGTGGTCTTGGCCTTCTTGTGGAAGACGGGCTTGGTCTGTCCACCGTAACCAGACTGCTTTCGGTCGTAGCGCCTCTTGCCCTGAGCGAACAGAGAAGCCTTGCCCGTCTTGTACTGGGTAACCTTGTGAGGGCTGCGCAGGGGTGGAAAGAAGACGGTTTGGGAAGGGAAGTGACGATGGTGAGCAACGCGTTCGCGTGCTGCGAGGTCATGGGGAGGTACAAGCCGCCGAGGAGTCCTCCTTTTTCTTCTTTGCGCTTGGGCGAGGTCCCTGCTGACCTTCCAAGAGGCACATCAATCGATGCGATCTTCGTAGTCATCTCGCGTACGTCGACCCCTGCCCGCCTCACACAACCACCAACTTCGGCTGACAACTCTGTAGAAAGCAAAGCTGTCCCTGATGCCTGCTTCCTCTCCCGCTATCATTTCAGCTACTTGACGATACTCACGTGTGCTTCTTGCACGTCTTGCCCTTGCAGTAGGTCCTTCGCGTCTTGGGAACGTTGACCCTGCGAGGAGAGGGGGGGAGATTCGACGAGGTCAGCAACCAACGTTGCAGGAGGATGGAGCGCAAAGATATGACGAGGAACAGCGAGGAGCACGCTGAAAAGAATAGCAGCAGCGACGGGTGCCAGATCTGCGCTACCAGCGTGAATCCCAGATTGAACTGACGCAGCATCTGCGAGCCCTCCTTCAGCAGGGCCAGGGTCTCCTCGCTCTTGAAAGAATCGACCCTACTGCACTCGTACCCTACGTCAGATTCCCTGCACTGATGCCGACGACCATGAGGAAGACAGACTCCTCATGTTCGTCGCCTCGTTCGAGCAACAACGACTCAAAGTGGCGGCGATCTCCCTCGTCCAAGCCGTCCACCCTATCATTCCTCCGATGCATCCCCCATCCCCCAGCTACAGCATTTCTCTAGCAGCGCTTCATTGACCCTCGCTGATCTTCATCGTGCCGCTTTAGTCGTATACCCACATCTTGTCGAATCAGAAGAGGAAGGATTGGTGGTGGTAACGAAAGGTCAAAATGGCCGCAACTCGCCTTGACGACTGGCTGCCCGCCCGCCCGGCTGTCCAAGTGACTGTCCGCCTGCCCGCCTGCCCGCCTGCCCGCCTCCTCGCCCGCCTCGTGCCTGCAAATCGCGGACGGGGGAAAGCTCGGCCGAGCGAGGAAATGGCTGCGCGCGCTGAGTGAGAGGGTCATCGATACTGGACGGACTACCAGACTCCGCGACAGCACAGACGAAGGAGCTCAAAGCGACATGAAGCATGCTGCGATGCATCTCGAATACAGCTATTCAAGCTCAATGACATTGCGACTATCTCACAACTTCCTGAAACATCATCCTTCTTATTAAGCTTCACATTACCTCTGCGCCATAGGCCATCCCGGGGGAAGCATTCCTCCTCCTCCACCTCCCTGCGCACCACCTCCTCCTTGTCCCCCACCTTGGCCCTGCTGCTGCTGCCTCTGCTGCCACTGCATGACTTGGTGCTGCACGGCCGGTGGAAGCTGGCTGAAATTGGGATGCTGCTGAAGCTGCTGGGCGACTTGAGCTGCCGTATGAGCATTGTTCCCAGCCAGACCGCCGAAGCTTGCCCCTCCTACTCCTCCAGCGTTGACGTTGTTATTGTTATTATTGGCCATTTGACTGCCCATCAAAGCCGCGAGCTGATTCATCGCAGCTCCTCCTCCACCCATCATATTGCCCATCTGCTGCCCGCCCCCTTGAGCTTGCTGCGGAGGCGTCGCAAACGGCAGACCCATTCCTCCTCCCGGCTGCTGGCCTTGCTGGCCCTGAGTCTGCCCGACCATACCAGGCGGCATTCCGACACCCAATGGCAGATTGAAATGCGCCGCAAGCTGCGCGGCAGCCGCCGCCTGCTGTTGCTGGTGTTGCTGATGATGCTGCGGGACGCCAAAGGGGAGATTGGGCGCAAAGTTGCCTCCTCCATTGGAAGGCGCGGCGTGGGACATGGCTGGGGAGGGCGTGGCGATGCCGGCTCCTGCAGCAAAAGGCGATGCGGCATTGACGCCGTGTCGTGGTGGGGAGGAAGCTGGGAGTTGAGCCGCGTGCAGGGCAGGAGTGGCGGTGCTCTGGCGGCTATTCGCCTGCTGCTGCTGCTGCTGCTGCTGCTGCTGCTGGGCCTTCTTGCCCTTCGCAGGCGTCTTCTTCGCTGGGGTGGGCGCCTTCTTGCCCGCCTTTCCCCCAACCGACGTATCCGCCGTAGACTCTGCCGCAGGCGTAGGAGCAGCGTCCGATGTGGCATCGTCTGCCGTTCCCTTTTTCGTGCCCTTCTTCTTCGGCGCTGCTTTGCCCTTCGCCGCCGCAGCAGGCTTGGGCGAATCGGCCTTCGCTCCTTTGCCCTTGGGCTCCGGACTAGCTGCGGCGGGCGTTGTCGCTGTCGCTGAGGCGGCCGCTGTTGTTTTCTTCTTCTTACCCTTAGGCGCTGGCGCTGCATCCTCCGCTCCTGGCGTTGCTGACTCCTCCTGCTTCTTGCGCTTTTTGGATGTCGCCGCAGACGCCTTCTTTCCAGCAGCACCGCTCGCAGAGGGCTCCCCACGATTGGTAGCGCCCGAGTCCTGTGTACGCTCCCCGACCTCTGCCTCACTCTGCGCTGCCCCGTTCGCCTTTGCCCGGTACTTCTCAATGAACGTCAAGCGCGAGAATGTGGGTGTGAATGGCCTCTCGCCGCCAGCAGCGCTATTGGGCAGCTGCGCTTGAGCGGTCCTCGCGGTATTCTTCTTGTCCTTCGCATACATGCGCCAGCTACCAGTCATCATTCGCATCACTGCCTCGCGCTTAGCCTTCTCTGCCAGCTCACGCTGCGCTTCCTCATCATCCGCTGACTCGCTGATGGTCGTAGCCTTGCGTGGCTCTAGGGGGGGAAGCGTCTTCTGATGTGGCATTGGTCGTACGGGTGCATAGCGTGAAGGAGGCGCCGTCGTTGCGAGCATGACGTTGGCGATGCGTGTTGCGTGGGGATCCGGCGTGAGGCAGAGTGGCGGCGAGGTGAGATTGAGAATCTTGCTTTCAATCTCTAGCCCTTCCTCCTCGGACCATGTCCCACCACTGAGCTTGTCATTGAGCGTCCGCAGCTCGGTCCAGAGCGTCTCCTCCGTTGGGTGGAGCACAACACGATATGTCTCGGGCCCACGGGACAGTGTTGAGGTCGCTGCTGCACTGCCTCCCGCCGCATCCTGTCGCGCCTTCTTTGCGGCCAGAAAGGCCGGTCCTTCACCGTAATGTCCGCCCTCGAGTCGAGCTGCCAGCGATTTGGGGTCGACGGCGGGACCTGCGCCAGATTGTTCGACGGTGCCAGACTGGCCAGGGGCAGGACCTTGACGATGGTCTTTGATCTCAACAATTAGGCAGCCTGCGGGTGAGTAGAGAGGTTAGCACACTTCACCAGGATTACAGTATACCTCATGCCTCCGCACCCTCGTAGAATGGTATCCGCCTCGCATCCAACAGATCGAGCATATAGTTGGGCAGCTGTTGATCCCGGATGCACCTGAGCAGCTCCTTACCCGGCGTCAGTGTGAGTCCTCCGTCCTGCCCAGCCAGCCTTGAAGGCCCTGCTACAGGAGCAGTGATGGGTTCCTCGAGGATCAGCCTCCCCTTGGCGTCTTCGAAGCGGATCCAGGCCGGATGGAGATGTAGATAGAAGGAGGCAGGGCTGCGACGATGCCTGCGCAGCATCTGGCGCGTGATGCGTGAGTGGTTGTAGAGCGAGCCTGTGCTGGCCATACTGGGCAAGATGACTTGCTGGTGTGGATGTGATGGCAGGTGCAGAGGTGCCCTGATGACGGTGCAACGAACACGATGCGGAGACAATCAACGCCGACGCGGACTGACGTTGGTCTGGAGGAGCAGCGGAAGGGGAGCGGAGCAGCGACTGCCATTGCCTGCATCCCTCACCTTTTGGACCCTTCGCGCAACGTCAAGCTAGCTGCGATGCCAACATAGCGGCGCAGAGATCATGGCTGCACACAAGCAATGCGCCAAGCCTGGACTCGAGGTCACACTGGCACTTCTAAAGCCGTCGACGTGTTCTTACCAGCCAGATGTGAGCGCCATCCTCCGCCACATCAAGGCCAATGACCTCGACATCGTGCGCACGGCAAAGCTCTATTGGACCACGCAGGAGGCTGTCCAATTCTACGAGGAGCACCAAGGGCGCTTTTACTTTCCGAGGCTGGTAGCCGGAATGACCAGGTGAGAGCCAGGTCGAAAGCCACACGGACTGAGCGATATGCTGACCCGCCTTGAGTAGCGGTCCGTCCATGGCCCTCGCACTTGCTGGCCACGATGCTATTGCCCGGTGGAGAGCGCTGCTGGGTCCCACCAAGGTATATCGGTGAGTACCACGCCACAATTACAAGCCGAAGAGACTCTGACACCGCGACGCCCGGGCCCAGCGGTCGATGGGAGGAGCCTCACCCGGTGGGTCTACGAGCTTTGTATGGCCGCAGCGACACGCTTAACGGCTTCCACGGCAGTGACGCACCAGCCACAGCCAAGCGCGAGCTAAGCCTCGTGTTTGAAGGGTGGAATGTAGACTGGTGGCTCGAGCAAGAGACGAAACGGCGGCAGGCCCTGCAATGAACGATGAAGTAGCATTACCCTCTCCAAGCGCACAGTTTCTTGTCGTAGAAGGAGCACGAATAGATCATTGTCCCCCCCCCCTCGTCCTCCTCTCGCCCTCCCTCACCCGCAGCACGATCCCAGTCACACCCGTACGCCAAGCTATCGTGCTCTTCAAAGGTGCTCACGATCTCCGGCTCACTCCCCTCGCCCACCCTAACGACCGCAAACCCTCCATGCATACACCCGGCTAGTAGCAGCCCCGCATTCTCAGGGTGCCACTTCAGTCTCCAGATACCTCCCGGCATCTCCTTTTCTGCTACTGGTCTCAAAGGCTGGCGGGCATCAAAGATCCTCAGTCTAGAGTCATAACTCCCCACCGCCCACGTATGCTCCCGGTCCGCAGCCCGGTGAGCCTGCATGGTCGTTACACCACCGTCGAAGCTTTTCCTGTTTACAAAGGTGGGCTGGCGTTTGCCGCCGCGGAGGGGTGTGCGAATGTCCCAGCCTTTGAGAGCTAGGTCGTCACCTCCAGACCAGAGAATTTGGCCGGAGGAATGAGGGTTAAAAGCAGCTATCCAAGCTTCATGGTCGTGAGCATGCCAGCGTTGGAGGCCGTAGGGTGCAGTGGGCCAGGGCGCAAAGCGTACGCTATCTTCATCGCCGTCGTCATTGTCCTCGCTTTCTTCGTCCCCCTCATCAGCTTCCATGCGATCCTTGACCATGCCATGAGTCCCAGCTGGCTGACTGTCCGTGACAGCCATCTCAACGCTCGGCAGCCAAGCCAGACTTCCGTCACTCTGGCTGACTACCAAGCTAGCATCACCGCCCGAGGTCGCGCCGCTGCTGAGATGCGAGGACGGATAATGTCTTGCCCTATCACTCCAGTCTAGAGAGAGGCAGAGCGCCTTGCTGGGGTTGAGCTCGAGGTCGGCTACCTGCTCCAAGCGCCAGGGATGCCGCAATGACGAAGCTTGCTCCCCGCCGAGCAGCTGATGCAACGTGACATGCCCCTGCGCATCTGCCACTGCGAGAAGACCTTGTGAAGAGTTAGAAGCGTATGATGGTCGTGCAAGAGTCCACTTCGCATCGAGGATGGCCGCCATATGCTCTTCGCTGAGGATGCGTGTCTGTACAGTATTGTCTCCTTCCCCTCTTGACGCCTCGTAGAGGCGGAGCATGCCTCGCCTTGTATAGGGAGGGCTAGAGGAATTTGTGCTAGGCTCGTCTTGTCCCCCAACATATGCATCAGTGTCGCAGACGCGCATCTCACGGTCAATCTCCTGCTGATCGACCTGATATGTTGAGAGGGCAAAGAGACCCGGCACGTATGGATGCGACTCGATTGAATCGGCGCATTCTGGCAGTGACTCTGTGGCGAGGGATGCAGCTTTATTGCGATGGCGCGCGTCAGCTGGCTAGAAGTGCGGTCACATATGGGCGATTGACGGGCTCACCCTTCCTGACCATGGCGCCGTTGTGATCTCTTGCTTCCTCCTCTTGAGCATTGGCAAAGAGGGCAGGCAGAGAAGATGCGAAGAGGGCGGGAAGAGCCACGTGGGTCCAGTGAGGGGACTAGCCAGACATTTTGAGCTCGTGCGGACTTTGGCGTCTTGGTAACTTCTTGTCTCCGCTTTGCTCACACACAATGAAATGAACGAAACTACAGTCGGGTCGTCAGGCCACAACCCGCTCACATCAACCTCATCAGCGGTACCTTTACCTCGCATCCTAATCATAGACCATTTCGACTCGTACACGCTCAACCTCCTCACGCTCCTCGCCGCACTTTGCAACGATTCCTCCAGCGTCTCAGACCGAGTCGTCGTCCTACCGCACACTCACCATTTGCTCGCCTCGCAAGACGCCTTCTGTCAACACCTCCTTCCACACTTCGACGCTCTCATCCTCTCTCCTGGTCCTGGCTCACCCGATCGAAAGGCAGACTTCGGCTTTGGGCTCGAGTACCTACGCAATGCTGCGAAATACCGTCTGCCTACATTGGGCGTTTGTTTGGGACATCAGGGTATGGCAACCGCCTTCGGTGGAGTAGTGAGACGGGCCAAATCGATACAGCATGGCACGCAGAGCTCCCTGCAATACTCCAAAGGGGACGTCCCTCAAGCAGGCATCTTCGCCAACGTACCCCCCGGCACGCGCGTAACGCGATACAACAGTCTCACCGTCGACCCTTCTACCCTGCCGGAGTGTCTTGAGATGACAGCCTACGCCGACGACCCCCGCAATGACTGCGTCGAAGCCCCACCGCAGGTCTCTGAGCTGATGCGCAGCCGGGCCACTTCCCCGACCACTACCATGGAGTCGGAGCGGTGCGTGCTTGGTCTGCAACACAAGACTTTGCCACTTTGGGGAGTGCAATTTCATCCCGAGTCGATCGAGAGTAGGGAGGGCGTCAGGATGATGCACAACTTTATTGAGATGGCGAGGAAGTGGCAGAAGGAGGGAAACGAGACAGCATGCGGTTCTAGCTTGAAAATCCCCCCGAGCATCTTGGCAGAGGGGGCACGATATGTGGCGGCTGCTCGACCATCGCCCACATGTGGGGCTACACTGCCGAAGAAGCTTTGGAAGGTCGTCGAGGTTGACTTCGGTGACCTGCCAGTCGCCGCGGATAAAGCAGAGGAGGTCTTTGCCCGCCTTTTCAAGAAGGGGGCCAGGCACCCCTCCGTCTGGCTGGACTCTGCAAGACCTGGTGATCCGCAGTCCAACTTTTCGTACATGGCCTCGCCAAGCTGCTCGATCAAGTACCGAGCCGGAAGTAGGACCGTGGAGCTCTACGGCTCTAGAGCGCAGCAGCGCACGTCGCTACGTCTTGACCAGGGGGAGGACTTTTGGCATTGCATGCACCAGGCCCAGCAGGAATTACAAGGACTGACGCATTTCGACAGGTCAAGTGGGGCGCCCAATGTCTTTCGATGCGGGTTCGTAGGTTATTGGGGATACGAGATGGGGATCGATAGCCTTGGCTTGCAGGAGGACGAGACCATATCTTCGCCTGGCAGCGAAGAGGTAGAAAGCTTGTCAGCGTCCGAGTTTGGCTTCTGCCCAACCGTGCTTCAGCTTGACCACTCAACGGGCAGATGGAAGGGATACATTCTCGAGCGACAAGACGGCGCCCAAGGCAGCGAGCGACGCTCACGACTCCTCCTCAGCATGAAGGATCTACATGGCATCGGCCTCTCTCCAGCGGATGCTCGTAAATGGGCTGACCTGGTCAGGACGGAGCTCACGGCCATCTCTTCTACTCACGCTCGATCAATTCTGCGCGCTCCGCCGCCGCTCTCGACCCTCATCTCCCCGCTTCATCCCGTGGATTGTCCCGAAGACTACCAGCTCAAGGTAGAAGCGGCTCGCGCTCTCATTGCGCAAGGGGAGAGCTACGAGCTCTGCCTTACCAGCCAATTCTGCGGCCGGCTCAGCAATGCAGGCGTGGACCACTTCTCCGTCTACCGGGCTCTCCGCGCCAAGAACCCCGCTCCATACGCCGCATTCATGGAGCTTGCCCCCGAGGACAGCAGCGGTGATCGGAGACGGACGATCCTCAGCACCTCACCGGAGCGTTTCCTCAGCAAGACGTCCGCCGGCCTCGTCGAAATGAAGCCAATCAAGGGCACTCTACCCCGCGCCGGCCTTACCGCCCTCGACAAGGCTCATCTCTCCCGACTCCCTACTCCAGAGGCCCGCAACGCTTGGCTACAAGAGCAAGACGCTCTACGCCGCTCCCTCTTGCAAGCGGATAAGAAGGAGAGGGCCGAGAATCTCATGATCGTCGACCTCATTCGGGCGGATCTGCTCAGCTTCTGTGAGGCGGGAAGCGTTCATGTGCCTGGACTGATGAGGGTCGAGAGCTTTGAGAGCGTGCATCAGTTGGTTACGACGGTCAGGGGTGTGGTGGTAGGGGCGGGCAAGGGTGGGATGGGAGAAGGAGTGGGACCCGTCGAGGCATTGAGGCGGTGCTTCCCACCGGGAAGCATGACGGGTGCCCCGAAGAGAAGGAGTGTAACTTTGCTTCAGAGATTGGAAGGCAAGAGGCGCGTGTCCAATGCAAAGGAGACTGCCGCACTCGAAGCTGTTCAAGAGGAGTGCGCTACTCCCAGCATCAACGCCTCCTCCCCCGCCTGGCGCACCTCGCACCGCCCACGCGGCGTCTATTCCGGGGCCCTAGGCTGGATCGGCGTAGATGGGGCCACAGACTTTTCCGTCGTGATCCGCACCGCGGTCCTCGACGGCGATGAGGTATCAGTCGGTGCCGGCGGGGCTATTACGTACTTGTCCGACAAGGAGAAGGAGTGGCAGGAGGTCCTCGATAAGGTTGAGGCTCTGTGCATGGTGGATGTGCGGGAAAGCTCAGAGTAGAGGGAGGGAGTGTCACGAACTCTTCAATGCACCTTGCTAATCGTACATTATTCGGTACACTTTGTACGCTACCAACGCTCTATGTCCCGTGGGCGCGGGGCGTCTTGCTGCCGTTCTCTTACATTGCGTTCCCTTCTCCCCTCGTCCCCTCTTTTCCTACTCCAATCTCCTCCACCTCTCCCGTCTCGCCCGCCGCCCGATCTTTCATCGACCCAATCTCTCCCTTTCCTGCCCTCCTTTCTGATCCTCTCCTCCCTCTCCCTCTTCTGCGCCTCCCCCCCACCAAAGCCCATCCTCGCAGCCGCACTGCCAGAGGTATCGCGAGGGTCGAGCGTGACGTAATTGTCCATCGTATATTTGGACTCGTTGACTGACTTGCCGCCATAGTCGAAGATGTGCGAACGCCATGACTGACCAGGGGCAGCAGTGTCTTCGTCGTCGCTTGCTCCGTATTCCCGCATACCAGCTTCCATTTCGTCTTCCCCATCGTTTGTCTCGATCTTCTCTTTGCGAGGCGAAACCTCCCGCTTTGCACTCCCGTTGCTTCTGCTTGCCTTTTTTGATGACGAGCCAGAAGAGGAAGCCTGGAATTTCCGTAAGAGATCCATCGTCTCCTTCTCACGATCGTCAGCCCCGCGCTTTCCGCTACTGCTACTTCTACCCCTCGCCGCAGCCTCCTTGTACTTTCTTCGCGCCTCTTCAAGCAGCTCCTTGCCCTTCCTCTCTTTTTTCTTCTTCTTCTCCCCGTCTTCGTCCGTGCCATTGGTGGACCGCTTTGTCAAGCCACGGATGCTGGCCTCGAGGTCCTCAATCTGCGCTGCGGCGGCTGAATGAGGGGTGGAAGAGGAGTCTGACCCAGAGCGCAGCAGTGACAGGTCGATTGGGATGGATGCGGCAGCCTCTTCGTCGCGATGAGACTTTTTGCGCTTCTTTGGCTGCGATGGGTCGTGTGGAGCTGCGTCTGGCGTTGCTGATGATGTCGTCGACGCCTCAGGTCTCGTCGACGGCTTCGACCCTGACGCTGCCGTAGCTGCCTCCTTTCTCAGCCTCTTGTCGTTTTTGAGCAGATCATGACTACTCTTGGCGCCTCCCTTGAATCGCGGATCAATCTCCTCCTCTTCTCCTGCCCCCTCCTCAGCCAGCCCGAAGCTCAGCAGCCCCGTATTCTTTTTGACCTTCTCCTCCCTCCTTTTAGCCCCAGCTGCAGCTTCAGCCCTTGCCCTTCTCTTCGCCGCCTCTTGCTCCTTCTTCTCCTCGCGCGTGATGCGCGGCACGATGTCAGGAAAGGGGTTGTCGAGGACGCGGATCGTGTGCAGCTTTGGAGGGAAGACGGGTCGGTCCGGTTCTGTGGTGGAGAGCTCGACTTCCGAGAGGGAGAGGACGTTGTATATTGTGGCATTGCTGATGCGACCGAAGATGGTATGTTTGTTCTGGAGCTCGGGCGTCGAGTCAAGGGTGATCTGCGTGGGCGAAGGTGTGGAGCGTGTACACGCAGTGTGAGTAAGCATCTGAGCGGGGAGCCGCAAGCAGGCGTGGTAGAGGTACGCACAAAGAATTGGCTCTCATTTTGATCCCGCTCGCCTGGATTGGCCATGGCTACGAGGCCTCTGCGGTTGAATTTGATGCGCTGATTGGGCTCATCCGCAAATGGCTCGCCATAGAAGGATTCGCCTGTGCGTGTGCGGAGCGACGATGGTCAGTCATTACCACGGTACGCATCTTTCTCGCGCCTTCAACTTGCTCACCTCCCGTACCAGTCCCCGTCGGATCTCCCGTCTGGATACAAAATCCTGGCACGATCCTGTGCCACAGCATATCATCATAGTAGCCCTCGAGGGCTAAGCCAATAACATTCCGGCACGCCTTGGGAGTCTCGCGCGCCCACAGCTCGACCTCGATGTCGCCATGCGAAGTCGACAGGAGGATCTTGCCCTGCGTCGGTGGTTCGGTGACGTAGAGGTTGCTCATGGTTAGCAGGAGCGGCTGCTCAGCCGTGATGTCGCGTTGAACCTGAGGAGAACGAGGGAAAGGAACCCAAGTCAAATTGTTGGCCCCGGCCTCTCCGTTCTCGAGAGCGGCCTGGCCTCGCAGGTGGAGTCGGCTCGAGACTTGGCGCAGTCGCGAAAGCAACACTTTACTTCCTCTTTCCACCTTGTCATCCTCACCTGGCCTCTCAATGCCTTCATAGCACCGCCCAATGCCCGCAGAGGTGCCTTCCTTTGGCTCCTTTGCGCCTCCACCCCCGCCTCTGGCCAACAAGGATGACCTCGTCAAGGAGAAAGAGAAGCATACACGCTCCCACGCCCAGTCGTCATCCAAGAAGCATCGCTCTCATCACCATCACCGCTCCATCGAGGAAGACGACCGCGAGTCGAGGCGGCGCAGTCATCGGCATCGACATGACGATGGGCAACAAGTATGGCATTCGTCGCATCGCTCTCACTCCTCACTGTCAAGCTCCTCAAAAGGCAAGGAGCGAGCCCATGACCCTCCTGCTCTTCCACCTACCCTCGACCCAAGCCTGGGCCTCATAGACAAGGCGGGCGACTCCTTGTCTGCAAGGTACGGCAGTCCAGAGCAGTCAAAGGTCGCAAAGTACAAGAGATCAGGTAGCGGCGTCATTCTAGGGCTGGACGAGTCACTTCGCATCCTGCCCGAGAAGTCGGCCTCTCAGTCGACTGCAACCGGAGTTCTTGTTGGGCCAAAGGATGCGCATAGGAAGGGCAAGTCGCTGCTTCAAGATTGGGAAAGGATGAAGAGGCGTTCAGGCAAGCGCCTGGCTACCCCTAGAGGCGCTGGGATGCAACGCGATGAAGACTTCGTCAGCTTGGGAGCCTCTCGTAAACAAAGGGTCAGCCAAGCAACGGCCGTCGTTGATCCTCTGCAGGCAGGACACGGCGAGAATCGCTCCTCCTCTGAGACAGGCAGCAGCGACGACGAAAACAGGGGCTCGTACGATCCAAGGCTGCGGCAACGCCTATCCGACTTGGACGCAGTAACCCGTGAGCGGCCGGACGATGTGCAAGCCTGGCTCGAGCTTGCTCAGCTGCAGAGCAGACTGGTTGAGACTGGCCTGTCCAACAGCGTCAATGGCGACGACGAGGATAAGAGCGAACGCTTGAAGCCGTCTTCCTCCTCTCGCCATCGCAGCAACCTGCGCGGTCTAGCTGAAGTGCAACTCTCCATACTCAACAGGGCCCGAAGCTCGCACCCAACCTGCAAGACCTCCGTCGAGATCGGTCTCGCACGTCTTCGCGTCATCATATCACATGCTTTGGAGGCCCCAGCAGTCATCGAAAAGGAATGGCGTCGCATTCTGCCTTCAGATCCCCAGGTCGTCTGGCCCCGATACCTCGAGTGGAGGTGTTGCGAGAGTGGATACTCGACGCATGACGTGGTTGATGGAGCATTTGCGGAGGCCTTCGGGGCTCTCTCTGAGCGTCATGATGCTACTGGCACCTTGATTGGCCTTCAGCAACGCCTCGTCAAGGTGTTACCCAGCGGAGGGTATCGAGCTCGAGCATTCGCCATCTTGCAGGCACAGCTTGAGTACTGCTTTGCCTGTCCAGAGGAGCTCGAGGCTGCCACCGTGGGTGAGAAGCTCGACGCGCTAGAGGTCATGTGGGAGAGCGAAGTGCCTCGGCTTGGGGAGCTGGGTGCTGTCGGATGGAAGCGCTGGTGGGCGGACAGGGGGCAGACTAGCCATGCCAGCTCCTTCAGGCAGGGCTCATCGGTGCTGTGGGAAAGCCCGCGCTCGCTGCTTGGCCGATCAGACCAAGAAGCCTCATCCAGAGATTCGGAGCTGCAACAATGGCTACAACGCGCACGTCGCCTGTCGCATCGCCGGGCCCACCCATCACGCACGACAGATTTGCCGGAACTTATGCTCGGAGAAGGCGAAGTAGACCCGTATAGCGTCGTCTTCTTTTGCGACGTGCGTCCCTTCATCATTACAGACCCGCGCGTGGACAAGGAAGCGGTATTGCTCTCGATGCTAGCTTTCCTGGGGTTGACGTCAAATGAAGCTGCGATGAGGACGGCGTGGCCGGAGGACCTTGTGGGAGGCGGACGAGCAGCGCCGCGGCAGCGCAACCAGTTCGATGTGGTAGAAGGCGAGCCGATGCAGGCGCAGCGTACCAGCCTTCTAAGCGACTTGTCCCTCTTCCCTTTCAGAACAGGCGACCCCCTCAGCAGCGAAGCCCTTTGGCCCCTCCTGCACGGCTTCGCATCGCTCCCGCCATCGACAGCCCTTCACCAAGGCGCACTGCAAGCCTCGATCACCCTCTTAGAGACCCTTCAGCCCTATTACGACACGCGCTCACTCCAACTCAAGCTCCTCTGCCTCCTATCAGGACCACAAGTGGCTGCCGCTCAGGCAAAGGAGTTCCTCGCCCAAGAAGGCGAGGCTTGGCCATTGTGGCGTGCCTTCGCTTGCCTGCAAAGACAACTGGGCAACTTGAAGTCGGCGAGGAAGGTGTATTGGTCATGTTTGATGTCGGAGGGGCTGGTGGCAAGGTGGGGAACGCAAATTTGGGTCGAGGCGCTTGAGCTGGAGATCGAGGCCGGGGAGGAGGGCAGAGCTGTACAAGTTGCCGTTGAAGCGCTTGTCAACGACCTTGCTGCGCCTAGTGAGCAGGGAGCAACGAAGAATGTCCCAACCCCTATCGACGTGCTCAGAGCCAAGGGCAAGGCTCATGCGCTAGCTCTGGCAAAGCAAGGTGATGACGGCGATGACCCGTCCAAAGTGGAAGCTGCAGCCATCCTTGCCGGTTGGCTCGAGTACCTCACTCAAGCGAGCATTGATCAACGTCTCTCCTCGGCCATCTGTGCCGTCAACAAGCTCATTGCTGCCTTCAGCCAAGATACCCACCGGCAGCTCGGGCTGTATCGTCTTCTCGGCCGCATCATCACCTACCATCTTTCCCTGCCCAGGCCAGTAAATAAACCCAGGGAGGTGAGGGAGGTGCTCCTCTCCGCTCTCAAGATGTGCAAGGACTGCAACGGCCCGGAGCTGGAATTCATCTGCCTCCTCGCTGCACATGAGTCACGCTTCAAGATCGAGGGCATTCTCCGATCGACCGTGGAGGAGCAGCTTCTCTCTCCCCTCTATGACGGCAAGGATATGACTCGTCCGATCGCCGTATCCAACTTCTATGCCGAGCAGCAAAAGGCAGAACGCGACTGGTTGACCGCCCTATACCTCGAGTTGCACCTGCATCGCGATACGGTCAATGCGCACGCGATCCGCTCTCTGCTCGAGCGATCGGTGGAGCAGTGCGAGGCGACCAAGGGAAGCTGTGCGCTTTGGCGCTTCTACCTTTCCTTCGAGCTACGAGTCGCCCTTCTTCGCGATCATCACGGCGAGACTACTAGGGAGCGTAAGAAGTTGCGTCACGCTCTCGCCCGCCGAGTCAAGCCTGTGTTCTGGCGGGCGATTGCAAGATGCCCTTGGGATCTGCGCCTGTACGAGACGGCGTTTGAGGAGCCGCTCGTACGTTGCTTCACACGGGATGAGCTGCTCCAGCTGGGGGCGGTCATGACTAATGAGCGTGATCTCAGAGTGTATCGGGGATGGGAAGAGGCGTTAGCACGGGCGGATGAGAGGGAGGCGGAAGTTGAGCAGCTCAGTGGCAGCGAAAGCGAGGCCAAAGGGGCGTGAACCGTACTGAGCAAGCGCATCCCTTGTCATATATGCCATGCTCTATGCATTATCAAGCCTCTACAATCCCGGCCTCTTACTCGTCGTCGTCGTAGGCGTGGCCGTCCCACTGGGCGGAGCGCTATCCCCTTCGCCTCCAGCATCCTCACCACTTCTTGCCGCTGGTCCCAGGACGTTCTTCCACCCATCCTTTTCGGCTCCCTCTTGAAAGCTTGCGATGTAATCCCTCATGAAATTCCTCCACGGCGCCTGACTCGGGACCACATGCCCGCCAGCATGATGCTCAACCCTTGAGTTCTTTGCAGCATGCACCAAGGTCATGCTGCGCTCCTCGTCGACAATCTGATCCGCCTTTCCCAGAATGTGCAGCAGGGGAGTCTCGATGCCGCCTTGCTCGTCCTTCCAAAGAGGTTGATGCTCCGGGTCCCTCGACCTGAACCCGCTGATGGCGATGGCGAATTTGAGTGGACCTTGCCCCTCTGGCAGCTTCAAGGCCGGTAGGAGCGAGGGCGACTCAAATGCCGCAGCTAGCAGACCGGCAAGGCAAGCTCCCTGCGAGAAGCCTATGACCCCATCGACGGGCCCGTCCAACTTTGCCAGCTCTTCGCTCAGCAATTTCCACGTCTTTTCGACATCCTTGTAGCTGCCTTCGTCCGTGGACTTCCACCAGGCACGAGGTTGCTCCTCGATGGGCGTAGCTTCCGTCACCTCGTCCTCACCTTCCGGGGCATCGAGAGATCGTGAGATTGGTTGTACGAGAAGAGGTCCATTGAGGGTGACAATGTCAGCCACATCCCTGCAGGCTTTGCGGACCGATCCAAGCCGTCTGTGGAGGATGAAAGAGTTGGAAGTGTACCCGTGGAAGGCGAGGATGCGAAGTTTAGGGGGCATGACGGGCGAGCTACGAGTGAGAACGTTAAAAACGAGGAAGCAAAGGAAGGCGGGCAGTGGGAGCGGGACTGATTTGGTGCAGGCCGCTCAGAGCGTGTTGCTGTGGTCTGTGCTCCGAACGACGTGCGCTCTTCGAAAGCGTCCCTTCCTTCCTTCCTCACAAACTCACCCATAACACGCCTCATCCTGATCAGCCCGTCAAGTACGATGGATCGGCTACAAGACACAGCGTATGCTCTCCTCTCCTCCCTGCAGGCATGCTCACCAGCCCCGATCCTCGACATGTGCGGCCTGTCGGGTCCATCGGCACTTGGCGGGCAGGGCAACGTCGGTGGGGAAATCAAGCTCAACGGGCGTAACATCCAGATCATCAAGCTCTTGGGTGAGGGAGGCTTCAGCTTTGTCTACTTGGCGAGGGACAAGGGTAGCGGCAGGGAGTTTGCGCTCAAGAAGGTGAGGCACAGAAGTCGTCGTACGACAGGCTGTGTGGGGCCGCTCCTGCCTAAATGCTAGGCTAACATCGTGATGCCAACTCTTAGATTCGCTGCTCTCATGGCTCAGAATCATTCACGGCAGCCATCAAGGAGATCGAAGCCATGCGACGCTTTCGATCCCCGAACATCATCCGCATCCTTGATAGTGCCGTGGTCCAAGAAGCCGCAGACCATGCCTCTGGATTTGGCAATATCCCTTCGTCCGATGCTGATGCTGCATCTGGTGCCAAGACGGTGAGCGACAACCGGCGAGAAGGCATTACTGAAGGTCGATAGCACATGAGCTCATTGAGACTATCGCGTTGCTCGCGCAGGTATACCTCTTCCTACCCCTCTACCCGCTAGGAAACGTCCAAGACGCCATCAATCGCCATGCAGTCAACGGCACGCGCTACTCTGAGAGGGAGATGCTTCAGCTCTTCCTCGGGACATGCAAAGCCGTGCAAGCAATGCATCGGTACCGCTTGCCAGATGTGCCCGTTGGAGGAAGGAGAGTCTCAGGCGAAGACGACGGGAGTCACGAAGCGAGTCTGGCGAATGGTGCGACGAGGAGGGGAGGCCAGCCGGGAAAGATGGCCAAGATGAGTCTTCCCTCAAGAAAGGGGGGGAGAAGAGGTGTGAAAGGTGATGACGCTCCTTTGATCGACGGAGCCGCGACGAACGGCGAGTCCGACCCATTTGGAATCGATTCGGACCACGACGATGACGATGACGAGGAAGACGGTGCGGCTTACCCGCCAAAGCCGTCAGTCAAGGGCAAAGAGAGGGAGATCGTACAGCCGGCGATGGGTGGGGAAGGATTGGAGGAGGGCAAGGGAGGAGAAATGGTCCCGTATGCGCATAGGGATATCAAGCCGGGGTGAGAGCGGAGAGGACCAGGAGAGGGGGCCTCCCGACAAGCACAAGCTGACACCTCCTGCCATCTATCGTCGCCCAGCAACATCATGGTCTCGAATGAATCCTCAAACGCGGGCGACCCTGTCCGTGTCCCCATCCTCATGGACTTCGGCAGTGCCACCCGGGCCCGCATCCTCATCTCCTCCCGTCGCGAAGCAGTTATGGAGCAAGACCTTGCAGCAGAACGATCCACTCTTCCCTATCGAGCCCCAGAGCTCTTCGACGTCAAGACCGACTCGACCCTGACTGAAACGGTGGACATCTGGTCGCTGGGATGCACGCTGTACGCCATGGCGTATCATTATTCCCCATTCGAGACGCCTAGCATGCTCGAGCAAGGAGCATCTACGGCCCTTGCTGTGTTGAATGGAAAGTGGGACTTTCCGAAGGGGGAGGGAGAGATTTACTCAGAGGGTTTCAAGGAGATTGTAAGGAGATGTCTCGTGGGTGAGCCGGGGGAGAGGGCTGAGATTGAGGAGGTGATCGAGTTGACAGAACGGGCTCTGCAGAGGGTGCAGTGAGGGCGGCCGTGACTGTGAGCACGGGCATGATCGTTTGGAAGGTGGTCAAGTTGAGCTGGTCTTGGAGGTCCAGGCGGAGCTTTGCGACCTGGACCTCCAAGTGGTGTAGGAGATTCCGAACCTCGGCGTATTTCTGTGCAGGCCATCTATGCACCACGCTCGCCGAACAAAGCATGCCAACCATCCTCCACCATACGCCGGCCGGTGCTCACGCTGTATCAAGTCTCTCTCTCAGGCGAAGCAATATCGTACCAATCGCGGAGCATTCTGCCCGTTCTCTCTTCCTTTCTTACGTACGAATGTGCAGATCGATCTGTGGTCCCATCGCCAAAACGCGCTCCCATCGTTCTCCTTCGCGACTTTCTGGAACCTCGAGAAGCGCCCCTTTGCCCCGCCCATGCTGCGATGCTGCGATTTAGAACGCCTCCTTTTCTCAGGCTAGCCCGCTCTCCACCTGTTTTTGGAGCTCCGACCAAACAAAGCGGTCGCAGATTTGCCGCCAGCTTTGCAGGCTTGCCGCTTCGCTGCAGCTTGTTCGCCCCTCTTCTACTCCTCTTCAGTACTCGGCTTTGCTCTTCCTCCCCGCCGCCGCGACCAACGCCCTCTTGCAGGAGATGGCGCAGATGCGAAAGAGCGAAAGTGCAAGTGCAAGTGCAAGTGCAAGGCGAGGGGTGAGCGCAAGCAAGGCAGAAGATAGATGAGCGCTCGCCTTGATCTCAGTCAGGCCCCTCACTTCAATTCAGCTCCCTACCTTTGCCGGCCCCTCCTGCGAGGCGCAAAGAGGTCCTGGCGATGCATTGTGTTGCCCTTTGCGGCATGCCGTTGTGAAATGGCACTTGATGAGAAGTGTCGAGAGGAGACCAACACTTTGTCAACCCACCTGTTTTCTCGCCCTCGCTTTCGCTCTCGGCTGGGGCTGGAGGTTATCCTATCCCCTTCGACCCCTCTGTGAGCCGATCTCCGGCCAGCCCAGAGGGTTTCGGTCTAGGCGACGCAGCAGGCAAGGCATCTCGCTTTCGGTTTGGCTTCCCAGTCCTCATCGCCATCACACCAAACTCTCTTTTCACTACCATCCGTGAGGGTCATTGCTATCGTCATCGCCGTCGCCGCTCTCGTCGTTGTAGCAGCGCGGGAGCTTTCTTCGGAATGCTCGTCCGACCTCGGCCAGGGCTCCAGGAGCATGGCGTCAGCACCTTTGACGTTTCCGATGAGATCGAGACGCTGGCCAACGAGGCATGGGAGCCTATGCACCACCAACAGAAGAAGCAGCACAACTCAATACCGCAATCCCCATCTGCATCAGGTTCGAGCTTCGCAAAGCACAGCCGTGAGTCGACGACGGCTAGCAGCGTGCCAAGCAGCAACAGCAACGGCAGCACAGACTTGGCTAGCTACACCTTTAATTCTGCGCTGCGATCAACAATTCGATCCTCTTCATCCTCGTCGATCTCCTCGCTGGCATCGACATCCGGTCTGGACATTGCGCCGGCCATCTTCGCCGCGATTGAGGAGCTTCGAGAGTCGCCTGGCGATGGAGCCCTCGTCATCGGGTACGTCGAGGTATCGCGCTCGCCCTTGGACTCTTTGCCTACGAGCCCAGAGCAGAGCCCAGCATTGGACGAAGGATCCTTTGACACGTCGCCGCGTGCTTCCCCACTGGTCCACCCGTCGAGCAATGTCAAGAAGCAATTCAAATTCGAGGTGTCAGCTCAATGCAGTGATGGTGACGTTGTAGCAGCTGCGAGGCAGTCCGCCAAGCCTGGCCAGCCACAGGGGCTCGTAATCAAGGTAGCCGGCCGTACACTCTTCTGTCACGTCCTTCCGTCGACCCTTGCTGGCGTTCGCAAAGCAAGGGCTCTCGTCCATGGCAGGAATCTAATCAGCGCACTTCAAGGCAGCTACGATGCTTCAACGACCGTCTCGTCCATCGAAGAGGTTACGTTGCAAAGGGTCCTCTCTGAGCTGGACGTCAAGTCTGAGGCCTATGCAACGCATCGTCTCGCTCAGCCGATCAAAGATGCTGCCAGCATTTCGCCGCCTGCGCGAGGTGGCAGTAAGGAGGAAGACGCTCCGCCGCCCCTGCCACAAAAGGACGAACATCCCGCCCGCACACGACCAAGCTTAACTCTGCCAGGCCTCAGCAGTTTGAATTCGCCGCAGCTGCTCGTCTCGCCCTCCTCCGAGCAACCGACAGGCAGATCGCCCATCGTAGCGACGAATGACCTTCAGGATCTGCAGGATAGGTGGTCACAGAGCAACGCCAGTGGTCGCTTGACTGGCTCAGAGAGTCTGGCAGGATCCTTACGCAGAGATCTGGAAACTCCAATCGACGATAACCGCAGCAGCAAGAGTGGAAGGAGCGGCATTCTCGCAGGCTATTCTCTCGTACCGGCGAGATGGAGTCAGAGTACCGCGAAGGCACTCACTCCAGCGCAGCCGTCCGCAGCTGATGAGGACAATCGATCAGTCGTCTCCTCGAGCCACTCGCGCACCCCCTCGCCGCGCTCAAGAACCCAATCGATTCTGCAGTATGACCCGTCGCAGGAGCGAGTCATCAAACACCCCATCGACAAGCCTCTGCCTGTCGTGCAGGAGAAGGGCGAGTCCATCCTAGGCAGCCGTAGCTCCATAGCGCCTTCCCGCACGCCCCGCACCTCCGCTGCGCTCCTGTCATCGAGCTCACACGACCATCATGCTGCGGCGGGCGAGTCACTCCTCTCCATGCCCAATCCACACTCCCGCAAAGAGTCGATGTGGATCCGCTCGTCTGGAAATAACAGCGCCGCTGCCGATGTGGATGAGGCTGAGCAGCAGGCTCGCAATGACTTTGCCAGCTTTCTCGCGGCGGAGAAGGCACGAGTTGCTGAGCTGGAACGCGAAGACGAGAGGAGGAGACAGCGACGCAAGCAGAGAGAGGACGAGAAGAAGAGACAAGACGTGCTTAAAAGGCTTGAGCAGGAGCAACAGAGGCAAAAGGTGAGTTTGTGCTTCTTGGCTTGGCGTGGCGTGGCGTCGCTCGCTTTTCCTTTTGTCCCGTCGTGCATGCCACTGCCGTCACTGCCTGCCGATGCGGAGACGAGATTGCTTTTTTGGCGCTCAGATCTCGCCGACTCGCCCTGGACCCTCAAGCCTATGCGGCGGCCGCCTTTCCCCTCCTTTATTTCCGCTGCCCGCCGACAGACGTTGACCCGCTTGCCTTTCTCCTCTCTCCCTCCGCTCCCATTCCAACCCTCGTCCCTACTACCATCGACTACACAGCGCGGCTCCCCGACTCCAACAAAACTCGGTCCACCGCCTTCCGAGCCGCTCCCCACTGCTCCTTCCAAGGCATCTTCCACCGCCAGGTCAAAGTCTGTTGCCTCGACTGCAGTATCGAGTACAGCTCCTAGCAACCGCGCCAAGGTCTCTGACAGATCGCAGGCATCTGCCGGCGCAGACAAAAAGCATCGTCCCGAGCCTCTGAAGCTCACAAGCAGCAATATGCCGACGGCCAGCCTGGGCGGCAGTGTGGATGCGGCCATGACCCCACGCGTGAGGAGCGCTTCAGCGGGAATCAAGAGCAGCGGCAGCGGCACTTCCAGCTATCATCATCACCGTGTCCCAAAGACACCGGGCAGCAGCGGTGACGACCACAAGCCCACTGGGCGTGGCTCGAGTGACAATGTCGCAGAACACGCTCAAGCCCTCCTCGAGGCAAGGAGAGAGCGTCGCGCCATCCGCGAAGAAGGGTCGTCTGACGGATTAAGCTGGGTGTCGAGACATGGGTCGCGCAACTTCAGCCCACGCCAGGTGCGGGGTGAGGACGAGTTCGAGGATCTGAAAGCGAAACCTACTGCAGCATTCAGGCCTTTTCATGAGGCGGTGACTTCTGCGGTTAGTGATAGGGGCAGCTTTCAGTACTCTCTGGTTACAATTCCGGCACCATCGGTCATCCTGGCCGATAAAGATCTGCCTGTTCCCCCGCCTCTTTCCCCAGCGGCTGCTAGGGCATTGAGTGGCGAGACAGGCAATGGTGACGCCATCACCGGAGCTGAAGCACACACGCCTATGGACGCCGCCTCGACCAGCAAGATCCTGAGCCGCGGCGAGCTAGCGGACGAGGCAAGGCGCAGGGCCTTGGCTGCTGAGCAGGCTGCGCTGGAGCAGATCAAGGTGGCGAGGCAGTTACAGAAGCGTAAGTGGCTGCCGCTGTGAGAGCGCTGCAAGCCGGATGAGTTCAGCAACTGACCAACTCGATCTCACTGCTCCTCCTCTCACGCAGGACTGGAATTCGAGCTTTCCGAAGTCACCCGCCGCGAACGAGAACGCAGCGATGCCGAGCTAGCGGCACGAGCTAAATGGGCTCGCGAGCAAGCCAAACGCAATGCCCTCGATGCATTTGAGCGCTCCAAGCTCGAGCACGAGGAACGCACTCGCCGGCTCCGTGTCGAGTCTCAACAGGCGGAGGAGGCTCGTCGAGCCTCTCAGGTCAAAGTCGAGAAGGAGCGAGCAGAGCAACAGGAGCGCGAGGCAATCGAGGAGGCGAGGCGGCGCAAGGTGGATTGGCAGAGGAGAGAGGCCAAGTTAATCGAGGAAGGAGAGGAGCGCGATAGGAGGGAGGCAGAGAGGAGGGAGAGGGTACGGCGCTTGGAGGAGAAGAGGGAAGCGATGAAGACTGAGATGAAGGAGAGGATCGAAGGAGGAGAGGCATTGCTTGTTGGGGTGGCGAGGGCCCAGCTTGGGGAGAGTGGGCCATGGCGAACGTGAGTCGCGCTCGCTTGCGCCGCTCGAAGTCTTTTGATGCTCCTCGCTGACCATTCATCTACCCTACGCCTTGGGCAGCCGCTTTTTTGAGCTTCGCTCAGACGGCATTCTCTTCTTCAAGGAGGACAAGGATCGCATTGAGAACCAGCGACAAGGTCTCCCCGCTGAGCGATTGGAGTTCTGGCGCCTGGCGAACCGGCGCGTGCAAGATGACTTTGAAGAGTGCCAGGCGCCGCATAGCTGCTCGCTCGTCTTCGAGGACGAAGAGGCCGACAACGGAGACACTGGTGCTGTCATGGAGGTGACGATTGCATTCCCGACCGAGGACATCAAAGAGCGATTCGTGGCAGGCTTTGAGTTGGCGGTCAAGGAGGAGGTGCAGACGTAGGCTTGGGCTGTGAAGGCGGGGATTGCCGGCGGGCCGACACGCTCTTATGCCCGCAGGCGGCGATGGTGTTGGTGGCGGCGGCGGCGGCAGCAACGGGGACATTGGCTTTGTCACTGAGCGTAACGCACGCAAATCAAAATCGATACCCAGCCGCTTTTCGCAGCGAGGAGATAGCGAGGGCCAGCGGGCCAGCGGGCCAGCGAGATGACGAGCGGCGGAGCACAGGTGCACAGCTTGGTATCGTTGATCTTTGATTTGAACTTCTCTCTCGTCATCCAGTCTTCGCCAGTATGTTTCGCAAAGGCAAGTCGGCAAGGAAGGACGACCGTCAGCGTCAGCGCCAGCCGCAACCCATCGAGAGCGCCAGCCCATCAATAGTTGGGACTCAGGGTGCGGGACAGCCTGCTGGTGCTGTGCGAGGCCACACTGCGGGGCCTCGAGACCCACGACCCAACACCGAGCCAGCGAAATCGCAGCAGCCGCAGCCGCAGCACAAGGGTGAAGCTGCCGCAACCCAGTCAAAGGTGTCTTTCGTCCACCAAGCACCGCCCAAGAGCGCGCCTGGCCACCAGCATCCCTCGCAACATCAGGCATCCGCTCATCGTCCTGCGAGCAGCCCCAACACAAGCCGCGGTCCCATTTCTAGCGTAGGCAGCGGGGAGCGTCGGCCTTATGTTCCTGGCGCCTTCAGTGGTAGACGGACCCTGATGAGCAGCAGCAGCGAGCACGGCGGTACTCCGCCTAGTAGCAATAGCGGCTCAATGACTCTAGTATCCTCGCACAACACTGCCGTCCCTCCTCCTCATCACCAGCAGCAGAGGGGTATCATGATGACCATGTCCGATGGCGTGGGCGGAGCTATCCCCTGCCCTTCCCCGGCAGGAGGCTACCCCGATCCATTCAGCATCACAGGCGTGCGTGGGGGTGATGAGCAGGAGAAGCTTACTTATGCTCAGCCTCCGACATCCGAGTTGCACGTCCCTCCTCCCTCGTCTGATGTCCATTCAAGCACTTCTTCCTCGTGGGTCTCGGCAATGAGCGCATCAACGGGCATCGTCTACGGCGGCCCACCTCTGGGAAATGGACATGGGGCCAATCGAGCCACCAACCCGTACAAGATCAATCACATCTACGACGAGTATGCCAGTCTTGGGCCGGAGGATGACGATTGGTTGCATGATGTCAAGTACAAGAAGATCCGTAGTCGAAAAGGGGAAAAGAAGAAGGACGGAGCGCAGAACGGCGGGCCGAGGATTGAATACGATGTCGATAGATGGAGATGGCGGAGCTGCTGCTGCTGCAGTTGTCGTGGCATTGGTGAGTGCGTCTAGCATTGGTAGTCTAGCCAAGCACGCGCCGAGTGTCGCGTCTTGCTCACTCCTTTTTCTCCCTTTGCCCCCCTCCAGTAAATATCACCATCCTCTTCCTCCTCACCTGCACTCTCGTTGGCCTATTCCTGGGCTACCCTGTCCTCTCGTACATCTTTAGCGAAGTTCTACCGCATCACGGCGGCTTCGGCCTCGGAGGAACAAACGCATCTGGTCAGGTTCCGTACTTTGGCGAGTCCCTGAGGCAGGGCTTGATCGATTATGATACTCCCAAGGCGGCCTACAGTAGGATGAATTTGGCGGGAACAAAGAAGATGAATCTGGTCTTTTCGGACGAGTTTCAAGTTGATGGCAGGAGCTTTGTGAGTACGCAAAAGAGAAACAGAGGGCGAGACCCCGTGCTGACTTGCGACTTGAGCCTCGTCTAGTATCCTGGTGATGATCCTTTCTGGGAGGCCCTTGACCAGTGGTACTGGGAGACGGTGAGGCGACGAGTGCTCCTCGAGTCGACTAATCCCTCCTGCTGAGCCACCCAACCTGCTTTCCCAGGGCGACTACGAATGGTACGACCCTTCGGCCATCACGACGCGCAATGGCAGTCTGGTGATCACGATGAGCGAGAAGATCAACCACAACAATTACTTCCGCTCGGGCGTCATGAGCTCGTGGAATAAGTTCTGCTTCACTGGCGGCTTGGTAGAGGCGAGGGTCGTCATGCCTGGAAGTCCGACAGTTCCTGGCTTCTGTGAGTGCGGCGGATGGATGATATCGAGGAGAACCTGTCGAACACTGACTTTGCCATTCCTGGCGCAACGATGTAGGGCCGGCTATCTGGATGATGGGCAACCTAGGCCGAGCAGGGTACGGCGCAACAACTCATGGCATGTGGCCATATACGTACGGCACATGCGATGTCGGTACCTTGCCCAACGTACGTCGCGCCTCAGTATTCTGCCGTGGCGAGCTAGGAGCGCTGAACTCTGTTCCCCGTCCGCTTGGGCAGCAAACGTTCCCCAAGAGCATGGGAGGAGGTCCCGAATTGGCTTTGACCAGTGGCGCAAAGGGCAAGTCGCTTTCTTGGCTGCCTGGTCAGAGATTGAGCGCTTGCACTTGCCCGGGCGAAGATCACCCTGGGCCCAAGCTGAAGGACGGAACTTGGGGAGCGCGTTCTGCGCCTGAGCTTGATGTGAGGACGCATGCCTAAAGACGGTTCGCGGAGGTGTGACTGACATCTCTCTCTTGTGAAGATCTTCGAAGGCGATGCTGCTCCAGTTGGAGGGTAAGCGGCCCGATTCTCCGCTCCCTCTTTGCGGCCGAAACTGACCTCAAACATCTCCGTCGCTACTTGCTCGCAGTCACATGTCCCTCTCCCTCCAAGCTGCCCCCTTCAGCACCTCCTACGAAGTCGCACAAGACCATGCAGTATGGTATGACCCCGATCGCGCTCGTCGCAATCCGTACCACGGCGGGCACTACCAACAGTCCATCTCGGGTGTATGCGACACGGACCCTAATAACTACGAGCGCACAGCCAACCAGTTTGATGTTCACGCCGTCGAGTACCGACCGGGCCCCAAGGGGAGCTATGTGGTGTGGAGCGTGAGCGGGAAGAAGGCGTGGAGCGTTGATATGGATCAGGCCATGGGGCCAGATCCGTGAGTTGGCGCGGCGCTGTGAAGTGGGACACCGTGACAGCGGACTTGCGCTGACTTGACTGCCTCGACCTGGTCCGAGTAGCGAGCTCCAGATCAGCGGACGATATGTGAGTGTCTCTCAGGCTGGCTCGAGGCTCGACGGCCGTTTTGCTGACGCTGCTCCTCGGCCATGCCAACAGATCCCCGCGGAGCCCATGTACATAATCATGAACTTTGGCATGTCGTACAGCTTCTCCAAGCCCAAGTGGGACGATTTGCAATTCCCGGCCCACTTCAAAATCGACTACATCCGTGAGCCTCAAGCAGATTGTTGTTGCAAGCTCGCCGTAAGAGACGTGGTCCTGACTTGAATCTCTGTCCCTTCGCTGGCTTTGTTGCACAGGCGTCTATCAGCCCGAGGGCGAGGAGAATGTTGGATGCGACCCCAAAGAGTATCCAACTGCTGTATGTTGACGCGTCATTGTACCCTATTGGACCACGACGCGGATGCTGATTAGCGTGGTGTTCTCCCTTGAGCAGGACTACATCCAGAGGCACTGGGAGGCTGTGAGTGGGCGCACCTACAGGTTGCGGACGCTGCAGGTCAACGCTGACGCCCGGTTGCACTGTTCACAGTACAGCAATCCCAACCTGACGACATGGACGGAGCCGAAGGGTCATCGAGCCGGATACGGCCATGCATTGTGAGTAGCAGAGAGGTCGATGTCGAGGCGTGACTACTTGAGCTCACCACCTCGCCTGACCCTGTCGCAGCCCTCGCAATCGCCTCGTGACCAAGTGCGACTAGCGTGCGATCTTCATCTGCTTTGCTTCGCGTATCTCTTGCCTTACGATGCCCTCCTTGCTTTGATCGAACACTTAGTCTACGATCGATGACGATGCGTGAGTTGAAGGTGCGAGGCGCGCCTGATTTCGCCACGTGGTTTGTGCCTTGCCGGCTGCGGGCACGTGACTTGGGCGAAGAAGTGGGAACTCGATCCCTCCTGCCGCTCGCCGCGGGTTTGAGCGCTTGACCCTTCGTCTTTACCAACCACCAACCACCCTTCCCCCACCCTCATCAACTTATCTCAAGAGTAAGTAGCTCAAAGAGGAATCATACCATCCTCGAGCTCCCCTGGATACCCCATTTCCTCCACTCTACCACTTCCTCATCGGACGCTGGTCGTCTGGGTGCACAAAAGTTGGACGGATGATTGCTGCAGCCTGGGTCGATGGAGGTGAACGATGCGTGTCAGCAGGCACGATGGGATGAAGAGGGGCAGAGGGTGAAAGCGTAGCGTATGAGAAATATGTGGGAGAGGGCGCTCATCGATGCAGGCACTTGGCAGCAACATCCCCCACCCCATCCACGTCCAACGTCCACCTATCCAGGGGAGCTCGAGATCCATTTTGCGATTGAGAGCTGCGAACCTGACCACCCATCTCTTGTCTCCTATCGCTCGTAGTGGCACCCAAGGCCTCCAAGAAGTCGACGTCGGAGACGATCAACTCCAAGCTCGCCCTCGTCATGAAGTCGGGCAAGGTCACCCTCGGCCTCAAGTCGGCTCTCAAGTCGATGCGCTCGGGCAAGGCTAAGCTCGTCCTCATCTCGGCGAACACTCCCCCTCTGCGCAAGTCGGAGCTCGAGTACCACGCCATGCTTTCCAAGACGAGCGTCCACCACTTCCAGGGCAGCAACGTTGCCCTCGGCACTGCCGCTGGTAAGCTCTTCCGTGTTGGGTGAGTATCAAGACGAGCGTGTGGACATGGACGACAAAGGGCCATGTATGCTGATCGTTCAATATCTCGTCCTCGCGCGCACAGTGTCCTCACCGTCCTCGACGCTGGTGACTCGGACCTCCTCACCACCGTCGCTGCCTGAGCAGATGTGGTTGCGTTGGACAGGATTCATCATCACGACTACCTCTTTGTACAATTTAGCACATTCTCACAACGTGCTAGGCGTGACGTAGCGATCCTGCGTGCGAGACGATGATTCGGTGATGAGTGGAATAATTTCCATGATTGAGAAGCCTCAAGGGCCTCAAGGACGAGGAAGCCATCTGCTACAGCATCATGTTTGCCTCGCCCACCTCCTGAGCGGTCTTTGTTTCGCTGATGAGCTCGCCACGACCTGTTGACGCTGCGATGTCCCAATGGTGCGAGGAGAAACCTGTTCCTCCACGTCCTCGCTCGATGCTACCCTACAGACAGACTCGTGACGGAGGGCAGCTGCTTGGCACCTATTGCAGGTAGGACGTTGCGCAGGTGAACAGTAGGGAAGTGAGTTTGGAGACTAGACGGTGCTGGAGCAGCCGCGTTCGTCCTTGTTCGGATGGGCACTCTTACAATGGGGATCGCTTTCCACGCGCTTACGGTGAAGCGATGGAACAGCTGCTCTGCAACGGCATAGACGTCTACGGTCACACTTGAGGCCTACTGGCAGACACGCGGACCTGCCAGACATGCCGCTGTCGCTGTCAACGCTGGAGCTGAGGCCGTACCGATGGTCCACGGTGCGTCCCATGTCATTCAGGATGATCGTCGCCATCGCATTCCACGGCTTGGCGGCGCCGTGTCTCACTCTGTCCATCGCGAACCTCGGTCACGGCTTCGCTCCCTTGTTACAGGCCTTGATTCCCACGCGCCCAGCTACGCGAAGCTCAGACGCGCGCCTGGCCCTCTCGAATCTGAAGGACGCCTCATCTCCTTGTAATGTCTTCTCGAGTCTCGAGGAGCACGAAGTTGCGCTGCTCTCCTTCGATCCAAGCAGAAAGAAAATGAGGTCTTCGAAAATGCTAGAAGGGATGAGGGCTGCGCGGGCAGCGGCTAGGGGCGTTGGGCGTCAGGCGGTGCTGTAGGTGGATGGCAAGGAGACGTGCGTCGCAGAGCAGAGCAAGTCGACGCTCAGAGCCGCCGCGGGCGATCGTGAAAGGCACGGGTCGAGCGCAATGTGAGTGGTACTGAAACGATTGGATGATGACTGAATGAATTGAACGACTCTTGAGTCGTCGGGAAGGTGAAAGACGAGTTAGCGAGAGAAGCTTCGTTGTAGAGGGGGGAGGAGGACGTGGCGTCAGAGAAGATCGCCTGTCTCCCTCGCTCCTTCGATGTCTCGTGTCTCGCGTAGTAGACCGAAGCCATGGTAGGCTCTAGTGGTTCGGGTAGGCCCACTAATCGCTCGCGACGCCCACCGTGAGAGCTTGCCTCTTCGCGCTGGGATTGCAATGGCTGTCTCCCCTGCTTGGCAGCTAGTAGAGTCGCACGACGCCGATGGTAGGGTGTTTCAAGATGGAGGGGGATGGACCCTCTTTCGTGTGCTGCACTGCCGCTGCTGCTTTCTCACTACTCGACTGGGCGTGGTGGCACCCCCGCACTGTTGCTCTTCTGTGTCTGTCGCAGCGGCGGCAGCGAAAAAGAGGACGGCGGAGGGCGGTGCGGTGAAATTAGCGCGATGTGAGTGAACAACAGCCAGCGCAGGCAGAGCAGAGAAGCAGGCAGATTAGAGAGCACGGAACAGAGACAGTGACAGAATGGAGATTGGGTGCGAGCTATCGAGGGACCATGCTATTCACGAGGCGCTACGAACTGACCAGTCGTAGAGACGCTGAGCCTCTGTGCCTCTTCGGGGTCTACTCTGCCTTAGAGTAGCTCGTGTAAGGTCGAAGCTCGAGCTAAGCACCACGCAATCTGCCCGCCTCTGCTTGCTGCTTGCTCGCAGATCACGAAGTCAGGTCCGCGGGCCCCTCGCTCCGCTCCGCCCGGCTCGTTGTGTGGTGTCGTCGGGATCGAGGATAGCAATGTGCGGGCGGGCGGACCTCTGTGATTCTCGACTCTCGATTCGATTCGAGTGCGATGCTGAGCAGCCGCTCCCATTTCGAGACACAGCCCGCATCTTCGGCCTGCAATACCCTCTTGACCTTGCTTTTCCAACCATCTCCCCTTGTTGTTGATATTCTTGAATCACCTCGACCCTCACCTTCACCCCTACCACCCTGGACCCCCCTTTGAACCTTTTAGCGCCCTTCGTAGTCATTCGCCCGCGCCCTGGCCGCCGCCGTCGTCGACTTCAGCCTCAACCTCACTCACCACCGACGCCGGCCCGCGCGTGCCGCCGCGTTACGCCTGCTCGGCGAGCTTCATCTCCAAGTTCACTCTCCGGCGCGCCCCTTCCTTCTCCGCCATCTTGGCCGCCTTCTTGGCTGCCAGTCGCCGTCATCGCTTGAGCCTACTACCCTCACGCTCGGACCTCTTCAGGGCGTCGTCGCCCATCTCACTTCCTCAGTCGCCCTCCCTCTTTCTCTGCATTTCGATGGACAGCATTTGACATCCATCGAGCAACCAGCATACGTCGCAACTAAAGAGGACCTTTCCATCCAAAGGGGCTCCCCACAGCACATGGTCTTTACCGGCAGCGAGTCTGCTGTTGCGGGGCCCTCGTCCCTCGTCGACGTCGCACTGATGCAGAGGCAGCACTGCAACGCCAATCGCCCATCTTCCTCGTCCTCGTCGATGCCCCCTCGCCGGCAGTCCGACTCGACGCTCACCGGCAGGGAGAGAATCGACCTCGACGAAGACGGCAGAGCAAAGCTGCGAAGATGGGCAGCAGAAGCACTCGAAGCTCCACCACCACTCATGGTCCCCTGCGAGCCCACGAAACCTGCGAGGCCTCTGCAGAGCGCCACGTCCCTGGGACGATCGAGTCGACCTCGCTCAAGATCACCTGTTGGGTCAACATCAGTAGTCGACCCAGAGACCCTGTCTCTTCGTCGCAAGTCCCTCTTCGTCGAACAGACGCTCTCGCCAGGCGCACTCTCATCACTACCAGACGAGCGCCCGCGGTCCTCAGTCACCACTCCAACAGCAACTAGCTTTCCCTCAGCAGCTACAATGATGCCCTCCAGCTCGTCACCAGCTCTCGGTCTGGCGCAGAGACGGCTGCAGTCTGGCCGACTCGATGAGAACCTCGTACAGCGAATAGCGACACCAGCGCCCGACGTCCAAGTGGCCAGAGGACCAGCCTCAGCCCTGTCATCAGAGACTACACCAAGGCCGAGACCGGGGAAGGCTGCCAATCTGCATTCTCTTCCACGACTCAAGACCGTCAAGATGCAAGAGCCAGGCACTCCGAGGGGTCACAGCGCCATTGCAAGCACGTACGACTCGCCTCGGTCGACGACGTCTACCTGCGAAAGCGACGAGGACCGGGCCATTGTAATGACGCCCCTTGACGACGCTCTCCCATCAGCGCGCTACGAGTCTCCTCTAGCATCAGCAGGCAACGGCACACCCCCACTCAACACATTGACAGACGCTCCTGCCGATCGATTGGGCTCATCTCTTGGGCTCGAGACGCTTGGGCGATCGCATGAGAGTCCTATTAGCACGTACATCGCCTCCGGTCGTCGTGGTAGCGCATCGCTCGACCATTCTCCATCACCTCTCCGCCCTCTTACCGCCTGCGAGGACAATCACGCTTCTGTTCCTCCCCTCTCCCGCTCGACGCTCATGGACCTGGGCTCCGTCAAAGGATTGACTCCACCTTACCTCGTCGAATCAGCCACCCCCGGACAAGGTCACAACGCAGTCTCATCAGCCGCCGAGAGCAGCAATGTCGTCTCCGCTGGCCTCGAGATGGGTCTCGGCGTCAGCATGGCTACTGCAGCTCTGGCCGCCAATCTACCCGCTCATGCCTCGGGTCTAGGCAACTTCGCCGACCCGCGACATGCTCGTTTGCCGATGTCGCGAGGGTTTGTCGACCCCTTGCCGCAGTCTGAGGGTCTCAGAACCACCGACTCAGAGGTCTCAGGGTTGCGTGAAATGGTCCACCACGACGAGGCCTCCTACTACGCATCGGCCGACACGGCAGACTTGTCGCGCCGCAAAACGACTGGCTGGGATGCAGGCAAGATCAGAAGGGACCTGAGCAAGCGTCACAGGGCAGAGACGCATGACGAGGTCGTCTCTCAGAATGCTGCTCTGATACGTCAAGCAACGCAGCATGCAGCGCCGCTATCCCGCGACGTCGCAACTGCCAAAGAGCAGCAGCAGCAGCAGCTCAACTACGTCAGCCCCGTTCGGCCAATGGTCTCTCTGCTCCCGGGCGATCTGTCCGATCCCTCAAGGCCGTCTGGGTCGAGTACCGTCTCGTCGTGGGACAGCCGCAGCACCCACGCGCGAGCATCGCGTACTGGTAGTGCGCAGCTGGACACTCCATCTCTCAGCGGGCGTGCTATGTTGTCGCCGGACGTCAACCCGCTCACCGACATGCGAGGGGGCATCTTGGGTGGCGGCGGTGGAGGAGCAGAGATGAACGAAGATGTTAGAGTCACCAAGGCAAGAGAGGCAATGTTGCGAGACGCTGCGTATGGCGCGCAAGCTAGTGGAGGCAACAACGGCGGCTTGATGGGAAGCAATGTCGGCGGACACTTTGGACCAGGCGTTCGTGCAAAGGTCATCGAGGTTCTCGACCCGCTCATCGCTTCGGTACCCATGACCGGCGAGGATGGCGAGACCTTCAATCTCGTCGAGTACGGATGTCTCAACTCGCGCTCCATCCCAGTCATGCAGCTCATCATCTCCAAGTTTGCCCAGCGGGCAGCGGATGCTCGTCGAACTTCTGGCATGGACCTCGCTACCGTGGGCGAGGACAGCGATCTTCGGCACGGCAGGAGTGGAACGTTGCAGCCGAGGGGACACAGTCACCGCCACATCGAGCCAGAACATAGCCGCGCCAGCTTCACTGTTCTGCACGAGGATGCTGGCACGCTGGACTTCCGGCCTGTGATTCAGAGCCTCGATTCTCGATCGGACTCGTACCTCGATTCGCAATGGCAGGCAAGCCACAAGCCCTCCCTCCAGGACTGCGTCTTCTCCTCCTTTGTCGGCCGACCATTCGCCTCGCGCATCGCCCCGCCCAAGACGATGCATTTCGGCATCAGCCTCATGGACATGCACTGGACACATACACCATCGAACAACGTTATGCCAATGGCCACCACCTCACATGCAGAGCTCGTCACTTTCCTGCGCGCTCGCTCTCACGAGTTTAAGACGGGAGGCGTACTTGTCGTCGCCTTTCTCGCTCGCTCCGAGGATGCAGCATCCCTGACGCGCAAGAAGAGCCTCACGAGCGCCGTGTCAGGCCCTGGTGGAGCTGCTGGGAGTAAAGCGCCATCGGACATCTGGACGAAGCTCACCAACACGCTAGCGCCCTGCATCCAGCGTCTCGTCTCATGCGGAATGCTCAAGAGCGATGTGGCTCGCTTCCTTCTCGACTTGCCACTGCACCCGCGCACGCCACGACAGACGTGCAACGCGCTCAACTCGCTGCGCAACCTCTGGGGCGTTGAGTGGAGTTGCGGTCTTGGATTGGAGGCGTCCAATCCAAGCAGCAGTAGCAATCCCAACCTCCCGCCCAGCGAGGCATCCCCTCTCCGCATAGCTCATCCAGCGTGGAAAGCTTTCCAAGCCGGCACGCTCAGCAAGGTGGCCCTGACGGAGCACATGCTGATGCTCTTCAAGAACCTCTACGAGGCGCACTTCCGTACCGTTCTCCGTGAGCGGGGCAAGTTGAGCAAGGGTGCGGCTGAGTTCGTGCTCGATTCTTTGTGGGATATCTTGTCGAGCAAGATCGACGATCAGCATCCGCATAGCACGATGGAGGAGGTGGAGATAGAAGTCAGCATCGTGGCGCTCAAGCGGTTGTGAGAAGAAGTACGTCCGGCCACGCTCGCTGGTCGAGCAGACGGCCATGTCATCACTCAGTCACAGCAACATCAACGACGCCCTGAAGACGCTTCTCTTTCAAACAGTACTACAGGACAACACGTTACGATCTTTCTTGGTCATCGTACGACTACCTCGCTGACTGGCGGACTAGAAAGTAAACCGACCTATACACAGCCCTTCGGCACTTTTCCCATCTCGAACTCGTCATACTACCTCCGCCCTTCGCCTCATCGTCATTTTCACCCTCGGTCTCCCAAGTCAATTCTACTCTCCTTCGCACTCTCCGCGCTCTCACTGGCCTCGCTCATTCTCTTCTCACAATGCTCTGGTCTAGCATTTCTCACGTCGCCTCGCTTCCCTCGCTACAAAGTCAAAGAAGGTCATTTTCATTGGTATCTAGTTTCGCTGTTTCTTGTTCTCCTCTGTCTCGTTCTTCACGATTACCCACTCGCCTCACAAGGTCTCGTCATTGCAATTCTCATGGCATTCGTGACATGACGCAGTATTAGCTGGGCGTGAGGAGATCGTGTGACAGGAAGGACAGGGAGCGAGGGAGCGGGATATCGATAGGTCGAAAGAGCTTGTCGGCTCATTGCTAGGCCGCAGCGACGAATCATAGGGCTGGAGCATGCGAAGGCGGCGCAATGTGCGACTCTACTAGCAGAGCCTGACCTCGAGGTTCACGCAGCCGTCCCTGCTGCAGCGGATTTCGAACCTGCGGCGGCGGTGGCCTCGTCTGCCCAGCCACCGCCCGTCTGAACGATCCGATTGCCTCGTCCAGCTCATGCTGGCATCTCACCTTCGCTCTGATCTCCAGCTCGTCGGGTACGAGTACCTCCAACAGCCAGCTTCTGTGCCGTAATATCGCTCGGCCGCGCCTTCTCGCACGACATGTACCTCCAACGACCGGTGAAGGGCACCTCCTCGAGGTGGCAGACGTACCAGGCTCCTGAGCCCAGAAGGAAGACGAAGCATATAAGCAAAGGATCGCTCAGCACAAAGTCATCACCTTCCTTACGACCCTCTTCTCTTGCGGTGGAACCATTGAGTAATCGGGTGTGCAGGAAAGGGCTCAGGAGACGGTGGCAGCGAGGAGGGCGATTCTTGCTGCGGGTGCTGATACGATGATTCGCTCTTTGTAGCAGATGCTTCGAGCGTTGAAAAGCTCCTCCGCTTGCCGAAGAGGCCAAAGCCAAAGTTGGATGCTCCGTCCTTTTGCTGCTTGCGGGAAGAATGTTGTGGAGAGTCCTTGGAGATGAAGACGCCCTCTACTTGCTGAGTTGCGTGTCTGCTTCGGTTCTGATATGCCACTCGGTCTTGCTCCTGCTGCTTTTCCCTCTGTTCCCTTAGCTCAGCTGCAGCATACACCGATGGCTTGGGTAGCCAGGAAGGCCATGCTGCTGCCGCTTTGCGTAGCTGCGCCTCCTGATCGACGGCGTTGTCTTGCGGCGTTGGCGACGTGGTGGTCTGACTCGTTGTTGCCGATGCCGCTGCTTTGTGAGATGGAGAAGAGCCGCGTTTGCTACGAGCCGATGTAGCCCTGATGCCTGCTCGCCCTCTTGGTATCGCCGACTTGGAGTGGATGGGGCGACCGATTGCGAGCGACGTCGTTGGTGGCTGGGCAACGGAGCCATTGAGACGAGACCACACGATCAGGCTCATGTCAATGAAGATTGGTGGCAGAAGAAGGGCGTTTTCTGCGCCTTGTCAGCCCTCAGAGGGGCATATAAAGGGCGCACTTTGTGCTGGTATTGCTTTGTACCAGTTCGTTGATAGAGTCTGAGGGGAGCGCTTCCTTGTGGCTCGAGCTGAGGCCAATGAAACGCCCACGGCACGGAAAGGACCCTGTGCGCCAAAATGAAATTCAACTCCGCTCTCCACACTTGGCCGCCCCATTTCGAGCGAGGGAGCGAGGTAGATAGCCAGGCACAGAGTTGCTACGCACCTCTTCGTCCTATCCCTTTATCCTTTCCTGTTCGATCCTCGGAGGCGCGCCAAAATGGCTGAGTCTGCCATCAAGGCTACGACAATCGTCGACCCACGCAAGGTCTCGCAGCTCATCCTTCGACTGCGTGCCTTGATCAAGAAGCTCGTGCCCGTCGAGGTTAGCCAGGATTCCCTCACGCAGCCTGACGGGCTCATCAATCACGCCGTCGTAGCCAGCTTCGTTGAGGCCGGCGGCGACCTTCGCGATGTAACACCGTTCGCCTTGCTTGAAGCTAAGACTCTCTTCGAGGGGTGAGTGTTTAGAGGGTCACTCGCAATCGACTAGCGCTGACGTGAACCTCCTACTTTCTCTCGCCCAGCGACCGTGCAGACGGCGAGCTCAACAACCTGCGCGGCCAGGCTTGCGAGATACTAGCACGACGCGTCGTCTATCAGCTCTTCAAGTCAGGCTACGACGACGAGACAACCTTTGTCTGCCTCTCGAAGCGCTTCTGCTACATTGACGCGCGAGGTAACAAGACGCTCGCTACCTCTGCCCTCGAATCGGCCGTCGATCAAAGCAGCATCACTTTCCTGTCCTCACCCGAGGCGCAGGCCTGCATCGATGCCATCTGGACAGGCAAGCTCGTTCAGTCGTACAGCGATGGACACCACCTCGTACACTTTGTGCCGTGGCAGCCAAAGCATAACAGCAACAGCCTCTTCGACTACTTTGAGCCTGCTCGCCTTGCCGTACCCCGCTTCAACTATTCGGTCAGCCTCGTTTCTTGGCTCATCTTGCTCGGCGTATACAGCATCGCGACACAGACATACTCGGGTCTCGACGGATGGGAGATTGCCCTCTGGCTCATGCTCGCAGGGTACATAATCGATGATCTCAATCGCTGGTGGAAAGTACGAGGGCTAGAGGCACTCAGCATCTGGCTCATCATCGACGTCTTGCAGGATATCCTCGCCACAGCTGCATTTGCTGTGCGAGTCGTATCCTTCATCTACGAGGACGTTGATCACAGCACCAAGTACCAGCGCCTTGCCTTTCAGCTCTTGGCCTGCTTGGCGCCTTTCCTCTGGATGCAGCTACTCAAGGCCACGGATGTATTCAAGTTCTTTGGCTTGATTTTGCAGTCACTCGTCGGTATGCTGCAAGAGACTGGTGCGTAGTTGCGAAGACCGTCAGCGCTGCGTCAAATTTTGAGCTGATCCTCTCCCACGCCTCCGCCCGCAGGCATATTCCTCGTCCTCCTCGTCCTCGTCGGCATCGGCTTTGCTCAGGCTCTCTACTCTCTCGATGCAGCCGATGGAGGCCGCACAGAGAACGCCACGCACGCCATTGTCCAAACACTGCTGAGTGGCCTCCTCGGTGGCGGGCAAAGTCTGGACATCATTGAGGAGTTCGGCCAGCCCTTCAGCGAGATTCTCCTCTACGCCTACTCGCTCATCCAGGTCCTCTTCCTTACCAACATCCTCGTCGCACTCCTCAACAACGCATACAGTGACCTCGTCGCGGACGCGGACGATGCCTTTGGGGCCTACTTTGCGACCAAGACCATCGGATTGGTACGAGCACCGGATCAATACGTGTACCCGGCGCCGCTCAACTTGCTCGAGCTCTTCCTCATTGCCCCGCTCGAATTCGTGCTGTCCAAACGCTGGTATCAGGCTCTGAACCGCGCTGTGCAGACGGTGCTCTTCTCGCTGCCCTTGATGGCTATTGCCGTCTTTGAGTGGAAGATGGGACCAAAGAGCGTCGGCGCCATCAGGCTGGAGATGCTGGAGGATGCAGGCGACTGTGTGGCCGAATCGCGGGGTGCGGAGCAGGTAGACTCGCGAGCTCAGGCTATTGCGGCTGCCATTGGGGCGCAGAGCATCGAAGACCCCGACGATGGCGAGCAAGGAACACATGGACGGAGGCGCGACGGAGAGGCGATGACGACGGCAGACGGGGAGCGAGAGGCGGCTGCGCTGACTATCAGTCGTGTCTCGTTCCAAAAGCTTACGGCTACCTTCCCTGCTGTTGTTGGTGGCACGGAAGACGATGCCGACCAGGACCCGACTACAGGCGAGGTCGCCGTGAAGAAGGAGGACGACGGCGGAGAGGCGATGACAGGTCAGCTGACGAAGGGCAGCAGCAGCGGAGGCAGTGACAGTCTGCTGCGCGAGCTCCTCGATGAGGTTCGCTCGCTGAGAAGCGAGTTGGAGAGCATGAAGAAGGAGACGAAGAAGAGCGAGGCGTAAGGCGGTGCACGGCAAAGGACAATCTCGGATTACTCTATATCACTCATAGCGCTCGCAGCATTAGCAATCAGGGAAAGGTCGCGGTTGGTCTGTGCCTAGCGCGGCGGGAGCGAGTCGGAGGACCTTACGTGCGATCGTCGCATCCGCAAATAGCAGATTTGATTACTGCTCGTTCGTCTGTGGCCATGATGGCGACGCATGAATACCCTTTAATTTCGTCTTGTCCTCCTTTACCTGGGCTTCGTTTACGGGCTACTATCGGGCGGCCCGACGAGCGTGAGAAGGTCGGCGATTTTCCCCATCCAACTCGCCGCAATACGAGCGCCGCGATCTGCGCTACTCTGATCCTCCGATGAACAAGGCTTCGCGCTTTCGAATCATGAATGGTCGCACGGCCAGTCGTGCCTGACGACGACGCCGACTCACTGCAAAGTCGCAACACGTACGGCGGCAGGCGCTTTCCGGTGGAGGAAGATGCGTCACTCGAAAGCCTCATTTCCTTCTGCCTGGCTCGCCGCTCGCGGCTAAAATGTCATGCTACGTTACGCGCTCTGCATCTCCGCGCCGAGCTGCCCTCGGGGATAAGTGCCTTTCCTGCGCCGATTGAGTTGGAACGAGTGGAACGAGCTTCAGCACCGGCACTGCAACGCAGCCAGTCCACAGCTCACCCGCCGCATCGGCTCTTTGTCCGAAGGCCGCGAGCGGCAGCGAGAGGGAGGAATTTGTGGACACCATGACGACGATGGCGGGATGAGAAAGAGAGGGGGGTCTTCGCAATCCGCGGTCCGCTCTCCCATCAGTGAATTTCGTTGATAAGTTGGAGAGCGTGGGTTTATTCCTTCTTCTTCATCATCATCGCCACATCAACCTCTCGCTGCACTCAATCCGCAATACGGGCCACTCGTCGTCGCAGCTACTGGATCAGCTCGGCTCAGCTCAGCGCGCCACGCCCGCCACGCTCGCGCAGGAAACATTTCACCACCTCACCTCATCTAGCATAGACAGGATCGCAAGCACCCCCACTCGCCGCATCCACTCCTCGATCGCAAGCATGCCCGCACAATCAGAAGTCGACTTGGAGAAGCAGTCGTCTGGCACCACGGCCGCGCATAGCGAAGCTGCCGAGGAGCAGCAGGAGCGTGCCGACAATGTGCCCGACCTCGACGACGAAAAGGCTGGGCACCAGAAGCAGGGCACGGTCTCGTCAAAGAAGTCCACAAAGTTTGCGCCGTTTCAGACACCCAACTACAACCAAGCAGGAGGACAAGCGGGAGAGGGAGCAAAGGTTACCAGGACCTTCTCAAGAAGAGATCCAAGCCTCCATCAGCACGACTCGCACATCTTCGGTGGTGATCTCCAGACGCAAAACCACGAGGACACCCTTACGCGCTTCCAGAGTCAGGCGGGCAAGGATGTCGTCACGGTGCACTGGGAGGGAGAGGACGATCCCGAGAATCCCAAGAACTGGGGCAGGCTCTATCGATGGTATCTGACCGGTCTCGCCGGTCTGCTCGTCCTGAACTCGACGTTCACCTCATCAGCACCAGCAGGTGTCGCCCCGGCGCTTGTTCAGGAGTTTGGCTTCAGCACAGAGGTCGCTGTCCTGACCATTTCGATGTTCGTGGCGGGGTACTGTCTCGGCCCACTGATCTGGGGTCCATTAAGTGAAAGGGTCGGACGTCGACCCGTCTTTCTCATCGCTCTGCTCTGCTACACTGGCATGAACGTCGGATGTGCTCTTGCACCCAACACGGCCGCCATCATCGTCTTCCGCTTCCTTGCTGGCGCCTTTGGCGCTAGTCCTCTGACCAACTCAGGAGGTGTCATCGCCGACATCTGGGACGCAGACACTCGTGGAGACGCAATGGCCATCTTCTCCATCGCTCCCTTTGCCGGTCCCGCCATCTCGCCCATCGTCTCTGGCTTCATCTACGTTACCGGTACGGACTGGCGCTGGCTCTTCTGGGTCTGCACCATCTTCAGTGGTGTCTGTCTCATAATCACCGCCATCACTCTGCCTGAGACGTACGCACCTGCTATCATGCAGCGAAAGGCCAAGCGCATTCGCAAGGAGACGGGCGATGAGCGATACAAGGCGCCCTTGGACTTGGCAAAGGTTGACGCGTCTACGCTCCTTCACTCCATCTTTGCCAAGCCCTGGATTATGCTCGCACAGGAGCCCATGCTCCTCGCCATCACCTTATACATGGCCTTTGTTTACGGGGTGCTCTATTTACTCTTCGAGGCTTATCCTATCGTCTTTGAGGAGGGACATGGCTTCAACGCAGGTGTTGAGGGCCTGATGTTCCTCGCGTTCTTCATTGGCGGAGTCATCGCGGTCGTCATTTTCATGACAGTCTTCAATCCCCGCTACGTGAAGTTGATGAAGGCACAGCCAAAGGGTGGACGAGTTCCCCCAGAAGAGCGTCTTCTGCCGGTCATGGTCGCTGCTCCTGCCCTGGTCATCTCCCTCTTCTGGTTCGCGTGGACCTCGTATCCGTCCATCTCATATTGGTCGCCCATGCTCGCAGGTGGACTCCTCGGCCTTGCCCTCCTCTTCATCTTCGTCGGACTCTTCAACTACATCGTCGACGCATACCTAATGAGCGCCGCCAGCGCCCTGTCAGGGAACACGGTCGTACGATCAGCCTTCGGAGCGGGCTTCCCCTTGTTCGCCCGCCAGATGTTCCAAAAGCTGGGCACGCAATGGGCAGCCTCCCTCTTGGGCTTCATTGCGCTGCTCATGGTGCCGATCCCGCTGCTCTTGTACAAGTTCGGCTCGAGGGTCCGCGCCTGGTCCAAGAATGCCCACTAAGAGCGAATTGCATTGTCCTTAGCCCTCTCTAATGCCATCATCGCGTTGATTGATCCCGCCCCGCGTGGCAGACGGACTGGGGATCGGGAGATTGATTCACCTGCAGGGGGCAGGTGCGGAGTTTGAATCTACGAGTATTCCGCTGTTGTTGCGCAGGTTCATTCATTACGACCTGTCCTTCTGTCCAGGTGCCTGATTGACGTGACTGCCTTTGTTCTGGCCCTTCGTTCGCTCTGTCTGGACTCAACACATAGGCTGCAATGCCTCGAGCTCGCACAAGTAGCCGTCGGCGAAAGTCGTCGTGAAACAGCAGAAGTGTCTTCGGGACAGCGGAGCAGGATGGACACTTACTTGGCTGAGGTACGCGTTCTCCCTTGTAGACTTGCCTCAAGTACACGACCGCGAAATGACATCTCTTACACCCCACCTCCCGGTTCAGCAGTCCGCCTCCCTACCTTCTCATACCCATACCCACTTGCGGTGGTAGGCCGGGTCGCAGCCGCCTAGCATGCCCGCCCCCTCTCCAAGGGCAGTCAAGCAGTCGCCGCTCTTCCTAGGTGCCGCCTTGGCTACGGTCCTCTTCTCTATTGTGATCATTATCATCCTCTTTGTACCTTTTGGCGAGCAGACGATCCATTACAACTACGTGCGATCCACGTCGTCGAGTCTCCCCAACGGCCAGTACCTCACAGCTGGCCGAGTCTACGCGACGAGCGAATACCTTCAGACGGTCACGTTCGGCTCTCTCGTCCACACGTACACCAGCACCGATGTCTACCCGACCGTGGTCACATACACGGCTGCACCAGGCTTCGAGGATGGCATCCCGTACGAGACGGTCACGGCCTACTCCGGTACCACCTACGACATCTCAGGAACGGCCACTCTGACGTTCCCATTCACCTCCTCTTATACAGTGACCAGGTATCCACCACGCTCGTCTATCCCGACGGCAGCGCCTCAATTGCTGTCGGTGAATGGTCTGGCTCCTCGCCAGGCAACCTCGGCGAGCAGTTCTTCATCAGCCACTCCTCTGCCAGCTACGACGACAAGCAGAGTGGCTCCCATCAGGGCTGGCAGCCCCGTGAGCCTTTGGATGCTCATTCAGAGCATCGTCTTCCTCATCCTGGCTCTCTGGCTAGGTGTGTACCTCTTCTGGAAGACACGCAAGATCCAGCGCGAGACAGCATCGAGTCAAGGAGAGGGTGGGGGAGATGTTATGCAGCCTTTGGCTCCTCAGGAGGCTGCCGCGGCGGGCGGTCCGCGTCTACAACCTCAGACCGCCAATTTGGGATCGACCAACGTACCCAACGATAAGGGCTACGTACGGGTCAGCTATGCTCGAACCCAATTCACCTGCCTCATCATCCTCGCCCTATTGTTCCAGGTACCTCTCGGCTTGCTGGCCTATTCGGCGTCAGCATTCTCTGCCGCGGCTACCGCCGAAGGAGGCTACTACGGCTTCATCGGTGGTGTCGTCGACTCGCGAGGTAATTGGCCGTACAGCGACTCGCCGGCGGCAGGCTACGGGAGCTCTGCGAATAGCAACGCCCTCTCAGGCTACTGCGTCAGAGAGGATGGAAGCCCGATGCCGACGTCGACGAGCTACTACTCGACGGGCTCCCAGCAGGTGTACAGGAACGATCCGCGAGATTGTCCAGGTGGCCAAGGCGCCTACACGCCAGACTTTGGCAGCAGCCCGTCCTTCGCCAAGTACGCCACTCCTGTCGTTTTGCTTCTTGTATTCGGTTGGGTCCTGTTCATCAGTGTCGTCGCACTCTGTGTCCTACTTTACTTGCATCGCGGCGAATCGCGCAAGGAAAGGAGAGAGAGGCGTAACAACGTCGTCCAGCAGAATTTGATGATGGAGATGTGGAGAGCCGGATGGCAAGCTCAGAGCGAAGCCGCTGCAGCAGCTTCGGCGGCCATGGCACAACAGCAACAGGGTCGTGGTCCAATTATGATGTACGGCCAGCAAGGAGGAGCAATGTGGGGTATGCCGCGGACGAATGCTGGTTATGGACCGCTACCAACAACGCCGATGAGTCAGCAGGACCAAAGCAACGGTGAGATGCACACGGCGGCAGGACACCTGGATCGTCCTGAGGCAAGCGCACGATCTCCCTCTGGTCAGAGAGCGCAAGAAGAGCGAACTGTCCCGTCTCTGCCGTCTTCGACAGCATCAGCGACAACAGCGACCCAGAATAAAGGTAGAAGCAGGCAGCCTGTTCCGCCCCCTGAAAGAGATGAGCACGAGCATGCCGCCCTCAGCGGCATTGGCAGCCGTCGCAGCGCTGGCCGAAGCGACAGCAGCAATCACGTAGACGAGTCTCGCTGGCAATTGGCATCGCAAGTGGCCAAGGGCAAGGGCAAGCAGAGGGAGCGAGATCCTGATGTCGAGGCGGCTGATTTATTTTCTGTCGATCACATTGGAGCGAGCAATCACGGCGATCCGGGCTCGGCGGAAGGGCAGCGATGGTCGAACCATGGCTAGGGATCAAGCGTTGGTGGCAAAGACGCAGCTTTGTGATAGCACATTCAATCTGCGTCTCTGTAATCGAAGCGTGCCGCTGATCATGACAGTAGCAAGCTCTAGACTAAGGCTCGTTTCTTTCAATCTATCTCCCAGGGTTTGGCTCACGCGCGCGTGCTAACCGACAAGAGCCGGACGTTGGCGTCACATAGAGGGGCGCCCGCTAAAGCGCGCTAGGGTGGGGGGGAGGCGAAAGTTGAAACGCGTGAAGTTGAGGCCAGATTCAGAGTCAAATTGAAATCGCGCCGAATCGAGATAGCCGTGATTAGCGAGAGTGGGCGGGGCGGGGGGGGGGGCCGGCGAAGCAAAATGGCGGGGCCTAGACGCCGGACTCCCGCTCTTCCTGCTTGCCTGGCGTCGGCTTCATCCAGCCTTTCAGCCTTGGCTCGACTTGAGTTCGCTGAATCGTCCACAACTTGCTCTCTGGATGCCCATATCCCGTCGTCGGGCGTCGCGAGTCGTGACAGGCAGCATCGTACTGCAGCGGCGCAGAGCCTGCGCACCTGACGCGAAACGTCGTGGCAAAGCCGTACCACTCGAGATGCATTCGATGTTCATCGTTTCGCTCGCCACAAGCGCCTTGGCATTCTCGCAGCTTGAGCTGTTATCTTCGTCGAGTCGATCTTCGCGGATCTTCTTGGGGATTACTCGATCACGAAGCTCTTCACCCGGAAGCGAGGGTAAACGAGACGGGTGCGAGTGATCTAAGCATCAGGGGTCCCCCTCGCTGGCCCTCGGCAAAAGCGAGGCAAGATCTCTGTATCACGGATGCACTCGTGAGAGAGTACTGGCTGCCTGGCTGTCCCGAGGTGTCAGATAGAGCGATCGCCAGGCTGAATGAGCGGGGTTGGCAGATTCCTCGACCGCCTTGGCGGCACCGCCCTGCACATCGGCGTACTTGGAGCGTTCACAAGCCCTGGCCCGCAACTACGCGCCCGCCCACGACGTACGGGGCCGCAAGGTGGCGTTTTCGCCCCGCCAAAAAGTGTGGGCCACTTCGGAGTCCCGAGCTTCCATGTTGTTGAGCTGGCTGGACTATGAGATGCGCACGAGAGGGGGCCAGCGGATGTCGTCTCTGTCATGTTGCCTTGCCCGTACGCGCGTTGACGGATCGCACGCAGAATGGAATAGAGAGAGGAGCACTGCATCGAGCCGCACAAACAGTCACGTCGAGTGCATACCGCCCAGGCTAACGATCGCCGCTCACTGTTCGGGCAGGGTGCGAGATGTGCGCTCGCTCTTTGCTGCTGCCGAAGATCTCAGACGTCTGCTGCACGGCACCCGCTGCCGTCCGAGCTATCCTGGATTGAGGCGGGACCCGCCAGGCGAGACATTCAGTACGCCGTCCTCTCGACGTCTGAGCGCCCATTAATTCGGCTGGGTGTAAACCGTAGCTCCGTCTTCGGACCAAATTGCAGCACACACGCGACTGTCGACCCTGAGCTTTCATCGATGTGTTGGCTGGTCGAGCTTTCTCGCACAAGGCCGCAATATCACCGCTGCCTAAACGCAGGAGCGCGCCCTAGCGTCTCTCTGAGCTCAGTAAGCTCGCAGTACATTGTCGAGGCCTCTCAGACACTGCGTCCAAATATTGCCTTTGCCCACAGGGCTCCGTGATCCCGGTCGTCTACACCCCGGCTTGCGTCTTGACTCTCTCTGTCTTCTCTTTACCCCTTCTTTGACGGGTCGAGATCGCTGATCGTCGCCGATGGACCTGGGTACAGAAGCCATCGAAGTGGCTATGAAGCACGCGGAGTCGTCGGGAAGCTCCCTCATCATCTCTCCTTGATGACTGCTCCAACCATCTCTTCTTCATCCTTGTTCACACAACAAAGGCCCTCCTTCACCCCTTATTCTGCCTTGCGGCGTTCGGCGTCTCCGACACCTGCCGACGTTGCCTCTCTCATGCTCATGGAGGAGACGTCGGCAGCTGCCCAATACAAGGCAGAACGTCGACGTCGCCAGGTTAGAGAGGCTCAAGCTCGTGTGAGTTCACCAGGTTGAAATGGGCCAGTGAAACCGTGCCGCTTAAGCTGATACGACCCGTGCTTGGTGTTCGTCCTTCCAGTTCCGAGACCGCAAAGACCGTGAGCTCGAAGAGGTAAGCACGAAGCCGTGCTGAGTTAAGAGCTGAGACGCAGTGATCCGACAAAGCTGACACTCTGATTCTCCTCCTCCTCCTACAGGCACGCCTTCAGGCAGAATCACTCTCTTTGCAGCTTCATCGATCGCGTCAAGAGAATGTATCTCTACGCGCTCGTTTGAGTCGTTACGAGACCGTGGAAGATGCTGTTGGCGGCAGCGGCAGCGGCGGCGTCGAATCGTCAGATCGACCACTACGGCTCCACGTCCGATCGGATTCTCAATTGACTTCGCCGACACTTGACCAAGCTAGGCCCTCGACTCAGCACGGCGGTTCCACTGCCATTGCTAGTGGTCTTGCTGGGTGCAGCCTGGCTGGAGGCGACCGGATGTCGTACCACGGTGCTGGTCACTTCTCAGGGTCGGGAAGTAGCCAATTGGAGGCGTTTGGTCTCCCAATGCTCAACGAGACGACCTTGTCTGAAGGGTCGACGAGATCGACGTCGAGCTCATCGTCGTCGTGGACGCACCGATACGGAGTCCCCAGGTCGGCCGGACCTCCTAGTCACCGACAGCACAGCTTACCGGATTCGATGTCAAGTCGACCGTACAGCTCACTCGAATCGCATACCCCATACGCTGGACCGGGCGAGAACATGGCTTTGCGCATGGGCTCAATAGACACTGCAAGGTTTACGCCCCTGGACCAGACCGCCTCGTCATCAGATGGAATGCTACCTGATCATCTGACCAAGGCGACTCCTTTGAATGACATGCGTTGGGCGGCGGAGGAGACGACTGCGCAGTACGACCGACAGACTGCAAGAGGAGCACATACCGGTTCTTCACAAGGGGCCCCATTGATGGGAATGCCCGTCAGGCCTGTCCAGCACCAGCAGCAGCAGCACCAGCACCAGCAGCGGCGAGCAGACGAAGTGCAGGCATGGCGCCCGGATACGCTCCAGCATGTAGCGTCGCATCAACCATCGTTCGTATACCAACCACTCTCGCTGGAACAACCAGGCGTTTCGACAGGCATGCCATCTCAGCCATCTTCAACGAGGGGCTCCAGCCAACAGCCGCATTCGCCAATGGACGCCGTAAACCTGTGGCAAAGGCAAGACAAGCGTCGCTCGTAGCGGAACGCGATGCTGTGAGACATTGCATCCAGACAGCAATATTTAGCTGGGCACGCACTGAGAAATGTGGCCCGCTAGACGCTGGATGGCTTGACAGGTTGTTGAGCTGGGCAGTAGCAATGTCGACGGGGCACAGTGGCGGGCGGGCGGACTGGGACGTGAGGCTAGTGACGTGATCAAAGATGACTGGGATTGGAGACACACCCACTGATAGTCTATGTGAGCTGATTCTGTTAATATTCATGCGCTGTAATACCATGCGGTCTCGAGTGGAAGCGGACCCGTAGCGTTGGCGAGAGGAATGGCTGATTGACCACGTGGCGTCGTCAAGTCGTCTCCGCTTTCCAACTCGATGCAGAGGTTGGCAGCGCCGCGCTCAGCGCTCATTTTGTCTCTCTTTGTTTCCATCTCCCGCCCCCATCGACACAAATATCCTCAGCTCGAGGCAAGGCGAGCAATCTCTGCAATGTCTTGGAGAAACAATTCACAGAGGACAGGCGAGAACGCCGCACCGCTACAGAATGCCCGTCGCTGGGGCGGCGGCGGCGGTGCAGGAGGAGCCAGCGATGGATATGCGCCTCCTCCGATGGCCACGTCAGCATCATACGGCCAAGACGCAGCGGCAATGGCAGCAGCTGCCAGAGCCGCGGAGATCGCAGCAAAGCTCGCCGGTGGTGGTGGTGTATATGGAGGGGAGAAGCGAGACCGAGCAGGGTCGGATGGCAGCCCCGCCGGAGGAGATGATGGTGAGTCATTTGCATGCTGCGCGGTGCCCTGGATTAAGTTGTTTCCCTTCTCTTACACTGTGCATTCTCTTCTAGCACCGCGCAAACGACGCTCTCGCTGGGGTGATGCTGCACCTACCACGGGAGTGACGACGGCAATTACAGGCGCTGTCAACGTCGCTGACTTGGACCGATATGCTCTCTCGGTACGCCTCGACGAGATCTCACGAAAGCTGCAAACAGGCGACGTCGTACCACCAGACCGCGAGCGCAGTCCATCTCCTCCTCCTATCTATGATGGGCAAGGGCGTAGGACGAACACCAGGGAGGTCCGCTACCGCAAGAAGCTCGAAGATGAGCGCGTGCAGATCGTCGATAAGCAACTCAAGCTCGACCCGAACTACCGCCCACCCGCCGAATACCATGCCTCGAAGCGCAATCGTCAGCCTCAAGAGAAGGTCTATCTCCCTCTCAAGGAGTTCCCCGAAATCAACTTCTTTGGTCTCCTCGTCGGCCCTCGTGGCAACACGCTCAAGGGCATGGAGAGGCAGTCCGGCGCCAAGATTGCCATCCGCGGCAAGGGCAGTGTAAAAGAAGGCAAAGGTCGAGGAGGCGACGAAGACGAAGAGGACATGCACTGCGTCATTACCGCAGACGACGATGCTAAGGTCAAGCATTGCATCCAGCTCATCAACAAGGTCATCGAGACGGCAGCCTCTACCCCTGAGTCGCAGAACGACCACAAGCGGTCCCAGCTTCGAGAGCTCGCCACGCTCAACGGTACGCTGCGAGACGACGAGAATCAGGTCTGCCAGAATTGCGGCGCAAAGGGCCATCGAAGGTTCGAGTGCAATGAGCAGCGCAACTATACGGCTCATATCACCTGTCATCGATGTGGTGGACAGGGACATCTGGCGAGGGATTGCACACAGCCCAGGCAGGGCTTTGGACCGCCGGGAATGGGACCAGGTGGTTTCGGAGGAGGAGGCATGCCAGGTGGACCGCAGCAGCCTGGTGGGCCCAACGGCGGGGGTGGGTTTGACTCCGAGTACGCAAGCTTGATGGCAGAGCTCGGCGAAGGGGGCGCTGGACGTGGTGGTTCGGGCACGCCAATGGGCGCAATGGCTGGCGGTCCAGGCGGACCATCTGCGCAGCAGCCAGGTGGACCAAGCAATGGGACGCAGCAGCAACAGCAGCAGCAACCACAACTGGGCCCGGATGGCAAGAAGATCCCGCCCTGGCGTCAGCCGGACATTTGGTCAACTCCTGGCTTCTCTGGACCTGGCGGAGGTGGAGGCTTCGGCGGACCGCGACGAGGCGGCTACGGGGGAGGGTTTGGTGGGCATCACGGAGGTGGCTTTGGTGGGCCAGCAGCTGCGACGGGCGCCAATGCGTATGGTCCCACGGGCGGCCAAGGCTGGGCCGGCGCAGGCGGAGCAGGTGGCTATGGTGCTCATGCAGCTGGAGGCTACGGTCAAGCTGCTGGCGCCGATGGCCATCAGCAGCAGCAGCAGGGACAGCAGCAGGACTACTCGGCAGAATGGGCAGCCTACTACGCACAGCAAGCTCAGCAGCAGCAACAGGGCACCGGCGCAGACCCAGCAGCTCAGCAAGGAGGAACAGCACAAGGCGCTGCTGCAGGTGGCGAGCAGAAAGACTACAGCAAGGAGTGGGAAGAGTATTATCGCCAACAGGCGCTGCTTCAGCAGCAACAGCAAGGTGGTGGTGGAGGCGGGTACTAAACACCGAGACTCTGGCTGCATCACGAGCGATACGAGCTCCTCTGACCCGCCCCTATCTTGCTACTACCCTCTTCTCAAGGCTGACTACGCTGTCCTTGCGTAGAGGTCGGCGCAAGACAGGCCTCACTAGCACCTTCCCCTTGGCTAGCCCGGAGCGAGCATTCAAAAGAGCACGACGTGCCTACCTGAGTGGGCTCAACTCACTTTCTTTCCTCTAACCGCCCCTGGCATCCACCCCTGTATCGTCTTTCTGACCATCCCCTACTGTTTACGCTTCTCGTGCTAACAAATCACTCTGCTGACCTCGATGCGAGAGTAGCTCGCAGAGTAAGACTGACCTGACCTCGCGCACCAGCGTGCTCTACTATCTTGACTGTCGCTCCTTCTCCTGCTCGTCCCCGTCAGCTGCTCAAGTACGCCGCAGACACGCGGGCATCAAGGCAGGGTAGACCCTTGTCGCGCTGCAGGGGGAGATTGAGCGATAGACGACTGACTATTGCGGCCAGCTTAAAGGTCCGGGAATACTCGCGAGACTATTTGCCTGCCTTCCCTCATGTCCACGCTAGCGCTACCTCCCCTCGCGTCCCATTGCAACCTAGCCCCAAAATGCGCGTCGACCAGCTCTGGTCGGCCGTTCAACGCTACATGCAGAGCACGGTACGAATCTCCGTCCCGGTGAGTCGTCGTTTTCCGTCTTGCTGCTGTGGCTCCGACCTCTCCTCGTCTGCTTCTTGTTCCGATCTCTTGGCTCCTCAGAGGGCGGCTGCAATGAGATGACGTTGCAGAGTAGCCACCGATCCCTGCGCAAGTGCTGAGAGCGCCAAGTCATTGTCGATAGCTTCAATTGCAACAAGGGCGAGCACAAGTACACGAAGAGGCGAAGCGTACGTACGGGGCGCCAGGAAAGGAAAGTCCGATGGACGAGATAGAAAGAAGGACGGCAGAATGACGCGAAGAGAGATCGCCTACTTGACGTAACGATACCTGACCCTCTCTGCCGCCAGCAAGAAGATTTGGATCTCCCTAGGCTTCTCGACATTTTCAGCGCTCTTAGCGCTATTGATTCCTTCGCCAACCTGCAATCCCATCTTGCCCGCCTTGAGCGACTCAGGCACGATGGTATAACCCAGCGGCCCCACATCGCAATTAGGGCAGAGCAGGTACTTGACTGTCAAGGCGGGACCAGTCGAAGCGGCGGGAGCGGACGTTGGATCAATGCCGCTCGCTGTGGTAGGGGAGGTTGAGGAGGCTGTGTCGCGCTGTGGGCTTGTGGGGCTGCCGCTGCTGATGGGAAGACCGGAGCCAGCCCCGCCTCGGCCAAAGGGCGCTGTGCCCTTTCGTCCAGGCGGAGAAGAGGGCCGCTCTGGTGGAGATGTTGGTCGCTTGGAGTTGCTGCCCTTGCTGCCGCTCTTGTCACCACCGCCGCCGCTGAGGAATGTTGAGCGGCGGATGGGGGGAACGACCCTTCTCCTCGCAGGGGCAGCCGCGGGCGTCGTCGCCCCGCTCGCAACAGTCTCTGTGGTCTCATCCTCGCCAGCGCTCCCCGCTGCATCGCCTCCGCCGCTACTTGTGGGCATTCGCCACTCGGCGTCTTTGCTAAAGGCAATGTTGTCAAAGCTCATTGCGCTCACCACGCTCCAGAAGGGTCGGATAGGCGTCAGACACTCAGCGCTAGGCGGTGCTCCGGGAAGAGTGCTCCTGACCCCGTCCCTCCTCTCCTTGAGCGCTCGGATATGGCTCGCCGGAGCAGGCGGGGGCTGAGGAGTGGGTGGCAAGCTGGACGACTGGGGCAACCCGACGTCAGGCTGCGAGAGTGGACCACTCTCTGCAAGCTCCCACATGGCCATCCCCTTTGCGACCAGCTTGCATCCGCACTCCTCCCTCGGGCACCAGATTTCCGCCAGGTTCGTTCCTCCCTCTTCACCGCCGTCTCCACCCTCTGCTGCTTTCTTCACCATGCGCGCCTCAAGAGCGAGGAAGGCGTCCTCGACGAACGTCTTGCCCGCTAACGTCTGACCCAAAATGGAGGAGAAGGGCTGGCTAGGATTGGTACCGGGCTTGTAAGAGGGGGTGGAGGCGGAGAGGGCCGCCAGGAGGTCGGCTTGAGTGAAGCCTGCGAGACCGGCACCTTTCCCGTTGCCTGCGCCGTCGTTGGCGGGTTCCGTTGCCTTGGGGGTAGCTTTCTCGACGATAACAGAGGCACTCGTGTCGCTCTCCGACGTTGGAGAGGCCGTCATGCCTGGGTAGCCCGCGCCATCCCCCTCCGTCAAGACGTGGAGGGACGTCTTTCTCTTCTCTGGCTGTGACACCACTCTACTGTTGTTGGACGAGGAAGTCGACGAGTAGGATGATGCCATGGAAGCTGCCCTCTTGGTTCGTTGCTCCTCCGCCTCTTTTTCCTGGACTCTCTGCTTCTCATCTGCTTGCTGCTGGTGAGCATGCTGGATGTAACGTCGTAACTCGATCCAGTCGCCGCTCCCTGCTCGAATGTGACTCGGCCCTCGAATCTTGAAGCCAGCCTTGAGGAAGAAAGGTAGAGTCTCTTCATGGCATATGAGACCCACACATTCGTACCCTTTGGCCTTCTCCAAGTCTCCCTTCTTGACCTCGCCACGCCCCTCTTCTGCTCGGCGTAGACGCATCATGAATTCTTCGAGAAGGCGCAGACCTAGCCCTTTCCGGCGGAAGGGCTCGTCGACGACGATTGCATGGAGGCAGACCATCCATGCCTCGATGCCTTCTTCTTCGTTGGAGACAAGATGCTCTGAGAGGGCGCGAGCTGACATGGATGCAGCTGCCGTTGCATTGATGTAACCGATGATTCTGCGAGGCGTCGATTGATGGCCCACGGAAAGGGGACCAGCGACCTTTGGAGGAGGCACAGGAATGTAGGCGCCAAGGAAGAGGTGAGGGGCCAACTTTTGGCGCAACTGCATTCTGTCCTTGCTCGCGCGATCATCTGGAATGAAGGAAGCGCGTTCGATGACGTGACACTGAGCTACTTCAGATGGTCTAACCCAGTCAAAGGTCAAGCCCTTGGGGAGATTGGTACCAGTGCGACCCGACGGACCAGATAGTGGCATCGTTGTCGATCGTGAGGGCGCTTTGCGTGTCGTCGACGAAGAGGCTGAGGCTGATGGCACGGGTGAAGAGGGCGCCGCTGCCGTTACAGGAGAAGCTGCTCCCGAGCCTGTCGCGGCCGCTGCCTTGCTAGCATGAGCGGGCGAAGCTGTGCCGGATGCAGAAGATGATGACGACGAGGGTACTGGCGAAATGGATGCTGATGTTGAGGCTGAAGCGGACGCAGCAGCATTCGCAAGGTTGCTCGAAGGAGCTGCAAAGCTTGTCGCCACGCGCGTCATCGTAGGTCGATCGCCAGGCGTACCCGGTCTGCTGCTCCCACCATCAGGACTCGAGCTACCGCTACCGCCGTTGCTGCCCGTGCTCACGACTCGATTTCTCGGATCTCGCGTGGGGTGACCCTGACGATCTCTGTTGCCCGTGAGGGAGAGTGTATGACGAAGGCTGGCGCCCCCGCTGAAACCAAAGGACGAGCCTGCGCGGTTGCGGCCACTCTTGCCATTGTCTCTGGAAGGTGGCGAGGTTGAGATGTTCTGCGAAAAGGCCCTCGCTGGCGGGGGGAAGAAGGGCAGCGGATTCATCGCGGGCGATTGCGACCAGATACGGATATCCAAAGATGATGGAGACGAGTGAAGTGCAGAGATACGAGGAGGAGGATCGATCCAATGGGCCGATTTGCGCTTGCAAGATGGAGCAAAATGACGAGGGGGGAAGATGCGATCGAGACGTCGAGCGACGAGCGACAATGACGACGACGAGTACCGACAACCAACGACGTCAACGAGGGTCGTAAGTAACTGACCGTCGATTGCCAATGTGCGCTGCTATTCGGCAATCGTCACTAGCCCACTCTGTTCTGTCTCTCTTCGTACGACAGGAGCGAGCAAGCCGTCGCAGGTGGAGCGCGGGAGTGTGAGCAGCGGCGCAGGACAGGCAGGGCGACTCGCGGGCAGCTGGCCCATTCAAGAGAGAGATTCAGGGCGGCGGCGGCGGCGCCAAAACGGCAGGGCGGCATGTCTCGACCGCTCCGTGCCCTGCGCCTGCCCTCTTTGCTCCCCTCAGATCAGATCCAGACCCCCAGCTTTGGTTTTGGGCTCGACTCGACGACTTGAGCGAGCGAGCGAGCGAGCGAGCGAGAGAAGGCGACGACGACATCGCACCGGTGGGCGCGGCTAGCCAGAATCAATTCATCCCGACACCTTAGCCTGCCAAGCCTGAAGAAAGCAGCCGGCTGCACAGCAACTCGGACCTTGATTATTAGGCTCCCACAAGACGGATTGGGGTCGTCACGGGACCATCGACGACGCCTCTTCGAAGGCACTCTTAGCCAGCTCCAAGAGCGACAGGATTCGTCGTCATGGACGCCCGCTCAGCCACCCAAGACGCGACGCTCTACTTGCTCCACGCCGCCTTTGTCTTGGCCGTGGGAAACGACGCAACTCGTGGTCATCGAGATCAATCGGCCTCATCGTCGTCACAGCCTCTGCCTTTACTTGGGGCTACACAAGCCCGCAAGTTCTTACAAGCTGTGCTCGACCAGACGACGACCAGCGAGATTGCAGAAGGGGCCACGGGTAAGCGACGACGCCTCGCAGGTGGGGGCGGCTGCGGTGCGAGAAGGTCGTTGTGGCTTGAAGGCGACGGTAGGAAGAGCGACTCTACTGTAGCGGCCACTGCAAGCATCTGCAGCGCACTCGACCACCTACCAGCACATTGGAGGTTGCACAATGTCCTCTGCCAAGGGTGTGGGAGCATAGCGCTACCTGGTATCACAACGGCTTCGACACGCGGCAAGAGGCGGCGTGATTTCGATTGTCTCGTTTGCTGCAAAGGTCATGGTGGTCAAGGCAGGATGCGAAACGGAGGCTTTGCTGCCGTAGGCTTGCACGATGAGGACGAGAAGGTCATGAAGAGCAGCAAGGCTGCCTTCGCCTCGGCGCGTAAGCGAAGGACAGGTGCGAAAAGCCATGGTTCGCAGCCGCTGATGGCAACAATCATGGAGCCAAAGCCACCTCGCGGAGCATCACGATCGGCATCCATGACATCTGCCTCAGCCAATGCGAAGGGGAAGGAGGCGAGCAGAGAGCTCGCCACGGCTGCTCCGTCTCCGCCTGCTCCTTCTACCTCTGACAGAGCCTCATCATCACGCAGCGAATACGTGGCCAAGCCTACGTCCCTCTCCTCAACAGCGAAACAGACGAACAAAGATGTCCAGCCCGTGAGGCAAGCTCAGCAGCTTTCGGCGCCGACATCTCCATCCAAACCCCTTCTCAGAGGCGCCACAGCTGGCAGCGCCCCCGGCACGGATCGCCACGAGAAGCGTCACGACCACAAGGCGGCGTTGCGTGCTATGCTCTCAAAAGACAAGGGAAGCGGGACCGCTCGCGACAAGAAGAAGGGACAGCCCAAGGCGGACGGTAGTAGACAGGGTGGCGCGACGGGAGGAGGCGGAGGTGGGCTGGCTGACTTTCTTGCCGGCTTGTCGTGATGAGGGGACCCAAGAGGCATGTATACCTGCCCAGCGAAGCAGCCCATCGTTCGGTTTCCAACATTGAACGAATCTTGATCTCATCCTCGATCAATGTCAGTCATCTCCGGTACGTGATGAGCGGTAGCTTCTTGCCGAAGGTGGCGCAGTGCAAGCCCATCACTGATCACGACGGGGTGGCGCCGACTAACGAACTTGACTCTTCGGGCCTCTGGTCACAACCCCCGACCCAGCGGTACTGAAGGGGCTGTAGAAGCGCCGATTCAAGGGCACCGCCTCCAGCCGCGCTGCCTATAAGTAGAGGTGGCTGATAGCTCGTCGTAACTCTTCATTTGACACCCATCTACCAAACACCTCACCAGACCATGACGCTTTCCTGCCTGCTGCTCTCCAGCCTCTTGGCCCTCCTCGCCCTCCTGAGCAACGAAGCGCTGCCTGGCGCTGACGCCCTCAGCATTCAGCCCCGCGCGGTCGATCCAGTCGGCCCCGGGTCCTCCTCTGACAACGACAAGGACTCGAACGCCGACTCGCTCGAGGTGCTCTGCATGGAGGACGGAGAAATGTGCATCCGCGCCGGTACGGGCATCTGGTTCCCCGATGCTTTTGGGATCTCAGGTTCGCAGGTTCAGGCGCAGGGATCCACGCTCTACATGCTCGACAAGACCGGGGGTAATGGCTCGTTGGCTTGCGGCGCTTCTAAGGCTCTATTCAGCTTCGTGGGAGGGGACGGGCCGAAGATGTTCGACGGGCGCGACCAGAATGGGGTCAAAAACACGCAGTTGACGGTGCGTTGCGGCGAGTACTGCGTGACCGCACGCTTTATGCTGACCCGGACTTGGGCTCGGTTCATCGCACAGGGCTACTTTGGCTCTGATTCCTCCCAGATCGTGAGTCTCTCTACACCAGCACTCTCGAGACTCCGACGCTTTCAAGCTGACCCAGCTCTCGTGCGCACCCCACGCAGACCACACACGGCGTCATTACGACCCACAAACGCGGCGAAGATCTCGTTGTCTACTGCGAGTAGCAGCACAAGCGCGATGACATGTACCTCGTTGCTCTTGAACCTTACCATGAATCCGCGATCCTCTTTGCCTTGCTCTGAGCACCCATCGCTCCTTTGTTGAGATTGAGCGTGGCTGACCCTATACCCAACGGCCCGCGATGGCTGTTCATTTGCTCCACAGCCTGCTCTGCTTACCCCGACCTCGAAGCCGTCGATGCCTCCATCCCTCTCTCCTCTATTCTGCCTCGCAAGTCTCCTCATCCAAGCCAAGACGCACGTCAAGAGATGCGTCCTTTCAGCTTGATCCTGTCCGTCCTAGCAGCCGGAGTGACTGTCTCAGGCGTTGCTGGGCTAGCCATTGACTGTACGTTTCCGGCTTCGCTGCCTTGTTTCGAACTGTAGAGCGCCTTGCTGACTCTCGTCCCTACGCCGCCTTTTTCTCTCAGCACGCATAGCCGACGAGAACCTCGGGGACCGCTGCGGCGAGGAAGGTATTTCTTGTATTCTGTAGGGACAGGTGTCGCAAAGCTTTTCCTCCATCCTCATCTGACGAGTGCCTCTTGCCCTTCTCTTTGTGTCCTACAGCGCAGGCCTCACCATCTTCGTCACCGGCCAGGGAATAGACCGCAGCGGTCCCGCATCAAACAACTCCCGGTGGTACGTCCTAGAGAGAAGCGGTGCCACGGGGGAAGCGCGTGGTTGCTCTGGAAGCACTGTCACTTGGACTTCGTATCCTGGGCTGAACACCTTCAAGGGTACAGACAACGAGACGACTAGAAATGATAGGCGAGTGCGAGAGTTAGGCTTGCGGAGGATGTTGCATATGAGATTGACGCTGCAATCTGTGCCTAGAATCCGAGCGTTCTACCTTACGGATTCGTCCAAGATGGTAATCAAGGGGACGCTGAGCTCTGAGGTTCCGGGAGCAGATTTGGTATTAGGTTGTGTCAGTAGACGATCGCGAGCTGTGGGCTGTGATATTCTACTGGCGACCTCGCGCTGACTCCTTGCTGCTAATGCGCTCGCGTCGCTGCTCAGTACCCACCGCCGGTGCGCAAGGCAGCCACGGCGACCATCAGACCAAGGCTTGAGGAACTCGATGGTCCTCAAGCCCCTCTGTCAATCTCGGGTTCCCTTGGTCCCTCCAGCTCTAACAGCACCGAGCACCGCCACACCCTGGGCGAAGCCTGCGCCCTCGACGGAGTCATGTGCCTCATCACTGGCCAATCTATCAGCCTTGTCAACGCCAGCGATGGGAGACTGGCCTCCGAGCGAATTGACGGGGGAGCTACGGTATATCAGATCAAGGACGATGGCGCATACGGAACTATCCAGGGATGCGATGGATCCCGGGCTAGGTGGAGCTTTGCGGCTGGCGAAGGGGAGAAGGTATTCGATGGGAGAGATCATGTGGACCACCCTAATAGGAAGCTGGCGGTGAGTTTAGCGAAGCGCAGAGATCATGCAGCATTACGCTGACCGCCAGAGCTATTTAACCGTTGGTCAGGCTTTCTTCATCCAAGACCCTTCCAAAGTCACCGTTCACGAGCGTGTCACGAGCTACGAGCGAGGCGCCGATTTGACCATCTTCTGCGGGCCATAGGCAGACGAGGCGGCCGAGTGCTCTGTCTCTCTCTCACGTCGCCTGGCGATCATCGCGCATGCTGAATAGACTTCATGTGATGCTTCGCTGCCTCGTGGCGAGAGAAGCCTGAGGGCTATGTCTGCGAGACGTATTCGTACTCATTGACGGGGGAGTAAAGGGGATGGACCATGGTGGTTTGTACAAGGAGCAGTTGTGAGTCAGCATCGCTGCTGCGTCATCAACGCCTGCTGCCACCAGCGCCCGTCCTCCCAATAGGCACGCCGAGTCCAAATCCACCACTCGTGCCACCAGAGAAGCTTCCGCCAGTGGGCCTCGCAGCCGGCCTACCAGCTGCAGCGGTGCCTCCCGACGAGGATGCTGCCGCGCTACCGTCCGGCCCTCCCTTCCCCGGGTTGCTAAAGCTCCAATAACCTCCTGCCCCGCTCCTCCCTGCAGATCCCCTCGCGAAGCCGCTCGTGGCTGCATTGACTGCAGAGAAGTCCATAGAGACGCCTGGCTCCTTCTCAACCTCGAGGAGGTCCACCAACTTTCTGCCAATGCTGTTCACCCGCTCCACATTCCCCCTGTCCCTCAACCAAAGGGAGATCCTGTTCGCCTTTGGTCTGGAAGAGAAGACGGCGCCAGTAATTTCATCCTCTGTGTCGAGCTCTTCTCCAATCAAGGCGAGCACGAGCCACATCCAGCTTCGGTCTAAGAGGGCCGGGTTAGTTGCCGAGCGTGAGAGGGAGATGGTCCATTTGCCGCCATTGGCATTGGCGGGGTCCTCCCACATAGGCTTGATGCCGTTCTTAAAAAGATGATAGTTGGAGTGCAAGTCGAGCTGCGAAGGGCGCTTGATGGTCGTAAAGACGCCCATGAAGGACTCGACTGTACGGTACGCGCCTAGCACTTTGAGAGCGGCTTCCCATGAGTCGGCGCCTGGAGTGGCGCTGGAGCTCTTGAGAGTGGCTGATGGTGGAGCCGCCGAGGAAGCGCGTGGGTCATAGACGTCCCAGCCATGCTCAGTACCGCTGATGGTGTGGTGAGTGGGCGCAGATGCGGGGGACTTGGAGTCGAAATAGACAGTCCACTTGTGCTGTAGGGGGTGGTGGCCCGTGGGAACGGGACGTTGAGCTGAGGAGGGGGGCTTGGATGGTCCAGCGGCGGCATTGCTACGGTGTGAGAGAGGAGCAGTCGATACAGGAGGGGGCATGGTAGGCGACGTCTTTGTTGCCGCTGAGGTAGAGCCTAACATTGGTGTGGTGCGTGTCTTGGGGCTCCTCGTCGGGCTTTTGGTTGGGCTGGACGAGAAGGGGTGGCTGCCTCCCACCCCGTCACTCTTGCCTGCATTGGGGTCAGCTCGGTCCCAAAGCGATCCCTTCTTCTCAAAGGGCTCGTCCCACGATGCGACCGACTTGGCAGGGCTTGAATGACCCTTCTTTGCCATTCGCTCGCGGATGTCATCCAGGCTTGGGATCCCCTTGCTCTTCTGCTCACTGGTCGACGACGCTGCGGTGGTGGCGGTGGTGGTGCTGCTGAGCTGCGTGGCCTCGCTCGTCGTCGAAGGCAAAGACGTCGAGGGAATGGAGGGAGACGTCGAGGCGGATGCCGAGTCGCCCGAATTAGGAGGCATGCCGAGGACCAAGGCTTGAGGTGACGTCTGGGCGACGCTGTCTCCCTCATTGTCGGATGTGACGCTTGGAGCAGCGGGCGAGGCGCCTGCGTCCGACGAGGAGCTATTGAGTCGACCAGCAAGACCGAGTCTACCACGTTGAGGGGCATTTACTGAACGAGAGGAGGAGTGGTTATTGTGGAAGTGTCAGAGGCGCAGCGACGGAGGGGCGCGAATGGGCAGAAGCTCACCATCCAAATGACTCGAGTCCTTCTCTGGAGTGTCCTTGCCATCAAGCTTGAGCCTGCGCGGTTGAGATGAAGTCAACAATCATTCTATCCAAGTCTTCTCAGCGTGCCTCCTCACCTGGCAGCAATGTCACTCAGGGTAGGCGGCTTCTTCGAGCTTGACGACGCCGTCTTGCCAGAAGAGGCTGACCCCGCGCCGTCACCCTTGACATGAGTGGCAGAGAGTGCAGGGGATGATGCTGGGCTCGATCCCCTGGTGGCAGCAACCGACGTAGCCGGCGACGCCAGCGAAGGCGTTGCGGACGAGGGAGTCACCAGGCCGACGTGAGCCAGGCCAGCTCCAGCGCCAGCAGGAGTATTGGCATCGACGGGTGCAGGAGCGGCGACATCGTCGTCACGAGGTGTGGCAGCGCTGACCGACATCTTTGGGGAACGGCTTGGATGTGGTGAGGAGGAAGCAAGGCCTGCGAGTGCAACTGCCTCGTGGTATGGTATTTTGGCTTTAATTGCTGCTCCACCGCTCGCCAGCCCGCACGCTCTCTCGCGCTTGCTTCATCTCTTGGCCCAAGCCCCGCCCAGTACTTACGCCCCGAGAGCAACCATGCAGGCCGGCAGACAAGCACACGCACTCTGCGACAGCGGCAGTCAGTCCCTCTCGTCTCGACTGGCCGGTGGGCAGGCGCCTTGCAGCTAAGCAAGCCAACCAGCCAGCCGCTCACAGCTTCAGCTCCGCTCAGACGTGCGGAGAACAACACGCAGGCCCTGCAGAAAGAGTAACACGAATCGAAACGCAGCAAGCAAGCAGCGGTACACCGACGTGTACTCCTCACATTGGTGACGATCACAATGACCGATTCGATCACGATGAATTTGACTTTGGTCTACACTTGCCCTTCTACTTTCGCCCTCACCCACTCTGCATCGCCTCAACCATGGCGTGATTCTGGCGATCGTGCTTCTTCTTGGTCAGACTGAACTCCCGCGAAATAGCAGTCGTAGTCGTCCACTCCTCTCCGCCAGCCTCAGAAGGCCAGCACTCCATCATGCGCTTGTAGGCCGCTTTGCGCTGGTTGAGCTCGCTGATCTGGTCCGTGACATTCTCCAGCCTGCCCTTCTCTTGGCGTAGCTCGGTGAGACCGTTCTCAAGGAGGATGATCTGGAAGACGTCTTCGCGCATGCGTTCTGTCCAACGCCACTTGCGGACAGGCGCAGAATCGCCGCCAGACTTGGATGCTGCGGCCGCCTCGTCGTCACCACCCTCGGCGGCTGCCTCGCCTTCCATCGCTGGCGTATTGGTACCATTGGTTGGGCTTCCTGCTGCTCCCGCTGTGGCCCCTGGCCCGCCGACCGCACCCTGCTCCCTCCATCTCTGCATTTGCTCTTCATAATCGGCCCGATGAGCAGGCAGCGCCTCCTGTACAGCCTCCCTCAGATCGTCAAGCAGCTCATCCTGCTTGCGCTTCAGCAGCTCGGCATGGTCGTCGTAGAACTCCCTCTTGACCAGCTTGCTCATTGTGAAGCGATTATAAGGGAAGATGGCGGGCAGGTAGTTGAAGAAGTTCTCGTTGTACTCTCCCAGTTCCAACGCCACTCGAGCAGCCTTGCGCAAAGGAGGACGGAGGGTGACAGGGAACTTGTGCTTGACAGAAAAGTCCTCGGAGGCAACGAGATTCTTGATATGTTGAAATTCGGCGGCGAGGCGCCGGTCGACGGGTTTGGTAGGATAGTTTTTCTTCTTGTTGGCGGGCTCGTCGTCCACTTTGATGGGGCTGTCTCGCGAGCCTGCGGCTTTGGTCTGCGCTGAGGCGTCGACGAGACCAACAGCGTCCGGGGCAAGGCTCTCAGGAGGGAGAGAGGGCGTATCAGTGAGGCCCTTTTCTTCTGCCCGTAGCTGTAGCATGCGGTTGGAGACCTCAAGCTGAGTGCCGTTGATCAGGTACGAGGGAGGTGCGCCAGCCCCTCCAATGCCAACTCCTGCCATGCCACCGCCAGCACCACCGCTGCCAGAGCCAGATGCAATGGGTCCATTAGGGCTGCCGCCATCGGCCGCCTTGGCCCCTGCTCTCTTCTTCTGCAACTTCTCGAGCTCAATGTCGCCAGCAGCCACGTAGAAGCCCTTCGAAATGGGCTTGGCGGAGTGCGTAGGTTCATCAACGTGAAGCTCTGAGTCGTCGACGAACGGGTCGTTGACGTCGTACTCCTCGACATCCTTCCTGCGCTTCTTTCGTCTCTTGGGCTTGTCTCCCGTCTCACCGACTGGGTACTTGTTGAGGAGATGAGCGAATGGTCCAAGGTCTCCCAAAGACTCTGCCTCTGCTGGCGGTGATCCTGCGCCACCTGGCTTGGCAGACGACGAGGCTGCGGCGCCGCCGGAGTTGGACGGCCCTGCCTCGCGCGACTCGTACCACTCAGCCCAGGGGTGATTGTCCTGCTTGAGCTTCTTGTGCAGCTTCTCGGGAACATTGACCATGTAGTTCTCCGTGCTGACCTTGATCTGGAAGCGTACGGTAGGCAGAGGAGGAGGGCCCTTCGGTAGAGAAACGTCGACGGAGGGCTCTCGCTGCTTCCGCTTCTGTTTCTTCTTGACGGTGAGGACGTTCGGTGCCGCCGCGATGGGGGTCGCGGCCGCCGTGCTGTCGCCGTTGCTACCTGCTCCGTCTGCTGGCGCTGATACCATGTCGGCGTCCCCGTCAGCGTCGACCTTTGCGGAAGGCTGGGATCCGTCGGCTGCTTCCTCCTTGGCTGGGGCTTCATGGGATGCCGTTGAGACGTCATCTCCGTCGTCGTCGTCCTCGTCGTCGTCCTCATCGTCTTCGTCGTCATCCTCTTCATCCTCGTCGTCCTCGTCGTCCTCATCCTCGTCTCCCTCTCCCTCGCCTTCCCCCTCCTCGTCATCTTCGTCCTCGCCCTCTTCATCACCCCCAGGCTGCCCGCCCACGGCTACAACGCTCTCCGCATCTGCCTCGTCATTGTCACCGGCAGCATCTGTGCTTTCCACCCGACTGGTTGCTGCCTCTCCTTGCGAGCCGTTCGCTGCGCCATTGTCGATGTTGTTGCTGCTGCTACTACTGCCGTTCATTTCGCGCTGAGTATTGACGTTCTTGTCCGGGCTCCGTGTTGCAGTGCTCAGCGGCGTTGATACGCCCGAGTTGTCTGGCGAGCAAAGGGAGGCTACTGAGAAGACACCTGAGGATGCTGTGCGGCTGAAGTGCGCCCCTACGGGACCGTTGCCGTTGCGTTGGAGTCCAGCATCGTCGCCGCCGCTATGGAGCATGGGATGTCGGTCGCCGTCGTCCCCCATGGATAGCGGAGACGAGGGGTCGGCCATACGCTCAGAAGGGGGCTGCTAGGGCGATGTTTTTATCGAAAGGATTGCTGTGCAGTATTCGCGAGTGCGTGTCAGCATCAGAGTGTTACGCTGGTGTCATTGCGAGCTCGCGATGAAGCGGCTTCGTGACGCTGGATCTCGCGGCCGGACTGGGAATGGCAAGGCGCGTTGCAACACCCACTCCCGACCGCCGATACGACTTTGCCGCGGCGAGGGCCTGGGACGAGGGGCGATGGGGCGGCAATCGGCTCTATTGGGCACTCACACACGTGTTTGCGGGGATCTGCCAAGGCGGAATGACGAGGACTGCTGATGTACAGTGGGGGCCAAGAGCCACTTGATGTCTCGAGGTATGCTGATGCTGATTTGCACCTCGTTCTCCTACCAAGCTATCTCTCCTCTGCTCAAGATGGCAACTCCACCGCTCTTCGACGTCTCCTTTCGATGCTTCGACGTCGTGTGCACGCAGCGGAAGGAGAGTCGGGCGCGTCGCAGTAAGACGAGAGGCGTCGAGGCGTGCTCCTCGTCTTGTTGTTTGGAAAGGGTGGTGCGACGACGAGGAGAAGTGAGGTCAAGATGGAAGAAGGGCTGAGCTCTCGTCACCTCTCTCAACCCTCTTTCGCCGCCGATCTCGTGTCCTCGTCTTGTCGCAAATGCTGGCCAGCAATGAGGCTCGTGGGGCTCTCCAAAAGCAGAACAGACGATGCGGCCGCCGACTCGCTCTGTCCGCCAAGGACCCGTCCTCCAGTCCGCGTCAAGAGGCGGACGGCAGTTGGCACACAGCCAGGTCGCAGCTCGACTGGATGTCACCTCCGCCTCCCACCTCTCCACCACCATCACATCACCATGGTCGTCTCAACAGAAGATGAAGACAACTTTACCTCGATCACATGGGAGTCGGCAGATGATGCACAGCGGTCTGCAAGTGCGTCGAATGCAGCAGCAGGCAGCGCACCAGCGTCATCAGCAGCAGCAGCGGCGGCAACAGCCTCGTCGTCCTCGTCATCAGCTCCCCAACCAACAGGCGTAGAGCTAGTACTCGGCACTCACAACGTCGCAGACCCGTACTCACGTCCGCTACCATCAGAAGAGTCCGGCCAGCCCAGATGGCAAGGCTTCCTACTGGCTCAGGTGACCGAAGCTCGAAGAGAACACGAGGGGACAAAGGAGATGTTCGTCAGCTATGGCATCCGGGCAGAGACGAATCTACGACACTTTGCTCGCACGAGGATCGCGACGAGGAGACGCTTTCAGGATTTTCGATTCTTGAGGCAGAACCTAGCCAGAGACTTTCCCGCTTGTGTGGTGGCGCCACTGCCGGACAAGCATCGGATGGAGTACTTGACAGGGGATCGATTTAGCGATGAGTTCATTGCGAGACGGGTAGCAGAGTGAGTGCAGCAATGCAATCAGTTGCAGACGTTTCGCGACGCTGGGAAGAGCGCTCAACATTCCTGATACTCCCTCTCTAACACGCAGCCTTCAGCTCTTCCTCGAGCGAGTCTGCCGCCATCCCACCCTCCAGCGCTCACAACTCCTCCGCAGCTTCCTCGAGTCAACAGAATGGGTGAGTCGATCCAGCTTGCTTCCTTTCACGAGAGCCTGCTCTGACTTCAAGCCCCTCTGGCACACCCGCAGCACGTCGAGATGCACATGCACACCTCCTCAGCAGCTAGCGGCAGCTCCTCGTCCACAAGCACAGGCATAGACGAAGGCCCACGAGCGCCGCAGGGCATCCTCGACACCCTGTCCGATACCTTCCTCAACGCTTTCACCAAAGTACGCAAGCCGGACGAGAAGTTTGAGATCATGAAGGAGCGGCTAGAGAAATTCGACGAGGGGCTCGGGGGCGTTGAGCGTGTGGTCAGCAAAGGTCGTGTGAGATGGACAGGTGAGTGCAGCTGTGTGACGTTGTGGCGTAGACGAGGAGGAGATGTCGCGAGATCCGGGCCAGTCAGGCCCGTATCTTCGGTAGCAGGCCCATGATTCGGCTGCGGTGTCTGCGCAACGTGCTGGCGACCTCTTTCTTCTGTTGCTGGCCCCCCTTTCGCGACCCCGTTCCTTACACCTGCGTCGTGCCTCCTCTTCATCCTCGTATCCTTGCGGCTCACATCCGCTAGGATCTCCCTCTACCCCTTCCTCCTCCGCATCTGCCTCATCTCCACCACCCTCTGCCTTTTCATCGGCCTATCTCCGCAACCACGGCGGCGACTCCTCGGCTTCATCGACTCCCACGTCTGCAATGTCCCGCTTCTCGCCATGGCGCTCCACCTCATCATCGAACCAACCCCGCTCGCCATCCAATCCGGCTTCGCCCAAACAACAACTCTTGGCGCCCAATCTCGGTCTCGAATCGCAAGACCTTGCCGGTGATTACGAGGAGCTGGCGAGCAGTATCGAGGGGCTAGGCCTGCTGGAGAGCGGGATTACCGATGCGTTGAATCGTTTTGCGGCCACTTCGAACGAATGGGCTAGGATCATGAGGGAGACGGTGAGAAGCGCGCCATGACGCCGAGCCGTCATGCAGCAGTGTAGCTGACCACCGATGTCAATCTCGCCCGCCCACGCAGACCGGTCGCTCAACAGAGGACCTCTCCTCACATCTGCATGCGATTCTTGCCTACTCTGCAGCGCATCGCTCTGTCCTAAAGCTGCGCGACCAGAAGCAGGTAGACTTTGAGGAGTTGACCGACTACCTCTCCTCTGTCGTGTCAGAGCGAGACCGTCTCTCTAGCCTGTCGAGCCCGTACGGCGGAGGACACGGCCATGGGGGTGTGAGGGGCAGTGGACTGACAGGATACCTGAAGGATCGAATGGATCACCTGCGCGGCGTGGACGAAGAGAGGACGAGGGTGGAACGCATGGCCAGGCTAGACGGCAGGATCAAAGAGCTGCAGGATGCTGTCACTCTATCGCACGACGTCTCTGTGGCCTTTTCGGATGAGGTGGTGAAGGAGAATGTGGTCTTCCACCTGGCCAAAGATCAGGAGATGAAGGACCTCTTGGGGGCTTATGCGGAGGGGCAAGTCGAGATGTGGAAGAGGGGGGAGGAGGCGTGGGATGCCCTGATCCCGAGGTTGGAAGCTATCAAAGTGGATGGTTGACGATGGCTTTTCATGCTTTACATGGTAGTTTGTCTGAATTTGAGTCAATACGCAGCATCTGATTCTCCACCACCGCTTTGGGCGGCTGCCTCGAAATGAGCTGAGCTCGTTGACGTGAGAGCCGTGGTCGCGACGCGTCAGGCCGAGTCCAACACGAGGGCCCAAGCGCCGATCCGGTCGGCGAGGGCGAAAGATGCGCGTCCGCCTCGCTCACCTCCGTCCGTTCGTTGCTCGCTCCGTCATCATCAACTACCATCATCGCGCCTTGATCCCCCAAAAGCATCACACAAGCAGGCGCAATCCCCCATGTCTCTCTATACGCCCAGCTCGAAATCCAAGCGCAGAACTCCCGCAGGCTCTGGCTCGGCAAGCGGCGTTGTCCTCGACGGGATACGGGGCAATGGAGCGGGCACCCCATCGGGACGCTCAGGTGCTGCAGGTGGCTCCTCGTCTCATCGAGACCATCTGCATCACAATGGTGGCTCCTCATCACACCATCATCGCGACGGTCCTAGCGCTGCAGACTTGAGCGACGAGCAGCGACAAGAGATCAAGGAGGCCTTTGAGCTCTTTGACACGGACAAGGATGGGGCCGTGGATTTCCATGAGTTGAAGGTGGCCATGAGGGCATTGGGCTTTGATCTGAAGAAGGCCGAGGTGCTCAAGTTGTTGAGGGATCATGATCGGAGGGGAGATGGGTTGATGGAGTGGGAGGATTTCAGTAGGATAAGTGAGTGCGACGTGATGGGAGCACGAATGACGGCAAGCAATGCGCTGCTGCTGCCGCTGCTGCTCAGCTCCTCAGACTACATGAAAAGGCGACGCTGACCACTGCGCACTGCCTGATTGCCGTCAGTGAGCGATCGAATCGCAGCCCGCGACCCGATGGAGGAGATTCGTCGCGCTTTCGCCCTCTTTGACGACGACAATACGGGCAAGATCTCGGTCAAGAATCTGCGCAGGGTCGCCAAGGAGCTCGGAGAGCAACTGGACGAGGATGAGTTGTGCGTAGAGGTCACTCGGCCGTAGATACCTCGTGAGGCAGATCGCTGACAATACTACGCCCCTCCGCTCGCCCGCTTGATCAATCGCTCACTCGCACGACGACAGGCAAGCAATGATCGACGAGTTTGACTTGGACCAGGATGGCGAGATCAATGAGCAGGAATTCGTGCAGATCATGATGGATGAGAATTGATGAGCAGGCAGGCTATACCCCCGATCGAGGTCATGACACCTCGACGGCAAGCCAGATGGAGAAGGCTGGCTTTGTCCAGACGCTCGAGCATTTGCAATCAGTACAATTCTCCCTCCGCTTGCCCCGCGCGTCGTCGTCCGTGTGGATGCCAATCTCGCTCTCATCAGCAGCAACTGCAGGCTTCCGTCGCTTTCGCCTCCTTTTGCCCATAGGGAAGCAGTCGATCGTAAAGAGCACGGAGGCATGCTCCGGACCCTTGTCTCAGAGATAGTCGCACCCTCTCGTGACCGGACTTACGCAGACGACTTGATAGGAGGTCGCGACGATTTCACCTGCCGTTGCAACCTAGAACCATTCTCAAGCCCGGTGATCCACGACGGAGTCCGAGGCAGAGGGTGGTGACTCGACGCGGCCACCACGATCAAGCCACGCGTCGCGCCATGACCTCCCCACGTAGCCTTCCTCAGAACCTTTGGAACATCTTTCTCCCTCCCTGCTCCTCCCGGTGCTCACCTATCACCGACCTCGTTCGCCGCTTCAATGAGATCGATGCCGGCCGCGGCGATCGACTCTTTGTATCTCAGTCGGACTAGATTCCGGCGGAGAGGGCTGTGAGAATTGAAGAGTGAGGTGATCAAGGAGGTGGCTGATCGGCGGCAGCCTGCGTCGTCGAAGCCACCGGTCTTCCTTTGAGCGCCATCTGTTCCGTGGCTTGGTCGCCGTCACACGATCGGGGCGTCCGGCGTTGAGTTGGTCGCCTGGATGAACCTTGCGTTGGAGGCTTTCGCTTGACGCTCCTTCATCCCACTTGACTACATCTCGACTTTTCAAATTGGGCTGCGGGACCTGGCGTCGCCCCTTTGCAATCACTTCTTTTTTTACGTCCGCTTGCAGCAACGATGCGGTGCCCCACGCTGCTGGCCCACGAAGCTCGAGAAAGCGACGCACGAAATACCATATCGAGCAGCGAGCGAGGTTGCGACGCTGCAGGATCATGAGCTCGATTTGCTCCTGCAGCGTCCTGCTTGCAAATTAGCTGGTCTGTTTCCCACACACGCGCACGTCGTACAGCGCGCGACACGAGTGGTTCATCTCATCACTGCGACAAGATTGGCCCGCTGGGCGAACGGCAATCTGGTTCAAGTGTCGAAAGACTTGCTTCTTAGTGTGCACAGGTGCTTGGACCTGGCCTCACATCAAGGAAGACCTCCTCCGAATACCTTCGTCTGGTTGCACGCGAGGTGCGAAGAGGGAGCCGTGGGGGGGGACGACTGGCGGTGGGGACAGAAGGGGGAGGAGGCGAGTCGGTCAGTCGGACCATGACGCGTTCAGGAAGTCGCGGCATTGCTGCCTTGCATTCGAGTCGGCGGTTGAGGCGGCACTTGAACGGCGGCATTGCTGCCGAAGGTAAGCGGGAGCTACATAGTTGGGCCTGCGTCTGCGTCGCCGTCGGCAGACGGACGTCAACCGCGGGCGGCTGAGCGGTGTCAAGGGCGGCAACAAGGACGCGGACACGGTAAGCCGTCACGCAGCTCTGGGGAAAAAGGAGGTGGGAGGAGGGGAGGGAGGCGCTGCGTTACTCCGCACTCGTCAAGCGGCCAGCCCTTCAGTTAGTCACCTGTCTTGCCTCTCCCCATCCACGCCCTCGGTCCTATTGATTTCTCTATAAAGCCGCATTACGACAACCACTTGTAGCCGCCGCGCACGTACTGCCCTCTGACCACCCATCGACCACTTAGCCCCATCGCCCTCCAAACCTTGGCCGCTCCTTCCCTCTCCTTGGCCGTGTCACGCTACTAGCATCCTCGACCTCATCCTCATCCCCTTTTCCCCCCAGCATCGATCGAGAGCGAGTCAGCCAACATGATCGACCCAACGCGCGGCCTGTTCAAGGTCCCCACAAAGGGTGAGCAAGCGACACCTACCGTGACATGCCGCCAAGGCCTCAACTGACTTACCAATCCTCCCCTCACCCGTCTTCACACCGCTAGAGGAGCGTATCGCCGCTCGAGCGGGCGCGCCCTTGAACCCCTTCAAGCTCCTTGGTATGATGAACACGATGCAGACGCTCATGTTCTTCTCCGGCTACATCGCCTGGACTATGGACGCCTGGGACTTCTTCTCCGTGTCTCTCAATGTCTCTCGCCTCGCAACGGCCTTTGACAAGGAGCCTACCCAGATTACCACATCCATCACCTTGACGCTCCTCTTCCGCTCTCTGGGAGCCCTCATCTTCGGTGCCATCTCTGACCGTTACGGCCGCAAGTGGCCCCTCGTTGGCAACTTGCTCATCATTGCCGTCCTCTCGCTCGGTACTGGCTTCTGCAACTCCTTTGGGGCTTTCCTTGCTGTACGATCCCTCTTCGGTATCGGCATGGGTGGCATCTGGGGTCTCAGTGCCGCCACCGCCCTCGAGAATGCGCCCGCAGCAGCCCGTGGTCTCCTCTCCGGTATCTTGCAACAGGGCTACGCCTTCGGCTACCTCCTCGCCGCCTCTGTCAACTTGAGCCCCTGGATGGAGCGAACCCAGAACTGGCGTATCCTCTTCTACCTCGGCGCTGGTCTCTCCCTCTTTGCCGCACTCGTACGAGCCGCCCTCCCTGAGTCGGATGTCTTCAAGCGTGCAAAGCTGGAGCGAGAGCAGAACCCAGAGGAGTACAACGACGGGGAGAGCAAGACGAAGCGTTTCCTCATCGAGTTCAAGAACATGCTCAAGACGCACTGGTTCATTTCCATTTACGGTATTCTCCTCATGACCGGATTCAACTTCCTCAGCCACTCGTCCCAGGATCTCTACCCGACCATGATCCAGAATGTCAAGCTCGCCTTTCTCCCCAAGGCTGCGGCGAGCTTCAAGGCCTCGCAGGCGACCATTGTGGGCAACTGCGGCGCCATTGCTGGAGGACTGATTGCTGGCTACATTTCGCAATACCTCGGCCGTCGCCTCACCATCGTCGTCTTCGTCTTCGTCTGCGGCTGCCTCATCCCTGCTTGGATCCTCCCCAACACCTTCTCCGGCCTCGCCGCGGGTGCCTTCTGGATCCAGTTCTGCGTGCAAGGAGCTTGGGGTGTCATTCCCATCTACTTGCAGGAAATCTCCCCTGCAGCATTCCGTGCCCTCTGGGCTGGTCTTGCTTACCAGCTTGGTAACATGGTGTCGTCAGCCTCTGCCCAAATCGAGACCCGTGGTGGAGACAACATCCGCATTCGCAACCCCAAGTGCCCCATCGGTGCAAACGGCGTCATTACCTGCCCAGCAGCTACGCCTCCCCTCTCTCCCACTCTTCCCGACTACGCGACCGTCTCTGGCATCTTGTTGGGCGTAGTCTGTGCCTACCTGCTCATTGTGGTCACCTTTATGGGCAACGAGAACCGCGGCTCGCACTTCGAGCAGGGACCTGTGGCTACAGCTCGTGGAGCGGGCAAGGTGCACCAGGAGGACCTCGTTGGTGGACCGGGCGTGGGTATCGTTGGCGTTCCCGCTGCGAGTGAGCGTGGAGGCTACTCGAAGGGAGACGACATCGAGCATGTTGGAGATGCGCGTCAGCCTGGCGCTCACGATGACTCGAGCGAGAAGTATTCGCACTAAGGGTGTGGCGGACTGCGATGTGATTGGCTTAGTTACCCTAGTTGATGCTTTTTTACTGTCATTTTGACTCATTCCACGTCGACTCATGTATTCGTGTGGCAATATTCACCTTATGATTACCCATCTTGGCATGCTTGCGACGATTGAGTATAGGGAGAAGGCGAATGCTGGATGAAGAGAGCGGAAGGGGCCACGCGAAGCGGAGAAGCAGCACAAAAGTTGAAGCGCTCAACTTCAAAGCTTCTTCCCACCTTGGCCAGGACTTCATTTCATTGACCAAAGGCCGTTGCCGCAGACCCCTTCTCTGTCACTCTCGAGTCGGAATCATAGCTTCCTCGCCCCATTCCATGTCCTTCAGCTTCAACTTCGCCTCTTCAGGCGACGACTTCGACAATGACGTCCTCATGGGCGGCGATCCATCTGCCTCGACCTCGTCATCACAGAATCCACCATCAGCTCCGGAACTGCAGATCTGCCCCGCCAAACCTGGTGGCAATGACCTCCCATCTTCCTCCTCGGTCCCAAGCAGACGTCTTGACCTGGACGAGATGCTCGACTCATTACCAGACCGGATTTCCTACTCTTGGGTGCAAGTACCGCTTCCACCACTAGAAGGCGAATCTGCACCTTCATCCTCCTCCAGTATCTACCTGCCTCGTCGAGACCTCTTTGACGCCCGCTTTCAGATCCTCCACGATGACGATGATCAAGATTCAGATCCTTCAGCGGGAGCAGCAAAGAGCCAAGAAGACGATGCAGCGGAATCAGCTGCGGTGGTGGGGACGGAAAGTGATCTGATACCGGGCTTGTATGAGGGAGGCTTGAAGACGTGGGAGTCTTCGGTCGATTTGGTTGGGGTGCTGCATGGGATGAGTCAAGGAGAGGCGGAGGGGAGAAGATGGAGAGGGAGGATCGTTGAGCTTGGATGTGGTACCGCTCTACCTTCGATGTATATCCTGCGGCACCTGATACAGCAAGACGTTCCAGTCCAAGGCAGCGCGGCACCTTCTGCCACCTACCTTCATCTCTGCGACTACAATGCAAAGGTGCTTCAGCTCGTCACGCTCCCCAACCTCCTCCTCGCCTACCACTTTGCGCGACATCAACACGACCAGGCAGTCCCACCACCGAACGGCGAGCTGGATCTGGACCCTCAGCTCCTCTCACAATTCCGTAACGACCTGACGAACAAAGGAGTGGAGATCAGCTTCCATGCTGGGCCGTGGGACGGGCTGAGACTCGACGACAGGTCAGGGCTTCAGGAGCAGCCATACGCCAATCTGGTCCTGACGAGCGAGACGACGTACCGCCAGGACGTAGTACGGTCACTCGTTGCCACCATGCGCTCACTACTCGTTGGTGTCGGCGAAGGAGAGGCGGACGGTGTAGCTCTTGTTGCAACCAAGGACTACTATTTTGGCCTCGGCGGAGGGGTCATGGCGCTCAAGGATGCCTTGAGTGAGGACGATACTGCTCACGCTCAGAGTGGTCGTCTAGCACAAGTCGAGACAAGAAGTCAAAGTACGGCTGGCGTCAAGAGGAGCGTATTGGCTGTTTCATGGCCGAGAGTGCCGTGAGCCTCATCTTCTGCTTTGATGGACTTAAATCATCGTCAATTGCAATTGTACAAAGAAACATCATGGCTTGATGACAGTAGAGAGAACAACGTCTAGTCGTAGCTGAGCGTGCCAACCTCTTTGCCCCTTTTCCCGCCGTCCCTTGCCCGCTCCTCGCCCCTACAAGAACCGCCGGCATCCTTCGGCGCCACAGAGACAAGCAATCGCGTCCTCGGCATCAGGTGTTGCCTGGAACTTGTAGTCGTACGTCAACTCTTGGCCGGGCAAGATCGTCGTCTTGGCGTACAAGACGATCCTCTTCTGCCCATTTAGGGTCAAGATCCTCGCGTTGCAGTTCGGCACGCAGCAGTGGTTCATCAATCTCGCAATGTTCCCCTTGTGCGTCGCGTCGACCACCACATCGTCGTCCACTCTGAAGAGGTAGGTGGAGAAATTGCCACTCTTCTCGTAAAGGCGTTCACGATGGTCTGCGACCTGCTGACGAACCTGCTCCCCGACGTACTCGATTACCATGTCTCCTGCTGGGATGGGCTCCATGGCGTAGAGCCCCCAGTCGTGAATGGGGGATTTGGCGAACTTGAGCTGCTTCTTGCGGGAGCGAAGTTGGTTGAATTTGAGGAGCATGTCGCTGTGATTCTCCACGGCTGTCACCTCGCCACCAACATCGTCGCCTGCACCCGCATGGCTGTCCTTCTTGTGCTGCTCGATGCCCAGCAAGACGCGGCGCGAGTCGGCACGATTGTCTCGTGCGGAGGCGAGAGTGACGTTTGTTGTCGTGTCAGCGATGGCCTTGTTGCGATCAGGAAGGTGCAGAGCTTTTTGAGCTGGCGGGATCTTGTAGAAACCTTCTGTACGGGCACTGCCCGAGTCGTGGACGTGCTGCTGAGGGGCAAGGACGCTAGGCAAGGACGTGTCGCCATCACCCTCCTCCTCGTGCCCCTCGCCGCCTTGCTCGTCTTGGTCGATCTCCTCAGGAAGAGTTGAAGGGGTGACACTCTCGCCCGCACAAAGACGTTCCAAAGCAACCTTGAGGAAGTAGAGATCTTCCTCTTCCTCTGCGACACCCACGACGAATGGGTCTGGCGATGGGCTGCGGGGACGCGCCGCTGCTGCGGAGCTGCTTTTGGACGACTTGGCCTTTTTCGATCGAGCGACCGTCGCGGCAGCCGTAAGCTTTGCCATGGCCGCCTCTTCGCTTTCCGGTTCTCTCGCATCCTCCATGACGACATCCTCGACATGAGCGTCTGGAGACGGCGCTGCCGAGCCGTCTTCATCGATCACAGCTGCAACGACACTGCCCTTCTTGCTAGACTTCTTCTTGGCTGCGCTCTTTGCCGCAGCTGCCGCCTTCTTGCCTCCCTTCTTCTTGCCTGTTGCAGTAGCAGCGGCAGCTGCGGGGGATGGCTCAGGCGTTGGCGTGGTAAGAGCAGTCTCGGCGGTCTCTGCCGTTTCCTCAGTAGCATCGCGCACGATCCCCGCTGATGCGGATGAGCTCTTGATTGGCAGACTGTGCTCGTCTCCGCTCTCGTCTGACTCGCTGCTGCTGCCCGAGTCGCCCACGCGCTCTGCTGTGGAGCGCCGTCGATGCGGAGAGGCTGCTTGACCCGGCTTCCTCTTTGTCATTTGGACCCGCTCGCCTTCGTCGTCGTCATCGTCTCTCTCATCATCGGACAGCGCCTGTCCGCCTTTGCGCAAGGAAGACTTGTCAGCGCTCTTGCGACCAGCCTGGCTCTGCGACGGGCGACGAGGTGGCGGGGGCGAAGGAGTAGCTCTCCTGATCTTGCGGAACGAAGGCAGCGCAGTCTCTGTCCGCCCTTCGGCGTGGGTTGGCGTAGAAGCGCTCGTCGCAGCTGCAGCAGCCGCGGCGGCCTCCCTCTTCGCCATCGCAGCCATATCTTCCGCATGCTGTTCCGCAGCCTTCTTGAGCGCTTGACCGCCCTCTGCGTCTGGCTTCAAGAAGTCTGATACGTGCGGCACGATCAGTCGAGTCTTGAGATCCTTGAGGAAGCCGTCTGCCAGCTCCCGCAGGATCGTCGAGCGGGCCTCCTCGATGAGCTCCGTCTCAGTCCAGCCTCGTGTGGCTTTGCGGTCTGCGAAGGTCTGGCGTTTATGCCACTCGAGGGCGGAGGCAGGGTCTAGCCAGTCTGGGGGCTGGCGACGAGAGAAAGCTGCATTGGTGCTGGACAACTTTGATGGCGACGATGAGGCGGCGCCCGCCCGAGGGGCATCAATCTCCTTTGCTGCCTGCACATCCTCAAGTCTAGGCGCTTGCCTCACTTCAAAGCTTGCGCTGAACCCGTAGATGGGCTTGCCCGCTAACACCTTATCGCATCTCGCTGCCGCATCGTGCCCCGCAAAGGCAGCGTACCACCCAAGTTCGTCAGCAGAGACGCTCTGCGGGGAGAACATGGCAAAATGGCGATGGATGAGAGCAGCGCTGAGCCCATCACCTACAGTGGAGCGGGACACATAGACGTAAGGGGTGCCGATGTGGTGGAGGCGAGAGAGAATGGTCCACGTTGGCTCAATGACGTCGTTGCTGCCGGTGTCCACGTCGCCAGGTGCTCGCGAGGCGAGCTCATTGTCCGTACGCTTGTCGCCGGACGAGAGGCGAGAGCGACGATGACCTCCCCCTGCTCCGGTAGTGCCAATGCTACCGCCTTGATTGAAGCCTCCTTTCCTCGTAGAAGAAGACGCAAGGAGACGATGTCTGTTGCCAAACTCTTCGCCGGAGTCCATATCGGCGTCCTCGCCGTCTTGCCCCTGAGACTGAGACTGAGACTGAGACTGAGGAGGGTACATGGCCGACCTGGCCTGCGCCTGCGCCTCGCGGCGTCGGAAGATATCAGCACGGGGAGTTGCAGCAGAAGAGGAAGGAGAGCGAGCAGACGCGGCCAAAGGTGAGGACTGTGGAGCAGTTTCTGAGGTGGTAGGAGGGAAGGAACGAAGAGGTGTTGCTGCGGCTGCTAGCCTGTGCACGCTTGCAGAACCGCCGACGGCGGCCGGATTGGGGCTGGCAAGAGGTGGCTTGGGAGACGCAGAAACGGGTGCCCGTTTGGCCATCTCCTTCTTGAAAGCCTCGACGTACTTGGTCTGCTGCGAATCGGTCAGGATGATCATCTTGTCTGTCGCGCCGAGTCGCTCCCCGTTCGCTAGCCTGACAGCCTCCGTTGCGCATTCGTTGCCCTTCTGACCCGGCGCCGTCGTCGACTCGAGACGGTTGCCGTCCTCATCAAAGTCGTGTGCGAACCGCAGCCAGAAGATACCCATGCTCTGCCCCGTCTGCGGGTCCATCTTGAGCTCGGCCTTGTCGATTCGTCCTAGCAGACGGAAGCGGTCGAGGAGCTGTCTGTTGGTTGTCAGAGGTGAGAGACCTGTAACGACGATCTCCCGAGGTGGAGGGGGCGGGCGAGGACCAGTGGAGTTCTTATCCCACTCCCAAACGACCGTCATCAGGTCCTTGGCCTTCTTACGATGACTCTGCGCTAGACGGGCTACTGTAGCCGTCTTGTGCCGACGAGGGTCGCCGACGCCGCCAGGAGGGGCTTCCTTCACGTCGGCTTGCTTGCGAATGGCCTTCTTGCCTTTACTCCTTGCACTGTCCAGCTCTGGATCGTACGAGAGACGCCAGCCCTGCTTCCGCTGCTCGAGGGATAGCTCGGTGGGGAGCAAGACATGGTCGAAGGACAAGGGAGGCGGCGCTGCTGGTTCTACAGCGGCAGGGCGAGGCGGTGGTGGACCAGGCGGCGGCGGAGGCGGGCCGGGTGGTAGTGGCTCGGTGGGAGATGGATCGGCTGGCTCGACTTGCATAGGCGTCTCCGGTTGTGGGGTCCATTGCTGCTGCAGAGACATGGGTGGCGAGGTGGCCCTGGGGCCCATCGATGGCGACGACGAGAGCTGAGTGGAAGGCTGCGAATGTGACTGCGAGGATTTGCGGCCGTGCTGAAATGCCTTCGGTCCCGTTGGAATCGCACCGGATGTCGTCGATCGAGGGCCTGACATTGCCGTCCTCATGCTGCGTGGACCTGTTGGTATGCCGACAAAGGCATTGGCTGGAGGAGCGGCAGTTGCTGCGTCGCCAATGATCTTCCATCCGCCCTTGGCAGACGATGAGGTTGTCGAGGCGGGCGTCGTCATGGGTGACTGAGGGGTGCCATTGATGTTGGCTGGCATTGCGCTGCTGTCGCTGGCCGTCGTGATAGAGCTTCCGTCCAATGGACGTGCAGTAGGTTTCGACGAAATGGTAGCCTCTTTCTCTAACTTGGGATCCGGTCGCGGAGGCGGTACGGATCTCTCCATCTCGGCCGTTCGAGGATGAGGTGGGGCGACGATGTTCTGAGAGCGTTGCAGCTGGTCATGATATGCAGGCTTCTTGACCTTGTCGACCTCCATCGACTCAGTATGCCTTTCTGGGTATTCTGCCTCAGTACCCCTAGCTCTACGCGCGGGCTCGTCTCTTTCTCTACGCTCGCTGCGCCTCTCATCCTCCGAGCGTGACCTGCGCCGGCGATCACTACGCCAGCCTTCTTCACGTTGCTCGTCACGACGCGAGTAGCGGCGATGTCGTCGATCGTCGTCACGTTCGTCTCTGGAGCGCGAGCGTGATCGAGATCTGAATCGTCTCCTTTCTTCGTCTCTGTCCGATCGCCTGGAGATGCGCCCCGAGTCCCGCTCTTCGCCATCGCGGCGCTCGCTCCTGGAATAGCTGCGTGAAGGAATGGCTCTCTCGTTGTCGTCTTGTTCGTCTCTGCGAGACCGTCCTCCTCGCCAGACTTCTCCATGTCTGCGCACGCGATCACGATCTCGCTCGTCCCGTCTATGCTCAAGAGGTGGACGGTTCGGCGGAGAAGGGGAACGGCGAGGTCGATCCGCAGGGATCCACGAATCGACTGCTTTATAGTCGTCCTTGAGGGGAAGACTGGACCGTTGACTGGCAGACCGGTGGCTGACGTCTTTGTGGTCGCGCAGATGGGCTGGGAGGATCAGAGGGGGGCTGAGGGGTCGGGAAGACTGGGAAAGGCGAGAGCGAGGACGCGAGTCATGAGGGGGAGGTGATACTCTGCTGGAGCTGCGATGCTCCGGAGGTGGTGATTTCGCTAACTTGGAAGTCGATGGCTCGTTGTCCCTCCTCGGAGATCTTCTGTGCTGGCTCGCAACTTCTGCATCACCTTCAGCATCAATGTTGTTGATTCTCTCGCCCACCCTGCGGCGATGGCTGTGAGCCTCTGCGGATGGTGGTGGTGGCGATGATGACGGGGGTCGAGCCTGCTGACTTTGCTGCTCTAGACGCTCGAAGAGAGTGCAAGAAGAGGAGGCTTTTCGAAGAGGTGCAGCGCTGGTGGGCGCAGCATCTAAAGGAAGGGGATCTTGAAGGGGCTCAGAGGTTTGACCCTCCTGCTTCTCCTCGTCCTCGATCTCGCCGTCCGAGTCCTCAATAGCTCCCTCCTCTTCTTCGTCATCATCCACGCCCGTTCCTACGCTCACCATCGACTGTCTTGCCTTGCCGTTGCCATTGATGGAGGTTCTCGGACGAGCAAGAGGCGTCGAATTGCTACCGGCAGACGTCGCCGGATAGCTGGGCTGACCATTGACGTAGCTGGGTGGGCTGACAGCGTGTCTGTTGTGACGAGGGTGCTTTGAAGAAGAGCCTCTGCGACGGTATGGCTTGAATGACGATGTTGATGGAGATGCGAAGCGCGATGCTCCTGGAGCCATCCTCGGAGGCGTGACAAAGAGGAAGGCGAGACTACGAAGGCAACTACGACACAGGCAGTGTACTGCGCTGCGCTGCGCTTCTCTACCCTGTCCTCCCCTACTTTTCACCCGCTTCTCTACCTAGAGATGCAAAGCAGCAGCTATGTGACCGTAGCTCGCCGATGGCGAGACAGCGAGCCAATTGCGAACTGTCTTGTGCGTAGGGATGAGGAAATGAATGATTGGTAGGGGAGTGCAAGTCGCCCTCGATGGATCCATCTGCATCAGCCTTGTCCCTCACGACGCCCCGCTCTGCCCGCCTCGCGCCGCTCCGCCCATCGCCATTTCCTGAGTCGCGTCGTCCCTGGGACCTGGACCTGGACCGCACTTTGACCAGTTCCCACCATCATTTCGCATCACAAGCAATATTCGCGTCCTCAAGACATCGCAATGCATTCCACGATGACAGAGAGCAGCTGCTACATCTCACAGAGCTCAGCGCCAAAGACATAGGAGCTCAATGCCCACCAGCCATAGCGGAACCAAACCAGCTGAGACGCGTGCGCCTGCATCGCTTTGGCCGCCCTCCGATATTCCCATGGTGATGAGAGGGCGAATGAGCATCCACGCGAAGAAGTCGATGGGGATGCTATGCTCTTCAATCGTCTGAGCAGCGCGTATGGCAAGCCACCGTACTTGCTCCAGAGCGGCAAAGAGGTCAAACGCAGCACCCTTCCCCCTCCCAGCCTGGCCCCAACCGCGTCCGCTGCCGCTGCAACGCTGCGATGATTAGCGTGGCCTGAGACTCCTCCTCGATCGAAAGTGACGATGTAGTCGAATGTCCTCGGCCAAGTCTCTGTCCCCGCGATGGCCTTGCTGACCTCCTCCACCACCGTCTCCCTCCGCCAGCGCTCCCGCATCCCATCCCTCATCCCATCCGCCTCCAATGCGAGCACATTTTCTCTTGGTACGCCTAACATCGCGTACGCCTCAACCAGCTCTCGCGATCTCGTCGCGCCCAATGTCTCGTTTTGGTAGTAGGGCGAGCCAAAGGAGCCGGAGCTGGCAGAGAGACCGTAGATGTTTGCTGGGAGAAGGAGGGAGGAGGAGAGGAGGGAAAGGATGAGGGGAGAGAAGAACATTACTTCGTCGTCTGGATGGGATAGGAGGAGGAGCAGGGTAGATGTGGGCTGTCGCGAGGTAACGGGTTGTCAGTCGGCAGACTCGAGAAAAGTCAAGGAGCTGCGCTCAAGGCTCACCGTGATGCTGGCGAGTCAGGGAAGGGAGACATGGCAGGGAGAGTACGCGGGGAGGCAGCATCGTGGTCTCAGTCTCTGATGTCTATGGGCAGTCACATGGCAAGCAGCAGCGACGGCGACGGCTACGATCTCACCATAGTAGCAGAGTGTTGTTCACTGGCTTCTGTCTTCGTTCTTTTGACTTGATGATATCGACACGGCGAGAGGCGGTCCTGCCTGCTCCTGATTACATCTGCTTCTCGTCGCCGTTGCCGTCACTGCCGCCTTTACATTGCTTCCGCAACCTCGTCTACCCACCCTTGCAGCACTCCATCCTTGAGATCGTTACCTGCCAGAAGCCATTGTGCCAAGAGCAATGACACAGGCAGGGCGACGGCTGCTGCGAGTAGAACCTTGGTCGACAAACCACTCCCTGCAGTGGCTGCCGTACCTGGTGAGTTGCGCGACCCTGAATTTTTGCTCCCCTTTGCTCCATTCGAAGCACTGCTGCTGCCCTTTTTGGGTGTCCCGTTCGCTGTCATCGCCGCCAACGGCTTGGACGCGGTGATGAAGACGCGCAGCCTGTTGAGGGAGAGGAGGGCAAATAGAAGGAGCGAGCCGACCAGGCGCGCTTCGTTGATGTCGAGCAATGGTCGACTCCCCGCAGCTGCCAGCGTAGGAGCAGCGCCAGGAAAGAGGCGCATCGCGATTGGCGAAGTCGAGGAAGAAGTCAGGCTATCATAGACCAGCGCTACAATACCAGCGCTCCATATGTCCACGGCGAGCAACCCGGTAGGGTTCTTGAGCCAGGTAGGAGTCTGCAACTTCCAATTCGCACTCTCTAGGTCTAGCAAACCGATCAGTAGCGGCCCTCCACCTCCAATGAGCGCCGATGTGATGATCGGAGTGAGCGGTGAAGGGTGATCCCTCACTGGGTTGAGGCCGAGGGCGATGATCCCCTCTGTGCGACAAACAGCATCCACCAGATGAAAGAAGATATCCAGGCCCAGTCCAAAAGTGGCAGGCGCCCCTGAAGCCGCCTTGAGGACCCTCTTCTGCAAGCCACTCAGGACAGCTACCGAGTGAACCGCCCCATAGATGGCCGCTGTGAGTTGTACGCCCGGATCGAAGAGTGGGGTCTGCTTGCCCAGACCCAGGTTGATGATCGTCCACCCGCCGAAGAGGAGGATCCATACCAAAACAACGCTCTGTAGGAGCCCAATCTTTCGTGGTCCACCTTGCACTTGGCAGGTAGCATAGCTGACTCGCAATGCATGGATTAAGGTGATGGCCGAGATGGGAAGCAGGGAACGGTGCAGCTTCGAGCCAGAAAGGTGCGAGAGGACCAAGTGAGTCGACTCGAGTGCTGGTATGCGATACAGTGGGGATGGCATTGCTGCCATGATGAAGGAAGAGTGAGCCTGGCCCGGATGGCCGCGGCGAGGTGAGGAGAGAGCTGGATCTGATGGAGAGGAAAGAAGGAAGGATAGTTGCGTGGAGCGTCCAGCGCAAGTCCAGATCCGCCTGCAGCTCGCTGCTGGCGCACGGACGCTCCAAGACGCCTGACGCTTCCTTCATCTACGCCCGCGCACGGAGGTGGGAGGCACGAAAGTGATTGCGGGCAAGACGAGGTGAGTTGGTGTGGGAGGAAGAGGTTGGCAATTGAATAGTGAGAGTGTAAACGTGACCACATAAACAGCCTCCACGACCATCTCCGTCACTCTTGACAGGTGGTTCACCTTTGCCGTGCAGCTTCCGCCCCTCTCCCACTCTCCTCCGCTCAAATCAAATCCTCAAGGGCCTGAACCACTTGCTCGCTCCCTCGAAATCCCTCACCACTTCCTTTGGCACAGCTTGCTTTTCCTCCAGCTGCTTGATGGCCACCATCAAACTGTCCCAGAAGCGGAAGCCCCTTTGCAGCTCCCCTCGAACGTTCTTGACGTTCCCGAACGTGTCCTCCAACATGCCCAGCACTGACTCCTTGCTCTCCTTGACCTCTTCTGAGCTCTGACACTCCTCTTCTGTCGGAGGACGACCATTGAATGCCACGAACGCTTCGACGTAGCATTTGATCACCACGCCTAGCCCCGTATTTGCATCGCCTTGGAAGGGGAGGCTCAACGCGATGTCCAAGTAATCGTCCCTCCCTCTCCTCGCGTCCGAGCGGAGAAGCATCGTGCTGGCAATCGTCTCGACAAGGTGTCGCATAGAGCGGCCCATAGCCTTGACGAATGAGCTGAACACAAGCAACTCCCTCGAGACGGGAGCGGTCCATGCGTCTGGGCTGTATTGCATCGGAATAAGAGACAGGCAACGCATCGCGAGCAGGAGGTAGCGTTTCTCGTCTTCGGTCTCGTCATAGGAGGGCCCGCCAGAGAAGACTTGTACGTCGCCCATCGCTTGAGCAGGAGAACCGGCGGGAGCTGGTGCATGGAAGTAATTGGCATGCAGAACACCTGATCGGATGAGCTCCAGAGCCAGATAGAGCGGTTCTTGCAACTTGTCATTGAGGCGCGATGCTCGCAAGGCCAGGTGTAGGGCACGGGCGTAGGGTGTGTGCAGGTGGTCGTGGTTGAGGAAGCCACGAAGCTCCAGCATCCTCCAAATGACGTTTGCGACAATCTCGTCCTTCTTCTCGAGCAGATGCCCCTGCCCTGGTCGCTTAGGCGTCTTCGTCCTCTTGCCTAGCTCGTCCGTCCTCGTTGCGCCAAGGCAGAGAGCAATGTCAATCGTGCTTGAGTTCTGGTTGCGAAGCTCATCGTCGACAAAGCCAACGGGTACATTCCACTGGTTCAGCCTGCTCACGAGCTGCTGCGTCTCCTTGCTGTCGTGCGGGACGGGCCTCTCAGTAGTGGGCATCCACCAGTAGACTGCATTGACTTTGCGAGAGGTCCAGAAAGGGTTAAGCGCCGAGCAAGCCAAGGCTAGAGCGATGCAATTTGGGCTGGATGGGAGCTCAGTGAGGCTGTCACGGACGAAACGACGATACTCCATCGTCTCGCCGTTGTCGAGGGGTGCAGGGTGGGCGAGGTAGCCTGTGGTGAGCCAGGTATAGACGTGGTGCGAGATCAGGCCGCGTGCGAGGTGCAGGAAGACTTCGTCCGGGAGGCGGTGTGAGAATACTTCATGAAGGTCGGAGGGAATATCGCTCGAAGCAGCAGCGGAGGCGCCGGCAGCACCAGCAGCGGGCCCTGTGCCATTGACGCCGGCTCCTCCGGCGGCGGGAGCAGCTCCACCTGCGGCGCCATTGACCGTGGGCGCCTGCGTCTGTGCCCCCTGGATAGCGCCATTTGACATCGGCAGCGCCACCACGGCTCCATCCTCAGCTCTGAGGATCAGACTGCACTTGATCATCGCCTTGGACTTGCAGAACGACTCGAGAAACTGCGTCGATCGCACGCCCGCGTGATCCGAGAAGGACTGCACGACGCCAAGTCCGCCAGCACGATTTGAGCGCACCATTTCGCTGACTTGACGCAGATTGACCGGCAGGTGGTCCCGCTCTGTCGGGCGCGAAGCTGGTGGGGGAGCGAGGGTGCCGTCGATCAAAGGGGGAAAGGTGGGGCCGTGGTCCCAGCCTGCGAGGAGAGCTACGTCGAGGAACTCCCTGTGAGGAGGCCAGTGGTGAGCACCTGTCTCGCATGTCTCGTGGCCCCGTCCTACTTACTCCTCGGTACGAATGCCCAGGTCCATCATGACAGCATTCTTGTTTGCAAAGGTGAATGTCCCAGCCGCAAAGTTGAGGGAGAGGATGACTTTCTCCACTCTAGGGAAGAGGAAGAGGGAAGTGGACCCGTAGTAGGAGTGTATGTAGCCTTTTGGGTGTCGCTCAAGTGACACCAGCTGCCCACCAGCAAGGTAAGGAGCCACGATGAACTCTACGTTTCGATGTCTAAAGGCCCTGAGAACGCTGCGCACCACCTCTGTGAAGTCGGTGCTCCTGCTACTGGTCAGCAACTCCTGCATCTTGCCCACATCACCCTCGTCATACGCATCCCATGCCTGCGCCCTCAGCGTCGCCTTGTGAGCGTCATCGATGAAGCTCGGCCTCTGCGTCTTCCTTGTCGAAGGCGGGAGACCAGAGAGGACGAAGACGGGCTTAATGCGGGATCGCTCTAGGTAGCGAAGATCATTCTCTACGTGCGTGATTAGAGCAAGAGGTGCACCTCCAAGTGCGGCGACGTAAGGTTCGTAAGAGGCTGGGTTGGTGAGGACAGATTGCAGGTAGATGTCTAGGTCGATGCCAAGGCGTGTGTCTCGGAGATGTGAGAGGGAGCACGTCTGGAGGAGGCCGCGCTCTGAGAGGAGCGCTGTGCGAGGTGGGCGGAGAGAGGGGATCAGAGACGTGGATGAGCTGATGTGCTCGAGCAGAAATGGCTTCGTAGGGAAGAATACCCACCATCGAGGCTATTGATCATCAGGGCGTGGGCAGGCTGCGAATGCTAGGTGACGAGGCGGATTCCGAATGAGGTCGGGTCGAGTCGATGGAGGTCTGGCTTTGAAGCCAGCTACAGCATTCGAATGAGCGCTATCAGGGGAAAAGGCTGTAAGCTAGACACAGCGTATATGAGTGCGATGAGGCGATGTGGCTAGTCTCTGGCTGGTGATTGTGGTGGTGGAAGGAGTTAAAGGCTGGGAAGCGGGTCGGCCGGGCATGCAGCAGTCAGTCGCTTCTCGTTGCCTTGCCGCCGCCTCCAGTCCAGCTCGACTCGCAGGCCAATGCATGGCCCGAACGCGCCAAGCAGCCGCCGCCGCCCGCTCGCCTCGCTCTCCTCGCCCTCTCAAGCGCTACATTTGGCGCCGCACGACAGCCAAATGACAATGGCGACGGTGAACAGGGCCTCCATAGTAGTCACTACAGTGGTCAGTAGCATACTGGCTAGCCGTGGCACATCATCGTACATCACAATGCCATGTATAGCGGGGCCATCGAGATGGGCAAACCATCAAGCTCAACCACTCGCCGTCCCGCTCCTGCCACGGCGTCACTACGCCTCACGCAAGGCCGCCTCGGGAGACTTAGATGACGACAGGGATGAACAGCATATCCGATCGGAATGGGCCTCAGCTCTCGTCGCCCGTCGATCAAGCCTTCGAGTCTCCAAATCAAGCCGTGAATCCCTCCCCAAGTCAGTCTTCGACGTCACCTTCTCCCGGTCGAGCGGGGCAGGCGGTCAGCACGTCAACAAGGTCAGCACAAAGGCCAACGTCCGGCTCAGTCTAGCCGCAGCTACGGCAGAAGGCAGGGTGTATGAACAGGAAAAGAGTCCATTCCCATTACCGATACCGAGGGAAGTGGCAAGAAGGGCTGCAAAGGAATCGGTGAGTGGCCGTAGCGTGCCGCTACATCAGGTGAGAAGATGTTGATTGTCTTGATCGCGCTCGCAGCCATACTACGCTGCCTCGAGTCAGTCTCTCCTCGTCTCAAGCTCGCAGTCACGCTCACAAGAAGCCAACCTCGAGAATGCCATCGACAAGGTCAGTCTTCTCCCGCTGCAGTCATCGTCCCTGTGCCGCTTTCATTTAGCTCACCGCGTCCCTTTCCCCTCATTCTCCTCCCCCTTCGCGCCTCACTCCCTCTGAGCAGCTCTGCAACCATCTCCACTCCCTAGCTGCGGCCGGTCTCGTGGGCGAGACGAGCTCCCAACAGCGTGAAAAGGTGCAACGTCTGGCGGAGAGAGAGAAGGGCAAGATGAAGCAGTTGAAGCAGAAGCGGGCTGATGTAAAGATGGGTAGGAAGAAGATCACAACGTGGGATTGACGACAAAGGAAGGGTCGGTCTTCTTGATTGTGTAGACAACATAGAGCATTGCACGGATTACCGCGCCAAACCATTGCTGTTTGTTCGTAGACCAAGCAGCCGCGTTGCTCCACCTCCCTCCCCATCTCCGTCTCAGGGTCCAAAATCGATCGCTCCCCGTCCTTGCAGCCTTGCCCGTCTCCCTCCCTCCTTTTCCTAACCCCCATCCCTCCCAAACCCAATCGCCATGTCCTCAAGCAGAGGTGGCGGTCGAGGTGGAAAAGGCAAAGTCAGCTATACTGCTCCCTCGATTCCTGGCTTCCTGCAGAAGCTTCATGCCCAGGTCCACTCAGGGTCCAGCAGCGGAGGAAGCAAAGCGGACGCGGATGGTCGAATGGTGGGGAGCATGTACTCGCAGAAGAGGCCGACAGCCAATGGCGATTACGACAGCGAGGAGCAGGCAGAGTTGGCTGCCCTCTTTCCCGGCGGTGAGGGAAGTGAGGAGCAGGAGGGAAGGGCAAGGGCGAGATTCAAGGGCGACGTCGTGAAGCGCCCACCTGCCGCCGATGCTGCTGCTGCTGCTGCTGCTGGGGGGGATGAAGAGGACGACGACCCGCCGGACGAATGGGATGGGGCACAGGTTGTTGTTCTGAAGGAGGGAAGACACTTGACAGAGGACGAGGTCAGAGAGACAAAGAGGAGATTGCAGGATGAGCAGGAGAAGGAGGCGGCTGAGCAAGGTGAGGCAGTCGGGCATCTTTGGAGCTCTCCATGTTGCTGACGCTAACTCTCCATTGCCTCTCCGAACAGCCTCAGCATCAACAGCAGGCCAAATAGCCACCGGCTCGTCATCTCAGCAACCACGCAAACGACCGCGCATCGTAGGCGATAGCGCCGGTGATGAGGACAACTCGCGGCCGTTGGACGTGTCCATTTCCTCGTCGTCCACGGCAAAGAGCGACCCCTTAGCAGCAGCCAAAGACCTAATCGCTTCAGACAAGAAGCGCAAGAAGGAGCTGGAGCGCGCGAGGGAGAAGGAGAAGAAGGCAAAGAACACAAAGAGGGAGAAGAAAAAGGCGGGCAAGGGGCTGAGCTTCGATGTTGAGGACTGAGGGATACGCGTGGTGATGGTGATAATGCTCGTGATTGAAATTGGCGTGTCGCGAATGAGATACCAGGATGAAGGCAGGATCGAGTGCACGTCAAGCTGGGATAGATGGGGCAATGATGTGCGAAAACGCCTCTCCTATACAGCGTCCGTTCTGAGCGTCGTCTGGTCATCAGCTCCTCAGAAAGGCGAGCAGTTCCTCCTTGCCCTTCTTCCTCATAAGCTCTCGCACAGCCCTCAAGCTGTCGAGATCGTCTTCGTCTTGCTCTACCGCTGGCTGGTCGACATCGACCTTGGTCCTCTTGCTCTTCTTCCCGCGACCTACAACAGCCGCCTCTCCATCCTCAGCCGCATCCTCATCGACATCTGTCAGGTCGGAGTCATCGCCGGAACTTGACAGAGACTTCGGACGCTTGCTGGGCAGCGCGAGTACGGGCTTGGCGTCCAGCTCTCTGACCATGCCCACGGTAGTCCTCATCTCCGAGGCGGGCAGCTCATCATTCTCCTCCTTTTTCAGCACGCCCCCGTTGGGCAGCTCACCAGCGCGGGCAGCGTGCAGCTGAGGCGGTGGATCCTTGACGTGCTCTGCGAGTGGTTGAAGACGAATGGAGGGAGGTGCAGAGCTGTTGAGGGCTACGCGGACGAGCTGTTCGGTGGCGGTCTGTTCGGAGAGATGAGACGAGGCGATGCTGGCTAGGAAGTCCAGCCCCGTCTGCGAAGAAGCGGACGCGTCGACGTCGATGAGTCGGTCGCGCGGCCCGTCAAGGACTTTCATCCACCAGTCTGTCCTTACGACCTTCTCTGGCAGCCTGAACTTGACTTTGCGCATGCCCCCGCCAGGGATGAGCGCGTCTGCTTGCGGGATCTCCATGTTCGTCCAGCCTTGCTGCAGGCTCCGAGCATTACCTTCAGAACCGCTGCCTGCCCCGCCTGGTGCAGACCCACCGGCAGTCGCCGAGCTCCAATACGTGTCGAGCGGGTCGGGCACGATGTCAATCTGCCCGGAGTTAAGCACTCTTGGCCTATAGAACTGACCAGGTCGCATCCCCACATTGGCTACCGTGGGAACAGGGAGGTCGATGATCTGCACTTGTGTCGACGACTTGGGCACACGAGTGTGGGCGAGCAGCTCCTCGATGTGGCAAGGGCACTTCCATCTGCGGAACTGGCTGGGCATACCAGCAAGAGGTGGAGTGAGGCAGTCCAGATGCCAATGCAGGGAGCAGTAGTCGCAGGAGATGATTCGACGCCATCCTGCTTCTTCGCGGCCCGCTGTAGTGGTCTCCACAATCTCATCCTTGATCGCTCGGTTGGACGGGAGGGCCGACTTTCCACAGGCAAAGCAGAGGACCTGCCGTCCCTTTGAGTCCTTCAACCTGAACGGATCACGCTCTTCGATGACACCCTTTTTGTCTGCTTTGATGCTTCGAAGCTTCGAGGTGTCTAGGAAAGCGCCGTCACGCTCTGAACCGACCCCCTTGAAGAAGTTCTTGACGTCTGCCGGCAGGCTGAAGAGGGTCGGATTGGTGGTCTCGGCGTGATGGATCAAGTGCGAGAAGACGCCTTTGCGTGCAGCAGCGAGAGCCGTGGAGCGCTGTGACGATGAGGATGAGAATGTTGTCGCTGCCGACAGCTGCTTGGCGGGCCTATTGGTAGGCGCAGGAGGAGGATGGCGCAACGCCGAGCACGACTGACAATGCCATGCCTCGTCGTCATCGAGTGGCACCTCGTTGATGTCGAGCGGTGGGTTAACACATGCAAAGTGGAAGGAGCGAGGGCATGAGTCGCAACAGATGAAGTGTCCTGTGCCTAGGCACGTCGAGCAGAATTCGTCGTTACCCCCATCGTCGAGGCCGGTGCTGTCAGGCAAGCCGCTAGCGAGCTGCTGTTGCGCCATGCCTTCCTCCTTGCCTTTTCCCTTCGCGTTCGGAACTGACGTCGAATCCGTCGCGCCGGCTGCTGCGCCAGATTTGCGCCCTTTTCTCGAGCCCGTACGCGAAGAGGGAGCACCATTGGCTGTTGTTGCCCCTCCTCCACCGATACCATGAACAAGTGCAGCTTGGGGTGGAGGCGCAGATGCGGCTGCGTACGTGCTAGGGTCGTAGTAAGAGCCTCGCGCTGCAACTTTTGCAACGGCCGCTCGGGTCGGTCTCGCCCCGCCGCCATCACTCGCGCCTGCAGAGCTGCCAACGACTTCGGGCACTGGGGTCAATGCAGAAGCATTTGTTGATGCAGGCGAAGTGTCTCTCGAATCCATCGATGCGTGCGTAGTAGCGGCGATGCTGGTGGCGCGCTCGGCCTCTATCTTTGCCGCATCATCGCTGCTGCCGCTGCTTGACGCCGCCGCCGAAGGTGCGAGCTTGCTGCTGTCAGGTATTGCGGGAAGGGTCGACTTCTTCTGACCGAATTGCAGTTGGGTCTGGCGTTGTTGTGACGCCGCCTTCTTCTTGCTGTTCTTTTTCGTCGTGTTGGGAATTGCGAGTGTTGGATCGGTTGCCAAGGTCCGAGCGTCGCCCATCGCGCCGCTTTGGTCCGCCTGTGCGGTGTGGGAGGCGGCAGCCGCGCTGCTGTGCCGCTCCGGTGCCGAAGGGCGCCCACCATCGACCATCGCAGCGTGTGGTGGCGGTGACGAAGACGATGACGGCATGGGCGGGGATGTTGATGGGGCAGACGATCCAGACGCTACGCTGCTCGACCCATTAATCCTCAGCAATGGTGCGTCCGTCTGCATCGCAGGTGAAGATGCTGCGTCGACTGCCGCCTCCCGCTCGCTATCTGCCACGCTGGCTGCCTCGCTCATTTCCTCGCCATCCGCGAGCATAAAGTCGTCCACGAGTGACAATGAAGTGTCAGCGGCCTCGTTCGAATGGCTGCTTGATGCTACATTGGCAGCAGCGAGTGGAGGGGCATCGCTGGAAATGCCTGATGCTGTATTCGCCGAGATTGAAGCCCCAACGTCGTCCCCGCGCGGCACCGTCGGTGTAGAAGAGCGTGAGCTTCGACTGCGAAGAGCAGAGGAAGAAATCGAACAAAGAGCACTGGGTGAGCCTGACGGCATTCTCTTCGCGCCCATTCCTTCGCTAAACTTACGCAGATTGCTTCGCTCCCTTTCCCTGTTTCCTCTTCCCGGCCGCAGCTCCCTTCACCTTACTGCTATCAGCCTCCGGCAAGCCATTGACGATCGCGTAAAGAGCGTATGGCACCTTCCCCTCGTATCCCTCTGGTTTGGAAAGCGCAAAGGTGGGTTGTTTCCTCTTCTTGTCCCCCGACCCGCTCGCAGATCCCGAACCAGTGTGCGGCTGCACTACAGTACCATTCGGCAGTACCACCGGGTGACTAGCAGCAGCAGCCATGCTGTTTGGAGCGTGAAGAGGGGCAGGGGGAGCATCCGGGTCCAAGGGAGGGTATCGCGGGTCGTAGGGAAGTTGAGGCGGGGCGGGCAGGATTTCCGTCGAGAGAGGGTGGGAAGAGGATGGATCCGCAGCTGCCGCGCGGGCCTTGGAGAGGAGATCATCGGCGAAGGAGGGAGATGTGGCTGCTCGCCGTCCATGGCGTGATGGATCCTCGCGAGGGACAAGTGGTTCGTCCGAGCTGGCTAGCGCTGAGCGAGCTGCATCGATAACTTGCTTGGCTGCGTCGAGTGGCATCGCGGACGACGATCCTGCAGCAGCAATGGCATCAACCCCTAATGACGACGTGCCTTCTTGCGGCGTATCTGTCAGAGCCCCGTTTCGAGGCACCAGCGATGATCCTCTGCCGCTCCTCCTCGGACTGCTATGGGATTGCCGCTGAGAGAGGGTGCTTGGACCGGCCACAGCAGAGGGAGGCGCACTTGCTCTCGCGTCATCGTTACCGTCGTTCATCTGAGTGGACGGCAATGGCCCATCAATCGCTCTATGTCTGTGCAGCACGTCCATCGATGAGGATGACGGCATTGCTCGCGCCACGCGGCACGCGCTACGTGATGAGTCCTCTGATGGAGCGTGCGGCACTCAGGACCTGCTGAGCTGCGAGCGCCTGGCCGAGCGGTAGCGAGGAGTGATAGCCAAGATGTTGTTGCTGCTTGAGCCTTCTTACAAGTGAGATCTTGCCTTTGACGTTGATCTGCTCCCTCGAATGCAGCGTGCGGTTGGGAGAGAAGGGAGAGAGGGACGAAAGAGTAGAAGTGATATCGAAAGGACAGAACGCGTCGGCCGCCGCCCCGCCACTTTCGGGGCGCGACTCTCGACCCAATGACGGCCCGACCTTCAACCCGCAATCTGACCAAGCTCATCGTAGCTCGTGATGAGCAGCAGCACATCACTGACTCGCCGTCGTCTCAATGAGGTATGCATGTCGATGGAGATTTGCGGAGGGATATAGAGAGGATAGCGAGTAGTGAGAACGAGTCGGTCGCGAGAGAGAGAGAAAGTACAAAGGTTAACGTTGCCGTTCCTTGTATTAGGGCAGTAGAGTGGTCAGGTAGGGTATTATTCAAATAGGTGGTCGTCATCCATCCATCGATCGTCGTCGTGTCTGCTCCAATCGTCCTGGAATGCTATTCTTCTCCTGTCCCCGCCCCCTCACAGCCCTCCAAACCTAGTTGCAATAGTCTCGTCGTGTCTCTTCTTTACGCCCCGCCCTCGATCCATGACGCTCGTCCCAAGCCCCTTGAGGACCTGCATCTCGTTCTCCGCTTGAAGCCTTCGCATATCAGCACAATTGCAGCCACAGCTGTCGCAACTTGGTATGGGGCTGGAGCCGGCTCCACCATCGGCAGAAGAGGTGGCTGAAGTTGGCGGTGGTAGCGAGGAGCTGCTCTGCGGAGGCATGTGCGTGGCACGAAGGTGGCGAAGCTCGTCAACCAGAGCAGCCATTTGCGCTTCGATTGTCGCGACACGGTTCTTGACTGCGAGGGTCACATCGTTGCTGTCTGTACCTGCCGCAGAGGACGGGGAGGGTGAGGCGGGCGCAGCAGGGAAGCCGTTGACTACTTCGAGGTGAGGATTGGATGGCTCTAACTCGGAACTGTGCGCTGACGGGGTGCGCTCACGCTCCCACTCGGCACGAGTGGTGCTACTGCTTCCGCCAACGCTGAGCTGCCTTGATCGAGCATCTGGACCATTGCCTGACGCGGGCAGGGCGAGCGTCTGTCCACTCTCGCTGCCTGAGCGCTGCGGTGCTTTACTGGGTCTCAAAGGGAGCAGCATGCTATCATCAGCTGATCCATCATCTCGACCTGACAACGCCCCATTCGTGGCAGCGTTCATGGGCAGGTGCCCTGGGCTTGTCGCGGGCGAATGGAAAACGCTACTCTCCCTTGCCCCAGACCCATCCGTAGGCGTCTTAGCCTGATCGCGCGACTTGCGCTCAGAGGCGGCAGGAATGGCAATGTCCGCAGGTGAGTGGCCGCGAGAGCTTGCCAACTGATTTGCCTTGGTAGCAGGCAGCGATTGCTTGCCCTCGAGAGCGCTCGCAGCTGCTTCGACAGGTGAGAGGCCGGGCGTCGTGGTGGGCTTGTCATCTCCGATAAAGGCCGGTGAGAAGCCGGCAAGCATGCTGGAGACGGGCCGAATGGAAGCCAGAGCAGGGGCCGCTAGGCCATTGCTGCTCTTGCTGCTGCTGGTAAAATCGCCAAGCTTGTCTCCACCCTCGTCGACCTCTCTGCCTTCGGCGGGCAGCTTGAAGTCTGGCCCTCGCGCGGAAGGAGCAGTGGGCATCGGCGGGGGCGCCGCGCTGCTACCCTCGTCACTCGCGTTCTTCTCGCTACCCCGGTTGAACATGCGCAGGATCCCGCTCTTCTTGCCTTTCAGGCCCTTACCTCCTGCTCCCGACGATGCGACCCCTCCCTTGATACCACTTTCGCTCTCGCTGTGACCACCGAGGGATGAATGTGATCGCTCCGACGCCATAGCAGCCGACCCAGCTGAGACGCGGCCGTGCTCGCCCGAGGATGAAGTCGATGAGTCCTGCTCACCAGTATAGCTGCCTGAGCGCTGGAGGGCGTAGCCCTGCTGACGAGCCTTCGCCTCCGCTTGAGCCTGCTCAAGGGAAATGAGCTTGTAGCTTACCCCCTCATGTGACCCCGGTTGGGGCAAAGCGGTCCGCTCGATCGCCGGGCTCGGAGGCTGAGGTGAGGAACGACGCTCGATGTTCTGCTGGGCTTTTGCTGCGTGACTGCCTAGGATCCCGCTGGCTGTGGGCGTAGCCGAACCTGCGCGCATGGTGTCCATCGTATGCTCGGCGGCGAGGCCCCTAGTCGATTCGAGACTTTCCTGGCGCTTAGCAGCGTGGCTTTCGGCGTGAGTGCTGCTCAACGGCGGTGTAGCGTACGCAGAGCCTACAGGGGAGGGAGACAATTGGCGAGACGGCGATGGGCTGACGCTGCCGCGACTCATAGCGTCGACAGGAGCGAGTCCGCCCTTGCTCGTCGACGACGAGTCTGCTGTGCCGTAGCTCGTGGCCTTGCTGGAATATGAATGACTCGCATCGGCGGCACCACTGTTGAGGGCCGAGTGCGTGGTAGCACGCGTAAGATGTGAAGCATCAGAGGGCTGAGCGCTGCTGTATGATACGCCGCTGTCTATTGATCCATCTGCCGTGGAAATCGATGGTATCTGGCCGGATAGGGAGCTCGTTGATCGGCCTGCGTCCGGCTGATGAGCACCCAGAAGAGGTCCAGTGGCTGAAGGCCGCCCTGTCAGTGGATTGACGAGGTTCTTGTTTGCTCCAGAGCGCAGCGTCGCCAAGTCGAACTCGGGCTCGCCATCTGCTGGGACTGGTGAACGATCCTTGAAGTCGTCCGAGCTGATGCCCTGCGCGAGACTGAGCTCATTGCGCTCTCCCTTCTTCTTCAGCGCCTTTGCCAGCTTGTTGGACTGCGTACCACCCTCGTGCTGCGAGGTTGTCTCGCCGCTGCCGCCGATGCCGAGCCCCTTCAACACCTTGCTGACTGACTTTGTTCTCGGGCGCGGTTTGCCTGGCGTGCCTGGACCGGAAACGGTAGAGGTCGTCGAGTACACTGAGTCAGAGGGGCGACGACTGTTGTATGGGATCGGAGGAATCGGAGGGTGCGCACTCTGACTTGCGGTCAGGTTGGACGAGGCGGTGGGTGTTGTAGGCATGGAAACGACCGAAGGTAGTGACCCCTGTGAGGGATGGCTGACGAGCGCTTCATCACGAGCTGGGATGCCGCCGCCGCTGCCGCTACTGCTGGAGTGCTCAAGTGGGTGGCGAGGACGCGAAGAGGTTGCGGCGCTCTGCTGACTGAGCTGCCTCTGTCGGTACGCGGGGCTGTCGCTGCCTTCGGGCGATGGCCGCCGTGTGTCGCCGCTGGGTCTTCTGAGGTTGACGCCGAGGCCGAGTCCTCTTCGAGCGTCAGTAGCCTCTCGCTCACGCACGTCCAGCGACCCGCGTGTCAGCTTCGCCCAAGCTGATTGAGGTTGGGGAGAAGCAGGCATCGGAGATGACCTGTATGACGCCGCCTCGGATTCATCGTCCCCCTGCATCTCCCACGGTGCAGGCTCGTGTTTGCGGACCTTGGGTCCAAGGTGAGAGATGTGTCGCTCCAGAGCGGCATTACTGTCGTCACGACGTGCCTGCTCTTCGCCAAGCTGCTCTCTCGCGTCGTCGTCCTCGTCCTCGTAACCGGATGCCCTGATCTTACGCTCTTCGTCCTCTGCTGCCCCGTCGTACGAGAGGACCGGCGACCGCTTCGATCTGCCCTTGCGTTGTGCGCTCAATTTGCCAGGCTTGCCATTCGGGATGGCAGGCAGCGCGCGAGTGGGGGCAGTGCAGCGCGATGATGTCGAGGCGAATCTGCTTTCGTCTGCGTCTGGATTAGGTGTATTGAATGCGGAGCGCAAGTCTTCACCCTCGTCGGGCCGACCAAAGGGCCCGTCGTCGTCGCCAAATAAGGGTGGCGAGGCGGTGACGCCTTCGTTGCGGAAGTGTTGGAAAGCAGCGCTCGAGGTGGGAATGGGAGGGACGATGTTGGCATTGTTGCCGCCCTTTTTCTTTGTGCTACCGCGAGCAGGGCTCTGGCCATTCTGCGTCGTCGGAAAGTCCTTGGACGTGGGCGACAAGGCGCCTTGTCCTGCCCAGATGCTGCTGCCTACTGATCCTGTACGGTTGTGGCCGTACGTGACATCGTTGGCCTCGACATCGTCATCTCCTTCTCCCTCCCCATCGTACCGTGTCATCATCGAGTACTTGCTCATGCGATCGGCAGCCTGGCGTTGGAACTCGCTCTCGTCCCACGCTGTATCGATGCTGCGCTTCCCTCCTTGTCCCAATGATGGCGTAGTGAATGCAGCCCCATCGTGGTCCCCATCGCCCTCATCCCCGTCTCCTGCTGGGAAGTCGTCCTGCACGTCACGAAATTGATCCTCGGACGCGGACGAAGCTGATGAACCTTTGCGATGGAGGCGGGCCTCGGTCTCGCGAGCTGCTAGGGCTTGAGCAAGTCGCTCGTTCTTGGACGGCGTCGAGGACATGCCGCCGCTTTGATGGCGATACTGTGGTGGATTATGTGGCATCGTCGTCTCGTGGCGGCGAGCAGCCACAGACATGCCCGGGCGAATGGCGATTGAGATGGCTAGGTGTGAAGGTGTTAACGAATGAGCAGCGACGGGGAGCGGCCGCGGCTTGGGCGTGGAGCGGAAATGGGGAGATGAGTGATTTGAGGAGGATGAGGGCTCACAGGAGCGGACAGGTGATGGCGTGCAAGGGGCTCGCGAGGAAATTGTGCTTCGCTATGTGGGTATCAAGATGTAGGAGCTCGCGCGCACCCACGCTGATCGCTCGTTGTACAGTAGTTGGTTGGTGGTGGTGATGTGGTGATGAGCAAGGGGGTCGAGGCCGGCGGGCGCGAGGGGGTCCGTGGGTCGCAGCCACGACTCTGCAGCCGTGCGCGGAAGGCGCGATTCCCCCCCTCGCCCCGCCATCTTTTGGCCCTCTGTTGCCCTGCTTGCGAGCCACCACGACGATCCAAAAGCGAGCGAGGCGAGCAAGGCGAGCAAGAAAGCGTCGTCTTTCCCGCGGCGGGCCAGCGGCTGACATGCGCCGCCTCACGCCTCACACACTCGACAACCCCCTTTACCCGCTCGCCGCGTCTGCTCGCGCGCGGCTATTTTGGAGCCGTCCCATGGCGCTAAGGTCGCCAGTCGTTGAGCGGGTGTGCGAGGTAACGCCCGATCGCCTCCGCCGTTAACGAGCCAAGGGCTCCAAGGGCGATTCTTCTCGGCATAGATTGGCGTCGTGAGGATCTGAAAGTCCGAGCGCCAACGCTCACCGCTGTTTTCGATTGGCCCGTCAACGGGACGCTTCGCACGAGGGTCCACTATCGCAGAGGAGGATCAGTGAGCAGAGGGCATATCCGGTGCGATATCGTGTCGCGGGATCATTTGCAGGCACGCGTAGCTTCATGGCGATTGTGAGCAAAAGACTGAGCTTACTGAGTGATCGACTGAGGTAGCAGTAGGGCGCATTCCAGGCCCGCACCGGAAGACTTCCCGCCATTTCATCAATCTCGTCCCGTGGTGAGCTGAGGCGAACAAGCGATGGTTATTGCTCACCAGCCTACGACGCGTGCGCCAGGTGGATGACATGGCGTGGCAGCAGGAGGGTGCAGCGCGATGTAACGACTGAGATTACGGGTGGCAATGTCGTCATGATGATGTGGCGTGCTGCGGCACCGAGCCGACAGAGAAGAGAGGGGCAGCGGGTGAGGGCTTGATTCGAGGGTAGAGCATGAGTCTCTGCACCTTTGCACGCGCTCGTACTGATAGCCTGATGGTAGCGCATACTTGCGTGATCGCAGCAAATGCTGCTCCCCGAGCTCCGTTGCGACCAGCACAGATGCCATCGAGGAGCCCTTTCGTGCACTGTTGGTGGAATCGAATGTCAAGCAGGCAGGTTGCATCGCGGCTCACATGGGACTGCGACGCGCCTATCGTCGCGACTGGACGAGCAGGATGATGATGTCGACGAGCACTCTGAAGCTGGGCGGGTGTCTCGGTGATGAGTTCGGCGTGACGAGTGTGACGAGTCTGCTGTCAGCAAGAGATGGGATACGGAAGCAAAGACGAAGCATGTCGCTTTCATGCCGCCCAGCCAAGTGGACAACCATGCTGCAGTGTTTGTTACAAGATAGAAGGCCATTTCGGAGGCGCACAGCTGGGACATCGTCAGCTGAGCGCCCTCTCTCGAACACACGACACTACCTCGCCATCCTGGTTTGGGGCAGCGACGGGCATGAAGAGGTGCTGAACGTCTGCCGGCTGAACCGGCGCGATGACACGTCGCCGCTCGGACCCAGTCGCGGCAATATGATGCTCGCAGTCTGCCGCAAGGCATTTCGTGGCGGCGCCGATGCTCATTCGAATTCCTTTGTGGGCGGTGCAGCTCAAGGCGAGATGCAGTTGAATTCCGCAGCGTATGTCACGGTGAGGCGGCGAGACGGGCTGCGTCGTGTAGCTTGGTGACCACGTGTTTGGTCGTGCACGGACGTCGATGGGCGGAAGAGAGGGATGCGGGGCTGGCGAGAACAAAGCTCATCTCGACCCACCCCGACCTAATCAACCTCGCGCCCTCCTTGGACAATGTCTCATCTCCTCGTCTGTCCTTCTCTCTCGCCTCTCTCCCTCGCCAACATCATCATCTCATCACCACTACCATCGCATCCACCTCGTACCCCAGACCGCACCCAACAACACACCCAAAATCAGCCCTTCAGCTTGTGCTTAGCACCTCCACCACCCAAGATACCAGGTACACGTCTCGTCGACGACTGAGCAGCGCCGCTACGGTCAACGCGTCGGTCGACAACGCTTGCAGCAGCCTCTGCGCCGCCAAGTACGACCTCAAGACCATCCTCGAGGACAAGGACTACCAGCACCCGTAGCACAAGCCGACCCAACCTCGCACAAGCGCACGCAGACGCGCACGTTATACTCCGTTCACCACGGCTGCTGGCGGGCAGCCCTTTGGATGAGTTCCTCGAGCAGCCTCCCCGGCCAAGACGGCGTCACCAAGTCAGTCTAGAAGATTGTCTCCAGAGCACAGCAGCAGCAGCGTCAAGCAAGCCACCCTTCCACAACCAAAAGCCTCGGCCACCGGCAAAGGACTTCTACCGCCCCGACCACCTACCCCGGTCAGCGACGCGCAAGAGCCCTCCCCGCCAACTCTTCAACTCGGCACAAGTGCCTCTTCTCTTTGCTCACCTCACCGCCTCCTCATTCAATCGCTCGCTCATCGAGTGCGTCAACGTCGAGGCTTGACGAAGGCTTTAGGAGGCTGCCTGATCCAAGGCGCTACCGCAGCTACTCATTGTGCGGCCATCGGACGCTCAAAGCCATCCAATACCGTCGCAGACGACTCAGCTTCCGGTGCATCCGACGGCCTCGCCTCGTTCGCAAACCTGCTCACGGTCACCGACTCTGCCACCACCCTTACGGCGGCACCGCATCTCACCCAACCTTCGAAGTCAAGCAGGGTACCGACTAGTCAATTCTATGGTGAGGGACGACATGGCGCTCTTCACTAGCTCTATACCCAACCTGCAGACGCTATGAAGGCGCGCTGGCGAGGGCGCGGGTCCTCCCAAACCCAATGTCTAGGTCTGCCATTTTCCCCTCGCGGCGCAACGAAAGGCCAAATCGGCTATCCTTCTCGTTCTCACACAGGAGACGTACAAGCAACATGCCCAGTTCACCTGGCGTTGCCGTACCGCTACCTCGTCCTTTACCCCCAGCGCGAACGACAAGGCTAACGAGGCAAGCACCAGTAGCGGTATCGCCTCTGGCGCCGATGCTAGCTCATCACATCCGCCAACGTCCAAGGCATATGTCATGGCGAGCACTTGACTCTTCACAACGGTGGTCACGGCTTGAAGACGTAACTTCGCGCCCATCTGACCCTTGTGCAAGCCGACGAGGAGACAGAGAATTGGCAAAGAGTAGCCTTGGCGTACAACGACCTTTACGTCGGTACGCAGAAGGTGATTGTTGTCAGCCCTCACGAGTAGCACAAACGCCTCTAGGATCCTTCTCCCCCATCTGCCCGCAATGGCTTCGTCAAGACTCTCATATGCTGAAGGAGGTCGATGGCGACCCTGAGCTTTGGCTTCGAGCCGTCTTCGCATACCTCGACCTGATCAGTGGGACCCAGATAGTGCTGGGCGTGGGCCCTCACCGCTGGCACGAGCATCTGTACAGGCTATCCGAGTCCTCTGGCTACGGAGACTGGGCCCGGACTCCTTTCTGGCAAGCCGTGACGGACGGCTTCTCTGGAGCGACGGCTGTCGCAGGCCGGCTCCTTGCGCAGCTCGAGGCCGATCCTCGGGCCGTCAACAAGCTGGTCTGGTGGAAGAAGGTGCAGGCGGCTGCTCTCAATGCTGGCTGCACTACGCCAGCATCACTCGGCAAGAGCGAGCTCGCAGAGCGTCTGGCGACATTGGAGATGGGTGAAGAAGGGGTGGGGTGTGTGCACCTTGGCGTCGGCTTCCGAGGGGAGCGTCTGAGCCTAGACTATACGGGACGCACAAATGACGAGATGCGCCGCAGCATTCAGCATCTCTTCGGCATCTCTAAAGGCCAAGACTCAACCACATTGTTCTACCAGGAAGGAGCCAAGTGCGACGAGGTTTTCATCTTCCCGCTGCTGGAGCATCGCGTCGACGCCAAAGGCGCCCGCTCTGTTCTTTGCCGAGCTGTCATGGAGGGAGTCTGGTGCTTGCTTCTAGGGTCGAACGTGCGCAGGGAGAGCCTCAACAGCTACCGCTGCGACTATGGCCTTCCCAATCTCGGAGACGAGGTCTTCGGCTGCAATGGTGAGTCGTGTGTCTTCGTGCTTGCGCCCACTCTGCATTCTACTGAAATGACCGCCCTTGCGAGCTCAGCGACCGTCTGCTTTGAGGTGCCCGAGGCCGAGGAGGGGGATGACGAGGCCGCCATGCAGGTACAAAATCCAACGTACCGCAGGGCTCTGCGCCGCGTTAGGCTGCAGGAGGACTGCTTGGACACGCTCACGGGGCACAGAGACCAGGCCGCGGTGGAGAGGCAGGAGGTCCGGGTGACAGAGGCGCGCAGCACCTTCTACGAGGTATACAAGCAGCTGATGCGCTCAAGGATGCTACTCTTCAAGCCTAAGCTCAACGACAACAACGAGCATGGAGCTCCGTGGCTAGGCTTGAAAATGCCCAAGGCCTTCATTGCGGAGATGCAGGGCATCACTGGCGGTGAGAAGTTCTTTTTGGGTGTAGAGGTCGGGGAGGACAGCTCGGTCGGCTCAGCGAGCGAAGAAGACCGCCGCTTCTTCAAAAATGTGATGGTCACGGGTAGGTCCACCGACCCTGCCGAGACCAGGTCGGTCGTTTGGCGCAACGACAGCTGGCCCCTGTCGAAAAGCCGCCCGAGACTTCTTCACCCGCGCTGTCGACGCCCTCGATGATGCAGCGCTGCGCCATGCCGCTCGCGAGCAGGCGCGCCAGGAAATCGTAGCCCGAAGACCGCAAGGCTACGAGAAGGTCAGCATTCTGGCGAGGAAGGGGTTCGATGGTCGATTCTGGCTCACCAGCAGCTTACAAATCGAGCTCGAGAATGGCATGCGAAAGGTCACGCTGGGCAGAGGTGCAACAAGGAATGGGTCCAGGCAGCGAGCTTCCGACTCGCCAATCCAGATTGCCAAGAGCAGAAGTCTATGAGCATCTACCAGTGATCCGCTTTGCCTCGAGTATTACGGTCCTCGACCGGCATTTCTTGGCCGAAGAGCGAACGAGAGTCTACCCTTGGATCCTGACGGTGGCTGCGCTCGCAATCGAGGGACCCATGCAGGATGAATGGAAGAGCTTGCACGACTCTGGAGCAAATGGCCGGCCCCATGTTGCGGCCGGTGGGCGTCACTCACTTTCAAGCACGTCGGCAAGCCGAAAGAGATCATCCGCGTACAGGGGCGGAGGGGGCCTGTGCTCAGCATATTGACGGCATACGTTGTGGCGGTGCTACTCGAGATTAGAGGCGGCTGTTGCTCCGCAATTTGCGCCACGGCGAGACGGTATCGCTGCGCAGCGCGGCTGATGTGTAGCTTTGTGATCACATTGCGTACCTGAAAATTGTCCCGCAGGGCTAAGAGGTCCGATGTTCTTCGAAGGTTGAAGCAAACTTCATCACCCCATCATGACTCGACCGCTGAGCACCCAATGTCGAACACCTCATAAAGGCGGCTATCGCCCCTCCCCCTCTCCCTCTCCCCAACCCCTCTCCCCAACCCCAACGTACCCACCGTCAACGTACCCAGCCTCAACGAGCAAGACTGCACCCACCGCGCACCCAAGACCATCCCGTCAGCCTCTACCTGTCACTTCGTGTCTCCACGTACCCTCCGCGACTGAGCACCACCACCAGCGTCGGCTGGCTCTCGTCGCACGCTCTCGAGCACCAGCACCAGCACCAGCACCAGCACCACTACTAGCCCGTCTCGCCTCGCACGCGCGCACACACACAGGCACTCGCAAGCCACTATCCACTGCTTGCGGGCACAAGCCCGCTTCGAGCCTCGTCACCACTCATCACGGTGGCATACATCCAGTCTAGAAGATTGTCTCCAGAGCACAGCGCTATCAGCCCCAAGCTGCCCTCGCCCTCGTTCAACAGACGGCAAGCGTCTCTTGTAGCCACGCAGCTCCTCTCATCGCCGTTGCCTCACGCTCACGTCAACAGTGCCCAAGCACCCACCTCTAACGAGCGCTCAAGGAAGTTTCTCGCCTACACCGCCACCGCAGCTGCTCGTCGCGCTCTCATCAGTCCTACGGTCAAGCAACAGGCACTCCTTTTACCGAAGGTCAAGGCTCGTGCATCCCAATGACACGCCCTGTTCAGTGCAGCGTATGCGAGGAATGGTTCCCAAAGTGAGTACCTCTAGTCTAGCCAACGTGGAGCTGCTCTAACACATTTGCCCTGGTACTCGTCCGCGCAGCGTAGCAGTGCTGACAGATCACAAGTACGAGGAGCACCCTGCGCAATTTCCTGTCATGAACGTGCTCATGATCATTTGTCCGCACGAAAGCTCGTCGCGCTGGACTTACCATTCTCCTCGCACCTCTCTTCTCTTCGTAGCCTTAGAATGCGAGGAGGCGCCCCGACCTCTCGGTGCGGTATTGGAGGTTGGTGAGTACCTTCACGTGACGTTGCCGAGCTAGCGATTGACCTAGTAGTCCTCTCCTCCGCTCTGGTCGTATCCAGTGAGAGACGATTTCCTAGTCCAGAGCTCCTCGTACGCCACCAGCTAGCTATACACGGCAGAGTGACTGAACAGGCGCTTGAGGAGGAATCAAGGTCAGCAGCAGCGTCAAGCTCATCTCAAACAGCGGCTACTGATGACAATACTGGCACGTCGGCAAACGCAAGCGACGTGATGGATGGTGAGGATCAGGAGGCCGAGAGCAAGAAAGGGGGGAGCTAGGAGGGCGAGCCGGGCTTGGAAGGGGAGGGAGAATTGTTCGAGAATGGAGAGCTTGTCATCGCCGCCGTCGAACGACAAGGAAAATCCGGCACGACTATCCGACGCTCCCATACGCTCTTCATCCACCGTGTGGCCACTTCAGTCTCGCCTTGTCGACAGCACTCTGCCTCGAGGCAGCGCCCTCCTCACCTACGTGACAGATGACACCCCGCACTGGACCAGAATCGCATGTGCGTACATAGACTACATCACTCAAGCGCAGAAGGGATTCGGGCGGAAAACCGCTCCCTTGGCAGAAGGAGCTGGTGGTGCGGCCGGCAGTTGCCGAGGAGGACGCGTGGAGGACAATGGGCATCTGGCGAGCCATGCAGGGAGGTCTGGGTGACGCCACGAAGGCTGAGCTGAACATCCTCGAGCAGCTGGACGGCGATGACCAAACTCTGCGCAGGGAGAGTTGGTGGGAGGATATGAGGGGACTAGCGGCCAACGCCTATCTCGACAAGCCGATGTGGACGAGGGGAGCAGACTTCGAAGAGGGCTTGGCTAAGGTCAAGACTGCCGACGCGAGGATCGGCTGCGTCTACTTGATCGTCGGCTTCAAGGACGGCCGCCTCGCCCTCACCTACGTCGGTCGCACCGGGGACAAGTTCGCACGCATCGGATCGTACCCCTGCGCGATGTCTTTGGTAGCACAGGGCATCAAGAAGAAGCCGGCTCTGGTGTACGAGGAGCTCGCCCAGTGCGACCGCTGCCTCATTTTCCCACTTCTGAAGCACACCGAGGACTCCACCAGCGAGGGGAAGAGGACGACACGGGCAGTCGTGGAGGGCAAGTGGTGCAGTCAAGGGAGGGTCGGCGAACGATGGAGAAATCGGCGAGGCTACATGGTACAACAACACGTACCCACTGCCCCAACGCGCCGACAAATTTTTCACCGCCGCCGTCAATGCCCTCGCGAGCGCACCTGCCCGACACGCTGCGAGGGAGCTGAAGCGCCTCGAGATTGCGGCGCGACGTCGCGCTGGGTACAGGCTTCTCTCTCGGCTCGCTCAGATGGCCCTGGACGGCAACCTATGAATCGCAGGCAATGGCGTCATCCACTTCGAGGACGGACGCAGGGCCCTCAAGCTGGCTGAGCAGTGGAACGACGAGGAGCTGGAGGAGCTGCGCCGGGTCGCCAACATTCGAAAGGCTCGAGCGACACCAAACATACGTCAACTCATAGACGCAAACACTCGATACGGCCGACTGAGGCTCTCAGATTCGCGCTTTCTTCCACCCAAACCTCTCCGCTACCATACCGATGTAGTGGACTCAACGCGCACATACGCAGCTATAGCAGATTGAATAGAAACTTTTTGCCTACGTCATTGTCATCTCCTGTCCGCACGGCCACATCGCATGCTACGACTTGTCCGAATGAGCCAGCGTGCGACTGCCCGCGTGCTGACGTGTTCTGATACGAGCGTCGGCATGGACGAGGACTTCGTCGTCCATGCTCGGCGCGAAAGATCAGAGTCGAGATTGGTGATGCCCTGCCAGCTTTCGCTCACTCCAGCAGGAGAAGGCGCGACTGGTCGGTGGTACGGCTATCCACACGCTCATGCATGGTTGCTGGCGATTTGCTCTCCTTGAGGTGGAGCTGTGCTGGGCGACCCGCCACTCGACAACTTCTCTCGTCGGTGGGGGATACGCGTCTCACACCGACCCTTGGCGCGCGTCTTTGACGCGTCCGCATCACGCTGAGACACGCGGACAGGCAAGCAGGCAAACTCTGATGGTGAAGGCATGGGCTTCGAATGGAATCAAGAGACGGCTAGTATTACAGATGGCGTCGCATGCGGCGCTGAAAGGATGGATAGAAGGACAAGGTGGTCGGGTGATACGCGTCGCGTAGAGGCGACGACTGGTACGAGAAGCTAGGACAAGGCGATGCGGGTCATGCACGCGCGCTTACTTGGAGCTCGAGTACTTGGTGACGGCCTTGGTGCCCTCAGAGATACCGTGCTTGGAGAGCTCACCGGGGAGGATGAGGCGGACGGCCGTCTGGATCTCGCGCGACGAGATGGTCGACTTCTTGTTGTACGACGCGAGCTTGGATGCCTCGGACGCGATGCGCTCGAAGATGTCCTGGACGAACGAGTTGAGAATGGCCATGGCCTTGGTAGAGATACCGGTGTCAGGGTGGACCTGCTTGAGGACGCGGTAGATGTAGGTCGAGTAGGTCTCCTTGCGCGTCTTCTTGGCCTTCTTCTTGTCGCCACCAGCAGCCTTCTTGGACTTGGAGGCGGTCTTCTTGGCGCCCTCAGAGGGAGCCTTGCCAGCCTGAGAGGCAGGAGCCTTGCCACCCTGCGAAGCGGGGGCCTTACCAGCAGCGGACATGGGCTTGGGTGCCTACGCAGAGAGATGAGGTGTGTGTGTGTCAGTGGAGATGCTCTGTGGCTCTCGTCGTTGCTGCGCGCGGGCTCGCTCACCATTGTGATGTGTAGTTTGGTGTTGGTGAGGGGGTGGGTGGTAGCGGTGTGCGTGCGTGTGAAGATGTGTGGTTGGGAAGGAAGGGACGATAGGTGAAGGACCAATTTCGGTCTTATAGTCGAACAACCCACGGGGGAGACACAACGCGAGGGCCTCCGACCGTCAGGGCAAATCCAAATCCCGTAATCAATTAGTCGCCAGGTACGCTCGTGGTCGGTCAACCCGTTTTTCCTGTACTTCGACGTGGTTCCTCCTCCTGTACTCTGGTTCTGGCTTACGCTCGCTGGCGCTGTGCTGTACTGCTGGTTGAAGATCACTTGAATTCGTTCACCATCATCATTTTTGTCGGGCAGCGCATCATCGCCGTGCGTGCGGATCAAGCTGTAATTGTGTGAACGCCGGCGCGGAACCAGACGCCCCTCGGGAAAGCCCAATCCAGACTGGTACTTAAGGAAATCCAACTTTAGCCCCTTCTTTCCTTCTCACCACGAACCACATCTTCACCGCACCTCACACCACCACCACCACCAAACTTCACAACCAACATGTCTGGCAAGGGAAAGGTGAGAACGAACGCTCACGATCGCCTTCCGCACCACGAGCTACCTCTGACCTCTGTACCTCTCCTGTGCGCAGGCTTCCTCCTCTGACTCCAAGTCGCAGTCTCGCTCCGGCAAGGCTGGTCTCCAGTTCCCCGTCGGCCGTATCCACCGCCACCTCAAGAGGGGCAACTACGCCCAGCGCATCGGTGCTGGTGCCCCCGTCTACCTCGCCGCCGTCCTCGAGTACCTGGCTGCCGAGATCCTCGAGCTTGCCGGTAACGCCGCTCGTGACAACAAGAAGACCCGTATCATTCCTCGTCACCTGCAGCTCGCCATCCGCAACGACGAGGAGCTCAACAAGCTCCTTGGTGGCGTGACCATCTCCCAGGGTGGTGTCCTCCCCGGCATTGCCTCGGAGCTCCTCCCCGCCAAGTCGGGCAAGAAGAAGGCCGCTGCCTCGCAGGACTAAGCGTCGAAGGTGCTTGCCTCTGGCTCGTATGTCGTACTCCGTCTCTGTTCGCTACCATCACCCCCGAGTCGACTCGATGTCCGCGCGTGCGCTCGCCGTCCTCGATATCACATTCATGTACCGCTTCTTCGCTCTACTATCCCTCTTCTTGTCACGCTCGCCATCGGGCCTGGCACTGTAATATTAGCACGTCTTCCATATCAGTTGCGGTGATGTCCCAGTCTGGTGTCGTGCAAGCCTGCCGTCGTACCTCGTTGTGATGGCGGTGCGCTCCCCGCGCGACGCGTCGCTCGCGTCCTCATCGCCCGCGTTCACGGCGCTACCAGCGGTGGTTGGTGGTTGGCGGCTCGCGGTAGCTAGGCGTGCTGGAGTCGCGCTCGTATTCACTGCCATACGGTGGCGATTGTGTGCAATGCATCGTCACTCCATCATTCGTGCAACTTGCGCCGCTCTATATGATCGCTCGCTCACGCCATTTTCCCGAGCTGATCTCGGACGGATAGCTGGCTGGTAACCGTGGCAGCAGGCCCTTTGCCTTCTCCAGAGGCAGGCGATACCAGACACAGGTAGGCGCCTCGGCGCTGGTGGTTCGAGTCTGACTGAGGTCTTTGCGCTCCACAACTGCCTCCGATGGTTGCACACACGTGAGCTGTCAGACGACGAGGCATACTTTTGATCCCGAGACGTGCGGCATGGCTGGCGCGTGGCGAGGTATGTGGGCGTGAGCCCGTAAGAAGTGGCCGTGTGCGAGGTGCAAGCAGGCGGTGGTCGTGTAGGGGAGAAGGCCACGCTGTCAGCGTAGTGTAGGCTAGGATTCCCGTCATGACTACAACGCAGCGTAGGCTAGGGCTCTTGACATGAACATAGGGCGGTTGCCGGGATGCAACGGAGTGACCATGCCGCTGTGATGTCAATCGAGGACGCCTGCTGTCTGCTCATAAGCACAGTTGAGCCGGGCAAGAGCATACTGATCAGGCCGCTCAGCTCTTCGGCCTCGCCGTTGCTCTGCGATCGCCCGTGCAGATACTTTGCTGCTCGTACGCTGGGAGAGCGCGACAGAGACCGCGTCGGTACGACTGGTCGTCCGCAATGCAGCGCCACGGTCGCGACCTACTGGTCAGGGTGTCGCGGGCCTGATACGTGAAATGCAGCTGGGAGACAGACATTGCTGCCCTCATAGGTGTCCCCCACGTCGAACAGACGGGACTCGACAGTACGATGGTGTCCGAGTCATCTACACATCCACATCACGACATCGCGCCGTATGTCAGCGCTTCGAAGCAAGAGACCGAGCTATTGGTAGCGCCGGCTCGTAGAGTAGCTGCTGGTCATGCCCTGCCGCTCTGCACAGGCTAAGAAGTACTTGCATCCCGCTGATGAGGTCGGACTCGGTTTGCGTTGCATGCTTCTCGGGCTGGACCATTCTGACGCTCGCGATAATACGTTGCTATCAAGTCTGACGACGATCGCAGCCAATGGCCAGCTTTTGATCCCGCAGTGAAGCGACCTACGCGTCCGTGTGCCTCTATGCGCTCCCTCGTGTATCTGGGAGCATCTCGCACGCCTTTTGTGCTGCCATCCGATGCCTGCCTCGCCAGACTTCAACGTGTCGACTGGTGTTAAGCGCTCACCGCCACAACTATGCCTTTGTCGCGTTCGACCGAGCATCCAGCACGCCCTTAGATGGATCGTGCTGGACGACTGCAGGCGAGCATGATGTGTGATCCAGCTTTGCTCAACCGCAGAGGTGGATAGTGGCAACGCCGTGTCAGACCGCTTTGACTGCTCCCCCGTGCTCCGCCAGACGAATCCGATACTGCTCGACGAAGGCGACACCGGTCCTCGGTCAGTCCATCAAATGCTCATCACCATGCATGTCAGAGCATATTCACATCGCCGATGGCGTACATTTCTCGCTCGTCTCCTCGTTACCATCACCGCCGCAGGAGTCACGGTCATCCCCACTCTCGTCAATCGTAGCCGGGGCGACGGTCACTTCCACTTTCGGATCCGAGCACGTCTGCCCCTCGCACTAAATCTGCTCTTCCTGCTATCAGGCTTCACGCAAGGCCAAGGTTGCAGCGGGAGCAAGGACAAAAATTGCCCTTCTGCTCCATTTCACGATCGAGCACCGCACTCGCCCATCATCGTCATCGAGCGAGCAAGTCTGTCCGTGTGGCCGTCGGGCAGGGCGTTGTCACGCTTCCGTCGGTGGAGCGAACGAGCGAGCAGCGGGCAGTCTTCCGTGCATCGAGGCGGTACATCCGGCGGCGGCGACGACGACGACGGCGAAATCAAAGATGGACAGTCGAGTGCATGGACCGATCTTCATGCTCGATGGATCATTGATTCCTCGCACTGAATATGGGGACCACCTCGCGGAACGTCTGAACGTTCCACCGTCTGAGCATCGCCTTGAGAGTCGAAGAATCTCTCTTTATCTCGGGCGAGGGCCCATGCCACGGCCTCTGCTTTCGAAGAGCGATCCCAACACCGACAGAGGTCCCTGCGTAAGTGGTCGCGCTCGCGGCAGTGCTAACACAACCGGCGCCGCTACCAAGGTCGTCGCGCGCTGATCGCCATCCGCATCGCCGTACGCATCGCTCACCATAGACGTAGAGATGCGTCACGTCGAGCCGCAGGCCATGATGAAGCCATTCGGCATTGCGCGTAGACCGTGGAAAGGCCGAGGTTGTGGTCGCGGCACGGCAGAGCGACGGTAGACCCAGAGGTGCGGTTGCCGGCAACGGCGCGGATGAGGGGCCAAGGTGGCTGGCTAACGCGCACGTCGAGCCAAAGAGGTAGGGAGGCGCAGCATGCCAGTCGTCAGGTAGACGCATCTCTCGCGTCTGTCTAGCTCGCTTCTGCTCTCCTAAACGTCATACCAAACTCAACTGCTTCCTGCGCATTTGAACAACACGCGGATGACGACCGAGCTACCATCTCCGCCCCAGCTTTGCAGGCGTCGAGATCCGATCGTCGTTGGCCTCGACCCAGACCCTCACCCTCTCCTTGCTAGACTTGGAAGACCGCCGTGCTGTGTCTCGTGTTGGGCCGCTTCTCGCCCTTGGCCGAAAATAAGGCACTGCATCGTCGTCGTCGCTCGCTCATCGCCTGCCGCTCTGCTCTTTGCTGCCTGCCTGTTGATCGCGTCTGTATTCTAGCTCCGACAGTCCTCTTGCCGCCTTTTGGCTCGAACAGATCGTTGCCGTCCTCTCCTTGGCCTTGGCTTACGTCGACGACGGCTGCCTGCCTGCCATTCTTTCCGTTCTCAGTCGTACACAATCTTTTCCTCCTGACCATCACCACCACCACCCGCCACCTCCTCACCCGCCCATCTACGCCCCGCCCCATCACCCTAGACATGATGGCGCTCGGCCGTCAGTCATCGCGGGCAACTGCCCTCGTCGCCCTTGTCGGTGCTGCTACCATGGCTTCTGCCCAGTCAACGGGCAGCAGCAACCCGACCTCTGGAGGCTCCACCTCTACGGTGCTCCTCGCCCTCGCCATCAACGCGGCAATCGCAGCTGGAATGGTCACCGCCTTCATCATCCTGCGACCCAGGTTCCCCAAGGTGAGCAGCCCGCGAGCGTGACACCATCGCCGTTGTTTTTCTAACACCTGCTCACTTGCCTCACACCGCGTCCGCAGATCTATCGCCCAAAGTCGTTCCTTGGCCCCAAGGAGGAGCGAGTTGAGCCTCTCCCCGACAGCCTCTTCGGTTGGATCATGCCCTTCTACAAGCGACCTAGCAAGGCCATCATCGAGTCCAACGGTCTCGACGCCTACATGTTTGTCAACTACATCGAGATGATGATCTGGATCCTCGGTCCCATCTTCATCTTCACCTGGATCCTCTTGCTCCCCGTCTACGCCGCCAGCACCAGCGGAGACAAGACTGGCTTCCAGCTCCTCACCTTCGGTCAAGTCGGTAACGGTCCCACCGAGCAGAAGCGCTATGTCGCTCCCCTCCTCGCCCAATGGGTCATTACCTTCTGGATCTGCTGGATTGTCCGCAAGTATGTCCTCAACTTCATCAAGCTGCGACAGGACTTCATCGTCAGCCCTCGACATGCCAGCACCGCACAGGCCCGCACTCTCCTCATTACCGGAATCCCCAACGACTTCCTCGGTGAGCAGAAGCTCAAGGAGCTCTACAGCCACATGCCCGGCGGTGTTGAGCGAGTCTGGCTCAACCGTGACCTCAAGGAGCTGCCCGACATCTTCGATGAGCGCACAAAGGCTCTCAACAAGCTCGAGGCCACCGAGTCCAAGATCATCAAGACGGCATACAAGAAGGTCAAGAAGAACAAGGTCGCAGAGGGTGGCATGGAGGCGGACGACGCCGTTGACCGCTACCTGACCAAGAAGGAGCGTCCCACGATGAAGGTTGGCGCCAAGCTCGGCTGTCTTGGCGGTCAAAAAGTTGACGCCGTTGAGCACTTGCGATCGGACATTGAGCGTCTCAACAAGGAGCTCGCCTCTCGCCGTGGCGACGAGACCGACTACACGCCTGCCAACGCCGCCTTCCTGCTCTTCCGTACTCAAGTCGGTTGCCACATGGCCAAGAACATGACCGTCCACCACGAGCCCTACAAGATGGCCCGTCGCTACATTGAGGCCCACCCCGACGCCGTCATCTGGCCCAACTTGAGCATGAACCCCTACGCTCAGAAGATCCGCACTGCCGCCTTCTGGGCTCTAACCTTCGTCTTCATTGGCGTTTGGCTGCCCTTGATTGCCTTCACCGCCATCGTGTCCAACCTCAACGGTCTGTGCACTGAGGTCCCTTTCCTCAGCTGGGTCTGCCTGATCCCCAAGCCAGCTCTCGGTATCATTCAGGGTTTCCTTCCCACGATTCTTCTGGCTGTCCTCAACATCTTGCTTCCCATCATTCTGCGCCTCTTTGCTCGTCTCTCCGGTCTTCCCACCCGCACCGAGGTCGAGCTGTCTCTGCAGCAGCGAATGACGTGGTTCAACTTGATCGACAACTTCCTCCTCTTCACCATCATCTCTGGTGTCTCGGGCGGTATCAGTCGGATTGTACCCATTCTGTCCAACCCATCCGGCCTTCCTAGCTTGATCTCGCAGTACATTCCTCTCGCGAACATCTTCTACATCTCCTTCATTATCCTTCAGGCCCTCTCTGGAGCTGGTGGTGGCTTGCTTCAGGTCGCCGGTCTCGTCATCTACTACATCAAGGCCTTCCTCCTTGGCAGCACCCCTCGCAAGGTCTGGCACATCCACCACGACGTTGGAGCACCTGCTTGGGGTACGCTCTTCCCGGCCATCACCCTCATCACCACCGTCACCTTTGGTTACGCTGTGCTCGCGCCTCTCATCAATGGCTTCGCTTTTGTTGCCTTCATCCTCTTCTTCATCCTCTACAAGTACACGGCAACGTACGTCTGGGACATGAAGCCGGCCAACGAAACGTCAGGTCTCTTCTTCATGCAGGCCATCAACGCCTCCATGGCCGGTCTCTACGTCTCACAGCTCATCCTCACGGTCCTTTTCTTCACTGCCCAGCAGAGAAACGCCGACGGCACCAGCAGCCAGTCGTCGATCCCAGAGGGTGTCTTCATGATCATTCTCATGGTCCTCACGGTCGCTTTCCACATTGTACTCTTCGACTCTGTTGGTGACCTTCCCACCGCTCTGCCCCTCACGCTCCTCCCTGCCGCCTCATCATCGTCATACAGCGACCATGCAACTGGCAGCCACGGAGCCTACGGCAACGATGGCTACTCTCCTAACGAGAAGCAACACGCCCTGCGCCAGAGCGAGTCGACCGCCTACGGTGGCTCCAATCCTGCCGCACCTGCCGTCCCCGCCACGGGCGTCAACGTCACCCACGGTGCTCGCCCTCCAGTCAATGGCAACGGCCAATACGGCAACGGCGGTGCCCCGACCAAGACCATGGGCAGCGAAGGCGGCGACGATGGAGCGTCTGAGGACACATTCCTCCACCCGGCCCTTCGCGACCCGCAGCGCACCGTCTGGCTGCCGCGCGACCGCTTTGGCCTGTCGGCGCACGCTGTCAACCGCGCTCGCGAGCACGGCATCGATGCCACGGATGAGGGGACGGGCTTCAATGAGAAGAACCGCATCGAGACGGATGTATACGTGCCGCCCGGCGAAAAGATGCTTTGAGCATGGCGTTGACGTCCGAGTACGCATCGCCTACGAGAGCGAGCCGTCTGACGGGAAAGGGACGGAGGCTAGCTACCCAGGGCGCGCTCTTGTGTCCAGTATTCCCAACTGCCTCCTCACCCCTGCTGCGTTCATCGTATCATGGATGCTCTCTCTCAAGACTTCTTGTTGCCCTGCAAAGCTTCGTCAACAACAATCCCCGCTCACCCCGCCGCCACCCCCATATCTATTACCACATCCCCTACCACTTTCTTCCAAGAATTGTCGCTAGCTACCGACTTGCTCTTTTGTCGCTCTTCTAACAATGATTACGATGACCAATTCCAATACTGCACTTCACTCGCCTTGACCTGATTGTCGCATGATGTTGGCTCTGGTGGAAGGAATGAGGTGAGGCCCGTCCCGTTCCGAATGCATCGAGTTGGCCGCTCTGTCCGCCCTCCGCCCTCCGCCCTGGCCTTTTCTGAAGTTACTGCTCTCTCATCGCCACCATTACCATTTGACGGTCACTCATCAGCATCCTTGAAGCTCTCGACAAAGGACACGACGATACCATAGATCGAGTATCGGCGCCTCGTAACGTGTTAGCTGGGCAAGACAGCATATAGCCACCCAAAGAGGCGGCCCAGCTCTCTGCCTCTCGCTCCTTCTTCCTCCTCTCACCCCGACTCTCGGCACATAGATACCTCGTCCTCGTTCTTTCGAAATGCAAGCAACACGACCCCTCCTCCTCCGCTCCACAGCGGCTGCGCGCCATCAGGCATCAAGTGGCGCAATGAGACCGACAGCGCCGCGGCTTATGGCGGCTACGCAGCCTCGGGAGTCAACGGCTATCTTGATTGTAGGAGCAGGACTTGTTGGAGCGTGAGTGTCACGAGTGTCCACAGAGTGGAATCATGGCGATGCGATGAGCAGGTCAGCGATCTCGTCGCGAGGCGACTAGGAAGGCAGAGTCATGCATCCAGACGTCAAAGCTGCCACCGAATCGGAATGCTCACGCCTTTCCCCCTCTCCCCTCCCCCCCGCCCCTCGCCTCATCAGCGGTATCGCAGCTCAGCTCCTCCGCCGGTCAGGCTCGAGTACCGACCCCACCGGTGGCAAGTGGGTCCGCGGAGGCTTCCAAGCCAAGATGGACCGCAAAGAGGCAGCACAGATCCTTGGTCTGAGGGAGACGGCCTTGACCCGCGCGAGGATCAAGGAGGCACACAGGCGGATGATGATTGCCAATCACCCGGATAGAGGAGGGGCACCTTACCTTGCTAGCAAGGTGAATGAGGCCAAGGATTTGCTCGATAGGGTGGTCAATAAGTAAGATGGGAGGAGTGGGAGCGAAGAGAGGGGGGAAAAAGGGAGGACGCGCGAGGAGACAGGGCACTGCGAAGGCCATTACCCATTGTACCACCATTGAGTAGCAACCGAAAGATAGCTTCACCATTGAGGCCGAAGATGTACGGCTATTACGGATCATTGTGGCATGCACACACAGTAGCGAGATGGCTGGGCGGACGGCGTATGAACGTAGAGTACACGAGGCAGCGCAGACCACCTCCACGCCTTGGATCAGTTTCTCCTTCTGGTACTCGCCCTTACCCTGCCGCCATCCCCTCCCTCATCATCACTGTCCCCCTCTCCCCGCTTCCTCCTCGTGCCTGCAGCCTTCCTCTCTCCTCCCCCATCTCCTGCATCGTCATCCTTGCCAGCCCGTCTCGAAGCCCTTGCCGCACTTCTGTCCTTCCTCTCCTCCGCAGCCGGGGCTGGGCTAGCAGAATGCTCTTCACGGCCCTTGCGACGCTCTTTGCGCTCTTCCCTGCGATCACGATCGCGTTCGCGGTGAGAATCATCTCGATCGGAGCGACGACGCCGTGATGAGCTTGAACCGGCTTCGTCTTCGTCGCTCCCTCTGTCGCGGCGCGACGAGGACGTCTTGGAGCTTCGACTTCTGCTTCCACTCCCACCGTCCTCCTCGTGCACAGACTCATGCCTTCCCTTGATACTAATTCCCACCTTGCCTTTGGCTGTCGATGTGGATGACGAGCCTCGTGTTGGGGAAGCAGGCTCCACACTCCTCAGCCTGCTAGGCTCGCGCGACCTCCCCGCAGCGCCGCCGCCACCACGGCGTTTAGCCCCAGTGTCATCCGGGTCGCGTGACTGACTGCGATCCGCAGTGGGTGCAGCGCCTCCTGCTCCTCCTCCATAATCAAGAGCGTCTGCACTCCCAGCTCCTGTGTCACGGTCATTGTACCTCTTCCCTGGATTGCGAGGGCCCGTCGGCACGTTGGGAGGAAGCGAGCGGTCCGCCGCCGGACCTGTTGGGAGGGGCTTGGCTGCGGCAGAAGGAGCAGGAGGAGGGCTTGCAGCGCCTCCTGCCGGGGCAGCACCTGAAGCTGAAGCAGCAGCAGCAGAAGCCGGACCAGTAGGCGGAGGACGCGGGGACGCTGCGGATGGTCCTGTAGGTGTGGGACGTCCTGCTCCTCGTCCCGCTCCGGAGGGACCCTTTGGCGCACCTGCTACTCCCATTCCACGCCCGCGCCCAGATGGACCTGAAGGGCCTGAAGGAGGGGCAGGGCCTGTTGGCAGCTGGTTGGGTGCAGACTGATGCCCCGCCATGGCATTCACGTCCAGCCCAGCCATGCCAAGGAAGGCTGCCATATCGCTCGACGCCATTCCAGCAGGGTTGGGCACGCCGAATTGCGAGGCTGGAGTTTCCTCAGAGTTGTCCTTGTCCTTATTCTCTTCCTTCACTGGTGCTGCAACGCCGTCTTTCTGCTCTTGTGTCTCGTTGGCATCGGACGCATCGTTTTCTCCTGTGCCGGCTACATTGTCGCCTTTGACTTCCGCCCCTGCAGCAGGCGTCGCGCTTCCTCGCTGACCTGGGCCGGAGGGAGCACCTGGAGGTGGGCCTGCGCGGCGTGGTTGTTGCTGCGGTGGTTGCTGGGAATTCATCGCCTGAGGCTGCATCTGCGGCATCTGGGGCTGCTGCTGGTTGATCATGCCCGGCCCTCCGTTGAAGGGAAAGCCACCTTGTCTCCCTCCTTGACCGGGGAACATGCCTCCATTCATCCCATTCATGCCGCCATTCATTCCCATTGGTCCGAAGCCGCCTTGCCCACCAAAAGGCCCCATCATCCCCTCCATTCCGGCGCCCATGCCTCCATTGGCCATCATCTGGCTCATGAACTGCATCTGCTGCTGCGGTGGCATCTGCGCCATCATCTGCGGATTGAAGCCGCCCATCCCTCCGGAGGGACCACCACCGCCATTGCTCATCATCTGCAGCATCATCATGGCATCGTGTCCCCCAACGCCTCCTGCACTGTTGCCATTCATTGCAGCCTGTTGCTGACCGCCCTGCTGCTGTTGGCTCTGCTGCTGCTGCATCTGCGTCTCTTCCCGGCCTTCGACGATCCCCCTCTGCTTCCTGCCATAATCGCGCCAGCTCATCTCATCGAAGCCATAGTTGAACCAATCGCTCATGTCCGCGCCTGGTCTTCTCCAGGGCTTCTCCGGGAGAGTCGTGGGATCGATGTGATAGATGGTCATCTGGTCACCATCGGCCGTTGTGCCAGGGACGGCTAGGACTTGCGGACGAGGGTTCAGGTCGATCTTCGGAGCCGTCGTGGCGGCATGAGGAGGTGGACCTTCCGGAAGGATGGGTGGTTGGGTTGGGGGAGGAGGGAGAGGTTGGTTGTTGGTGCTGCCCAAGGGGACGGCTGCTGCGGACGGAAGGACTTGGGGTTTCTGGTCTACAGGGTCCCCTCGCGAGCGTGGTGTGTATTCGGATGTGAAGGTGGACACGGGCACTGCGGAAGATAGCATATAGTCAGCCGATGTTCGCAGCGAGCCTTTCCGGGCGACTCACTTCTCGAAGCATTGTTCGTCTTTGTTGGTGTAGACGAGGCAGCCTGAATGGGCACTGGCTGTGGTTGACGTTGAGGCGGTGGAGGCTGCTGACCATCCATGGGCGTGTCCATGACGATCTCGAGATCCTGTAGAGGACAACGAAGAGGAAGGCGTGAGCGGGTTGCAAGTATGAGTAGTCGCGGCCATTGTAGCGTACGCACCGAGTCGCTATCCTCTTCCTCTTCTTCATCCTCCTCTTCTTCCTCTTCCTCGTCCTCATGGTCCTGACCATTCTGTCCAGCCCCTTCATTGTCGGGCGCCGTCATGTCCGCTACGGCTGGCTTTGCTGTCGCAGCTTCATTCTGCACTGGCTGAGCCGACGTTGCTGGGCCATCGTCACCGTACAGGAAAGCGTCGTCGTCATCCATTGCAGCGTAAGACTATCGAGCCAGTCCAGAGGAAGAATGGGAAAAGCGGGTTGAGCAGCTCCTCTCTGTTGGTGCAAGGGCGCGACAGGATCTTGAATGGACGAAAGCGAGGCGCCAACCAAAGTCGCGATGTCGCCCTCAGCCTCCGTCGGTCGAGCCGTGTGCGAGAGAAGCAGCTTACGTAATACACGCCTCGAATTAGTCGCGCTTCCTCTGTCCGCCGCCGCTACTTCTGTCCGCTCCACGCGTTGCCATTCACTCGAGAGTGATGAGCTCAGATGGCGAGGCGGCATCCCAAGCTCGAGAGGGGGCGAAGGACGAGGCAGGACCCTCATCAAGACTGGCCGCATCAGCAGACTACCATGGCAACTCTTCCCTCGCTCACCTTCTCCCGCCACCAGACTCGACCTCCTCCCCCTTCTGGGGTCTCCCTCCTGACCCCGGCGACAGCCAAGAGCACCTCGTCGACCCGCTGCTCAAGGCCAAGCTAGCCCACTTTCACGACTTGAAATCACGCGATCCACCGACGCACTTCAACGAGAGCTTGCTGGGCAATCGTTCCTTTCGCAACCCGCATATATACGATAAGCTCGTCGCCTTTGTGGGGATTGATGAGAGAGCTTGGGGAAGGGAGCGACATCCGCGAGATCAAGGCGAGAGGGGAAGGGGACTGCCATGGAAAGAGGAAGACACAAATCCGCAGGCAGACCTGCCCTCACGACTGGCTGAGGAGCAACGCCGCTATACTGAGGCTCGGCAAGCGCAGCAAAAGGGGAGGTCAAGGATCGATTTCGCTGAGGCTCGTCATGAAGATGCAGGGTCATCAGCTTCGACGCCGGACCGAGGTGGTGGCACCAGAGATCGGTCACAAAATTCTTCGTCGTCGTCAAGCACCGTCGCCTCAGCTGTAGAGCGAGCCAGGCAAGCGGCAAGGCGGGTCGAGCAGATTAGGAGCGGGGCTGCGTCCTCGAGACCCTCGTCCTCTTCCTCGTCGTCATCCTCGGATCGTCACAAGCGAGCGAGGGGAGACGAGGAACGTCACCAGATGCGACGCGACCGCAAGCATGAAGATCGGTGACGTCGCTCGATTCCATGATTACAGAGACGTCAGCCTCTCCAACACATGGCTCATCACAGGCAGACCCAATTGCTCCCTCATTATGTCCCTTCCTTCGAACGCAGCCCCCCATGAATTCTGATACCCATACCCACCGAAGCCATACGCTAGCACGACTTGCACATCCTCACCTTGGCCACCCGCCCTCGCGCTCATGTCCTTGCCGGCAGCCTGCACCACAGGCCCGCCCTTCCTTCCAGGTCTGAAGCCCACATTCACCGCCAAGATGTCCACATCTTCTCCCCTCGCCTGCCCACCAGCTGCTCGGCGCTTGTCCTCGCGTACGAGCCCAGGACAGATCGCCAACGCCCTCGCCAGGATCTCGCATGTCGTCTCCTCTCGCGGGCGAGGATCGTCATCCCCTACAAGACGCGTCCCGCCTACGATGTACTGGCCGCGCGAACGTGGGATGAGGTAGAGGTCTCGTTCCCCGCAAGAGTTGGTGCGCGAAAGAGCTGGCCAGCGCGGTCTGCTCGGTCCTGAACAGTCGTCGTCGTCACCGCGAAGCTCGAGCCACGGCGCGCTCACGAGGACTGTCTGTCCTCTTACTGGGAAATGATTCGCCCTGTCCTCCTTCATTTCAGAGAGTTCCGCCGTGCCCAGCCCCGTAGCGACGAAGACACCTTGCACCCTTGACCAGCCTGCTCGGCGCTTCCCTAATACGTCGCCATCGCAGATTTCCACAGCTTCTCGTATCGAGGTGACTGGAGAGGGAGCTCGTAGTAGTCTGCCTCCTTGCGCGATAAATTGCCGCTGGAGTGCCGGCAGGTAGCGGGGCACATCAAAGTCGAGCGTGTCAAAGTGGTGCGCTGCGTCGAAGGGAGGGGCCCTCCCCTCGGCAGACCAGGGTTGCGGGAGCTCTCGACTTTGTGCGTGATTAGGATACATCTCGAGTACCTCCTGCGCCCGCCTCTCAGCTTCTGTCGTGACAGGATTGGCAAAAAGTTCCGTCTGCCTCACCCATACCAGTGGGCCTTCAGCATCCTCTCCTTGTCCTGCAGGGCCCGCGAGCTTCTTGATGACATCGAACGTCTCTCTGTCCCACCTACACTCCCTCTCGTTCATCGCTGAAGAGACATGGTGCGCCCCAGCCCATGCAGAGGCGTAGTGTGCCGGCGAGGGCGGCGGTGCAGACGAGGTTGCGGAAGAGGACGGATCAGAGGGAAGGCAGGTTGAGAGGAGGGAGACGTCGCAGTCGCCCGCATCCTGCATGGTGAGGGCGAGGGACAGTCCAATCACCCCGCCGCCTATGACGAGGATATGCTTCCGTTCAGATGCCATCGCGGGTGAGCTTGAGTTTGTTGACTCGCTCGATGCAAGATCAAGAGCAAAAGCAGCTAACGCGCTGCATCGTCGCTCTCAAAGGCGCTGGTCTGTGCTTTGCTTCCGCCGGCGTCTCGCGACATTTTCTCCTTTCCCGTCTTTCTCTCCCATTTTCATCTGACTTCGTACCCTTCTTACTCACGCCTCACGCAATGGACGGTCCCTCCTCTTCTGATCTTATCAGTCGATTCGCCGACGTCCAGCGATCCCTCCAAGAAGCCAATGCTGAAGCATCACGCTACAAGTCCCTCTACGAGGATGCAGTCTCCCAGTCCGCTGCGTTGAGGAGGCGCGTAGATGAGCTGGAAGGGCGATTGGCACGATTGGGAGGTGAAGTCAGCGAGGGGACGGGGTTGAGCTTTGGCGGACCTTTCGCGACCAACGGTGACGGAGCAGGAGTGACCGGATCAGAGGGAGCAGCAGACATCAACCTGGGCCTAGCGGATCCGCAGCGTCAAGCTGTCCATGAGCAACAGCAGGTCCAGCAGATGAGGGCGATGCTGCAGGCTCATCGTGAACAGGAGCAAAGGGAGAGCGCGAACTCACTACCAGAGGTCAAAGAGCTTCCAACACACATCTTTTCAGATGAGGACCGCGCCGCTCTCGCTAATCATGTGGCCGAACTAGAAGGTCATGAGGGGGAGGAAGAGCAGACAAGGGAGCTGGATGAACCGTCTAGCAGTGCAGCAGCTTGGATTGACGCGGGGATGCCCGCCGAGGAGTATGCTGGGCTAGAGCAGCCAGATGGAACCGCTACCTATACCACTAGCGGGGTCCCGCGATCCGACGATGCGTCGCTTGACTTCGCCGAGTACGCAGACCTCTCACCACCCGCAAGCTAGATGGACACCAACATGCACCTGACATTGCAGCCATTCGATTGAAGCACGTCACTGCTCAAGGTGCCTCTTGACTCATCGTCTGCACCTCGACGGCGCCGCTCTTACCCCTGTCCAAGCCATCAAGCGTCTCCATCTGCTCCTTTGTCAACTCCCACCCACCCGCCAGCGCCTCAGCATTCTCCCTCTGTCTCCCCTCATTACTACTCTTCGGCAGTGGAACAAGCCCAGATTGGATGGACCACCGCAACATCACCTGTGCAACCGTCTTGCCTGCCGACTGAGCGACAGATTGGAGCGTTGGATCCGAGTCGTACTCTTGGCGAGCGAGGGGACAGTACGCTTGACAGACGATGCCCTGCGACTCGCAGTAGGAGCGGAGGGAGCGTTGCGCGAAGAAGGGGTGGCATTCGATCTGGAGTGGGTCGAAAAGTCATGATGACGTAGGAGGACCAATCAAAATCGGCAATGGGGATCAGCAGACCGTGCGATGTCATATGGAAGGGTACGACGCCTACTCACCTGGTTGCACACAGGCAGCACTCTCGGCTTGCTATCCAGCAGCTCCTTAATGTGATGCTCCCCGTAGTTGCTCACGCCTAGCCTCTTGACCTTGTGCGGCACCAGTTCACTCAACCCTTCCCAGGCCTCGAGCCTCGCCTTCTTTCCCCCATCCGGAGCATGAATGAGCACCAAGTCCCAATACTCCAATCCTGCCGCCTCCAGACTCCTCTCGATGGTCTTCGCAGCACTAGCGCCCTTACTGAATGTCTTGGTCGTAATGAACAACTCTTCTCTCCTACCGGACTCCCGGGCGTACTGCCCCACGTAGGACTCGTTGCGGTAGTATTGCGCCGTGTCGATGTGCTTGTACCCGATGGACTCGACAGCAGAACGAAGTGCGGTGACGGTCGAGGGGCCCGTCATTTCCCACGCTCCGATGCCAAAGCGGGGCATGGTGCTGCCGTCGATTAGTGGTAGCGTCGAGGCGAGAGTGAGCTTGGACCCTGCTGCCGGGGCAAATCGGGACATCGGCGTCGAGGAGCTCATGGTCGTTGTTGTGAAGTGTTGGTGGTACTGGGGAAGCGGAGGCAAGAGGATTGCGGTCGGGCTATGCTGTGTGAGAAGTCGAGGATAGTGACGACGAGAAGTAGCACAGCAGCGCGCTAGTAGCATGCGAAGGCGATAAGGGTGCGATCTGCGATGAGGGGGGCTGTGTTAGAGTGAAGTGAATCGTGGTCGAGGCGTCGTCTGGAGGAGCAACGAGCACCGCCGCCGCGGTCTGCGATGGCGGTGGAGGTAGGTCGTTTGGCCCGGGAGAGGAGCAGCGGCCACGAGATCTGGATCGAGGTGCATCGGGGCTTGCGCCAACGCGGGAATGGAAAGCGACTCGTTGATTGATCCTTGCAGTCGAGTCGTCGATCCTCGTATCAAGATGTGAAGAATACAAAAAGGGGCCCAACAGGGCCCTTGACCACCTGCTCGGTACCATCATTCACTCACATTATCGACCAGTCTCCGACCTGCTCACCCGATCAAGCAAAGACTCGATCCCGATGCCCATCATCGCCAGGAAGGACAAGGACGACTCACCACTCTCCGCGAAAGGGGTTGAGTTTACCCTCCTCAGCATCTTCCCAAGAAAGGGCGGTGGCTCGGCCAGAGCCGGCGGTAGCGTCCACTCCATCCCAAGCAGCAGCTCTGGTCGTTCAAGCTCGCACGGGGTCTACTCCGGCTCCTCTTCCTCACCAAGATTTATCCCGCCCGGCTCATCGGGGCGAAGTATCCCCTACGCAAGCCGAAGTAGTGTAGGCTATTGCTACGGCAATGGCTGTACTGCGGGCCGAGTTGGTAGCTACAATGCAGCTACCTCGGCCAATGCTGGTGTGCCCCGTGGACTTGTGCCCGCTCCGTTGGCTTTTCAGGGTAGGCCTCAGGGTGGCGTTGGGAGGTCCGATATCTATGGTACTGCACGATATGGGAGTGGCATCACTGGCGGCTACAGTCCCCGCCCATCGTACGCAGGGGGGACTACCGCTGGGTATGGCTTTCCTTTCGTGAGTGTGCGCGCGTGAAGAAGACTTGGTGAGACGCCTTGCTGACTTGCGCTCGACCGTGGCTTGACACACAGGTCTACTGGCCAGTGTCTTGGCCCGGTTATCCCGATGCAGGCTACTACGGAAGCGGTGCCTACAACAGAACGGACCGCCCTGGTGGTGCAATCTCGGTGCATGTCCTCGGGGTGCCGCCCGGTGTCAACCAGACGAGTAACAACTTCATGCTCTACGGGTGAGTGGAACAACTTCTTCCTTCCTCGCAGCTCATCGCCCTTCGCTGACTTCGCTCCGTCTCCTCGCGCACCCGTAGAGATGCCAACTCGAACACCGCGATCCTCAAGCACCTCGTACCCAATTGCAACGTGACCTGGAACTCCCAGCCCCTTTTCGGCGTCAATCCGAGGCAGGCAGTGCAGTATTACCGTGGCTCGAGCTATGTCCTTCTCCTGCAGGTGAGCCATCCTATCTCGCTCGCTACACCTCACCTTCTCCTCACCATACCGATACACTCCCTCCACTACGCGCTCAGGGCTACAACAACTCCCAGCCGGACAGCTATACGACGAACAACGCTACGGTCATCACCACCCCCGTCACTCCCTTGCCATCGACGGTCAACATGACATACTTCAATTGCCTCAACAGGACGCTAGGAATGGATCTACCCTTGCCGTATGAGGATTCCGCCGGTACCGTGGTCAAGAATGCCGCCCTCGGTATGGCTGGAGAACCGATGATGGCCTTGCAGACTGCCTGGGTGGCTATTCTGCTCGTGGTACTCGTGCAGCTGCTCGGTCGCTAGACTCGCCAAAGACGGTACATGTACATAATTTCGATCGGATCATATATCAATATACCTGGATTCGTAATGCCACGCAGTTGCAGTAGCGTGTGTAGGACCTGCTACGATGAGGCTGTGTAGAAGCGGGCGAGGACGCCAAGAGGTTGAGGCATCGGGCGCTGCCGCCGGGTGAGCGGGGGTGGAGGTCTGAGATGAAGGGCGCAATGCGGTGCGGCGAGATCTGACTGCATCGGGCTTCTGCGATAGACTAAGCTCCGCGCTTCACAGTCGATTCCATCGATTTATATTCCTCGACTCATCCAGCGTCATACCTCGCTGCGCCCTCTTCACTCAATCAGCCCATCTTTCGCATCAAATACACCATGATCATCGCGAACCACGTTCACGGCCGCGGCGACGGCTCCACCCTCTCCACGAACGGCTTCCACTTGCCACCCCTGAACTTCCTCCCTAGCGGCGGCGGCGGGCGAGGAGGTGGCGGCGTGAGTAGTTCGGGAGGATCGCGCGGAGGCTCTTCCTCCTCTGGTTCATCATCGTCTGGCTCCAGCAGCGGGTCCTCCAGTGGATATCGTCCACCAGGCTCTTCAGGCGGCTCCATCCCCTCGTCTTCTCGCTCGAGCGTAGGTACATCTTACGGGAACGGCTATACGGCTGGCTCGGTGGGCTCCTACTCGTCCGCGACAACAGCCAATGGCGTCTCGCGCGGCTTCACACCTGCTGGGTCGGCTTTCGCTGGCCGAGCGCAGGGAGGGCTAGGAAGAGGGGACATGTATGGATCGGGCAGGTACGGCAGTGGCTATGGTGGGGGCTACGCCTCTCGAGGAGCATTGGTCGGGGGCACCACGGCTGGATTTGGCTTCCCCTTTGTGAGTAGCCACCCCGCGCCCGCTGTAAGGCGGGACAACAGTGAGGCCCCCGCTACGATGGGACGCTTGCTGACCGAGCATCTTTGCCGCCGTCAGGTTTATTGGCCCCTGGCATATGGTGGCTATGGAGCAGGTGGCTACTACGGTAGCGGCGCGTATAATCGAACAGATCGGCCCGGGGGAAACATTACATCCTCTGTTTTGACCGTGCCCGCTGGTGTTGATCAGCAAAGCAACAATTTCATGCTCTACGGGTGAGTCGTGCGTGGACCAAAGCGAGTCGTTGGCTCGACGTATTCACACGCACCTGTGTTTCTTCGCCCCGCCCGCAGCGACTACAATTCAGTCGTTGTCGTCAAAAAGGAGCTCGCGACTGCATGCGGCGTAGGCGATCAAGATCAGACCAACTTCACCGTCAATCCCAACCAAGCCGTGCAGTACTATCGTGCTTCAAGCTTCGCACTGCTGCTTGATGTGCGTGTCCATCCGTGTTACTTTCTGTCTTTCGCCCAAGCGTCCCAGCACGCTGACCACTTTTGCACCGCCTCTTCGTCCTCTCGTCGCAGGGCTATAACAATTCTCAGCCCCTCGACGTACCTGCAGACAATGCCACGACAGTAGACGTTCCCCTCACTCCCTTGCCCTCGACGGTCAACACAACCTACTTCAACTGCCTCAACGCTACACTCGGCAAGAGCCTGCCCTTGCCCTACGAAGACTCCGCTGGCGCTGATGCTAGCGCGGCAAGCGCCATGATGGGGCACCCGATGATGGCGCTTCAATCAGCTTGGGCTGCGATGATCTTGGTCGTGCTGGTGCAGCTGCTCGGACGATAGCCGGATGCGCACGGCTGGTGACGAGGTCGCTTCGGGTCATGTACTAGATACCACACAATCATAATGACGTACGCCTCTGATGATGATCCTCTCCATCTTCGCTTGACTGGCGTGGAAGCGAGTACGAAGCGAAGGAGGTCAAGGTGTCGTTCCTGACGATGAGCACAGCCCACCGCGGGCGGATAGACGACGGGAATGCAGATGTGACGTCTGAAGCACGAAGGTGCAGCGGCGCGTCAGGGTCGGTTGCGTGAAGCCCCGCAGTTGATGGTCGAACCCGCTTTGATCCGGTCCCGCGTTCAACAAGATTCAGAGGCTGCTGAAATAAAGCTACTTGTCCCTTCCACAAGCTTGGGGCTAGCCATGACCACTCACATCTCAATCTGACCTCATTGACTGGTATGCCCATCATCAAAAAGGACAATGGCCCTCTCTTTACCGAGGGCTTCAATCTGCCACTTATCAACTGGCTGCCCAGCAGTGGCGGCGGTGGTGGTGGTGGCGGCGGTGGTCGAGGGGGAGGCAGCGTGAGCAGCGGATCGAGCAGTTCAGGCGGGTCACGCGGCGGATCTTCATCTGGCTCCTCATCGCGAGGCGGCAGCACGTCTAGCGGTAAGAGCGGTAGCGTAGGGTATCGTCCTCCCGGCTCATCGGGCGGGAGCATTCCTTCTTCTAGCCGGTCAACCGTCGGTACCTCCTATGGAAACGGATATACGGCTGGTACAGTAGGAATCTACGGCTCAGCGACGACAGCAAACGGTATCCCGCGCAGCGTCGTGCCACAATATTACAACTTCTCTGGTCGACCGATCGGGGGATTGGGAAGGGAAGGAATCTATGGGTCAGGGCGATACGGGTCTGGATATGGGGGAGGGTACTCATCAAGGGGACTACTCGCTGGAGGCACGACTAGGGGCTTTGGATTTCCATTCGTGAGTGAGGCGCGAGAGACAGGAACCATTATCAAAATAGAGCGACGCTCATGCTGCTCTGCTTCTTTGATCATGCGGTCATAGATCTACTGGCCTCTGACTTACCCTGGCTATGGCGATGCCGGGTATTATGGCAGTGGCGAGTACAACCAGACGGGTCGTCCCGGTGGGCGAATCAAGACATCTCTTCTCCTGGCGCCCGTCGACGTGGTTCAAGCGAGCAACAACTTCGTCCTCTATGGGTGAGTCGTATGTCCATTCCTCGACGTCGTTACTCGTTCATACTGACTCGCTTTATCAACCTCGGCCCTCGCCTACAGCGACGATAATTCCGTCGTGGTCGTCAGGAAGCATCTAGCCACCGCGTGCGGCACAAGTGATGCCGAGCCCAAATTCGCAGTTGATCCCAACCAGGCCGTGCAATACTACCGTGCTTCGAGCTTCGCGCTCCTCCTCGAGGTGCGTGACCGCTTCGTCCCTTCACCACATGATTCCGGCAAGGCCGCTGACCCACCATCTCCCTCTTCACTTCTCGGACACGTACAGGGCTACAACAACTCGCAGCCGCTCGACGCACCAGCGGACAATGCGACAGCGATCAACGTTCCGCTCACTCCGCTGCCCACCTCGGTGAACATGACTTATTTCAATTGCCTCAACAGCACTCTAGGCCAATACCTGCCCCTGCCATACGAGGGGGTGGATGGTTCTTATGTCACGAACACCGAGAATGCCGCAAGGCGAGTGGCTGGTGAGCCGATCTTGGCACTCCAGGCTGCCTGGGCGGCAATGCTGCTCGTGGTACTGATGCAGCTAGTGGGATGATAGGAGGACTTGTTGACGAATACTTGATACCAAAGATACCACGAAATCGCAATGTGATGATCTTATTGACGACGACAGACCGATTCTCTCGGCCTCGAACCTCACGGCCTGCACGCAAGGTCGACGCGCATCAGCGGATGGTCCGTCTTGATGCCCGGTCGCCAAAAGCTGACGCTGCTCGCCGAGAAGAGAGCAGACTTTGCGCTGCTGCAATCCTGGTCTTTGGCTGCGGGCGGGCGCACATAGGTGTGGTCGATGCGACTGAGAGCCGGGATGGCTGCGCTTGCTGATTCGACATCTTCGTGAGAATCGCTCTCTTCCTCCTCCGCCGCCAATGCTCCCACACCAGTCGGTCTCTTGCCAACGTACGGCTCCTCACCAGCAGCTGTACGTCTCAGCCTCAAACCCTTCCTATTCTTCCTTCTCCACCTCATATATTCCTCCTCTCCCTCTCCCTCCAGTCTCACGAGGCCTAGTCTCCGTGTCGACTCCTCGATGACCGCGAGCCGAGCCTTGGGATACCCCTTGACGACTATGGCTTCCTCTTCCTCTACCCGGTCGGGGTCCCGCTCGCCTGTCAGAATGGGTGCTTGAGGCTCGTAATAGACATTCGTGTCGCCTAGCAGGACATCAGCTCGGAGATGGTCCGGTGGGTTGACGAATGCGTCCAGCAGGTGGGCGCTGTCGATGGATTTGCCCATCGAAGGAGGAAGGTAGACGGCGTGGATCACGATTGGTGGCGGAGTGACACTTGTAGACGCGCTCGTGCTCGTCGAGTTTCGGGCAAGCGAGAACGTCAAAGAGTACGGCGTGATGCTGAGCACGACCACCCGACTCGCCACCTGCGGAGGGCAAAGTAGCATCATACCGCCATTGCAGCGTGGAATTGCCCCAGGATCTGCATCTTCCTTGTACGGAGTCGGCACTGCTGAAGCGAGGATCCAGCCGGCGTGGTCGGTGGTGAGAAGGCTATTCATCATCAGAGATCGAGGGCGCCAAGTCTCGGCAAGGATCATGATGTGGGAGAGAGAGGAGACTTGTGCTGTGATGGCAGAGGTTGCTGCGGTCCGAAAGGCTGAAAAGATGACGTGCCACTTCTCAGCATTGAGACTGTTGACGTTGAGGTAGGAGATCGTCAAGCTCTCGTGCTCCTCTTGTCGGAGAGGCGAGCGCATCAGAGCAGCTCGGAGCTGTTTCAGCTGCTCATCAGTCGAGAGAACCGGCAGCGGCTCTACGGGTGGAGGAGGGCCGCGAGATGCTCGAATGATGACTTTGCCCCGGATAGGCTTGGGGAGACCGGGTCGGCCGTGCATATTACGGAGATAACGACGCTGTGTTTGACTTTGAGGCTTGTAGGCGATGCGCTTGCTCGAACTCGAGCAGGACTTGACGGATTTCTTAGAGGACGTCGCTCTCTTACGTCTACGACGAGGCTCCGGCTCATCGTCTTCCACGTAGGCTTTGCGCTTCTGCGGTCGAAGTGAGGCAGGCGTAGCCTTCTTGCCCCGCGGCTGGCTGTGGGGGCGCGCTCGCTGTGGTGGCGGTGGTGGCTCGAAGGCAGGTATGGTGATGGAGAAAATTGTGCTCTCCGTTGGAGGCTCGAGGCTAGCCAGCAGCTGCATAGCATTGTTATCGTCGACAACAGTGTCAGGCGATGGGAGGTCAGTGTCTTGCCCATCAATGAACAGCTCGATGTCGCCTCCGGCCGCGTCATCTGCTGTCTCTTGCAGCGCTATCTGCTCCAGATCGACGTCCGGCACCAGCAGACCTGCCTGCAAGGCGGCCATTGCCTGAACATGGTTGCGCTGCGCTTGTCCAATCCGCGCATGGAACTTTTTGTTGACCTCGTTGCCATGCTCTGCCAGCGCTTCAATCGCCAGCTCGCAGCCCTTGAGCAGCGTCGCGGCCGTATCGCGTTGAAGTGTGGTGGTCGCCGTGCTGCTGGTGGCCCTGATATATGGCTCAAGAACATACTTGACGAAGTCGGCGCAGGACATCGAAAAGTTGCGCATGTCGAGACAATGCTGATGATCATAGCGACGATGGCGTTTAGCCGTCAAGGTTTTGCGACTAGGCTGGGACTTGCCCCAATTCTTGTACAAGACGCCTCGCTGCCGGCATTTTGGGCACGCCAGGCGGCTGCGATACTGCTTCATAAGACTGTCAACCCATTGCGTTATGGAGAGGTAGGTTGTGAAGTTGGGAACGGTGGGTAACAGCGAGGACGGCATGGTGATCCGCTGCCGCTATGTGCGAGGAGGGTGAGGGAGGGGAGCCAAGAGGGATTTTCCCTCCATCTGGTTGATAACACCATGGCTGATTGACACGTCGTGTCGCGTCGCGTCACTTCGATGACACGATCGCAAGTGCCTGACAGGGCTTGACGAGATTGCCGTCGAATAAAGTGATGAGTGATGGTGAGTGATGGATGGGAACCCGAGGAGGCTCTTCTCCCTGGCCCGTGCCCGCCTTGTCTGTCTGAGGGCGGACTGCAAGTTCCCCCTGAGCCGTCGACGATCCGAGCGAGGAAGCCATGCAGCAGACTCTTGCCGCCATCAGCACCAACTTCAAGATGACTTTCTCAACCGCTTTTGCCTGTCATTGCCATAAGCAGCATCACCGCCACCAGCAGCAGGCATGGTTATCCCTGCCGCTGCTGCCACTCGACCGCCTCGGCCGCCCAAGCCGAGTCACCTCTCCGTCGCCTTGACGGGCACCCTCAACTCCGAGGCTCTTAGGACATACATCCGTGCTCAGGCAACAGGCAGCAGTATTGCCGGCTTCTCAACCATCGGTACCAAGAGCACTCAGGGAAGCGACGACGATGACGAAGACGCCGACCAATGGATGACGGCTCGACCACCGCATACACCTATCAAGACGACGCCCCTTGAGTCCCTATTTGGCGATGATGGTGGCCAGCATCATCGCTCTTTCTCGTCCATTCCCACTGTCAAGGGGCGACCAGTACCCTCGGTTGCACTTGCAGAGGACGACGTCGCCGAAGACGATGCTTTAGCGTACGCTTCCATCCCCGAGGCGCCTCTTCATTCTAGAACGTCCACTGATGCAAGCTTTGCGACGATCAAGCCAGCATCGTCTTCCTCAGGACAGCAAAGGCCAGCACTACGCCCCGAGTCGCTGGTACCAGGAATGCTTCTAGCTTGGGATACAGGTACGACTTCGAATGGATCAAGCCCGCATGTGCATGAGCGCTCGAGAGCGCCTTCGGTACTCAGCGCTGGTGGTGACGAGGGCATGCGATTCTCACAGTGGGACATGCAGGGCCCGGCGGCGAACGGGAAGGCTGACGCTGTCAATCAGGAGCAAGAACAGGACAATGAGGTTCATGGGTCTATGCCCCCTGAATCGATGGCTGCTCAAGCGACTGAGGAGCCTCAACCAACGGAGGAGCAGCTTACAAGCAACAGCTCGGCCGAAACCACAAGCGAAATGCCCATCCAAGCTGAGCCTGTTCTAGCCGTGGCCAGCCCATCTGTCGATGCTCCAGCAGCCACGAGCTTCTATGAACTCCCTGATGCGCCAGCTCCCTCTACCTCGGCCAATCCCCTCCCTGCCGGGCGACCAGCACGAGCGCTGTTTGCCATCCAAGGGGAAGCAGCCTTTAACGAGCTGACTCTCTCTGCGGGTCAGACGTTCAACGTACTCAATGACGATCTGCAGGGCGGTTGGAGCTTGGCTGTCGTCCCTGACCAGACCACACCCGATGGATGGAGAAGAGGGCTCGTCCCAAATGGCTGGTATGCCTTTGAGCGAGAAATGCTGCCGCCGCCGGCAGTGGATGTTCAGGAGGCGGCCACTACGATCAGCTCGAAGGCTGAGCAGGGAGAGGAGGACCACAGCAGCTACCTTGCTGCACCATCAATCGCCGCGACTGCGCTCTATGCCGAGGGTCAGCTTCACTCGCCGACCGGTCAAGAGCAAGATCTCTCACCAGAAGCGCTCAGCGAACAGATGAGTGCCTCAAGACCTGCAGAGCGCTCTAGAGCGACGCTAGCTCTCAGCCAACTTGTGCCTCCACCATCAGACCATGGGAGGGTGCGCTCCTACGATGGCAGGTCAGACGACAGCGGCAGAGCGGGCTCGCTTCGCGGTATACCCAGCATGCCTGCCATCGATAGGCGCGGCGACGATCTCGATGACAACGACAGAGCGAGCTCATCCTCGCTACCATCCCGTCCAACCCCATCTCTCATCCAACCCTTCTCGCGCTCCTTCAACCGCTTCTCCCCCTTTGTCAGCAGCGGGGCAGAAGCCTACCTCCTCTCGCCAGACGACGTGGTCAACTATCATCACCATCAACACCGCGAGCAGCAGCGCTCCGGCTCCAGCTCAGACTCCTCCTCCTCTCCCTCGGTCCTACACTTGCGGCACGGCTCCTCTCCCTCTTCCCGCTCCTCTGAGATCGATCCGACCACAGCCGCAGTACGGTACGAAGTAGAGACTAGCCTACACGGCGAGCTCCGTTGGCGTGAAAAGGTCGCACGCTTTTGGGTAGAAGTGCACTCAGCGCACTACTTCAAGCCAAAAGCGAGGAGAAGAGGCTGGTTGATGGACAGCGAGGCAGAGGGATTTGTCGTATTTCAGGTCGCGACGAGATTCATCTCCGAGCGCGGCGGGGTCGAGCGTGAGAACGAGGAATACAGAGAGGCAGCTGCTCCGCCCCCGTCAGACCCCGAGTGGCCTTCAGAGGAGCCCGTGCAGGTTTTGACGGTATCCAGGCGGTTCCAACATTTCGTCTGGCTTGCTGCTCACCTCGCTGCTACCTATCCCATCGTGGCGTTGCCCCCTCTACCAGCCAAAAGCCGATCGAGACGCTTCGATCGAGGCTTTATCGAGGAGAGGCGCAAGGTGCTATCAACTTTCCTCGAGCGGGTGGCGCGACACCCGCTACTAAGGCAGGACGAGGCGATTGTCGCCTTCTTGACTTCGGGGGCTGTTGAAGAGAGTGGGGACGACGACGTCACGACAAGTACGAACGAGGAGTCTCTCTCCTCCTGGGAAGAGTGGGTCAAGGATCACGTCCAGCAGCAAGCCTTGACCAGCAGCGCCACGACGTCGGCGGTACCAGGCGCCGACCTCTTTGCTCGCTCTCTCCATCCCGAGTTCGCCATCGATGCAGAAGACGTCGAAGTCGAGTGGACGGCGGCGGAGAGATGGGCCAGCCTGGCAGAGGAAGGAGTAGCAAGCTCGCATCAGGATGCGCTGCTGGAGACGATGCGACGCTTCCGTAATGATGTGTCCCGGTTTTCGGAGGGGTACAGATCCCTCGGCCGAAGTCTGCTGAAGCTTACGACTCTCAGCGATGGCGATACCGCTGCGACCAGCAACAAGGGAATGCGCTCACCTAGGCGGCCATGCTGGTGCTGGCGGCCCGCTTGCACTTCTTGCTCAGTCCTCACGACCTGCCTTCAAAAAACCGCCGATGCCCTTCAAGACGTAGGGGCAATCCAGGACAATCAAGCACGCTCCTCCCTCCTTGCACTTCACGAGCGTCTCTGGTCCATCAGCCGTCCGCACGCTGTGCACGCCGACCTGTTTGACGTTGGGCGGGAGACGCTCAGCCGCTACGAGTTGGCACGCAACGCGGATGCCGCAGCCGCCCTGACGCAACATCAGAGGGCGGCAAGCAGCTCCAACAAAGCAGGCAGCACGGCAAAGCTACCGGTGGAGACGGCTGAGCTTCTCGCTTCCAAGGCAGAGACGGTTCTCAACGTCGCTATGGCGGAGCTGGAGTGCGTACATAGTGACAAGATCGAGGACTGGGCGAAAGTCGGGCGTGATGTGCTTGATAGCCAGATTGAGATGCATCGTGCCGCCTTGGAAAGGCTGGAAGCGGCCAGGGAGGAGTGGACGGACGAGGCTTGGCGAGAGAAGGCGGCCCAGGTCGAGAATGGCCAGATCAGAGAGGCGTCGCCCTACTTGGAGGATTTGAAGGCGGCAAGGGCTGCTCCGCCTGCCCCGCTTCCGCAGCCGACTGCGTCGATCCTGCCGCCGGGCGTGATCGAGCGTGGCATCCTCAGGCCGGTTGGGCTTGCAGGTGACTACGTGCTTTCGGTGATGGGCTTGGGCTCGCATGCGGCCGAGTTCAATGAGACGGGGTGAAAGACGAGGGGTGCGCGTGCGAGACTCTGGCGCCAGGGGACATGTCGGCGCTCATGTAAAGGGTAATGCGTCTGCGTTCCAATGTCTACAGCATGAGACGGGTATTGAGCAGTATAGAGGCGAGGAGCATCACGTGTCACACGCCCCATCAGAGCCCCCACTTCTCGACGGCATCATCTACGATGGGCCGAATGAGCTTTCTCCCACCATTCGCAACAGTGTGCGTCCACACCATCTGTCTCGGACCCAAGGTGGCTTTCCCATGCCACGGCTTGGCATTGAGGACGTCTGAGGACTCTATTGCCTCAGAGATGTGGGCGAAGAGAGAGTCGGCGAGTGATTCGGAGAGTCGGTGATCCGGGCGAGTGACGAGGATAATTTGACGCTCTTTGATCTTGCGCCCTTTGCGTTTCAGGGGAGAGATTACGTCTGCCTCGTCTAACTCGTCCTCGTCCTCGTCTTCATCCTCGTCCTCGTCGCCCAGCCACATCTCCTCGACCTCCTCGCCGTCCTTGCCCACGTAGCGCTTGAACGAGTTGAGGGCCACCGTGGCGTCTGCATGGATCTCGCTCGTCCAGTTGCGCTCGATTGCGAACCAGTTCTGGGTGGTCTGATTGGGAGTGATGCCGATTTGGTAGCTGAGTGAATAGGCTGAGAGAAGCGTAGAATTTAGTGAATGTTCGCACCTCCTCGTCAGGTGCGGCTGCTACTCACGAATCGAAGCAAAGCCCAAGTGAATGTCTGGCTTGTCCTCTGGCGTCTCGACGATGCCGCCTTTCCAGTCCCTGCGCAGAAGATCGCGCACATTGAGATGGTCTAGATCCTTCTTGGCATCCTTCAATACATCAGCAATGTCTTCCATCTTATCGTACATGCTCTCGTCCCTCCAAGCGGAACGCCTAAAGAGCCTCGAGGCGACGAACTTGTCCGTCGGCGTAGCCACCTTGCTCTGCAGCCCTTTCGAGTCGATGGCAATGGCAGAGAGGAGCAGTTCGAGAAGCTCATGCGGCAAGTGATACTCTCCTTCGGGCAAGTTCTCGACCTCATTGAGCATCTGACGGCCGACGAGCGTCGAGCAGCTAGCCGTGGGGAGGAAGATGCGCGGTGATGCATGTGGAGCGTAGTCTCGATCGACGTGGTGATCAAAGATGGAGAGAATCGTAGCATTCTCCCAGTCTGCGACGGGCTGAGGGTGGTCGACGAGGACGATGCCGCGAAGCAATGGTGCCAGTTCGGCCGCCGGTATGGGCAACTCATCGAAGGTGAGGAGGTCCTGGTGGCCTGGGCTCATCTTGACATTCTCCAGTGCCAGCTTGTTCTCTGGGCGCAAGTCGAGAGCATCTTCTGGTGTCTGAAGAAGACCAATTGCTGGCTTGGATGGGTCGACGTGCCCTAGATGGTAGGCCCAGGTGAAGGCCGACGCCATTGAATCAAGGTCGCCCCCTTCGTTGCCCATCACTAGAGTCCAATTGGCCGCATTGCCTTTGGCGATGTCTTCAAGAAAGTAGGCCTTGGTGGCTGCGGACCATTCTGAAAAGTGTCCGACGCCTGCTGGAATTGAGGATGAGGCAGAGGGTGAGGCGAGGAATGGGACTTGGTGAGTGGAAGCGGCGATGCTGAATGGCGACGAGGCCGCGACAGCGAGGGCGGCCAGGATGAGATGCTGCGTATACATGGCGGAGGAGAATGCGCGAAAAGAGGATGGTGCTTAGCTGAAGAATGAAGAGCCGCGATGATCCATGCCAGAGTCAAAGACGTCGATGTTGTGCCAGTGAGAAAAGGAGCGAGCGAGTGAAAGTCGCTATGGAGCAAGCGTGGGCCCCTGCATAGCCGGAGACTTGATTCAGAGGGCGGGCCATCGCCCGCCTTGGCAGCTGCCAGAGAAGAGCAACTGGCCGCGGCCAACGACGTCAACTTGGTCTCTCGACTCGTGAACCTCTCTCATTTTGAGACTTTGTCCGCCATAGCTGCAGCATTCGCATCAAGAAACGAGAAGATGCTTGCTCGCCAATTGAAAAGTGTTGGGATTGCCCCCCCTGCCTTGCAGACCGACCTTCTGTGGGCCGTCGTGTCATCAAGGATGCCAAATTTGTCGTGAGGCTTGCTTGCCTCTCTGCCTGCCTGGCTTGCTCTTGGACGGGATTCTTCGGCCCGCGAAAAGCGTGTCTTGCAGCGAAAGGCGGCGGCAGCGCCAAAGGCTCGCCATTGCCGCTCTCGTCTGCTGCCCCCACAACGATGGCGCGAGGCTTGAGGAAGCGCGGCTGCCGCTTCGCTGACGGATACGAGACCCAGAGAGGACAGACAGACAGACAGGACCAGAGAGAGAGAGAGGGAGAGAGAGAAGCGCACACCTCATTCGTCCTTGCTCTCTCAACTTGACTCTTCACTATCTCTTGGACATCGACATCGACGGCGCACCACTTTCCTTCATCCCTAGTCGGGGGCACAATTAGCCCCTCTGATCTCAGCGCGCTTCATTGCTCCCGGCGAGCCCGTCTTTGAGAGAGAGACCGCCTAGAGTCGCAGCAACAGCAGCAATATTGTTGCCGCTCTCAGTCGTTCCTGGCGCGCTGCTTGCACTCGCACCCGCACCCGTAGACCCTGAGCTGCGCCGCAATTCCCTCGTCTCTTAATCAACAATGCCTTCCTTGAGGAGCAGGAAGCCGGCTCACTCGTCATCACCTTCGTACGACAGTACCCAAACTATCAACGGCAACGGCAACGGCAGCGGCAGCAACTCGACGTTGTCGTCCTCACCCTCTTCATCATCATCATACGCCAAGAAGGGATTGCCTACCGTTGGCGTCACACAACAAGACGACAGCGATGGTTATGCTCCACTGAGCGACCTCGCTCGGGGTAGCATCAATGGCGCAGGGGCAGCAGAGCATGCCGCTGCTCTCAACGGCCACACGGGGCCTTGGACAGTCAATGCCGTCAATGGGCATGGCGGTGAAGATGAGGAGGAGTCACAGCCGCCCAGCTTGGGCACTGGTTCCAGCGCTAGCATCGAATCGCTCGAGAGCGTACAGTCGAGCTACCAACGCAAGGCTATGCTACAGCAACAGCAGGCAGCTGGCATTAATCCGACAAAGGGCGTAAACAAGGCAATGACAATGGCTACAATGGCTCAAGCTGGTATCGCAGCCTTGCCTGGCAACGATCCGAAAGCAGCGTTTGCAGGCGCTACTTCACACGACTCATCGACCGATGGCACCCCACTGCTTCATTCCGAGTACGGCTACTGCCCGAACCAGTCCTATCGCCATACCTCGCAGCACCCGCCTGGCGCACCGCTACCGAGTCCAGAGGAGGAAGAGCCATCATACTGGGTCGTTTTGACAACGTACATTTCCTACCTAATCCTCATCGTCATTGGACACATGCGCGACTTTGTCGGCAAGCGCATCTTCCCAAAAGCCTACCGTCACTTGGTCGAGGCAAATGGCTATGCTGCCCTCAATTCGGACTTTGACTCCTTCTACACTCGTCGGCTGAAGGCAAGACTCGACGACTGCTTCTCTCGTCCAGTCACCGGAGTATGCGGTCGCACTGTCCTGTGCCTCGACCGAGTGACCGACGACTTCAATGCCTCGTTCCGCCTTACGGGCGACAAGACGCGAGCGCTCAACATCTCGGCATACAATTACCTCGGCTTCGCTCAGTCGCACGGAGGATGCGCGGATGCCGTCGAGGAGTGCCTGAAGCGCTACAGTGTCTCATCATTCGGCTCGAGGCTCGGCGCTGGCTCCCTCGACCTGCAGAATCAGGCAGAGAAGCTCGTGGCCAAATTCGTAGGGATGGAGGACGCCGTCATCATCTCGATGGGCTTCGCGACCAACTCAACGACAATCCCTGCCATTGCCAGCCCGGGCACGCTCATCATCTCCGACGAGTACAATCACTCCTCGATCCGCTTCGGCGCTCGTCTCAGTGGTGCGCACATCCGACAGTATCGCCACAACGATATGAAGGCGCTTGAGTCTCTGCTGCGCGAATGCATCTCGCAGGGGATGCCGCGAACACATCGCCCTTGGAAGAAGATTCTGCTCATCGTCGAAGGCCTCTACTCCATGGAGGGTACACTCGTCAACCTGCCCGAGGTTATGCGCCTCAAGGCAAAGTACAAGTTCTACCTCTACGTCGATGAAGCCCACTCCATTGGCGCCATTGGTCCCAATGGACGAGGCGTATGCGACTACTTTGGCATTGACCCGCGTCGCATTGACATCCTGATGGGCACGTTCACCAAGTCTTTCGGCGCTGCCGGAGGCTACATCTCAGGCAGCAAGGAGCTCATCAACCGAATTCGCCTCACAAATCACGCCAATGTGTACGGCGAGACCCTCGCCCCACCGGTCATGACGCAGATCATCTCCAGCATGGCCTCAATCATGGGCGCAGGAAACGATCCGGCAGAGAAGGCTCTTCTCCCACCTTGGATCGACCTCCCCGCCCGCCTCATGGACGGCAGTGAAGGAAGGGAGCGTCTGCGTAGGCTGGCATTCAATGCACGCTATCTCTCTTCGGGATTGCGCAAGTTGGGTTTCATCATCTACGGTCATCGTGATTCTCCCATCATCCCGCTGCTCATCTTCCACCCGGCAAAGATGCCACTCTTCTCCCGCATGATGCTCGACCGCTCCAGAAGCATCGCGCCCAGCCAACGCCCTGCAAGCTTCACGGTCGTTGAGGAGCGAGACGGCGAAGTGGACTCCTCGAAGCTCCCCAAGGGGATGGACGACCCAGCCGACCTCAACCTGGCAACTCGCCCTGCTCGCCCTCCCATCGTCGTGGTAGTCGTCGCTTACCCGGCTACGCCGCTCATCTCGTCGCGCGTGCGTTTCTGTGTGTCGGCGAGCCACACCAAGAAGGACATGGATGACGTGCTGAGGGCATGCGACGAGGTCGGAGGACTGCTCTCGATGAAGTACGGCAGTGGTGGACCGGGAGGGCAGTGGGATGTCGAGGAGGTTATTGAGAGATGTGAGGACCTGGTCAAGTGGGATGGTGAGACGCCCATCTAAGCGAGCTGTTCTCGGTGCAAAGGAGGCAGGCAGAAGACGGCAGCACAGAGAGGCTTGCCCACAACGACGTCGTCGACGAACTCAGTGGCCGGTAGCGGTACGCAGACTGAGGGCCGGCGGTGTCTCGTCGTCGTCATCCCCCGATGGACAGAAGTTATACGCACGCAACGCTCGTGTTGGCATCGCGCCAGTTCCCTTTGAGCACCAGCGCCCACTCTTTCACTCCTTGTATGCTTGCGTCCCTCGCAGACAGAGTATTCCACATTGTGCATTAGACTCAAGTTGCCTGTGCGTGTCCACCGTATCGAGCCACGTCGAGCTTTCGGGCACAGCATGGTGCCCCTCACGCGTGCGCCAATGCCAAGCCAGACTGTGCTGGCCTCGAGAGGCACGCGTAGCAAGGCGGCGATGATGTCCACAACGGTGAAGCGACAACGATGAAGCAAGGTGTTGCACCTTCACACACCAACCCTTTCACGCCATCGCGGACTCCCCGGCGTGAAGCGTGGGACAGCAAGCCAAGAAAGGTGGCGCTGGTGACGGGGCCCCCGCTCGTCGCGTGGTCGCAAGATGCAATCGAGCCAAGGTCTGTCCTGTCTGCGCACAGCCCAGCTAATGGCCAAGTCATTCCGAACGGCCGCGGGTCATTGCGACCACATGGCCATGGTGACGACGGCGTGTGAAGGATTTGGCAGGATTTTAGCTCGACAAACGGGCCGCTAGCAAGCAGCAGCAACAGGCAGCAGCCGTCACGCAGTGCCATAGGGACCTTTCTTTGGACGTGTCAAATGCCGACTAGAGTGTCGCGATCTAATCAGGCGATCAATCTGTGGCAAAGCATTGATGAGTGATTGCAAGGACCAAGCAGTGGCCGTGGCACGCATCTATCCGTCATTGAAGGTGGAACGAAAGGTGACGAAGCTCATGCCTTGGAACAGTGAGAAGAAGCAGCCAAGGCGTCCGACGCGGCTGCTTGATCGTCTAGCCAGCCTCGTGGAAGCTCGACCTCGACGTCGTGTGAGGGATGCTGCGTACGAATTGTTCCCTGACGGCCCCCTCCCGTCGGCGATTTCTGCATCTTCGCCGAGATGTCGATCGTGGCATTATGGCTTCGATTCGATTGAAGTGATCTGGCCCAGCGACTGATCAGTGATTGAGCTTGATGTCGGTGGTTGGTCCCCTGCTTAGGGCGCAGGAAGGGGGACCGGGTCCCTCCCTCTTCTTTCTCGCCGGCGCTGCCTGCACCCTTTCGAATTGACAGGTCGAAGCCTCGGCTTGCGTTGGTTTGCTTGCTTGGCTCAAAGTTGACCGGCGGACGCGCCTGGATTTTTCCGCTTCTTCCGATTGAGTGCGCAAAGCGCAGAAGGCGCGGCGTCTCTTGACTTGACTTCACCCTACCGACTCAACGCGCAGGAGGGACCACCTACGACCATCGCGAGCTACAACGATGGGTCATCCCGAGAAGTCACGCCCGCGCCTACACCAAGTCCTGCTGCCCTGACAGGCTCAGGCTCAGCCGCCGCTGCCGGCAACCAAATCCAAGGCACCATGGCGGTCGAGGAGAGCAGATGGGCCAGACGCGTCCCAACGCACCGCCGTAGCTCGCAGCGAAGAGGTCTGCCCAACATTCTACCGCACAGCGGTGTCTGTTGAGCGCCGTTGTGAGGGGCAGGCGTCACAACAGTGCAAGCGAACAAGAGATGGCAGGCGGGGAGGGGGTCTGACCCTATTCGCCGATAGAGGAGGGACCGAAGAAGTTTCCGTGGCCTTGGCTCTCGGATTCGTCGAAAGGATATAACACCCGCTAGATCGCACTAGCTCCTCGTCCTCATTCAATCCAACTCACTCCCCTCACCCTTCCCTTACAACACCCTCAAGAACCCTCCGTCTCCCCTCCCTTACACTCCCTTCGCCATGCTCTCCTTCAAGTTCGCTGCCCTCGCTACGGCCCTCGCCGCTACCGTCTCTGCCCTCCCTCTGCAGAAGCGCATGAGCGGAACCGCTACCTTCTACGAAGCCGGCCTTGGTAACTGCGGCTGGACCAACTCCGGATCGGACATGATCGTGGCCGTCTCCAACTCCATGTACGCTGGCGGCTCCAACTGCGGCAAGAAGCTTACCGTCACCAACCAGAAGACTGGCAAGTCCCAGCAGGCCACCGTCGCCGACCGTTGCCCTACCTGCGGCGGCTCTCAGGACCTTGACATGTCGTGGGGTCTCTTCTCTGCTCTCGGTGGTACCGCCAACGAGGGTGTCTTCCCCATCAGCTGGAGCTTCGGCGGCTCGTCCGGCTCGTCCAACAATGACAACAACGGCAATGACCACAAGGACGAGGAGAAGAAGACGACCTCCCACTCTTCTTCCCCGCACAAGGAGACCCCTACCTCCACCTCGTCCAGCTCTTCGTACTCGGCTACCCCCACCTCGACTTCGCACTCGCACTCAAGCTCTTCGTCTTCATCTTCGTCGTCGTCGCCGTCGTCCTCGGCTGCTCGCTCCTCTTCGTCTTCGGCTACGACTGCTTCTGCCACCAAGGCTACCTCTGCCAAGGCTCAGGCCACCGCCGCCAGCTACAAGGCCCCCGCCGACAAGGTCAGCGGCGCCCCCGCCTGGTGGGCCGAGGTCACCGACTACTGCGGTCTTGACAGCCAGCCCAAGTACCCCGTAGCCATTGCTCCCTCGAAGCTCTACGGCAACGACGACCTCGTCAACGCTTGCGGCAAGTCGGTCAGCCTCAAGAACCCCAAGAACGGCAAGACCGTCGAGGCTACCGTCGTCTCTTACCTTCCTGGCGGTGAGGACAACTTCATTGCTCTCGGTGAGGCTTACCGCATGCTCGCCGACAACTACGACGCTCCCACCGTCGAGAACGTCGAGTGGGGCTTTGCCAACAAGAACTAAGGCAGTTCACCGCCTTTTGAGCAATAGACGTGGCAACAGCAGCGATCCCCGTTCATTACACTGTTACGCAGCATTGGCAATAAGCGCTCTCGGCGAGAGCGTCAGGACATCCTAGTGATGCATCCTCTGTAGAACACCCAACTCCAGACCGCAATTGGCAGGTGCCACCGGTGAAGGCAGGACTTCACGCGGATGCCCTCCCGCCCGCTCGTCTCATCATCTCCCACAGTCCCTATGTAGACTTGCTCTTTCGACTTCTTTTCGTCAGTGTTGCTTCTGCATCACGGACACCCCACCCTCTTTCAGTCTTTTGTCTTCTCTCTAGTCACCCTGTTTATCACCCTTAGATGGCATCGCTTCGCGCATACCAAGTGGGCTCTAGTCCCATTGCAGCCGGAGCTGCCTTTTTGCAATCAGAGCAACTCGTGCTCCCACCACTACTCTGCCTGACTGTGACTGAGTCTTCGTCCGATGTCTTTGCCTGGCGCGCCATGACTCTTTCGTCGTCGTGGTAAGCCCATGACGACTACGGTGTGTTGCGCTGTGCTGTGCTGAGGCCAGGCATTGCCGCGTGGCACCGGCTTGGCCCGATGTGATGCCGGTCGACCGGGCGAGATTCAGCGCGTGTGAGAGGGGCGGGCGCGCAGAGGCATTTCTAAGCCAGAAGCGGCGGGTCGACGGAGTGTGTGACTAACGCTCATCACAGCAGCAGCCACAGCAGCCACCCAGCAGACACGCATCCGGCGGTCGTCTCAATCAAGACATTTGACCCGGTGCTGCCGTGTCCATTGTCACTCTTTGCCACCACACCATCACCAACCATCCTCATCATGATCGCGCAACGCCTGCCATCGGCGAGAGCGGCTCTTCGTCAGGCGTCGTCGAGCGCTTCGGCGACGGCATCATCGACTTCTTCATGCAGTAACATCACCCGATCAGCTCGCTTCTCCTCTTCAGCATCAATAGCATCATCATCACCAGCATCAGCCAACACTCCATCACGGTCAGCAATCGCCACCCCCAGGCTAGGTCGTCGCTCCCCTCAGCAGCTGGCCAGTCTGCAGCAACATCGCGCCTTTGCCACCTCTAGGCCTGCTCGCCAAGCCACCCCAGTCGAGGAGTACGTTGCCTCCGAAGAGGATGGCTTCGACATTTCGTCAGTGGAGCGAGCAAAGGACGAGGCAGACGTCATCATCGTTGGCGGTGGTCCAGCAGGGCTGAGCGCAGCCATTCGCATCAAGCAGCTGGCAGAGGAAAAGGGAGAGGACATCAGAGTCGTCGTACTTGAGAAGGCGGCCGAGGTCGGCAATCATATCCTGTCAGGCGCAGTCATTCAGACGAATGCGCTTGATGAGTTGCTACCCAACTGGAAAGAACTGGGAGCCCCACTGAACCAGGAGGCAACTGAGGACACGATGCGCTTCTTGACGCCTACGGGCTCCTTCCCGATGCCTCATCCGCCACAGATGAACAACAAGGTGAGCACGCAAAGTGGCTAAATGGCGCCTGCCACCGAGCCCCGCAGCTGACCACGATTGTGCACGCCACTCCGCAGGGCAACTACATTGTGTCTCTCTCACGCGTGACAGCCTGGCTAGGCGAGCAGGCAGAGGCGGCTGGCGTCGAGATCTACGCTGGTTTTCCCGCTGCGCAGGCAATCTGGAATGACGAGGGCACAGGTATCAAGGGTGTCGTCACGGGAGAGGTCGGCCTTGACAAGAAGTCACAGCCCAAGGACACTTTCGAGCCCGGTATGGAGTTCCATGCCCCTCTGACCCTCTTTGCAGAGGGAGCTCACGGCTCGCTCAGCCAGGAGATCATTCGCCGTCTCAAGCTGCGCGAAGCAGTCGGAGCTGACCCTCAGACGTACGGTTTGGGAGTCAAGGAGGTATGGCGCGTCAAGCCCGAGAAGCATCAGGCTGGCCTTGTAGGCCATACGCTCGGCTGGCCCCTCGACTTCAAGACGTACGGCGGTTCATGGCTCTATCACATGGAGGACAACATGGTATCCATCGGCCTTGTCGTCGGTCTCGACTACGAAAACCCATACCTTTCCCCCTTCCGCGAGTTCCAGCGTATGAAGCACCATCCCTACTTCGCCGATCTTCTTGAAGGTGGCGAATGCATAGCCTATGGTGCGCGTTCGCTCAACGAAGGTGGATACCAGTCCATCCCTAAGCTCAACTTCCCCGGAGGAGCCTTGATCGGATGCTCTGCTGGCTTCTTGAATGTGCCCAAGATCAAGGGCACACACAATGCCATGAAGTCTGGAATGGTCGCTGCTGAGACGTACTTCACTGAGTGGGTCAAGCGCAAAGAGGCTGGCGAGCTCACCCCTGCAGCAGAGAAGGAGGAAGAGGCACCGGCCACCCCTTCCTTTGACCTCGAGTCATACCGTACCAACCTTGACGGCACCTACGTGATTCAAGAGTTGAAGGAGGTGCGCAACCTTCGTCCTTCCTTCCACAACCCTCTTGGTCTCTATGGCGGCCTCATGTACTCGGGTCTCGACTCTCTCATCCTCAAGGGTCGTGTACCCTTCACGCTTCACCACCAGGGCGAGGACTACCAGTCAACGAAGCCAGCCAAAGAATGCCAGCCTATTGACTACCCCAAGCCCGATGGCAAGCTTTCCTTCGATATCCTCACATCGGTCAGCCGAACGGGCACGAACCATACCGACGACTCGCCTTCGCACCTCGTCGTCAAGGAGGGAGACTACAAGGGTCACGTTGAGCGCAATGTCGGCGAATTCGGCAGTCTTCTGGGTCGTGCCTGCCCTGCGCAGGTGTACGAGTATCAGGATGCAGAGGAGGAAGGAGGTAAGGATGAGCATGCCTTGGGCAAGAAGCTGGTCGTCAACAGCCAGAACTGCATTCATTGCAAGCTGTGCAGCATCAAGGTGCCGGATCAGAGTATCAAGTGGTGCACGCCCGAGGGAGGAGGAGGACCCGCGTACTCGATCACGTAGGCGTGTGCGGTCCACGAGGGTTTGAATGGCTCGACCGCCGCTTGTCGACGCCTCTCGCTCTACTGCAGCTAATTGCATTTTGATTCAAAGTGACATGAGAGCCTCGCCTGATTCGAGAGTGTGATACGCCGCGACTGCTTGCTCTCATGACTGCCCCATTCCACTTCCCGATGCCTTCGACCGCGGGAGCCAGCCTACTTCTTCTTGGAGCTCGTCGTCCCCTTGGGAAGTTCCCTAACCCAAGGCAAGAAGTCCCTACCCTGAACGTACGGCTGCAGGACAGGGGGGATCTTGAGTCCTTCCTCCGTCTGCCAGTTCTCGACCACGCAGCACAATGCCCTCTCCGTAGCGCAGAGTGTGCCGTTGAGCATGTGTACGTACGTCTTCTTTGTGTCTCCCTGCTTCTTCATCCCGCACCTGACCTCGAGTCGCCTGCTCTGGTAGTCGGTGCAGTTGGAGCAAGAGACGAGCTCCTTGTGCTCTCCTTGGAAGGGGAACCAAGCCTCCAGATCATACTTCATCGCCGCCGCATTGTTGAGCGCACCGGAGACGATGGCCACAACGCGGTAAGGCAGGCCGAGGGATTGGTAGAACTCCTCGCTGTTCTGCAGCATCCTGTCCAGCTCATCCCAGGAGCTCGCCGGATCCGTGATGACGAATTGCTCGACCTTTTCGAACTGGTGAACACGGAAGATACCCCAAGTGTCCTTGCCGTGAGATCCGGCTTCTTTGCGGAAACAGGTCGAGTAGCCGGCGTAGCGAACGGGCAGTTGCTCGGAGGGCTTGTCGAACCACTCGTCTGAGTGGAAGGCGGAGATGGGCTGTTCGCTCGTCGCGATGAGGTACTTGTCGTCCTCTCCCTCGTCCGCGCTGGCTGCTACTGCTCCTGCGGGCTTGGAGGCGTCCTCATTGGAGATAGCTCCACTGCTGGACTCGCCGACCTTGTACAGCTCCTCGTCGAATTGGTCGAGCTGGGCCGTCTTTGCCATGACGCTCTTGCGCATCATGAAGGGTGTCATGACTTTGACGTAACCCTTTTTGCGAAGGAAGTCGAGACCGTAGTTGATGAGAGCTTGATTGAGGTCGACGCCGTCGCCCATGAGGAAGAAGCCACGGTGGCCTGCTACCTTGACTCCGCGGTCGGGGTCGAAGAGGTTAAGGCGCATCATCACTTCGTGGTGGGAGAGGATGCCCTGGTGCCGGGAAGGGGGAAGGAAGTCAATGGGGGACGTCGAGTTGCAGGCCATCGCCGTTTGTGTTACCCACCGTCTTCTTCTCCACCTGAGCATTCGGTCCATCAGGGTGCCATGTCTTGATGACAGCATTGTCATCCTCCGTCTGACTGATGGGCACCTTTGGCCCAACGATGTTACCAATGGTGCCGGCCTTGTCCCTCATCTTCTTTTCCTTCGCTGCCACCTCGGGCTTTAAGTCAGCCAGCTTCTTGTCGAGGTCCTTCTTCTTTGCCAGCTCTTCGTCAGCATCCTGCTTTGCCTTCTTCTTGGTCGTGATCTCGCGTTGGACGGCATTGATCTCCTTGGCGAGCTGGTTCGCTGCAAATTCTGCGGATGTCCAGTCCTTGTAGAGAGCGAGGACCTGAGGGAGGAGGTGAAAAGAGAGCAGTTGTGTGAATTAGCATGGTAATGGGGCCAGTAGAATGCCATGCGGCTCTGCTTGCCCACGCACATCATCGACGATCTTTGGGTCTGCGCCTCGCTTTGCCTGCGAGTCCTTGACGACTTGCGGGTCACCTCCCTTTTCCTCCTGGAGAACTGCAGATGTGGTTTGCGTATGATTTCAGTGATACTGTGACCTTGTTCGAGGTCGCTGACTTGCCGCACTCACGAATCAGATCAATCATGTTGGCGGGTGAATGTATGCTGAGAAGGAAGTAGGATGTGTGTGCATTGACCGCGTCGACTCGACTCGACTCGATTCAGACTTGGCGGGCGGAGCAAGACGAGGAGCCTCGCCGCCTCGCCGCGACTCGAGATTCGATTTTGGCTCCGTGTGTGCGCGCACGCTGCGATTCAGGCAGGAAGAAAGTCGTCGAGGCCAAAGCAGCAACGACGGCAACGACGACGACGAGGCTTGATTCCATCAATCTAACACCAACCCATCATGGCAGCCGTTGTAGATCTCCCCTTTGAGCTCCCCGCAGCCCCCTCATCCTTCAAGCCGTCTGCTCCGGCCAGCATCTCCAAGCTCGGCCAGGAGACAATCCTCCCTGCCGGCCCCTCATACGTCGCCCACACTCGTCGTCAGCTGCGCCAACTCGACTTTGCAGCTGACGATGCCCAGGAGCAGGCTCGCCTCGACGAGCTCAACAAGCTCAACGGCGCAGACGACGAGCTCGACAACGACATCGGCGATGAGCCAGAGAGCGCCGACTTGCTCAATCGCGATCCCAAGCAGTGGAAGGGACAGGACCACTACGCTGTCCTCGGTCTCTCTGGTTTGCGTTACAAAGCTACCCCGAACCAGATCAAGATCGCTCACCGAAAGAAGGTGCTCAAGCATCACCCTGACAAGAAGGCGGGCGCTTCTGGTCTTACCAACGACGATTCGTTCTTCAAGTGCGTGGCAAAGGCGCATGACGTCCTCTCCAATCCGGAGAAGCGCCGTCAATTCGACTCAGTCGACGAGGGTGTAGACGACGACGATGTACCCACAGGAAAGGAGAAGCCTGAGCAATTCTTCAAGCTCTGGGGCCCCGTCTTCGAACGCGAGTCCCGCTTCTCAGTCACAGAGAAGAATGGCCCCACGCCCGCTTTGGGCGACCTCGACTCTTCCCGCTCCCACGTCGATGAATTCTACGACTTCTGGTACAATTTCGACAGCTGGCGCAGCTTCGAGTACCTGGACAAGGAGGTCAACGAGGGCAGCGATGACCGTGCAGACAAGCGTTACCAGGAGAAGAAGAACAGGAACGAGCGCGCAGCGAGGAAAAAGGAAGACAATGCTCGCCTGCGTAACTTGGTGGACAAGGCCTTGAGCCTTGACCCTCGCATCAAGAAGTTCAAGCAGGAGGACAAGGCTGCCCGTGAGGCCAAGAAGAACAAGGGACGTCCTGGTGCTCCCGCAGCGGGCAAGACGCCTCAGCAGCTTGCTCAGGAGAAGGCGGCCAAGGAGGCCGAAGAGAAGAAGGCTGCCGAGGAGGCCAAGAAGAAGGAGGAGGCGGACAAGGCTGGTCGACAAGACGCCAAGAAGGCGCGCGAAGCGGCCAAGAAGGCGCTCAAGAAGGAGAAGAAGAAGCTGGCAGACGCTATCACTTCGAACAACTACTTCCAGCCTGCCGGAAGCGCTCCTTCTGCTCAGGTGATTGAGAAGGCTCTCAACTCGCTCGATGCTCTCGTGGCTAAGCTGGGCGAGGAAGATCCTACATTGGTCGTCAAGCTGCGCGAGGATGTCGAGAAGGCGGGCGACAAGAAGGCCGTGCTTAACAAGGCGGCTGAGGAAAAGGGTGTTGGTGCTGCCGCCTTTGACTAATTCGCGTGCCACACTACAACCCGCTTTGGTCATGTAGACAGACTCATTCTCTCAATACACACTTTGGACTTGCCCACTCTCTTGTCGTTGCTTTGACCTCGCGAGCTTGTGCTGTTGCTTAGTCATCCACCGAGAAAGGACGGGCGGGAGTAGGATTTTGGTCAGTGGAGCCGGCTGGGCCGCTTCTTCGCGCTCAACTTTAGCATTCATTTCAAATCCTCGCCCTTAATCATGCTGCGACGCTGCTGGGCGACATCATCTCAGGCGGCGACTGGCTCGTCGATGGCAATGCAAAGCTCATCGGTAACACCATCGTCACTTCGCGCCATCTCATCATTAGCACAACCACCTGCCAGCCTCTCGCCACCACAATGTCGCCCTCCTCTGCCTCCACGGCGGCGTCAGCTCAGCACCTCATGCGCTTCCCGCAATCAAGCCCATCCTTCTGCCTCCTCATCCTCTCTGGCTCAGAAGTACAATACAGGCACCTACGACCCACTACCGGCTCTCGACGCTTCAGGACAAATTCCTCACGCTCCGTACGACCAATCCCCCCTCGCCCTCTCATCCCCCGAGTACCCAAAGGGCCATATCGTCCTTCACCCTTATACCCAACCGCGGCCACAGGATACCTGGCCGGCCAGCATAGATGCCGTCTGCCCCCTCTACGTCGAGCTGGGCAAGCGAATTAAGTCAGATCTCGAAGGGTGGGGCCTCAGCTTTTCTGAGGGGGACGCGAGAGCTACAGAGGCATACAGTCGGAGGCAGGCGGGCAAGGAGCTGGAACTGCGGTTCCCTGCTTGGGATTCTCTGACGTCAAAGCTGGAGAGGCCCACACCTGGACACGAGACTGAGCAAGAGGAGTTCCTCCTCCACCTCTACACGGGGAATGGCAAGCATGCAGTGCTGGGCCCGTACTCGCTTCGCACCCTTCCCTCCTCCCCCGGTCGACTGGCTGCGGCTGTAGAGAGCGCTTTGGAGACGGCGCCCCTTCCATCAGCCCGATATGGCCCTAAGAACGGAGTTGCAGAGGAAGCGCACATCTACATCTGCACGCATGGCAGTCGTGACTGCCGGTGCGGTGTTGTGGGAGGAGAGCTCCTCCTCTCCTTGCAAGCCGCAGTGCGCAAGCATCAACTTACCACTCTCCAGGCCTCCTCACCCGGCTCACCACCCCCGAAGCGAGTGAAGGTCTACCCAATCAGCCACATAGGCGGACACAAATTCGCAGGAAACGCCCTCGTCTACCCGCATGGCGATTGGTACGGAAACCTGCGCCCTTCTGATTCGCCCTTATTACTCAGGGCGGCTCTGGCGCCGAGCACGAGCAGGCATGACTTGACTGATCAGAGAGAGAGGCTGGTACATTGGCCACGCTGGAGGGGCAGGATTGGAGTTGGGAAGGAGAGGATGCAGAAGGTCTGGGATGAGTGGGGAGGTGGGAGCGTGCAGAGCGCCATCGTTACGCCGGCGAGACGGGGGGCTAGGAGGGGGCCGCCAGCCACATCTTCGCCGCCACCGCCACCGCCACCTGCAGTGGAGGAGCAGCCTGCTCCCACTCCTGCTGCCGCGGACCCCATCATGATCCCCTTCCGCAACCACTCTGGTACGGTCACCCTTCTGAGCGCCAACCTAGGCGAAACGCTTAAAGACGTGGCTAGGCGACACAACGTCGAGGAGATCGAGGCGACGTGCGACGGGAAGTGCGAGTGTGCGACTTGCCACGCGTATCTCGTTCAACCAGCCGCGGCAACGACAGCGACGACGAAGGAGGGAGAAGAGCTGAGCGAGGTGGACCTTAATGACGAGAAGAGCGTACCGGGGAAGGAGTTGATGCCTGAGCCGAGCGATGAAGAGATGGGTGAGTTGCGCTCGACTCTCGATATTGAGTCAGTGCGAGATCGTAGACTGACGCCCTCCTGTACGTCCCGCACACAGACATGCTCGACTACGCCATCTCTCGCAAGCCTTCTTCGCGGTTGACCTGCCAGGTCAAGGTTACCCTGGAGTTGGTGGATTGGGTCAGGACAAAGGGAGGGAGAGTGCAGCTGAGCCGGTACTGAGGACGGCGCACAGTGAAGCAGTCAGGGATCACCGAATGACCTGTCATTGGTTTCGCATTAGACTGTCTCGGTAGACGAGCGCAATACCACCACCTCCATTCCCACTATTCCTCCTCCTCATCAGCGTCCGGAACAGCCCACGCCCCTCTAACAGCCTGCGTCGTACTCTCATACAGCTCCAACTGCAACGCAGCCAAGAAGCACGGCACGCTCTGTCTCATTCCTCCCTCCGCCAACCAGTATTCGCGGAGATGCGGCACATTTGCCAAACTGAGATCCTTTGCCGCTTCTCCCGTCAACTTCATCCTGCCCACTCCTCCCTCCTCGCTCGCAAAGACGAGGCTCGTAGCACGGGAAGTGGATCGCGCAAAGGTGCTGTTGAGACGGACAGCGCCATTCTCGAGGAAGCGCACCTTGAAGCCGAACAAGGATTGGATGGCCGATCGGAATTCGGAGGCTTTGGAAGTGTAAACTTGCTTGAGGCGGAGCAGAGTCTTGTCCTTTAATGCGAGCTGCGATGTCAAGGAGGCAATCTCGGTGCGCAGGTTGGACACTGTGGCAGCCGGAACCAGGCCGGCTGCTGCTGCGGCGTCCCCATTTCCGTCGACAGGAGCAGTGGCTGCAGCTGAGGAGCCTGCCTCAGCGAGCTGTCGACTCAGGTCCTCCACCCTTTTGACTAGCTCCTCGTTCTCGCCCTTAATCCGGTTCATCGTCTTGGTCCTCAGATCGCGATCCACGTCCACCGGATTTTGCTTGAGGACCAGACAGCGGTACTTCTCCTGATCAAAGTGTCCCAGCCCAATTCGCTCCTCCGCTTTGCCCAGAGCAGTATCCAGGCGTTCGTTCTCGCGCTGAAGGACGAGAAGGTCAGAGCGGAGAGACTCGACCTCTTGTTGAGCGGCGAGGTGCGAGGATTTGAGTTGGTGCGTGGCTTCTTCGTGCTGCTGGGCAAGGGAGGAGATTTCTGAGCGCTTGTGTTCCAGCTCGGACTCGAGGAGAGAGATGCGCTCCAAATGGGCAGCAGATGCGGCGGGCGTGGCTTGCGCATCCTCCATCTCTTGGTCTTCGTCGCGCTTGATGGAAGCCGCCGCCGCCTCAGCCTTGCTGGCCTCACCGTCCCTCTTCTCCTGCTCTTCATAGCTTTTCAGCAAGCCGCGGTACCTCCTGTTCTCCTCCTCCCACTGCGCCTTGACGCGTTGCAGTTCGACGACCTTGTCATTCGCTTCCGCTTCCTGACGCTTGCACTGTCGCACTTCCTCCTCCTTGCCCTCAAGCTCGGACTCGAGTGACTCTTGCCTCTGCCTCGCGCTTGTAATCTTACTTGACAAAATCTGAGAACGTGTCAAGAGGCCAGAGACGAGTCCGCGGAGATTGCAAAGGTACGCTGGCAGGCTGGCGCGCTGTATTGGCTGTGGGGCCAAGGGAAGGGTAGGCAGGTCCCCATCGACATCGCCGGCGCTCATGGCCGCGTCTGCCTCAAGTTTGGAAGAGAAGGCATTAGGCTGAGCGAGAAATTCGTCCCATGCCTTCTCTTCTGCCTGACGACGCTCCTGATGCTCTTCGAGCTCGACAACGCGTGACTGTAGCGTGGTGAGGGAGTCGACCTTGTTCCTTAGCAGGAGATTCTCCTCTTTCAGGACGGCGTTGCCTTCGGCTTGCTTGCGGAGTGAAGTGGTGGTGGCATTGAGCGTAGCAACTTGCCCTTCGAGCTGGCGAGAATGGGCGAGGATGCGATGTAGCTCCCGCTCGACGGCTGCGTCCTTGCTTGGCGAGGCAGAGGAGGAGGCGACCTTGCTCTCTAGCTCAGCCACTTTGGCTTCGAGCTCCTGATTCGTAGACATCTCTTGACTCAGCCGCTCAGCGTCCCTCCGCCTTCGATCCTCATCCATTTGCGTGCGCCCCTGCAGCTCAGCCTTCTCAGCCTCTGCTCTCCCCAACCTGACCCTGAGCTCATTCAGCTCAGCCTGACTGTCCTGCCTCTGCCTCGCTGCATCCTCGGCGGCGCCCTGCAATTCCTCCTCGGCTTCGCTCCTCGCCGCCCTCTCCTGATTCACTTGACTGCGCAGCTTCTCCCTCTCCTGCTGCCATTCGCGCTGCTCAGCTGCTCTCTCCTCCTTGACGCGCGCCCACTCTTCTGCAAGCTCGCGGCGCTCGCTCTTTAGTCGCTCGACTTCTGTTGCAAGCTTGCGATATGCGTCCTCTAGTCCATCGTAACTCTGCTGCGAGAGCAAGAGACGAGATTCATATTGAGATTTGATTGTGGATAGCTGTTGCGTGGACGAAGGAGAGGGAGGACGTGATGATCGCAGAGGAGTCGACGTGCTGGTGAGGGGACGCTTCGCTGATGAGGGAGGGGCGCTGCCAACGCCGTTGGCATGGTCAGGCAGGCTGGTATTGGAGACGGTTCGCTTACCGAGAGGCGTGGCTGTTACACCTCCAGCGGGCGCAGCTGAAGATGATGACGGAGGTGCTCCTGCGCTTGGAGCTCGAAAGCCGAAGCGCGATGCGCCAGCAGCTGAAGGAGCGGCCAGTCGAGATGTGCTGGGGCCCGCGGATGACGATGAGGCCGAGCCGCCCTGCTGGCTGAGGTATGATGGGCGCGGCTGACGTGTGGGCATGAATTTGTTGTCTGACATCGTAGCCAACTCCCTCGAGGAGCGAGGCGGTGGTGATGATGAGTGAAGATGAACAAGTGACACTTGGCTTGGACGCGGCCGACGGAAGGCGACGAGCTCAGCCGCGTGGCCACTTTGAGGCGAGCCAGAGTCCGCCCACCCACCCACCCACCGCTCGAGACCACCTACGATGAGTTGCTAGCCAAAGGCAGAGCACCGACTACGCTCACGAACCAGGGCATTGAAGCGATACGATATGGACAGGTAGACCATCGGATCCCTGACTCTCAAGAACGAGAATGAGTTGCACAGGAAGGCAGGCTTCCAGACACGCACGCGATGAGCGAGGTGGATAGACAAGACGAGCTAGCCAGTCAGACCGGCCACTCGCGGGGAGCAGAGTGTCTGCAACGACTTTGCACCGTCACTTGTCGTTGCTCACTCTTTCACTCAAGTTTGTCGACGTCCCAGCGCTCTCAGCGAGCCAAGGATAGCATCGCCGCCACACAGCCGGCCGCCGCATCATGTGGCAGATCGGGGCGCCACCGACTCTATCAACAGATCCCTTGCGGCCTCTAGTCTATCTTGGGTGAGAGGCGAACGGCATTCAAATCTTCTCATCCACCTTTGCGTAAGGCATCGCTACGATGAGTGTAAGGAGGATCTTCATGACGACATCGAAGAGCACCGCCTCTCATCGCTCCTGGCTGCCAAGCCGTGATCGTAGCAAAGAGCGGGCAGGCGCAAGAGGATAGCAAGAGGTAAGCCGTGGTGTCGACCGACTCGACTCGACTTTGCCCCGCTCGCTCCGTGCCGTACTTTGTTTAGCCTACTCTACAGTAGACCGATAACCACAGGCCACGACTACAGCCGCGGTGCCGTTCAAGCCGACTCGGGATCATGAGTTGAAATCCCACGCCATTCTCCGACTTCCTCTCCCCCCACCTCACTCTGACTCTCACTTCACCGCACCAGCGGTCCGCCGCGTCCGCGCCCCCTTCTCCACGACAGAGAGGGACGCTCTATCGACCTCTACTCTCGGTACACTCGGTCTAGCTAAATCGCCTTTCGCCTTTGCCATGCCTCGCATCTCACCACGGCTTGCGCACGGCTTTGCTTGCCGCCTTTCTTGCTCTGCTTGAGTGTCGCCGTGTGCGTCAGTCAGTCAGACTGTCAGACTGTCACTGCTTGTGCTGCTGCAGGCGATGATTTCATGGCATGTCGGCGCCGGGCGTAGCTCCAGATGACGGGTCTCACTGCCGAGGAGGAAGAGGCGCCGGCCTCCGCTCGCCTGCCCGCCTGCCCGAGTGCGTCGCAAGGGTCCGACGCAGACCAGAGAGCGAGCGGAGCCAAACTCGAGGGACGAGGCGCATTTGTTCATGCGTTTGTTCGTTCGGCCCTCAATTCACTAATTGCCGTCTTATTCAATCGCCCTGCCTGTCGCTGCATCTCCACGATCCCTCTTTCCGCTGCTGCTCGTTCCTCTCTTTCCTCTCTTCCACCATCTCAGTCTCCACTCTCCTTGGATCACCTTCAGCGTTCGTCGATTGACCCCCTGTCTCTTCACACTTCTTCGTCTTCTTCCTCCACGTCCTTCGCCCGTCTGCAAGGCCTCTTCATCTTCATCTTGGACCCCATCATCAGCATCTTCTCGCCTATCCTGGAATCGCAAAACAAGCAAGCCACAAGTGCGCAGCATCCACAGCAGAAGCTCATCCACATCTAGAGATCTCTGCCACCACCAGTCTGGCATCCGCGCCGCCTCTCCTCGCCACTCGGCCATGTTGCCACCTTCATCTCTCGCAGGCCCATCCTGCCTCTCCAGCCGCTCGACATCAGCCACCTCGCGCCCGCAGCGCCCATCACGGTCACGCCAGCGCAAGATGATGTCGACGGCAGCGGTGGCGCTCGCGGCGGCGGCAGCGTCGACTGCTACCACGGCGTCAGCGCAGTCCGTTAGTCTCGTCCCTCCCATGACCCAAAACACAGCTAATCCCCTTTCGGCCATCCTAAGCCCTGCGTATGCTGGCATGGGCATCGAACCTACCTCGTTGTATCCCTTCACGGGGACGACCGAGCGCAACAATCTCACCTACACCCTTCTCACGAACCTGCAAAAGTACACTGGCGTGCCTCCGCACATTCGAGTCGGAGGTAATGCTGGCGATACGATGCTCTACAACGCCTCGTCTTCAGGGTACACTATCCATCAGAACGCTTACCCGTCAGGTTCAGGCCAACCAAATCCCAGTGATCTGCTTTACTTTGGCCCATCCTACTTCGAGGCGATGGACAACTTCCCTGAAGGCACGCCGATCACCTACGGCTTGAACTTGGCGTACCAGGGCTCAGGCTGGCTTGACGGTATCGTTGCGCAGGCCAATGCCTCGCTCAATGGTGTGCAGAATGTCAACATCGTCGGCTTCGAAATTGGAAACGAGCCAGACCTGTACGGCCAAAACCAGTTCCGAACAGACGGAAGCTGGACCCCCACCGCCTACGGCAATCAGTGGCAGCAGGCCGCCGTAGCCATCTACAACAACGTGCTCAAGGCCAAGAACATTGGCACCAACTTCTTCGAGCCAGCCGCCACTGCCACGACGGCCACTTCACGCGGTCAGCCGTTCCGCATCGCCAACCTCGTCAGCACCGGCGTCGCAGCAGAGAATGGAATCTACATCGCCGGGTGGAACCAGCACGACTACTTCTACTACTTGGGCGTGAGCTCCTATCAGCTGACGTCCGACCATCTCCTCGACCTGTCTGCCACGTCGTCGCAGTTCAAGGAGTGGCGCGACCAGTCGCAAGACGCCTACAACACGGGCAAGCCCTACTACCTGCGCGAGATGGGTTCCGTTGGCCCAACAGGCATTCAGGGGATTTCTGACACCTTCGCAAATACGCTGTGGACATTCCACTTCTTTTTGTACGCAGCTACGGTGCAGGTCGCCTCGGTCCAGATCCACATGACGGCCGAGTCATACGCCTCGCCTTGGCAGCCGACGGCGAGCAACTCTGACGGATCACAGCCGCACGTCCGCTCGTCCTACTATGCCTTTGCTGCCATTGATCAGATCATCGGCGCAACCTGCAATGTGCGCGTGGCTCAGTACTCGCTCAACAATATTCCCAGCGGCTATACGAACCGTCTCGCCTCGTACAACACGTACACCGACGGCAACTTGCAAACCCTCATCGCCATCAACACGCAGCCAGCTCCCAGCGGATCGAGTATGGGGACAGTGACCTTTACCTACACTCTTCCTGCTTGGTCAGGCAAGACCGTCTACCTCTCGCAGCTCACGGCGGCGGGTAGTGATGCGACGCAGAACACGACGTGGAACGGCATGTCGTACGAGGCCAGTGGGACGGGCACGATGACCCAGGCAGGAGATCAGCCGCAGCAGGTCACGGTCGGGCAAGATGGACTGCTCAGTGTGCGGGTGCGTGACTCGCAAGCTGTGGTAGTCAATCTCGGCTCGCAGATTGGCACGCAGAATAACCAGATCAACACGGCCAACTGCCAGAAGCTGGCGAGCTCTACATCAGAGGGCAACGACGTGACCGTTAGTGGGACGGTCCAGGCTGGTAGTGCAGGCTCTTCGGCGCCCACCTTTTCTTCGCAGCCGACTGGCTACAATCCTTTCCGCAACAGCGTGGCTCTTAATGCAAGGCCCGAGCTGGTGCTCGTCACCCTCGTGGCTGCGGGGCTGGGTTCGCTCCTTGTCGCCTTCTCGTAATTTGGCACACACTCTCAAATGTGCGACGTCTTCATGGACTCCCAACACCTCGCTTCTTGCTATTCACCCAATTTTTCTCCCTCTCCCTTCTCACGGACACTCTACTTCCCTTCTTGTCTACCGTCTCTATATAGTCTCATTAGCTCTGCACTTGGATTCGTCTTGTCCCGCTACTCTCTCGCATAACTAGCTTCTCTCGGATGCGCAGCACTGCTCACTTGATTCTTCTTGTCCATAGCCACCATGCCTTCTCTTGTTGGACTTCTGTTAACAATGCTAGATGGCGAGCGCTTTCCCACCGTGGATCATCCATTCGTTGACCTGCTTGTCAATGCAGCGCCACTCGTCGTTGCCACTCACTCACGCTCTGGCTCGCGTGCTCGGCCCTTCGACCGGTTCGCCGGACCTGAGCCGCCCTCTGATGCGTCCCTCTTCGGCTTTGAGGAGGACGGCGAAGGCGGCGGGCGGGCAGGCGGGCGGGCAATGGAATCCAACGTCTTGACTTGATTCATCGCCCAATCTCGAATGATCGTCGCCTCACTTCTTCGCTCTCGACCAAGTACTACCACCACCACTAGCAGATCCATTCATCTCGCCACTACCCTTCTGGGCAACAGAGCTACCTACGTCACCGCTAGCAAGAGCGCGCTTCGCCCTTCCTCATCGTCTCAGCCACCTCATCGCCGCCAGCCGCGCAACCTTCTCTCCTTTGCACTCAGCTCATCCATCGCAGCTGCAGCGACTGCTTTCCACACCTCAGCAACTACTTTGCAAGCACAAGCAGACGATAGCATGGCACCCGTAGCAGACATCAATGGATCATCACAAGCCAACAGTGGCCACTACAAGGTGGTGAGTAGCGCGCGCGTGTGAGGAGGTGGTCCAGTAGGCTTGGATCGTAGCTTAACCTTCAATCCTCTTCTCCCTTTCCTCTCTTGCCAGGTCATCATCGGTTCAGGGCCTGCAGGCCATACAGCCGCCATCTATCTCGCGCGTGCCGAGCTGAAGCCCATTCTCTTCGAGGGCTTCCTTGCGAATGGCATTGCAGCTGGTGGTCAGCTCACCACCACAACAGACGTAGAGAACTTCCCAGGCTTCCCCGAGGGAATCGGCGGAACAGCTATGATGGACAAGTTCCGTGCTCAGTCTGAAAGGTTTGGCACTACGATCCACACGGAGACGATCAGCAAGGTGGACCTGTCGCAGCGCCCCTTCAAGTTTTGGAGGGAGGGCAAGGAGAGCGAGGCGCCTGAGCTGGCAGACACGATTATCATGGCTACGGGAGCGTCGGCGAAGAGGATGCACATCCCTGGTGAGGACACCTACTGGCAGAGCGGAATCTCAGCATGCGCCGTATGCGATGGCGCTGTGCCCATCTTCAGGAAGAAGCCTCTCGCTGTTGTTGGTGGAGGAGACTCTGCGGCGGAGGAGGCGACGTACTTGACCAAGTATGGCTCAAAGGTCTACGTCCTCGTCCGAAGAGACGAGCTGCGCGCCTCGAAGATTATGGCGAAGCGTCTGCTCAACCATCCGAAGATTGAGGTCCTCTTCAACACTGTGCCCGTCGAGGCAAAGGGGGACGGCGATTTGCTCAACGCTCTCCGCATCAAGTCGACAAAGACGGGCGAGGAGTCCGATCTTCAAGTCAACGGTCTCTTCTACGCCATCGGGCACGTGCCGGCAACTTCCCTTGTCAAGGACCAGGTCGATTGTGACGAGGATGGATACATTGTGACGAAGCCGGGGACCACAGAGACGAGCGTCAAGGGTTTCTTCGCGGCGGGTGACGTGCAGGACAAGAAGTACAGGCAAGCGGTCACCTCGGCGGGCAGTGGGTGCATTGCGGCGCTCGAGAGCGAGAGATTGCTCGCTGCCGAGGAGGAGGCGGATCCCGTCACGATTGCGGCGGCTGAGCATTACACTGGCACGGACAAGGAGTAAAGAGGGAAAGCGTGGTGATGTGGTTCTTTTTTAGATGACGTCCTGGCTGTCAATCCAGTACCATGCCTTTGCAAGACGAAACTTCGATCCATGCTGATGCTGAATACGATTGCAGACTGCCAAAATGCTGCTCTACTCCCAAAGCAACTGTAATCCAGCTGCCAGTACCACCTTACCCGCTCCTACCAACTGTCCCACATCATAACCCCTTCTCCTACTCACGTCGCCACTCTCATGATACATCGGATCAGCAATAGGCCCGTTGCGCTCAAAGACGCTGGTGGCAGGGGCACCCACTTGCCAGAAGCTCTGATGATCTGAGCAGCACGCCGCACTCTTCCCCACGACGAGCTCAGGCGCCCAGAGTTGCGCTGTACGCTGGACAAAGGTGGCGGCACTCTTCGTTCCGATGGTGGTGGGCGAAGCGAGCTGCGGTGCTTCGCCGGGGACGCGATAGGCTATCATGTCTGTTTGAAGTGCAAGACGAATGGGGACGCCTTGCTTTCGCAGATGAGCGGCGTAGTATGATGAGCCTACTAGGCCTTGCTCTTCGCCTGAGAAGAGGATAAGGTGCAGTGGGCGGCGGCGAGATGCTTTGGACCGAGGGGCACTGATGGCCTGTCCCAAGACGCGTGTCAGGGCAAGGAGCATGGCCGTGCCACTGCCATCATCATCTGCCCCTGGGGCGCGCGAGGAGCCGAATGAGCCGCGTGAGTCGTAGTGGGCGGTGAGGACTACGGCGCCCTCATCCTCGTCTGCTTTTCCCTCGTTGCCGCCCTCGCCGGGGATGATGCAGACGACATTCGGATTGAAGCTTCCATCCCCGTAGTGCCAAAAGTCACACCTTGCTCCTGGCACAGCGGTAGCCGACTCTGACGCTCCGCTCTCCTCGAGTCCGAGCGCAGCCCTCTGCTGCGCCAGCAGCCACCTCGCAGCCGAGTAACCCCCATATGTCGACGAATGTCTAGTCATCCAGCGCGACGTGCCCGGCAAGGGGACGGGCGAAGAAGCATTTTCCCCCGTGAGGGCATCTAGATCCTGCTGAATGCGCTCGTGCGACTGGAGGAGCGGGGAACGAAGCCAGGTTGAGATGTAGGTGTCGCTCAGGGTAGGGGTGGGGAAGCCTGGCTCTGGCTTGTCTTCTTGAGGAGGCGCGAAACTTGTAGAATGGACTGGTGGGAGGAGGTAGGGACGAACGTAGCGTGGAAGACAGCGATCCAGCGTGGCTAGGCCGGAGTGCGGGACGAAGAGGAGTGTGGAGCGATTGGTGCTAACCAACGTCTTTGTGCTCAGCGACTTTGCAGCCTGGCGAGAGCGTAGAACTTGCGGGGCGTCGTGGTCCCGAAAGACGCTCCTGACGTAGGGCGAAATCGTATGAGGAGTGCTGAAGTAGTAATTCAGATCGTTGCGGGCGAAGGAGGCGATTTCTGGATCGCCTGCTGGATCGCAGAGCAGTCTGACCTCCTCGTCAACACCGTCTTCGAGGCGATGTGTAACGAGAGAATGGTCGACGACCTCGCGTGTCAGCCAGATCAAACTGCCTTGATCCTCTCGGAGAAAGCTCGTTGACACAGCAGTGGACTCGACGTCGCCAGCCGGAGGCTCCCACGACAGCGTCGCGATCCCATCGTAGTCTGGTACTTGAGCGTAGATGGACGAGGCTGGCTGGCCTGTCGCAGGACTGCTCGGACCCGCGGAGAAAGCGATGCGCAATGCTCTCGGTCTTGTGCTCCCTGTGGAATTCTTGGGTAGGAAGACGAGGCAGCCTAGCATTACCGCCAGCGATGCGGCGATCAACCTGTTGATCCATCGATGTCCTCGTGGAGACAGGAGCCGGTCCGGCAGTCTCAAGAAGGGCTCTGATGCCTGCTTCGTTGGCAGCTTCTCATCTTGAGACTCGACTGGCAGCAGTGGTCTCTTTGATGGCTCGTTCTTGATCGCCATCCTGACAGACGAGATTGCTGAAAGGACTGAATGGCGACGTCGCGGCGTCCTGAGGATCGCCGAGCGCAGGGGCCACCACGCAAAGCCACGCGGCCCTCTTTGGCCGCCAGTCCGCGACGCGCTTGACGCGACGGGGCAGAAGGGCGGGCAGGCGGGCGGGCAAGGCATTCCCACTTTCGCGCCGCCCTCGTCCACCTCATCACCTCATCATCCTATCCTTCACGACCGCCTCACCACCAGATCTCGCTGCTGCACCGCTGCCGCTACCTCGCACAAGGGCACATTGCCCACGATGCTCCTCTCACTCGAGATCACCAACTTCAAGTCCTACAGAGGCACCCAAGTCATTGGCCCCTTTAAAAGCTTCTCTGCAGTCATTGGCCCCAATGGCAGCGGCAAGAGTAACTTGATGGACGCCATCTCCTTTGTCCTCGGCGTCAAGTCGTCGCAGATGCGATCCAGTGGCCTCAAGGACGTCATCTTCCGAGGCAGGAGGATGGCCGCCGACCCTGGCAACGCCTCTGGCGAATCCGACGACGATGAGGCAGAAGGAAGCGCAGCTGATGCGCAGAAGGCTACCGTCGTTGCCGTCTACGAGGATGCGACTGGCAAGGAGTGGCGCTTTGAGAGGAGCGTCACGCTGGCTGGTGCATCAGAGTACAAGATCAATGGTCGCGGGCAGTCGTACAACTCGTACAATCGACAGCTTGAGAAGTTCAAAATTCTTGTCAAGGCAAAGTGAGTGCGGCCGCCATGAGATGATGTATGTGCACAAAGCTGACATGCTTTGCCTCGTGTTCCATCGTAGAAACTTTCTCGTCTTCCAGGGAGACGTAGAGGCTGTAGCTCAACAGAACCCAAAGGAGCTCACGCGTCTCATCGATCAGATCTCGGGCTCACTCGAGCTCAAGGAGGAGTACGAGCAGGCCAAGGAGAGAATGGAGCGTAGCCAAGAGGAGAGCGCAGCTGCCTTCAACAAGCGTCGCGGTATCAATGGAGAGCTTAAGACGTTCCGCGAGCAGAAGTCAGAGGCCGAGAAATGGGAGAGGCTGCAGGAAGAGAGAGACGCACACCTGCTCCAATTACTCCTCTGGCAGCTTTACCACATCCAACAGCAGCTTGACAAGTCGCGTGAGGACATTGACGAGCAGAATGCCCACATGCCCGACCTTCGCAAAGGCGTCAGCACCGCAGAGGCCAATGTCGACACGAGAAGGAAGGAAGCGGCCAACGTCCTTCGAGACGTCAGCAAGGCCGAGCGAGACATCAAGAAGCGTCAAAAAGAAATTGAAGAGAAGCAGCCTCAGTTGGACGCCCTCGACGAGCGCTCCTCGCACTCTCGCCGTCGCATAGGCGCAGCAGAGAAGATCATCTCCGACGTCGAGCGAGACGTCATTCGCTCCCGCAATGAGCTGGCCAAACTAGAGCGAGATTACGACAGCGCCAAGCAGGCTGCCCAGAGGGCTGAGGATGCCGAGAAGGAACGTGGCGCTGGCCTCAACTTGAACGAAGCAGATCTCGAGGAGTACCACAATCTGCGCGCAGAGGCTTCGACGCGCAAGCCGTCCGAGCGACAGCAGCTGGAGACGCACCGCAAGCAGCTCAAGGCACAGCAGGCGACTGTCCAATCCCTGGAGGACAAGTCGAAGCGCCTCGCACGCGCACAAGAGAAGCTGGAAGCTGAGAGTGGCGTCGCCGCAGAGAAGAAGGACGCTCTTGAAGCACGACGCACCGAGCTCCAGACTCGACTGCAGGACGCCAAGGCTGAGCTCGCGCGACTGCAATCGGAGCGCACCCGTATCGGCAAGAGGGAGACGGAGCTCAATGATACCCTGCAGACATGCTACACGAAGCTCATCCAGGCCGGTAATGATGCGAGGGAGTCGGAGCGCGAGGCTAAGATGAAGGAGAGCATTGCCAATTTGGCTAAGCTGTTCCCTGGCGTGCGAGGGCGATTGGTGGATCTGTGCAAGCCCACGCAGCATAAGTACGACTTGGCTATCCAGACTGTTCTCGGCCGCAACACGGATGCGGTCATCGTAGACCAGGAGAGGACTGCCATCGACTGCATCGAGTACCTCCGCAACCAGCGCATTGGCCAAGCTACCTTCCTACCCCTCGACACCATCCAAGCCAAGCCCATTAATGACCGTCTTCGCTCGGTTGCCCGCGGCGCTCGTCTCGCCATCGACGTCATCCAGTACGACGCCTCGCTCGAGCTTGCGATTCAGTACGTCTGCGGCAACGCCCTTGTCTGCGACACGATGGACGTAGCCAGACACCTCAGCTACGAGAGGAAGATCGAAGCCAAGGCCGTCACTCTGGAGGGCACCATCATCCACAAGTCAGGTCTCATCACCGGTGGCCAAGCAGGCGAGCAAAAGAAGCGCTGGGAGGAGAGGGAGGTCCAAGGTCTGCAGCGACAACGGCAAGAGTGCTCGGCTGAGCTCAAGGAGCTGCAACAGGAGCGCCACAAGCTTCCTACCGAGGAGAGTCTCGTCGCCAGGGTCGGGGAATGCGAGACGAAGCTGGCAACGTTGCGCGATGATCTCTCTGCCGCTACCAGCCGACTCGATGGCCTGAACACTGAGCTCAACAATGTCAAAAAGCAAACAACCGACATTGCTCCGCGCGTCACCGCTGCTCGCAACGAGGTGACCGCCACGCAAAGCTCGGTCGACAACCTCAAGACAGTCGTCGACGAGGACGACGACGAGGTCTTTGCCGACTTCTGTGCGCGCATTGGCGTCTCTGACATCCGCGAATACGAGGAGCGCCAGCTCCAGCAGCTAGAGCGTCAGCGCGACGCCCGCCTCGAGTTTGAGACGCAGATGAAGAGGCTGGAACACCAGATCAATTTCACCAAGGCGCAGCTCAAGAGTCAGGAGGAGCGACTTCAGACCAACAGGCGCGTCATCGAGAAAGAGACGGCTCGCATTGATACGGTCGCACAGGAGAAAGCTACAGTCCAGGAGTCAATCGACAAGATACAAGAGGACATCAGGGAGCGCAACGATCGTCTCACTCAGCTGCGCGAGGACCATGAAAAGGCGCAACAGCAGCTTACCGACGCCAAGCGCGATCTAAGCAAGGCGGCTCGAGCGCTCGACAACACGATCAAGGAGGTGGCTAACATGAATGACCAAATGGAGAAGCTGGCCTCGCAGCGGGGCGATATCTTCAAGCGCTGTCGACTGGAGGAGATCGACTTGCCCCTCATTTCTGGGTCACTGAACAAAGTCTCGCTCACCAACGACCCGACGGGCGATCTGGTCCCGATGGACATCGATGACGATAACGATGAGACGCAGCATGCCATTTTTGTGCCCGACTTCGGGATCGAGGTCGACTTTGATGATCTGGACGACGCGGCGAAGGAGGACGGGAGCGCAGCGATGGAGGCCGAGCTCAAGTCCAACATCGAGAAAACGTCGGCCGCTATTGAGCGCATGGCGCCCAACATGAAGGCTGCTGACAGGCTCGGCGACACGGAGGCAAGGTACAAGGAGACGGAGGGCGAGTTTGAGAAGGCGAGGCGGGAGGCGACGGCTGCGAGGAATGCATTCAACGATGTCAAGGAGAGAAGGGTGAAGTTGTTCACTACGGCATTCAACTACATCAGCACGCACATTGACAAGGTGAGCGCGCGCTAAGACGACGCGTGTCGAGTCCAGAAAACCAGTGAGCTGAACCTACTTCTCTTGCTTGCCACGACTCGCAGGTCTACAAAGACCTTACCAAGAGCAGAGCGATTCCAGCAGGCGGAATCGCCTACCTCTCACTTGAAGACGACGAAGAGCCCTACCTCAAAGGAGTTCGTTACACGGCCATGCCCCCCATGAAGCGCTTCCGTGACATGGAGCAGCTATCTGGAGGCGAGAAGACCATCGCCGCCTTGGCCTTGCTATTCTGCATCGCCATGTTCAGCCCTCCGCCCTTCTTTGTCCTCGATGAAGTGGACGCTGCGCTCGACAGCCAGAACGTCGCGAAAGTGGCTGCTTACATTCGCCAGAAGGCGCGAGCGGACTTCCAGTTCATTGTCATTTCGCTCAAGGCTACGCTTTATGAGCAGGCAGAGGGTCTGGTGGGTGTATACAGGAAGGCGGAGGAGGTGAGTACGCGTGGTCCGAGAAGACAGAAGGTACAAAGCCAAGCTGACCCCCTACTTGCCTCACTTCTTCCTGCAGAATCAGAACTCGTCGGCCAGCCTGACGCTCGACCTCGAGAAGTACAATTAGTCGAGACGTTGGCAACTGTGTCCCGTTCATTCCCTTGTCTCTTTTCATGTTGTCTTTGCCTGCCTCGCCCCCCGCGCCCCCCCTTGTACCATTCTTCTCAAAGTCATCTGCCCCGCCTCGATTCCTTGTCGCGAAAATTCATTGTTCGTTGTTCAATTGAGAGCTGATAAGCTACTGTCTGTTTAGTTGTACATTTGCGCTGCCATCTCGAGCCCTCACGACCTCCCTCTGACCCTCGACCTGGACCTAGACCTGCTAGTCTCTTTGGGCTCGTACTTGTACAATCGCCTATCCTCGAGCGATTTAGCTGGAGGTCTTCCGCCCGCTTCAGCGAGGCATGGCGAGTGGAATATGTTGCCCTTCAAGGCGCCGAGCGTTGTCAAGCTGGCCACCATTAGCCAAAAGAGGACGACGCACAGGCTCAAAATAGTGGCTATGACGCGCCACGCACCGCTATCCAACTCTTTTGCGAACTGGATTGCCGCTGAAGCGAAGACACCGAGGGGGAAGGTGAGTCCCCACCAGGAGAGGGAGAACTCCAGCGATGTCACCGAGGCCATATCGATGAAGAGGCTGACGGCTAGGACGAGCCAGACTAGTCCCAGTCCCCAGAGAAGCAGTGCTGCGACGATCGAAACGCCGTATATTGCGGTTGCCATTGTCCGCGCATCGTCCGCCGTGGCACTCGCGGGTGTGCCGAGCGCCTGACCTGTTGACTTGGAGAGTGACCAGAGGGTCGCAGAGAGCTTGAGAAGCCCAAATGAGCCCTGGCCACATGGACCAAGGGGAAGGAAGGCGCTGACGACGAGAGCGGCTGGCGGGATCTTGTAGACTGCCTGCGGATGAGCATGCGCGTGGAAGTGGTGGGAGGAGCAAAGTCAGTAAAGCGAGATTGACTAGCGCGACGCGTCTTTTTGCGGTTGCATTGCTCGCTCCACTTGACAACTCACAAGTCTCAGATAGTACAGCGCCATGAGCAAGATTGCCAGGCCGAGACCAGTGCCGAGCTGGATCCACGAAACGATGAGCGTAAGCCTCGCGTGATGCGGAGGCAGGATAGCGGCCACAATGCCACCCGAGGCACCCGTGACCACCGTCGAGACGACGGGCAGGAACCAGACGCCAGTGATCTTGTCGATGGCATGCTGGTGTCTCGTGAACTGAAGGAAGGGCAAACCGATGCAGACGAAGACTGCGATGACGCTGTTGATCCACCAGAGGACCCAGGTGAATGTTGCGAAGCCAGACCCCCAGGCTGGAGCAGCTGAGAGTGCGCACATGTTAACGATGGTGGTGAAGCCCATGGAAAAGGTGCCCAGGAAGAGGGACTGGGTAGGGTGGAAGAGCATGGTAGGGAACATCTGCGGCCAGATGATGTAGCGTGCTGCGCTAATGAGGAGGAAGAGGAGGAAGAGGAGCACATTGAATCCGAAGATGACATTCGAGATGATGCCCAGCCCACGGAACTGGTAAGGCAGCTCGTGCAGCAGAATCGAGACGATTCCCGTACCCATGTTGACGCTGAACCAGGATGGGGTGAAGTTGAGGATGACACGGCGCGTCTCTGCCATGGCTTTGCTGCGGGGCCGAGCTGATGGTGGTTCGGAGAGGGGACTGGGCGGAGTGGACGACGTCGAGAGGCCGTTGGCGCCTTCCTCTTGTCGTCGCACCTCTTGGCCTGAAGGGTGCACGATGGTCGGCGTGGTGGTCGGCCCACCAGCACGAGAAGTGGATGCCTCGCGCATATCGCTCGTGGCGTCCTGGTTAGGACTGGATGACGAAGTGGTAGTCATAGAGACGGTTGGATGGAGAGGTGAACTCAACGCGTAGGGATTCATGTTGCCCTGCCCTGCTGTCTTCTATCAGCGATGCGAGGGTCCGTGCTGGCTGGCTAGCTGATTGACTGACTGAATGGCTTGGAATCGAGATGTACTGTCGACAATTAAGTTGACCTCGCCACTTCGTCGGCCGGCGGCCGGCAATGGCACATAAATTGTCGTGTGCCCGCCTACGCCCGGCGACGCTAAGCCCTAATTAGCCGTGCTTCCGTGCCCCCCGCCTTGCTGACTAAGCAAGAGGAGCGGGCTGCAACACCGTGCAGACATGTAATTGATGTGCGCCGGGCAGGCCAACACTTCCTTCCGCCCGTATTCGCAACAGTCCACTCTCGTTCCTCATCTCGTCCATTCTGGGTGCTCACACGTGCAATGGCACGCAAGGAGAAGGCTCTTTCTGCCAACCCGGCAGAAGCGGCACGCAAGGCTGCTCGTCAGCGCGAGTTGAAGCGCAACAAACAGTCTCGAGAGCAGACGCGCGAGCACAACTTGGTCAAACGCGATGTCAAGCCTTTGGAGGATCAGATCCGCAGCCTAGAGCGTAGCGGTAGCGACAATCCAGGCCTTGAGGCGCTACGTGCTGAGCTCAAAAAGACGCGAGAGGCCAAAGACAAGTACCTCGCTGCGCATCCGGAGCAGCGTCACCTCATCTATCCACACGAGGCGAAAGCGGCCGCAGCGAGGGCCGAAGCTGCAAGCAGGGATGATGGGAGAGGATTATTCAGGCTGGATGGGAAGCCGCGCCATCCGGAACGGAGTGTATACTACGATCCAGTGTTCAATCCGTGGGGCGCTCCACCACCAGGCATGCCTTACGCTGAGAAGCCAATGCACCTCTGGGCTGAGTCGTCGATGGCGCCAGGAGCAGGGCAGCGAGGTGCTCAGCAAGCGGTAGCGATGCCGGCGGAGGGCAGTGCTATGCGAGAGGAGGAAGATGATGAGGGGGAAGGAGATGACGATGACGATGACGACGATGACGACGATGACGATGACGGGATTATCATGCCAGCTGGGCCAGCGCCAACGGCTATGGACGAGGACGAGGACGACGAGGACGACAGCGATGATGATGATATTGTCATGCCCTCTGGCCCACCACCGCCTCGACCTCCTGCTGCGCCTTCATCGATGGCTCAAGTTCATCAGCTGCAATCTCCGGCCCCAGCTGCCTTCAAACCGCCACCTCCTCCTGGTGTACCTCTTCGTCCTCCTCCTCCACCACCGCCTGGGGGATATGCAGGTCCACCACCCGGCTTCGCTCCGGGTCCCGGCCCTGGCAATGGCACGCCCCATCCTCCTTCTCGCCCACCATCGCATGGATTTTTTCAGCAACCACCTCCCCCTCCGCATGGGTATCCGCATCAACCGCCACCGCCACCACCGCCTGGTGGCTTCTACAACGGGCCCCCCTTGCCGCCTCACGTCCGCCCACCCCCGCCTGGTTGGGCGCCGCGGCCGCCATTTCGTCCTGCTCCACCTGGGGCCCCTAGCACTTCCGCGGGCCCCAACCAGCAGCACGCGCGGCCACCCCCTGATGCTCCACGAGGGCCTTCGTCTGACAACAGCAGCGGCGGCGGCGGCAGTGGAGGCGTAGTCGCTTCTTCCCCACCCATTCCGGCGACCACTTCCTCATCCTCCTCCTCCTCTTCAGCCGTCACACAATCCGCCGCCCCTGTAATGCGCGACCTGCGCAAGGAAACGACCGTGTTCCTCCCGTCTAGCGTGAGAAAGCATCGCTCCAAAGACGTCAAGAGGGCGAAAGTCGCCGGGCTACCTGCGCGAGCAGATGGCAGGGGTGGATTGGGCGATGATGATGACGATGATGATGGCAAGGGGCCCGTCGAAGAGGCAGCGCAGAGAGAATCAGCGAGCGAGAGGTTGAGACAAGAGGAGCAGCCAATAGCCTCGTCGTCTACCGCGACCTCTGCCTCGCCGCCCGTACCGGAGCTTAGAGGCAGCTCAGCGACCCCAACACCAGCAGCGCCAGTTGCGGAGCCTAAGCCGGCAGCAGCAGCGACAAAGCCCTCTGGTCTTCTCTCCTACTACTCAGACTCGGACGAGGAAGACGACGAGGACAACGATGACGAGTCCGCAGTCGCTCCTGCACCACCAGCTACTACAGTCCCAGCGGGGAAAGCGGGCCCACGAATCAATCTCGTCGAGGCTCTATCGAAGGTGCCGTTCGCCGCAGGCTCTGCTCCTGGTTCTGCGGAATCATCGACAGGCCAGGCTGGCAAGGGAGGCGACGACGAGTACAAGCGCTACCTCGCCGACGTGGGGGATCTGCTCGAGGAGGGAGGAGGTGGGGACGAGGAGTAGAAGCAAACGACGCCAAGATGGCTAATCTCATGTTGAATGCGTTTATTTGGTATGGTCACAATCTAGAAGTCAATAATTCGTAGCCTACATCAATCTCATCTCGAAACGCTCGCCCGCACACAGCATGTTGAAATGTCCACCACCTCTCGCGCGTATCTGCCTTCCCTCCCATCCCACCCTCTGACTGCATCTACTGCCGCTTCGCTCAAGCCAGACCGACGACATTTCCATCCTCATCCAGATCAATGTCAAAGGCTCCCGGCCTGGTCGACAGGCCCGGCATCGTGGAGATGGCTCCGACCTGCGGGTAGATAAACCCTGCTCCTGCGCTCAGCTTGGCCTCACGAATCGGCACAGTGAATCCCGTCGGGGCACCCTTCAGAGCCGGGTCGTGGCTCAACGAGAGGGGAGTCTTAGCCATGCAGATGGGCAGGTGTCCAAAGCCCTGGCGCGTGTACTCGGCCAGCTGCTTCTCGGCCAGCGCGTCAAGCTGGATGCCCGAGGCGCCATACATCTCCTTTGCGATGGTCTCGATCTTCTCCACCAGGGGCATCTGCAAGTCGTACAGGAACTTGAAGTTGGACTTCTGTCCCTCCAGCTGGCGGATGACAGCCTGAGCCAAGTCGGTAGCCCCGGCGCCTCCGAGCGCCCAGTGGTTGGCGGGGACGGCCTCGTCCGCTCCGTTCTCCATAGCAATCTTGCGCACCAGCTCCAGCTCGGCGTCGGTGTCGGTGGTGAACTTGTTGATGGCAACCACGACCTTGAGGCCGTACTTCTTCGCATTGCTGATGTGCTTGACCAAGTTGGAGCGCGCGCCGGCCTCGAGGAGCTCCAGGTTCTCCTGCGAGTAGGCCTCGGCGAGCGGCTTGCCGGGGGAGACCTCCGGTCCGCCACCGTGAGTCTTGAGAGCTCGGACGGTTGCGACGAGCACAACAGCGTCCGGTACCAGGCCGGACTCGCGGCACTTGATGTTGGCGAACTTCTCCATGCCGATGTCGGCGCCGAAGCCGGCCTCGGTGATCACGTAACCAGAGGAGGAGTCGTTCTCTCCCTCCTCAAGACCAGCAAGCTTGAGCGCTACCCTGTCAGCCAGGATGGACGAGTTGCCGTGCGCAATGTTGGCGAACGGACCAGCGTGCACAAAGACGGGAGTTCCCTCGATGGTTTGCATCAAGTTGGGCTTGATGGCGTCCTTCATCAGCACAGCGAGGGCGCCTCCGAAGCCCAGGTCGTCGGCGGTGATCGGGTCGCCCTTGCGGGAAGAGCAGACGACCATTCGGCCCAAGCGCTCGCGCATGTCCTTGAGATCCTTGGCGAGGGCGAGGACGGCCATGCACTCCGAGGCGACGGCGATGTCGAAGGCCGTCTTGCGGGTGATTCCTGGGATTGATGCAGGGGATGGGGAGGAAATGTCAGCGATCAGCAGCTCCAGTGGATCATTAGTGCTCGCCGCACTTACCCTTCTCAGTGGGCGACTCTCCAACGGTAATCTCCCTCAAGTAGCGGTCGTTGGTGTCGGTAACACGGTGCCAAGTGATAGTCTCAGGGTCAATGTCCAGTCTCGCAAAGCGCGACTTTTCGTCGTCCGTCAGGTCGTCAGGGTTCGTCTTGTCGATGCCCAGCTTCTTGAGGCGACGGAACATGATGGGCGCAAATGTGCGCTTACCCCCCTTCTTGGGCACAAGCCTGTCGAAGAGCGGTCCGTCCTTCTGCGTCGACTCGTGGAACATGCGCGCGTCAAGGCCCGCAGCAAGCAAGTTGTTGGCAGCTTGAACAGCGTGGTTGTCTCCCGTGAGATGGAGGTTGAACTCCTCCATCGGAATGACTTGCGAGTATCCGCCGCCAGCCGCTCCACCCTTGATGCCAAAGGTTGGGCCCTGCGAAGGTTGACGGACACATGCGAAGGCTGGCTTGCCCAAGTGAGCGCCAAGAGCTTGTGCGAGACCGATGGTCGTCGTAGACTTGCCCTCACCGAGAGGCGTGGGGGTGATACCAGCTACGACGATGTACTTTCCATCACGGCGGTGCGCGAGGCGCTTGAGGACGTCAAGGGAGACCTTGGCCTTGACGTCTCCATAAGGCTCGAGTTCGGAGGGGAGGAGGCCAATCTCCTTGCCAATGAGCGAGATGGGCTTGGGCTTCTGGCTGCGAGCGACAATGATGTCTGCTGGGACCTTCTCAAGGGGCTGAATAGGGTTGGGCGAGGTGACGCCGCGTGCGAGACCGGCCTTGCGTTCCTTGAGCGTCTTCTCTGCGCCGCGGAGAACATTGTCCATGAGCATAGCGACGGTCATGGGACCCACGCCTCCCGGAACAGGAGTAATGGCTGCGGCCACCTTGGCAGCGGACTCAGCGTCAACGTCGCCTACGAGACGCTGGCCTGACTTCTTGGTCGAGTCTGGGATGTAGTTGGTGCCGACGTCGATGACGATCGATCCCTTCTTGAGCCATTCACCCTTGATGAAGTGGGGCTTGCCGATGGCAGCCACGACAATGTCTGCGTCCTGGAGGTGCGAGGGCAGGTCCTTGGTGCGCGAGTGAACCTGGGTGACTGTGCAGTTCTTGGAGCGCAAGAGGGAGACGACGGGGTTACCAACGATGTCGCTTCGGCCGAGTACGGTAGCGCGGAGGCCAGAAAGGTCGTCGAGACCAGCCTGCTCAAGGAGCTTGATGACGCCGGCTGGAGTGCAGGGAACGAATTGAGGGTTGCAAGCCTTGGACGAAAGGTGGCCGATGTTGAGAGCGTGGAAGCCGTCGACGTCCTTTGCCGGGCTGACTGCTTCGGTGACGCGTCGCTCTGCCTCTGCGTCGATGTGGTCTCCGAGGGGCAGCTGGACGAGGATACCGTCTACGGTTGGGTCTTCATTGAGGTCAGTGACCGTCTTGATGATGTCGACCTCAGTGCAGCCAGCGGGCAAGTGAGTGTGGGTAAAGTTGAAACCGCACTCCTCAGCTGCGAGCCTCTTCATGCGGATGTAGGTGGACGATGCCGAGTCCTCTCCGACTTGGACAATGACAAGGCGAGGGTCGAAGGATGGGTTGTCGGCCTTGAGCTGCGAGACTCGCTCCTTGACACCAGCTCTGACTGACTTTGCCAGGGCGGTGCCATCGATGATCTTTGCCTGACCAGGAGCGAGCTCACTGCCGGGAAGGGCAGAGGCGGCTGATGCTGCAGCCATGATGACGCGAGGAGAGGTGTGAAAGGGGCGCGAGGTGTTGGGGAACCGAGACGTCCTGTCGGTGGTGAAGTTGGATATGGGGGGCGTAGGCCGACTTGTCAATAGAAGGCGTGCCGACGCGAGAGTGTTGGAGATAGGTGAGCGGCGAGGGGTGATGTTTCTCAGCAATCTTGTGCCTAATGGCATCGAGGTTGAAGAGAAAAGGCAAGGAAGGAGGGGTGTGGGGCAGTTGGGGACAAAAGCAAAGGCGTCGGACCAGTCGACGCTCCTTCTCGCCTTCGCTTCGGCGTCTGTGCGGTGCGAGCGAGCGGAGGTCAGAGTGCCACAACTGGAGCGGAACGGCAAATTGGCTGACGGACGGACTCACAGCCAGTCGAGAAGATCCGGCCACGAGGCAAGTCAAGTCAAGTCGAGAGGGACCGGGACGAGAACACGGAGAAGCGCGGCAGTTGATCTTGAACGCTACTACCATCACCTCGATATGGCCCTCTCACGGCTGGCAGCCCTCAGAGCAGGCGCTCCTCCTATCGCTGCAAGGCATGCTTTTCGCTCTCTTGGCGCACAAGCACCTCGCCATGCATCCACCCAACCTCCTCCTACACCGACGAATGTGGGCGCAACTCCTCCTGTAACACCACCAGTTGCACCTCCAGTCACCACTTCCCTTTCTCCCAGCTCGTCATCATCATCGAAGAAGAGCAAGGGAAGCGGGCCTGTCGGATCTCTAGTCTCATTGACTCTCTTCCTCTTTGGTTCCACCTTCCTCGTCACCTACTACCTTGACTCACGCTCGGCAATCCATCGATGGGTCGCAATGCCTTTCCTCCACACCTTCCTCGACCCAGAGTCGGCACAGAAGCTGGCGATTGATCTGCTACAGAGCGGCATCGCTCCCAGGGACTATACAGGGGATGATGAGGCGCTTGAGTCGGATGTGAGTGTGCGACGAGAGGCTGAGTTGAAGGATGTATGCGCGTGTTGTGGCTGCTGACTGGTCCATCTGTGCCGTCGCACAGCTATTTGGAATGCCCGTTGCGAACCCCATTGGGCTGGCAGCAGGCTTCGACAAGCAGGCAGAGGCCATCGATGGGCTCTTCGATCTAGGTTTCGGGCTCGTCGAGATTGGAAGCGTCACTCCGGAACCACAGGTGAGCAAGCTCGCGCCCAGCTAGCTACCCTCCCTCTCCTCGAAGCTCATATTCTCTTCGCATTCGCAGCCGGGCAACCCCCTCCCGCGATACTTTCGTCTGCCAACCCACTCTGCCTCGATTAATCGATTCGGTTTCAATTCAGACGGCCACCTCGTCGTCCTAGATCGCCTCCTCGCCCGCGTCAGGGACCACCTCGTCGCGCACCCTCACCTCATCCCCAGCAACTTCCTCCCCGACCCACGCTCACCAGACGCAGACCCGCGCATCTCACAACGCGACGTCCACGTAGCCGCTGCTGAGCGCATCGCAAGCGATCCAGAGCTGGTTGCGAGACTGCTCGACGCGCATGGCATGCCGCGATCATTGAGGAAGGGCAGATTGTTGGGCGTCAACCTGGGAAAGAACAAGACGAGCGCAGAGGCAGACGCGACTGACTTTGTCAAGGGAGTCGAGACTTTTGGACCTCTGGCCGACTATCTCGTCATCAACGTCTCATCGCCCAACACGCCTGGCTTGCGAAACCTGCAAAAGCGGGCCGCCCTCGAGTCCCTGCTCAGGCAGGTTGTCCATGCCCGTGATCAGCTTGCCTTCCGTCCTGTACCCACTCAACACGCAAAGGCAGACCCGCAAGCAGCACAGAGACGTGTCCCTCTGGTCCTCAAGCTCAGCCCCGACCTCTCTCAGAAGGAGCTGGACGAAGTCACCTCTGTCATCCTCGAAACGCGCAGGAAGGGCGCCAACCCAGCAAGTGGCATAGACGGGGTCATCATCTCCAACACCACGACGTCGCGCCCACTCTTGCCTGCAACACTTCCCCCCGACTCGCCCGAATGGTCGACCCTGCGTGAAGCTGGCGGCCTCTCTGGCCCACCGCTGCGTCCACTCGCTCGTAAAGCCTTGCAGCAGGTAGTAGGCCGACTGCGCGACTCTGGCCTGGAGGTGATCGCTGCAGGCGGTATCACGACGCCAGAAGACGTACTCCAAGCCACGCTCGACGATGGTGCTACGGCAGTGCAGTGCTACACGGCCTTTGGGTGGCAAGGAGTTGGGATGGTCAGCAGGTGGAAGGAAGAGCTGCGGCGCTTGCTCTCATCTAGGGATGCGAGAGAGAAGCAGGTAGGAGGCCGAAAGGCACCGCCTGCCGTCGCTATAGTTGAAGAGCCGTCGGCGAGCAATACTTGGCGCACTCTCAGTCGTAGCACGGCCCTCTCCCTCTCCCAGCGTGAGGCGGCGCGTAAGCAGGCTGACGAAGAGGCGCTTCGTCGTGGTGTTAGAGGGGAATTGAGGGACTTGCAGCGCCAGATGGGCGGGGACGGTGATGTGAACCGAACGAGGGAAGACGGAGTGTGGTGGCCGGCAGAGACCGACGAGCCCTACACTAATCTGCTCAGGAGTGCACGAGAGGCTCTTGGCCTGCCCAGCCCGGCCTTGGCTGCTAAGAAGGCAAGCAAGGGCCCAGATGGGTCGGGCGACGTGGTTCCCCCTGCTATGGTGCTTGGTGGGTCCACGAGTGCAGGAGCGGGTGGGGCGCCGGTTGAGGACAAGGGGTCGAAGGAGGAGAGGGGCGTGCAGGTGGTGGGAGTTGTGGGCGAGGAGTACGTGCAGGGACCGAGTAAGGCGGGTGATGCGAAGAAGGGAGACAAGGGACAGTCCTGGATGGAGTGGGCTGGGGTCGACAAGGGGAGGCGAGTTTGAGCGCGAGCGCGGCGAAGGAGACGGGAGATTCCTGCAGCCAATCGTAGAGACAATGGAAACGATAGCATAGCCTTTTGCAGACGACCACCGGGGTACAGGGCAACCAGACTGGCGCTGGGTGAATGGACGAGCGACAAGACGAACGAGTCCCATCCCCCCTACCACTCCTCCTCACTCTCCTCTTCATCACTATCATCCCCGCCCATATTGCCCTTACGCTGCGTAAGCGCAGCCGCGAGAGCGCTAGCCAAGTCTCCACCTCCAGCTCCTCCCTCACTCGTATCCATCGAATCATCACCACCTGTCGCGGCAGCCATCGCTCCTCCAGCAGCAGCTCCGCCAGCTGCGCCGTAAGCTGCAGAAGTGGAGCGTGAGGGAGTGGAAGAGGCGCCCCCATCTTCCGTCTTTCGCAGCTGATGGATCCCAGCACCTTGAATTGAGGCGAGCAGCGCGCCACGTCCCTCTTGCGGGGCAGGCATTGCTGCCGGCGGCGCTCCGCCTGGTGGAGGAGGAGGCGGAGGAGGAGGAGCGGCACCTCCTCCACGCGCAGGGGGAGGTGGTGGTGGCGGCGGTGCAGCTGCTCCTCCTGCTGCAGGACGACTTGGAGGTGGTGGTGGCGGAGGCGGGGCTGCGGAGCCTCCGCCTCGTGCTGGAGGTGGCGGTGGTGGGGCGGACGCTGCAGAGGTTGATGTTGGCCTCGCGGGCGGGGGAGGAGGTGGTGGTGGGACGGAGGCTCCTCCTCGCGCAGGTGGCGCCGGCGGAGGAGCAGGAGCAGGCGGAGCAGGAGGCGCTGACGCAGTACTGGCCGGCCTGACCCTCGGCGCAGGCGGAGGAGGTGGCTGCTTCCTTGCACCCCGTACAGGCGCAGGTGGGGGAGTCTTCTTTGTCTTGCCGCCAGCAGTAGCGCCTGTCTTACCAGGCCCACCTCTCGCTCCAACAAAGTCCCGAATAAAGCCCTCGTTCTTCGCTATGTCCTTCTCGCTTACGCCCATACTGCCCAACTTTTCGAGCAGAGCCGCCCAGCTTGGGTCGACGTTGCGGGATGAGAAGCCAGACTCGTTCGTGTAGCCCATGTGAGCCACATGTTGGAAGGACGACGGGGATGAGATCATCGATTTATCGATGGGTCCGCCTTTCTTCTTCTTCTTGCCGGAAGACGAGGCAGCAGCCGCTGCTGTGGACTTTGAAGATGATGGCTTGGCTGTGAGGATGGGGAATGAGGCGAGGCAAAGGTCAGAGGTTGGACAGCTGCGTGTATGCAGGGATCACTGCTGTACCCACAGTACTTGGCTCGAGCATTGACCTTCTTGACAAAGTCATTTGCCTCGCCCTCGTCTGCGAAGGAGAAGCCGATGAGATAGTCCTGGGCAAGAATGAGAAGAGGAGCATAGTCAGCATAATGACCTCGCTGGCCGCTTTCGCCTGCACTCACGTCCCCCTCGAAGGTGTGGAAGAAGCTGCGATCTTGATTGTAGACTAGCCCGTCGTAGAGATCATGGTCCCAGATGACGCCGCGAGTGCCCTGTTGACGTAGTGGCAGGGGCCATCAGTTCAACCACTCCGTACCTCTGCCTCTGCCTCGGCCGCTGCCACCTCAACGACTCACCTTGAGATCGACACATCGGAACCCAGTGCCTCCCGTACTCAGCAGCTTCACAAAGGCCAGCCCACCCTCAATGCCCGTGTAGCTCCATGAACTGGGGTCCGGATGAGCAACATAGACTCTTGCGACGGTGGCTGTCAGGATCTTGTAGGTTGACGAGGGGAGGGCCGACTTGATTTTGGACTTGGACGAGGAGGTAATCGTTGACGAGGTAGGCATTGCGGCGGGCGCGAGGTGGGAGGTGACGATGGGAAGGCTATTGTATGCTGCGTGGGATATCGACAGAGAGCGCAAGACGATGGACGTCCAATCGTAGTCGATGCGACGCTTTCGTCGCTGGTTGCGCTAGCTGATAGGGAGAAGAGGAGAAGTTGCATGGGACCAAGGCGGCCGTGCAGTGCAGCCTCTCAGGGCCGGAGTGGAGTCGAGCAGTCGAACCGACTCGAGAAACGCGGGGCGAGTCGAGCTGAGGAAGATCCGGCGCCGCGCCTGAGCTCACCAGTCTCACAAAAGGCGCATCGAGCAAAGGGTAGAGAAAACGGGTAATCAGATTTGCTAGATGTCTATGAATACATGATTGACGATCTGAGACTGTGACAGGGGGTGCTATGGTGGCGATCATTGGGGTTCCTATAGTTCTGGAGAGGATGGTTTCGAATCGGTCTGAGTCGGCCGCTGGCATGGCGCCCGCCTACATGAATGACATCGAGTCATTCGGAAAGATGTGGTGGTGGTGGTGATGGTGGTCAGGCTGATGAAGATGGTGGGGTTGCAAGGGAGTTGAAGCTTGGAGGTGACGAGAGGGCGCTGCAGCTACCGTGGGCACGTGTGGCATGACCGTTACCGCGGGGATGCTCTGCGCCTCATCGGGCGAGCAGGGGGTGTACGCAGTCATGGGCATGGTCATCGCTGAGACCGCAGCTGCTGGGATAGCGGCTGCGCTCACTGCTTCCTGCAAGCGGAGCATGGGCTCGTCCTTCACGGAAGCGAAGCGCGATGACCCCAACGTGGAGTCGGCGGGCGACAAGGGAGCCATGGAGGAGAGGAGCGACGTGGAGGCTGGTGAGGATAGCGTGGCGCCTGAGGCGAGTAGTCGTGACATCTGCTTAGACAAGAGGGGGGCAAAGGATTGCGAGAGGCGAACAATCTCCTGGGGCAGCTCGTTTTTGGATTGCTGTCGTCTCCACCAGTTGGTACGCCGAATGATCGAGGCTGGGTGGGTGAGGCAAGGAAAAGGAAGGAGAAGTGTAAGCCTGAGACAAGCACATATTCTCGCGGCACACGTTCTCACCATCAAGTAACCAAGGGTACTTTCTTGCGAATCGATCGCTGACCTCGTAAGCCTCGGGATCAAATGCATCGTCGCCGTGCACCCAATAAGGCGGCTCAGCCCCGCTCTCCTGGTAGCTGTCGCCCGGCCAGATGTCGACGCAGAGATCATGCTCGTTGACGATGCCGCAGGTCGCCGCTGTGAGGATCTTGTCGCGCACTGTAGGCCAGGGGAAAGAGAGGTCCTGTGGAGGGGCGGCGAGGGGGCGCACAGGGTCAGCCACGGCATAAGAGTCTCATCGCTCTCGATACGCACGACGAAGGGATGGTGGGGTACAGCGCTTGAAAGGGTGCTAGGCTTCATGTTGTCGGGCACGACGTGCCATCTTAGTGTAGGAGCAAGGGCCGACGTGCCTTGTCCGCTGCCATTTTGCGAGCCCGCTTCGATCATCCGCGCACCCGATGCGCTTTGAAAGTCGAGGGCAAGGAAACTGATGGAAGAGTCCTCCTCGATGTAGTCGAAGGTGAGACCAAGTCGCTGCGTGGCTAGTTGGAGGACCTTCATCAGGTCCCAGCGCGGCTTGAGGAGGCGATTGGCCCACGGGATGGCTAAAGCAGTCATGGTGACGAAGCTACGCATAGCTTCCTCGTCTCCTGCGCCAATGCCTTGGTGGGTTGCAAATCGATTGCGTAGCTGCGCGGTCAGAGGCTGCGTAACCGATGATGATGCGCTGGGCAGATCCGAGAGCAGGCTCGTCACCGGGTGTTGATGTTGGACAGACATGATGTCGGACGTAGAGCTGGTGCTGCCATTGCGGCTGCTCCCCGGATATATGTCATCCTGGACATCGATGCTCGAATGATTGTCGCGAGTGACACCAATGCCACCCGAGCCCAGCCTGACGGGGCCCAGCAGCAGGCCGCCATCAGTGCCAGCCACAGATGGCATTGGTATGTTGTTCAGATGCGACGAGCCTGTCATGTTGTTCTGTGAAAGGGGCTCGGGCGAAGCGAGACAGATGGGCGAAGGTCCCTGCGGTTCTGCTGAGTTGGAAGAGGCAGCGATCATCACATGACGGACGGAATTGGCATTGCCATCGTTGGCGCAGTCCACGCCGCCGCCACTATTGCGCTGCTTCTTGAGCTCGTGCCGAGCCTTCTCGCGATGACGTCGCTGAGCGAGTCGATTCTGTTCTTTGCGCTTGCGACGTCGAGCCTCTTCCGTTGCATCGCCATGATGCTGTGTAGATGGAGGCTGGGACGTGCTGGACAGCATTGATGATGATGATGATGGAGGAGGAGGTGGCATGGCGGCGCTCAGTGAGACGCCGGTGTCCACCATGACATTGATGAGCGCGCTGGTCGGGGGCGGGGAGCGAGAAGGAGGCGCAATGAGGTGGAAGGTAGCGCCGCTGAGAGCACGGATGGAAAGGTGAAGAGGTAGGAACAAGGCAAGGCGACGAGGCCCCGGATCAATCGAGTGGTGGAGAGGCAAGCGGGCAGCCGACTTGAGATCTCGCGGGCGGAGCAAGCGGAGAGGCGGCAAGCTTCAGCCTTTTAGCCGGCGCGGGCGGGGGCGCAGGCGCACGACCCCCACACTCAAAAGCGACGAGCAAAGAGCGACGAGCGACGACGAGCTCGCGAGACTAGCCGCCGCCGCCTTAGCACCGAACGGCCATGGTACGAGAGGGCTCAATCGACGCAGGCTGTAGGCTGCGGTGCCTGGTGTCTATTTCCGGCCAAATATAGCGAGCAGTTCAGTGCGATCAATCTTCCGGCACACCGAGCGCTGCTGCTCGCCTCACCGGAATGGCATGATGGCCCCTGCACGCACACGCTTGACTCGCTCGCAGAAGCCGACTTGACTCGCACTCCCGTCCATGTCCGTCCTTCTTGCAGCCGTCGGGTCGATAAGCTTCTTGTCCTCCATTTGTCCTCAGCATCTCTCACCATGTCCTCTCGCGGTCCTGCCTATTCCGTCGCCCGTCACCTAGCAATAGACACGCCATCCCCACCAGTAGCAGAGACGGCCGTCTGGCTGCGTCAATACCCAATCCCATCGTCACCATGGCACGCCGATGCCCCGCGCTACCTCAATCTAGCGCAGGGCGTCCCATCTGGCATGCCCACTGCAGCTATGAGGGGTAAGATGGCCGAGGAGGCAGCAAAAGACAAGCATCACAGCTACGGACCGGCAAACCCGGGGCTGATGGAGGCGCTGGCGCGCAATCTCAATGCCGTCTATCGCGATGGGGATGATAGAGGAAGGGGTGCCGTTACGACGAGCGATATATGCTTGACAGCCGGCTGCAACATGGCTTCTGAGTTTGCCTTCAGGACAGTAGCAGAGCTCGGAGCCAATCATGGGGTTGTTCTGCCCACGCCCTTCGTGAGCGTCACGCACCAGCAGCTGCGCAGCCGCCGCCGCCGCCGCCTCCTCCTCTGACCTCCGTGCACCCCTCGTACCACCTGCCTCCAGTACTTTAATCACAGCATGCAACTCCTTTCCCTCGCCATTGCGCCGATTCCACTACCATGCTCTCCTTCAAATGGCTATCTTCCCTCGCCCACCGACTTCAACTCCCTCCTGGCAAAGCATCGCGCCGACAGTTCCCTTCCCGAAGTGAGAGCTTTGGTCCTCGTCACGCCCAACAATCCGACAGGAGCCATCTACCCGGCAGAATTGATAGGAGACTTCGCAAAGATTTGCAAGCAGGAAAAGGTAGCCCTCATTCTCGACGAGACGTATCGGGACATGCTGGTGCCCGAGGGCGAGGAAGAGGTCCCAAAGGGAGGCAGTATCAAGCAGGTCAGGCCTCATGACCTCTTTAGCGATGAGTTGGAGGGTGACACGGAGTGGCAGTGGAGAGACGGTGAATGCAGCGATGACACCAGCAAGAGACGCAAGCTGACACCGCCTTGCGTCCGCGCAGCCATTATCCACCTTTACTCCTTCAGCAAATCCTTTGCCATCCCAGGTCACCGGCTTGGCGCAATGGTAACCCACCCGCACCTCATCTCTTACGCAACCGCTTCCTCGCCTGGTACGACTGCTGAGCCTCGCGGCGGCGGCGGGGAAAGTGTCCCGACGGAGAGTACCGTCGCTCCACCGACTCGTCGCGAGTTTGGCCCATTGGCAAAAGCGCAAGACAACACCCTGATCTGCGCGCCCCGTACGGACGTTCAAGCCGCCGTTGGGTGGGCGATTGAGGATCCTGGCGAGGTGGCGTGGAGGAGGGATACTGGAGTCAGCCTGGTGAGAAGGGCTAGGCTATTGAAAGAAGGACTCGAGAGGCAGATTGAGCTCGCGACTCTAGGACTGGGACTGGAGGAGAAGGCAGGCGAGGCGAAGAGCCCCGCCGAGCTGGGCTGGAAGGTCGAGAGTGTGGGTGGCTACTACGCCTTTGTTTCTCATCCCTTCCCCACGGCGGCCGTCCCATCTGCGAATGGCGGGCCAACCGTCAGCTCAACCCAAGTCGCCCGCGGTCTTGCCCTCCTCTTTGGGCTCGGCATCCTGCCTGGGGACATGTTCGTTCCCGCTCCTAACGACAAGGATGATGAGCAAGCTCGGGAGTCTCTGGCGATTGGCGCTCGTCATATCCGCTTGTCAAATGCGAATGTCACGGATGAGGAGGCACTGAGGACGGAGCTGCCGAGACGATTGGTAGCTCTCACTAGACTGTGGGAGGTGAAAGGCTGTGGGTGGGGTGTCTGAGTGCGCCGAGAGACGCTGAATGCAAAAGCGATGTGCGTCTTTGACTCTCTCGTGATTCAGATGCTTGGCCTGGTTCATTCTGCGATGCTACACTGCACTTTCCCAATAGTCCCTTGACCACGCTCACGTTCCACCATTGCCGCCCGCCGCGCTCGCCAATCTGCTCTTGAGGTCGCCCCTACTCCCACCGGCCGGCAAGGGTGATGCTGGCGGCGATGCGGGCGCATCAGCGTCCACCTGCGTGTTCTTTGCCGCAGACGCTGCAGGATCATCGGAGCTTGCCGCCTCCCCCGCGACGGTCGACTCGGACAGAGGTCGAGTAGACGATGGGGCCGTAGACAAGCCGCCATTGAACGGCTTCGATGAAGCCTCCATTCTTCGACTCTCCTCCTTCTCGCCGTCTGCAGGACCCTCTTGCGGCTTCTCCACTCCACTGAAGACGATCTCCTCCATCCTAGCCCTCCTGACCCACTTCCTCCTGCGCGTGTACTTGCCCAGCCCGACCTTGTTCGTCATCTTCTCCCATCCGTTGTCACCGTACCTCCAGCCCGAGGCGTCCGTGGGCAGAGACGTGTCCTCCGAGACGGCCGACGAGTCGCCCGGGGTCTGAGGCGCAGCGTTGTCCTCATCTTCGGTCTCTTCAATGACAGAGGAGGGAGTGTTGCGTGATGTGAAAGAGGAGAAGAGGGTGGATCCGCCATTGGAGGTACCGCTTCCCCTGCGCGTAGGCGTTGACGGCGATCCTGCTGTTGCTCCACTCTCACTGGCTCGCCTCCCTACGGCAGAGGGAGTCTCTCCCTTGCCAGTCCCGAGCCCGCCGCCGACATTGACAACGACGCGCCATTCTTCCTCCTCCCATCTCCACCGGATGACGCGCTTCTCCCAGGCGTTTGGCTTTTCCTTTGTCGGCTTGGGCCGCCAGGTGACACTTTCGTTGGGCAGAGTGAAGCTCGCGGGCGGTGAGACAGGGGAGAGGGTGCTGTCAGTCCAGGAGGCCCTTTCTTGCGGGAGAAGAGCGGCGGTCCAGTCGAGTCCCATCCACCAGCGTTGATTTTCGTAAAGCTCGAAGCGGTATGGGACAGTGTTGACGCGAGGCGAGTCCGAAGCGGAGGAAGAAGAGGTCGACATGGCCTTCTCTGAGCGAGAGTTGGCGGCAAGAGAAGCCGCAGAGAGCTGCGAACCACCAACACGATAGAAGCCTGCAGCGCTTGGTCCGCCGAGGTAGCCAAAAGAGGTGAGCCTGACGGCGCCGCGAGTAATACGGCGGATTGTGGCGCTCTTCCACAGAGCGTGACGCACGAGAGTGGCATACGTGGAGCACCAGCTGAAGGCTACGAGTCCGATGGCGAGGACGGCGTTGGAGAGGTTGAGGGAGAAGAGTGGGAAGGGTGGTAGATAGGGCAGAGCCAATGCCGTGCTCGCTGGCGTGGGGAGGCGAGGAAGCAGCCAAGCGTTGGCGCGGATGATGTGGCGTTGGAGATCCGCAAGAATCGGCCAGCTTGCAAGCTTAGCTTCGACTGAAGTCTTGAGATAGGCGTCGTACAGGTGCAGCTTGGCGACTCGACCCGCAGTGGTGGTGCTCGACTTGAAGTAGGACCAAGCGGGGCCAAAGGGTACCAAGACGACCATCTTGGACCACGCAGCTGGCCAATCTGCAAAGCAGAGCGTCCACACTGTGCCTAGCGTCGTGGCCATGATGGCTGCGCCGATTGTAATCCCGTGTCCCTGCGGATGTTGCCAGGTGAGCGCCTGCCATACGGGCAGGACGATGCGCGCGTGTAGCGTCGAGGTGACGTCGAGAATATCTGACAGCTTCTGCAGCAACTCATCCGTCTGCTTCTGGGTGAGCGTAGCCTGAGCAACAGCACTTGCGTTTGGCCCGCGAGCGCCTTGTCGTCGAAGGAGGACGTTTGGGACTGCGGTCCCCAACACGAGTCCCAGCACCAGCAGCTGAGGCGCATATCTCAGCACGGGATAGGCAAAGAGGCAGAGAAAAGTCCAGCCCAGTAGCAGCAGAACAGAATGCGTGCCTCCACCCTCTGGCTGCGTCCATGTCGCTAGGTGGATGAAGGAGTGAAGGACATTGACCCATGGTGAAGAGAGGGAGAGGAGGCGCAGCACGGGAGGAGGCAGAGAGTGGGGAAACGTGGCTGGTGGTGGTGGCAGCAAATGCTGTTTAGCCACGTCGTCGCCTGTTGAATTGGGCGCCATCGTAGGCGACGGCGAGGGATGGTGATGAAGAAGTGGAATGCACAGAGAAGGGAGCGATGGGCCAAGCTGCAATCGACGGTCCTCCTTCCTCTCGGAGGCGGCCTCGGCCAGCTCCACCCCCGCTCCCGCCGCGCCGTGAAAAGGCAAGGCGCAGGCGCGGTCGTCCGGAGGCGCACGTCAGCCCCAGTCTGAGATACGGTGTTGATATTTGCAGAGATGAGAGGTATCAATGATCATGATGAAGAAGAGGCTTCGAGGGTAACAGAGTAAAGTTAAGACGAGATCGAGAAGATCGAAAAGACTGGGACGAATCGTATCATGAGGGCGAGGATGAGGGTGACCGCAAAGGCGAGCCTCGTTACGATGACAAGGCGCCAGGGCGAGGAGGGGCCACGACTTTCTTGAGCTGGACGTAAAAAAGAGCTAAGCCCGAGGCAGAGTCTCATTCACTTTCCGCCAGTACGCAGTAATTTTGGCGTTGAGACGATCGCCAAGCAGCTCCAAGAGTGCCGCAATCTTGAGGACTTCCTCCGTCGACGGCTGGAGATGGCCGACGAACCTGTTGAGGGGGAAATCGGCTGTGCGTCAGACGAGAAGGACAGCCGGGCAACGACGTGACCACTCACATCGCCGAAATACGATCTTCGTCCTTGTACAGCACGTCGCAGAAGTCGCTGATCTCCAGCCCCCTGGCGTCCATCGCATACAGCATCTCCTTGAAGACGGGATCAAGGGGGGGCCAAGAGGTGGATGGGCCGGGGAGTAAGAGCGGCTGGCGAGCCCCTTTGTTGTCTCCCGAGGAAGCAGTGTCGTTGTTCGTAGAGCTGGCCATGGCTATGCTCAAGGTTTGTGTTGGTGGGAGGGATGACAGCCCTCGTACTTCGACTGCAACGTCGGGCAGGTCTTATGGCTAGACTATGTCACTTTCGAGGGAGAACCATATCGAGTCGGCACAACATGTCCGGCGGAGAGTCTTGGTCTGGCAAAGACGTTGAGCCGATGGCTCAAGCGTGGGAGAAATGGAGACCAATCTCTCGTCCGATACGGGACTTTTCGTTTGCGACGGGATTCACCATTGTCCTCGCTGGTGCGAGTGCTTGCATGCGAGCAACCGCCTCTTGCTCGGTGATATGCTCGTTGGATGAAGGGGTCGCCGGG